TGAGCCCTTTAGGAAAGCGGGAGGGGGCATCGTAGAATCATGATGAAAAGGGACCCCCAAAGGTCATCTATTCCAACCCCCATTTGAACAGGTGCAGGGGGGGCAAAGTGGGGAAATGTGCACACCCTCATTCTGCCAGCTCCTGGAAATGAAACTGGGCAGCTCTGGGGGGGAGGGACAGAAGAAAAATGGCTGGGAGTGAGTTGTCAATCAGAATGAGCCCCAAATGTCCCTGGAGTGAGACCCCATAGCCTCTTAGATCAGTGGTCCTGCCCCCTGGGGGGGTGGAATTACATAGGGGGTGCGAAGAGGCAAGCGGGCAGCAGGGGGGCACTTGAGGTGCCAATAACTATCAAGTTTTGGTCATCGGTTTGGCGGAGTTAATTAAATTAGTTTTAACTGGGTTTTGAACCAGTGTGTGGTTAATTGCAAGTGTTTTGATAAGTGTCAGGTGCTGCAAACGGCTGTTCTGAATAATGCCTTTCATAGCATTTTGGGTAGGGGGCAATGGGAACGAGGGTCTGGGGGTCCACCAAGAATGTTTGGGTACCGCCAGCTGCTCTGGATCAAACCTGGGAGGGGTTCTCCTCCGTTCTGGCAGCCCCTCACCCTCCAACGCCGCTTTTGCAGTGATCTCTGGGACAGTGAAGTCGGCCGTGCGAGGGGCAGGGAACAAGGTCACCATCACCGTCGCCCTCGCAAATACGTACAAGGCAGGAGCCCTGAGCCTCCCCGCCGAGGGCAGCGCAGCCACCCTTCGCTTCGAGGCCCCCTGCCGGCAGTGCCCCATCCTCAAGAAAGGTGAGAGACCCCCACACTCACCCCACACGTGTCCTTTCACCCCCCACACCAGCTCCTTCCGCTGTTTCCTTACGCAAACTGTGCAGAAAAGCAGAGGGGCGGGAGAGCTCCTTGAGATCGTAGGACTGTAGGATGGGACCCCCGAGGGTCATCCAGTCCAACCCCCGCCATGCCTGCAGGAATCACTGCTAGAGAAGGCCTGGCAGATGCCCACCCAACCTCTGCTTAAAAGCCTCTGAGGAAGGAGAAACCACCACCTTGTGAGGCCGTTCTAACTCTGTGTTTAGTGGGAATCTCCTTCCTTGCAATTTGGAGGTGTGGGTTCGAGTCTTACCCTGTGGGGCAGCAGGAAATGGGTGGGCACCATGTTCCACTCGCGACAGAGAAGTCCCTCTGCCATCAGTTCTGGGCCTAAGCGAAGGGGCTCCCCCCCAGCCGGCCAGCTGAGGCCTACCCTGCCTCCTCTCCCAGGGGCTCCATGTATTACAGTCATACCTCGGGTTACAGATGCTTCAGGTTGCACATTTTTGGGTTACGGACGCGCTGAAACCTGGAAGTACTGGAACAGGTTACGGCGCATGTGCAGAAGCGCTAAATTGTGCTTTGCGCATGTGCAGAAGAGCCGAATCGCAACCCGCGCAGGCGCAGACGTGGCGCTGCGTGTTGCGAACGTGCCTCCTGCACGGATCACGTTCTCAACCCGAGCGTCCACTGTATTTGAAATATACTTGGAGTCGAGAGTGGATTTCATGCTCTTTACTCAGCTCATAGTGGCGAGGAGGAATGGAAGTTCCCCCAGAATGTCGGCTTTATATACATTATTTACACAATGGGCCCCATGTGATTGGCTAATTCCAGGATTCTCCTGTAGGCCAATCAGGTTGCGGATTCCCTTCCACCTGGAGTTGGATTGGGTGGCTCCTGTGGACCATTCAGACTGCTGCATTCTGGGTCCTATTGTTCTAGGGACCAATCAGATTGCTGCAATTTGGATCCTATTCAACTCAGTACATAACACCATTCCTTTTCCCCTTGCAGGTGCCAACTACGTCTTCATGGGCAAAGTCGGTGCGGACGGGAACGGGCAGCTCCCCCCTACCAGCTTTGTGGTGCCCTTCCGCCAACCGCAGCACAAGATCCTCACCAACCTTGCTAAGCGCCCCTGCACCGCCCCGCCAGCTGCCAGGAACAGGACCTGAGCCTGCGCCGCCCGCTCCCTTACGGACAGAGCCACCCTGGGGGCGCCCAGCGGCGCCCGCCTCCATATAGCCAATGAACGGGGGAGGGGGAGGGGAAATGTACCCGCACACTGCCGTGCGCTTGTGTTTGGGGAGGTCTGAGTGTTAAACGCAAGTCTCTCTTAAATGTATTTTTACATGTCTGCTTCCGTATTTCTCCGTGTTGGAATGGCGAGAATCCATGTTCCCTCATTCTCTTTGGCGCCGGGAACCCCTTGATGCATAACCTCCACCCACCCAGGAGCTTGGGGGTCACATACAGAGAACTCATAAGCCCTCTGCCTTGGTCTGTGGGGCAAGGAGGTGACACAGCGACTTGGGAGCCTGCTCCTGCGGCGGGTGGATTCTCTGGCGTGCTTGTGTCAGCAAGGGGTGCACAATTCATGAAATCGTAGGATTGTAAAATTGGGACCCCAAGGGTCATCCAGTCCAGCCCGCTGCAATGCAGGAATGCAGTTATTAGTTGGGGGTCAGACACAGTAGGGAGGATGGCCAAGCTCTCATCCCTGTTAAAAAAAAGGTAAAGGGACCCCTGACCATTAGGTCCAGTCGCAGACGACTCTGGGGTTGCGGCGCTCATCTCGCTTTACTGGCCGAGGGAGCCGGCGTGGAGCTTCTGGGTCATGTGGCCAGCAGGACTAAGCCACTTCTGGCGAACCAGAGCAGCGCACGGAAACGCCGTTTACCTTCCCGCCGGAGTGGTACCTATTTATCTACTTGCACTTTGAGGTGCTTTCGAACTGCTAGGTTGGCAGGAGCTGGGACCGAGCAACAGGAGCTCACCACTGTGAAGTAATAGCTCCAAGGGAAACGCATGAGGGAATCAGAAGTGCCAGGCTGCCCAAAGGGGGCCCAGCAGCCTGTTTTCACAGTGGCCAACCAGATGCCCATCATGGGAAGCCTGCAAGCAGGATTCGAACACAAGAGCGGCTCTCCCCACTCCTGCTGTTACCAGCTACAGTGGTGCCTCGCAAGACGAAATTAATCGGTTCCGCAAGAGTCTTCGTCTAGCGGTTTTTTCGTCTTGCGAAGCAAGCCCATTGACGGATTAGCGCTATTAGCGCTATCAGCTGTTTAGCGGCTATTAAAGGCTTAAAGGCTTAGGGGATTAGCTGCTAAAAGGCTATTAAAGGCTATTAAAGGCTTAGCAGATTAGATAAAGGGGGGGGAAAGCGAAAAAAAATCTCAAGACTCGCAAGACATTTTCGTCTTGCGAAGCAAGCCCATAGGGGAATTCGTCCTGCGAAGCAACTTCAAAACGGAAAACCCTTTCGTCTAGCGGTTTTTCCGTCTTGCGAGGCATTCGTCTTGCGGGGCACCACTGTACTGGCATTCAGAAACATCTCTGCCTCCAACTGCGGAAACAGGGCTCAGCCATCTGGGCTAGAAGCCATTGTTAGCCTCTTCCTCCGTGAATTTGTCCAGTCCTCTGCCCTGTGTGAGGTGTGACAGATGTAAAGGTGCAAAGCCCTCGATGGAAGCCCCAAACTCCAACCTCTGGAGGGGGCCAAAGCTGCTCTTTGGGCAACGAGAGAAGGGGCAACGATAAGCCCCGCCACCTTGCAAACAGCAGCTGCTGGCGACTTCTGCTTTCCAGAGGAAAGAGCAGATTAAGTTTCCACCCACGCGGGCGCAGAGCGGGCCAAGGGGAAACCGCAAAGCTCTGCCACATCACTTGAGTTGCGAGGGCGGCCAAGTCCCCCTGCGAGAGGAGCTGGGGGTGGGGAGGAAGGCGGAATATGGGGCGCAGGCAAAGGGGGAGAGAGCACCCTCCAGACGGGGTTTGGAGCCAGGACCCCAGGCCAGGCCTGTGGAAGACGTCTCCTCCTGGCTGCAAAAACCTCTTGGCCCGTCTCCAGGCCTTGCAGAGGAAGCAGGCCGCCTGGCTCCCAGCTGGCCTGCTCTGCGCCTTGCAAGTTGCAAGTGCTTCTGGGTTGCCGCTGCAAAATGAGGGGAAGGGGGCGTAGCTCAGTGGGTAGAGCAGGTGGAGAGAGACTCCCTGCCTAAAAGGAACATCGCAGAGAGCTGCTGCTGCTGCTAGCCAGTGTCGACAATACTCAGGTGGATAGAGCAACGGTCTGACTACAAAGCACCTTCTAAAGCAGCTGCTGCTTCCGTAGGGGAAGCATGAGGCAGGGATTTAGGGATTTTGGAGAGTCACACAGTTGGAAGAGACCCAAGGGTTTCCTGCAGTGCAGGAGTCACAGCAGCAGAACCCCTGACAAGTAGCCATTCGGCCTCTGCTTCTAAGCCACCAGGAAAGGCGAGTCCGCCATCTTTCCACTGTCAAATGGCTTCTAAAGTTCTTCCTGATGTTTAGTCGGACTCTCCCTTCCTGCAGTGTGAAGCCATGGCTTCGGGTCCTGTGCTCCGGAGCAGCCGAAAACAAGCCTGCTCCATCTTCCACGGAACAGCCCTTCAGATATTTGAAGGTGGTTCTCATATCTCCTCCTCTTTTCCAGGCTAAACACACCCAGTTCCCTCAACCGTTCCTCACAAGGTTTGGTTTCCAGGCCTTGATCATCCTGGCGTCTTCCTCTGCACACTTTCCGGCTTGTTAATCTCCTCCTTAAACTGGGGTGCCCAGAACTGGATACAGGACTCCAAGAATAGTCTGACGGAGGCAGAATAGAGTGGGACTGCAACTGCTCTTCATTGCCCACTTCTGTTGATGCCGCCTAGAATAGCATTAGCTTTTTTTGCTGCTGCATCACAAAGCATGAATACCCACCCAGCGACCACCGTTGCCTCCCTGATCTCCCACTTTTTTCTCCAAAGATCTCAAGGTCCTTCTCCCTCTCCTCATTTAGTCTCCACAACGACCCTGCGAGGCAGTGTGACGGGCCTTCAAGGTCCTACCCAATGAGCTTTGTGGAGAAGCTGAGGCGGGTGCTGAACCCTGACCTCTCTCCCAGGCCAATACTATGACCACAACTCTAGCCCCACGCTATTCCTGTTCTGGGAAAGCTCAGTCGGGAAAGCACGAGATCCCTACTCTCAGGGTTGTGGGTTCGAGTCCCACATTGGGCCAAAGGGTCCTGCATGGCAGGGGGTTGGACTAGATGACCCTCGTGGTCCCTTCCAACGGTACTTTAATTCTACCTGTTCTAATCTACTGGGACCACACGCACCACCTTGATGAGGAGTCCTGGCTCCTCCTCTTCCTCCCCGCCCCATTCCATTGCCGCTTCCAGCTGTCCATCATCATCACCTGCCTTCCAATTTAGGTCTTCTCAGGTGGTGCCTATTTGCAAAGTGGGTCGTGGGCGCCGCCTTGTGTCCGCAAGCGGGACTGAGGGGGAAAGGGAGGTTTCGTTGCAGAGAAAGCGCCTGGCCTTCCCTCTCGCCCCCCCCCCCCCGCGTCTCAGCGCCTGTCCCCGAGCGACCCCCGAGCCGGGCCCCGAGCCAGGCCTGGGAGGAGCAGGTGGCCCCGTCCGTCTGCAGGGTCGGGCCGTCCCTTCCTTGCGCCGGGACCCGAAGTCCTCCGTGGGAGATGTGCCTAAAAATAGCCAGGAGGAGATGGGCAGGAGAGACGCGGTGGGGCAGGCCAGGCTGAGATCCCCGCGGCCCCACATCGAGGGAGCTGTGCAGTCGCTAGATCGGATCGAAGTGGAGGGGGGAATCTAGTCCAGCATCCAGTTCTCACGGTGACCGCTAGAAAGAAGTCTAGCGAGGGTAGAGATAATAATAATAATAATAATAATAATAATAATAATAATTTTCCAGCAAAATATTACAATACAATAATTCATCTAACATGAAAAGCTTCCCTAAACAGGGCTGCCTTCAGATGTCTTCTAAAAGTCAGATAGTTGTTCATTTCTTTGACATCTGGTGGGAGGGCGTTCCACGGGGCGGGCGCCACCACCGAGAAGGCCCTCTGCCTGGTTCCACATAGAGACCTCACCTCCTCGTGGGATTGGCACCGCGATGCCCTTTCAAATGCCCGTCCAAGCCAGGGCCCGTCACCGTTGCACTTCAGGGCAGCCCACAAGCTCTGGAAGCACCCTGGTCGGCCGCTATGAGAACCGGAGGATTCCCTAGATGACCCTGACTGCCATTTTATGGGCCTGACCCAGCTGCTGCTGCTTCCCTGGCTCGCACTACCCATGGCTGTTCCTCCGCCGGAGACCCCCTCTAGGCCCGAGGGTGGCAAAGGCATCTGAGAAAGGCGTAGCCGTGGGGTTCCCAGCGGAGGCACGAGGACGTGGGCCGGCTTATTGACTCTGGGAAAGACCCCGCAGTAGCACCCATGTGCCCTGGTGCGAGGGGGCCCAAAGCTCTCGCACTGAACCCCACGAACAGAGGTGGGGAGAGCTTTCCCAAGACCCGGAGGCGCTTCCAGCCTGAGCGCACAGTCTCTGCCTGGCGGGTGGCGCCGCGCCGCGCCTCGCCCTCCGCCTCCTCCTCTCGGTCTGCACCAAAGACGCAGCTCCGGAGGAGGATGTGGGGAGGTCCTCGCCACCCATGGCTTCTGCCCTCTTCTTGCCCTATCGAGGCTGCGGAGGCTCCCTTCCCGCGCATCCCAGGGACCCACGGAGCTCTCTGGGGCCTCCACGCTGCAGCCCTAATCCGGCCCCACTTCCGCCCACCTTGCTTGTGGCTCGGCTATCCCTCCTTTCCCTCCAAGCTCCAGGTGGCGACGTGCCTGGCTCTCCTCGCCCCCCATTCAGTCCCCACAACAGCCCTGCGAGGCAGGTACGTGGGGCTGAGAGAAGGCAGGGACCGCCGGCCACGCCCAGGGAGAGATGCGCGCTTTGAGCTCCTTGCGCGCAGGAGGCCAGGCTGGCTCGGGGCTCTGTTGCTCCTGCTGGGGATATTGGTAATTCCTTTTTAAAAGTTCCCCCTTCCGTTGGCCTTGCAGAAGTGTCAAATCCAGGTTAGAATGAGAGAGTCGGAAGGGACCAAGGGGTCATTTAGTCCAACCCTGCAATGCAGGGAGACTTCACCCAATATGGGGCTGGAACCCACAAACCACAGTCTATTATTATCCGTTAACCTCGCCCCAAACAGCTGCCCTGCCCTCCGCCACTTTGGGACCTGGACTCGCCCCCCAACCCCCAACGCCTTTTCTTCCTCCTTGGGTTGGTGGAGGACAAACCGAGAGGGCGAGCGGGGCGCCGAGCGACTCGGGGCAGCAGGGCGCACGGTTGGAGGAAACGGCACCTGCCGCCTTGCGCCTCGCCTGCGCGGATGCGGGCCGGGGCGGGGCTTGGACCCGGGCCTGGGGCGGCGGGAGGCCGGGCGGGGCGGGCCGGAGATAAAAGCAGCGCCTTGGCCGCGCGCCCTCCTGCGGATCCCGGCAAGGGCGCCCGCGCCAGCCCACGACGCCCAGCAACCCGGCCGCGTCGCCGGCTCCCGCGTTCCTCCGGCAGCAAGACGCGGCGGGGCCCGCGCCCGCAGGCCAGCTCCCGGTTGCAGATTTACCCCGGTGGAAGAGGGAGGCTTGGAAGAAGAGGGCCCCCGTGATTTTAGCAGGTATTTTTATGCAGGACATCGTTGCGCTCTAGAAGACGGAGGGGACGCCTGCAAATGCATCTCTGCAGTCTCCCCAGATTTTAAGCCCACCCTCCGCAGTCATTCTGTGGGCTCCCCCTCCCCAGCACCCCCCACTCCACTGGGGCAGATGGCGGAGCGGAGGCAGGCTCTCCATGGCAACCGCTAAAGCAGCCGCATCCTCGCCGCCCCCCTCCCCAGCCAAAGGCAGCAGCTCCGCCTTTGCAATCTGCGCTCTCCCTCTCCTCTTGCTCCCCGCCCCCAGCATCGCCGAGGGTGGCGGGGATCTGGAGTGACAGCCCGGGAGGCGTGGGGCGGGATGCTCAGCTGAGCGAACCCCCTTCTGCAGTGTCTCCTTCCGTGGCCAGAGAAGCCGGAGCTCCAGGCTGGGGCTGACTCCCCACTCCTGCCCCCCATAGCCGCTGCGAAGGGTCAGCGGGGCACCCATGGGCAGGGGGGCCCAGATGCCCCTTGCCCCCGGCAAGGGAGGGGGCTTGCTCCTGCGCTGGAGCGAAGTGCCCCCCAGCATGACGGAGAGCTTCATCCTGAGCGGCTACCGCTGCCCGGGCTACACCTTTGCCCAGTGCCTGGTCTCGGCCTTCCGGCCCACCAATGAGACGGGCAACTTCTGGACGCACTTCCTGGCCGTCTTTGTCTTCGCCTTCCACTTCCTGGAGCAGTTCTGGGGCGAGGGCCCCGCGGTGCCCCAAGGCCCTCTGGACCCCTTCTACTACCCGCTCTGGAGCTACTTCCTGGGGGTCTGTGGCCTGCTGGTGGCAAGCAGCATGGCACACCTCTTCAACTCCATGTCGCTGGTCATCCGGGAGATCTGCTTCTACATCGACTACGGCACCATCAGCGCCTACACCGTGGGCTCCTCCTTGGCCTACTTCTACTACATCCACCCCAGGGGAGGCGGATCTCCACCGCCACCGCTACCGGGCACCGGCAACAACGTCTCCTCTCTGAGCGCCTGGCCCAGCTGGGAGGGTTCTGGCTGGCTCTCTGTCTTGGCGGGCCAGGTGGGCACGTGGTTTGAGGCCCTCTACGTGCCCAGCGCTTGCCTGATCGCTCTCTTCTGCACCCTGGCCTGCTGCAGCACCCGCCAGCAGTGGCCGCGCTACCGCTACCTCATCCGCACGCTGGTCTTCCTGCTGCCCTTTGGGGTGGTCTCCATCCCCGTCTTCCGCAAGCTGTGGTGGGGCGGGGGTGGTGCTGCCGGCGGGCATGGCACAGGCCGCTTCTTCCTGCGCCACTGCTTCTGGCTCCTGGCCTCCGGGATCTTCAACGTCAGCAAGATCCCCGAGCGCTTCAGCCCGGGGAAGTTCGACATCTGGGGCCACAGCCACCAGTGGTTCCACTGCTGCACCTTCATGAGCATCCTGGACGAGCTGCACATGATCCGGGGGGAGATCCGTGAGCTGGGCGCCGGGCTGCCCCTGCTGCCCAGGGCGCCCACTTTCCTCTCCACCTTTGGCGTGATGCTGCTGCTGCTGACACTGCTCGCCAGCATCGTGGGCTGGTTCGGGCTCAGGGCTTACGCCAGCCACCAGCGGAGCAAGGCCAGGAAAGGGGACTGAGGCGCACCGGCTCGTTTGCATGGCTTCTGGGCGAGGTGCAAGGGATGCTTGCTGAAAACTGGAAAACACTTGCTGTGTCTAGCACTCACACTGGATTTAACTCTGGGGTGGGGAGGGGGAACGGAGAAGCTTGAAATAAAAGGAAGATGTGACTTGAACCAAATTAGGTGTCCCTTGCAGATAACTCCATGCGGTTTCTTGGACCTGGCAAACAGGATCTTGGGGCAGCTGTGCAGGTGCAACTTGAAAGGCCAGAGATTGTGGGCTGCGGGGTTTATTTTTCCTACAGGCAAATTCAAAGTCCTGCAGGGGTAGTTTTCCATTCTTCTACCTGCTGGGAGAGGTGTCAGGCAGCAATCCTGTGTCAGTCAGGGGTGGGAGGTGCTGTCTGGGAAGCAGCTGAGTTCCCTCAGGAAAGTGGGATGGTAAACTTGGGGGTCTGGATCCTTAGGGTGGCTAGGGAAGGAGCGGCGGCAGCTCTTGGCCAGGTATGAAGGCTGACAACTCTTGGTTCTGCTTTCGGTCCTCCCTGGCCCAACTCCTGCCGGGAGCCAGAATCGCAGGGGTCCCAAGTTCTCAGCCTACCTGCTTATGGAAGTTTGGAGTCTAAGGTCTTGAACTCGCTCCCCCAAGAGGAAGTGATGGCCTCCAAGTTGGATGGCTTTAAAGGAGGATTAGAGAACAGGGAAGAGAGGGCGACTAGCTATGAGGACTATGTTTCGCTTCCACAGTCAGAGGCAGCAAGGCTTCCAAAGAGGAGGTGCTGGAAACCGCAGGAGGGGAGAGTGGCTCTTGCTGGTTTCCCACTGGGGCATCTGTGAGAGCAGGATACTGCACCAGGTGGGCCATTCGCCTGATCCAGTAGGCTCTTCTTATGGAGGTGGCCTGGCTGGCAACAGCTCGCTTGGGTGCTTAGAGGGCTATCAGGTGCATCTAATTTTTGTACTTTACCCCAGTCTCTGCACTCTTTCAAGACAAATAACAACAGCAGCAGCGGCTGCAGAAATGGTTTCAGAAGCCTCTCCTGACCTAGGGGCCCTGCCCCACCTGCCCCAGCCTCTCCAGAGCAGGGTATCTGCCTGATTCTGGCACCTGCCTGATTCCCAGGCTCAGAGCAACTCCAGAAAAGGTTCCGCTCATCCCTAAATATATTCCATCTGCACGTGAAGCTGTGTTGAGTTTAAGGGCGCAAAAATAGTTTTGCTTTGTTTGTTTTTTAATGTGTGCGGACGTGGGGAAGCAGCAGCAGCAGCAGCAGCAAAAATAGCCCCAGTGGAAACTTCAGCTGCTGCCTCCAAAGGCCGGCTCCCAGGGTGGTGGTGGGGGGGTCACTCTGCAGGATGGAAAAGTTGGGGGGGATGAGCTCTGCCTCTCCCTGTTCTTTTGGGCAGAAAAGGCGCTTTCCCTCTTTCTTTCTTTCGCTACCTCCCCCCACAACATCTCCCCAACAAGTGCTGGGATAAATTAAGGTCACTGCAGTGCTGGACTTCAGCTGCTGGTAGCAGGGAGAGAAAGCAGGCAGGGCAAAGGGCAGCAACAGGGCCTGCAGTTTCTGTATTAAACTGGGCGGGGGGCAGGGGGCAGCAGATGCATTGTACCACCCCGCTGTGTCCCACAGCACCCAGTTTATCTCCCCATCCCATCCGTCTCTGGTTTGAGTGGCTAAATTTCCGAAAGTGGGTTTTCTTTGCTGGTGGGGCTTGTCTGAGAAATGAGCAGAGAGGGAGGGAGGGAGGAGGTGGCCTCCTGATCTCTCAAAGCCCTACGCTTCATGCTCAGATCCTTCCTCAGGAGCCTCCTCCTTCACACCCCCTCCAGCTGCCCCAAGGGGAATTGGTTTCCTGGCAAGGGATTATTTGCATCTCAGAGTCCAAACAGTAGCCTGCAGGGAGCCCTGACTCCAGGGCGAGGCGGCAGGGCTCACCCTCTGCCCACAGCCAGCATTGCAAATCCTCCACACGGGGCTTGTCACTCCAAAACACTTTGCAAGTGTGAAAAGGTCCAGCTCTCACCTAGAGAACCAGACCTTCCTGTTAGCAGACAGGGTCCAGGCCTCTGATAACACCACACTGAGCAAAACAGAGCGAAAACAGTATGTAATTTGAGATCATATGAAGAGTATTCCCCCGTCCCCCCCCCCAGAAAACCTTGCACAGAGTCCCATTCTTCCCCCACCATATAGCCACAGTGGTCTCTACTAGGCTTTTGCGCCTCCTTGGCTCAGTTCAGGAGCCAGTGGAACTCACTCCCACAAGAGGCAGTCACCTAGATGGCTTTAAAAGAGGATTAGACAAAATGAGAAGGAGAAGGCAGTCCATGGCCACTAGCCATGATGGCTGCGCTCTGCCTCCAAGATCAGAGCCAGCCATGCTTCTGAATGCCGGGGGGGGGCGGTGCTCTGGTGCTCAGGTCCAGCTTGCATCTGGTTAGCCATTGTGAGGACAGGAGGCTGGACTGGCCAGGCTCTCTTTGGACCCAGCAGGCTCTTATGTGTTCTTATGGCTGGCAGCCAGCCAGGGCGAGGTACAAATTATTATTATTATTATTATTATTATTATTATTATTATTATTCTCCCCTGCCTTCATGAGCTGAACTGTGTTCCCCTCTGGGGGACTCCAAGGCAGCGACAAAACACTGCGTGGCCACACACTGTCCAGCTGGCCTTGACCTCTGCTGCAAGCCTTGTGGTGGCTCCTCCAGAGTAGTCCTGGGGCAAGCTGGCTGAGCAGCGCCATTTGCATGAGGAGAACAAGGAAGGGAAAGTGACTGCTGGGCAAGCTTTTCTTGAGAGGTAGGGGAGAAGAGAACAGGAAAGAGGCGGTGGAGTCAAGAGTTGCACCTGCGTGAATCTAGAGCAAAAGCAGTCGCTGCATTGCACCTTGGGATTGGGAAATGCAGAGCCCGAAGAATGAGGAAGCAGAGGCGCCCCTGGCTGGGTTGGGTACAAGGCAGCTTTCGCTGTCCCTCTGCCATCACTCTCCCTCCCCAGTCCCAGCTCAGGTCTCTGGTAGAACGAAGGCAGCCAACACAGGCAATGAGCCAAACCTGCCAGGGCTGTTCTGAGGCTCTCGCCCCTCACATCTCCACCAGGCCTTCCAGGTTGCCCCTCATAGAATCACAGAGCTGGAATCCTCTATTCCAACCCCCTGCAGTGCAGGGATTCCCCTTTTCCCAGATGCTGGGGAGATAAGAAGACTTGGGAAGGCAGCAGCTGGCAGCCATTTTTTGCCCAGGCCAGGCCTGCTCCCTGGAGTTGGGGTAGCTCAGTCATTAGAGTGTGAGACTCTTAATCTCAGGGTTGTGGGTTCGAGCCCCACACTGGGCAAAAGGTTCCTGCATTACAGGGGGTTGGGCTAGATGACCGTTGGGTTCCCTTCCAACTCTATGGTACTATCAGAGCGGAGTTTCTGTGAGGCCACCAGAGCTAAGTGGCTGATGCATGGAAAATTGGCCCAGGACGGCTGAGACCAGCATTCAGGCCCTTTGCCAGAAGCTCCTGAAGTGGTTCGGGGAAAGAGAGAGAGAGAGAGAGAGAGAGAGAGGAACACTCCCCACATCCCACCAAGCCTCCACTGTGAGATGCAGAACTGAGAGGCTGCTCTGAATCACAGCATGTGGGAAGCTGGCAGGAGCTCCAGGGGGTTTAAATATAGAACAGGGACCTGGTGGGGCGAAGGACAAAAGGAGGAAATCCCTGGCCAGGGTGCATCAAGGTGAAAGTGGAATCACAGAGGGGCCTCTGGGACACAAGGCTGCCTGATGCAGTTCAGGGCCAGGCAGGGCTCAGCGAAGCACCGTTTCCGAAACCCACTCCAAATCTATCGGACAGGGGAAGCTGTTTCCCTCCCTTTTGTTGGAGCCACTGCACAAGTGTTCTGTCCTGGGGCCAAGTGGTTTTGAGCCCCAGCAAGGCCTGAAATTTACAGCAGAGCAGTTAAGAATCTGCAGCGCATGCTTGTGGGGTTGGGATCTGGTGATTTCTCTACCACCAGCAGCACTAAACCCCCAATTTAGCTGCGGGGGGCAAATACATGTCTCTCTTCACAGGCTCTGGGTTCATGTCTGAATACAGATGCAGCCCTGGAAGCTGACTCATAATGAGACAGACCACTGGGTCCGTCTGCAGCTCAGTATCCTCTGCACTGGTCAGCAGTGACTCTCCAGTCCAGGGTCTCAGATGGGCACCTCTCTCAGTCCTGCCTGGAAACGCTGCCAGAGGTTCAGTTGGGGACGTTCTGTGTGCAAAGCAGGTATTCTGCCAGAGTAACAGCGCCTCCCAAACTCAATCTAGCCATCTTTCCTGGGGCTGAGGGTCCACTTTGGCAGGATGATGCAAATTCTGGTCCGCATACTTGTCAGGCTGCTGCCCCGGATAATTAGAGAGAAAGAGGGTTAACACTGGGAGTCCTGCGGCCTCTGGGATGTGCTAGTCAGGAGCCCTTGCTCCCCCAAGCTAAACCTCCGAAGTCTCTCTCCTACTTTCAGAAATCGAAATGTTCTCCCACTTAGGGAACATCAGACCCCAATCTAGGCCAGGAGGCTCTGGAAACAGCAGTGTGTGACTGAAATACAGCCACCGGGACTGATCAATAGCTTCCCTTGCTCAGCCGCACCACATCTCTCTCCTGAAAAGCAGCACAAAGGAGGCAGAGGGGCTGCCTAGCAGGGGAATGTGCACTGCAAACAGTGGACAACGGGACCCCTGGGACTCCCACTCTCGGCCCCCTACATCCAGCAGCCTCAAAGGGCCCTTCTCAGAGAGGAGAAGGCCCCACGACGGCTTCTGTGACAGCAGCTTCATCCCAGGCACCTCTGCACCCTCCCCTCCCCCAGTGCACGCTGGGAACTTTGACCTGGAAAGATTGGTCGCTCTCCATCAATGCCTGCGTCTGCGTGTGTCCCTGGGCACCGGTCTGCCAGCGGACTTTGTCCAGAGAGCAGAGGGCAGTTCTGCGGGGGAAGGGGGGGTTTGAGGTGACCTTTGTTCCCTGGGTGAGAGACGTGGCGCAACAGCCCCTGTAGGTCGATAGAGCACGTGAAACTGTGCCCCCATTGCCTGGCGATGCCCTGAAGCCACCGGGTGGCTGCTCTGCAATCTCTCTCCGCTCCTGGTGAAGTTTTCCTCAGTTATCTTTGTTCTTATTCGACTGAGGAACTGATACTGGAGAATCTGGGGCAGGGATGATGCGGGAAGCCATCAGCCAGAATGCCTGAGGCCAGTTGTGAAACCCACCCCTAGAGTTTGGCAAGATTTCAACACCGCCTGCATTGTTGTTGGCACCTGTCTATCTTGAGAGATGATGGAGTTCGCCTCGGGGTGTGTGTGTGTGTGTGTGAAGTCAAACTGCTGCGTTAGAAGCAGTTCTGGAGGTCCTGGGCTGCCCTGATGACTAGACCCCTTTCAGCCTCGCTGGTGTGGTCCAAAGGAAAGCAGAGCAAGACACTGGGCACCAGTCTGGCTACAGGAGTAGCCTGCCGCAAGGAGGTGTACCAGGCACCATCCAGCTGCCTTAGGGACTCCACTCTGGATTTGTGTAGGTTTTACTCTTGACCCTTTTTTCTCCCAAAGAACATAAGAACATAAGAGCCTGCTGGATCAGGCCAAAGTGGGCCCATCTAGTCCAGCCTCCTGTCCTCACAGTGGCCAAACAGATGCCCCTTATGGGAAGCAGGATTCGAGCACAAGAGCAACGCTCTCCCCTGCTGTGGTTTCCAGCAAGAAACTGGTCCTCTGAAGCATCAATGCCTCCAGGCCATCTGTTTTCTCCATGCCACTCAAAACTTCTATCATGTCGCCTCTTCCTCCAAACTCAAAAATCCCAAACGCCGCAACCTTTCCTCCTAGGCGAGTTGCCCTTTCCCGAAGCTTTCCCAACCCTACCCTTTACGAGGTGAGCACCACAGATTTGAAGAACCATACGATGTTGGCAATGCGCACCTCTGCATCCACGCATTGCGTGTGGCCCCTTCCGGGCTCCTCCAAGGACGCCCCAGCCCCGCCGTTTCGTCACTTACCCCGGCATGGTCCACGGGAGGCTGCGTTAGGTCTTGTGCTTTATTTACGCCCAATTGTTCAGTCTGAAGTCTTCTCTATCGGTTAATCATGATCCATGATGCGTCTAACGGGTGGGGTGGGGTGACAGGAGGGGCGGGGTGAGAGGGAGCCGCGGCCGGCGACAGCTAGCTGGGCGCAGGGGCTTCCTGGATTTCGGCCGCCCGCTGGATCATGTCCAGAGCCTCCCAGAAGAAGTCCTTCTGGAAGGTCATGAGCGGCATGCTGCCGACGGCTTCCTTCATCTTGGCCATGCGCCCCTCCAGCGTCGGGCACTTGTGCAGCTGGCTCAGGTACTCCTCGCAGGCCCGGGCGGCCATGGCCTCCGTGTCGCTCGGCGCCACCCCTGCCTTGCTGGCCGGCAGCTCGCGGTAGGCGGGGACTTCCTCAATGTCGTGGCTGGACAGCATGTAGAGGCACTCGCGGGTGGAGCAGATGCGGCGGGCACAGGGCGGCACCTGCAAAGGGGAGACGGATGTAAGGAGAGCCCTGTCGGATCAGGCCAATGGCCCATCTAGGCCCGCGTCCTGTTCTCACTGCGGCCAACCAGAAGCGTGTGGGAAACGAGCAAGCAGGATCCGAACCCAAGAGCCTTCTCCCCTCCCAGGGTTTCCAGCAACTGGGATTCAAAAGCATGGCTGCCTCTGACTGTGGAGGCAGAACAAATAGCCCTTCTTGCTAGGAGCCTTAATAATAATAATAAATTTTATTTATACCCCGCCCTCCCCGGCCAGAGCCAGGCTCAGGGCAGCTAACACCAATAAAATCACAGTAAAAACATAATAGGGGGGAAAGAGGGGGCGGGAAGAAAAGAAAAAAACCCAATTTAAAATACAGGTTAAAATGCAGTTTAAAATGCAGCCTTATTTTAAAAGTAGCCCATAGATCAAGACCGTAAGGGGAGGGAAACATAAGGGTCAGACCGAGTCCAAACCAAAGGCCAGGTGGAACAGCTCTGTCTTGCAGGCCCTGCAGAAAGATGTCAAGTCCCGCAGGGCCCTAGTCCCTTGTGACAGAGCATTCCACCAAGTCGGGGCCAGTGCTGAAAAGGCCCTGGCCCTAGTTGAGACCAATCTAACCACCTTGCGACTTGAGACCTCCAAGGTGTTGTCATTTGTGGACCTTAAGGTCCTCCGCGGGGCAGACCAGGAGAGGCGGTCCCGTAGGTACGAGGGTCCTAGGCCGCATAGGGCTTCTCCTCCTCCACCATGGATTTGTCTTTTAAAGCCACCTAGGGGGTGGGGACAGTGTCCAGGAGGCAGCACACAACCCTCTGCACTCAGGAGGATGCCATGAGTATGTCGGGACCCTCCCTCCCTCCAGCCCTGACGCTGAGGATTAGGGGATAAAACCACACTCAGGGTTTTGAAGCAGTTTTGTGGATCCTGCAAATAAACTGGCATTCTACATGCCTGGGTGGGCTTGTCTAAACAAAAATGTTTTCGGCACAGTGATGTCAAGAGGCAGGGAGTTCCAGAGTGTAGGTGCTGCCACACTAAAATACCCACACACAGAGAAAAGATCAGAGGATAACACAGGAAGCGGGCAGGAGAGAAGGCCTGGAATGACTAGACTTCACTGCCGACACCCTCGGGCTACGCAGCCCACCCAGCCCACCTCCCAGGTCCTGATTTCCCCCATTTTGGCCTCATCCCACCTCTCTCCCCCTCACCTTGGTGTGCAGCCGGACGAAAGAGGCGCTGCCTTTGGGCCACCCGGGCAGGCGCCCTCCAGCTCCGCAGCCGCAGCCCATCAGGTCCTTGCTGAAGTCCCCGCTCTGGCTCAGCACCAGCGTGTGGTTGAGGCCGCAGCAGAGGTCGATGGGGCACTTGAGGTAATGCACCTGCAACAGGGAGCACAGCAGCATCAGAGCGTGGCTGAGGATTCGCAGCCATCACGATTGCTGGAGGGAGGTTTCCTGTTGCTGGCAGAGGCTCAGGTGAAATGGGCCTAGAACCACGGAATTGTAGAGACCCCCGAGTGCTATCCAGCCTGACTCCTTGCAATGCAGGAATCCCAGCTAGACAATCCCCGGCAGGTGGTCGCCAGAAACCTCCCATGAAGGGGACTCAAGGCTGAAAAGGGACAACCTTCCTACTCTGTGTCACAATGCCTGATTTGAGCTTGACACGGCCCATAAAGATGGTTCGGCCCAGACCAAAATGCCAGGTGACCCAAATTAGTAATGGCCACTAGGACACTGCAAGGGCTCAGAAGCTTCCTGGAGCTCTGAGGGTTCCCACCCCAACCAAGGATGGTCTGCTCGCTCTCCTCTCACCTGGGCAGGCTCCCCGCGGTCTATCTTGTCGCCTGTGCCTAGCTGGCCATAGCGGTTATTTCCTTGCATGAAGATCCGCCCAAACTCGTCCACTAGCCCCAGGTGGTTGTAGCCAAGGGCACAGCTGAGGACCTGCCACAAAGTGGGAGAGGGGAAGGGAGAGAGTCTGACCCACACCTAAGGCCTGAGCAAGGACACGGGGATTAATCTCAAGTAGGACTCCCATCATATTCAGCCTGAATCTTGTCACCAGTGCTCCTTGAAACACACGGTATTCATCAATCGGGGCTCCTGAGCACATGCAGAGTGCAGTTCCCTCTCCCTAAGAGCCTAAGAAGGGCTTGCTGCATCAGACCACTGGCCTGCCTAACCCAGACTCCTGTTCTCACAGTAGCCAACCAGGTGCTTCAATGGGAAACTCGCAATCAGGACCACTTTCTCCTTCTGTGGTTTCCAGCAAGGTTTTGGCACCAGGTGAAGATTTGTTTGTTGGTGTCAGACCACTTTCATCTCTGGACCCAGCAAGTGTCAGACTCCTTTAAGACTTGGGGTGTTAAGCCGCATGCCAGACACTTCTAATTACTTGATCCAGCGTGTGCTAACAGCTAATGAAGCCAGGCTCTCCTCCTGTGTTGAGGGACTGCCTGGGCGATGGGCCATTAAGAGAACAAAAGGATTGAAAGGAGTCCGTTTGAGATGGCAGATGGGTGGGGCCCCTGTCCCTCAGCAGATGAAACCAGAGCTTAGTGGAGAGAGGTGAGAAGCAATGTGGGAAGCGTAGAGAAGGGGCAAGAGTCGTGTGGCAGAGAGACAAAGCAGCAAGCAGGCGAGTCAGAGCAGCTTTTGAGATCAAGGTCTGATGCCTGCTTGAATCCAATGTCAATGGCTACAAGACCTTCTTGCTGTGAACCCCTCCATCATAGGCTCATGTATATATTTCTAAATAAACCGTATATCCTAAAGACACCGCAGTCTCCGCTGTGCCTCGTTTCCAAAAGGAAACACAGACCCTGGGTAAGCACCGGGAACCCCTGGAATCTCGCACCGCTCAGAGATTAGGGTGGTGTGCAACTGAATCTAGGTGGGCTTTTTTTCTGTCTGTCTGTTCGGATGGCTGTTAAGTCACTAAGAAGAAGAAGTCCTCCCCTGGTGGGAGAGGGGAGGGCGGGGAACAGGACAGAGCCCCACCTCTGGGTTACCTTAGCCGGGAGGGAGAGGGCCAGGGGCATCTGCTGATCCAGCGGGTCGAACGCATGGAGGGTGCCAAAGAGGTCGCGGTAAACACCGGGCGAGTGGACCTCAAAGTAGACGGTGCCCTCGTCTGTGGAGGAGACGCAAGATCGTTGCTGGCCAAACCCTGGCCCTGCGCAGAGGCAGAAGGGCTCCCCCAGAGCAGAATCCAACCATCCCAGGCAAGGAGGTTGGGGTTGTGCGGGTGGAGGGCTCCCCACTGCAGTGGCTGCCCGTGGCATTTTGCACTGGGTTCAAGCTCCTGCTCCTGGCTTTCAGGACGGTGCCCTCCTGCTACTCTCTTCTTAAGCCCCATTTGCTCAGGCAGACTTGGTTCTTATCACCTCACCACCCCACTGCCGCCTTCTCCCACTCTCATCTGTGGCCCTTCTAAGCTGCCTCTGATGCAGCTTCCCCTTCTCAGTGCTGAAATAGGGGCTACTGGAACGAATAACTGTAAGGCCTCCCTCCTTCTCCAACCAAAGCCTCCCCACCCCCGGTTCCTTCCGCTTGCAGCTCAGGTGGTTCCACCTAAGGTAAAGGTAAAGAGACCCCTGACCATTAGGTCCAGTCGTGGCCGACTCTGGGGTTGCAGAACTCATCTCGCTTTATTGGCCGAGGGAGCCGGCGTACAGCTTCTGGGTCATGTGGCCAGCAGGACTAAGCCGCTTCTGGCGAACTAGAGCAGCACACGAAACGCCGTTTACCTTCCCGCCAGAGCGGTACCTATTTATCTACTTGCACTTTGATGTGCTTTTGAACTGGTAGGTTGGCAGGAGCAGGGACCGAGCAACAGGAGCTCACCCCGTCGCAGGGATTCGAACCGCCGACCTTCTGATCAGCAAGTCCTAGGCTCTGTGGTTTAACCCACAGCGCCACCCAAATCCCTGATTCCACCTAACACCCCCCAAAAAACCCCACTTCTCAGCCTTCTCTCAGCTCAGCTTGGGCTTCCTGATATCACCTGTACGCCCTCTCGGGGGGAGACCACATTGCCATGTGTGATCCCTGGCCTCTTCATGAAGACAGAGGAATGGCCAATAGTGACAGCAGTGGCACAAGGTTTGGGAGCATGCACAGCCCACTGTAGGGTCACCTAGTCCAACCCCCCAGCAATGCGGGAATTGCAGCTCAAGAATCCCTGACAGGAAGCCACCCAACCTCTGCTTAAAAGCCTCCAGGGAAGGAGAGTCCACCCGGCTCCAAGGCAATCTGCCCCACTGTCAAATAGCTTCAATAGTTGGAATTTCCTTTCTTGTCATGTTGGGATCTATAGGCCCAGGTCCTTCGCTCCGGAGCAGCAGAAAGCAAGCTTGCTCCGTCTTCTGTGTGACAACACGCCAGATACCTGAAGGTAGCTCTCCTGTCCCCTCTCGGTTCTTGTCCTCTCCAGGTGAAACATGCCCAGGTCCCTCAACCGTTCGCCATAAGTAATAAATAATAAGAAGAAGAAGGCTTGGTTTCTGGACCCTATTGGTTGTGGCGGCCTCTGGGCAGAGACTGGCCTGGCTGGAGGGCACCTTCTGCTGACCTGTGAGGTAGACGGCGCTGCTCTGGTTGGAGTGCATGTTGCGGACAGAGATGTGAGGGAGGCACTTGGAGACTTTGCGCAGAGCCAGCTGCACAGTGTAGGAGCGCGGCTGGTCCAGCTGGGTCTCGTTCACCACCAAGCTGTAGATCTTCCCTTCCTCTGTGGGGGGAAACAAAACACCCCACAAAAAGTGACTGTGGAATTCGCTTGCCTCCACACGTGCAAAGCCCTATACGGCCTAGGACTATCATGTCTCCTCTCAGTCCCCTCTTCCCCAAGCTAAACATCCCCAACTCCCTCGTCCGTTCCTCATCAGGCTGGGTTTCCAGACCCCTGATCATCTTGGTCGCCCTCCTCTGCACACCTTCCAGCTTGTCAGCATCCTTCTTAAACTGAACACAATATTCCAGGTGTGGTCTATTATGACCAAAGCAGAATAGAATGGTACCATCACCGGATCAAGTTCATTTGTTTTGCTGAATTAAACTAAATAGTTTGGGAAGTGCTGCTTTAGCAAATCTCTCTGTGAGAATGAGGCTCAGCGTGTGAAGCATTTGTTAAACTGCAGCCACTGTTAGCAGTTAACTGCTGTCAGAATTATTATTTCTCAAAGCTGGAATTAAAATGAGAATACAGTCCATGAGAGAATGGGTACCTAAAATCTGGGATGTGCTATGTATAGTTAAGCTTAGATACAGTCGTACCTTGGTTCTAGAACGGAATCCATTCCGGAAGTCCGTTCGACTTCCAAAAATGTTTGAAAACCAAGGCGCAGCTTCCAGTTGGCTGCAGAAGATGTTTGGCTTCCAAAAAACATTCGCAAACTGGAACACTCATTTCCAAGTTTGTGGCGTTCGGGAGCCAAAACGTTTGAGTTGCAAGGTGTTCGAAAAGCAAGGTACAGTGGTGCCTCACAAGACGAAATTAATCCGTTCCACGAGTCTCTTCGTCTTGCGGTTTTTTCGTCTTGCGAAGCAGGGCTATTAGCGGCTTAGCGGCTATTAGCGGCTTTAAGAAAAAGGAAACAAACTCGCAAGAACTCGCAAGACGTTTTGTCTTGCAAAGCAAGCCCATAGGGAAATTCGTCTTGCAGAACGACTCAAAAAACGCAAAACCCTTTCATCTAGCGAGTTTTTCGTCTTGCGAGGCATTCGTCTTGCGGGGCACCACTGTACGACTGTACATGGTAAGAACCAGAGAGGGCAGACAACAATATGATATATTCATTGAGAAACGGAATCTAATGTACTGGAGTAATAAGGTACCAGAGAATGTAAACCCATTTGTGTTACTTGGAACTTTGCGATATTAATTTATTACGTTTGATTTTTGGTATGGATTTCTGTCGCTATACATTTGGCTCCAGATATCCCCTTTTACTCTACTTCTGTATTGTTTTATTTGGCATCTATTATTCTATTTTGCTGTGTTTATACTCTCTCTCTCTCTCTCTCCCCGCAGAGGCTCACCTGTCAGGAGCAAGAGGGACCTCTCCGTCTCCTGCCCCACCAGCACAATCTGCTTGAACTTCATGGAGAAGTGGAAGGTCATCTTGAACACCCGCTGCCCGCTGGATTGCAGGTAGACCTCCACGCAGTCGCAGAGGCGCCCGCTGCCGGCTGGGCTGGAGCCTTCGCTGCGCCCCACGGCTGCCGTAACAGGCTGTTCGCGGGTGGCCAGCACGTACAGGTACTTGCGGTACACAGTGTCGCTCCGGGGGTCTGTGGCAAACTGCAGGCAGAAAGAGGAGGAGGGAGGAGGCACTCAGGGTCAGGAAGCCAGAGATCCCAGGATGCTGCAGGAACTGATCAGGGATCTAGAGGGGGAAGACGTCCAGGCTGTGCACTCAGGGGTGGCAGAGAAGACCCTCCCCTCTCACAAAGAGCCTTGGGGCAACCAGCTTCTGGGGAAAGAAACTAGGGTGCCACAGGACTGTCTGACGCCTTTCCCTAAAGGAAGGTCCTAAAGGGTCTGGAAGTGTCCAGAGTGTGGAACTCACATCAAAGAAGAAGAAGAAGAGTTTGGATTTGATGTCCCGCTTTATCACTACCCGAAGGAGTCTCAAAGCGGCTAACATTCTCCTTTCCCTTCCTCCCCCACAACAAACACCCTGTGAGGTGAGTGGGGCTGAGAGACTTCAGAGAAGTGTGACTAGCCCAAGGTCACCCAGCAGCTGCATGTGGAGGAGCGGGGAAGTGAACCTTGTTCACCAGGTTACGAGTCTGCTGCTCCTAACCACTACACCACACTGACTCTCCTAGCCACCTGAGCCTTCAGTGACAGACTTGGGTCCAGGAGCACCCCACGCTATGGACCTCCTGGACTTGAAAACATAACACCTCCACCTTTTCATGATTTAATTTTATTGGCCCACCACTGCCTTCTTCAAGGCAGATGCACCTTTCTCTTCCTCCAGTGTAGCATTAATTCTCTGAACCCCACCTGCTGCAGCTCCCTCTAAGATGGGTAGGGGCCAAGGGGCCAGAGGATCAGCCGCACTTCTTCAAGCAGCTGTTTAAGGCAGGCATCCAGGCAACAATAAATGAAGCTGACCTAGGCTGCCCATCTCCTTTCTCTCCCTCCCTCTCAACCGGGACTGCATTCTGCCCACAGCTCCACTGCGAGGCCATGGCGCTGGCCTGTCCTGCCCTGCTTCCGCCTCTGGGAAGCAGTGGGGACAGGCAGCCCACTCGCCCCCACACCGCAGGGTTTCTCTCCTCTCCCGGGCACCTACGTCCTTGGCACTGCGGCAGAGCACCATGTAGCGGCAGGCACGGCGCCACTGGATGTGGCCCATGGTGGAGGAGACCAGGGCGTTCTTGAGGAAGAAGAGGGTGCCGTTGTAGTCCAGGATGAAGACGTGGTCCTTGGTGGGCAAGAACTTCCGGTAGCCGTGCGAGAGCAGCGGGGCAACCGTCTTGCTGACAAAGTGCCGGCGGCCGCTGAACATCTGGAAGTACAAGCCCTTGGTGTCTGCGGGACAGAGAGACCCCCCCAGGGGCAGAGGGAGTGGGTCTGTCTGAAGGAGCTGCTACACCGCTCCCTTCCCTGGGGAATGGGGGCAGGGTGGGACCCCCTTTTGCGGGATCGGCCAACCCTCTTCAGCTGCCCCCAGCCCAGGCAGATGTAGAGCTTTTTCTCACACAGCAAAAAAAACACACACCCTTCCTCCCGCCCCCTCTGCTTCACCACTGAGGTATACTGACAGTTGAGTATGGCCGATCTCTTCCACGGCCGGCTGCCACCAGAGTTCTCGTCCCGCAGGCGAGGAGAAAGGCGGCGGCAGATCCTCTGCCAGACCCCCTCACTGTCGCACACCTCATAGAAGTACCGGCAGGTCTGGCCCAGAGCCACCACATCCTTGACAGGCAGGAAGGAGATAATGTAGTACAGCTGGAGAGAAGGAGGGACTCAAGTCAAGGTGAGCGCAGGGAGCGTCTCACACACACAAACACTTCGCTGAACTAGTGTGCTCTTCGCTCTGCCCTGTCTCCACAGTCGGAGACAGCGATGCTTCCAAATTCCAGTTGCTGGAAATAATAACTTGTAATAATAATAGTTTATTATTTATACCCCGCCCACCTGGCTGGGTTTCCCCAGCCACTCTGGGCGGCTTCCAACAAAATATTAAAATACAGTAGTCCATCAAACATTAAAAGCTTCCCTAAACAGGGTTGCCTTTAAAAGTCTGGTAGTTGTTGTTCTCTTTGACATCTGGTGGGAGGGCCTTCCACAGGGCGGGTGCCACCACTGAGAAGGCCCTCTGCCTGGTTCCCTGTAACTTGGCTTCTCGCAGGGAGGGAACCGCCAGAAGGCCCTCGGCGCTGGACCTCAGTGTCAGGACTGAATGATGGGGGTGGAGACGCTCCTTCAGATATACTGGACAGAGGCTGTTTAGGGCTTTCAAGTTCAGCACCAACACTTTGAATTGTGCTTGGAAATGGACTGGGAGCCAATGTAGGTCTTTCAGGACCGGTGTTATGTGGTCTCGGCAGCCGCTCCCAGTCACCAGTCTCGCTGCCGCATTCTGGATGAATTGCAGTTTCTGGCTCACCTTCAAAGCCGCACATAGAGTGCATTGTAGTAGTCCAAGCGGGAGATAACCAGAGCATGCACCACTCTGGCGAGGCAGTCTGCGGGCAGGGAGGGTCGCAGGAGGGGAAGAGTTGCTCTTGTGCTTAGGTCTGGCTAGCGGGTTTCTCATAAAGGCCATCTGGTCGGCCACTGTGAGAACAGGATGCTGGACCAGGTGGGCCATTGGCCTGATCCAGCAGGCTCTTTTTATGATCTTGCTGTCCCCACCTCCTAAACCACAGCCAGGCAGCCTCACTCACCAGTTCTGGAGGGAAGACCTGGATAGAGATGGAATCTCCTCTGCCCTTCTTGTCTTCTGTGGTCTCAGTGGATGAGCTGCGCCGCTTCTTCTTGGGCTGCTGAGGGGAGGGGAAGAAGGATGGAGAGGAGGGCAATGGTGTGAGCAGCCAGGAGAAAACTCTTTTTTCTCTTTCAGGGCTTAGTTTCAAAGCAGAAAAGTGCTGGGCCTCAAGTTTTGCTATCCCTAGAATCCCTTGCCTTTAAAAACTGCACAGCAGAATTTCACAAGGTGTAGCTTCCCCATCACTACATGGACATAGTGCCAGAAAAATGTCTCCCCCAGTTGAATTTCTGGCTGTCACACCCACAGAAAAGAGTGACAAGCTTCTGTCCGGTCCAGGGGCTTCCTCTGTCATATCATGTCTTGCGTTCCAAGAGCGGGCTGACTCACAATCTCTGCCAAATCATTCTCAGCACCAGCCCAAAACCGAGATTGCCCAGGGCACTTTAAGGGAAACCGTGATTCATTCAACCAAGGTGAAACCAGTTTCATAATAATTTATATCTGCCTTGCGGATGGAATAAGAACGTTAGCAGCAGTGCCTCGAGAGATAGCGGGCAGCCTTGCAAGTGCATTTCCCTGGTTGCACACCAGGGGGCATCAGGACCCTGTGTTAGAAATAAACCTCTAGCTGGGATTTTTCTCCCTCCCTTGAAGATAATTACACATTTGATGCTGAAAAGCTATTTTGTCCCATTAGAAACAGCTTATGTGACACTTCTTTCACATAGCAAAGGCAACACAAAGTTTTTGTTCAGTTGCTTTGCTGCGTTGGACCTGGACTTGGGGACACAGGCATGACCAGAGTGTGACTTGCACTCTGTAGTAGCCCATGAAAGCTTATGCCATAATTAATTGCCACAATACTCTTCTGGGTTGAAGGTTTTTTTTGGGTTTTTTGTGTGACAAATCCTTTCCAACCCACTTTTCAAAGATTTTTCAGAACGTGGTGAGTCACAGCGCTGACTTGTCAAAGTAGTCAGCTTGTGCGGATTTCTCCAAGTTTGAAGAAAATATTGTGTAGCTTGGTTACCGATTTGGCTAGACAGTTTATTTTAAATTAATTTGCACATGCAATCAAGCAATGGAAGAAGTAGCATCCCCAATTCAGTCAACTGAAAGGGAAAAGCTCCTCGCTCCGCTGAACCATTTCCTCCTCCTCCCACTCTTGGAAAAATCCCCACACAGGTGTCTGCCCTGCCCTGCAGCCAAAATATAGCATGCTCACTCCAAGCGGTTCCTCAATGCTAGAGATGTGGGAGAAGCGCTGGAGCTTTCTCCTTCTGAATTTTCGGACGATGCGTCTGTCGCTCATGTCTGCCCGCCCAGCCATCGCTTGCGCGGTGGGTGTGAGCTCTCAGACCCACCCTTGTTGCTGGGCCCAGCATGGCCAAGGCTTATGAATGCCTCTGCCCACAAGGTGAATCACCCCGGGGGACATGGCACTATGTGATAATGGCCGTCCTGATGGCTTCACAGAGACAGGGGTTCCCCTGGTAACTGGGGCACTGTGACATCAGCACCTATCTGGGACTGTCTTTATGACCTGTGCACTAGGTACCACCGGGTCCTGGGATTAAAGACCAGGCAAGGCATGCACCGAAGGGCCAGGATCATGCTAACAGCTCTGATTTGTACCAGCACTCCACAGTCTGTTCTGCTCCTCCACTAAGGGGCAGCGAGTTATGGGGGTTAAGGCCGGTACTTTCTCTCCTTGGAGTCATAGTGACATCTCTCATTATTAATATATGTTAAATGAGATGCTTCGTCGATGCACCCAGAAAGGGGTGAGTGACAAAGGGTGGATTGGTCAGTATCAGTTCTGTCCTTTCTCCTATTTTCCATTTGCAACATCCAGAACTAGCTGATACCCAAGAGAGGTGTTGTCAGTGGCTTCTGAATGCATATAGGGGAAATGTTTGGCTTTACTCTCGTAGTTGCTTCTGATTCCACTTATTCTGAGAGTAGAAAGACTAGGCAGAGGTATTGGGAGGGTTGGGCCAGCCTTCCCCCAATGCCTGGTGCATTCTGGATGTTTCGAACTACAACTCCCAAGAGCTCCAGCACCGTACGGTTGAGCCATCTGAGGCTGTTGGGGGTTGTAGTCCAAAAATGTCTGGAGGGCACTAGGTTGGGGGAAGGCTGCCTTAAGTAATGCCCATTTTTTACAGCTGCCCAAAGTGATTAAACGTACCATGGAAACACACATTGCGGCTAAATGCAAAGTTTGATGCTGCCAGCTGGCCGTTCCACCCTCCGAGCGCACCTTGGCGTCAAGAGCTTCTAGCCTGCCCTTCCAGAGGACTCGGGAATTCTAGATCTTGCCCCCTAGTTCTAATAATCCACAGGTCTCCACTCTCAATTCCAGAGAAGGCAGGCATCCAGGCCCTTGGCCCACTAGAGCCCGCTCTGTCCTCCAGTTCCCCAACGCCTCCTTTCACCGGCAGGTGTCACAACTGCAGCCCTTCAGCAACTCAGCCGGTGCGTGAGTTTTCCTGCAAAATATCCGGAGGGCACCAGGTTAGGGAAGGGAAGGTTTCCTCGCCTCTCTCTTTATACCTGCCGAGGTCCAGCATGTTGTTGTTGCTGAGTCGTTTAGTCGTGCCTGACTCTTCGTGACCCCCTGGACCAGAGCACGCCAGGCCCTCCTGTCTTCCACTGCCTCCCGCAGTTTGGTCAAACTCATGCTGGTCGCTTCGAGAACACTGTCCAGCCATCTCGTCCTCCGTCGTCCCCTTCTCCTTGCGCCCTCCATCTTTCCCAACATCAAGGTCTTTTCCAGGGAGTCTTCTCTTCTCCTGAGGTGGCCAAAGTCTTGGAGCCGCAGCTTCAGGATCTGTCCTTCCAGTGAGCACTCAGGGCTGATTTCCTTCGGAATGGAGAGGTTTGATCTTCTTGCAGTCCATGGGACTCTCCAGAGTCTCCTCCAGCGCCAGAATTCAAAAGCATCCATTCTTCGGCGATCAGCCTTCTTGATGGTCCAGCTCTCACTTCCATACATCACTACTGGGAAAACCATGGCTTTAACTATACGTACCTTTGTTGGGAGGAGAGGCCTCTCAATATCTACTAGCCAGGATGGCCAGGCACTTCTGAACACCAGCTGCCGAGAACTGCAGGAGAGGGCTGGTCTTGCGTTCGAATCCTGCTCGGGGGCTTCCCCATTGAGGCATCTGGTTGAACAGGATGCTGGCCACTTGGGCCTGATCCTGCGTTTGCGACGGCCGCCGTCCCAACCTGCCTGCAAGCAAGAAAAAGCATGAAACAATAAGATAGAAGGGGCTATTAAAGTCGCTTTTAACGCAGAGAAAAACACCGGCTGAGGAACGGGCTCCCTGTTGCAAATCTCAGCTTTCCAGGGTTGGAAAACCAGGGGCTGGATCTTGGCAGCCCCTTCCTCTGGGCCTCCGTCCCCATATCTTCGCCCAACCCAGGCATCCCTCCTTCCTTCTTCCCTGCTGGGCGTCTGATACACGAAAGATGAAGGTGGGTCTGTCTCCTTGCTGGGCCTCCTGGGAGCCCCTCTCCTGGGCACAAGGCGCGCTCTGCTCTTTGGAACTACAACTCCCAGCCACCCCCAGCCCCCAGTCCCTGGCCGGTGGGAGTTGTAGTCCCAAGCGCCTGGCCGGCGCCACCTTGGCCAAGGCTGGCCTCAGGCCAGGGCACACGGTTCTGCAAGCCGCCTCAAGGTCCCAGATTCATTATGAAGCAGCATATATATATATATATATATATATATATACACCTTTAGCTCGCTGAAATGCATAAAAATAAATCTGAGAATGCCCCCCAGCTGCACTGAGGTTCATCAACACTCTGCACATGCCCAGAGGCGTTTCCTTCTAGGCTTCAAAGGAGTTGGGCTGTTAGATGCGCCTCCCTTTCTTCACATCATTGGACAGGGAGGCACTCTGCACATGCCCAGAGAAGGGAGACAGGCCGTAATTCACTGAGGGCTTCCCGCCCTTCTCTCCCTGCCCCCACCAGCCCGTTGGGAGAACGGCCTGCCAGTCAGAACGCGTCCCCCCCCTTTTCCCAGTGCAGATTGGTTAGTTGCGTTGCCATTCAAACTTCAAGTGCCCGCCTCTGCTGAGGTGAGACTGAATCTGATTGGACTCCGTCTTATTCCCTCAGACTCCCAGCACCCACCCTTCCAGAGGGAAGTTGCTGATTGGTCCGCCTCGCTGCCACTCTTCGCCCTCTTCTTACCCCCAAGGCCGTCAAAGGACCTGCCCCGCCTCAGTCACCTCACGCCGCCTCAGTCTTTCAACTGTTGGCGCCAAAACTACGGGTGGGCGCGGCCACTTTCCTGATTGGTCGCCCTTCTCTCTCTCTCCTTCCGAGCGCTGTGATAAGCCCGGATTCACGTTGCTTGGGCAATGATTGGTCAATAGTTTCACGCCCTGCCTCTATGAATCCCATTGGCTGCGGCAGGCGCGAGGCAAAATCACGGAGCGCTTTCAGTCTGGGGGTGGTGGCCTTAGGAACCGCCTCCTCGGTAAGGGATTGGCCGAAGCGGTAGTCAGCGCCCTTCGCGGATCTCTCATTGGCCAACAGCCGCCCCCTCTCTTCTTCCTCCGCCCGCGCCCTTGATTGGAGCGAAAGGAGGAAGAACCCGACGGCCCATTTCCACGCCATTGGTCGCCTGCTTCGGCTGCGCCCCGCCTGACGCGCCGCGATTGGCGGCTCCCCGCGTGGCCGGCTCCTCATAGGCCGAGGCGGCTCCTCGGGACCCGCCCCCTTTGGCTGGGGTCTCGCCGCTCCTGCCCGCGAGCTCTCAGTCGGCCAGCGGCTGCCTCAGCGAGCACAGCGGAGCCTGCGGGATGGCGGCGGGCGAGGGCGGGGCCGACGCGCTGCCCCCGCCCTCCCCCTCCTGGCCCGGCCCGCTCCCTGGGCCCGAGCGGGCCTTGGAGGAAGCGGCGGCTTCGGGCAGCCTGAGCCTGGCCGGGCGGCGCCTCAGACACTTCCCCGGCGGAGCAGCCCGGCGCTGGGACCTCAGCGACACCACGCAGGCGGGTGAGCAGACCGGCCACGCCCATCTCCCCTGACCCCGCCCCTTGGCTCCTCCCCTTCCCACCTCGTTTCCCAGCAACCAACCCTTGGCCACGCCCACAGGTGGAGAAGCTCCCCCCTCCTTTAGGGGTCTTCATCTTTCTGGCCACTCCCCTCTTTTTGGCCACGCCCTCCCAAACCACCCTCTTTCGAAATTATCGATTGATTGCATTGTGCTGGTATTGCATCTCCCCCCCCCTCCAAGTTCTGTGCATGGTTCCTCCCCATGGTAATTTAGTCCCCCCCACACAACAACCCTGCGAGGTAGGTTCCAGCCTTTCTCAACCTGTGGGTCCCCAGATGTGGTTGGACTACAACTCCCATCACCCCTATCTAGCAAGGGATGATGGGAGTTGTAGTCCAATGGCGTCTGGGGACCCACAGGTTCAGAACCGCTGGACCGGAGGCAGGCACTGGCGCCCAGTGTCTCCCAGGGAGCTTCATATGTGCTGAGTGGAGGATTTGAACCCTGGTTTTGCCCTCATTTAATCCCCACAACAGTAGGGAGGCGAGGCTGAGAGGGGTTGACTGCCCCCCAAGGTGGCCTTCAGATCCAGATTCCCCATCGTCTCCTCTTTATTTACACAACTTCCCTGCAAGGTAGGCCAAGATGAGAATGGGCTAGGCAAGGAGTCGGATTTGGGCCCTCCTGCCCCGGTCCAGTCGCTTGATGACGACAGCTGCATCCTGGAGCGCTTCTGTATCTTGTCCTCACATCAACTCCGCTGTTCTTTCAGTATCAGGATTTCCCCGTCCTTCTCCTGGTGATACTCAAACGGCACTCTTGTGTTGGGGAGTTCCAAAGGCTTTCCCTTGTCCTCCACTTTGGTTGCAGCTGCGTTTTGGAACGCCAAGTGGTGTTTGGGGTGGTTGTTGAGCGATGTGGCAGAATCTTGCACTCGGAGGTGCCCAGCTCCTGTGGGCAGGAGACCCTATCTTTCCCGTGTGCCTGTGTGTGAGTGAAGAGGCCGTGCAACGGCTGGAATGGGGCCTCCAAGTCGAGGGGAGCTGGGAGTCTGCCTTCCGGTGTCGCTGTGCCATCCATCACATTTCCCCAGGAGCCAGACCTGAATTCTGCCCATGAAAAATTCCCACCCCATAAAACAAGAGGGTCACTACAGTTGAAATAACAGGGGCGCCCAGGCGCCCAAAGGCAAGTGGCAGCTTCTGGGAACCGTAGCCGCCAGGATTTGCAATAGTGTGGGGTTGGGCTGGATGCCTGAGTTGAGATTCCTGCCTTGCAGCGGGTTGGGCTAGAGGACCTTTGAGTGTCCCTTTCAACTCCATGATTCTACCCCGGGGATGAAGGAAATTGTGGCCCTCCACACGTAGGACCCCGGCTCCCTTCCGCCTCTGGCAGTGTGGGTGGCAAGTGATGCCGAAAGTTGTAGTGTGCCATCATCTGAGGGCCACAGCCCCCTGTTCCTGCCTTAGCACCCAGTGGAGTTAGCAGAAAGACTTTTAAGCGAGTGCGTTTGAGTGTGCCTGCCAAGGCAGGCGACTTCCTTCACCTTGAGGGCGAGGTTTTTCTGTCTCTTTCTGGTGAAGGAAATGGGCGTATCTGACGGTATCTCCGGAGAATCTCTGGTTCTTGCGGAAGCCCGGCCCTTGCTTGGCAGATCTTTGCGATATGGGGGGTGGGAGAGAGATAAGACCCTTGCTGCCCTTTGCTGCCATTCCTAAGCGGGTAGCCTTGGCGTCTGCCTTGCCCTCGAGCATTTCAAAGTCGGCTTACACAGCAGGCCGTCTTCAGTCAAATCCTCCCTTTTTTTACAAGGAACACAGCATGAGTTAATTTATGTTTTTCTGACACTAAAACCACCCCAGTCTCCTTTTCTTTGGGGATGAAGCTGGGAAGGTGGCGGCGGCAGCAGCAACTGCTTCAGCCAAGTGGGGTGGGGGGTCTTCTGGTTTCCAGCGTGTGACACTTGTGGCAGTGACAGCCTGTGAGGGGGGGTCAAGACAGGGAGCGTTCCTTTGCATGCGCCAGCCCCGCTCTCTCTTCCTGTGCCGCTTTGCATAGCTTCCTCATGCCGCCGTTCTGCAAATGTGCTGCTGCTGTCGATGGCTGACTACTTCTCTCCCACTCTTCCTCCCCCCCCCCCCAGCAACGCTTCTGCCATTTGGAGTGCGGGAGGCCTCCTGTCACCCGCAAATCCCTGCCACCCGCACCCTCGCTTGGCGCAAGTGCTGCTTGGTGGGCAGGAGGGCTGGGGGTGGGCTGTGGGGGAGGGAAAAATAGCTCCCTCCCCCTTGGAAGAGGTGAGTCAGCAGAGGCTGTGCAGCGTGTTTTGTTCTCGCAGCCTCCCAAGCTGGCTGGCTGGCTGCTGAAATAACTTCCAGGGCTAGCGTTGTTGTCCGGTGTGAAGTTAAAAAGGTAAAGGGACCCCTGACCATTAGGTCCAGTTGTGGCTGACTCTGGGGTTGCGGCACTCATCTCGCTTTACTGGCCGAGGGAGCCGGCATGCAGATTCCGGGTCATGTGGCCAGCATGGCTAAGCCGCTTCTGGCGAACCAGAGCAGCGCACGGAAATGCCGTTTACCTTCCCGCCGGAGCGGTACCTATTTATCTACTTGCACTTTTGACGTGCTTTCGAACTGCTAGGTTGGCAGGAGCAGGGACCGAGCAACGGGAGCTCACCCCGTCACGGGGATTCGAACCGCCGACCTTCTGATCGGCAAGTCCCAAGCTCTGTGGTTTAACCCACAGTGCCAGTTAGCTGCTGGGAAATATCCCTGCTTTCATCCCCCAACCCCTCCAAGGTGAAGGATCTGTTTCCCTCAGCAGCCAGCGAAATGGTTCCCGGAAGCCCACAAGCCAGAGATGTGCAGGCAGAAGCCTCTTCTGTGTGCTAAGTGACCCACGGACAGATTTTTCCTCTTATTCAAGTTGCCTTCAAATTCCAGTTTCTGGAAACTGCAGGAGGGGAGAGTTGCAGCTTGCGAGTATCCCACAGGTATACAGGATGCTGGACTAAGATGGCCCCCCACTGGCCAGATCTAGCGGTCTCTTCTTACAAATTTGTTTAGCCCTCTTTGGGCTCCAGCCAAGCTGCTTCCCATCGCTGGGTCTTGTGGCAGGGAGTTCCAGTGGGTAAGGATGGCGCCGCTGTGTCAGGGGGCGCTTCCTCTTTTGTTCAGCACAGATGGCGTGAGGTAATGACTTCTGTCCCTGTGGTGGGAAGAAACAGTTGAGCAGCCTGCCCTCTTCCACCCCTTCTGAATTAGGTCATGGGGAAGTGGCAGTGCAGAAGCGAAGCAAGTTGCCTCTGAGGTTTTTTGGGGGTGTGAATGCCTCTTTTGCAGCCGTCCTAATCTTGCTTTCCTCTGCAGCTTATAGCAAAATCCTATCCATGTCATAGGGTCACAGAATTGCAGAGTTGGAAGGGACACCGAGGGTCATCCAGTCCAACCCTCTGCAATGCCTGCACACTGAGTCCAGCCAGCCTGATGCAGTGGGCAAACATTAATCCAGAACTTGGGGGAGATCAGGGTTCAAATCCCCACAGGGCCATAAAGCCCACTGGGCAACCGTGGACCAGTCCCACTCTCAGCCTGACCCACCTCACAGGGTGGTTGTGAAGATAAAAATGGGAAAATGTTTATGCCTCCTTGAATTGCTTGGAGGAAAGGTGGAGTAGAACTCTAGTCATACGAATAAAAAAGGCCATTGCGTTCAGGATTCTAGCCTTGTGTCTTTGTTTGCAAGATTGTGAGAGGCAGGAGCTGTGGGGGTCCTCCGAGGTTTGTTGGTTGTGTGAAAACTTGGACCTCGCTGTGCTTGGGACCAGTAAGAGGCAGGACAGAGAACCCAGAGAGATCTTGTGACCATCTCAGATCCTGCTGGGATTAGCCAATGGCGCTATCTATATCTGTATCATATATGTATAGATATAATCTTTTTATTGGATTCCAGCAAAAGATCACACCCTTCTTGACACTTACTGACTCAGTTTATATAGGTAAAGGTAAAGGGACCCCTGACCCTTAGGTCCAGTCGTGGCCGACTCTGGGGTTGCGGCGCTCATCTCGCTTTACTGGCCGAGGGAGCCGGCGTACAGCTTCCGGGTCATGTGGCCAGCATGACTAACTGCTAGGTGGGCAGGAGCAGGGACTGAGCAACAGGAGCTCACCCAGTCATTGCGGGGATTCGAACCGCCAACCTTCTGATCGGCAAGTCCTAGGCTCTGTGGTTTAACCCACAGCGCCACCATTTGTTGTTAAATTTATACGCTGCCCTTCTTCCAAAGGCACCCAGGGCAGCAAGCGATGTACGTTTCAGAAACATATTTAAAGCAATTCCAATACAGATGCAAACTAGGAAAGATCTCAAAAGGTTTGTTGGAAGAGGAAGGCCCTCCCCTTGGGAGGGGGCCCCCCTCTACTTTTGCTTTGCCTGTTCCGTCTCTAAGGCGCGTTGTGCTCCAAAGGAGGAACAGCAGCTGCCAGGGGCGGTTTGTCAATTCACCCCCCAAACATAGAGCAACCGTGGCTTGCAAATTCCCTTCCAACCGCAGTTTCCGATTCTGGTTTGCTGGTCAGCTGGAAACCTTGGTTTGTCAATACGGCCATCGCACTATACGTGGGAGTATGTTAGCTTTCTTAACCTTGGTTTGGTGTGATATCTGAATTGTGACACGCTGTGTAACAGAACAGACTTGTGTGTGGGAGAGAGAATTCATTTAAGTGATGTGAACTGGGAACATAATTATTGAAAAGCTGGATTTGCAAGGGGGTGGGATTCGCAACTAGATGTAAGATGTCCTTCCTGGATGAAACGGCAAGGCTGCTCTGCGCCTTGGAGTCTGTCTCATCTTCAGCCTTGCTCAGCTTGGCCTGGGGAGTCCACTAGAGGATGCCGTTTTATCCCCGCCAGAACTGCCAGGGCTCATGTTGGGCTTGGCGCTGATGGCATCCTTGAAAGGCAGCCTTTGCCTCTCACCTCTGGCCTCCAGAGGTTCTGGACTCCATCTGCCCTCGGCCCCAGGCAGCATGGCAGCAAGATGATGCGGGGGCTGTTGGGCGCTTCCATCCCAAAGCACCCAGAGGGCACCAGGTTGGCAGAGGCGGCTTCAAGGCCAGGCCCAGCTGGCACAAGCAGACAGATCTTGCTGGAGGTGACTCTGGCATGGAAAAACTGACTGGGAGTGTTGCAGACTCCTCTCCCTTCCACCTTGCCTTGCGGCAGATTAACCCGCTGTGATGCATGAGGCCTGCTCGGCTCAATCCCTTCAGCAAAGCTGGAAGTTTGCAGATCAGGGCGGTTTTGTGATGGCCCATGGCAAAAGCGATGGCAGTTTTGCAAACGCCTGGGCCTCTGTTTGCATTCCTCTTGGGCCCTTTCCTGGTTCGTGAGTGGTGTTAGCCTGTTAGAAAGAAGAGTAAGCCCAATCTTTAAACATGGCTGCCTGTATTTGCGCGATGCGGGTGGCGCTGTGGTGTAAGCCACTGAGCCTAGGGCTTGTCGATTGGAAGGTCAGCGGTTCGAATCCCCGCGACGGGGTGAGCTCCCATTGCTCGGTCCCTGCTCCTGCCAACCTAGCAGTTTGAAAGCACATCAAAGTGCAAGTAGATAAGTAGGTACCGCTCCGGCGGGAAGGTAAAGGGCGTTTCCGTGCACTGCTCTGGTTCGCCAGAAGCAGCTCAGTCATGCTGGCCACATGACCCGGAAAAACTTTCTGCGGACAAACGCCGGCTCCCTCGGCCTGAAAGTGAGATGAGCACCACAACCCCAGAGTCGTTCGCGACTGGACTTAACTGTCAGGGGTCCTTTACCTTTGACCTGTATTTGCAGGTGCCGGTGGCGGAAGACTGCCTCTTTATGCTCTGAGCCTGCAGTGGCTCTGATCTGGGCACTCTTTCCATGTCCATGAGCTGCTTCGTCCTGGAGGCAGCTTCGTTGAAACCCTTATTTGTTTAGGGAGAGGTGGGTCAGGGGCTGGCCTGCCAGTTGCCCAGCTGGCTGCCTGGGGCGCCAGTTCCTAGGAGGAGGAGAAGCTTGGCATGCCCTGGGCAGAAAGTGAGAGAGTCCCTGCATTTTTCCAGCATGCTGTAAGCTGCTCCTGTGACCGACTTCTGAAGGGAAGCACTGAGTTTGCATGAGGCCCCGGATCTCCGGAGGCGAGTTTTGCAGCAGCCGGGTTGTGTGGCAGGGGGCTGTGCACACTCCCAGTTCCAGTTCTGCTTCGGGAAGTCTTGGGTTTTCCCCCTCCTGATATCCAGGCCTCCCTGAGATTATGCTTTTTTAAAAACATTCCCTTAGATGTTTCTGTGACAAAAGTGGAGAGCAGCAGGGGCGCCTGGCCGTCCTACATGCAGCAAAATGTGGATTGCCTGGCTTGGTGGGATGTGCTTGCAGATAATCCAACTATTTTAAAGTGACCCTTGAATCCGTTGGACCCAACCACCCTGCATCTTGCAGGACTGTTTCAATGCAGCCTTGCAAATAAGTTCACGAAAGTTATCGTCTCCCAAAGAGACCTCTGCTGGTCTGCTCACCAGTGTTAGTTGTGACGGCCACATCAGCAGCCCCTTGTGTGGATGGGTGGATAGCAGACCTACCAACCAGGAGTCCTGGGTGATATAGCAATATATTGTCCGAAGCCAGTTTGAAGTCCATATCGTAATCTTGCTTTCATAATTTCTAAGCTGGTGATATAATCACGAATCATGATGTGTGGGTGGGTGCTATGCAAAAATCACAATGCGGGGGAAACCGTGAAGCCATCCAGTGCCTCTGCTTAGCTCCACCCTTATTTCAGACACTGTGATGTACTGGTATATCACAATGTTTAAAGGTAAAGGGACCCCTGACCATTAGGTCCAGTCGTGGCTGACTCTGGGGTTGCGGCGCTCATCTCGCTTTGTTGGCCAAGCTTCCGGGTCATGTGGCCAGCATGACTAAGCCGCTTCTGGCGAACCAGAGCAGCGCATGGAAATGCCATTTACCTTCCCACAGGAGCAGTACCTATTTATCTACTTGTACTTTGACGTGCTTATGAACTACTAGGTTGGCAGGAGCAGGGACCAAGCAATGGGAGCTCACCCTGTCGCGGGGATTCAAACCGCTGACCTTCTGATCGGCAAGTCCTAGGCTCTCTGGTTTAACCCACAGCGCCACCCGCGTCCCATCAAAATGTTGAAAACCAGGTATCACCGAGCCCTACCAGCCAGGTCCAGTTTTCAAGGTCCAGCCTTGCTTGCTTGGAGATGATTCTTACTTGCCGCTGGCAAGCAACTGTCAGCAAGCCGCCTTCAAGTTCTGCTGCCCTGAGTGTTGAATGGTTTCTTTAAATGTAAAGGTTCATCATTGTTCCACCCGATGTGTATGTCTTTAAGGGGCCAGAGCAAGGGCCAGAGCAAAAGAACGAGACCCAGCTTTACCGCTGTGAAACATAGCGGGTGCTGCTGAGTTGTATTGATTAAGCTGTGTCAGCAATTGGGTGTAGTATATAAGGAGCAGCACCTAGCTCTCCCATTCCCCTGGGGGATGGGTTGGGGGTTGGGTCTGGTTTGTTGTTGATGTATTTAGTGTAAATGGAGTTTTTGTTTTTCTTATTAAAACCTTGCTTAAGTCATTTTTGAGTCCCTTTTTAATGCATGGTCTCCCCAGCAAGCTCTCTGCAGCGCTACCATACTGCAAATAGCCAACACTGAGGCCTCGGGAGAAATTATTTTTAAAAAAAATTTAAAAAGAAAACCCCGAAATCCTGGAAATACTAGTGGGCTGTTAGGGTAATTCATGCTGAATTATCTTTCGTGCTGAAAAATCTGCCTTCCTGTGTAATTCTGTATTATTATTATTATTAAGCAATTCATCCCCCGTCCTTCTGGCTGGGTCTCCCAGACAGGTTGTTAAAACTGGCTCAGGGGCTTCCGTCCCCCTCTTTATGTCCGTGCCACCTTGCCCCCCGCCATTCCCTGGGGCTTGGCAGTGCCTTATGCTCCGTCCAGATTGCCTGCGTGGCTATGGGAGCCTGCTTGCTCCAAAACCAGGCAGCGAGAGACTGTTCCAGGAAGCCATCTGCACTCCAGAGCAGCTTTCCAAAGCTGCTCAAGGGCAGTTGGAACAAAAATGTGGAGGGCTCCTTTCCCCTTCTGATAAACTCTGCCCAACTGGCCAAGGCTCTCCGTCGCTGCAAGGCTTCTGTGCCAGGCAGATGCCCCTGTCTCGCCTCACCTGAGGCTCCACGCGGAGCCATTCCCAGCCTGGGTCCCAAATCTCTTCTGATTCCAGGAGCGAGTGGGAGCTTGGGGCCTGAGGCTCCCAGGCCAGAAGGGAGCCAAGAGCTTTGCTGAGCTTCCCCCTCGGCTTGGCTGCCGGGAATCCACGCCTACCGTGAGAAAAAGTTAGGAAATATTGGACTCTCGGGGCCTTTTGCAGCTGTGTGTTTCCCTCTGGGAGAGCTGGAACGGGGAGGGGGCGCCTGGAACAAGGGGGAGGGATAGGAAAGCGGAAGTTGGAATCTCCCTTTTGACCCGGGCCAGTGGTCAGGGTGGTGATGGGACTTGGAAGCACAACGCAAGGCACAACATCCCCGTCCCTAAGAGAATCAGAAGGGCCCGGTTGATCAGGGAAAGGGCCCACCCAGGAGAGAGCATCCTGCTCTCACAGTCAGTGTTAGAAGTAAGCCAGGCGCGTTTTGCGACTGGCGCAGGTCCAGTTGCGACCAGCTGGAGATCTCTGGACACCAGGTTGGTTGGCGATGGACATCTCCATCTGGCTGACCCCTCCAGCTTCCTTCCGCAGGTCAGCAGAAGAGCTTATTCCAGGCTTCCTCAACCTCGGCCCTCCAGATGTTTTGAGACTACAACTCCCAGCATGGGACCACTGGTCCTGCTAGCTAGGGATCATGGGAGTTGTAGGCCAAAAACATCTGGAGGGCCGAGGCTGAGGAAGCCTGGTTTATTCATTGCATTTATATCCCTCCTTTTCCTCCAAGGAGTCCATGGTTCACCCCCCACCTCAGTTAATCCATACAGCGACCCTGCGAGGGAGGTGAAGAGGCGGCGACTGGCTCCAGGGTCCCCCGGGGAGCTTCAGGGCTGAGTGGGGATCCGAACTCAGATCTCCCAAGTCTCGGTCCAGCACTCCCACCATGGCACCACCCTGGCTTCCTAGAGTCCTCCTTTGATGGGGCAACTCTTTGAATTAAGTCAGTGAATCAATTAAGGGGAAGCAAAATGTCACTTAGAGCAGGATCCGAAATATTTTCCTGGAAGCTTGAATGTGGATCATTTTATTTGATAACGTGTTGTAAACTGCTTTGAGATCCGTTCTTTACAATATAAAGTGGTTTAGAAGTGTGGGTGCCTAGACGTTCCGTTGCAGCAGCCCTAACCTCGGTTTAAGGTGCCATTTGCCAATTCGATTATGAGTTTCTAGCCTAGTGACCAAACATGTGCCTCTTCTGGGAAACCTGCGAGCAGCAGCCTCCTCTTCTGTGGTTTCTAGCTACTGGTGTTCAGAAGCAGGACTGCCTACAAACCAGGACTCCCACTTCTCAGTCTCTTGCCGGTACCCATCTAAGAGAGACGCCACCAAGTGACTCCCGTGACGCCCAGGGACCGTGGGGAATCCACAGCAACTGGTTGGGGTTGATGGAGGCTGCAATCTGAAACTTCTCAAGGGTGCCTGAGAAGTTGGGGAAGGCTGCCCTGGCGAGTCCCCTGCCCGATCCTGGGAATGGCGGCTCTCTGGGGTCTTCTCCCACCCTGTCCCTCCCTCTCTGCCTTTCTCTGAATGCACGAGCCCTTCTCTTCTCCTCCCCCCACCAGTCCAGCTGCCAGGCAAGACAATGGAGGCAGCGCATGGGGAGCTTTTCTGCTTTTGTCGGCCACAGCGAACAGCTGCCCTCCTCATTCCGGCAGGCCGAGAAACTCAGCATCATCCCCACTTGCACCGCAGGGGCAGGCCGGAGCGACGGCCTCGGGGTTTGGTGCGGCTTGTCATCTCCGGTTAAGTTGACGCGGAGGCCAGGGAGGGGGGCTTTGTGTCGGGAAGCTGCCCCCACCCACCCTGACAGCAGGACCCTTTGTGGTGCACGCTCTCCCCCACTGTCCCAGCACCCCATGAGAGAGAGAGAGCTGTCCCTTTTCTGCCGACCTTGGGAGAATTGGTCCTCCCCTTTTGAGCCCTGTCCCAAGCTAGAGTTTGGGGGGAGTGTGATGTGCGAGAGAGGTCACCTCTGGTGGAGCCACGGTCCAAGTCCGCTTTCTGGAGCCGCCTTTCTCAGAAGGGGTGTGAATTTGGGGTACGACCATACCTTGCAAGTGGAAGGTCCCAGGTCCTGGGAAGGGCCAGGAGACACACCTGCTCAAAAACCTGGAATACCGTTGCCCGACAGTGCGTATCAGCCGTGGGTCTCAAAGGTGCCCTTGAACTACAACTTCCACACACACCCTAACCGCTGGCCAGGAGTGTTGGGAGTTGTAGTCCGAGAACAACTGGGGACCCAAGGTTGGGCTGAATGGACCCCAATAGTCCGTCCCAGTAGAAGGTGGTTTCTGTCATCCAAATGTAGCCTGGGACCAGCACAACCATTGCCCAAGTATTTCCGTGGGCTGGGGTGATGGCAACCAGGGTCCAGAACATCTGGAAGGCTCCAGCTGGGGGAAGGCTGATCTAAGTTTCCTTAAGGAAGGAGATTCCCACCAAATGTCCAGAAGAACTTTCTGGCAGTAAGAGCTGCTCTGTAACGGAACGGGAGGTTGAGGACGCTTCTTCCTTGGAGGTTTTTGAGCAGAGTTTGCTGGGCAACCTATCGTCATCATCAACATAAAATTTATTATTTATATCCCACCCATCTGGCTGGGCTTCCCCAACCACACTGGGCAGCTCCCAATCAAATATCAAAAACAAAATACAGCATTAAGCATTTAAAACTTCCCTAAATAGAGCTGCCTACAGCTGTCTTCATCATCATCATCATCATCATCATCATCATCATCAAATTTGTTATTTATACCCCGCCCATCTGGCTGGGTTTTCCCAGTGTGGTGTAGTGGTTAATAGAGCCAGTGTGGTGTAGTGGTTAAGAGCAGTGGACTCGTAATCTGGTGAACCTGGTTCGATTCCCTGCTCCTCCACCTGCAGTTGCTGGGTGACCTTGGGCCAGTCACACTTCTCTGAAGTCTCTCAGCCCCACTCACCTCACAGAGTGTTTGTTGTGGGGGAGGAAGGGAAAGGAGAATGTTAGCCGCTTTGAGACTCCTTAGGGTAGTGATAAAGCAGGATATCAAATCCAAACTCTGGGCAGCTCCCAACAGAACACCAAGAACAATAATAAAAAAGCAACAGCATCAGACATTACAAAACTTCCCTAAACAGGGCTGCCTTCAGATGTCTTCTAAAAGTCAGATAGTTTATTTCTTTGACATCTGATGGGAGGGCGTTCCACAGGGCGCCACCACCGAGAAGGCCCTCTGCCTGGTTCCCTGTAACCTCGCTTCTTGCAGGAAGAACCACCAGAAGGCCCTCAGAGCTGGACCTCCGTGTCCGGGCTGGACGATGGGGTTGGAGACGCTCCTTCAGGGATACTGGGCTGAGGCCATTTAGGGCTTTAAAGCACCAACACTTTGAATTGTGCTTGGAAACGTACTGGGAGCCAGTGTAGGTCTTTCAGGACTGGTGGTATGTGGTCTTGGTGGCCGCTCCCAGATCCCTGCATTCTTTGCAGAGGGTTGGACTGGATGATCCCTGGGGGTCCCTTTACAATTCCATGCTTCTGCATCTCTGCTGTTGGCCTTGAGGTTCAGGCAGGATTTCCGTTGAAAGAGTTGGTTCTTAAGGCAACCTGGTTCCCATCCCGACACTTTAGGGCAGGGTTGCCTAATCCGTAGCCCAGTGCTCAGTGGTGAGGGAAGCCGAGCAGCCAGTGGCCACCTGGAATGGCCAGAACAGTCCAGCCCCCCTCATGGTTTAAGGGCTTTCTTTCAACACAAAGAGCTCTTCATATGGCCACAGGATGCTGCCTTTGGGCCTGATCCCGCAGGCTCCTCTGGGGCTGCCAATGTGAGTGGGGCATAACTGAGGCCAACTCTGGTGTCCTGAAGGATTCAGAACTAGCCCCACACTGCAAACCCCCTAAAGTTCTGGGGTTCTCTGGTTGCAAACCTAGGAAGGTGCTTTCTGCTACCCAGCCAGACCCAGTTCCAACAGTCATACAACATATCTTCACATCTTATACAATATTTTTGACTTCCGTCAACACCTCTGATGATTTTCCGTTCTTTATCACTTATTCTGCATTTCTTAATTTCCTATTACACTTAATTATCCTTAACTAATAATTCTTTTCGTAGTCTTTCTTGCAATGTTTCAAATAATCCACCCTACAAAACTTCTTGCAATCCTACTAGTGTAATCTGTTCATCACAATTACTTTTCAGATAGTTCATATATTTACTCCAGTCTTCTAAGAATCTCTGGTCCCGCAGGTTTCAAATCCTTCCTGTTAATTTATCTAGTTCTGCATAGTCCATCAACTTCATCATTCTTCTTTCGTCGGCAGTTCTTCTTGCTTCCATTTTTGTGCCAATAATATTCTTGCTGCTGTCATTGCATATAGAAACAACTTACAATCCTGTCTATTAATATCCTCTCCAACAATGCCAAGTAAAAATGCTTCTGGTTTCTTAATAAAGCCAGGGGTACCTAGTCTTAGAATCATAGAGTTGGAAGAGACCACAAGGGCCATCGAGTATTAACTCTCGGCAATGCAGGAACCCCAGATGAGCATGTTCTGAAACATTCCCCTTTAACCAGCCTGCCCTTTTCCCACCTGGATAGCCCAAATATTGCACTGCAACAGAGGATCTGAACATTGGGGTATCCTTTCCACCCAAACCCCACCAGGCTGGTGTCTCCTAGTCCTCCTTTCTGCCGCACGCAGGCACTTTGTGGGGAAAAGCACAACGCTTGTTTTGCTCTTGAGCAGGAAGGACGGTGGCCCTGCTGGGGTTGGGGAGGCGCCGGCCGCTTCTGCCAGCCGACCTGTTCAAACCAGTCCTTGCACAAAGGAGGCCTTTGCTGTGCTCTTGGCGGCCTGGGGTGCACAGCAGGGCCAAGTTGCAAACCCGTTTTGTTGCTTTCGGAAGCGCGCTTCCTTCTAGGCCAGCCTTGGGCCCTTGATCACCAGGGGAAGGCGGCCTTAATGCTAGCAGTCGTGGTTTTGGGAAGCGCTTTCCCTCCAGAGACCCCCTCGTGACCCCCTTCTCCCCTCCCAGCCCCAGTCTAATCGCCAAATGGCACCTTAAACCTATGTTATGGTTGCCCCCATGGAATGTCTAGGTGCCTTTCTTTTGCAGTGAGGTGATGATGATGATGATGATTCATTTCTATGCCGCTTTATATTTTGAAGAAAGAATCTCAAAGCAGCTTACAAAACAAACCGGAATAAAACAAGTTTAAGCTTCAATGAAAATATTTCAGATCCTTCTCTAAGTGACGTTTTGCTCCCCCCATATTGCTTCGCTGACTTAATTCAGAGAGCAGCCCCATAGCAGAGGAGCTCTAGGGTGCAATGGTTGGAGCAGACTTCCTCAGCCTCGGCCCTCCAGATGTTTTTGGCCTACAACTCCCATGACCCCTAGCTAGCAGGACCAGTGGTCAGGGATGATGGGAATTGTAGTCTCAAAACATCTGGAGGGCTGAGGAAGCCTGGGTTGGAGTGTTGGATGAGGACCTGGGAGATCTGGGTTCGAATCCTCACTCAGCCCTGAAGCTCCCCAGGTGACCCTGGAGCCAGTGGCAGCCACTTCACCTCCCTCGCAGGGTTGTTGTAGGGGTTAACTGAGGGTGTGTGTGTGTGCGAACCGTGTCTTCCTTGGAGGAAGGTCAAGGCAATTAATAAGCTCTTCTGCTGACCTGCTTCAGAAAGCTGGAGGGACCAGCCATATGGAGATCTCCGTTGCCAACCAGGAAATGGGGATATCAGAATTTGCTCGTCTGGCGACATAAGAACGGGGTAGCTGTGGAGGGTGTGCATGTTGGAACCTAAGAAGAGCCTTGTTGGGTCAGGCCACAGGCGCATGTAGTCCTGTGTCCCGTTCTCACAGTGGCCAAAGAATTGCTTGCAATCAGGATTTGAACATAAGAGCATCTCTCCCTTCTGAGTGGTTTTCAGCAGCTGGTGTTCAGAAGCATAACGTCCTCCAGCGGCGGAGGCACAGCAGAGCCCTTGGGGCTAGCAACCATGGACAGCCGCCTCCTCCATCATGCATTTGTCCCATCCTCTTTTAACGCCATCCACGTTGGTGGCCGTCACTCCTGTGGCAGGGAGTTCCACAGTCCCTGAGTCTGGAGGAGCCCTCAAGAGCGTGGTCCTCCGGAAAGAGAGCTGGCCTCTGATCTGGGAAGCCCATCTTCAAGTCCCAAACGCCTTTCCCTCTTTATATCGCCTGTGAGAGGTCATTCTCCCGCTGCTCCCATTTTGCAGAGGGAAGCACTGAGGCGCATCATCAGGGCAGTGTGTGGAATCGCAGCTCCCTAGCTGATGTTTGCTGTAGTTTGGCAACACTCTGTGCCTGAAAAACCCGCTTCTGGCTCTCAAATTGGTGGCCGGCAGCAGGAAGTGGCCGGTCTGGAGGGGGACCTTTGATCCCAGGGTGTTGCCCTGAGCCCAGGAGCGGATTGTTGGAGGGTGAGCAGATCCCGGCCCATCGGAAGCTACCCTTCCAGAGGTCAGCCTCGCACCTCGGCCTGCCGGGAAGGGGTGGAAACGGCAATAGGATATCCTTTATTGTTCGGGTCTGGAACGCTCGTGTCCAGCCGCTGAGGATCGGGATGGTGGCTGCTGCTGTGGTGTGGGGGCGAGGCCGGCACCATCGCGGTTAGTTCATCGAATCAGAATTGTAGCATTGGAAGGGACCCCCGAGGGTCATCTAGCCTGACCCCCCTGGAGCGCAGGAATCACAGCTCAGTAATCCCTGACAGGTGGGCTCCCAAGCTCTGCTTTAAAAACCTCCAGTGAAGAAGAGCCGGTTTCTCTCTCATCCAGCTCTTGCCACCAGGAAGTTCTTCCTGATGTTTAGTCAGAGTCTCCTTTCTTGTCACTTGAAGCCACAGGTTCGAGTCCTACCCTCCGGAGCAGGAGAAAACAAGCTTGCTCCATCTTCCTTGAGATATTTGAAGATGGCTGTCATATATCCTCTCAGCCTCCTCTTTTCCAGGCTAAACATCCCCAGCTCCTTCAGTCTTTCCCCACAAGGCTGGGTTTCCAGATCCTCCATCATCTTGGCCCCCCTCCTCTGCACATGTCCCGGCTTGTCAGTATCCTTAAACTGGGGTGCGCAGAACTGGACTCGGGTGGTATTAGGAGCTCTGGTAAATAAACCAGGCGCCAAATGGCTCCTAGAACCAGGGTTACAGTCGTCAAAACAGTTGCCATTTTTGTGCCAGGCGACTCAGAAGTCTTATTTTTCAGTATGATTCCTGAAACTCGTTCTGACTGTGCAGGTAAAATATCGCAGATAGAATTCGGCAGGATGTGTTGCTAGAGTGTGAAAACAGTCAAGATCCCCCCAGGCAGGCACCTCCAGGTGGTGGAGACGCCAGGCACCATCCGGGCATCTTCACCTGGTCGCAGGTGGACGATAGCCGGGTGCAAAATTGCGCCTGGCGAATTTTGAACCCTGGACACAGGACTCCAGGCAGTATCTGACCAAGGCAGGATCAAGCGGGACTGTTGCTTCCCTTGACCTGGACCCAGCTGTCTGGGCCTGGGCCTTTGGGGGCTGTGGGGCTGTTGTCCCTTGGGGCTGGGGACTGAAATGTCCCCCTGGGGGACATTCCCAAAACAGCTGAGCCAGCCCTGTGTTCTGAGAAGGAAAGTGTTCCTGCCTCCATTTGGAGAAGCCACCAGACCACTTCAGCACCCATCCTGCGCAGCGGATCTTGGCCCAGCCTTTCTAAGCACCGCCTGCTTCTTTTCAGCCCTGTTGGGGAAGCAGCACCCCCCCTCCTTCAGCTGTGCCAGGCTGCTTTTTGGCTGCAGCGGTGACTTCGCTTTCGCCTCCAAGCCCAGGCCTGGCACACCTTGCAGCTCTGTGTTGCCTAAGCAAAAGTGGCTGTTTTCTCTCCTCAACCTCCTTGTGACCTGGGGAGGAGCCTTGCCTGGGACCAAGCCTTTGGATTTGGGGGGGAACGGGCAGCGGCTGAGCAGTTTCTGGCCCAAATTCAATTACGAGGCTTCCGTCTCTCTCTCTTTCCGCGGGCAAAATGCACCACCCCAGACTCTCGTTTCCGAAGCATGCCCTCTTTCTCTCTGTGTGCGTGCATACAGATATTCTGTGTGGCCTTTGAGGGTGAAGGGACCTCTGGATTGCAAGGGGAAGTAGTAGGCCAGCTTACACAACAGCCCGTCGTCGCGGAGGGAGAGTTGTGTGGCGCAATCTCAGACCCGGGTGGCGGAAGTCCCTGCGTCAAGGGTGTGTCTCTATCAAGGCACATGGGCTTCCTGCTTTGTCTCTGAGGATTTGGGGGGGCATGTGTGCGTGCAGGCATCCTCGCAGCAGCCCTGTGAGGGGGGTAGCGTGTTGCCCACAGCTGCCCCAGTGAGCTCTGCGGCTGAGCTGGCATTGCAGCCTGCCCCTTGCCAGCCAAAGCTCCTTGGCGCATGCACAGAGGTGCTCCAGTACTGCCACCTCCACGGGGAACGTCGAGGGGCAGCTGTGGGGTGAAACGTCCTCGCAGCAGCCCCTCCCTCCCCATCCCTTCGCCCAGGCTTCAGGGGCGAGGGGTTTGCTCTTGCGATTCTGTTGTGCCGTGTTCTGCCTTGGCAGCGGGAAGCCTCAGTCGGCTGCCCCTGACTTGGACCGCAATTCCCATCTGCCCCTGCCAGTGCAGCTGCTGGGAGTTGTAGTTCGATGCAGGTGGAGGGCGCCAGGGCAGGGAAGATGGACGTAAGTCGTGGTGGAGCTCTTGATGCTCGGGGTGTGTTTATATGTTTATACACACACAGAGAGAGTCTAATAATAACAATAATTTTATTATTTGTACCCCACCCATCTGACTGGGTTGCCCTAGCCACTATGGGCAGCTTCCAACGCAATGAGACATCAGGCATTAAAGACTTTGCTCTCTCACACACGTATGTGCATAGAGATACTATGATTAACAAAGCAGCCGTTCAGTTTCTGTTGCAAAACCTTTTGGCGTCTGCCTTCCGCCAGCTGCCCTGGTGGAAGCGAGAGGACGCTCCTGCCAAGGTGGTACTTAGGCGGGTTTGCCACCCTTTCATTTTCAGCTGAGCGGCCGTCGAAGGTGGAGACCGAAACCTCTTTTTTCTTCTTCTGGCAACGGAAATTAAATCTAACTTATTTTAGTTACGTTATCATTTCAGTGATTTGCTGAATCCTGAAAGGGGTCTGGAGCAAGCTTGCATGAGGCTTTCGAAATAATAATAAAATGGATTGCTGACTGCTCAGACCTTTTGGGGGATGAGGATTCAGACCTGAATAAATGATTCTCTCTCTCTCTCTTGGCAAAGGGTTTTTTGTTGTTACCATTTTATTTTATAATGTATATAAAGCAGCTCTAAAAACAGATGAAAAACAAAAGTACAAAACACGTACGTGGGACGAGTAGTTGCATATGAGTCCAGGTAGAAACTGTCAGCGTTAATCCGATTGTTAAATACAGTTCCAGATTTACCAGGCTTGCAACAAGGCCCGTCTTGAAAAGGACGGTTCTTCTGTATGTGTGACAAAGGAATGCCAGCTCATATAAAAAGCACCTAGCGGTTGTAGCCCTTGTCGAAATTTCAGATGAGGTGCAATTTACTCCATTCTAGCTGTTTTCCAGAGGGAGTGGCAACAAGCGTCCAGTGTGGGATTTGGGGCTGTTTTCCATATTTATTTCTCTCTCGACCCACTGGTGGGATCAATCCCCTTCCCCAAATTGCGTTGTAGCAGCGCCAAAGCCCTGAGGTGCGCATGGACATCGTAGTGGCTTGCCCTGTTTGCAGCTTGCCAGGGCGTGGGGAGATCTGCGTTACTGGCGGCTGTGAAACGGACGTGTCTCTAGGAGGTGGTCCTCTCAGGCTGAGCCGCCCGCCTTCCGGGAGGTTCGGTCTTCCCTTCTCGCCACCTGCGGCTTCAGGTATTCTCCCCGGGTGCCAACCACTAAGCCCGGGCATGGATGCCCTGGGCACCACATTCCAAGATGTCTGTCTCGACAAGCCTGGTTGGGTTGTGCCATCTCACCCCACGTCAGATGCACAGCGGGCAGAGAGACCTGCCCTGTGTGTGCCTGCCTGCCCTTCCGGGGAGTTGTTTGTAGAGGGGTGGGGGCAGTTGCTTCTCTGCTTTGCAGCGGGGGGGGGGCCTCCTCTCACACGCCTCCTTCCATGTGCTTTTTCACAAATGAGAGTCATGTGGCCCATTGCAACATCCTGCGGAAATGAAGCTGTTCTTTCATGGAATGTCGATTGGATTATAATTGGGAGTGTTTCTGCAGCCGGCCGAGGATCCAGACAAGCTCCTCTGATTCTCCTCTTTCTTCCACCCACCCACCTCCTCCTCTTGGCCGCTGGGAAGAACCAGTGAGTCGCCCACTTCTGAAGCCCCTTATCGTATTTTCCCTTCCTGCTCTCGTGCATCTACCATCCCTCCCGGTGTCTCCTCTGGAGTAAGCATGCCTTGCCCCCTCTGCCCTTTTCTATATAGTCCCTTCAACCAACTCACAGGCTGCTTTCCAATATTTTTAGGGGCCTGCTAGGGCTGCCACGTTCTGAAGAGCGAAAAAGAGGACACATTTGCCGACTTCTACTTTTAACCATATATTGCTATGGCAACTCTCCTTTTAGATACCCGTGAAAAAGAGGGCGCGTCCTGGAAGAAGAGGACACATGCCAACCCTGCCAGGGTGAAAATTTAAGCTAGCTGGAAAGATGGGGGGGGGGAATGACTGCTGTCTGGATAAATAGGCGATCTTACACCAGCCGTAGGTGACCCTTCTCGTAGCCTGTGATGTGATATAGCTTCTTCCTCCAGGGATTTATGTTTCCTTAACAAGTTCCTTGGCTTCATGGAGTCTCGCCAAATTTCTCGGCTTGTGTTTTGGAAACAGAAGCAAGGCCCATGTTTGGAGTTTCAGAGCAAGCAGAAGAAAGGGGGAATTGTAGGGCGAATCTGCCCCCAGGACCTGTCCTGACCTATTTAAGCATCTGGTTCTGGCATGAGTCTGCTGGAGGCATAGGAAAGCGTCAAGTCTGTGGCTGTTTCCCAGGCACTTCCCTGTCTGTTTCCAAAAAAATAACACCACCAAACAACAACCAGGGAAATGGACCTTTCGGATGGCGGCAGAAGGAGCGAGCCCCATCTTCATCTCTTTCGGCAACGTTCTGAAATGTTCTCACACACATGGGGTTTAACAGGTGGGTGGCCAGGTCCAGAGACATTTTGCAGGTAAGCCAACATGGAGCCTGCCCGCCAAATACCTGGAAGTGGAGGGCAGAAAGGCTAAAGAAAGTCAGGTTCTCCTCCACCAAGTGTACAGGGAATCTGCGGCCCACTTCGCCAGTTACGGATATTGCCAGCCGCTACGCCCCCATGAGGAGAATCATAGAATCCTAGAGTTGGAAGAGACCACAAGGGCCATCGAGTCCAACACCCTGCCAAGCAGGAAACACCATCAGAGCACTCCTGACATATGGTTGTCAAGCCTCTGCTTAAAGACCTCCAAAGAAGGAGACTCCACCACACTCCTTGGCAGCAAATTCCACTGTCGAACAGCTCTTACTGTCAGGAAGTTCTTCCTAATGTTTAGGTGGAATCTTCTTTCTTGTAGTTTGGATCCATTGCTCCGTGTCCGCTTCTCTGGAGCAGCAGAAAACAACCTTTCTCCCTCCTCTATGTGACATCCTTTTATATATTTGAACATGGCTATCATATCACCCCTTAACCTCCTCTTCTCCAGGCTAAACATGCCCAGCTCCCTTAGCCGTTCCTCATAAGGCATCGTTTCCAGGCCTTTGACCATTTTGGTTGCCCTCCTCTGGACACGTTCCAGTTTGTCAGTTGTCAGGAGAAGGCAGCCGGCGACACCACAGCTGTCAAGATGGCACAGAGTGCCCCACAGCCGCATCGCAGTGCCCTCGCTCCATAGGGCATGGGGTTGGGGAGGAGGAGAGAGGGGTCGCGCCCTGCCACGGACACGTTGGAGGGGAGCATCCACCACCCCTTTCAGCTTCCGCACGCAAATAAAACACCCCAGTCGTGTTGGGGGCAAAGGAGAGGGAGGTCCCGGGACTCGAGCCCCCAGCAAAAGCACTCCCTAACGGCACCCACACAACAGCCAGCCACAGTCTAGGGCCCCGTGGGGCCTTCCCCACTCATTCACAGGCACCTGGAGCGCAGGGCACGCAGGAAGAGCCTTGCTCTACGTTTTGCACGCCTTAAGTTGGCTGGCTGGCATCCGCCTGTCTCGGGAGACAATGGAAGAGTGCGTTTCGGATAGTTACAGCGCAAGAGAGATGTGTTTTGTTTCAGCTGTACCCCCGATTCAAGCCACAGGCCAAGCCCAACCCTGGAGAAACTCTCCCTTTGGCACATGCCTGAGTAGTTTGGCAGGAGCAACAAAACCCCACAGGGCCAGCAAAACCCCACTGAGCCCTCCTGGGGCAGCAGCACAAGAAGGCCCCCAATCCCATTCCTCTGCCCCACCACCCTGGAAGAAGCACCCATCCCACCTGACGTGGGTTTAAAAAGCAGCACTTAATTTAAACCTGTTGATGGACCTGTTGATGGCATGTTACCATTGTACCGTGGAGACTGTATTAACGTATGGTCTGTGTGTGTGGTTTGGGAGCTGCACAGTCATGGGGAAAACAGTGCTGTCCAGGGTTGCAAAGACTGCGGAGGCTGCAAAGACTGGGTGCGCTCTTCCCACCTTGGATCAAATCTCCGCTTCCAGGTGCCATAAGAAAGCTGCAGAGATAGCGCAGGACAGTGCGCACCCCGGAAATGATCTCTTTCAGCTTCTGCCTTCTGGAAGAAGGTTACAGGGTTATAAAGGCCAGGACTAGCCGCTTGAGAAACAGTTTCTATCCAAATGCAATTCTGATTTTAAACGTAGTGTCAGCAGTCTCTGTGGGAGTATATTGTATTTAAAATGGGGTACCAGAGTTTTTAGGGGGCTAACCAGGTTGGGATAGCTGCGATAGCAGGCTTGTTGGTTTTTGAATGTTTTATGTAGACTTTTCAATTTTTTTGTTCTGTATGGGACAATGACAATAAAGGTTATCGTATCGTAAACTGAGCACACTCCATTTCAGTTTTCGAGCTATTTCTTATTAGTACGTGTGTGTGTGTGTGAGAGAGAGAGAGAGAGAGAGAATTCACCCTGATTTGTTTGGGTCTCCTAGGTGCTGAGGAAGGACTCCTGAGCGCCAGCAGTCTTCCCTCTGTTACTGTTGGGAAGAAGCTGTGAGCTAATATTTGCCTTGGCGAGGGACCCTAGTAACTGGCCAGGGCACCGCAACGAGGCAGCGTCCCTCTCAAACATGTGGGCTCCTGTGTCGGAGATCTGGCAAGTTGCCTTGAGGAGAATTTAACCCCCCCCCAGGGGGTTCCTTCCTTGAAACGGGGGGGGGGGGTAGAGCAACCTCCCCCAACCAGGGGTTTGAGACTGCAACTCCCATCAGCCGCAGCCAACACGGCTATACGATGCTGGCGCTGGGGGGAGCCCGGCCATGCTGGGAGCTGTGGTGCAAAACACCTGGCGCCAGGTTGTCGAAGGGTGTGGTGCAAAGGTGGGGTCTGCTGGAGGTTTGTGGGCAGGGGAGGGGCCCTGGCTTGCTGGTGGGGGTCTAGGCTGGCATAGGGTCTGGGACTGTGCATTATTTAAGATGCGGGTTTTGACCTTTAAAGCCCTTCACGGCCTAGGACCCTCGTACCTACGGGACCGCCTCTCCCGATATGCACCGCGGAGGACCTTAAGGTCCATAAATAGCAACACCCTAGAGGTCCCGGGCCCTAAGGAAGTCAGATCAGCCTCAACCAGAGCCAGGGCCTTTTCAGCACTGGCCCCGGCCTGGTGGAACGCTCTGCCTCATGAGACCAGGGCCCTGCGGGATCTGAGTTCTTTCTGCAGGGCCTGTAAGACAGAGTTGTTCCGCCTGGCCTTTGGCTTGGAATCAACTTGATCCCCTCTTTCCTTTTTCCTTTCTTCTTCCGTGATGGAACTCCTATTTGGGGACTTCCCTGGCTTTTTCTGGCCCACGTAGGACCAGTCTGGATAGCTGGCCTTGGTGAAGACTCTGCGTTTTCATCCCCCAAAAAGTTTTTGAGTTTCTGCTGAAATGAGGCTGCATTTCAATGTTGTATTTTAATCTTGTTTTTTAAGTTGTATTTCAATCAATTGTTTTATATCTGGTGTTGGCCGCCCTGAGCCTGGTCTTGGCTGGGGAGGGAGGGTTATAAATTATTATTATTATTATTATTATTATTATTATTATTATTATTTGGGGACATGGAAGCCCCCAGCTCTCTGCACAGTGAGATTTCACCTGCAGCCGCAACTGGATTTGGTTGGCAACTTAGCGTGTCGGCGAGGATCAGGGCGGCGAAGGTCTGGTGGAGGGGGGGGGGTTCAGTGTGCAAGGCACAGGCCTCCTGCTCCCCTCCTTCCAAACCCTGGAACACCCCCCGTTAGGCTTCTTGGCCTCCAGGAAACACTTGTCAGTCTCGTTTCCAAACACTTCTCCACAATCGAGGGCTGGGAGTTTGGGTCGTAGTGCGTTTGGAGAAAGGAAAAAGGCTGAGACAAAAGCGTGTGCGCGGCAAGAGAGGTCTGGATCTGGTTTCAGGGAGTGGAAGACATCTGGCATGTTTTCTTCCCTCCCCCTTCTGCAGGAGATTCTAGACACCTCCCTCGGTGTGGACAAAGGAAAGTTTTGTGTGCTGCTTTTCAACTGGAGAAGCCTCTTTGATCCCCTTGCAGCTGGTCCCTGCTAGGTTTGGGGGCGGGGGGGGGCGCTTTCCACTATGAGGAAGTGTTTTTTGTTCTTGGAGGCGACCTGAAGTCTTTCAGGCTTTCAATGGCCCAAGATGTACCTGTATTTTCCGCTCCATAAGACGCACCTGACCATAAGACGCACCTAGTTTTTAGAGGAGGAAAACAAACAAAAAAATATTCTGAACGAAACAGTGGATGTATGATTTTTGTGGTTCATGCTGTGGCCACAGGCGTGTGATTTGACGGTGAGTTTGGGGTTGTTGTTTAGTCGTTTAATCGTGTCCGCCTCTTCGTGACCCCCTGGACCAGAGCACGCCAGGCCCTCCTGTCTTCCACTGCCTCCCGCAGTTTGGTCAGGCTCATGCTGGTAGCTTCGAGAACACTGTCCCACCATCTCGTCCTCTGTCGTCCCCTTCTCCTTGCGCCCTCCATCTTTCCCAACATCAGGGTCTTTTCCAGGGAGTCTTCTCTTCTCACGAGGTTGCCAAAGTACTGGAGCCTCAGCTTCAGGATCTGTCCTTCCCGTGAGCACTCAGGGCTGGTTTCCTTCAGAATGGAGAGGTTTGATCTTCTTGCAGTCCATGGGACTCTCAAGAGTCTCCTCCAGCACCAGAATTCAAAAGCATCCATTCTTCGGCGATCAGCCTTCTTTATGGTCCAGCTCTCACAGACGTGTGATTTGACGGTGAGTTTGGGGTGGCCCAATGCAAAAATCCTGAGGATCCATGTGGATCCGTGCTTTATAATCACGTTTTTGCGCCATAGCGGCCCCACGAAACAGTAGATGTGTGTGTTTTTGGTGCAGGCTGTAGCCATGGACATGCTGTGTGATCTGATGGTGGATCCCTTGGTCACTGGAGACATTTTCTCTGTCCGCACACAGGGATCTCTCCTGAATTCCCGACCTTTGTAATGCTTGAGCGTTGCAGACGCCTGAGTGCAGTAGCTTCAGGGCCCGGAGTGTGCCGAACCTGCTTCCTCCTCTGCAAGAACAAACTACGAGCCCTGCTGGATCGGGCCCCTCCAGCCCAGCATCCTGTGCACACAGTTTCCAAGCAGATGGCCCCCCCCAAGGGAAACCCACCAGCAGGACCCAATAGCAAGAGCAGAACTTTTCGCTTCCTGCCGTTTCCAGAAATCTGGGATTCAGAAAATGGCTGCCTCGGACTTTGCAGGCAGACCACAGTCCTCCTGGCTAGCGGCTGCTCTCGGTGGTGGTGGAGGGGGGTCAGAGGACCCCTCCCCATGGGCATCGAGGCTGGGCCTCCACCACTTTCTTGACTGCTGCTGGCTGGCAAATTTGGGACCCTTCACTCCAGGCCTGTTCTCTGCTGCTGTGCAAAGTTCTTTTTTAAAAAATTGTTTTTATTTGAGATTTCAAATATAGATTTATAATAAAACCAAGTACATTTCCATATACAGAGATTTCTCTGAATCTTGAGACCTTCCCCTCCGTGGGTCCTAAGTTTAACGTTTCCAATTGCATATTATAACTTAATCTATATTTTATATCTTTCCGTATTATCCATAGTATTTATTAGATTACAAGTGATGTTGAAATCCTGCTGTTTTCATCTGCTTACAGTGGACTTCTAGATAAATTATAATTTTTTCTTGAAGTTTCTGTCCTCTTGGTTCCTGAGCTTTCCAGTTAGTTTTGCCATTTCGGCGTAGTCCAACAGCTTAATTTGCCATTCCATCTCTGGACTTATTTCAGTCCGTGTGGCTATTGTCACGTCCTTTCTGCTCCTTTGGTAATATCGGTACTCACAATTCCTAATAAAAAGGCTTCTGGTTAAAAGTTCTTTTAAAACATTCCCCCCCCCCCCCAGTTTGTTATATATCATTTCCCAGAAAGCTTTTATTACCTTACGCCACCACCACATATGACAAAAGGTTCCTTTTTCCTCTTTACAATTCCAGCAGGTATTCGTACTTGTTCTATACATTTTTGCTAGCTTGCTAGGAGTCAGATACCACCATTTCCATATAATTTTCTTTCAGCGTACGACGCGCCGCGAATTTCAAATCCCGTTTCCCACAACTTTTCCCAGTCTGCAGTCTGAGAGTTATGCCCCAAATCCTTTGCCCAGTAGGAGGTTCCAGGTTCATTTCCTCGTGGCATTTCCAGGAGAGACTCCCACCCAGAACTGCACTCGAAGGAACAGTGGTCTGACTCAAGAACAAGCGATTCTCTCCCCACGCCTCCCCTTCAAACTCCTTGGATCTCTGCTGCTTCGCCAGCAACTCCTCTGGCGTTTCCAAGGGAAGCTGCGGAAGAATTAAAGGGGCGGAATGAAGCCAAGCCCACGCTTGCGGGGAGGAAAAGGAGCCCAAGTCAAGTTTGTGTGAGCTCAGGAAAAGACAGAAGAGCTTTTAATATCTGTTACGGAAAAATCTAGGTGTGAGGCTGCTCAGTCCCCCAGCTCGTCGGGCTGATACCGCTGGTGCCTGCGGAATAAAGGAAGGAGTCCAGCCATCAACTGGAGCAAATAGCTGTAGACCAAAGTTTATTGTGCAACAGGTTCAAAGAGGAATTTTGAACCCTGAGGATGGGGTGACAAGGACCTTTAAAAGTTTCTATCTTATCCCAGTTCATTAAGCATCATCACTACATCATTGCTACATCAGAAAAGGGGAGGGTTATACATGATTAACATAGGAGGAATGTGTTAGGGCAACAGGCGGATACAGGATATGTATTGGGAAGTACATTCTAAGCACCTACTTTGTTGTTGTTTAGTTGTTTAGTTGTGTCCGACTCTTTGTGACCCCCTGGACCAGAGCACGCCAGGCACTTCTGTCTTCCACTGCCTCCCGCAGTTTGGTCAAACTCATGCTGGTAGCTTTGAGAACACTATCCAACCATCTCGTCCTCTGTCGTCCCCTTCTCCTTGGGCCCTCCATCTTTCCCAACACCAGGGTCTTTTCCAGGGAGTCGTCTCTTCTCATGGGGTGGCCAAAGTCTTGGAGCCTCAGCTTCAGGATCTGTCCTTCCAGTGAGCACTCAGGGCTGGTTTCCTTCAGAATGGAGAGGTTTGATCTTCTTGCAGTCCATGGGACTCTCAAGAGTCTCCTCCAGCACCATAATTCAAAAGCATCCATTCTTCAGTGATCAGCCTTCTTTATGGTCCAGCTCTCACTTCCATACATCACTACTGGGAAAACCATAGCTTTAACTAGACGGACCTTTGTTGACAAGGTGATGTCTCTGCTTTTTAAGATGCTGTCTAGGTTTGTCATCGCTTTTCTCCCAAGAAGCAGGCGTCTTTTAATTTTGTGACTGCTGTCACCATCTGCACCTACTACAAAGGGACAATAGAACTTTGGTTTGCATAGTCTGCCACCTGGGCAAGTCCGGAGGAGAGCTTTTGCCCAGCGATTGACAGCTATGAGTACGTCATCTCCCGCTTGAGGGATTATGGTGGGGACCAAGTGGTTTCCAAGTCCTTGGCCAATGAAGCAAATTGGCGGTGGAATGAAGGAAACTGGCAAAGGAGTTGATTTTATATGATTTTTAAAGCTAGGTAACTTCCCTGAGCTGTCAGGTCAAAAGGATACCTTTATGCATAATATTTGTAACATTTAACAACTTTAAAGATGTGCCCCCCCCCGTAATTTCCGTAACAATATCTGAAGGACTATTGTATTTTAATATTTTGTTGGAAGCTGCCCAGAATGTCTGGGGAGACCCAGCCAGATGGGCGGGGTATAAATAATAAATTATTATTATTATTATTATTATTCCAGCGTGCAGAGTTAGTGCGCACACTGTCCATGTTCGTGGAGTGTCGCCACCTTTGGCTCCCTGCCAGTGCAGTCGAGCCAGCACCCTGGGGAGGAGGAGGAGGACTCTGGGACTCCCCACTTAGAAAAGGGTGCAGAAATCCAGGCAGCATGCTACCCCGCCGGGTGCTGGTTCAACGCCTGGGGTCCTGTGCAGAGTCTCTCTGCAGGTATTTCCTGGCATTTAGGAGTCTGAAGGGCCAAAGGGGAAGGAAATCCCAGGCTCTCCCTTTTGGAACAAATTGGACTATCGCCGTGCTTCGTTGACGTACGCGATGTGTCCGAATCTTGAACCCAAGTCCCGGTTTTTTTGCGGCGGCCTCGAGAAGGGCCGTGGAGAACAATAAAAGAAAGTGCTTCATGCATCTACCGTATTTTTCGCTCCATAGGACACACTTTTTTCCCTTCAAAAATGAAGGGAAAATGTGTGTGCGTCCTATGGAGCGAAGACGCCATAGCCCCGCGACCCTCTCCCGGCTGGAGAGGTGACGCGCGGCTATGGCAGGAGCTTCTACAGCCCCGCGTCACCTCTCCAGCCGGGAGAGCGCGCGCGGGGCTAAAGCAGCCCCCCGCGACCCTCTCCCGGCTGGAGAGGTGACGTGCGGCTATTGAGGCTCTTGCCATAGCCGCGCGTCACCTCTTCAGCCGGGAGAGCGCGCGCAGGGCTAAAGCAGCCCCCCGCGACCCTCTCCCGGCTGGAGAGGTGATGCGCGGCTATTGAGGCTCCTGCCATAGCCGTGCGTCACCTCTCCAGCTGGGAGAGCGCGCGCGGGGCTAAAGAAGCCATAGCCCCGCAACCCTCTCCCGGCTGGAGGGGTGACGCACGGCTATGGCAGGAGCCTCTCCGCTGCTCCCTGACCTGCTCTTTGGGGCTGGTGGTGGGCTTCCCCCCCGCCAGCCCCAAAGAGCAGGTCGACAGGAACCTGAAGCCTGGAGAGCGAGCGGGGTCAGTGCACACCGACCCCTCTCGCTCTCCAGGCGTCCCAGGTAGCCGCCTGAACGCACCTTAAATGGCACCTTGTTTTAGAGCGGGACAACAAGAGGGGAAGTTCTCCCCCTCTCTGCGCAGCGCCTCCTGCCGCTTCGCTGAAGGGGCGCTGGGCAGAGGGGGAGAATTTTTTTTTCTTGTTCTCCCCCCTCTAAAACAAAGTGCGTCCTATTGTCCGGTGCGTCCTATGGTGCGAAAAATAAGGTATGTAGGAGAGTTTTCCCATAATGGACACATGCTTGGCCGTAACGGGAATGGAATACTGGACCAGACAGGCAATTTCTCTGATCCTGCAGGGCAGCTCTTCTGACCAGGACATGGGCTGGTGGTGGTCAGAGGACCAGAAGCTTAATTCTTGTAAAACGCAGGTGTAAGACCCACGGGGCCTAGTTTTCGCGTGGAGTTGATTCAGCTAGGCAGTTAAGCGTTCTCTAGGCTAGTCTCTCTTTGGTGGCTGGAATGGGTGATACGTGGCTGCGTGTTGGGCCCGTGGCAGGTTCAATAATAATAATTATTATTTATTTATACCCCGCCCATCTGGCTGGGTCTCCCCAGCCACCCTGGGCGGTTTCCAACAAAGTATTAAAATACTGTGGTCTGTTAAACATTAAAAGCTTCCCTAAACAGGGCTGCCTTCAGATGTCTTCTGAAAGTCTGGTAGTTGTTTTTCTCTTTGACATCTGGTGGGAGGGCGTTCCACAGGGCGGGTGCCACCACCGAGAAGGCTCTCTGCTTGGTTCCCTGTAACCTCACTTCTCGCAAGGAGGGAACCGCCAGAAGGCCCTCAGAGCTGGACCTCAGTGTCCGGCTAAACGATGGGGGTGGAGAGGGAGAGGCTCCTTCAGGTATACTGGACCGAGGCCTTTTAGGGCTTTCACGGTCAGCATCAACACTTTGAATTGTTCTTGGAAACGTACTGGGAGCCAATGTAGGTCTTTCTTCAAGACCAGTGTTATGTGGTTCTGGCGGCCGTTCCCAGTCCCCAGTCCCCAGTCTAGCTGCCGCATTCTGGATTAGTTGTAGTTTCCGGGTCACCTTCAAAGGTAGCCCCACGTAGAGCGCATGGCAGTAGTCCAAGCGGGAGATAACTAGAGCATGCACCACTCTGGCCAGACAGTCCGCTGGCAGGGAGGGTCTCAGTCTGCATACTGCACGGGACAGCTGCTTATTCCTGCATTGCAGCGGGTCAGGCCAGATGACCCTCAGGTTTCCCTTCCAGCTCTGTGACTCCAGGTCTCCTCGTGGGCCAGCGTGGCTCCTACTCTTGGCATGTGTTTTGTGGGAGACGAAGGGACAGTGGCTGGGAAAAGGAAGAGGCGCCTTGCCCCTTGGGTGCTGGCGGCCTCAGCAGGGGCGATTAGGAAGGTTTCCCACACTTTGAGCTGCCTCCGCTGCTTATCTCGGAGAGGGGGGCTGTGAGAAAGAGCACAGAGGCTGAAAGGCCGCCTTCCTTGTCCCGCAGTGCAGCAAACTCGGGAGATAAAGCAGGGACCCCACAGAGAGGAGAAGGCGTTTGGGACGTGAGAAGAGATGGGAATCTGTGTCAGGGAGGGGGGGAGAGGGGCTGCCCACCACAGCAGAGGGACAAACGCTTCCCCTGATTCGAATCTGGATCTCCGCCCCCCAAAATAAAGGGTCCAGGCAAGAGAAACTGCCAGATCCAGGGTGGGGGAAACTTTCGGAGGGTAAGATAAGAGCTGTTTGACAGTGGAGCGGACTTCCTGGGAAGGTGGTGGGCCTTGGTTGGGGGTTTTAAAACAGAGGGGGTGACCATCGGTCAGGGACGACTTAGCTATGACTCGCGCATTGCGGGGGGTTGGGCTAGATGACCTTTGGGGTGCCCCTCGCAATTCTATGATTATGGAATTCGACCACAAGAGGGTCCAGGCCTTGGGCGGGGGAGAAGGGAAGGTGCTATCCACCTGCCTTCAGCAAGGTAGAGAGGTCTGGACCAGTTTCTGGGGGTGGGGAAGTTGCAGGAAGTGAAGCTGGAGGGGGCGGGGGCACCGATCCAGGGTTCAAATCGCCGTTTGGCCATGGAGTTTGCTGGCTGACCTAGAGCTAGTCGCTGCCTATATATATATATATATATATATATATATACACACACACACACACACACACACACACACACACACACACCGTATTTTTTGCTCTATAAGACTCACTTTTTCCCTCCTAAAAAGGAAGGGGAAATGTGTGTACGTCTTATGGATCGAATGCAGGCTGCGCAGCTATCCCAGAAGCCAGAGCAGCAAGAGGGATCGTTGCTTTCACTGCGCAGCGATCTCTCTTGCTGTTCTGGCTTCTGAGATTCAGATTTTTTTTTTCTTGTTTTCCTCCTCCAAAAACTAGGTGCGTCTTATGGTCTGGTGCGTCTTATAGAGCGAAAAATACGGTACGCACACACATTTTTATTGATTTTTTTATATATCAGTTCCAACAGTCATACAACATATCTTCTCATCTTATGCAATATTTTAGACTTCCATCAACACCTCTGGTGATTTTCCGTTCTTTATGACTTATTTTGCATTTCTTAATTTCTATATTGCATTTAATTGTCCTTAACTAATAATTCTTTTCATAGTCTTTCTTGCAATATTTCAAATAATCCACCTTACAAAACTTCTTGCAATCCTACTAGCGTAATCTGTTCATCACAGTTACTTTTCATATATTTACTCCAGTCCTCTAAGAATCTGATCTCGCAGGTTTCGAATCCTTCCTGTTAATTTATCTAATTCTGCATAGTCCATCAACTTCGTCCTCCGTTCTTCTTTCGTCGGTAGTTCTTCTCGTTTCCATTTTTGTGCCAATAATATTCCTGCTGCTGTCGTTACATATAAAAACAACTTACAATCCTGCCTGTTAATATCCTCTCCTACTGAGCTAGTCGCTGCCTTCCATCCATCTGACCTACTTCACAAGGCTGTTGTGGGGATTAAATGAGCCGGGGGGGGGGCAGATGACACCTTGAGCTCCTTATAGAAAAAAAGCAGGATATAAAATAGATATAACAAAAAGGCGGAATATCATTTTTGGGGTTGGACTAGATGACCCCTGGGTTCCCCTCCAGCTCTACAGTTCTGTGACCCTTTGAAAATAAATGAATAAGTAAACTGTGGAGGCAGAGCGTAGCTATTCCGTTTTCTCCGTGTGGCTTGCAGAAGGGATGCCCCCCTGGCTTGGGATATTCCCATTGCTGGAGGGGGGCATGGACTCAAGCACCCTGGTGGGTCAAAATCTGCGATTTTAGCCTGAAGTGGGCTTGCAGAGCGAGTGGGTGTGTGGGGAGCAGGACGGGTCCAGCCCCACAGCTTCGCCGGAGGGTGTCTTGGGGAACTGGCTGCCTTGCCTGAGGAATGTTAATGCCAACGGCAGCTGTGAAATGGGACTCTTGTTTCGGGGGGGGGGGGCGTGGAGAGAGAGACGGCTGTCAGAGAGGGACGGGGTCCCTCCAGTCCCTAAAGACCTCTCCACCACCACTACTCACGCCAGGCCTCTCAGCTGTCTGCTGACAATTTGCAGATCTCAGCCCTGGGAGGTTTGCGTGAACATTCGCTTGAAGACAGCCTTCCTCAGTCCTGGCGCCCTCCAGATCTCTCAGACTACAACTCCCATCAGCCTCTGCAGGGCCACATGGCCAGGGGGGCTCATGGGGGCACAGCTCCTCCGGCTGGAGCTGGCAGGGGGTGCAGTCCAGAAGTTTTTTGGGGGCCCCACGTTGAAATGCTCACAGGCTGCCTCTCAGGTTTTCGCAGCAGCTGACCCAGCAAAGTCCAAGCCTTTTGGGATCTGGGACCCAAGCTCTCTTTGGGGGGGAGCGCTTGGGGGTGTTTGGCCTGGAAAAGAGGAGCTCTTCAAATACCAAGCTGGTTTCTTGATGCTCCAGAAGGGAGGACCTGAACCCAGGGCTTCAAACCACAACAAAGGAGATTCCAACTAAACATCAGGAGGGGCTTTCTGACAGTGAGAGCCGTTCAACAAGAACAGATGGAAGGTGGTGGACTCTCCTTCCTTGGAAGTTTTTATAGCAGAGGTTGGGTAGCCATTTGTCAGGGATCTTTCAGCCACAATTCCAGGGGGTTGGACTAGATGACCCCCGGGACCCTTTCCAACTCCGCAGTTCTGCGAATCTCTTCTTTGGCGAAGGGCCTTCTTAACTCAGCGGGAGAGCGCTAGCGTTGCATGCAGGCGGTCCCAGGCCCAGCCCCCAATGGCATCTCCAGGTAAATAAATAAATAACAAATTTTTATTTATACCCCGCCCTTCCCGGTTCAAAAACCGGGCTCAGGGCGGCTAGCAACAAATTTAAAACACTTAATTGTAAAAGCAGCATAAAATACAGTATAAAAACGTGAATAACAATAAAATTCAAAGTTCAGAAATCAATTTAGGCGAAATCCATCCAATAAGCATTAGATAATCCCCAGGGCTAGCTGGCTGAATTGGTCCTACTTGGGCCAGTGAGGAGACCAGGGGAGAATTAGCTCTGGGGTCTCAGAGCAGGTAATCTTCATAAAAGGGGGGGAGGAGGGAAGGGAAGGGAAGGGAAATAAAAGGTCAGGCTGAATTCAAAATAAAGGCCAGGCGGAATAGCTCTGTCTTACAGGCCCTGAGGAAGGAAGTTAAATCCTGCAGGGCCCTGGTCTCCTGGGACAGAGCATTCCATCATGTCGGAGCCACCACTGAGAAGGCCCTGGCCCTGGTGGAGGATAGTCTGACTTCCTTAGGGCCCGGGACCTCTAAACTATGGTTTAGGGCTATGGTAGGCCTGCCAGAAACCCCTGGGGAGTGGCTGCTGCCAGCCAGTGTAGACAGTATTGAGCCAGACGCACCAGGAGTCTGACTTGCTATGGTGCAAGGCAGTTTCTTACATTCCTATCCTAAAACCCCCACCATCGTTTCCCCAGCCCTCTGCCTTCCGCCTTGTATGCATCTTTGGGCAGGGACGTCCTGGAGAATCTTCCTTGGCTCCCCCCCAGCCCCCCGTTCTCTTGCTGCTCCAAGGACTCCTTGCCATCCCACCCAGCATGCTGCTGGCCTGGGGTGGTGGGCTTAAGCCCCCGGGGTGGGGGGAGACCCCACTTGGCCGTGAGGAAGCAGCCTTGGGAACCAGTCCCTCGCTCTCAGCCTAAGTGTTGGTGCTGACCTTGAAAGCCCTAAACAGCCTCGGTCCTGTATCCCTGAAGGAGCGTCTCCACCCCTATTGTCCAGCCCGGACACTGAGGTCCAGCGCCGAGGGCCTTCTGGCGGTTCCCTCCCTGCGAGAAGCCAAGTTACAGGGAACCAGGCAGAGGGCCTTCTCGGTGGTGGCGCCCGCCCTGTGGAACGCCCTCCCACCAGATGTCAAAGAGAAAAACAACTACCAGACTTTCAGAAGACATCTGAAGGCAGCCCTGTTTAGGGACATTTTTAATGTTTGAAGTTTTATTCTGTTCTTAGTGTTCTGTTGGAAGCCGCCCAGAGCGGTTGGGGAAACCCAGCCAGCTGGGTGGGGTATAAATAAAAAATTATTATTATTATTATTATTATTATTATTATTACCCGCCTCACAGGGTTGTTGTGGCGATGCAGGGGGAGAAATATATACGCCACATTGTGCTATTTGAAGGAAGAAGGTTGGGAGATAGATGATGCTGGCGTCTGTCGTGTCTCGAGAGACAACGGAGTGCGCCTCTGGGGATCAAAGTGGCCTCCTGGTATGCAAGCCTGGGCGGTGTGTCTGGGGGTCCTGGGCTGCCCAGATGAGAAGACACCCCCCCCCTTGGCTTTGCTGGTGTGGCCCAAATGAAACCAGAGCAGGACATTGGGCACCAGCTTGGCTGCAGGAGTTGCTGGACGGAGGCGTACAAGGCATCGTCCAACAATCTTAGGGACCCCTCTCTGGATTTCCATAGGGTTTACTCCTCTGCCTTTTCTTCTCCCAGAGATACCCTGCCAGGTTTAAGTGAGATATAAATATAAGAATACTCAGAAGTGGCCTCCATGTCCCCCCTGGAGCCATCCTTGGGCGTGAGCAAGAGGGGACTGCAGGCTTTGCAGCCTTGTCTTCTGGGGGCCTTCTTCCTGTCCACCCCCCATCAGAGCACCTTTAGCTAGAGGAGAAGCCCCCCCCCCAAAGCCAGGCTCCGTCCTGGCTCCCACCCAGCGTTTCCACCTGCGAGGAATGTGCAGCCGGCCAGCCAGCAGCAGCGACTTCTTCAAAAAGTCCTCCTTTTATCCCAGAAAGGAAACATCTGGTGGGTCGGGGGTTTCTTTTTCCCCAGCTCTTATTTTTAGCCGGGGTGGGTGGGTGTCGTTTCCCCCTCCCCTTCCCCTGTGCTCTGGCTGGGGGGTGGGAAGGAGAGGGAGAGGAAGGGGCAGCTGCCTCCTTGGTCCGCCTTTGCAGGAGGCAGGCCAGCTGCAAAATGCCTGGCGGTTCTGCAAGAGATCAGCTTGCAAGCCAGCCCCCTTCCCTCTGCCCTCCAGGAGGGGAGCTGACCGGCTTCGGGGCGGATCTCCCCTCCTTCCTTTTGGGGGGTGGGCCGTGGGGCCGTTTCCGCGCAGGGGCAGGCAGGGGGGCAACTGAGCCAGTGGAACATCTAGGCCTAACCTCAGATGCACATTGCGTGACCATCGCCACTCTCTTATTTCTTTTATTTATTTATTAAATTAGTGTCTCTCTTTTTTGCCACGGCAACTCCTCCCATGCGCATGGCGTGATGATCGCTGCTCTTTATTTATTAGTTAAATTAATTAGTCACTCTTTTTTTTGCCATGGCAACTCAAAGCCACTTACAAAATGACGTGCAAAAATATGTGTGTGTTAAAACCAGGGCGGGGGGGATGCATTAAAAGCAACCAACGAGCCTCAGCTCTAAAAGGCCACAGGTAGCTGAAGGCCTGGCTGAAGAGGGATGTTTTTGCTTGGCGTCTGAAGATATACAGTGATGGCGCCTGGCGGGCTTCCCTAAGGAGAGCATTCTGCAAATGGGGAGCCACTGGCGAAAAGGCCCCGTTTTGATGTTCCTTCCGTGGGAGAGGCAGCACAAAGAAGGGCCTCAGGTGACAATCTATGAGTCGTATCTACCTGCAGTTGCACCCCTGTCCATTGCAGATGTCTGCCTACTGGAGATTATCTCTCCAAATCAAGTTCCTAGGCATTGAAAAATACGTTTGGGGTAGGCGTTTGGTAAAGATTAGGGCTGGTTTTCAATATCGTGATATACCACCAGCTACACATTGTGATATACCGACATATCGCGAAGTCTGAAACAAAGTTGAAGCTATGGCTGGCTTCACGGCTTTTCCCGCAGTATGATTTTTTGCATAGCGCAAACACACATGCGCATCACGATTCGCGATATATTGCCTGGTCAAATCTTATGAAACCGTTGTCACGATATGGAGTTCAAACCTAGGTTATGTCCTATCGCCCAGCCCTACTAAAGATTTTAAAATTTGGTTTTATAATGTGTCTAAATCAGGGAGAGCCGTTAAAAAAGGAGATGGGAATTAAAAGACGAAAAGCGAAACTATGAAAGGGGCACGTCGAATAAGTACGTGGGTTGAAATAGGCGTGGAAAGAAAAAGTGGGAATAATAGATGTTGTCTCCATGTAAAAAGAATACCGGCCGCCTTAGGAGATCAAGTCTAGTTCCCGATTTGCCAGCTTTGTGACGAAGGTTGTCTCGAAAAGGATGGTTCCGCTGTATATGTAAGAAAGGAATGCCAGATCGTATAAATAGCGTCTGGAGGTTGTAGCTGAAATCTCAAATTATGTGTAATTTTCTCTGTTATAGCTAGGATGCGGCGGGGGGGGGGGTGATTTAGTGCCGCAGCTTGCATCCCTCTGCAGGAGAAGCCGGGCCTGAGTCTGCTTGCAACCCTTTGACACAGCCTCCCCCAACCCGGTGCCCTCCCTGACTATTGGCCATGCTGGCTGGGGGCTGATGGGAGTTGTAGTCCAAAAAAATGCCAAATCTGGAAAGCACCAGGCTTGGAAATGCTGCTGGAAAGACACCTTGTCCCCCACCTTAACCCCTCTCTCGTTCCCCTTCACATCCTCCTTTCGGGAACCTACAAGAGGATTAGACAGATTCACGGAGGAGTTGCTCTTGCGCCCGGATCCTGCTTGCTGGTTTCCCATAATGGGCGTCTGGTCGACCCCCGTGAGGACAAGCTGCTGGGCTCCATGGACCCCTGTGGCCAGACCCTGCAGCCGGACTCTTCCGATGTCCTGATGCAACCTCCAGGGCCAAGGGCAGTCTATCTGAGATTCCTCAGTTCTGAGGACAGGATGCTGGACCTGGTCCGGCAGATGCTCCTCCCATGCTCTTGGGGCTGGGCAGCGGAGCGGCCTTGATCCGGGGCTTGTGTGTGTTGCCTCTTCCTCTCTTCCTGCCTGCCTCTGTTGCCAGGATAGTGGGAGGAGCCCCTTCTGAAGCAGTCGTGTGTGCAGGGAAGGACGCCAAGGGGTTCAGACGCAGGACACGGATGGAGGGAGACGGGGGCTGCTGTTGTTGTTGCTGCAGCACGTAGCTCCTCTCTCTGCCTCTGGATCTGAAGCAAGAGCTGGAAGGAAGGAAGGAAGCTCCCGAGGAGAGGGGAGCCCTTGCAGGAGGGGGGGACGACGGGCTTCCCTCCTTCCTGGCTCCTCCAGACCAAAACCTTTCTCAAGATCTCCTTTCTCTCTCTCACGTGGTTTAGACCTGCCCCAAGGAAGGAGGCAGCGTCTGGAACACATCAGACCATCTGGTACGCAGGCTGAGACCCTCCCTGCCCACAGACTGTCTCTTCAGAGTGGTGCATGCTCTAGTTATCTCCCGCTTGGACTACTGCAACGCGCTCAACGTGGGGCTACCTTTGAAGGTGACCCGGAAACTGCAACTAATCCAAAATGCGGCAGCTAGACTGGTGACTGGGAGACCACATAACACCGGTCCTGAAAGACCTCCATTGGCTCCCAGTACATTTCCAAGCACAATTCAAAGTGTTGGTGCTGACCTTGAAAGCCCTAAAAGGCCTCAAAGGCCCAGTATATCTGAAGGAGTGTCTCCACCCCCATCATCCAGCCCAGACACTGAGGTCCAGTTCCGAGGGCCTTCTGGCGGTTCGCTCCCTGCGAGAAGCCAAGTTATAGGGAAGCAGGCAGAGGGCCTTCTCAGTGGTGGCTCCCGCCCTGTGGAACGCCCTCCCACCAGATGTCAAAGAGAACAACAACTACCAGACTTTTAGAAGACATCTGAAGGCAGCCCTGTTTAGGGAAGCTTTTAATGTTTAATAGGTTATTGTGTTTTAGTGTTCTGTTGGAAGCCCCCCAGAGTGGCTGGGGAAACCCGGCCAGATGGGCGGGGTATAAATGATAAATTATAATTATTATTATAATTATTATTACCACAGTGGCAGGATCCCTCCCTTCCCCGCTCAGTCCCTTCCAGCTGCGGAGAGAGGGGTTTTATCTGGGGAATTTGTACCTGCCTTCCAAAAGGGAAGCGCTCAGGTGGGGCCTCGCGTCCTGTTTGCACAGCAGCTGCAGTTGTTTGCGCCGGCAGACCCTCTCCTGTAATCTCCTGGCACCAGAATCGGAAGCAGGCCTAAACCCAAGCTAGCAATTGCCATTGGCGTTTCGGGCCAAGACGGCTCTGAAGTCTTATTTTTCGAGCGATGGACTGGCTGTGGTTGATTCTCAGTTGGACGTCTGGCTAGTTCAGAGGACAACCTTGAGCTCATTTAAGAGCTTTGAGAACTTTCCTTCTTGATCATATATTGGCCTCTTCCAGCCTCTTTTTCTTAAGCGGGAGGGCTCCTGCTCAGGCTTCACAGAAAAAGCATTTTGATTTCTGAAATTCAACCCGATTGTGCAGATTGAATATAACTGATGGAATTCTACAGGGTGGGGTCTTAGGGTGCGGAAACAGTCCGGATCTGGGATCCCCAGAAGGTGGAGATATCCGGCACCACCGTCCTGGCACCCAGGCATCTTCACCTGGTCGCAAGTGGCCGAAAGCTAGGTGCAAAACGCGCCTGGCTCCTGGCTAATTTCGAACGCGGCTTGGAAGGTGGAGCAAACTTGTTTTCTACTGCTCCAGAGGGTCGGACCGAACCCAGCAGATTCAGATGGCAAGAGAGGAGATTCTGACTAAACATCAGGAAGAACTTGGAGGTTTTTTTAATAGAGAGGTCGGATGGCCATCAGTCGGGGATTCTTTAGCCGTGATTACTGCATTGCAGGGGGTTAGACTAGGTGAGCCCTAGATGGTTCTGCAATTCTGTAATTCAACAAAGCTCTGATTAGCGGATTTGTGCCAAAGTTAGCGGTGGAGTTCCTCCAGGTCTCATCTCGCTGCGTTTTTGCTGTGGCATGTCAGGCAGCTCCTCAGGTCAGCTCTCTTGGCACTGCCAACCGCTATTGTAATACTGTACAGGCGGGTAAGCAGAAAGCAGCCTTTATCTCCAGAAGTCGGGGCTGTGCCTGCCTCCTTCCCTCCCTCCCACCTCCCGAGTAACAGCTCCCCAGTATTGCTTAATCTGTGTTGCAGTTGCATGTTCACTGATAAGGGGGATTTTTTCCCGCTTCTTTCACGCCTGCCGTGGTTGAGGGAGGGGCAAGGCCTGGGCAACCACCCAAAGCCAGACAGAATCTGTGCACACCTTTCTAAGAAAGTTGGCCGCAGCAACGCATCTTGGCAGCGCTCCTTGTCCCCCAACCCTAAAAGGGAGGAGAACCCCTACTCAGCGCAGCTCTGATGCCTAAATATATCTCCTCCATCGCTCTTCCTTATCTTGGGAAAGGGAAAGGACTCCTCCTTGAGGACAGGTGTCAGGTGTGCGTGCAGGAGCTAGGCCCTGTGACCAATAGGACTCTGCAGGACTGGGGCCTTCCTAAGTTTGTTCTGAAGAGGCAAGGCGCAGCCACACAGGTGAGGCCGATAGGTAACTCACAGCACCTGGTGGCAAGAGCCGGGAAGGGATATAAGGTCAGCATTTTGCCTTCGGCTCTTTGCCACAGCAACAGGTTCCCTGCCCTGCTGCATCTGACTTTGTGACTCCTTGCTTCTTGATCCTCGGACCCCTGACTTTGTGGCTCCCTGCTTCTTGATCCTCGGACCCCTGACTTTGTGGCTCCTTGCTTCTTGATCCTCGGACCCCTGACTTTGTGGCTCCTTGCTTCTTGATCCTCGGACCCCTGACTTTGTGGCTCCCTGCTTCTTGATCCTCGGACCCCTGACTTCGTGACTCCTTGCTTCTTGATCCTCGGACCCCTGACTTCGTGACTCCTTGCTTCTTGATCCTCGGACCCCTGACTTTGTGGCTCCCTGCTTCTTGATCCTCGGACCCCTGACTTTGTGACTCCTTGCTTCTTGATCCTCGGACCCCTGACTTTGTGACTCCTTGCTTCCTGACCCTTGGCTTCTTGACTCCCAGCTCTCTGACCCTCAGACTCTTGGCTTCCTGGCTTCTGGACTCCCGTTCCTGCTCCCACCCCGCCATCTTGCCCCTGGTCCCAACGTCCCCAGCCAGGACTTCGATCGCCCGTGAACCGGACCGTGACAACGGGTTTCAACATTGGGGGCTTTTTTAGGTTTAGAAGGAGCCAGGGGTGGACATGAAAGTGGTGTCTCAAATTACGCATGGAGAAAATGGATGGAGAGAAGTTTTTCTCCCTCTTGCATGACGCTACGGCTTGGGGACATTTGACGATGCTGAACGTTGGAAGATAGAGGAAAGAGAAAACAACGTCCTCCAAGCATTGCGTCGTTAAGCTGTGGAACTCCCTCCCACCAGAGGCAGTGATGGCCAATGACCTAGACAGCTGCCAGAGGGGACTTGACGAATTCCTGGAAGGCTTTAGATGGCTCCTAGCCAGGGTGGCTGTTCTGTGCCTCCGCATTTGGGGTCAGCTTCTTACGACAGTGATGCTTCTGAATCCCAGTTGCTGGAAACTGCTTGGGTGTGTGTGTGGGTGGGTGGCTCTTGTGCTCAGACCCTGCTTGCAGGCTTCCCATAATGGGAATCTCGTTGTCCACTGCCAGGACAGTGATGCTGGACTAGAGGGGCCTCCTTGGACCTGATCCAATGTTCATAAAACGCAAGTCCCCAGAGGAAGCTACATCCCATTGCAGACTCCTACTCGCCGGACTCTGAGCGGGGTCACCAGTGTAAGATTGCCGCTTATCCTTCCTGTGGACGCCCCCTTCCTTTCTGCCGAGCGTGACACAAAACAGGCCCCCTTCTGCTTATTGCTTAACGGTTGCAAAGCAGCACGTGGGCTGGTTGAAAAAGCCCTATGAGGAAGGGCAGAGGGGGCAGAAGAAGAGGAGACCTGGGGGGAGGGGGGGCAGAGGAGACGGGGCAAGAAGGGACTTCAAGGATTCAGAAAAAGGGGCAACATTGATTCCAGCAAAAAAATGGAATTTGCTCCAGCTAAATGGATAACTTCAGAATAAGGGTTTCCCAGACTTGGGTCTCCAGCTGTTTTCAGACTACAATCCCCATCTTCTCCGGCCACTGGTCCTGCTAGCTAGGGATGATGGGAGTTGTAGTCCAAAACAGCTGGAGACCCAAGTTTGGGAAACCCTGGTTTGGACAAGTGCGTGGAGCGTGAAGCTTTGATTGGCCACCAACCGCGACAACCATGTTCTCCCTCCACAGTCAGATTATAAATCTAGATTACGGGCGCCACAACGGAATGTCTGTTCACCAGGGGGTTGGACAAGATGACCTTCGGGGGTCCCCTACAACACTACAATTCTATAATCTCATAGCTTGAGTGTAGCTCGCTCTTACAACAATTCACTCGTCCCAGTTTGCAAGGAAGGAGAAAGGGACACCGTGGAAATGGAAATGGCATTAACTCTGGACTAAGGTGGAGCTTTTTAAACTGGGGTCGCCAACCTGGTGCCCAGAAATCTCCACATTGACGCAGTTGGAGCCAAACCAGTAGCAAAATGCGGCTGGGGGATTTCGAACACTGCTCTTGCTGGGGGTCCCAGGCGGGTGGGTGGGGCTGTTGCATCCACGTCCTGCTTTCGAGGCTTCCTTGTGTGGCATCTGGTTGGCCCCTGGCAAGAGAGGAAGCTGGACTAGGAGGGGCCCCTTTGGCCCGGTCCAGAAAGGCTTTTCTCATATCAAGCAGCTACAGAGAAATAATAATAACAATAAAATTTTATTTATATCCTGCCCTCCCCAGCAAAAGCCGGGCTCAGAGCAGCTAACAACAATAAAAGTAACACAGCATTCTAAAATCAATTTATTCCAAAATCAATTCTGAATCAAATTAAAGGCAACCATTGGGCAAGAGTTCTGTGAGGATTACCAAAGGAGGGGGTCAGACTGTGCCCTGTGGAACAGCTCCGTCTTGCAGGCCCTGTGGAAAGATGTCAAGTCCCGCAGGGCCCTGGTCTCTTGTGTCAGAGCGTTCCACCGGATCGGGGCCACAGCTGAAAAGGCCCTGGCTCTGGTTGAGGCCAGCCTAACCTCCCTGTGGCCTGGGACCTTCAAGATGTTTTTGTTTGAGGACTGTAAGGTCCTCCGTGGGACATACCAGGAGAGGCGGTCCCAAATGATGAGAGGATTGGACAAATCCATGGAGGACGAGGAGGAGAAGGCTATCGGTGGTCCCAGTTGCTGGAAACCATAGGAGGGGAGAGGGCTGCCCTTGGGCTTGGGCCCCACTTCCAGGTTTCCCAGCAGGTCGGACCCCTGGGACGCGGGACGAGTTGGGCCATTGGGCTGGTCCTGCATCCTCTTCCTAGGTTGTTAGGATACTGGTGGCTCTGGAGACCATGCTGCCTCTCGCGAGTTTCTTGAGCTCACCCCCAAAGGCGCATTCCTCCATCGTCTTCCGAGACGGACGGATGCCAACAGCCACAGGTGCCCAAAGAGACCCAGTTTGTCAGGAGCCCGGTGTCCCCGTCCGGGCTGGCATCTCCTGCAGCTCCTTCGTCGCAGCTGACTGAGGGGCATTGCCCAAAGAGAAGCCCCCTCCCTATGATGATATCCTCCTCCTCCTGGGCCCCCATCCTCCTCCTGGCAGCTCCCAGCTTCGTTGCACCAGCAGCAGAGTCTCCCTCGGGCCCCGGAGCCAGGCTCCCTCGTGAACAAAACGCTCCCTTCTTCTCTGCCTCGTGCCGCCCTCTCCGGATCGTATGGCTGACAAAACGTTTACCCAGCTGGGCCCTCCCGGCGCATACAGTGGGCATCTGTGTCTGGGGCAGGGTCATGTGCACCAGCTGTTCTGTCACTATTGTTAACTTGGGGGGGGAGAGGCTGGCTCCGTTCCGCCATCTGCCGGGCTGCTGCAGCACCCTCCTATCTCTGCCTGCCCCCCACCCCATAAAAATGCTGCATGGGGAGATGGGGGCAGCAGCACAGGTGAGCTGGTCAGCATCCTCAGAGCACCATTCGCACCCAGGTCGAGCGTGTGCCGACCTTGCCCTCAGAGGCGTTGCTCTGCTTCTGAATCCTGGTTGCTGGAAAACCACAGGTTGGGGGGGAATTTCTCTTGTCCTCGGATCCAGCCAGTTCATCTTAAGCTCATCATTGTTACAACCCCTACTCCCCCCCCCCAAAAAAAACCCCATTCCTCTGGGCAACATTCACCCAGTTCCTTCAGTCTCTTCCTGCCTCTGCCAGTCTTCAGAAGATTCTCCTTTCCCGTTTGGCCTCTTCTTCAGAAAGATGAGGGCGCTCTGTGGCTTTTCTGCATCTGACCGCAGAGCGGCAGGAGAGCTTAGCTTCCCACTTGATTTTTGCAAAAACCCTCTCTGCTTTCAGGTGGGTCTGTTCCGAGCAGCCTTCGAAATTCGCCAGGCGCATTTTGCATCTGGCTATCGGCCACCTGCGACCAGGTGAAGATGCCCGGGTGGTGCCTGGCGTCTCCACCGCCTGGAGGTGCCTGCCTGGCGACCCTTGAATCCCACACCAACAACACATCCTGTAGAATTCTCTCCCGTTAACATTTTATCAGAATGAATTTCCGGAACCCAAAAGCCGTATTGGAAAATACAATTTAAGAGCTGTCCGGCCCCCAAATGGCGACTAGGCCTTCTGTTTTGGTGACACTAACCCTGGTTTAAGGAGCCATTTGGCGCCCCACTTTCATATCTGAGCTTCTAACGCTTGAGATTTCCCCCCCCCTTGCAGAAAGCCTGCGATTCCCCTCACCCACGAACCGACCCATTTTTAATGCAAAATGCTTCAAGGAGCAAAAGCTGAGCCGGGAACTTGGAGGCGGGTGGGTTTTGTTGTTGTTCTTGCAGCTGCCAAGGTAGCCTCCTTGCGAGGAAGCCCACCCCAGTGGAGAAGCGGCTGGCCTCAGCCCCACCGCCTCTTCCTCCTCCGCTGGGCACTGGAGGAGCCTCTCTTCCTGGATACTTGGAAGGGCTGCTTCTAAATTTAGCTGCTGCTCCTCCTCCTTCTTCCAAAACATCATCTGAGCAGACACAAAGCAGAAAGCGAGCGCTAGGCCTTCCTGGAGCTGCCTGCTGGGCTATCCACCCTCGGTGGACTTCAGAGAGGGAGGACAGCTTGCAGATTCATGCACACACCAAAGGCCTTGTCTCTGTCGCCTTCTTCCTGTTAACGGAGAAATCTGAGGGCTCCCTCGGACAAAACACAAGGACCCCAGCCAGGAATACCAGAGCAAAACAGAAGCCGGTAGGCTTGGTCTTGATGGAAGACTGTCGCCACAGGACTCCCACCTGCCATCAGGTGGAACAAAAGAGAACCCAAACTTTGATTAGCTGCTAATCCCCATGGGTGGCGCTGTGGGTTAAAGCACAGAGCCTAGGACTTGCCTATCGGAAGGTCGGCGGTTCGAATCCCCGCGATGGGGTGAGCTCCTGTTGCTCAGTCCCAGCTCCTGCTAACCTGGCAGTTCGAAAGCATGCCAGTGCATGTAGATAAATAGGTACCACTCTGGCGGGAAGGTAAACAGCATTTCCGTGCGCTGCTCTGGTTCGCCAGAAGTGGCTTAGTCATGCTGCCCACATGACCTGGAAGCTGTACGCCGGCTCCCTCGGCCAGTAAAGTTAATCCCACCCTTTTGTCTTCATCTGGGTTTGTTCATTCTGGAATGGCTACCTGTCTGGCACTCAGGTGTCAGGAGGCCAGGAATTATCACTCATGCAGGGAGGCTGCTGAGTAGCTATAGTATATGAATTTCTGAAGTTTTCCCAGTGAGCCAGTACATAGATAGATTTATCAGTGAATTCTTACATTTGGTATCGTGCAGCAGAGGCCTTTTGAATAGAAAGGAAGAATCTGTGACCAGGTGTTTTGTGGGGGCAAATCACAAAAGTCACAAAAGTGATTGTGCTGATTTTGGTAGTGGGCTGCATGTGCATGATATTTGCTGGAGGGGCAAACACCCCCCAACCTATACATAAATTCCTGCAACATTCCCCCAGGCGGAGGGTGGGAAGACTCCTGGAGGAGGGGGTCCAGAGGCATAGCTGGCCAGAGACTCCCAGAGGGTCAGCAGGGGCAGCCTGCAGGGGTTTGCCTGGCTGGAGAGGAAGCGGTCTGGTCTGACTTGTGATGAGGAACGGTTGAGGGAGTTGGGTAGGCTCAGCCTGGAGAAGAGACGACAATAGCCGATAGGACTTTAGGAAACGTAAATTGAATATTCAGCCACTTATTATTGAGGGAAAGTGCGTGGAACAGGTCCCAGTGTTTCGATTTCTGAGAATGGAGTTGAGAGACGACCTAACCTGGGGAGAAAACAGCAAAGACCTGATGAAGAGAGCACAATCTCTCAAAGGACCTGTTGATGGCATTTTACCATTGCACTGTGGAGAGTGTATTAACTTATGGTCTGTGTGTGTGGTTTGGGAGCTGCACGGTCAGGGGAAAAACAATGCTATCCAGGGTTGTAAAGACTGCAGAGAGAATAATTGGGTGCACTCTTCCCACCTTGGATCAAATCTATGCTGCCAGGTGCCATAAGAAAGCGGCAGAGATAGCGCAGGATAGTGTGCACCCCGGAAAATGATCTCTTTCACCTTCTGCCTTCTGGAAGAAGGTCCAGGGTTATAAAGACTAGGACTAGCTGCCTGAGAAACAGTTTCTATCCAAATGCAATTTTGGTTTTAAACGCAGTGTAAGATAGTCTCTGGATGCGGGTGGCGCTGTGGGTTAAACCACAGAGCCTAGGACTTGCCAATCAGAAGGTCGGCGGTTCGAATCCCCGCAACGGGGTGAGCTCCCGTTGCTCGGTCCCTGCTCCTGCCAACCTAGCAGTTCATAAGCACGTCAAAGTGCAAGTAGATAAATAGGTACCGCTCCGGCGGAAAGTAAACGGCGTTTCCATGGCTGCTCTGGTTCACCAGAAGCGGCTTAGTCCTGCTGGCCACATGACCCGGAAGCTGTACACCGGCTCCCTCGGCCAATAAAGCGAGATGAGTGCTGCAACCCCAGAGTCGGCCATGACTGGACCTAATGGTCAGGGGTCCCTTTACCTTTAAGGAGTATATTGTATTTTAATGGGAGTATACTGTATTTTAAAAATGGGGTATCAGAGTTTTTAGGGGGCTAACCAGGTTGGGATAGCTGGGATAGGAGGCTTGTTGGTTTTGAAGGTCTGATGTAGATTCCCCCCCCCAAAAAAATTTCATTGTTCTGTATGGGACAATGACAATAAAGATTTTCGTATTGCACAGGAGAGCCACCTTCAGAAATCTGAAGGGCTGTCCCCTGTAAGATTGAGCACAACCTTGTTTCCTGCTGCTGCGGAGGGCAGAACCCAAAGCGAGGGATTCAAACGAACTTTCAGAGGGTCAGAGCCGTTTCACAGGGGAACGGGCAGACTCTCCTCCCTTGCAGGTTTTTAAGGCTCTCAGAGATTCTTCAGCTGTGATTTGTGGACTAGGCAGCCCTTGGGGTCCCACTTTTGCGATTCCAAAGCCGGGCCATGCTGAATCTCGAAACAGTGTATGATGTGTAGTTCAAACAGAATATACCACTCAAACCCCAACGCACCCCCGAAGCTTCCTGGGTGAGCTTGGAGTCAGTCGCAGCCTCCTAACCTCCCTCGCAGGGTCGTTGTAAAGAATTGACCGGGGGGGGGGTGAACTGTGTCTTCCTTGGAGGAAGAGGCAGAATACAGTGGAACCTCGGTGGTCAAACGTTATCCGTTCCACAAGACCGTTCGACTTCCAAAACGTTCGGCAACCGAGGCGCAGTTGCCGAAATCCGTTGTGGAAAAACTGAGAAACGCACCTCGGAAGCCGTTCAACTTCCGAGGCGCGTTTTGAAACAGAAGCATTCGCTTCCGGGTGGTCAGCGTTTGAAAGCTGAAACGTTCGACTCCCGAAACATTCAGCGACCGAGGTTCTGCTGTACGAATGCAGTGGATCAGGTCTTCTGCTCACCTGTGTGAGAGAGCAAGAGATGCCAGTCAGATGGAGATGTCCGTGGCCAACTTGGCCTCCCACCTGAGACCCACACGGTCGCAACTGGACCCACGCCAGTCACAAAGCGTTCCTGGCATCTGGGGGACTTCGGACGCTCCTTCCCCCTCAGCCTCCAGAACCTGCCCCTGGGGAGGCTTCGCTGTGGGGCTGCCTGGCTCCTCCCCCTCCTCCCCAAAGTGCCCCTCTTGGGCTGGAGCAAAGAGCCTCGGCGGAGGCTTCTGTCAGCCAGCCTGAGTCACTTGGAAGTGTTTTTGGGGGGGGGGCTCCTTTTGGACTCTGCAGGGGCTTCCTGGGAGCTTAAAGACCCTGTTCTGTTCCTTCCCAGACCTCTCCCGAAACCGCTTTGCCGAGGTCCCCGAAGACGCCTGCCACTTGATGTCCCTGGAGGGGCTGAGCCTGTACCACAACTGCCTCCGCAGCATCCCCCCCGCCATCGCCAACCTCCAGGCCCTCACCTACCTGAACGTCAGGTAACTCGCACAAGGGGGAAGCCAGAGTAGGGCCGAGGGAACGGGGTGTTTCACCAGGGCTGCGGCGAGAGCTCTCTGGACTCCCTCGCCTTGGAGTTTTAAAGCCCTGCGCGACTCAGGCCCCCTATACAGACCCTCCCGGGTGCTGAGATCGGCAGAGGGGACCCTCTCGGAAGTTCCTCTGGGGCCTGCCCCAGAAGATCTGTGGGGCTCCCTCCTCCCCACAGAGGTGCGCCCGGCCCCTGGCTTTTGCCACCTGAGCTGCGGGTTTTTATGACCCCCCTTGTTTCCCTGGTTGCAAGCTGTTTCGAATTGGCTTTTATTTCTTTTCAGTTTCCCAAGGTTATTCCAACAATAGCCCGATGATGACAATGCCGTTTCACATCTTTTCAAATTGTTCCTTTTTTTAAAAAAAATATTTTTTATTAAGAATTTAAACAAAACATATTATCTTAAAACATATCACCCTTGATTTCCCCCCTCCCCTCCCCCCCCAACTTCCCTCAGCTCCAGTCTCTGGTTTCTCTACAAATGCTATTCTCTGCATGTTACAAAACTGTATAGATCCTTAATTTATCTGACTGATTATTGTCAATAAAGAGTTTGTGAGTGTTTATTCAAAACCTGCCAAGGAGTCCAGTTCACTTTGTTGTTTCTTTAAATACTTTGTAAAAGGTTCCCATTCATCTTTAAAATCGCAGTTATCCTTGTCCCGTAGTTTATGTGCCAGTTTTGCCAATTCTGCATAGTCCATCAATTTCTCTCGCCATAGTTCTTTAGTTGCTGTTTCCGCGTTCTTCCATCCATGTGCTATTAAGACTCTTGCCGCCGTTGTCGCGTACATGAAGATATTTTTGAACTCCCTTGGCAGGTCTTTCCCTACAATCCCTAACAAAAATGCTTCCGGTTCCTTAACAAATGTTAGATGGAACATTTTCTTCAATTCATTGTATATCATTTCCCAAAACTTTTTAATTTCATTACATTCCCACCACATGGGGTAGAATGTCCCCTCTTTTTCCTTACTTTTTAAATTGCTTCTGACGCAGCAGCTTGCCGTGGGACCTCGGGGTGAAAGTCGGGAAATAGATAAGACAAAATGGAATAAGCTCCCCCGCTCCCTTCCTCATTCCTCAGCCCACCCATCCTGCTTTGCCAGTCTCCCCTGAGATTTGGGAAGCCAGATCTCTCCTTCTCCTCCTCCTCCACTGTTGTCTTCTTCCCTGCAGCCGGAACCAGCTCTCTTCCCTGCCCTCCTGCCTCTGCCGGCTGCCCCTCAAGGTCCTCATCGCCAGCAACAACAAGCTGGTCTCCCTGCCTGACGATATCGGCACCCTCAGCACCCTCCGCCAACTGGTGAGTCGGTAACGCCATGGTGTGGAATTCCTCCAAGGGGCAGGGTGGGCACCTCTTGCTTGCCTTCCCCCAGGGTTCGGCCTCGCTGGTGTCTCCACGCTGAGCTGGGCTGAAGCCACGTGGGCGGTGGGAGGGATCCCCCAAGGCCCTCCAGACCTGAACCCCAAAGGCAGCAGGACCACCCCCCCCCAACACACACAGCCATCACATGCTTCAATCCACTAGGACAATCCCCTGTATCCCTCTCTCACCCCAAATCGCCTTGAGGATGCCTAGGTAGAATTGTGATGGGGGGCCCCCCTCTCTGCCCACTCAAACATACCGAGACAACACGAGAACGGGGCCTTTTCTGTGGTGGCTCCCCATTTGTGGAATGCCCTCCCCAGAGAGGCTCGCCTGGCGCTACCGTTGCATGTATTTAGGTGCCAGGCAAAAACCGTCCTCTTTACCCAGCCCGTCAGCCGTTAGACAGTCTATGTCCTTTTAATTTTATTGGTTTTTATTGGTTTTTTTTATTGTTTTATCTAAACTGCTTTGAGGTAGTGGTTGCATTTTTAAAAAATAAAATTAAATTGCTAATTATGTAAGTTTTATGAAATAAATAAGCTTTCTCTCCCTGCCCCATGTGATATTTATTTATTTATTTATTTATTTATTCATTCATTCATACATACATACATACATACCCCACCCTCCCCGGCCAGAGCTGGGCTCAGGGAGGCTAACACCAGTAAAATTATAGTAAAAACATAATGGGGGGGGAACAATTTAAAATACAGGTTAAAATAAAATTTTAATTTAAAATGCAGCCTCATTTTAATAGTAGCCCATAGATCAAAACCAATACGGGGAGGGAAACATAAGGGTCAGACTGAGTCCAGACCAGAGGCCAGGCGGAACAGCTGTCTTGCAGGCCCTGTGGAAAGATGTCAAGTCCCTCAGGGCCCTGGTCTCTTGGGACAGAGCGTTCCACCATGTCGGGGCCAGTGCTGAAAAGGCCCTGGCCCTAGTGGAGATGTCTCCAAAGCGGTCTTAGTACTGGCACCCTTAAGGCTCTCTCCCTGCCTCCAGGGCTCTCCCTCCCCCCACCACCACCACCGCTGGGATGGGGCTCTGCTCACCTGTGACCTTTCCCCGAATCCTCTTTTCTGCCTCAGGACGTCAGCAGCAATGAGCTGCAGTCCCTGCCGGCGAGTGTGGGCGGCCTGGAGTCTCTTCGGGACCTCAACGTCCGGAGGAACCAAATCGCCGTCCTGCCCGAAGGTCGGTGCCTGCCCAAAGCCTCCCTCCTTTGCCGGCGCCGTCTGGGCACCGGCAGACCCCCTGCTTCTAAACTGGCGACGGAGGCAGCCCTCCCTGCCCCTCTTCTTCCCCTCGCTCACGGACGCCTGTGCTTTGCCCCACCTCAGAGCTGGCGGAGCTGCCCTTGGTCCGGCTGGACTTCTCCTGCAACCGTGTCGTCCGCATCCCCACCTGCTACCGCCACCTGCGGCACCTGCAGTCCATCCTGCTGGAGAACAACCCGTTGCAGTTCCCACCTGCGCAGGTAACAGGGGAGCGGGGGGGGCAGGCAGCTGAGAGCAGAGACTGCTTGGAAGGTGGTTCTGTGGTTCTGCCCACCCTTTCCATTTATCCTGCCCTTAGTGGGGGCTCTCAGTGGGGCCTGGGGGCCAGGATGTGCAACAGGCTGGCAGGGAAGGCAGGCACGATCCGGCAACTCGTCGCACCTCCTCCTCGCTAAACAGGGCGAACGGCCTTCGTTTTCCGGGACCGCCGCTGCCACCCTGTGACCCAGCGCCCCCGTTCTCCCCACAGATCTGCTCCAAAGGCAAAATCCACATCTTCAAATACCTCAACATGGAGGCCTGCAGCAAGGCGCGGCCGGACCTGGCAGAATTCGCACAAGGAACCCGCCCCGCCGGCTTCGGGACATGGTAAGGCGGGCAGTGGGGGGACTGGGCGGCTCTGCTAAGCAGCTGCTGCCGCATGGGAAGGAGGCAGGGTGCCTGGGGCCAGGAGGGGGAGGCTGTACCTGGAAAGAGGCGGCTCTGGAGCTGCTTTAGCCACCGGATTGGGGCTTGAAGAGCATTGTTTCCAAGAGGCTTGTTTCCGTGTCTGTTCCCACAGCCTCCCGGACGATTTCTACCCCGTGAGGCAGTATGGCGGCCTCGATTCGGGCTTCAACAGCGTCGACAGCGGGAGCAAGCGGTGGTCAGGGAACGAGGTGCGGGAACGCCTTTCTGCTTTGCTTGCGGTGACGTTTTTTGCAGTTGCAAAGGGGAGAGAGGGAGGACTTCGCAGGGGCCCTGATCCCTGCCTAGGCGGCCCTCAAAAACCTTATGGCCAGAGGGGCGTGACCTGAGCCTCCCGGCCTGTTGTCTTCCATCCTAGTCACGCTGTTATAAGATTGCAGGGTTGGAAGGGATCCGCAAAGCTCATCCAGTCCAGCCCCCTGCCACGACTCCATAGTGCCTGAGAAGCAGCCAATGATCACATCTCAGTAATGCCTGGCAGAAATATTAATAATAATAATAATAATAATAATAATAGTAATAATAATAAATTTATTATTTACACCCCGCCCATCTGGCTGGGTTTCCCCAGCCACTCTGGGCAGCTTCCAACAAAGTATTAAAATACAGTGGTCTGTTAAACATTAAAAGCTTCCCTAAACAGGGCTGCCTTCGGACGTCTTCTAAAAGTCTGGTAGTTGTTCTTCTCTTTGGCATCTGGTGGGAGGGCTTCCACAGGGCGGGTGCCACCACTGAGAAGGCCCTCTGCCTGGTTCCCTGTAACTTGGCTTCTCGCAGTGAGGGAACCGCCAGAAGGCCCTCAGAGCTGGACCTCAGTATCCAGGCAGAACGATGGGGGTGGAGACGCTCCTTCAGGTATACTGGACCTTTGAGGCCGTTTAGGGCTTTCAAGGTCAGCACCAACACTTCGAATTGTGCTCAGAAATGTCCTGGGAACCAATGTAGGTCTTTCAAGACCGGAGTTATGTGGTCTTGGCAGCCTTTCCGGGTCACCTTCCAAGGTAGCCCCATGCAGAAGGCTATCCAAACCTTGCTTAAAATACGAAGGAGAGTCCACCGCCTTCCAGGGCCATAGAATTCTAGCATCATAAAGTTGGAAGGGACCCTCGTGGGTTACATAGTCCAGCCCCCTGCAATGCAGGAATCGCAGCTCAAGAATCAAGCCGCCTCTGCTTAAAAGCAAAGGAGTCCGTTCAGCTGTCGGACGGCCCTTACCACCTGCCGTTTGCTGTTTCTCCTCCTTCACCGCCCCTCGTTCTCCCCGCTTCTCAGTCCACAGATGAGTTTTCAGACCTCTCCTTCCGCATTGCCGAGCTGGCCAGAGACCCCAAGCAGTTGAGGGAGAAGCGCAACGGGACAGGTGAGCAGCCAGGCAAAGGGAGGGCGTGGTGTTGCTAACAGCAAGACCTGACTTTGGGCCTGGAGGGAGGGGGAAAGAGGGAGAGCTGAGCCCTAACCTCCTTCCTTCCTTCCTCCGTTCCCACAGTGGATGCGGCTGATCTGGAGCAGATTGACTACATCGACAGCAGCGTCAACGGCGAGGAAGAGGAGGACGAGGTCTCCGTGGGAAAGTCAGAGAGCACCTCTCTGGGGACGGCACCCTCCGAGGTGAGAATGGAGCTTGCCCCCCTCCTTGCAGATCTTGCGGTTACTCTTGGGTCCTCCCGGGGCAGGATTTTCCCGCGTCCTGCTGGGAGAGTAGGAAGGGAGTTCAGGGGTAGCGTCCGAGGATGGCGAGGCCCCTTGCGTTCTCCACAAGCAGAGGAATAACTCTAGGGTCCTGGGCGGGCAGAGTGTGGCGTTTGGGGGCTGGGGGCAAAAGCTTCTGAATCATCTTGTTTTGCTTGAACAAGATGATCACCAGGGGGGTGATAGGAGGGTTGGACTGCCAATAGGAAGACGTCCTGACCACCTTCTCGTGTCTGAGTTCCACAGTTCAGCTGTGAAAAAGGGGCTTTGTTTTCTCTGTCCCAAATCCCCCAACGCTCCGCTTCACAGGACGAGTTCTGGCGTCACGAGAGAAGGATGGAAGCTTTTCCCTATCCGCCTTCTCCTCCCCAGGCATAATTTTCTAAGCTGTCACATTGCAGCTTCAACCAGCAAATTAATTCCTCCCTTTTCCCCCCTTTATTTGCTCACGTTTTCTCTCCTCTTGGCCTCTTCTAGGACTTCCAGAAACCCAGGAAGAGCTCCTCCACTTCCCTCCAGAAAACAGGACTTGCGGAGCAGGGCCCGACCGGCAGGTGTGTGGCGCCACCTTGCGGCCAGCTCCCTGCGCAAGCGGGCAGGATCTCGCACTGGATGCAGCCTTGTCCCTGTGGGGTCTCCTTTCCATCTCCTCCAGCTCCCCTTCCTCCCAGGGTGCTGTTGCCCCCTACTCAATCCTGAGCTTGGGGTGTGGGGTCCTCAAATCCCTCTTGGCTGCTGGGAGTGGCCCAAACCCCACATGCTTTTCTGGGCTTTGAACCCACTTGCTGTGGGGCGGTGTTCCCTCCTGCTGAAAGGGGAGAAGCTTTTCCCTTTTGCAGGGGGTCAGGCGGGCAGCCAGTGATGGGCAGTGTTAACGGAGAAATCTGAGGGCCCCCTTGGACAAAAAACAAGGACCCCAGCCAGGAATCCCAGAGCAAAACAGCAGCCAGTAGGCTTGGTCTTTATTGAAGACTGTGGCGACAGGACTCCCACCTGCCACAAGGTGGAACAGGATGGAAGCCCCGAACAAAAGAGAACCCAAACTTTTGTTGGCTGCTCATCCCCATGTTACACCCCCCCAAACTACATCACAGTTACATCATGAAAGGGGAGGTCTGGTGGCAGTAATCTGAGCATCCTGGACCCTGCCCCATGGTTCCCCTTGCCCTCCACCAAACACCCACCAAGTGGTACAAAATAGATATTTACGTTTTCCTGTTTCCCAGACAAGTTAGTCACACCCTTTTGTCTTCATCTGGGTTTGTTCTTTCTGGAATGGCTACCTGTCTGGCACTCAGGTATCAGGAGGCCAGGAATTATAACTCAGGCAGAGGGGCTGCTGAGAGGCTGAGCTCACGTGTCTAGATGAATTTCTGAAGTTTTCCCAGGGAGCCAGTACAGAGATACATTGATCAGTGAATTCTTACATTTGGTATCGTGCAGCAGAGGCCCTTTGAACAGATAGGAAGAAACTGTGATGACTTGTGGGGACAAATTACAAAAGTGATTGTGCTGGTTTTGGTAGTGGGCTGCATGTGCATGATATCTGCTGGAGGGGCAACCCCCCCCCCCCAACCTATACAAAAATTCCTGCAACAGTAGCGACCCCCATGCTTATTGTGTCCTGCGCTGCTGGGCGTGGCGATTGTCCCCCCACGGTCTCTGCGACCCCCTGCCTCTTGCTTCCCCCTCTCATCTAGGGCCAGCCTTCCCCGGCCGGAGCCATTTGGGGAGGAGCGCCGTCGCCCCGAGATCCTTCAGCTGTGGCAGGAGAGGGAGCGCCAGCAGCTTCAGCAGCGGCCCCTGTGGAGCCAGGGGGCCGAGAGGAGGGAGAGGTAACAGCCGGGAGGGGTCGGGGGCTGGTCCTTCTGCTTATTTCTGCCCTTTGTGGCTCAGGGCCCTCGTATTTATGGGACTGCCTATCCTGGTCTGCCCCGCAGAGGACCTTAAGGCCCATGAATAATCACAGTTTAGAGGTCCCGGGCCCTAAAGAAGTCAGACTGTCCTTCACCAGGGCCAGGGCCTTTTCAGTGGTGGCTCCGACCTGGTGGAATGCTCTGTCCCAGGAGACCAGGGCCCTGCAGGATTTAACCTCCTTCTGCAGGGCCTGTAAGACAGAGCTATCCTGCCTGGCTTTCAATTTGAACTTAGCCTGATCTTTTATTCCCCTTCCTTCCCTCTCCTTCCCCTTTTTATGAAGCTTACCCGCTCTGAGACCCCACAGCTAATTCTCCCCTGGCCTCCTCGCTGGCCCAAGTAGGACCAATTCAGCCAGCTAGCCCTGGGGATTATCTAATGCTTATTTCCCCTAAACTGATTATTGAATATTTTATGGTTATTCATGTTTTTGGACTGTATTTTATGCTGCTTTTATAATTAAGTGTTTTAAATTTGTTGTTAGCTGCCTGCAGCCCAGTTTTTGAACCGGGAAGGGTGGGGTATAAAAAAAATTATTATTATTATTATTATTATTATTATTAGCAGTATTTGCATACTACCCTATCATTAAAAATGCAGCAATAAAACCATGCCATAAAAGCCACAAGAAGCTGGAAGCAGACATTGCTTAACCCTCGTGGAAGGAGCTGCCCTTAACTGCCTGCCTGCAGCCCCAAGCCGCGCGCCCCCCCAGTGCCTGTCAGAGGGAGGACTTGAACCCAGGCCTCCTCACCCCAATCCTCTGCCCACTTTATGCTGTTGGCTGCTATTGCTATCATTCTCTTCATCAAATAAATAAGATGGCACTCCCATCTTAAAACTCAGAAGCCAGTGGCTGCACCTCAGTTTTTGAAGCATCTTGGAAGCCAAACGTTTCGGAACCCGAACATCGAAAACCCAGAAGTAATTGCTTCCGATTTCGAACGCACCTCGGAAGTCAAACGGCTTCCTAGGCGTGTTTTTCATTTTTCTCCCTTGACTTTGCCAACCACCCTTTGCACCCTTGGTTGTCGAACATTTCGGAAGTCTAACGGTCTTCCGGAACGGACCGCGTCCGACAACCGAGGTTCCACTATATTTCATTTCATTTCATTTATTGCGTTGATAGCCCAGCCTTTTCCTCCGAGGTGGTGTGTGTGATTCTCCTCCTCCTCCTCCTCCTCCTCCTCCTCCTTTAATCCCCACAACGACCCGGCGGGGTAGGTTAGACTGGGAGGCGGCGATGACTGGCTTCACGGCCAATTGCAGGGATTTGAACCCAGGCCTTGAACCCTGTAACCGCTACGCCAGCCTGGCTGTTGGGAAAGGGGTTCCTGAGTGATGCAGCCCTTCCACCCAGGACACCAGCTAGACTGGTCCAGCCTCTCTCTCTCTTCTTGACTCCGGGTTTCTTCTCTCCCCCATGGCAGCCTGGCAGAAAGCAGCAGCAGCAGCAGCCTCTCCCAGCTGAAGCATCGGAACCAGGTAAGGACAGAGGGAGGGGGCATGCATGTCTCCCCCTGTGTCTGCTTTCCATTCAGAACATTTTGGGCGCTCTTCACGTGGTTTCACAATGAAGGCTATCTGATCCAGCTGCAAACACCTCCTAGTATGGAGAGGACCCTTTGGTTCCTTCCTGGGATTATATATGGTGGGATTATATATGGACTGTGCAGCTTGGGGGCTCCAGCATTCCTCTCCCGGGGCCCAGGGGACCGCACTGGGCTCTCCGACCACCGACGGCAAAGTTCTCAATGCTCTCCAACTTTCAAAGAATCAGTACCAATGACCTTCTAGGCTGTGGGACATAGATCGCCAGGAACTAATCTCAGCTGCGGGGAAAAACATGTTCCCCTCTTTATTTTCGACTCTCTTGGGCGTAGGAATTTAACCTTAATTATTTACAATTTTTGTTTAACCTGCAAGAAAGAAGGGCTTTTCCGCTGGCTAGGTTCAATTCTAATCCTTCTAACCTCCTTTGGGGTAGGTTTGCGGGTTTGGCAGAAGGAGACAGGATCTGCCCATGCGATGCCCACCTGGTGGAAACTCTAGCTCACATGGCCCTTAAATGCAAAATGTATGGTGATCTCTGCCAACAATTTCTAGACCATCTACGTATTCCAACATGGAAACCAGAGACAGAGGTCATACGCTTCTTATTACAGGGGAGAGACCAGGAGCTCACCAAGACAGTAGCTAAGGTCCTCTATTTGATTTTTTTTTTTGTCGCTGAAGTACACTACAGGATCCTGCCCTTGCTGGAAACCCACAGAGATGAAACGGGTTGCTCGCCTCTTCTTCCCTTTGGCGGGTGGCTGTGCTGTTGAAGTGGCGACGAGATCACACTGGCCTATTTATTCTGAATGTATTCTGAATGTTCCTATGTGATGCCAATACGTAAAGGTTACTTGACTTGGCCATGAAGGCTCCCTGCCAGACAGGAGGGCCGGCATCTTTTGTGTGTAACTTGAGCCACATCGCTCAGGTATCTTCCCCTCCCTTTGTGTAACGACATGAGCAGAGCCTGCTGGGATCAGGCCAGCCATCTGCCTAGTAGTCCAGCATCCTGTTCTCACAGTGGCCAATTGCCCCTAAGGACCTAGGACTCCAGATAGACTGCCACCAGACCTGGAGGCTCCATAAGAAAAGCTGTGCTGCTGGATCAGGCCAAAGGTCTAGCCCAGCACTCTCTTCTCACAGAGGCCAGCCAGGTGTGTGGCGTTCCCAAAGCAAGGAAGGATTGGACTCTGATGAATAAAATACACACGAGGCTTCACCAGCAAGAATCTCGGAGGAGTGCGTATAATAATAATTCCTGCCCACCCTCCGGCCCAGGTCGTTTTATTCACAAAAGAACTTTTTACACAGTGTCCGTAAGAACCAATCAGATTTCAAAAAAACCCACGTGGGACAAAATTAAAGATTAAAACTACAAAGAGCTGATTTCAGCATGCATAGTAGTCCAGAGTAAATAAAATAGGACTGAAAGGAGGAATGCTTTTAGGAAACCCTGAAGGTTATAAACAGGAGTAAACAGGAGAGGCAGTATTTACCATCTCCTTGTGAACTCTCTTCCTGGCCCTTAAGATCTATCTAAAGATTAAACTACATCAAAGTAACCCACTATCTTTATGTACTGAGGATGCCTGAGGAAGCAACTGGCCTGTGTTTCAGAATGCTTATACGTGCCTGTCAGGCGTAGAGAACGCAAATGGCAGAGGTGGAGAGGCCTGTGGGATTCGATCAGAAACTATTGTCAATGAATCAAACCCAGTCAACGCAATGCTTTCATCGCGGACACGATGGCTTGCTCCATATTTTTTATAATTCCTCGTAGCAATCCCACCTGACCCCCACACTCTGGATATTTGCACCCCTACATTGGGGCCTGCTGGAAACCTGCCAGCAGGATCCGAGCACAAGAGCGCCCTTCCCCTCCTGGGGTTTCCAGAAACTGGCGTTCAGAAGCAGCGCCACCTCCAGCTGTGGAGGCAAACCATAGCCATGGAGGCTAGAAGCCATAGGTAGCCCTCTCCTCCTCCATGAATTGGTCTACTGCTCTTTTAAAGGCATCCAAGTTGGCGGCCAACCCTGTGGCAGGGAGTTCCGCAGTTCAATGATGCGCTGCATGAAGAAGGACTTGGTTTTATCTGTCCTGAATCCAAGTAACGGTGCCCCCTTTCCCCACCCCAACCCCAATCTCTCTTTTAGGGACCAGAGCAGCTGTCTGGCTCCCCCAGGCAAACTCTGCACTCCGCAGGTGAGTTCCTCCCAATATCTGGAGGGGGGCGGGCACAGGTGAGTCTCCTGGCAAGCAGAGGGGGAAGCTTTTATTTATTTCATAAAACCCGGTAAGAAGCAAAAGCCTCAAAGTGGTTTGCAATGGAAAATCAACAACCGTAATTCAAGTTAAAATAGCGATAGACTAAAAACAAATTGAAACTCACGTCGACTTTCTTAACACCTGGGAAGGCTTGTCTAAACTCCAGGGGTGGATTTTGGGCTTTCGGATTTGAGAGTCACCCCATGTGACACCCTACCTCTCGCCTTCTGTTCCCCCGTCAGCAATCGGTCTGCAACATTCTGCACTGACAACCGCCTCTGGTTCAGGCACAAGGGAAGCCCCACATTGAGGGATGCCTTAAGGCATCTCCTTTCCTTGGGTGCTCAGAGCCTGCAAAGCGGTGTGTGTGTGTGTGTGTGTGTGTGTGTGTGTGTGTGTGTGTGTCCCTGGCAGGCAGTTTGCAAGACTGGTGCAGGATTGAGGTTGGGGAGGCAGGAATCTGGTGGTCTCCTCTGGGGCGTCAAGGCGTCCATTTGCTCCCTGCCACCTCCTCCCCCTTTCTCCTCCAGTGCAAATCCCCAGCTCTTTTCTCATCCTCTCCCTCCTTTGCAGATCCCGTTCACCCTGCCTACCCTTCGTCCCGGGAGCCCGGCTCCGTACAGAAGCCTTCCAGCTTCCTTTTCCGCTCCTCCTCACGGAACAACATGCAGCGGGGCTCCGGTGAGTAGGGGAAAGGGGAGGAGCCTCTGTAGGGACTCGCCCCCTCCGTCGGGCAGCGGGGCTGCTGGGCCCTCTGCGGCTACGCATCTCCCCCCTCGCCCCAAAGGGTGTGGCCTCCTGACGCAGCCAAACGGGGCTTGGGATCGGGGCCAGTGCAGGCTCCCAGAGGCCACCCTCCATCAACATGGTCCATTGGCAGGTTCAGAACCCCACAGCATCAATTCTCGCCAGCGAAATGGGGCTGTGGTAGACCGTGAGGTGCCCTTGTTTCTTTTGGTTATCTCTCGCTTGGACTACTGCCATGCGCTCTCCGTGGGGCTACCTTTGAAGGTGACCTGGAAACTACAATTAATCCAGAATGCGGCAGCTAGACTGGGGACTGGGAGCGGCTGCCGAGACCACATAACACCAGTCTTGAAAGACCTACGTTGGCTCCCAGTATGTTTCTGAGCACAATTCAAAGTGTTGGTTCTGACCTTTAAAGCCCTAAACAGCCTCAAAGGTCCAGTATACCTGAAGGAGCATCTCCATCGTTCTACCCGGACACTGAGGTCCAGCGCCGAGGGCCTTCTGGTGGTTCCCTCCCTGCGAGAAGCCAGGTTGCAGGGAACCAGGCAGAGGGCCTTCTTGGTGGTGGCGCCCGCCCTGTGGAGTGCCCTCCCACCAGATGTCAAAGAGAACAACACTATCAAACTTTTAGAAGACATCTGAAAGCAGCCCTGTTCGGGGAAGCTTTTAATGTTTAATAGGTTATTGTATTTTAGTGTTTTGTTGGAAGCCGCCCAGAGTGGCTGGGGGGACCCAGCCAGATGGGCGGGGTATAAATAATAAATTATCATCATCATCATCATTATTATTATTATTATTATTATTATTTGGAGTGAAGGGCACCCAGGTTTATTACAGTTTACGCGTTGCGTTTCCGCCCCACCTTTTCCTCTGAGGAGCTCAAGGTGGCACACCTCGTCCCATCCCATCCCCAATTTTTATTTTATTTTTTAAATAATTTTTATTAACAAACCAATCAAATCACATTAATTCCAAATTACATAACCGAATTTTAAATTTTTGTTGGGGGTACCCATGCTTCGAGCTCCGAAAGGGATCCAATCATCTTTATTGCTGCTGCTTTGATGTTCACAGTTCTGTCCGATTAGTATTCACAGTTCTGTCCACTCCTCTCTTTGTTATTTTCCTCATCTCTTCTTGTTGTTATCGTATGTTTTTCCTTTCTTTGTCACCTCTGCCATCCCCAAATTTTTATCCCCTATGGGGGAAGCGAGGCTGAGAGGCAGTGACTGGTCCCCGAGGTCACACCCAGTGAGCGTCACAGCCCAGTGGGAGCATTTGAACCCAGGTCCTGATTGAACCCTCTAATCACTGCACCACACTGGCTCTACGGCTTCTGGTACCCTTCTTTGGAGTAACCCCCACATCCATCCAGCCTTCCAGGCCCCCGCCCCATTAATTTCAGGAGGGCAGAAGCTGCGAGGGGCACGATGTGGATGTAAATTGGATTCTTCTGCGTGGCACGACCTGGCTCTCTTCCCAGGCCTCTGAATGAGGAACTGGTGGCTTTGAGCTTTCCCCCCTCTTTCCTCCCCAGGTTCCTTCTCGCCCGACCTCTCCCCTTCTGAGCTCAGGAACCAGCGGAGGCTGCGTGCCGGATCGCAGGCCCAGGACGAGAGGGAGCATACGGCTCAGCTGCGCAAGGTACAGACCCCCCAAGAGCCAGGAGGAAGCCGCTTCCAAGGGGGCGCATCTCCTGGCGGCTGAACTGTAAACAAAACCTCGCATTAGGAGTGTGATGGGCTCAACAGGTATACCGCCCCGTACCCATAGCTCCCAGGGCGGCTCACAACACAGAAGCGCAATAAAAAAGGAAAATGCAGAATAAAAATAAGAGAAATACAGTGGTACCTCTGGTTGCGAACGGGATCCATTCCGGAGGCCTGTTCACAACATGAAAAGAGCACAACCTGAAGCGCCATATCTGCGCTGGTGCGCGGTGTGATTTGACGCTTCTGCGCATGCACGAGTGACGAAACCCGGAAGTAATCCTGTCTGGTACTTCCGGGTCGCCACAGGACGTAACATGAGGTATGACTGTAAAATCCTATGCCGCTTTATATTTTTGAGGAAGAAAATGTTGAAGCGGTTTAAAGCCTTTGTTAACACATCAGACGAAACATTCAGAAATGCAGGCAGCAACCGTTTGAGGCGCGTTCGAATCGTGCCCAACTCAGGAGTGGGCAGAAAGCATCTCTAGAAGGGGCGGTGCAGGGTGTTGGCTTTCTCGGCGGTGATTCAAAGACACGTGATTTCACTGAAATGCAAGGTGCCTTGGAGCGTTACCCCCGTGTCGGTGGGGTAAAGGTAAAGGGACCCCTGACCATGAGGTCCAGTCGTGACCGACTCTGGGATTGTGGCGCTCATCTCGCTTTACTGGCCGAGGGAGCCGGCATACAGCTTCCAGGTCATGTGGCCAGCATGACTAAGCTGCTTCTGGCGAACCAGAACGGAAATGCTGTTTACCTTCCCGCCAGAGCGGTACCTATTTATCTACTTGCACTTTGACATGCTTTCGAACTGCTAGGTTCGAGCGGGGACCGAGCAACGGGAGCTCACCCCGTCATTGCGGGAATTCGAACCGCCAACTTTCTGATCGGCAAGCCCAAGAGGCTCAGTGGTTTAACCCACAGCGCCACCTGCATCCCCGTGTCGGTGGGGAGCTGCCTGTAAAAACATTGCAGAAGGCGCTGAAGATGGAGTAAGCGTGGATGGCTTGAGGGGGCAGCAACGGAGGGACGTTGCGGGTCTGCTCTGACCTCCCTAGTCAGAGGCAGTGATGTGTCCGAGTCCCAGAAGGAACGGCAGGAGGCGAGAGGGATCCGCTTGCGCTCGGATCCTGCTTGTGGCTTCCCCATTGAGGCCTCTGGTTGGCCACTCTGAAAACAGGAGGCTGGACTCCCATGAGCCCCCAGGGGCCTGATCCAGCTGGCTCTCCTTACGTTCTGCCGTTCTTCGGACGCTGAGCCTGACCCAGCAGGGCCCTTTGTAAGTTCTTACTCTCTCCCGGTAAAAGATGACCAGCATTAGTGGCGCACAGCTCCAGAGGATGCTGAGAGGTGGATGTCCAGGGAGCCCTCTATCCCTGGCCTGACTGCTCCTCCTCCCCCCTTCTTCCCCGCAGGCCATCGAGTCCCAGCTGAACGTCACCCTGGCCGAAGACCTGGGCGAGGCGCTGGCCAATGGGGTGATCCTCTGCCAGCTGGTCAATCACCTGCGCCCTCGAGCCGTGCCCTTCATCCACGTGCCCTCCCCGGCTGTGGTGAGCCTTTGGGGTCGGGGAGCCTGCCAGACCCCCAAGTCCACAAGAACGTCCCCTGTGCTCCTGACAGATCAGGGGCTCCCAAGCTGCCCCCTTGGACCCATAAACTCTTTTTTTTTATATAAATTTATTTGGTTTTTCAAATTAAGAGTTTTACAATTGCATATCCAGCATACAACATAAAAACAAGCGTCTCCTGGATTTCTTCTGGGAAGCTTTTAATGTTTAATAGGTTTATTATTCCCTCCTCCCCTTTGTGAGTCTTATTGTTAAACATTTCCTCCTGCATCTTTCATAATAATACAAATCTCTCACATCTCCCTTATATCCAAAATTCACCATGAAACTACAAGGGTTATTCCAGTCCTACTAATGATGTTTACAATGGTCTTTAAGATAAGTTATAAATTTTCCCCATTATTAACGTTTTGTGTTCCTGATGGCAAAAACGGCCGGAAGAATCAGAAATCAGGAAGACCTTGGACCCATAAACATAATAATAATAATAATAATAATAATAATAATAATAATTTATTATTTATACCCCGCCCATCTAACTGGGTCTCCCCAGCCACTCTGGGCGGCTTCCAACCAAATATCAAAAACAATACAGCGTCAGACATTGAAAACTTCCCTAAACAGGGCCGCCTTCAGGTGCCTTTTAAAAGTAAAATAGTTGTTTATTGCCTTGATATCTGCTGGGAGGGCGTTCCACAGGGCAGGCGACACCACCGAGAAGGCCCTCTGCCTGGTTCCCTCCCCTACGAAGGACATACCATATTTTTCGCTCTATAGGACGCACTTTTTCCCCTTCAAAAATGAAGGGGAAATGTGTGTGCGTCCTATGGAGCGAAGATGCCATAGCCCCGCGACCCTCTCCCGGCTGGAGGGTGACGCGCGGCTATGGCAGGAACCTCTACAGCCCCGTGTCACCTCTCCAGCCGGGAGAGTGCGCGCGCTGGGCTAAAGCAGCCCCCTGCGACCCTCTCCCGGCTGGAGAGGTGACGCGCGGCTATGGCAGGAGCCTCTCTGCTGCGCCTTTCCGCTGCTCCCTGACCTGCTCTTTGGGGCTGGTGGTGGGCTTCCCCCCGCCAGCCCCAAAGAGCAGGTCGACAGGAACCTGAAGCCTGGAGAGCGAGAGGGGTCAGTGCACACCGACCCCGCTCGCTCTCCAGGCTTCCAACGTATCCGCCTGAACGCACCTTAAACGGCACCTTGTTTTAGAGCGGGAAAACAAGAGGGGAAAGTTCTCCCCTCTCTGTGAAGCGCCTCCTGCTGCTTCACTGAACGGGCGCTGGGCAGAGAGGGGGAAAAATTTTTTTTCTTGTTCTCCCCCCTCTAAAACAAAGTGCGTCCTATTGTCCGGTGCGTCCTATGGTGCGAAAAATACGGTAATTCAGAATAGCGGTTTTGTTTCTACGACCCGCTAATAACAATAGAATTCAAAACGGTAGCAGTTGCTGCTGATTCAAAATTCGGTTTAAGCTACTTAAGTTTGATCGGTTCAACAAAACGAATGGGCACTGGATGCCAGTTCCCTCCTGGCACTACCCACCCCCCTCGCCTCTGAGCTCCCCCATAGGTGATGCTCCCGCCCCAGGGGCACCTAGACCAGGTCTGCCCAGCCCGAGGGGTGCGAGAAGCTGCCTTAGGTCATTGCTTCACCCAGCTTAGTACGGCCTGCACTGGCCGGCAGCAGCGGCTGCCCAGGACTTTAGGCAGAGAAGAATCCCCGCCAGCCCAGCCCTTCTGCGTGCCAAGCGGGTAGCCCTCCCCTTGGGCATTGCTGAGCTGACCACCTCTCTCTCTCCCTCTCAAAACAGCCAAAGCTGAACGCCATCAAAAGCCGGAAGAACGTGGACAGCTTCTTGGCCGCCTGCCGCCAGCTGGGGCTCCCGGAGGTGAGGTTGGGCATCTGCGGGGGTCTAGTTTGTGTGCTGCTGCTTGCTTGTGCCTGCTGGGGAGGGAGAATTGGGTGGGGGGGACACACAGGAAGACCCTCCTTTGAGAAATGGCCCCCAAGCCCTGTTTTTACACAACACACACACTCTTTCCATTCCTGTTCACACATTGCCCCCAACTCCCTCCCAGTACAACTCAGAACCGTAGAGTTGGAAGGGACCCCCGAGGGTCATCCAGCCCAACCCCCCGGCTCAGGCAGCCACCCAACCCCTGCTTAAAACACCTAGGGAGGAGAGCCCGCCAGTTTGCGAGCGGGTCCGTTCCGCTCTCAAACAGCTCTTGCCGCCCGAACATTATTCCTCACGCTTGGCCGGAATCTCCTCTCTTGCCGTTTGAAGCCGTGGGTTCAGATCCTGCCCTCTGAAAGCCAGCTGGCTCCATCATCCACAGGATCATAGAATGGTACAGCTGGAAGGGACACCGGGGGGTCATCCATCCCAACCCGCTGCAATGCAGGGATCTCACGGTGGCCGTTGGGCAAACAAGTCCCGGTTTCCGGTCCGACTGCCCTTCCCTGCAGACTGTGAGCCCCCTCCCTCCCCACCCGCAGGCTGCCGACCTTCCTCTGTGTGCTAGCGGTGTTTTTTTTGTGTGTCTTCTGTGTTCTCTCCCCTCTGCCACAGGTCTCTCTCTGCTCCGCCTCCGACGTGGCCGCCCTCCTGCAAGGCAACGTCCGCGGCTTGCTCCGCCTCCTCGAGGCCCTGCTGCCGCTGCCATCGCCGCCGCCCGCGCCCCCCGGGGGGGGCAGGCCCCTCGCCCCGCCCGCCCTCTCCGAACACCTCGCTGGCTTTGGCGTCTTCTATGTCGTCCTCATGCTCCTCCTCTACTTCGCCTATCGCAACCTCTGCGGCTGCTGAGCGTGCGGGCAGGGGGGGTCCCCGGCCACCCCCACCGGGCAGGAACAGGTTCTCCAGGGCAGACGTGGGTCAGGGCGCGTGCCCCACACTCCCCAGGGTGCGTGGAAGTCAGGGTGTCAGCAGTGCAGTCGAAGCGGGACACAGACAAATACCATTTTTCCCGAGGCCAGCGATCCCTGCAATTCCCCCCCAATAATAATATTAATAATAATAATAATAGCTCTCCCTTCCCCAGTCAGAATTAGCTCCCTCTGCCAGGCCCAAGGGGCAGGGGGGAGTTCAGGGCAGCCCCCCCATGGCACCTGCCGTTCGGTCTCTTCTGTGCCTTGTTCCCCTAGCGAAAGGTGTTTTGGGGGGCCGTTATTTTGGCCGGGGGGGAGAAGCCGCCAACTTCCTCCACCCCTCGGTTCACATGCACTTAAAACTGCGTTGCACTAATTCACGAGTGCCTGCAGGGGGGAGTTGGGTGCGTGCGGCAAGGGAGCACTTACAGGCCCCCCCCCCAAAAAAAAACCTTAGGCGGTCCTAAAGCCTTGGCCCACGCACTCCGACACTGTAAGGTCTTCGCTGCCCCTGACCTCACACACAGAGCACGTCTCTGAACCAAATGTCACCCCCTACCCCAGATTTTGTGCCCGCTCCCCTGCGCTGGCAAACCTTTGAGGGGCTCGGCTGTTCCGCACCCCAAAGTATGCCCTGGGGCATCTCAGTTTGTGGGCTAAAGGCCACTTCTTCCTCAAATGCCCTTGCCCCCCCTCGAATCCTTTCGGGGTTCCCTGTTCTGGACCTCTTCCCTTTTTGGGGCTTCTCGGGAGCACCCGACGCTGGACTCGCACTCCTGCCCTTCCTTTAATCCAAACGTGCAATTTCTGAAGGTCCACGGAGGGAGGGAGAGATGGGGGCATCTGCCGTGTTCCAGCCCACCCCATAATCTCTCTGGCACGGTGCACCCCCCAAGTCCGGGGTGGCGTTGTGGGGGGTGGGGAGGCCTTCAACAGGTGACAGGAATCACCTTAATTCAGGGCAAAAGCGGCTCCTCTTTCTAGAGACGGCTGCAGTCAAAATTCCAGCCCCTTCTAGTCTCGCTCCCCATCTCCGCTGCCTTAAATATATTAAATTATACATATATATTTTATATAAATATATAAATATATATATATATATATATTTGAAGAGAAGAAGATTATGGAATACTGTAATGTAAAGGGAAAAAATTTTTTTTTTTGTCTTTTTAAGCATGTACAGAATTGTAAATATGTGGTGCTCTCCATCGATCGCCTGCCCCCCTCTCTTGAGCAGGGGGGGGCAAAAATCTTTTTCAAGGGCTTTGGGGTTGTTGTTTTCCCTCCCCCTTTTCACGGTCCCCCCCCACCCCACCAAAAAAAAAAAGGACTGCTGTACATTCTGCATTTGTGTTCTTCTTGCTTTTTTTGTTCCTTCTCGAGAGGCGGCTCCTGCGTTTTGTGTTTTGTTCCTCCTCGCCTCGACTCCTGTACATTGTAAAATACCAAGAAATGAATTCTTCTTTTTTTTCCAAACGACGGCGGCAGCAGCAGCCTTTGTTTCTTCCTTCCGCCTCCTTCGTCTTCTGGGTTGTCTTTGTACTTTTTCCTTCCTGTAACCGCTGGTGGGGTGGGAGCAAGTTTGCTTTCGCAATCCGTGTTATGGGGTCGGTGCGGGTTGCGGTCTGACGGTCAGAACTTGCTGGTGGGAGTTGTAGTTCAGCGGTTGGGAGTTGTAGTTCAGCGGGGGGGGGGGTTCCCAAAGCCTCCCTCCCTCCACCCACTGCAGAACCCACCCTGACCTCGAATGTGCGCATGCACACCTTTTCCCGCCGGCAAAGGGAGATGTGCGTGGCTCAGGCGCACTTTTCCACCGGCTCCTGTGTCCAGCCGGGCAGATGTGGGAGGCCGTCTCGGCCAGCAGCGCCTGGCCAGACCGTCCTCCTTTGGCTTGCCCTACCGAGAGAAGCACCGCCCGCCGTTGCTAACTTCTGCCCCCCCCTCCCATGCCCCCCACCCCTCAGGAGTCTCTCTGCTCCCCCCACCACGTGCTGGAAGAGGAGGGTCTGCCCCGCGTGGCCGAGACGGTTCGGACTCTGCTGGCAACGGGCTGCGCTGCCCCACCTCTGGGGCGCCAGAAGACCTAGGCGGACCGGACAGGGTGGCCTAGGCGGACTGGACAGCAGGGACTGCGCCGATCCGAAACTTGCAGGGCGGCAGTGCAGAACCGTAATCGCTCAGGGATCTCCGTCCAAAGAAGAGGAGCCGGGAGCTTTCCCCACAGGGAAACGGACTCCGCGTTCAAAAGGGGCGAGAGGGCAAGACCCCTTTGTCAATGGCTCTCCTCCCGTGGATGGGAAGCTTCTCTCCAAATTCAACAAGAACATTTGTGTGTTTTTTTGCATTTGTGCACATGTCGGTGAGGTTGCATTTAAATAAGCAGCTGCCTCAGTTGCGTTGTCCATTAGCAAAGCCTGTTCTATCGGTCCTGGGATTATGAAATACGGGGCAGAAAGTCCTGACCTCTTCTTAAAAACTTCCAGCCACTCTCAGCGCCCAGCCCTCCTTCAGCCCAGGTTTGTTTCCTTCCACAGAAAAAGAACTGTGGAGTTGGAAGGGACCCCCAAAGGTCATCCAGCCCAACCCGTTGCAATGCGGGAATCCCAACTGCAGCACCCTTGACAGGTGGCCGCTCAATCTCTGCTTAAAAACCTCCAAGGGCCCCCCCGCGCCCAAGGGAGTCCTTGCATGGTGTGACCTCCGGCGCTTCTCCACAGGGCTCTTTCTGTTCCATCTCCAAAGATCCAAACCTCTGTGCTGCTGCATGTCTGAATGGGCAATTGCATGTCAGCCTGGAGAACACCCAGGTCGGATTGGAGGGTGGGATGGGGTGGAAGCTTTCCTTCTAAGGACAACGGCAGGTTCGCTGACATCTGGAGGAGCTCAGCATCAGAGCAGGAGAAGAGCTCTGCCGGATGAGGCCAAGGGGGCCCCTCATGAAGACCCCCCCCCTCCTGTTCTCACAAGGGACAGCCAAGGGCCGCGTCTGGGAAGCCCAGCGGCATAAGAGCCACCCTCTCCCCTGGCGCTTCCTTCCCAGCATGGCTGCCATGTTTGTAGGGGTGGGTGAGAACTGTAGTTCAGCCTAGGCGCCCAAGGTTCCTCACACCCTGCAGGAGAAGAGCCCACCGCTGCACCCGGATCAGCCCAAATGCCCGCCTGGGACCCAGCACTGAACGGGGGTCGAGCAAATACCCCAAAGGAAAGCCCCCCGCCATCTTCCACAGGGGAACTCGTTGGGTGGGGTCGACTCTGGAGTAAACGTACACAGCCCTGCAAGCGAGGGGGGTTTTCTTGCGGGTGGTGGGGCTTCAAGGGGGCTGGTCAAGCTAGCCTTTAGCAGATACCGCCCTCCTCGTGGGCAGTTGTTCCCTCTGCTAGGTCCGAGCACCCCCATTTCTTCGTGGGTTCTGTGCAGCTTTGGGGGAAGCGGTTTTGCTGCAGCCCAGACTGGCAGCACCTTCCCAGGCTTGGTGCCCTCCCAGGTGCCCCAGGGAGAGCATGGCAGTGGGCACGAGGGGATGTGGTCCACCCCCATCACACAAGGCTACCCTAAGTGCAAGAAGAGGGGGAAAGGGGCCTGTTGAGTCCAGCCTCCTGGTCTCCCCCACGGCCAGAGCCCCTCTCCCCTCCTGTGGTTTCCAGCACTTGGGATTCGGGAGCATCACTGGCTCGGAGCCACCGATAGCCATCTTTTCCACCAATGTGTCCTAGCATCATAGAGTTATGAGGGGACCCCCCAAGGTCATCTAGTCCAACCCCCTGCAAGGCAGAGATTATTATTTTTTACCCAATGTGGGGCTCGAACCATGGCTGTCAACCTTCCCTTTTTTTTGCGGGAAATTCCCTTATTCCAGCGCCGTTTCCCGCAGCTATCCTGGATTGTTAGCTAACCCATAGACGGTCCCCGGGACAGGTGAGGCTGCTGATCCCTTATTTTCAAATCTGAAAGTTGACAGCTATGGCTCGAACCCACGACGCCGAGATCGAGAGTCTTGCTCCCCCCACTGAGCCATCCTGCCTCGTCCAGCCCCCTTCCAAAGCCGTCCAGGGGGGCGGCTCCTCAGCACCTGGAGCTCAGAAGCTTCCCTGCCGCTCCGAGCGAGGCTCGTCGCCCACCCAGGACTCGTCTACACGGAAGCCCCCCAAAGAGGGAGGGAGTACTGCTGCCGGGAAAAGGGGGCGATTTCTTGGGGGGGAGGTTCTCCCGCTCCGCCCCTGCGAGGAGGGCCGTGGGCTGAGCGGGTGGCTTGGGCCCTGATCCTGCCTTCCTCCCGCGCTCTAACCACTGCGCCACGCTGCCTCTCCCTTTCCCCAATGCAGCCCGGTCGGGGCAGAGACCTCGCGCTTCCGAAGGGGCGTGGCTAGCGGGATGTCCCACCCCCTGCGCCTAGGCCACGCCCACGGAGCCCCACAAGGGATCCTCCCCCCCAACAGGCAGAAGTTCAACCGGGAGAGCGGTCAGCATTTCCTTCCCCTTTAAGGGCGCCCCGCCCCTTTCCCGGCAGCAGGGGCGTGGCTAGTGGAAGGCCCCGCCCCTGCGCCTAGGCCGCGCCCCCCACCGACAGAAGTTCAACCGGTAGAGCGGGCGAGGTCTCCTTTCCCTTTAAGGGCTCCTCGCCCCGCCCCCTTCCCGACAGTCCCTTCCGAAGGGGCGTGGCTAGCGAAGACCCCCGCCCCCCTCCCAACAGGCAGAAGTTCAACCGGGAGAGCGGGCGGCATTTCATTTCCATCTAAGGGCTCCTCGCCCCGCCCCTTTCCCGTCAGCCCCGCGCGGCGGCGGCGGCGCCCTGACGTCACCGCGCCGTCTCTGGTGGGCGGGGCTTCCCGGCGGGCGGCCAAGATGGCGGAGCTGGACCTGCTGGGCTCCATCCTGAGCTCCATGGAGCCGCCGCCGGCGCTGGGCGACCGGGAGGCCAAGCGGGCCAAGGGTGAGGAAGGCGGGGGGGGACCCAGGAGTCCGGGGGGGGGGAGGGAAGCCAGCGCCGCCCCCCCCCGCAGGTAGACTGCGCCGCCCCCTGGAGGCTCCGCCAGAAGAGGCCCAAGGGCGCATGCGCAGCTCCGGAGGGTGACGTCAAGGTCGCCGCGGGTCAGGCTAGATGACCCTGGAGCCCCTTCCGTCCCTGCAAGGCCCGCTGTCGTTGGGGGCTGGGGCACACGCTCCCGGCTGCCCCCTGGCTTCCCCCCCAGCAGAAGGAGGAGAGCCCTGCAGCCGGATGAGGCCCAAAGGGGCTCCCCATAGTCCAGCCCCCTGACCTCCCAGAGGCTGACCAGGGACCCCAAAGGGGGAATACACTGGAGATCTTAGGCTTCTCCCTGACCGCGTTTATCGTGTTTCGTTTTGTATTTTAGATATCTTTGTTTCAAATTTACAAATAATAAATTTCATTTATACCCTGCCCTCCCCAGCCAAGACCGGGCTCAGGGTGGCTAATACCAAGTATAAAAACAATTGATTAGAATACAGTGGTACCTGGGGTTACATACGCTTCAGGTCACAGACTCCGCTGACCCAGATATAGTGCTTCAGGTTAAGAACTTTGCTTCAGGAGGAGAACAGAAATCGTGCTCTGGCAGCAGCGGGAGGCCCCATTAGCTAAAGTGGTGCTTCAGGTTAAGAACAGTTTCAGGGTAAGAACGGACCTCCGGAACAAATTAAGTTCTTAACCCGAGGTACCACTGTACAGCTTAAAAAACAAGATTCAAGTACAACAACAGGAGTCAAAGATGATGATGATGATGATGATGATGATAATGATAATAATATAATTTTTTATTTATACCCTGCCCATCTGGCTGAGTTTCTCCAGCCACTCTGGGCAGCTCCCAATCAAGTGTTAAAAACAATACAGCATTAAATATTAAAAACTTCCCTGAACAGGGCTGCCTTCAGATGTCTCTTAAAGATAGGATAGCTGCTTATTTCCTTCACATCTGAAGGGAGGGCGTTCCACAGGGCAGGTGCCACCACCAAGAAGGCCCTCTGCCTGGTTCCCATGTAAGCGCCCTTCTCGCAGGGAGGGAACCGCCAGAAGGCCCTCAGAGCTGGACCTCAGTGTCTGGGCAGAACGATGGGGGTGGGGACGCTCCTTCAGGTCTACTGGACCGAGGCCGTTTAGGGCTTTAAAGGTCAGCACCAACACTTTGATTTGCGCTCAGAAACGTACTGGGAGGCAGTGCAGATCTCTCAGAACGGGTGTTATGTGGTCTCGGCGGCCGCCCCCAGTCCCCAGTCTAGCTGCCGCATTCTGGATTAATTGCAGTTTCCGGGTCACCTTCAAAGGTAGCTCCATGTAGAGCGCATTGTGGTAGTCAATGCAGGACATAACTAGAGCATGCACCACTCTGGCAAGACAGTCCGCAGGCAGGGAGGGTCTCATCCTGCGTACCAGATGGAGCTGGGAGACAGCTGCCCTGGACACAGATTTGACCTGTGCCTCCACGGACAGCGGTGAGTCCAGAATGACTCCCAGGCTGCGCACCTGGTCCTTCAGGGGCACAGTTGCCCCATTCAGGACCAGGGAGTCCCCCACACCCACCCACCCCCTGTCCCCCCAAAACAGTAGGAATGAGGGAGAAGCATCTCAAGGGCTCCTTGTAGCCGCAAAGGCTCCATCCTCCCTCCACGGTTGGGGGTAGCATTGCCTATTGGGAATTGCAGGAGGGGGCAGCATGGATTGGTGCCCCCATGCCCCGCTTTGGGGCTTCTACGGTTGGAGCATCTGGTCAGCCACCGTGAGAGTCGGATACTGGATCAGGTGGGCCTGATCCAGCAGGAATCTCCTCCCCATTTCCCTCTGTAGAACTGAACTCCTTCTGGAGAGCTGGAAAGGTCTACGGCTTCTCAGTTAGCAAGCGGCTGGACCAGTGGTTCTCAACCTTTTTTGGGCCATGCCCCACCTAAGCCTCTCTAAAATCCTGATGCCCCCTCCTGTGACATACAATTCGTATTATTCAGAAAGTGAACTGTTATTCACGTGGATGAAGCCTAAAAGGCCATTAATAACTCATTCTCAAATTGCCCCCCTTAAAAATCAAATTGCCCCACATTGGGAACTGCAAGCCTGAGTGAGTTGGGATCTGGCCCAGAGGCTGCCGTTTTGGAAGCAGGAGCAAGTGATCCCTTTCTGGGATCCCCCAAGCTACTCACGCACCCCTTTCTGGGAATGGAGTTGAGATATGACCTAACCTGGGGAGAAAACAGCAAAGACCTGGTGAAAAGAGCACAGCAGAGGTTATATTTTCTGAGAATCCTCCGGAAAAACAATCTCTCAAAGGACCTGTTGATGGCATTTTACCATTGTACTGTTGGGAGTGTGTTAACTTATGGTCTGTGTGTGTGGTTTGGGAGGTGCACGGCCAGGGAAAAAACAACGCTGTCCAAGGTTGTAAAGACTGCGGAGAGAATAATTGGGTGCCCTCTTCCCACCTTGGATCAAATCTACGCTTCCAGGTGCCGTAAGACAGCTGCAGAGATAGCGCAGGATAGTGCACACCCCGGAAATGATCTCTTTCAGCTCCTGCCTTCTGGAAGAAGGTACAGGGTTATAAAGACTAGGACTAGCCGCCTGAGAAACGGTTTCTATCCAAATGCGATTTTGGTTTTAAACGCAGTGTAAGGAGTCTTTATGGGAGTATATTGTATTTTAAAAATGGGGTATCAGAGTTTTTAGGGGGCTAACGAGGTTGAGATCGCTGGGATAGCAGGCTTGTTGGTTTTGAATGTCTTAGGTTGTTGTTGTTTAGTCGTCTCCGCCTCTTCGTGACCCCCTGGACCAGAGCACGCCAGGCCCTCCTGTCTTCCACTGCCTCCCTCACGCTGGTCTCTTCGAGAACACTGTCCCACCATCTCGTCCTCCATCGTCCCCTTCTCTTTCTGCCCTCCATCTTTCCCAACATCAGGGTCTTTCCCAGGGAGTCTTCTCTTCTCATGAGGTGGCCAAAGTCTTGGAGCCTCAGCTTCAGGATCTGTCCTTCCAGTGAGCACTCAGGGCTGATTTCCTTAAGAATAGAGAGGTTTGATCTTCTTGCAGTCCATGGGACTCTCCAGAGTCTCCTCCAGCACCAGAATTCAAAAATGTCTTAGGTAGATTTTTTAATTTCTTTGTTCTGTATGGGACAATGACAGTAAAGATTATCGTATCGTATCTCTCCTCTCTCTCTCCTTTCCCCAGAGCAAACAGCACAGCTGAAGAAGCTTCAAGAGCAAGAGAAGAGGCAGAAAGTCGAGTTCAGGAAGCGGGTGCGTCCTCTGCCCCCCCCCCGGCACAAGTCCCCAACTTGCAGGCAAGTGGGGACCAGGGACCACGCTGGCTTCCTCTTCGCCTGCTCACAGCTTCCTCTCTCTTCCCCCGCCATACAGATGGAGAAGGAGGTCTCTGATTTCATCCAAGATAGCAGCCAGACTAAGAAGAAGTTCCGGCCCATGAACAAGATTGAGCGCAGTATTCTGTGAGTCCACTGGGGGGGCAAGGGGGGAGGGGAGGGAAAAGGTGCCGTTGCAGCTGGGCAGGTGAAATCCAGCCTCCAGGTGAAGCATACCTGACCTTGGCTTGGTTTCCAACTTCAGGACGGCCTGAACAGATTGGAGAACTGGGTGAATTGCGAATTTTTATTATTATGGTCACAGACCAGTTCCTGCTCACTTACAATATCAGGAAAATCATAAAACACAACAGGAATGCATTGAATTGCAATTGGGTATAACAGAGACAGTACAGATATAGCGGCAGTTTAAAAAATATATCACTAATGATCACTAAAATATAACCTAAAATTGTCATTTAAAACCTTAACCACTTTGGTAGTGCAGCTTGTTTTATGGCGGTCGCACAGAATTTGGCCACCCTGAGCGTGATCTCTGGATCCTTGTCCTCTACCAGGAGTTTTAGACATTGAAGTTCGGACCCATTTGGAGATTTTTGTATAACAGGAGTGATAAATACCGAGCGTGTATCCCCGTAGAAACGGCAGTGTAACAAGACATGAGAGACAGTTTCTACCTCCATCGAGCCGCGGGGGCAGACTCGTTCCACGTATGGGTTACCCTTGAATCGGCCCGAACTGGGTGCAAGTAGCAAAATGAATTTAAATAGGGGCAAATGTAAGGTTCTGCACTTAGGCAGGAAGAACAAGATGCACAAATACAGGATGGGGGGACACCTGGCTTACTAGCAGCTCATGTGAAAAGGATCTGGGGGGGGGGAGGGAGTCTTGGTGGACCACAAGCTGAACGGGAGCCCACAGTGTGATGCAGCAGCAAAAAAGGCGAATGCCATTCTGGGCTGCATCAACTAGAAGTCTAGTGTCCAGATCAAGGGAAATCATATCACTCCTCTCTGCTGCCTTGGTCAGGCCACACCTGGAATCCTATGTCCAATTCTGAGCAGCACAATTTAAGAAGGATGTTGAGAAGCTGGAATGTTTGCAGAGGAGGTTCGAGCAAGAGGTTCAAGCGTCTGGAAACCAAGCCTTGTGAGGAACAGTTGAAGGAGTTGGGGATGTTTAGCCTGGAGGACAGGAGATACAATGGCCATCTTCAAATATCTCAAGGAAGATGGAGCGAGCTTGTTTTCTCCTGCTCTGGAGAGTACGACTTGAACCCGTGGCTTCAAGTGACGCTGAGGTCCAGCGCCAAGGGCCTTCTGGCGGTTCCCTCATTGTGAGAAGCAAAGCTACTGGGAACCAGGCAGAGGGCCTTCTCGGTGGTGGCGCCCTCCCTGTGGAACGCCCTCCCACCAGATGTCAAAGAGAAAAACAACTACCTAACATTTAGAAGACATCTGAAGGCAGCCCTGTTCAGGGAAGTTTTTAATGTGTGACATTCTAATGTATTTTTCATCTTCATTGGAAGCCACCCAGAGTGGCTGGGAAACCCAGCCAGATGGACGGGGTACAAATAAAAAAATATTATTATTAATAAGGAGATTCTGACTAAACCTCAGGGGAAACTTTTCTGTGTGCAAGAACCCTTTGACAGCGGAAGAGGCTTTCTCAGAAGGTGTTCACCTCCCCTTTGTTCGAGGCTTTTAAACAGAGGGCAGTTCACCCTTCGTCTGGGATGCTTTAGCTGCGATTCCTGCATTGCAGGGGGTTGGACTAGATGACCCTCGGTGCCCCTCCCAACGGTGCAATTCTCTGATTCCCATTCTAGGCACGACGTGGTGGAAGTCGCAGGCCTCACCTCCTTCTCCTTTGGTGACGAGGAGGAGTCCCGATACGTCATGATTTTCAAGAAGGCAAGTGGGAGATCCGTCGCTGTCCCCCTTTCACCCTGTTGGGGGTCGCTCCCCATTCCTCCTCTCCACCCCCTGGAGAGTCCATGTTCCCGTTCTGACCTCCCCATCCGCCTCTCTTTCAGGAATTCGCCCCCTCGGACGAAGAGCTGGACGCCTACCGCCGGGGGGAGGAGTGGGACCCCCAGCAGGCCGAGGAGAAACGCTGGCTGAAGGTGGGCAGCTTTCCTCTAGGGGGGCAGGGTTGGGCCTGTTGGGCCAGGATTGCAGTGCCACCCTCGGAGGAGACGCCACCCCGGGGTGCTCCTTGAGGGATTTGCAAACTGTGGAACCAGAGATAGACACCCCAGCGCATAAGAACATTAGAAACTTGGATTTGGAAGCAGCTGTGATTCTAAATACCAGATTATTTAGGGTGGGAGAGGGTTGCTCAGAATACTTTGATGCTGCTTGTGGGTTTTCCACCATGGGTCCCTGTGAGGAGAGAGAGAGAAGAGATGCTCTTTGCTTAAGGAGTCTTCCTGCACTCTCTTTGCTGCCTTATCCTTTCCTGGGATGTCCAGCCATCGGGCCCAGAGGCCAGAACATCTCCCAAGGGACTCCCTGTGTAGCGTTCCCAAAACAAGGAAGGATTGGACTCTGATTAATAGAATGCACACGAGGCTTGAGCAGCAAGACTCTGGGAGGAGGTGCCAATAATAATAAGAATCCCTCTCCACCCCTCGGCCCAGGTCGTTTTATTCACAAAAGAACTTTTTGCACAGTGTTCATAAGAATCAATAAGATTTACTCTGAGCATTTCAAAAACCCCACGTGGGACAAAGTTAAAGTTAAAACTACAAAGAAACTATTTCCTACTTGAGCATGCATACATAGTTCAGAGTAAATAAAATAGGAATAAAAGGAGGAGTGCATTCAGCAAAACCCCAGAGGTCTTAAACAGGAGGGGCAGGATGGCAGTATTTACCATCTCCTTGTGAACTCTCTTCCTGGCCCTTAAGGTCTATCTAAAGTTTAAACTACATCAAAGTAACCCACTATCCTTATGTACTGAGGATGCCTGAGGAAGCAACTGGCCTGTGTTTCAGAATGCTTATACGTGCCTGTCAGCAAATGGCAGAGATGCAGAGGCTTGTGGGATTTGATCAGAAACTATTGTCACTGAATCAAACCCAGTCAACGCCATGCTTTCATCGCGGACACAATGGCGTGCTCCATATTTCATAATTCCTCATAGCAATCCCACCTGACCCCCACACTCTGGATATCTGCACCCCTACATCCCAGCCCTTTCTCTGCCTCTCCTGGCAGCAGCGGCAGGCGGACTGTCCTCCCCTTCTTCTAGCATTTCCCTGAGCTTGGCCTGCTCTGAAGGAGCGGGTGCCTAGCTTTGGGATACTTCTGGATCCATTGCTGTCACTCGAGACCCAGGAGACCTGGCGGGCCTCCCCTCAGCTTCGTCTGGTGGCCCAGCGGTGCCCCTAACCGGACAGGGGCAGCCTAACTTCTGCCTATGCTCTGGTAACCTCTAGGTTAGATTGCATATGTGGGGCTGCCTCTGAAGACGGTTCAGAAACGTCAGCTGCTGCAGGATTTTGCAGCCAGGTTGCAAGAGGGTTGGATCCTACGACACCCACCTTGGCCCAACTGCACTGGCTCCCCCTTGAAGTGCTGGTTTCGACCTTTAAAGCCTGTAAAGGACCGCAACACCACAAGGGCCACCTCTCCCCATATTTACTGGCCCAGACTCTGCCCTCCTGTGTGGGCCGCCTCCATGAGAGGTCTGGAGGGTGACAACACGAGAGCGGGGCCTTCTCTGCAGTGGCTCCCCATTTGTGGGATGCTCTCCCTGGGGTGGTCCCCCTGGCGCCTTCATTATGCACCTTGAGGCGCCAGGTGAAAATGTTCCTCTTTAACCAGGCTAACCTCCATCCAAAGATTTCAGGGCAGTTCCCCAGATGAAAACGTCATGCGTGTTTGTGTTTTTATAGCGGAATCCTCCCTGTGATCTTTTTGGGTTTTTTTCAAAAACAATTATTGGTTTTCAAAAAAAAATTAAATAAACGTACATCTTAACTGTACTTAATCCAATCTTAGTAACATTGTTAAGTGACTTCCTCAAATCCCCCTGGCTGAATTTCAGTGTATATCATTGTAACAGTTGTCCAAAACCAATTTTCTCATAAAAGTAACTTAATCACTTAACATCTTTCTTTCTTTTCATTTTAACTTTAAACATATTATTCTCTAACGTCACATATTTTAAATCCCAAGCCTATCTGATATTTGCAAGTTTTCCAATTAAGTTATCTTAACATATTTAACAAAATAGTCTTTGAATTTCATCCATTCCTCCTCCTTCTGGTCACGGACTCTTCCAGTCAGCTTGGCTAGCTCTGAAAAGTCCACCACCTTCATCTGCCATTCCTCCACTGTTGGGACTTCTTGCGATTGCCAATTCTTAGCTAGCAAAATTCTAGCTGCAGTTGTGGCATACAAAAACAATCTAACATCTTTTTTGGGCTGTTCCAATCCTATTATTCCAAGAAGAAAGGCCTCTGGTTTCTTATAAATGTATATTTCAACATTTTTTCCAATTCATTATAAATCTTCTCCCAGAAGACTTTCACCTTGGGGCAGGTCCACAACATGTGATAAAAGGTACCGTCCTCCCTGGGATTTTGGGAGGAAGGGCGGCAGGTGGAAAGAAGGATGGAGGAGTCCAGGATGAAGCAGCCGCTGTGACAAACGCACCACGCAGCCCCATAAATTTGGCTACAGGGACGAATCGCTTGCTCCCTCCGAGCGCCGTGGGGTGGGCAGGTGTGGGGCTGGGAGCTGCTTCCATTAACTTAATTTGATTTTGAATTGATTTTAGAATGAATTGATTTTAGAATGCTGTGTTACTTTTATTGCTGTTAGCCGCTCTGAGTCCGGCTTTGGCTAGGGAGGTCGGGATATAAATAAAATTTCATTTTATTGATTATTCCCTTCTGTCTCTCGCCCCTTCATGGCTTCTGCCCTGCAGGAACTGGCTCAGCGGCAGGCGGAAGAGGAAGCCCTGAAAGGCCCCACGGTGGTCAATCCCAACACTGACTACAAGGACAAGTACAGCCACCTGATTGGGAAGGTGGCTGCCAAAGACGCCGCACACACCATGGAGGCCAACAAGGCCTACGGCTGCGGTGAGTCGGCAGGGGGTGGGTTGACTCTCCTGGTTGGCTCCCCCAGACCCGGAGGGACATCTGCAGCAAGAGCAGCCTGGACTGGCCCCTCGCCCCTCCAGGGCACTCCCAGCTATGTGCAGGGTGCTATCCCTCAAGAATCCTTGGGTCCACGGCACCCGCGGGAAACAATCTCCGGCCGTCCCCCAGCATTTTGGAGCACGGGTTCCTTCTTTCTTGCTCCAGTGTGAATCCCTACCTGCTGAGACCCTATCTGCCCATGGACTTTCTGGCCATCAAAGTGGTGCATGCTCTGGTTATCTCCCGCTTGGACTACTGCCTATGTGGGGCTACCTTTGAAGGTGACCCGGAAACTACAAGTAATCCAGAATGCGGCAGCTAGACTAGTGACTGGGAGCGGCCGCCGAGACCACATAACACCGGTCTTGAAAGACCTACACTGGCTCCCAGTACGTTTCCGAGCACAATTCAAAGTGTTGGTGCTGACCTTGAAAGCCCTAAACGGCCTCAAAGGACCAGTAGACCTGAAGGAGCCTCTCCACCCCCATCGTTCTGCCCGGACACTGAGGTCCAGTGCCGAGGGCCTTCTGGCAGTTCCCTCACTGCGAGAAGCCACGTTACAGGGAACCAGGCAGAGGGCCTTCTCGGTGGTGGCTCCCGCACTGTGGAACACCCTCCCAGCAGATGTGAAGGAAATAAGCAGCTATCCTATCTGTAAAAGACACCTGAAGGCAGCCCTGTTTAGGGAAGCTTTTAATGTTTGATGCATTACAATATTTTAATATTTTGTTGGAAGCCGCCCAAAGTGGCTGGGGAAGCCCAGCCAGATGGGCAGGGTATAAATAAAAAATTATTGTTATTGTTATGATTATTAACGGCACCGACTTCTAGTCGGCTGAGCTATATCCCTTGTAACAACCAGAAAATAAGGATACGGATTTGTGGTAGGAAAAACAGCAAAGGGGGTAGTGTAGGGGGGATGGGGGGGATATAGAACCGCCCTGAGATCTACAGATATGGGGCAGTAAACATATTTAATAAAGATTATTATTATTAATAGAAGAAGAAATGTCTTTACACAGCTGAACTGTGGAACTCCCCAACTTGGAGCGCTTTAAAAGAGGATTAGACAGATTCATGGAGGAGGAGAGAGCTATTGATGGCTGCTAGCTGCAGTGCCTATTGCTGTCTGTATAGTCAGAGGCAGTGATGTGAGCCAGTGTGGTGTAGTGGTTAAGAGCAGTGGACTCGTAATCTGGGGAACCGGGTTCGCTTCCCCACTCCTCCACCTGCAGCTGCTGGGTGACCTTGGGCCAGTCACACTTCTCTGAAGTCTCTCAGCCTCACTCACCTCACGGTGTTTGTTGTGGGGTAGGAAGGGAAGGGAGAATGTGAGCCACTTTGAGACTCCTGAAGGGGAGTGATAAAGCGGGATATCAAATCCAAACTCTTCAAACTCTTCCAAGTACAGTACCAGTTGCTGGAAACCAGCAACTGGTGGAGTCTCCTTCTTTGGAGGTCTTTAAGCAGAGGCTTGACAACCATATGTCAGGAGTGCTCTGATGGTGTTTCCTGCTTGGCAGGGGGTTGGACTCGATGGCCCTTGTGGTCTCTTCCAACTCTAGGATTCTATGATTCTATAAACCACAGGAGGGAAGAAAGTTCTCATGGGCTCGAATCCTGCTTTCGGGCAGCAGGTTGGCCACTGTGAGAACAAGATTCCGGGTTCGGGCCTGTTCTTAAACCATGAAAGAGGAGGGAAAGTGTTGCAGACGGAGCTTTAGATAATAATAATAATAATAATAATAATAATAATAATATATTTTATTTATACCCCGCCCTCCCCAGCCAAGGCCGGGCTCAGGGCGGCTAACACCAGGTCTAAAAACAACTGACTAAAATACAACTTAAAAAACGATTAAAATACAACACTGAAATGCAGAAACTCATTTCAGCAGAAACTCAAAAACTTTTTGGGGGATGAAAACGCCGAGTCTTCACCAAGGCCAACTGTCCAGACTGGTCCTACGTGGGCCAGAAAAAGCCAGGGAAGTCCCCAAATAGGAGTTCCAACACAGAAGGAAAAAAGGAAAAAGGAAAGGATCAAATTGATTCCAAGCCAAAGGCCAGGCGGAACAACTCTGTCTTACAGGCCCTGCAGAAAGAACTCAGATCCCGCAGGGCCCTGGTCTCATGAGGCAGAGCGCTCCACCAGGCTGGAGCCATCACTGAGAAGGCCCTGGCTCTGGTTGAGGCTAATTTCTCTTCCTTAGGGCGTAGGGTGTTGCTATTTATGGACCTTAAGGCCCTCCACAGGGCACTGAGAACATGGTGCGCCTTCCGGGTGTTGGGAAATGTAGTCCAGAACACCAGCAAGGCTCTCCACCTTCTCAGGGCCTGCTCTGAGAGGCTCCTGTGTTCTTCGAATTGGGCTGAATTGGGCCTTCGTGGTTGAGCTGTCCGATTCTCCGCCTTTTATTAAGTCTTTTTCATAATATGACCAAAAAAAGACCTACCTGAATAAATGCAGAGTCCTCTCAGAGGTCGATCATTGCCAGGCTGGCAAATTCTTGACGTTCCCCGTCCCTCTCCCCTCGCAGTTCCCGTCGCCAACAAGAGAGACACGCGCTCCATCGAGGAGGCCATGAACGAGATCCGGGCCAAGAAGCAGCGCCTCCGCCAGACCGAGGACGAGGGCCCCGCTCCGCCCGCCAGCAGCTCGTAGGGATCGGGGCCGCCAGCAGCGGCCGGGCTTGCTCCCCGTCGGCTGATTTCAGGGACTCGCCTCCGGAGCTGCTGCTGCTGCTACTTCTGTGGAAGCCACCTGGGGGCTCCCTGGAGTGGATTAGGAGGGGGACTCCCACAAAACATCCCTCCCTCTCCTCCCTTGGTGTACCCCAGCCCTTTTGAGTAGTTGACCCCTAGCCTAGGGTGGCGTTAGCGTGCTGGCAGGTGAGGAGGAGGAGGAGGGTTTGTAAAAGTTTTTATCTTCTGCGTGTGAGAAAAGGGGCTGAGACGATTGTAGCAAGGTGGGAGTGTGTTAAGGGAATAAATAATATATCCCCCCCCCAAAAAATACACACCACAATTCCCTTTTTGTGTGCTGTTCAGACCTCCACAACTGAAGTTGCCCCTTTTAATCCTGTAGTGTGCTTCCCCCACCTTGCACTGAAGCCCCCCACCCTTACCTCTCCCCCATCTTAAAACTCCCCTCCACCCCAGTTTTTATTACCACTGTAGTACCACTCGCATCCACCAGAGAGGGCATCCCTCTGAGCTGCAGTACTCCCTTCATCCCACCAGGGGGAGCAACCGAGTTGCAGTGCCATGGCCAACTGGAAGACCTTAGCAGGGTGCAGGAGCCCCCTTTACCCCGCTGTGGGGTGGGAGGGCAAAGGGGCCCGTTTGCCCCCGTGTCCGCATTGCGGGGAGGGGTCCTTGCTGCCTTTGACAAGAGGGTCCCTTCCGTCTTTGGGGTGTCGAGGCCGAAGCATACCTGTCTTCCCTTTGGATCTTCTCCTAACGTCCCTGCCAGGTCTGGAGTTTTTATTCAGTGTGTAAATATTTAAGAAATTCTGTTTGCCTGCCTTCCCGCTATGGGGAGCCGATGCCCCCATTGCACACCCCACTCCCTGCTCCCACGTGTCACAGGCTCCCAAGGGGGCCTGGCCATGTGGATGCCGGAGCCGGGAAGACGCCATCGGTGGTGTTTGGGCAGAGGGCTGTATATGTGTGTGGACAACATTAAATGCTTGTTTTGGACGCTGTCTTGCCTCTGCCTTTTCTCCGTGTCGAGAGCGAGAACTTCTTCACAGCCCCATGGAAGCTTTTGACATTTGGGGGGGCAAGTTTAGAGGGGAGGTAAATAAGCGCTTAAAAGTGTATACGACCACTCGAACTCAGGGCTGTTCAACAAAGTTTGTGGGCGACAGGGGCAAGGGTAGTCAAGTATTATATATGGTGATGATGATTTGTTAGATTTATATCATGGGTAGGCAAACTAAGGCCCAGGGGCCGGATCTGGCCCAATCGCCTTCTAAATCCGGCCTGCGGACGGTCCGAGAATCAATGTGTGTTTACATGAGTAGAATGTGTCCTTTTATTTAAAATATATCTCTGGGTTATTTGTGGGGCCTGCCTGGTATTTTTACATGAGTAGAATGCGTGCTTTTATTTAAAAGGCATCTCTGGGTTATTTGTGGGGAATAGGAATTCGTTCATTCCCCCCCCCCAAAAAAAATATATAGTCCAGCCCCCCCACATGGTCTGAGGGACAGTGGTCCAACCCACGGCTGAAAAAGTTTGCTGACCCTTGATTTATATTCATCACAAGACCTCAGGGCAGATCACAAGAACAAATGGGTAAGTGTAATTGGGAATTGAGGGACTTCGCTGGTGCAAGATGCAAGGAAGTCCCCTGGCTGAGGTGGAAGGGGGGGGGAGATGTCATCTGTGGCCCTTATCCAAATGTGGGACCCCCACCGGTCCCATGCCCTATGCATCTCGCCGTTTCGTCCCTTTCTAGACCGCCTTTCCCCCAAAGAGCACAAGACATGAGATTCATATCCAGTTCTCCCACCCTCTGCTCTGCGAGGTACATTAGGCAGAGAGGCAGGGAGCGCCAAAGGTCACACCCTGTGAGCTTCACTGCCAAGGGGGGATTCAAACCCAGCCCTCTCCCAGAATACCATCTGGCACTCCAACCATTGCACCTCGCTGGCTGTGGGGAGAGTCAGAGATTGCCCCCTCCCTGGCTCAGGTGGCCTTCACAGGGAGTTGGCAAGGGCGAGGAATCTACCTAGCTCCATATTGTCCACACTGACGGCAGCTCTGGCTCTCCCGGGATTCAAGCAGGGAGTCTCTCGAAGCCCTGCCTGGAGATTCCAACGGGGGATTGAACCCAGGATCTTCTGCAGGCAGGGCAGCAGCACTCCCACCGAGCTGCGGTTCCTTCAAATAAAGCCAAGGTGCTAGTCCTCATGGTTCCTTAAACAGGAACCCTGGAATCTTGCCGGTGGTCCGTCTCACTCAGTACGGCTTACAGTGACTGGAAGCAGCAACTCTCCAGGGTTTCAGGCAGCCTTCTGCATGCCAAGCAGGTGTTCTTGCAGCCCTCCTTCCCCAAGAGCTCTTTGCCATAATGGATGTCGCCGCAGGACTCTGCTTGACATTAAATCGCCCCCATCTCTGTGGGCCTCTTTGGCTTATGTGGGCCCCGTTGTGACCCCAGGAAGACCCTCCGTAGCCTCTGCTAATCCCAGTTCATACGTGTCAAGAGTCGGCTATCATAACGCTCTTTTGCACAGCAAACCTCACGCACAAGTAATTTCATTTGTGTGTGCAAAGTTACTGAAGCCTAGAAACTTGGAGCCCCAATCTCGACCATTTCCTGCAAAGCTTTCATTCAGAGAGTAGGACGGGGAGATAATATACGGTCCCAAACCAGTTTGAAGCCCATGTTGTATGTTGGTTTCATAGTATTTGACCTGGGAATATATTGCAAATCATGACGTGTGCTTGTGTGCTACGCAATAATTTGATGCGGGGAAAACCGTGAAGCCAGCCAATGCCTCTGCTTATTTCAGACATCATGATATCTCAATATACCATGATGTCTAGCAGGTGATGTATCCCAACGCTGCCCAGCCCTGGCAGAGCGACAGAGGGAGGCGAGAGGAGCCCGCCTGAAGCACAAAGGGGAACTTGGCTCAGGGGCAGACTTGGCGCTTCCCAATTTCACTGGCACCAAACTGGCGCACCCGTCTTCCGTTCTATTGTCGCACCACCCTCCCAATGTGGCGCCCAGTGTGACTGAACTGGCCGCGCACCCCTAAATCCGCCTCTGCCTGGCTAACGCGCACACGCACCCTGTCCCGTTTCCCAGAAGACGCAAAGAAGGAGTCTGACGCCGCTTGCTCTGGCACAACGGCCTTGTTTATTCGCTGCCCCGAGATGGGATGGTGGGGCAGAGGCTCCTCAGCTGCGCTGCCAGGGCCTTTGCCCAGGACCCGGAAGGGGGAAACGAGGAGGGGATCCAGCCAGCCCTGGCCAGTGGGGGGCGGTGTTGTGGAGCCGCCTTCCAAGGAGAGGAGAGCAGGTGGGGGGGGTCTCTTTCTCCCTGGGGTTCCCTTGCCCCCCTGGGGTGGGGCTGCAGGTCAGGCGCTGCTTCTACTTGGCCAGAGGGTGGCGGAATTTGCGGCCGGCAAACACCGCTTTGTCTCCCAGCTGCTCCTCGATCCTGCAAGGAAGGCAGACGGGGAGCAAGATCAGTGCCGGGTCTGGAAAGCAAGACTCAGGAGGAACAGGGATGTTTAGCCTGGAGAAGATCCAGGGCCCATCTCAGATATCTCAAGGGCTGCTGCTTGCGAGATAGAGCAAGCTTGTTTTCCGCAGCTCCATAAGGGAGGACTCGAACTCATGGCGTCAAGTTACGAGAAAGGAGATTCTGACTCAACATCAGGAAGAGCTTTCTGACAGTAAAAGCTATTTGACCGTAGAATGGAGCCCCTTGGAAGATGATAGGCTCTCCTCCCTTGGAGGTGTTTAAGGAGAGTTTGCCATGGATTCTGGAGCTGTGGTTCTGGGTTGGGCTGGATGACCCCTGGGGGACCCTTTCCAATTCTATCTCCTCACCTCATCAGCTGGTTGTACTTGGCCAGGCGCTCGGAGCGGCAGGGAGCTCCGGTCTTGATCTGCAAAAAGGCACCAAAGATATTGATATATCGATTGGCAAAACGTGCACTGGGCCCTATTGGCGCATCGCTCGGGACGCCTTGTGAAGTTTAAAACCCACACAGTCCCACCCCCCAGAATACAGGAAGGAGCCCTGAATGGGGAAACAGGCCAAGCAGGGGAACGCGTCCTAAAATGGGGAGTTGGGGGGGGATACAGGCACCCCCTCTCCACCGGCTGATCCCCACCCTGGTCCTCTCACCTGCCCTGTGCAGAGACCCACGACCAAGTCGGCGATGAAGGTGTCCTCGGTTTCCCCGGAGCGGTGGCTCACCATGACGCCCCAGCCGTTGCTCTGGGCCAGCTTGCAGCTGGGAAGGAAGGAGGAGACGGTTTGGGGGGTGTCCCGGGATATCCTGCCCCTGCCGCAATCGCCCCTCCCCAGAGGACACCCTGCCTCCCCGGACACTCACGCCTGGATGGACTCGGTGACAGAGCCGATCTGGTTGACTTTGAGCAGAAGGCAATTGCAGGCCTTCTTCTCCACCGCCTGCTGGATGCGCTTGGGGTTGGTGACGGTCAAGTCGTCGCCCACAATCTGGATTTGCACCTGCGTCAGGAACTTGGACCACGTCTCCCAGTCGTCCTGGTCAAAGGGGTCCTCGATGGAGACGACTGGGGCAGCGAGGTGGGGAGGGAAGGGATGGTGTTACAGGCCAGCACGCCCCCAGACATCTCTCTCCCCGCTCTGCCCCACACCTCCTGCCCAGAGCCCTCAGGCTCGCCTCCATATGGACAATAATAATTATAATAATAATAGTAATTTATTATTTATACCCCACCCATCTGGCTGGGTCCCCCCAGCCACTTTGGGCGGCTTCCAACAAAACACTAAAATACAATGACCTATTAAACATTAAAAGCTTCCCTGAACAGGGCTGCCTTTAGATGTCTTCTAAAAGTTTGGTAGTTATTTTTCTCTTTGACATCTGGTGGGAGGGCGTTCCACAGGGCGGGTGCCACCACCGAGAAGGCCCTCTGCCTAGTTCCCTGTAACTTCACTTTGCACATGGAGGGAACCACCAGAAGGCCCTCGGCGCTGGACCTCAGTGTCTGAGCAGAACAATGGGGGTGGAGACGCTCCTTCAGATATACTGGGCCGAGGCCATTTAGGGCTTTAAAGGTCAGCACCAACACTTTTAATTGTGCTCGGAAACGTCCTGGGAGCCAGTGTAGGTCTTTCCCGGTGTTATATGGTCTTGGCGGCCGCTCCCAGTCAACCCAGTGGGGCCGGAGGAGTGAAGAGAGCGCCCCTGGGCATGCACAGAGAGCTTGTCCCTCGCCACGGATGTGGGAAGCGGTCCAGGAAAGGAGCTAGGACGGCCTCTAAGAGCACAATCCTAAGCGGGGAGTTCCGCAGAGTTACAAAATGAGATATTTCAAAAGAGAAAATAGACAAGGACTGGAAGGTGTTTAAAGGATACTTGCAAAATCATATTGAAAAACCAGAACTCCTATTAGAATAAACAAGTTCCGTTATAAATACTGAAATACTAAGTAAGATGTATAACAATGTGAAACAGAAAAAGAAGCAGAAAATTGGTTTTAAAGTATATGAAAGAAAGTAATAGAAGTGGAAAGAAATTGCAATTGAGTAGATTGGAAGTTTACCACAAGGGTGGGGAGAGGGACGGTGGTGGGAAAAGGAAGTACTTGTGGGATTGAGTGTGGGAATGTCTGAATATTCTTAAGGATTGTATGAAATGTATGTTTGTATATTCGTGACATGTCTGTATTAATGTTGAATTATTTTAATAATAAAAATTATTTTAATTTTTATTTTTAAAGGAAGAGATATTTCAGTGGGATTGGGTCCCCTGGTTTTTGTGTCACCCAGAAGCAACTTGGCCATCTCTCTCACCAGGGTAGTTCTTGATGAAACTCTGGTAAAGCTCCCCCAGCTTGTCGCCGGAGATGTAGCGGTTGGGGTCGTCGGGGGACTTGAAATCCAGGTCGTATTTGCCCTTGCGGAAGAACTCGGAGGCCGCCACGTCCATGCCGATGACCACTTTGTCCGAGTAGCCGGCCTTCTCGATGGCACTCTTGAGGAGCTCCAGGGCTGGCGGGGGGACGGCAGGAGAGAGTGAGAAATTGGGGTGCCCCAGTACAAAGAGCATCTCTTCCCAGGGCAGAAAGCCCCAGAGCAGAAGCCAAGACCAAGAGCCCTTCGCTTCGGGGGGCTTCCAGCAACCGAGATACAGAAGCCTTAAGGAGAGCCTGCAGGATCAGGCCAAAGGAGGCCCATCCGGTCCAGCCTCCTGTCCTCACAGGGGCCAAACAGGCGCCCATTACGGGAAACCCAGAAGCAGGATTTGAACACAAGAGCATCCCTCTCCCCTCCTGCGGTTTCCAGAAACTGGGATTCAAAAGCAGGGCTTCCTCTGGCTTTTTAGACAGAGCCATGGTGGCTGGGAAGCCCTCAATCGCCCTTTCCTCCAGAAATTGGTCTCCTCCTCTTGGAAATCCATCGCTGCCTCTGGCAGTTTAACTCCGCAACAGGACAGCTTTCTTTTCTCCCCACATTCACCTTCCTCGGATGCCCACAAGAGGAGGAGGGAAACGATTCTCTCTGCGTAATTCCATCTTATATTTTTAGTTGCAATTTTGTTCATGTTTTTAAAATATTGTTTTATAGATTCTAAACGCCGCATTGATTTGTCAACCACACAACTTGCTGCAATTGTGAGACGGTTCATTTCTAGTTGCTGTTTCATTAAGTTTTTTATGGATTGCAACCGTTTTATCGATAATTTCTTAATCGTTTTATGTGATGCATTCGCGATGCGCTATTATGTTATGGTTATTTCTTGTCCGAAATGAGATTCATTTGAATGAAAAGCAGCATAAAGAAACACAATAAATCAAATCATCTTGTGGCCTCTTCCTCGCCTTTCCTCTAAACTGAAAAGCCCCCAAATCTGCCCCCTTCCTTCACAGGGGAGTCCCTGCCCCCCTCCCTTGACCTTTCAGGCTGCCTTTTTTCCATGTCCTTTTTGAGGCGAGGCAACCAGAACCACCTGCAGTATTCCGAATTCGTCTGCCTGGGCCTTCAGCCGCGGGTTCCTTCCCGCAGGAAGCTGACCCTTGAGGGCGAGCCCAGTGGTATCTCCCCGCTGCCCTTTCCCCGAAGCTCCGGTTACAGCCGCCGAGCTAATTCCGGCCATGGCGGCGTTTAAAGGGCGAGGGTGGCGTGAAACCCTAACCCCGCTGCCTGCCACCCGCTAAAAGTAGCCTGCCTCCTCGCCCAAGGCGCTACCTTCGTTGTTCTCCAGGATGTTGGGGGCGAAGCCGCCCTCGTCGCCCACGTTGGTGGCATCCTTCCCATACTTGCTCTTGATGACGGCCTTCAGGTTGTGGTAGACCTCGGCCCCGATCCGCATGGCCTCCTTGAAGTTGCTGGCGCCCACGGGCAGGATCATGAACTCCTGCATGGCCAGCTTGTTCCCGGCGTGGGAGCCTCCGTTGATCACGTTGAAGGCCTGGCGGGGGCAAGGGGGGGCAGGAGGAAGGGGTCAGGATCCGTCCCAAAGACTGCCAGTCTTCAGGATCGGGACGGGTGGCCTCCCAGAGACATCTCACAAGCTAAAGGGCAGAGCCTGAAGAACTCTCTCTCTCTCTCTCTCTCTCTCTATATATATATACTGTATGGCATAATTTCATTTCTCCTGCAAATCTTCTTTTTTTATACAATCATTTTTATTAGTTTTCAATTACAACAAGCCAATAATAGCCTCTTTATAACAGTGCCAAATTATAATACTATGAGTAATACCAATCATTGAGATGACAAATTATCGTATTGGCCTGAATATAAGCAGCACTTTCCCCCCAAAATTCCAACCGTGGAAAGTTAAAGTGCGGCTTTAATTCGCGACCTTACAAAAATTCGCGACCTTACGATATCGCTGCTGAAACAGACAGACGGTAAAATGGAACGGGTCTGAGTGCCTGTGGAATTTTAGGGGAATGGCTTATATTCGGATATTCTCTCCGCCCCCCCAAATTTTAATTTGCAGGTGCGGCTTATATTCAGGCCAATAAGGTATACAGTTTAGGTCCCTGCCCCAATGCAATAATTGATGGTTTGATGATTTACTTTATTCCTGCGCGCCAAAATCTTATAAATTCCAATTGCGTTCCAGTCAAAATAACAATCCCTTATATCGCAACTGCAGTTTTGACGAATTTCATTCGTACTGATTTTACACCTACAGGTGAAGTGTTCAAATTCTCTCCTTGTGTGTGGCAATTATTCTGTCCTCCTGCAAATCTTAGTGCCATTAGCATGTATGCAAATGTCCAGCTCCTTTAAGAACATTGGAAGAGCATGTGGGATAAGGCCAGAGGGGGGTCCCCTAGTCCAGCCCCCTCTTCTCACTGGAAAGCCCCCCAAGCAAGATTCAAAGGCGAGAGCAACTCTCCCTTCCTGTTTCCAGCAAAGGGTTGCAACTGTCTCATCTCGAACCCCGACCCCATAGAGACTCTTTATCCAGATCAGGGCCCTGAGCATCTTTGACACCCCCCACCCTGCCAGCCCCCTCCCCAAAGACAGAGAAGGGAGGTGCTGGGCTTTGGGGGTGGAGGTGGGGCGCTCTAAACCACCCCCCGCCTGACAGAGCCTTATGCCTCCTTGCCAAAGCCCAGAACCTCCCTTCCCCGTCTTTGGGGAGAAAGCACAGGAGCTGGGGCTGGGGGTGTCAAATTTGGGCCTCGCTCCCCCCCACTCCACACAAGAAGGTGGGGGGGCAGGTTCCTGGCTGGTTGAAGATCTCTTGCGACCCCCTTAGTATGAGAAGTTGGGCCGCCCTGAGAGAGACCCTTCCTTCTCAAAAATAGGGGGGGGTGTGGACTCACTTGTTGAAAAATAAATAAATCTCTGATTATTTGCAAAGGGAACCTTTGTATCAGCTGAAACCCGATAATCCATTTGGAGCCGCAATGCATCTTTGCACTTTATTATTATTATTATTATTATTATTATTATTATTATATGCCACACTTCATCCAAACATCACAGGGCAATCTACAGCTTTACGGTTGATATTTTTGGTCCTTTTTGCTACGTTTCCCCTTTGGTGTTGCTGATATATTAATCCGATCCAGTCCTCTGGGAGCCTGCACTGCACCCCCAAAAGAGAGGGGCCTTGGCTCCAGACACCCCCCCCGCCCCGCCCCTCCCCGGACACTCACTGGCACGGGCAGGATGAGGTCCTTGTTGCCAGCCAGGTCTGCGATGTGTCGGTAGAGGGGGATGCCCTTCTCAGCGGCGCCCGCCTTGCAGACGGCGAGGGAGACGCCCAGGATAGCGTTGGCCCCAAACTTGGCTGTGGGGAGCAAAAGATGGGGTGCTGGGTGAGGGGGTGCGGGAGAAGTCAGTGGGGCAGGAGGGGGTGAGGTAGAAGAGGCCCCCGCTTACATTTGTTCTCTGTCCCGTCCATCTCCAGCATCAGCTTGTCGATTTTCTCCTGATCCACAACGCTCAGCTTCTAAGAGAGGAGAGAGAAAAGGGAATGTGTTTGTTTCCCGGGAACACGGGTTCGAATCCTGACCTGGCACCTTTCCTGCACGGAGGTTGGAAGTCTGATAGGGAAACTCAGAGAGTCTTAAGGCGTGTGGGCCAAAAGTTAAAAGGAGCCAAAGGGGGCCAGATAAAAGGAGCCAGATAAAATCGTAGAGTTGGAAGAAGGGGGACCCCCACCCCAGGGCCATCTATCTTTCTATCTATCTATCATCTATCTATCTATCTATCTATCTATCTATCTATCTATCTATCTTTTGCCCGACCTGTGGCTCGAACCCACAACCCTGAGATGAAAAGTTTCACACGCTAAAGAGTCTCTCCACTCTCCACTCCCCTCACCTGAGAAACAAAAAGCAGGGCTGCAAAGGGGAGGCTGCAGAACAAAATTTTAAACTCAGAGCATATAGAATAATAGAGTTGGGAGTGACAGCCCCCCCGGACATCTAGCCCAACCCTGAGAGACCCCCCTCCCTTCCCTTGGGTTTTCCTCCCCCAGTTCCTTTCTGCCCAGCTGGCCTCTCCTTCCCACCCACCAACCAGTAAGAACCCCATGAAACTGGGAATAAATGGGGGCGGGGGGGGGAGTTGCGCCCGATAAAAGGCCTTTGGGACAAGGGTTCGGGTTCTGTTTCTCCTTTTCGTTTGTGTCTCACCACGTTTGGTGCACGTATAGTTATGTGCTTTTTGAACTTTCAATAAAGATGTTAAGAAAAAAGTTTAAAAATAAAATAATAAAAATAATTTTAAAAGGATTCTTTGCTCAGTTAAGGGGGGGGTATCCTGGCTGCCTGGGGACTCCCTGGGGGCTCTTTGACCCTGCAAGGTCCTGGTCCTGGGGGCAGGGGCTTTGAGGGTTTTCTGTGGGGCTGTAGGAAAGGGCTTCTGCCCGCCACCCCAGAACCCAGCTTCTCTCTCTCTTTCTCTTTATGTCTCTGATTCCTGCTATTTTGCCTGCCTTGTGGGGGGTTGGGCTAGATGGCCCTTGGGGGTCCCTTCCTACGGCACAGTTTGGTGACCCCAGAGCCCAGCGCTGCTCAGGGTGACCGCCCCCCCCCACAAAGCCCTGCCCAGGTCCCACCCTCTCCCTCTCACCTTCTCAATCAGGGCGGGGGCGATGGTCTTGTTGATGTGATCCACGGCTTTCAACACCCCTGCGGGCAGAACGGACGGGTGAGGGGATGGAGGGGTGACCCCGCAGGGGAACAAGCACACTCCCACCCACACTACCCTAAACATGGGGCAGAATCAGGGCCAATGGGGCAGAGGAGGAAAGGAAATACGAAGAGAAGAGGCTTCTGGGGCTTGGAGCAGGCGGGTAGTTCTACGGTGGTGCGTCTGGAGAGGGTGCAATGGAAGAGAGGAGCCGGGAACTGGGCTCTTGGGTCTGGCCAGCACTCCCTCCAACTCCACATCTGGCCAGTTGCCCCAAGCAAGGGGGCACAGAGAGACGGCCTGCCCCTATCTGGAGGCAGGAAGCCCCCACCCATTCCCTGAACCCTGGTCCTTCCAGCCCTTGCAGGCAGCAGCCGTCCAAAGCCCCTCATGGACATCAAGCTGTTCGTAACCGTCCAGTGGCAGGGAGTTCCGCAGATCCACAGCACATCTTGCAAGCAGAGAACTTAAAAGTGTCATTGCCACTCGGCCCCGCTTCCCTTCCTCCTAATCTTGATGTTCCCTGGGGCACCGACTCGCACCCCCCTCCCCGCTCCGTGAGCCGCCACGTCCGGGTGACCCCTCACCTTTGCCCAGGTACCTGCTCTTGTCCCCATCGCGGAGTTCCAGGGCCTCGTAGATGCCGGTGGAGGCACCGCTGGGCACGGCAGCCCGGAAGTGGCCTGGAGAAGAGGGCAGAGAGGAGGGTCAGTCGGGCGCCAGACGGCCAGCACCCTCCCTGCCCTCCCTGGCTCCCTCCCCCCAAGAGAACATGCCCTGCCCTTGCCCGCAGGGGCTCCCCTGCCCACACGACTCACCCTTGGCTGTCTCCAAGTCGACTTCTACCGTGGGGTTCCCCCGGGAGTCGAGGATCTCGCGAGCGTGGATCTTCTGGATAGACATGCCTGAAGGGGGGGTCAGAGGGAGGGGGTCAGTGAGGGTCAGCCTCCTGCCTCCCAGCGCCACCTTTGCCCTGGCAAAGTTTGGGGGGCTGAACTGCCACAGGGATGCTTTAATTGTGATTGGACTAGATGTCCTTCGCGGTCCCTTTCAATTCTACGATTCCACAAGTCCATGAACCAGGAGGCTGGTCTCACGCTAAGAAGGGAAGGAGGGCCCGCTGGATCAGGCCCAAAGGATCTGGCCCAGCACCCTGTCCGCAAAGGGTCCAAATCCCCCATAGAAGCAAGGAATCGAGATAGACTGCCTCTGGAGCTGGAGGTTCCACAAGAACAGCAGACGGTCCTGGGTCAAAAGGGACCCAGTTCGGTCCAGAATCACAGGGGCCAACCAGATGCACATTACGGGAAAGCCAAAACCAGGATCCGGGGGCAAGAGGAACACTCTCCCCTCCTGGGGTTTCCAGAGCCCAAGTCTGCAGGGAGGCCTCTCCCAAGCAGCGTGGGGCAGTGGTTAGAGGGCCAGACTGGGACTGGGGAGAGACCAAGTCCGATTCTCATCTGTGGGTGTCGCTGGGCGAGTCACTCCACCTCAGCCCAGGCTGCCTCGCAGGGTTGTTGGAATTAAATGAGGTGCTTGCAGGACCAGGAGGCGTATCAGTGCCATAAATGCAGTAACTGCAAAAGGAGCAAGGCTTCACCCTGAGAGCGCCAAGCCCACCGGCCTGGGACCCTCTTCCGCCACTCAGGGACCCAGCGCTGGCAGAGAGGGGGAAGGGGAGGACGGAGCAGCTGCCAGGATTAAAAATAGAAGTGCCCCCCCCATCTCTTCTGGTCGCAGGGAAATGTCACCGGCCTCTGGCTCAAGGCAGAAAAGGAGAGCAGCTGGCGCCTTGGGGCTGGAGAGATGGGGGGCCCTTTCTGCACCCCCAAAAGACACGCTCCCCTCTCATGCCTCCTCCAGGGACCTCCAAAGTGGCGCCCCCCACCCACCCTCCCCAGGAAGGTAGCATTTCAAGGGTCTGCCACATACGCCTTGACCCACACTGCTAATAACCCCAAACGTGGAGAGAGGGTTTTTTTTGGGTGGGGGGGGACTCAGAAATTCTATGCAACGGAGGGCTGCCCCCATTCCTTCGCAGAGAGGCCGTGAGAGGCAACGGAGGGTGGCTTGGGTGCCCCCTCTCCCAGTGGGACACCCAAGGTGACCACTTGCTTGCCTGGGGGTCCCCCACCCGCGGCTCCTTCCCCCCACCCCGCTCCAGAAGGGGCCCCCACTCGCTCACTTGCGTAGGGCTGGCTTGGGGGTCCTTGGCTGTCGCTGGGAGCTGCTGACAGTGCCCAGGCTGGGGGCTGACCCCCTGCCTTTATACCCGGAGGTTGCGCAGCTCCGCCCCCCAGGGCCCAGTTAGGGACTGTCGGCAAAAGCAGGCTGGACAGAGCGAATGTCTGCAGCTCAGTCGGTAGAGGATGAAATCTCTGAATCTCAGGGTCAGGTGTGAGCCCCACGTTGGGGGGCAGGTTCCTGCATTGCAGGGGGTTGGACTGGATGACCCCCAGGGTCCCTTCCAACTCTGTGATGTTATGAGCCTGGCAAGCGATACACAGCCTCCTGGCCGTCCCCTGACACATCCTGGCCCCTTTGTGCATCCAGCAGCTGTGTGGCTGGGACCAATCCCACAGGTCCAGACTGGGCAGCAAGGACGGGGCCAGGTGTCTCCAGAGAGACTCCTGGGACGCTGCTTTCTCTAGGCAGGAGGATGGAATGGCGCTGGGGCCTGGCAGGCCTCCCCTCAGCTTCGTCTGGGGGCCCAGCTGTGCCCCTAACTGGACAGGGGCAGCCTAACTTCTGCCTATGCACTTGTAACGTCTAGGTTAGATTACTGGCCTGACTGCACTGGCTCCCCGTTCAAAGTGCTGGTTTCGACCTTTAAAGCCTTAAACCAGGCATGGCCAAACTTGGCCCTCCAGCTGTTTGGGGACTACAACTCCCATCATCCCTGACCACTGGTCCTGTTAGCTAGGGATGATGGGAGCTGTAGTCCCAAAACAGCTGGAGGGCCACGTTTGGCCATGCCTGCTCAGGACCGCAGTACCTCAAGGACCGCCTCTCCCCATATGAACCCACTGAGATCATCCGCTGAGGCCCTTCTCACGAGAACGGGGCCTTCTCTGCAGTGGCTCCCCAATTGTGGGGTCTGCCTGGTGCCTTCATTATACATACTTGAGGCGCCAGGCAAAAACGTTCCTCTTCTCCCATCTATGGCCTTTTACATGAGAAGGGTGCTACTGCTTCGTTCCTTATTATGGGATGTATACCTGTATTTTGTGCTTTCATACTACAGACCACCCTGTGATCCTTGGAGGAAGGGCAGCATATGAATTTGATAAGGGAGAAGAGTAATAACGGACCCAGTTCTGAACAGGGAATTTAACAACAAACAATATTAACACCCTCCCCTCCACACACACTTTGGGTCTTATCTGGAAGGCTGGACTCAAAGCACCCCTTGTTTCAATCCTGCCATTCAGGGGGTTGGACGAGATGACCTGGGGCTTCCTTCCACCTCTCCAGCTCACCTCCTCCTCCTCCTTCTCTTCCTCCTTGTCCTGCTCGTGCTCCTTCTCCTCCCATGATGGCCCTTTCCGCCTTTCCTGAGCACTGGTCGCACTGGTTGCACTGGTGGAACACCCTGCTGAAGACCTGGTGGCGGCCTCCCTCGCTCATCCTCGAGGAGAACTGCACCGTGTTGATGGTGCACTCCTCCGAATCGCTGTTCACATCACTGTCCTCCATCCCGAATCAGTTTCGCAGGATCTCTGAGCAGCAACGAGGATCGCAGTGGCTCGCAGTTCCCCTGCCCTCCTGTTCAGCCCCAAGAAGCCAGTTTGATTAATTTGCAGGGTGCTTTGTTTTGTTTTACTCTATTCTGGTTTTGACCTGGCTGCTCCCTCTTTTCTGCCAACCACTCTGAGGCCTTTCTTCCTACGGTCGGCCGACCTTACAGCCTATACCGAAGAATAAATCATTTGCACCCCTTTCCATTTCAACGGAGGGGGAACTGAGGCAGGGAAAGAATGGCGTTTCCCTGATTGCTGCCCAAGCCCAGCCTTCGCCAATCTTGTGCCCTCCAGGACTTGTAGTCCACAACATGCAAAGCCCAGCAGGACCCAGTCTGGTTTCAACATGGATGGGGGGTTGAGATTCCTGCATTGCAGGGGGTTGGACTAGATGGCCGCCAGGGTCCCTTCCAAGTCTATGAATCTGGAGGCCGCCCGGTTGCTCTAACCGCTGAGCTCCACTGCCTCCGAGAGGCAGGGGGCTCCAGAGCTCCTCTCCCCCAGCGGCATGGAGTGCTTGAGGGCACGTTTTGTGCCTGCCACTTGCAGACGCTCCCTTAGCCCAGCTCCCTCTAAAGTCTTGGCCTAAATTTAGAGGCTGCTAAAGGTCAAAGGGTCCATTCCAAGCAGCGGCTTAAAGGACGAGGTGAAACTTTAGCTGCCGCTCACCTTTCACAGGCCTGCCTTGGGGTGGGGGGATCCCTTCTTCGGATCCAGGGGGAGAAGGAGGGATCTGGTAAGGGCTGGGGACTCACCGGGCGAAAGGCACAGAAGCTCCGATGGACGGGAGCGGAGGGTTCGAGAAGCGCGGCTTAAGGAAAAGAAAACCAAGGGATGGTCAGGAAGCAGGAGGCAGGGCCCTGTTCTAAGAGGAGGGCAGGTTTTTCATATATGTATTTCAAGAATAACCACAATAAATATGTCGAAAAGATCGCCTTCCTCCGTACACATGCCCTGTAGTCCATGTTTGTAAGAACCCGTCTGCCCTTTGGAACTCCCCGCCTCTTGAGATGGGGCAGGCGCCTTCCCCATCCTCTTTCCGGCGCCTGCTAAAATCGTTTTTTAATTTAGCTACGAAATTTAGACGCCTCCCTTCCATCACGAGATCCCAGGGCGGTTTGCAGAACAAAACCAAATTGTTTTAGACTATTCAGCCCAGATGTTTAGAAAGCCAAGAAAAGCTCTAATCTGTCTTCGGTCCACTTTTGAAAGTCTATAGACATTATTTCTGCGAGTTTCTCCTACTGGTAAATTTAACTCTTTTGTAAACCGCTTTGAGGGTTTGGGTGCTGTTATTCCCACCACCCCCTTTTTTTTTTACAACCAAGCCTTTTTCGATATGAACGAATAGTCTTCCTAGCCTGCCCGGGTGGTGGATCTGTGTTCCAGAGTTGCCCCGGTGGATGATGAGATTCCTGGACAAACGGGCAGCTGGGAATCGGGACTCTGTGTGCGCGCAGATTTCTCTGACCTTGGCACGGCCTCCAAGCAGGTCTGGGAAGCTCTGTCAGGCAAAGGTCACCAGGGTGAGGTTTCCTGGCGTGTCTCAGGACTGCCGGCATGGGGTTTCATGGGAGAGGGTTGCAAGGAGCCCAGATATGGAGTGAGGGTGGGTGGGTGGGCATGCTGAAGGGCAGCTGGGGGGCCATCTAGCGGACCTGACTTAGACATGCAGGGCGTTTCACGGAAGCATAGAGTCAGGGAAATGTAGAGTTCGAAGGGACCCCCAGGGGTCATCCAGCCCAACCCGCTGCAATGCAGGAATCTCAACTAAAGCATCTGGGATAGATGGCCATCTGACCTCTGCTTAAAAGCCTCCAGAGAAGGAGAGTTTGTTACTCTGCACACGAAGATGGGAGAGAGACAGAATATTATTATTATTATTATTATTATTATTATTATTATTTATACCTCGCCCATCTCTGGGCGGCTTCCAACAGAATATTAAAATACAATAATCTATTAAACATTAAAAGCTTCCCTAAACAGGGCTGCCTTCAGATGTCTTCTAAAAGAGAGAAATATATATAACTGATAACATTTTTATAAATTACGGCCATTTCAGCCTTCTTGCTTAATGTTTTTAAATATCTGACCATGGCATCAAGCGCTGCTTTCATTTTAAATGTTGCTCTCGTAATGCCCGTTACTGTTAAATCGTTAGCTGTCTTTATGGTATTTATGGAATTATTTATTTCCTAAAAATAACTGGGGAATAAAAACTCCCCGAAGCGGTTTACAAAAAAAGGATAAAGCCATAAAATTATCAATAAGAAGATGGGAAAAACCATGGAAGACTTTTGAAAAGTTAAAATAGCGATAGGCTAAAAAACGACAGAAACTCGCACCAGCTTCCGAAATATCAGGACAGGCTTGTCTAAATGAATATTTTTAGAGCCGTGAAGGTGTATTCCTGGTCTCAAGAGGCAAGTTCCAGAGTACAGGGGCCGCCACACTAAAATATTGAATTTTTACAAAAGCGGGAATGGGCATTATGTGGTCGCTGTGACAGGGCCAGCATACCTGTGTGTGGATACGGATGCACAAGCAGACAGGGTTCGATAAGCGGATTCAACCCCATTGCGGAGTTATTTGCTGTTTGGGGCTGATCCTTGGTGCCAGGACTGCCTCTCCCCATATGAAGCGCCCCGGCCCCAGAGACCCTCATTTGGGGCTCTTCTTTGTGTCCGGGGGGGGCGCAAGAGGACAGCGGGGCCTTCTCGGTGGTGGCTCCCTCTTTGTGGCACATTCATTACATATCTTTAGGCGCCAGGCAAGTCTGGTGAACTGCCCAGAGATCTTTAGATGGAGGGCAGTATAGAAATCTAATAAAATTAAATAAATAGAAATATTCCTTTTTAACCAAGCATTTGACTTTTAACTATCTATGGCTTTTTAGAAGTGGGTGGGTTTTAATGTATGTATTATGTGGGAATTTTTGGTTGTAAGTCGCTTTTGAGTTGCCCTGGGCAAAATAAAGCAGTTAACACATATAATAATAATAATAATAATAATAATAATAATGTCAGGCTGGCCAAGGGAGCTTTTCCAGCTGTGGAATCAAAGATCAGTCCCAATATGGCTAACCCAGGCAAAAATATATAAAAAATAAGATTCACCCCAGCCTTTTGCGTGGCTTAGCTTGCAACTGTTCAACTTGCTATTTTTAAAAAATCTGAATTTTGGGGGGTCCTTTTTAAATGTGGACACATTTTAAACGACCAGTAATAGCTGCAGTCCAGTTTGATGAAAGGCAAACCTATAAATGTTTTTAACCCAATACAGAAAAATCTGCTCACCTTTTCCTGAAATATGGTCTCCTCCACAAATATATATATATATCTGTATTTATATATATATATGGTAATCACTGAAGAGATGCAGGGTTTGTGGTGCAGCTGACAGAGAGAGAGAGAGAGAAAGGTGAGGTTATTATAGGTAGGGTATAAATAATAAAAATATTATTGTTATTATTATTATTATTACTACAACTACTACACTTTGTGAGGAGGGAAAAGGGGGTCTCTTTTAAGAAATACAGATGTGTCCCCCTCTCCCATCATTAACACGCAGAGGATATTGGGGGGGGAAAACTGCATTTGTTTGCATTTCTCGCTCTCCAGCTGTCGTTGAAATGGGGTGCCAGTCATTTGGGGGTGAATGATGGACTGACGGATCGATGGCACTGACACCCCAATTTTTCTCTTATTCCGAGGAGCTCCAGGTGGCAGGTACCTGGTCCCCCCCCTTTCTTGTTTTTAAGTTGTATTCATTCAGCTTGTTTTTATTATTGGTTGTTAGGCGCCTTGGCTGGGGAGGGCGGGGTATAAATAAATTATTATTATTATTATTATTATTATTATTTCTTCGAGGTCACTGGGGGAATTCGAACCCTGGTCCCTCTGCCCCTACCAGGGTTACCCACAATCCCCTGGGCCTCGATTGCCAATCTGCTTGCTTTTTTCATATTAAACCTCCTGCTGGGATACACATACATATATATATATGTATATATATATGGAGGCAAAGAGTTCGAATCCAACCAAATATTCATTCCCCCCCCCATGGCATTAATCCCCCATTCCAGCCCCTTCCCCTCCCTTGCCTCGCCGGCAACCAATTACCCACAATCCCCCGGGGGCAAAGGAACCACAGTTCTCACTCGAGGCAGGCTTGGCCTCGGCCGCAAGGCCCCGTTGCCGTGGCAACCGCCCCCCCACAGTCTCCATCCCCACACCCCCCCGCAGAAAAAAACCTACCCCAAATTTTATTTCTTTAAAAAAGCCCGCTATGGCTTTACATCTATCTATCTATCTATATATATCGGCAGTGTGTTTTTTCCTGGGGGGACGCAGGGATGCGCGTACCCCTAAACATTTTGTGAATCTTTGCTGTATTTCTTTTCCCCGATTTGAACTATAAAATGGTGATTTTTCTTGAGTCAAAATGAGAGTACCTCTAAACATTTTTTTAAAAGGAAAAAAGCACTGTATATAGCGGTGTTTTGCACTGTCGCCCTCATCGAGACTTAATAATCAGAGCCATAATTTTATTTTTTACAGCCTGCCCATCTGGCTGGGTTTCCCCAGACACTCTGGGCAGCCGACCAGCATCCTAAAGGAAAATATACATTTATGCCCTTGTCGGAATAGAATGGGCCGGAGGGAGCGTCTTTTTGGTGTGCTGGACTACTGCCAGACCCTCTCTGTGGGGCTTCCCTTGGCCTCAAGGCAGAAGCCCAGTTGGGTCTGCAGGATGCAAATTTAATAAATAGTTGACGCAGGATGCAAATTTAATAAATAACAACAACAACATCCAGGCTCAGAGGTCTGCAGACCCTCCCAGCGTCCCGATTTTCCTGGAATTACAGAAGCCGTCTCCATTTCTGATTGTCCCCCTTTTCCTTCTCTTCAGAGAACAATTAAAAGTCACTGGTGCAAAAAAACGGAGATCCTTTAGGAAAAGCATGGAGTGTGGAAAGAGGATGAAGAAGTTGTTTATTTAGGATACGGATTTAATAGCAATAACTATAATAACAAAATGCAACGTTAGAAAGGAGGTTAGAAAACCATCCGTCGAGGCTGATGGAAGTCTTAGCCTAGGATAGCCAAAGGTTTGTTATGTTGTTTAAAAACGGGGTGTTATGTCTGGAAATATGTGTAAAAACCATATATATATGTGTGTGTGTGTGTGTGTGTGTGTGTGTGTGTGTATGAAAAGCATGGAGTGTGGATTCCTTTCTGTTCAAGGGAGCCTCACACTATCTACTCAGAAATAAGTCCCATTGAGTTCAATAGAATTTACTCTCTGCTATGTTCCTATCATTCGCAGTTTCCATCCTCATCCTCATCATCATCATCCCTGTTTTCATTAAGAGAGAAACCTGCAAAGGGATGAGATCTGCTTCTGGGCCGAGTCCAATGTGCATATACCATATTTTTCCGTGTATAACACGCCTCCGTGTATAGGACTACCCCTATTTTGGGGGACTCAAATTTAAGAAAATGGGGGGGAGATACTATCTGTGTATAAGACGACCTCAGTTTTTTAACATTCTTTTAGAGTAAAAAACCCAGAGTCTTATTCACGGAAAAATACGGCAAATTACTGCTCCTGTTATCACTTATTAAATTGGTGCACAGATCTCAGGCCGGTTCACGAAAAATAAAAGGCAAGATAAAAAAACACAAAATCCACAACGAAAACAGAAATGGACCAATTACACCCTCCCACAAACATAATGACGAAAATGATGATACAACCTTGCAAGCTGTATTGTGTCCCATCAGCAGAGGAGGGCCTGGAGGCTGAGGGTGGCTTGCCAAAAGTCACCCGGAGGGGACCCCCAAGGTCATCCAGTCTGACCCCCTGCCATTCCCTTGGACGCTACGTTTCACCCACCCCGATTCCTCCCCTCACCTCGTGTCCTGGGGAATCTGTGGCTGGGGGGCTGCAGAGGTGTGTCCCGCCATATTTCCCCCTTTCCTTTAAGGCCCTGTGAGCAACTAGCACATGTCTTGGCGACCAGCTGCCCCCCCCAGCTCAGCATTGTGACACAAATAATGGGGTCCCCTCCCCATTGTCCCCCCGGTTGCCAGGAGGGAGGCAGGGGGAAAGTGACTCTGGGATATTACTCTCCTTGGAGCAATTCATTAAAGCTCATCAATTCAGAGAAGCATAGAATGGGAGCGTCGGAGGGGCACCCCCGGAGGTCATCTATCCCAACCCCTGCAGGAATCACAACTCCCATTGGCTGAGTGGCTTGTAATCCGCCCAGGCGCTCGGGGAGATCCTTTGAACTCAGATCTGGGGTCTTCTGCAAGGAAGGATGATACGCTTAGAATCTAAGGCTTCCGACCAACACACCCATCCAAGAATCCCGGAAATGGTAGTTTGCACAGAACTACAGCTCCTAGCACCCACAGCAAACTACAGTTCCTGGCATCTTTGGGGCCAGGCGAGAAATGAGCTTTAAACGGCAGGTATACACCAACTTGACGCTGTGGAAAGATTGTGAGTCATGGGGTGTGGAGTCTGTGTAGGAACAGGGCTGAGTTTTTTATTGCTATTAGCTTACGATGTTAATATTGTTTTATAGATTATAAACGCCACCTCGATTTGTTAATCGTATAATATGGGTTTTCCTGCGACATCTGACTCATTAGTAAAAAAACTGCATTATGCATTCTAAACATGGGGCACCAGATGGCGCTGGTGAGAGCCAATGAAAATCTAAGCAATTTTCCATTGTGTTTTTTCCCCCTTTGGTTCTAACAATTGAATTTCTGACTTATTTATAGCGTTTTCCCCCCTATGTGTAGATCCACACAGTGTTTCCTTGATTCTAATTGTTCCTCCGGCAATTGGTTAATTTTTCTGTGTTCTTTACGCTTTACTGGCGACGTTCTATCCTGCTGATGCTCGAACTCGGGACGCAAGGGAGAAACGTGCGAAGAGGAAGGCACGCTTGCCAAATCCACACTGTGATCAACTCTCACCCGGAAACCAATGTCCCCACTGTGGAAGGGCGTGTGGGTCCAGAATTGGCCTCCACAGTCACTTACGGACTCACTGTTAAGGCCAGGGGTATGCAACCTAAGGGCCTTGGGCCACAAGTGGCCCACGAGCCGCCCCAAACTGAGCCACCCGCTTGGCAAGTCCCTGTGCGCTGCGCTAAACCCAGAAATTGCGTCTGCGCATGCTCAAATGCTGAAAATTGCGCCTGTGCAGACGCCGGAAATTGTGTCTGCGAAGACGCTAGACCGCCCGACACCTGCAGGGCTCTCAGGTCGGTTCCCGGAATAAAATCAGAACATAAAACCACAAGATGCAGAATCAAAATAACAACAGCAACCACCCAATATCCCCACCTGCGCCCCCCCAAACATGTTAAAAGGGCGTCAATCACACCAACCCGCTCTCCACCTGGACTGAAAAGGGAGTCCAGGTTTGGGGCTGGGGGACCGTGGCAAATTTGGGGGGCAGGAACAGTTTGGAGCCCATGTATCTCAACGGAGACGAGACTAAACGTCACAAGACCAAGATATCCCATTGTTCCATTGTTTGCCTCCTCCATTCCCCCTTTTGTTTATTCTGCTTAATTGGGAGTTGAAAGAATATAATCCCAGCAAGAATCGGCCTTTGTTTGTTTCCCAAGTGCATCGTCTGGGTGGGAATTTGTCTTCTTACAGGAGGTGGAAACTGAGCGACCTTTTTCGGAGATCAGGATGCCATCCAGGACACGGTCAGGATCAGGCCAGGAAAGCTCATGGAACCCTAGAGCTGGAAGGGACCCGAGGGTCATCTAGTCCAACCCCCCACAAGGCAGCTGCCCCTTATGGGCTTCGAACCTGCAACCATGGCGTTCTCAGCACCAGGCTCTCACCGACTGAGCCGCCCAGCAGGCCTCTGGGGCTCTATTTTTACGACTGGTGACAGGAGGGAGGCCTGGCAGCCAATTTGCTCCGGGGCCGAGTTCGAGGTGTTGCTATTAGTATACAAAGCCCTTAACAACTTGGGACCAATTTACCTGAAAGGTCCCCTGACCCCACATGTGTCTACTTGAGCACTTCGGTCAGGGGGAACTGGCACCCCTACAAAGGCCTCACGATACCCGTTCCACATTTGCAGGAACTGGATCTTTGCCCTGTGGAACTCCCTGCCACTTGAGATCAAGCAGGTGCCTTCCCTCTCCTCTGCCCAGATGCTTATAGGAAGTTGAGGCGACGCCCTCCGTTTTTGTATTTAAACTTGTGTACGTTTTAAAGGGTGGTTGCGAATATTTCTGGATTTTCTCCTTTTATCTTCCTGTGAACCACTTTGAGAATTTTTTTCTTACCCTCCAGAAGCACATAAATTTCACGGAACAAACGAAATAAAATCATTGCAACTCAATGGGAAACAGATCCCATCATCTGTAGCTAGCAGGTCCAGTGGTCAGGGATGATGGGAGCTGTAGTCCGAAGACAACCCCGGACTGGATCCTAAATGTGCCTTTTTATAGGATTTGGCACTCTTTTGGGACAACGGAGCCATCATTACTTTCAGGACAATCCTAGCAAATCTGGAATGGGACTTTCCCATCAAATCACGCTGCTTTTCTGACCTTGGACTCCGTTATTTCAACCCATTTGCAACTGGACTCCTCTAGCTTTCTTTTCCCTCTCTTCCTTTTCATCTGTCGCTGTCGTCGTTCCGTCTCTTTTCTACGCATGATAAAACGAAATGCTAAAACAAGCTTTCTTTTTTAATTCTTTATTGATTAAAAATTTCCCTATCTATACAAACATCATATGCTATCTCTTTACATATGAAGAAAAAGAAAATGACGTAGAGAATAGAAAATTTTTAAAGGAACCAAAAAGAGGAAAAGGAAAAAAATAAACAAATAACAAAGGTACGAAGTAAAAAAAAAAATCAAAAGAGGAAAAGACAACATTATTTACACAATAAAAGTGTTCATCGACACAATCCTTCCCATCCTTCTCATTATACTGTAATATAAACATTCTTTTTTAACACAGATTTGCATTGTATATCTACTTTGTATATATTCCTCTAATTGTTTTCTTTACAAACATCACTCAGTTTCTGCTAATATGGAATTATTTGTACAATAAAGGCTAAAACAAGCTTTCGAAGGAAATAAGAAACACGTCTGGCGTCTTATCCTAGGGGTTTAAGTTGATTAGCAAGGATGGGACTTAACCTCAGAGGTGTCCAAACCCGGTAATCCCATCAACCAGTTCTAGGTTTGCTAAGTGGCTCAGGCTGCAAACAGAGAGCCATGCAACGTAGGTAGCAAAGCTGCAATCTTTTAGGGTTGCCAAAAGCAGAAGATGGGCCATGGCCCAATTGCAACAAAGGCAGATCCCTCTGGGGCCAGCAGCTGCCCCACATCAAAGGGGCAGTGGGAGAAGGGAAGCCGCAAGCTCCTTTTGCCCAGACAGGAAGTGGGGCAGGGGTTTTTTTCGAGGGGCGGCTTCCAGGCAGCAAGCAGGAGCTCCGGGTTGCAAAACGGTTTTGCGGTTCTGGAGGTTGAGGCCCGGCACGTTGCACTGCTGCCTTCATGACGCTCCGTCTCCTCTCTCTGCCGGGTTTGGCCACTGCTGCGCGAGAAAGCAGAACCCTAGAATGGAAGAGTTGCAAGGGACCCCCCAAAGGTCATCCAGCCCAACCCCAAGCAAGGCAGGAATCGCACCCGGGACAGGAAGGACACCACGTCCTGTTGTCACAGGGGCTGACCGGACACTCGAGGTGGGAAATGTACAAGCGGGATTCGAACACAAGAGCAACTCTGTCCCACCCCGTGGTCTCTGTAGAAGCGCAGAGTCGGAAGGGAACCCCAGAGTCATCTAGTCGAACCCCCTGCGACCCATCGCTGTCTCCAGCTGGGGAGGCGGAGAGGAGAATCTGCTGGATCCTCTTAGAAAGCCATCGCTGCCTCTTGTGGGGGGGAGTTCTGCAGTTTAACAGAGGCCCTTGCAGTGGCAAATATGCTGCCACAGCTTCCAGCAGAAATTGTTAACGGAGAAATCTGAGGGCTCCCTTGGACAAAAAACAAGGACCCCTGACAGGAATACCAGAGCAAAAGAGCAGCCAGGAGGCTTGGTCTTGATTGAAGACTGTCGCAACAAAGTGGAACAAGATGTAAGCCCAGAATGAAAGAGCCCCCAAACTTTTATTAGCTGCTCATCCCCATGTTACACCCCCCAAACTACATCACGGTAACATCATGAAAGGGGAGGTCTGGTGGCAGGAATCTGAGCATCCTGGACCCTGCTCCATGGTTCTCCTTGCCCTCCACCGAACAAAAGTAGAACAAAAGAGATCTTTACATTTCCCTGTTTCCCAGCCAAGTTAATCCCACCCTTTTGCCTTCATCTGGGTTTGTTATTTTTGGAATGGCTACCTGTCTGGCACTCAGGTATCAGGAGGCCAGGAATTATAACTCAGGCAGAGGGGCTGCTGAGAGGCTGAGCTCACGTGTCTAGATGAATTTCTGAAGTTTTCCCAGTGAGCCAGTACATAGGTACATTTATCAGTGAATTCTTACATTTGGTATCGTGCAGCAAAGGCCCTTTGAATAGACAGAAAGAAACTGTGACGAAGTGTTTTGTGGGGACAAGTCACAAAAGTCACAAAAGGGATTGTGCTGGTTTTGATAGTGGGCTGCAGGTGCAGGATATCTGCTGGAGGGGCAAACACCCTCCAACCTGTACATAAATTCCTGCAACAAAATTCCCAGTGCAGAGCTCCAGTCCAGGCATTGGGATCTACCAAGCTCAGCTTTGTCTGGCATTAGCATCTCTCCAGGGATTCAGGCAGAGGGTTGAACCCAGGACACCTGTCTGCCTGCCACACCTTGCAGGTGAGACCAGATGTGTCTGTGTGGATGACACCCTGGTTTCTCTCTCTCTTCGAATCATAGTCAGAAGAGACCCATGAGGGTCATCTAGCCCAATGCAATGCAGTTATTATAATTATAATTTTATTATTAATACCCCACCCATCTGACTGGGTTGCCCCAGGCCCCTGGCCAGTTTCCAGCAATATATAAAAACACAGGAAAACCTTAAACCTTAAAAAGCTTCCCTTATACAGGGTTGCCTTCAGATGTAATATTATTATTATTTACGCCATTATACCATTATTTAAATAACTTACGCATGCTGTCAAATTGAGGGTGTGAAATTACCGGGAGGTTTTGCATAAAGAATATGCTTCCCCAAAAGATCTGACTATTTGCAGGAAGGAAAGTGAAAGGAAAATGGGTAACACTTTCTTTGACACAACATCCCCTAGTTTCCCCCACGACCTGGGGCTCAAACCCATGACCTTGAGATGAACAGTCTCACGCTCTACCTACGGAGCTATTTGAAATAGTTGGAAGGGACCCCCAAAGGTCATCCAGGCCAACCCCCCTGCAATGCAGGGATATTTTGGCTGAACGCGGTGCTCGAACCCAGGGCCCTAGAGTCCCACGCTCTACCCACTGAGCTCCCCCAGGGTTCAGACAAGCAGCCGACAGGGAAGCAAACCGTTCTGCCGGGACGGAAACCATGGCAATCATTTCTGAAAGGCTGGCACCCTTTGGGAATCAGTTCCTGGGGCAGAAGACACACACGGGCCCCGGAAGTGGGTGCATGTGGGGCTGTGTCCGGACTGATTTCCCTCAGGGATAATTCAGCTGCAATTCCTGCCTAGCAGCGGGTTGGGCTAGATGACCGTGGGGGTTCCCTTCTGACTCCACAATGCTAGGATTCCAGTGTTATTTTAAAAATGGAATTCTGTATACCCATTTTACAGCTTCTCTTCTCTTTCAATCTCCACCTGCTCTGATCACAGCTCATGCATTTTGAAATGAAATGATGATCCAAACTGTCCCCCAAATTAAAGATGCAGCCCCCCTTCGTGTCCAAAGAGGGGCAGCCAGGCACAGGGGGGCCCCATCTCTTCCTGCAGGGCTTGCACCCGTCTCCCCAGAGGCGCCGCTCTGGGCTGCCACCGCTTCCGTTGAGACGCAGCTTAGTTTGCAGATGCTGCGTTTGCATTTTTTAAATATGAAAAAGGGAAATATTTGAGCCTGCTCTGCTTTCCCCTCCTGGCTTGAGTAGGGCTGGCGGAACTGCTGCGTCTGGGCGCTGCTCTTAACTGCCTGCAATCGATGCAGAATAAATCCAGGAAACTGGCAAGGTTGGGATCCGCTGGTCCCAAGCGGAGAGAGAAAAATTCTCCTCCCTCTCTCGTGACCCTCGTTTGAACCTGAGGAACTCCCTGCCACAAGAGGCGGCCGCGGCCATCAGCCTGAATGGGTTTGAAAGAGGCCGAGACAGAAACACAAAAGGGCTTGGCTTCAGAATCCCTATTGCTGGGAACCACGGGAGGGCTGGGTTTGAATCCTGCTTGCCATTTCCCGCAACGGGCATCCGCTTGGCCCTTGTGGGAACAGGATGCTGGGCTCGATCCTGCAGCCTTTCCTTTGTGCAAGCCCCAAAGCAGGGCCTACTCAGGTGTGCAATTGTAGGGATGAGACAAATCTCCCTGCCTGGTTAGATGCAAAATTCAGCTGTTTCTCTCCCCCCCCCTTCCAATTTTCTTCCTGTTGCACCGGCTCCGTTTGGCCAGCAGAGGAAGCCGCCCTTGTCTCCCTTCGCCTGCCCATGTATGGAGAAGAGAGAGTCTCCTGGAGGCCACAAGAGCCTCTCTAGCCCGGCATCTGGTTCTCAACGTGGCCGACCAAAAGCCGGACCCGAGTGCGAGAGCCGCTCTCCCCGCTTTGGTCTCTGGCAACTGCGAGCCAGAAGCACCGCGGCCTCCGACTGGGGAGGGCAGAAAGCAGCCCTCAAGAGCCCTCGTCTGCTCCAGGGATCGGGCCCCATCCTTTTTGAAAGCCAGTGGCAGGGAGTTCTGCAGTTTAACTCTGCGCTGTGCGAAAAGGGGCTTCTTTAACCTGCCCTGAATCCTGCAACGTTCAGCTTCTCACGTAAAATCATAGAATTGTAGAGTTGCAGGGATCACCTAGCCCAAGCCCTTGCAAGGCAGGATTATTTATTTACTGCCAACCTTGCAGGGTCGAAAGCACACCAGTGCAAGCAGACAAAGAGGTACCACTGTGGCAGGAAGGTAAATGGCATTTCCACGCGCTCTGGCACTCATCACGGTGTCCCGTTGCACCAGAAGCGGTTTAGTCCTGCTGCCACGTGACCTGGAAAGCTAGCTGTGGACAAACACCGGCTTCCTCGGCCTGAAAGCGAGATGAGCGCCGCAACTCAATAATAATAATAATAATAATAATAATAATTAGTCACCTTTGACTGGACTTCACCGCCCAGGGGTCTTTTACCTTTATCTTTTTATCTTTATCATTTACTGCACTGCTTGGAGAGCTCAGTTGTTAGAGCATGAGACTCTTAATCTCCAGGGTCATGGGTTCGAGCGTCTGGTTGGGCAAAAGATTCCTGCATTCTAGGGGGTTGGACTGAAGTTCTACAACTGACATCGCCAGGTGGCATAGACACGGTTCTCATTCAGTCCTCACAACCACCCAGCGAGGCAGGCCAGGCAGAGGCTGGTCCCCAAGGCCACACGCTTCAGGGACGAGTGTGGAGGAAGATTCGGACCCAGGCCTCTCATATGCGCTAGCTGACACCCTGAAGCGCTGTGCTTCCTCTGAGGGCGTACAGAACGCATCCCCAAGAGGCAAACAGGTGGGATATAAATGCAGCAGGTTAAGAGAAGGAATGGATAAGCACGTGCGCTGTGGGACCTCATCCTGACACCCCCCCCCGCAACCACACACACACACACACACACACACTGTTGCAATGCCCATGCATGCTCCGAGTGCGATTCCCGCACACTTCCCTCCTCTCCCCTGTTGCAAGAACCGGCTAGCTTGCAATTCTAGCCCAAGCAGACGAGGTCCTGGTGTTTTTTAAATTTTTAATAAATTGAGAGCTAGCTTCCACAAAAAGGCAGGTTTTCCTGGGGAAATGGAGGCAGAGAAACTGAGGGAGGAGGCTCTGGTTGGGGTGGAATCTTGTAGAGGTGGAAAAGGGACCCCAAGGAGTCATCTAGCCAAACCCCCTGCAATGCAGGGATCTCCTTGCCCAAACGTTGGATTCGAACCCACAACCCTGTGATTCAGAGTCTCTTGCTCTACCGACTGACCTGTCCCGCTTTATCCCCCAGAGCGTGGCCCATGGGTTGCCTTGGGAGCACCCACCCAAGGGTGCCTGGGCTGGGGAGATTTGCTGCTGATGAGCTCCAGCCCAACTTGGGGGCCACCGTAAAGCAGACCCTGCTGGCCTAGGTGGGCCTGATCCACCATCAAAGCTCCCCTTAGGAGCCCAGCTGGCAAAACAGAGGGAATCTGGATCTACAAGGAATTATGGGGAGGGGGTTTGCGCAAGGGAGCGATGCAGGGGGCGCACGGAGGGCTGAAGAAACGGCGCGGTGCCGGGGGGGCACGAAAACCAGCCAGGCTCCCGCGCAGCAGCAGAGGATCGCGGGGCCAAGTCTGCGCAGCTCCCGCTGCAAAACTTCCCTTGCAAAATGCAACGCGGGCAGATCATCCCCCGAATATCGCCGCCGCCGCCGGACGGGGCGCCCCCTAGCTCGCAAGGAGGGAGCTGCACTTGGGGGCGGAGGGAGAGGCGGGCGGGCGCGCGCGCGTGTGTCGTGTGCGCGCCCGGCCTCCCCGCCCCGCTCCCCGCCCTGGGCCGGCCCCTTCCTCCGCGCCCGGCGCCCTCGCCGCCTTGTGCTCGCTCGCCGCTCCGGAGCAGCGCCAGATCCGCTCGCGCCGCCGCCCGCGCCACATCCGGATCGCGCGTCCCCTTCTTCCCCCGGGGTCCCCTGCAAACAGAAGCAAGCAGCCGCCGCCGCCGCCGCCCGCCCCGTCCAGGCTTTTGCATCCGGGCCCAGCAGCAGCAGCCTCGCCGCCGCCTCCTCCTCCGTGCGCGCCTGCATCCCTCCGCATCGCCCTCCGCGGCCATGAGCGGCTGGAACAGCTACATCGACAACCTGATGGCGGACGACACCTGCCAGGACGCGGCCATCGTGGGCTACAAGGACGTGCCGTCTGTTTGGGCCGCCGCCCCGGGGAAGACCTTCGCCAACATCACGGTGCGCCCCGGGGTTGCGGGGAGCCAGGGGGGTGTGGGGGGGCCCGGCCTGGCCGCCTAGGGATTTGCACCGGGGGCGGGAAAGAGGAGGAAGGGAAGGGGTCCCCGCCTTCGAAGGCGCGCCCCGGGGCGCTTGGGTTCCTCCCGGGCGAAGTTGCGGGGGGCGCGCGGGGCCTCGACAAAGCCGCTGCAACGAGGCGCTACCTGGGCGACCCTCCCCCGACGGCGGGGTTGTGGGGGGGGTAAGAGAGAGGGAGGGAGGGGCTCTTTCTGCTCCCCCTCCCCCCGTGCGCCTTTGTGCAAAGCGCCTCCGCCACTTCCTCTTGCAAAGTCAGCCTGCAGGCCCGGGAAAGGGGGGGGCGTGGGGGAGGGGAGAGGCGCGCGCTGCTCGGCCCCCGCAATCGCGGGCATCCCCCCCTCTTCTTCCATTCCCCCCCCTTGCATCTTGCCCTCTCCCCGTTTTTTGGGGGGGGTGGGGAGAAGCGCGCCAGGCGGCCGCGGTTCCTGCTTTGGCGACCGCCACCGCGCCCTGCCCGCGCCCAGCCCGGGAGAGGAAATGACTCAAAAGCCGGGGGGGAGGGGGGAGGAGAAGGAGGCAGGCCGCCCCTCCCCCGCAGCTGGCGGGGGAGGGGGCAACACCCCCCCAAAAAAGACACCCTCCGAGCGGGTACCCCTAAACCTCTCCGTGCGTAATTTCTCATCCAGGCCCAGATTTGCGGGGTGGGGTGGGGGGGCGGGATTTCACTCCCGGCTCCCTCGGCGTCGTGGAAACTTCGGCGGGAGCGGGGCCAACTTTTCCACTCCCCCCCCCCGCCAAGTTTGCATGGCTTCCAAGCCGCTTCCCGATCCCCGCGGGCCACACCCAGGCGCCCGGGGGCCACGGCCGCCACGTGCCTTTGTGCGCGGGGCGGAGGCTGAGCCCCGGCACCTCTCTTGTCCTTCTCTCTCTCTCTCTCTCTCTCTCTGTCCCCCCCCCCAAACCACTCCGCGATTGCGCAAGGGCGTCTAGCCGGGGCTGACTCGTGGCCTGACCCGCCGCGCCCCACCCCGGCCCCCCCACTTTGGCAAAGGGGTCTGGAGATCCCGGCCAAAATCCTCTCCCGCGTTCCTTGTTCAGATCCGGCACAAAAGCGGCTCCCCAGTCCCGGCAAAAAAAAGAAAAGACTCTCTGAGCTGAGTCTTGGGGGGGGGGCACGACCTCCCTCTGCACCGTAGGGCTGGCTTCTTCACCCCCCCCCCCCCGGATGTGGGGCAAGCGCGCCTCCCTCTCTCTTTCTCTTTGCAAAACAGGATACAGGTGGGGCTTTTGCGCCGCAAGAAGCTTGCAGGCCTTGGAGGGAGAGACTTTCAAGAGCGCAAGCAAACATGCCCCCCCCGCACTTCTCTTCCCCCCCCCCCCCCTTGCGCAAAGGCCGGGCGGAAAAGAAGTTGCAAAGTTCTAGAAACTCTTTTTCTCCCCCCCCCCCTTTTCTCTGGGGCGCTTCCGGCGCACAGAGTGGAGCCCGGAGGGAACTTTTGCAAAAAAACAAAACCCCAAACCGCCCCGTCGGGGCATCCATCGCCTTGTTGGATTTTTGGGTGCCCCCCCCTCTCCTTTCTTCTTCTTCCCTCCCCCCCCCCCAAGTGCCACGTCTCCAGACCTGGATTCCTTTCAGCTGCGGCTAATCTCCGAGCAATCCCGGCTCTGGGCCTCTGGCAGGAATCTTTAGGGGGGGGGGGACGGGACGCGAGAGATTTTGCTGCGAGGCCTGGGTGCATTTTTCTGCCTTTTCCTTGGAACTTTCCTGCGGGGAGAGAGGGGGGTGTGCGTGTCTCCCAACCCTCCATTTTCAAAATGTGGGGACCTGTGCAAATAATAAAAATACCCCCCCCCAAAAAAAAATTCCAGATTAATTCCTCAGTTCCTGCTTTCCAGATCCTGAGCAAAGGATCCCTTTTTCTCTCCACCCAGCCCTGGAAGAATCTGGAGGGATGCTTTGTTGGAGCTCCTTTTGGGGTGGGGCCCAAAAGAACTGGCCTGGGGGGCGCCCCCTGCAAAGGATCCACTGTTGATCCCTTGTTGATCCACTGATCGACCTTTAGGCTGCATCTTAATGTTTTAATGTTGTATTTTAATCTTGTTTATTAAGTTGTATTTTAATCAACTTGTTTTTATTATTGGTTGTTAGCCGTCTTGGCTGGGGAGGGCTGGGTATAAATAACAATTTTTATTATTATTATTATTTAGGATCCACTGTTCTGCCTCTGGAGGAGAGGATCAAAGGACTTTAAAATCTCTTCTCCTCTCCCCCCCTTGATGAAGGGGATCTGTGCCCCCTTTGCTCAGTGCTGGGGGGGGGACGAGACCCCAAAATATCATTGGAGCCCCAGCATCTCCCCATGATGGGAAGAAGGGGTGCCCCACAGAACTCCTAACCCCCCCCCCAAAAGAAGGCCTTTGCTTCAAACTTCCCAATTCCCCACCTTAGCGGAAGTGCAACTTGTGTGTGTGCATGGGGGGGGGCGTTTCTGACTTCTTCCGCAGTTTCTCACTTTTCTCCAAATTTGGCAATTGAGCTTCATCCCTCCTGATTTTTGGGGGGGGTGTTATTATGTGAGTTTGGGGGGGCAGAGATGGGGGCTGCCTTTTGCAAAAGTGGCCTAACCCCCCCTACCCAGAGATCCCCCCTTAACCGACTGAATCCTGGGGGGTCTGTTGGAGGGACCCCATTTCTTCCCTCTGGGGGGAACTGGAAGGGTGCACCGCCCAATCTTCCTCTGTTCCCTCCTGTCCCCCCCTCCTCTGTTCCTGGGAGGGGAGTGCGGTGCAATGGGCGGGGGCGGCCAGGCCTGCCTCTCCCCCCCCCCCCCGCTGCCTCTTCCATTCTTCCATCCACTCAGGGAGGCTATTCTGTGTGTTCCTGCAGTTAATGTGCAACCTGGGAACCGGAGTCGCTGCCAGCCCAGCCCTGAACTGGCACGGTGCGGGGGGGGGAATAAAATAAAGCTTACTGTGTATGCACTCAGCCCTCCTCCTGGGGAATTAGGGGCAGAGGAGAGCGCATTTTGGGAGGAGGGGTAAAGACCTGCATCGCAGCGGGTTGGGCTGGATGACCCCTGGGGGTCCCTTATCCAACGGGACAATTCTGAGCTGTGAACTTTTTGCTGTGTATAGGAAGGTCTCCTCTCTCTGCCCCCCCCCCAAGCAGGGGCATCATTTATTAGAGCGCAGCTGGGAGGGGTGGCAGTAAGCCCAGAGAAAGTATTTGCAGGGCAGGGTCCACTTCAGACCCCCCCCCCAAAAAAACCTGATGACCTACTTATCTTGGGGGGCAGTAGGCTGCCTTGACGGAGAAAGTACCAGCAAATTCTTCCGCCTCACAGCGGGTTGGGCTGGATGACCTGGGGGGGTCCCAAAATTCCAAATGGAGACATAGATCTTTTGAGCAGCTAAAAAGGAGACGGGGAGTTCCTGCAGTTGTTCTCCCCCCCCCCAAAAAAAGACCCAGCCATCCCTTGAGCTATGGGGTGTGCTGACTACATTCCCTTCCTTGTAGTGGGGGGGATGGAACTGCACCCCTAGATAATGGGGGGCTTCCAGAGGCCATGGCAGCAAGGGGGGGCCTTAGTCCTGGGTGGAGAACGACCTCCCCGTACGTTAGCACGCTTTGGGGGGGAGGAAATTGACCCACAAACTGGACTTAGCCGTGTCCAAGTTGGGGGGGGGGAGAGCCTGGAAGAGACTTCCTCTTCTTGCCCCCCCCCAAGCAAAAAACCAACACCCCTGGATTTCCCCTGTTTTCCTTTGGGTCTTAATGGCCAGGCCAGGAGACAGAGGGCGGTTTGTTTGCAGGGGCAACAGGTGCTGGGGCTCCATTCCAGCTTCCAAAGGGGCAGGAGAGAAGGGGCTTAATTTGGGGGGGGGTTCCTTTTGTCCCTCTGCCCTCCATCCAGACCCCCTTCGCCCCACAAGGAACAGTTGCTGCCTGCAGCTGCTTTTTGGGTGTCCTGAGACGCAAATGTCAGCCCCATGGCTTGCGCTGCCCCCTTGCCCCCCAAAAAAGATCTGCCCCCCCTGCATTAGAGGGGGTTGGGCTAGATGACCCAAGGGGGTCCCTTCCGGCTCAGCTGCTCTATGGCCCCCCTGAACCCCCATCTTCATTCTCTGGTTTGGCACTGAAATCCAGTGGCTCCCAAACTTTTGGGGGGGGGCAGAAAACTCACACCCAGCACCCCTATTTTTCACAAAAGCACTGCTCAGGTGAGAAGCTTGCATTTCCCCCCAAAGGCAACAATATAATTGCCCAATTAAATAAAAAGTAAGCTATTTAGTTTAATTGAAGAATAATAATAGTTTTACTATTTTTAAATATATTTTTTTGAAGGTTACATCCAGTTGTACATTCTCTTGTTCTTTACAGTACATCCGAAATTATACCATGTATATATATGTCTTAATTGTGAATGTATTTCTACCGTTGTGATCTCACAACACAGCTTCTTCTATTTTTTGTTACTTTTAAATGGTGTTGTACATATTATTCACTTATTCCCCATAAATCTTTTCTTAACTTTTTGCATTGACCGAAGTTTGTAAATAATTTTACTATTTCTTCTCTCCCCCCCCCCCTTCCCAAAAAAATCTGGCTGGCTTTCCCAGCCCACCAAACTGACAAACTTGATCCAAACTTTGCTAGAATCCTGGACTTGAAAGGGGACCCTGGGGGTCATCCATCCCTACCCGCCTGCGAGGCCGGAATTGCAGCTCAAAAATAACCCCCGAGAACCATGGAATCGTAGGGTTGGGGTTCCAGCGGTCATCTAGCCCAACCCGCTGCGAGGCAGGAATCTTTGGCTCGGTGTGGGTCTCGAACCCAGGACCGTGACGTTCTACTGACTGAGGCACATCCAATCTTAATGCTAAAGTCATTTGGGAACCTGTGGTTTAGTTTTGGGGGGCGTGACTCAGTACTGGGGGGCTTTGGGGTTCCTTGAGATGCTCAGTGGGTCTTTTTGGGGGGGCAGTCAGGCTGTGGATCCTCACTTTCCCCCCTCTTCTTTTTATTTCGCGCCCCCCCCCCCCCCGGCAGCCGGCGGAAGTGAACATCTTGGTGGGCAAGGACCGGAGCAACCTGTTTGTCAACGGCCTGACTCTGGGCGGCCAGAAGTGCTCTGTCATCCGGGACAGCCTGCACACGGACGGCGAATGCACCATGGACCTCAGGACCAAAAGCACCGGCGGGGCCCCCACCTTCAACATCACAGCCGCCATGACGGCCAAGAGTGAGTTAACCGGGGGGGGGGGCACCCCTTCCTCTCCCCTCCCCAAATCTCCTTGCAGCTATCCATCTCTTCCCCGCTTGCAGAAGGGACGACTTGCATTCTTTCCCCCAACAGCTGTGGGGTTTTTTTGGGGGGGTGGTGTCCCTCTGCTTCAAATGGGGGGGGTGGACAGCTGTTGCTAATCCAGCCCCCGGCTGGGCAGAGAAGGCGGCCTCTGTCTTGCCGTGGCAGCTGCAAGGGGTCGTAAATCTTGCTTAATGGGAGCCGGGTTTTTAGCTGGAAGGGTGGAGGGATGGGACCCCTGGGGGTCATCCAGCCCAACCCGCTGCAAGGCAGTGGAGAAGAGTCTGGCACCTGAGGTTGGGGCGCATTGTAGGGTAGGTAGGGACCCCCCGGGGTCATCCAGCTCAACCCCCTGCCAAGGTAATGGCTGTCGGGTCAGGGGGTTGGGATGGATGACCTCCAGAAGTCCCGCCCAAGTCAAATTTGGCATCCTTTGCGTGGCACGGCTTCTGGCTAGCGGGGTGTCGGCTGCTCAACTTGAAGGTGGCCCCCGGTTCTGGCTAGAGGAGCCCTGCCTTGGGTTCCCCCCCTCCAAAAAAAACCACCCTTCAGTTGGGACCTGGAGGTTCTATTATTATAATTTAATTTAGTCCTTGTTGCCCCAGCCGCTCTGGGCAGCTTTGCGCAAAATCTAAAAGCCTCGCTCTCCTCTGTGAATTTTCCCTGCCTGATCTGTCTGCACTTCCTGCCTCTTGTGGCAGGGAGTTCCGCAGTAGTTCACCTTTGGCCCGCAATTGCAGAGGGGTTTTCCACTTTCCAAGGCTTCTCCCTAAATTCCCCTGATTTTGCAGGACCCATAAAAAAGTCCACTGCTGTTTATTACGTCTTTATCTCTGTCGGAAGCTCCCCAGAATGGCATTAGTACCCTTACTGTGGTTGGACTACAACTTCCATCGTCCCTGACTGCTGGTCCTGCTCGCTAGGGCTGATAGGACTTGTAGTCCAACGCCAGCTGAGGGACCCCCATGGAAAGCAGTGCAAATTTGGTGCTTCTCAAGTTTGGTCCTCAGCTGCGGTTGGACTACAACTCCCATCACCCCCGACCACCGATCCTCCTTGCTGTGGACAATGGGACTTGTGGTCCGACACCCGCAGGGAAACCCCACCATTGACGGTGGCACCGATTCGGCGCTTCTCGATCTCTTCCCCCACTGTCTCTTAGACCACATCTCCCATCATCCCTAGCATGGGAGTTGTAGTCCTCGGAGAGGATGATGGGAATTGTAGTCCGACCCCAGCTGGGAACACACCCCCCCCTACGGAAGGCAAAACCTTTTCAGCGCCCCTCAGCCTTGCTGCCGGGGGACTCCATCTGCCACGACCACCGACTTGCCCATCCCACTCGCTGTGGACGATGGGTTTCGTAGTCCCTCTGCCCCAGCTGGAGAAAACTGCGACTTTGAGCTGGAGAAACGCAGCGCCTGGGTGCAAATGGACCCTCCCTTCTCCTCCTCCTTGGGTGGTTGGTGCCTGGGGGGGTCTTAATTTCCTTTTGCGCTGACCCCCCCCCCTCTCGTTTCTCCCCCCAGCGATAGTCCTGGTGATGGGCAAGGAAGGCGTCCACGGCGGCTGCGTGAACAAGAAGTGCTTTGAGATGGCCAACCACTTGCGGAGGTCGCAATATTGAGGGCCCCCCCTTGCCCCCGCCTGCGGTACTACTGAGGGACCGGGGGGGACACACGATGCCCACGGGGGCTGCCACCGCCCGGGACCCCCAGCCCAGCCCCGGCCTGACCAGCGTGGGACACCCACCCCCCCGGCGCCGGACCGCCACTCTCTTCCTCCTCTCCTCCCCCCACCCCACTTTTCCTGCTTTCTCAACAGTTGTTATTTTTTTTTCTACCCCCCACCCCCCAAAAAATCGCGCACCCCCCCCGTCTCTCCTCCTCTCCCCCCTTGGGGCCATTTTTTTCTATCACGAGAAATCCTTATCGCTGCCAAATTTTCTGATGGTTACAAGGTGTAGCTTTTTTTGGGGTTAAGAAAAAAGAAAACTATATTGGAACAAGACGAACGAAATAAAAGAGAAATTGAATTCTGAACGTGGTCGTGGTTGGTGGTGCCGGGCGTGGGGGGGGGCTGGCGCCCAGCGCAAAAGGTGCTGGGGTAACTGGGAGCCCAGTTTGAAAGGAGAGCCTCAAGGCAGAGCAATAATTTGGACCCTGGTCGACGCAAGGGGGTAGTCCTCATTTAATCCCCATGATGGCAGTGGCAGCCAGCAACCAAAGCTCCGCCCACTGAGCCTCAGGGCCGCTGAGCGGAGGATCTGCTGCTTCCCGGGTCCAGCGCTCTAACCACTAGGCGTCCGCTGCCTTGGAAGTTGTCAATGGACAAAGAGTTGGGGGAAGAGCCGGGCTTGGGGGCAGGACTCCTGGGTCCCTGACGCCGATGACAAGGGCCCGTCTCCCTTAGGCTGCGGGAAACAATGGCTCAGCCGCAGGCCCAGGACAGAAGGCGCCTGTTTGGCAAACAATGGGAACCGCCAGCCGAGGTGCCTTTGTCCTCTGAAGGCCTTGCGGCCGCAAGTGGTGGTTGCGCCGGGCGCCTCGGGGCGGGGAAGGAGGAAAGCGGGGCTGGACAGAGGGTTTCTGGCAGAAAAGGATGCGCAAGACGCCTTGGCGCCCCCCAGAACTATAACTCCCGCCAGCACATTGGGGGCCATGAAGGGAGTTGCGGTGTGGAACGTCTGGAGGGTGCCAGGCTGTGGGGCGCCAGCCCTGGCAGGTCCCGTTGCTCTGTGCGACATCGCCGTTCTAGAAGCAAAGCAGCCAGGCGTTCCTGCGCTACAACTCCCAACCTCTCCTGCAGGGAAAGGGGGCGCTTTGCTTCCCAAGAGGTGGCGGCAGTGGGCATTGCACTGGAACCCTTAGCTCTGCCCAAAAGCCACCCGCCCTCCCTCGGAGCCGGCCCCTGCTTTGTTTAGGAAGGGCGGAGAGCGCCTTGCCGCCTGGGAGTTGTAGCGCAAAGTCCACCCGCTGGGCCTGGCCTGGCCTAACCCTCCTTGTCAACACTGGATGCGGCCGGTGACTCACTGTTTGGGAGCCGTTGCCAGGCGCTGATTTGGGTGTGTGCCGTTGCCCTGGCATCGGGAGGCGCCTGGCTAGTGCGTGGTTTCTGCATCTCGAAGCTGTTCTAGATCCCAAATCGTGGAGTTGGCAAAAGGACCCCCAAAGGCCATCCAGCCCAACCCGCTCCTAAAATGCACGGGAAATCCTTGAGCCCTGCTGAAAACCCTCCAGCGGAGGGAGACTCCACCACCTGCAACCTTGCTTCCCAAGGTGCGACTGGTACTAAAACTCCCATTATCCTGTGCCAAGCCAGCAGTGGCTGATGGGAGTTGTAGTCCAATACATGCCAAGTTGAAGAATGTGGCATGAGAGCGTCAGAAGGGAGCCCTGGATAGAGCTGGAGGGGGGGTTGCACATCTATTCCAGCTTCCAGACCTAAGGGGACGTCCCTATGGGAAATACAGTTCTTGGCCGTTGTGGCAGGGAGTTCCACAGGTTAACAGTGGACATATCTTGTCCTGATCCTGCAATATTCAGCTACATCTACAGTGAGAGTGTGAAAAACGTATTTTAGAGCATGATGCTGATACAGCCAAGGTTGCAGGTACAATTCCCTGTAGGGATTAGCTGCTCGTTCCTGCATTGCAGGGGTTGGGCTAGATGACCCCCAAGTGTCCCAACTACGATTTTTGAATTTCTCCAAGCTTCAAAGCCCGCCACGCTGCCTCGTTCTGGCAGCCCTTTTGTGAACCTTCCTCCTTCCCGAGCCGCTGGGGGCCCTGCAAAAACCTGCGCTGGCTTCTCTCTCCACCCCAGGAAACCTTTTATTTCTCGAAAAAACCTCCTCTGTCACCCACATCTTCCGGCGACGTCGGAGAGCCGCGCTCGCAGCCTTTCACCGCAGCCGCTCCCCAAACTGCCGCTTTCTGTCTGCGTTTGGGGGGGGGTGAGAGTCCAAACCGAATCAGGCCAAAAGCGAGGGGGGGGGTCTGTGTCCCTGTCCCCAAATTGTCCGTCCGGGTGACCCCAAATCAGCCTCCAAACGGGAGAGCTGGGCCCTTCCCTGCAAGTGATGCTATTCAGAGGAGTTTCCTGGTGAAAGCCCCCTTTTTCCACTGAACGTGCAGAGTTGGGACCCCGGGGGGTCATCCATCCCAACCCCCTTCGAGGCAGAGATTGACCTCCAAGGAAGGAGAGGCCACCGCCTTCTGATGGAGTGGAATAGCCTGCCGGATCGGGCCCGGAGGGGCCCTTTAGCCCCCATAAGGAACCAGCAAGCAGGACCCGGGTGCAAGAGCCACACTCTTCCCCCCCCCCCACAACATCCACTAAATTTGGGTCTGTGGTTCTGATCATTTCAAGGTTGCTGGATGACCCTGGGTACCCCTTCTGCAAAAGCCCTCTTCTCCACCATGCAGCCCTCCGGAGAATTGGTTTAATCCTCTTTAAAGGCATCCTGGTCTGCAACTGCCCCAGCCTCCTGTGGCAGGGAGTTCCATAGGCTAGGAGAGCTTTTTTGTTCTGTCCCAAAAAGTCCCAGTGTTAGGAAAGAGGGAGGAAAAACTTCTCTCCCTCCGTGTGTGCGCATCATTTTAATAAACATTGCCTCTTCTGGGCTGTGCGTCAAACCTCTTCCTCTGCTCTTTTATGGGGCCTGGCTAGGAAGGGGGTGGCGCTCGGAGCCTGTTCCTCTTTTGCCCTACTTAGGCAGCAGAAAACCATTCGCTCCCCCCACTTTGCAAACGCAAATAGCCCAGCAGACTTTATTTTAAACCATCTTCCGTTTATTCCCACTTAAATCTCTTTTTTTAATATTATTATATGGAAGTCTTGATTTCCTTTTCCCCCTGCATCAAGGGCATGTCTGAGCCCTTTGCTGGGGGGGGGGTCTTCCCCACACTCCCCCCCCAGGCAAAAGCCCCAGCAGCAGCCCCTTTGCATCCCCACCATAAAACTGTACAGTGAAAAATAAAAAGTCCTTTACAGTAAAAATTATTCAAGGCGATCAAGAGAAGGCTAGGCAGCAGCGACTCTGGCAGGCAGCAGCTGGGGGGGGCAAGGAAGAGGAGAAATGGCCCCCCTGGTGCCCCCCCACCCCAAAAAAACCAGCACCCCCGAGGCCCATTGCTTGTTAGTTCCTACGCGGAAAGAGGGTCAGTATCCTGCCCATTGCAAGGGGGGGGCAAGGAACGGACCCCCCGGCAGAAATTTCCGGGGGGGGGGCATGGAAGGAAAAAGGGGGTTAAAAGGTAGAGTCCCCCCCCCCAATAATCATTATTATAGGATGCTAAATTTGGAAGTTAGTGTGGAAAATTAGGATGGTCAGCAGTCCCAAGAGGAGGGGTTTTTTAATTTTGGAGGGGGGCAGAGAGAACAAAAAGCCCCCCCCCCAATTCCTTGGCACACAATGGGGAGAAAAGTGCAAAATCGCAAGAGGGAGGAGGTGGGGGGGCGCTGCAATGTGGGGGGTCTACACCCAAAGGACCCCCCCAACCCACCCTGGGAGTTGTAGGGTGCTGGGGGGGGGAGGTTTGGCATGCTTTGCAAGGGGGGGGCTCCCCATCTATGTGTTAAATTTATATACTGTCCATCATGAGCTCCTCGCCGCCCCCCAAAGGATACAGGACTTTCTGGCCCCCTCCCCACAAAAAAAATACTGTGTTTAATTGGGGACCCCCCCCCTGCACCAAGTTTGGGGAGGGGGAGGCTCTGCTTTGGCTGCTATGGGGTCTCTCCCCCCACACAGGAAAAAAGGGGGCTTTTGCTCGGGGGGGGGAGATCTGTGCCCCCCACCCTGCAAAGGAACCAGGCAGGAGACACCTGCCGCCTCCCTCTTGGCTTTTGCATCCTGTCCCCCCCCAAAAAAGACGCCCAAAGGGGTCTTGGACCGACCCCCCCCCACCCCACTCCTGCCCTATGCCCCCCCCAATGCTGCAAAGACCCCCAGACTCCCTGAAAAGTTAACATATGTAGTGGAAGCTCAGTGGTCAAAAGCAAGAGGGACGAAGTGGGGGGTTCAGCCGCCCCCCCACTTCCGGCTTCCCTTTGGGGTGGGGTGCCTGACCCGGGGGGTGCCCCTCTTGCGCCCCCCATGCCCAGCAGGGCGCTAGACTGGGAGGGGGCCCCTGGGGAGAAGGGCCTTTGTCTGGTCCCAATCGTGGTCCCCTTCGCCCCCCAAGTCTTCCGTGGGGTCCTGGGGAGCGGCGGAGGAGGGCGACTGCCCCATGCTCCCGAAGGAGCTCCCCCCCAGGGCGGCGCTGGGTGAGGGGCGCAGGAGGGGGGTGCGCTCCGAATCGCCCCCTTCCTCTCCTTCCTCCTCCTCCTCCTCCTCCTCCTCTTCCCCATGGCCCCCCTGCCCCCCTGCCTCTTCCTCGTCCTGGGGGGCGCGGAGACCCTCTTCGCCCTCCGAGTCCGAGTCGTCCGGGCAGCGCAGCACCCTCTGCTTGCAGACGGGGCAGGTCTTCTTGGTTTGCGTCAGCCAGGGGTCCACACACTTGCAGTGGTAGGCTGGGAAGAGAGAAGAGATTGAGGGGTCTGCCGGATGGGACACTCCGAAGGTCATCCAGACCAACCCGCAGGCGGCGCACGGGGTGCAAAACTAAAGGATTCCCAGAAGATGGCCGGCCAAACTCAAGAATCTCCAGAAGATGGCCGGCCAAACTCAAGAATCCCCAGAAGATGGCCGGCCAAACTCAAGAATCCCCATATGATGGCCAGCCAAACTCAAGAATCCCCAGAAGATGGCCGGCCAAACTCAAGAATCCCCAGAAGATGGCCGGCCAAACTCAAGAATCCCCAGAAGAGGGCCGGCCAAACACAAGAATGCCCAGAAGATGGCCGGCCAAACTCAAGAATCCCCAGAAGAGGGCCGGCCAAACTCAAGAATCCCCAGAACATGGCCAGCCAAACTCAAGAATCCCCAGAAGATGGCCGGCCAAACTCAAGAATCCCCAGAAGATGGCCGGCCAAACTCAAGAATCCCCAGAAGATGGCCGGCCAAACTCAAGAATCCCCAGAAGATGGCCGGCCAAACTCAAGAATCCCCAGAAGATGGCCGGCCAAACTCAAGAATCCCCAGAAGATGGCCGGCCAAACTCAAGACTCCCCAGAAGAGGGCCAGCCAAAAGCCTCCCAAGGTCCGTCCGGGGTCACAGGAGTTGTAGACTTGGGAGGGACCCCCCAAGATCATCCAGCCCAACCCCGATTCCAGTTAAAGGATCCCAGGGGTGAACGGTCGCCGTCCCGTTTGCAAACTATCCTTCTCAAAATCGTGGCACCCAGAATGGGACGCATCCTGGCAAGGGAGCCCTTTGGAGTCGCTGGGTTCTCCTTACCGTGAGAGCAGGGCAGGATTCGCAGCCGCTCCCCGTCTTCATACTCCTCCAGGCAGATGGCGCAGACGTCGTACTCGTCCCCTGCGGGAAGGAGGCGGGGAGAGACATCATCAGGAGGGGATCCCGTCATCCTCAAAGAAACATGGGGTTGTGGAGTTGCAAGGGACCCCAAGAGGTCATCCAGACCAACCCCAGGAAATGCTGAAGAAATCCGTGACAGGCGGCCAACTGACCGACACAGGAGCCTGCCCCCCTCCTCCCTGACCACTGGCCGGCCATAAAAGCAAACAGCCTCTCTTATCCATCTCCACGTGCTCAGAAACACCCAAGTCAGGATCTGTTATCTGGGTTGCAGGCAAGGCTATTCTGCATGCGAAGGATTCGAACCCGCTCCCTCCGTCCGGGAGTCCGGCTCAGGCTGCTGCCCCCCCCTTCAGTCAAGACGCCAGCCCTCAATTCTCAGGATGCTATTATTCATCGTTAACTGTCGTCTCGCTTATTAATCATTAGCTGCAGGGGTTGGTCACCAATCATCATGTGTTGTTATTTATCGCTGCTGTAATTATTATTAATGTCTGCTGCTGTTATTTATTACTACTATTATTACCCGTTATAATTATTAATTGCTTGCCATCCACCGTTAAGGTCCCGGGGTGTGTGACCTCCATTGAAAGGCAAAGCTAGAAGCACAGAAATAAGGCAATTGCTGCACTGCTGGGGGGCTCGGCTGGATGACCGCTGGGGGTCCCATCCATAACTCTATAGGTGAAGGAAGCACAGAAGAGGCAGGAGGCTCCCAGCACCGTCTGTGTGGGGCAGCAAAGGGTGGAGTGGGGGGTCAGAAAAAGTGGGGGGTTTATTAACCTCAAAAGGAAGTACTGAATTTCCACATGCCTGGGATTCTGGAGCTGCAATTCCTGCATTGCCAGGCAGGTTGGGATGGATGACCTTTGGGCTCCCTTCCTATTCCGCCACGGATTCCTTGCACGTTGCAGGCGGGTTGGGATGGATGACCTTTGGGGATCCCTTCCTATTCCACCATGGATTCCTTGCGCACTGCAGGTGGGTTGGGATGGATGACCTTTGGGGGTGCCTCCCTATTCCGCCATGGATTCCTTGCGTGTTGCAGGCGGGTTGGGATGGATGACCTTTGGGGCTCCCTTCCTATTCCGCCACGGATTCCTTGCGCGTTGCAGGCGGGTTGGGATGGATGACCTTTGGGGGTGCCTCCCTATTCCGCCACGGATTCCTTGCGGGTTGGGATGGAGGACCTTTGGGGGTCCCTTCCTACTCCACCATGGATTCCTTGCGGGTTGGGATGGATGCCCTTTGGGGGTCCCTTCCTGCTCCACCATGGATTCCTTGCAGCTTGCTCTGGGGCGGGTGGGGGGCTCCTCTACCCCCCCCCAAGTTGTGCATGGGCCTCTCTCTCTTTCCCCTGCAACAACCCTGTGAAAACAGGAAGCAGCCTCCCTCGCAGCAGCGGCGTCAGGGAAGGGAAGCGGTCAGAGCCCGGCTGCCGCTGCTCAGCTGAAGCCTGCAAAACTCTCTGCCGGGCCTTATAAGGCAAACGGCAGCCGGTCGGCCGCCGGCCTCTCCCTCCCGCTCTGACTCAGCCTTAGCCAAAGCCAGGCGGGAGACCGAGGAGAGGAAAGGGGCGGGGAAGCCGCAAGAGGCCCGCCGGATCAGGGCCCCGGCCTCGCTAGCATCCCGTTCTCACAGGCGCCGACCGCAAAGGCGGGATTCGAACGCAGGACCGGCGCGGAAGCACGGCTTGCTTCTCACAATCGCCTCCAATAGCTTGATTTCCCCCCGTGGATTTACCCCCAAAGGTCATCCAGCCCAACCCCGGCCCCTTGCAATGCAGGAATCTCGCATCCCGTTCTCACAGGCGCCAAATGCAAAGGCAGCATTCGAACGCAGGACCGGCTCGGAAGCACGGCTTGCTTCTCACAATCGCCTCCAATAGCTTGATTTTCCCCCCGTGGATTTTCCCCCAAAGGTCATCCAGCCCAACCCCGGCCCCTTGCAATGCAGGAATCTCACATCCCGTTCTCACAGGCGCCAAATGCAAAGGCGGGATTCGAACGCAGGACCGGCGCGGAAGCACGGCTTGCTTCTCACAATCGCCTCCAATAGCTTGATTTTCCCTCTGTGAATTTGCACCCAAAGGTCATCCAGCCCAACCCCAGCCCCTTGCAATGCAGCAATCTCGCATCCCGTTCTCACAGGCGCCAAATGCAAAGGCGGGATTCGAACGCAGGACCGGCGCGGATACACGGCTTGCTTCTCACAATCGCCTCCAATAGCTTGATTTTCCCGCCGTGAATTTGCCCCCAAAGGTCATCCAGCCCAACCCCAGCCCCTTGCAATGCAGGAATCTTGCATCCCGTTCTCACAGGCGCCAAATGCAAAGGTGGGATTCGAACACAGGACCGGCGCGGAAGCACGGCTTGCTTCTCACAATCGCCTCCAACAGCTTGATTTTCCCTCTGTGAATTTGCACCCAAAGGTCATCCAGCCCAACCCCGGCTCCTGCAATGCAGGAATCCCAGCCGCAAAATCCCTGGGGTTGGTCCGGATGACCCCCGGGGTCCCTTCCGACTCGACGGTTCTAAGATTCTCTCACCCAACCTCTGCTTAGAAAGGAAGGAGAATGAGGGAGACTGTCCTTCTCTGGAGCCGACTGGGACCTTGCAAGCAGCTAGTCCCTAATGAGGACAGAAGCGCAGATGTGCAGAGCTAAGCCAGGGACCCTCAGGGGTCATCCAGCCCAACCCCCCCAATACAAAGGGGGAAGTCATCCCCATTTGGGCACAAGTCTCTACAGTCGCCCCCTTCCCGGGGTTCATGTCGGGGGCTCCCTGGCTGCCCGGACGCCTGGGTTCCTCTCCTGACCATTTCCTTGCAAGTGCCAGAAGAGCGTGATTCGCACCCCTGCCCCTGCGTCAAAAAGGAGGCTGAGGCTGAAAACCCCGCGACCCCCAGGCCACGCGGGACGGCTCGGCATAGGAACCCAAGAAGCGGCCTCCTACCCACTCAGCAACGCTGCCAATGGCCGGCAGCCGCTCTCCGGGGTCCACACACACACATTTGTGTGTTCAAAATGCTGGAGGAGTCAAACATTCTCCCCGTCAAAATTAATTGCTGCTTTTCTGCTGTGGAGGAAATTGCTGCCTGAAAGGCAAGATGTTAAGGAGGAGAATCGGGTTGGACGGCTGCACTGCCCGGGGTTGGGCTGGATGACCCCTGGGGGTCCCCTTCCAGTCCTTAGGATTCTGGGCTGGAAAGGAGGTGAAAAGGCAAAGGCCTTCCTTTCCCCTTTCGCAAGAAAGGCAGAGAGAGAGAACGGAAAAAACCCCAAGGTGTGGGTTGCAGCGCAGTCAAGGCTGTTGCAGCGCAGCCGCTCCCCGCCCCCCGGGCCCTGAAAGGGGAAGGAAGATACAGATCTTTGGCGGGAAGAGGGGGGAGAGGAGGGGTGGCAGGGCGCCCTCTGGAGGGGAAAGGGGGCACTGCAGGGACACACACACACACACACAGACAGAAAGACACACACACACACACACACACACACACACACACACACACACATATTCCTGTGGACAAATCCCTGCTCCTCCTAGTCCAGGGGTCAGCAAACTTTTTCAGCAGGGGGCCGGTCTACCGTCCCTCAGACCTTGTGGGGGCCGGACTAGATTTTGGAAAAAAATAACGAACCAATTCCTATGCCCCACAAATTACCCAGAGGTGCATTTTAAATAAAAGGGCACATTCTACTCATGTAAAAACACGCTGATTCTCGGACCGTCCGTGGGCCGGATTAAGAAGCCGATTGGGCGGCATCCGGCCCCCGGGCCTTAGGTTGCCTACCCATGTCCTAGACCAGGCATGGCCGAACTTGGCCCTCCACCTGTTTTGGGACTACAACTCCCATCATCCCTACGATACAGGACATCAGTGGTCAGGGATGATGGGAATTGTAGTCCCCAAATAGCTGGAGGGCCAAGGTTGGCCATGCCTGTGGCCTAGACCTTTCCAAGCCCCGCCCCCAATATCCCTTTCTCCTGTTCCTTCCTCAATCCAGCTGGGTCAGCGCCACCCCCTCCAGGGAGCCGTCTGAGATCCAAGGCTAGGCAGCGATCAGGATTCGAACACAAGACCAGCCCTCTCCCCTCTGCTTCCAGCAATTGGCCTTCGGAAGCGTTCGCTGCTGTGGCAGAGAGTAGCCACATGGCCACCGATAGCCTTTTCATGCATTGGCCCAATCCTCTTTCAAAGCCATTCAGTTCAGTGGCCCCTCCTGCGGCAGGGAGTTCCGCAGGTGAACTGGAAAACGAATTTCGCTGCTGCTTCTGGGTGTGCAGAGGTGCCATTGCCAGAGTCTGCTCCCCACCTGCCTGGGGACACCTGCCCTCTCCCTCCACCACCCCAGCTGTGATTCGATTCCTGCACTGCAGGGGGTTGGGATAGATGACCCCCCGGTGTCCCTTCCAACTCTTTGTATGCCGATCAGGAAGTTTTGCACTACACCTCCCGCCAGCCGGCCCCAGCTTGGGGGGAAAAGGCTGCTACTCCAGGAAACTTCCTCCTCGGCCGGATCTGGCCAGCAGCCCCCTTCCAGGCGGCAGCCCACCCTCCCCCAGGGAACCCCAACTTACCTTTCTTGTACTTGTGGACGGGGACTTTCTTCAGCTGCTCCTTCGACAGCCGGTTCCTCCGCATCCTCTTCCGGTGCTGGATGCAGCGCACAATCTGCTCCGCAGGGAGAAATGGGATTTGTGATCGGCTCTTCTTGCATGGCACGGGGTTGGGCTGGATGACCTCAAGGGGGACCCATCCCATTCTACGATTCTGTGCTTCAAAGAGTCCTTAGCAGGGGGTTACTGCTATTGCACACCCCTCATTTTAGGCAAAAACTCCTTTTTTTATCCCAATACATTCGTGGAAAAGAATCTCTAGAATCACAGAATCGTGGAGTCTGAAGGGGACCCCCAGTGGTCATCCAGCCCAACCCGCTGCACGCAATGCAGGAATCTCAGCTTAAGCATCCAAGGCAGACGGCCACCTAACCTCTGCTTAAAAACCTCCAAGGAAGGAGAGTTCACAACTCCACTGCTGAACAGCTCTGACTGTCAAAAAAGTTTTTCCAACAGTTTAATCAGAATCTCCTTTCTGGGCACTCGAAGCCACGGGTTCGAGTCCTACCCACCGAAGCAGGAGAAAACAAGCTTGCTCCCTCTTCCATGTCACTGAGATCTTGGAAGGTGGCTACCCTATAGTCTCCTCGTTTCCAGGCTGAACATCCCTGGCTCCTTCAACCGTTCCTCATCAGGCTCATTTCCCAGACCTCTGACAATCTCTCAGCCCACCTTCCGGTTTGCCAATCTCCTTCCCAAACTGGGGTGCCCAGAACTCCAGCCCTCAAGCCGGGGGGCTGACCAAAAGAAAAAAAGACAGTCACGGAACCAAGAAATTGCACAAAAAATGAAATGCCGTGAAAATCCCTGAAACGAGAAGTAATCGACTAGAAATATTATTGTATGGAAATAAACTAAATAATAAGAATCATAGAATCCTAGAGTTGGAAGAGACCCCAAGGGCCATCGAGTCCAACCCCCTGCCAAGCAGGAAACACCATCAGAGCACTCCTGACATATGGTTGTCAAGCCTCTGCTTAAAGACCTCCAAAGAAGGAGACTCCACCACACTCCTTGGCAGCAAATTCCACTGTCGAACAGCTCTTACTGTCAGGAAGTTCTTCCTAATGTTTAGGTGGAATCTTCTTTCTTGTAGTTTGGATCCATTGCTCCATGTCCGCTTCTCTGGAGCAGCAGAAAACAACCTTTCTCCCTCCTCTATGTGACATCCTTTTATATATTTGAACATGGCTATCGTATCACCCCTTAACCTCCTCTTCTCCAGGCTAAACATGCCCAGCTCCCTTAGCCGTTCCTCATAAGGCATCGTTTCCAGGCCTTTGACCATTTTGGTTGCCCTCCTCTGGACACGTTCCAGTTTGTCAGTGTCCTTCTTGAACTGTGGTGCCCAGAACTGGACACAGTACTCCAGGTGAGGTCTGACCAGAGCAGAATGCAGTGGCACTATTACTTCCCTTGATCTAGATGCTATACTCCTATTGATGCAGCCCAGAATTGCATTGGCTTTTTTAGCTGCCGCGTCACACTGTTGGCTCATGTCAAGTTTGTGGTCAACCAAGACTCCTAGATCCTTTTCACATGTACTGCTCTCAAGCCAGGTGCCTCTCATTTTTTTTGCCCAAGTGCAATACTTTACATTTCTCCCTGTTAAAATTCATCTTGTTTGTTTTGGCCCAGTTCTCTAAACTGTCAAGGTCGTTTTGAAGTGTGATCCTGTCCTCTGGGGTGTTAGCCACCCTCCCAGTTTGGTGTCATCTGCAAATTTGATCAGGATGCCCTTGAGTCCATCATCCAAGTCGTTGATAAAGATGTTGAATAAGACCGGGCCCAAGACAGAACCCTGTGGCACCCCACTAGTCACTCTTCTCCAGGATGAAGAGGAACCATTGATGAGCACCCTTTGGGTTCGGTCAGTCAGCCAGTTACAAATCCACTGAGTGGTAGCATAGTCATAGAATCAAAAAGTTTAAGGAAGAAATTAAACAAAGCCTTAATGGGATGCCGGCTAAAACCTCGTCTTGCTGAACTATTCAGTTTCCTCAGAAGGAATTAGAAAAATCATAAAGCTTAAATGACCAAATGTCCACCCCCCCCTTTCCTCGCACAGTCACTCACCAAAATGGTGCACATCACGACCATGACAATTCCCACGACCCCCGTGAAAGGGATCAGGTAATAGCCCAGGGGGAAGATGTATTCCGGGATCAGGATCACTTGGCCTCTGCGGAGGAGGAGGAGAAAAGAGAGCGGATTCAGAAACCTCAAAGATCTCAGCCTTGGCTCAGAATCCGGGGTGCAAAATAATAATAATAATATTATTAATATTAATATTGGCGGCAGCAGGAGGCCCCATTAGCTAAAGTGGTGCTTCAGGTTAAGAACAGACCTGAACGAATTAAGTACTTAACCCGAGGTACCACTGTAATAATAATAATAATAATAATAATAATAATAATAATAATAATAATAATTTATTTATATCCCGCCCTCCCCAGCCGAAGCCAGGCTCAGAGCGGCTAACAACAGTAAAAATAACACGGTTTACATAAAATCGCAATCAGTTCATTGAAATACATTCGAAAATCAATTCATTCTGAAATCAATTCAGAGTCAATAAGAAGGGGAAATACCATCAGACATCCGTTTCACCCCCTTGGGCAAGGAAGGTGCGGAAGATAAAATTGAATTTTTTCCCCTTTTTCCTTTCTTTCTTTCTTTTTAAAATATATTTTATTTTTTACCAACCACCAAAACACAAACAGTGAATGCCCCCCCCGGCATTTGATACATTGGGTATACAATATTCAATAATATAGAATATTCAATAATATACATATTCAATAATATTCCATAATAACGTATTCACATCAACCATATGTATGCTTCTATATTCCTTAACACTCCTCCCTCCACAAGGTTTATTTCACTTTTAACATCTTAATTGCCCCAAATTAAATATGCAGAAAAAGCTATAAAATAAACTGTGCGATAAAATCAAGATATTAGAAAAAAGTACAACAAGAATGATTGGGCGTTTTTGTTCTAGAAGACTTAATTGGTCAAGATTATGAGAATACAACCGATATTCTTTTATTTTAATGTTAATTCTTCTTGGCTTTTTACTTTTATTCTTGTTATTCCCTTTTCATTTTCGTGTGAAATTTTCTTGTAACTATTTGTAATGCATTTTTATGATAGTATTTTAAATCAATAAAGATATATTCAAAAAAATAAATAAATAAAGGGAAACTTGGCCCTTTTTAAAATGGTTTTAAAATGCCACCTGCTGGACAGTTTGCAGTTAGGAAGAAGGTAAAAAACATAAGGAGAATCTGCAGGATCAGGCCCACCTAGTCCAGCCTCCTGTTCCCACAGGGGCCAACCAGGGGCCCCTAAAGCAGGCATGGTCAAACTCGGCCCTCCAGATGTTCATGGGACTACAACTCCCATCATCCCTGACCGCTGGTCCAGTTAGCTAGGAATGATGGGATCTGTAGTCCCAAAACAGCTGGAGGGCTGAGTTTGGGGATGCCTGCCCTAAAGGGAAGCCCCAAAGCAGGATTTGAACACAAGACCAACATTTTTCAGCAACTGGGATTTGGAAGCATCTGGCTGGGGGGGCAAAATGCAGCCACCCAGGGCTAGTAGCCATCGCTTGCCCTCTCCTCCGCCGTGAATTTTTCTAATCCTCTTTTAAAGCCATCCAGGCAATAACGATAATAATAATAATAATAATAATAATAATAATAATTTATTATTTATACCCCACCCAGACAAACGATTAGAGTATATTGAATTGGCTAGATTAACAGAGGCAATTAGAGACCCCTAATTGCAATTAGCGCAATTAGAGTTTCAAAAAGCATGGGGGAAATGCAGAGAATACTTCACAAAACTGCACCCTAAAATACACACCTGGACTTGTTTCGATTAATGTCTGCAGGAGACTTTGTGGATATTTAAGTTATAATTAGAAAAAATCTTAATAATTATTCATAAAGAAAACAGCTTATAAGAAGTAAATAAGGAGGCCGGATACAGGATAAAGGAAGCCTTTAATTTGGTTGTTTGCTTATTGTATGTTATGTTCACGTTTAATGAGGGTGGATTTCTGTATTGGGGGTGGGGGTGGGGGGGTTATGTTATGTTGTAAATAAAACTTCCAATAAATTTTTTAAAAAATTATACCCCGGCCATCTGGCTGAGTTTCCCCAGCCACTGCTTGGTGGCCCATCACTGGACCCAGTGGCAGGGAGTTCCACAGATTAACTGCACGAAGAAAGAGTTGATCTTACCTGTCCTGAATCTCCCCAAAATTCCTGAGATGTCCACAACTTCTGCCGACGACTATAAATAAAATTCCCATCATGTCTGTCCTTTTCTCCAAACTAAAAGCCTCAAGCCCAGGGGAGTCTTTCCAGCCCCTCGATACTTTTGGAGGTCCTTTTCTGAACCTCTCTGCGGATGATACCCAGCTCTACCTCTCTTTCAAATCGGAACCAGTGAAGGTCCTGTGTGAGTGTCTGGAGGCAGATGGAGGATGGATGGTGGTTAATGGATTGAGGTTGAATCCTGACAAGACAGAAGTACTGTTTTGGGGGGACAGGAGGCGGGCAGGTGTGGAGGACTCCCTGGTCCTGAATGGGGCAACTGTGCCCCTGAAGGACCAGGTGCGCAGCCTGGGAGTCATTTTGGACTCACCGCTGTCCATGGAGGCGCAGGTCAGTTCTGTGTCCAGGGCAGCTGTCTACCAGCTCCATCTGGGACGCAGGATGAGACCCTCCCTGTCCGCAGACTGTCCGGCCAGAGTGGCGCATTCTCTAGTTATCTCCCGCTCGGACTACTGCCATGCGTTCTACATGGGGCTACCTTGGAAGGTGACCCGGAAACTGCAATTAATCCAGAATGCAGCAGCTAGACTGGGGACTGGGAGCGGCAGCCGAGACCACATAACACCAGTCTTGAAAGACCTACATTGGCTCCTGGTACATTTCCAAGCACAATTCAAAGTGTTGGTGCTGACCTTGAAAGCCCTAAATGGCCTCAAAGGACCAGTAGACCTGAAGGAGCATCTCCACCCCGGACACCGGGGTCCCTCTCCCAAGGGCCTTCTGGCGGTTCCCTCCCTGCGAGAAGTGAAGTTACAGGGAACCAGGTGGAGGGCCTTCTCGGTGGTGGCGCCCGCCCTGTAGAACGCCCTCCCTTCAGATGTCAAAGAGAACAAGAACTACCAGGCTTTTAAAAGACATCTGAAGGCAGCCCTGTTCAGGGAAGCTTTTAATGTTTGATGCATTACGGTATTTTGAGGGACGCGGGTGGCGCTGTGGGTTAAACCACAGAGCCTAGGACTTGCTGATCAGAAGGTCGGCGGTTCGAATCCCCACAACGGGGTGAGCTCCCGTTGCTCGGTCCCTGCTCCTGCCAACCTAGCAGTTCGAAAGCACGTCAAAGTGCAAGTAGATAAATAGGTACCGCTCCGGCGGGAAGGTAAACGGCGTTTCCGTGTGCTGCTCTGGTTCGCCAGAAGCGGCTTAGTCCTGCTGGCCACATGACCCGGAAGCTGCACGCCGGCTCCCTCGGCCAATAAAGTGAGATGAGCGCCACAACCCCAGAGTCATGCGACTGGACCAAACGGTCAGGGGTCCCTTTACCTTTTTATTATGGTATTTTAATATTTTCTTGGAATCTGCCCAGAGTGGCTGGGGAAGCTCAGCCAGATGGGCAGGGTATAAATATTATTATTATTATTATTATTATTATTATTATTATTATTATTATTAGACACAGCAGCCCAAACGCAGTCGCACAGCAAACTGGTCAACGTGATCCATTTACCGTATTTACTGAAATGTAACACACACCTTTTGGGGCTGAGTTATGTTGTGAATATTAGGGTGCGCAATAAGATTTGAGGGCACATTTACATTCACCAACAAACACTTTTGGGGGTTCAAAAAATAAAATACTTTTGGAGGAAAAATCTTTCTAACGGCAGTTTTCTATTTAAGTTACATTATAGTTCAAGGGCTATTGATGAGGAAATAAGGATTTGAGTTCTTCATGTGTGCTAAAACTCAGTCTAAACTTAAAAAAAAAAATAGTTTAACCACATCAGTTAACAAACATGTGCTATGTTATTATTGTTTTAGTTAAATAATTTTTTAAAATTGCTATTAAGGAAATGATTATTTTTCTCCTTCCAATAAAGAACAGCAGAAAAGTTGTCCAAACATAGTTAACTTACTAAGCCTCACCATAATTTCATAATTCTCTGTCTATGTATTTCCAATAGTATAACCAAATCAGTCATTTTTTATGACTGTAAAAACGACTCTGAAAATTCATTATTCCAAAAATGAAACCTTGACCTGGCTTGTAAACATTAAGATTATACCAGCAAGAATGAGTCTTCCTGTAAAAAATTAAAATTAAAATTAAATCAAGTCGTACTGACTAGTGATTTAAATCGTGATTGAAATCGGTTTGATTTAAATCAAATCCACCCTGCTTTTTGGGGTTCAAGGTTTTGAAAACCGAGTCGCGCATTCGATTCGAGGGTGTGTTCGATTTGTGCAAATACGGTATATGGGGTTATAGACGTATTTTCATCCCTGGTGTCTCTCAGAGTCGCGGTTTTTAAACTTCCCTTTCCCTTCTGTCCCTTTTCCTGCACTGATACCCGAATTGGCGTTGCATCGCTACACTGAAATAGGTACTATACTGCATATATGGTGGAACTGTTTAAACATCAATTTTGGGAAACAATATACAATGAAATGAGAAAAATGTTCAGATATTCATTTAGGAAAACACCAGAAGGTTTTCTATTGGGAATAGTACCAGGAAGTCTAAAGACATTATATTTATACGCAACAGTAGCCACAAGGCTACTGATTGCGAAAAATTGGAAAAGTGGTATTATACCGATAAAAACAGAGTGGCTTGCCAAATTATTGGAGTATTACAATATATCCAAAATAATGGGAGAAATTGGAAGGATCTCAAAAGAGAAGATAGACAAGGTGTTTAAAGGATACTTGCAAAACCATATTGAAAAATCAGAACTCCTATTAGAATAAACAAGTTCCGTTATAAATAGTGAAATACTAAATAAGATGGATAACAATGTGTAACAGAAAAAGAAGCAGAAAATTGGTTTAAAAGTGTGTGAAAGAAAGTAATAGAAGTGGAAAGAAATTGCAATTGAGTAGATAAAGGAAGTATCTGTGGGATTGAGTGTGGGTATGTATGAATATTTTTAAGGACTGTATAAAATGTATGTTTGTATATTCGTAATATGTTTGTATTAATGTTGAATAATTTTAAAATAAAATATTTTTTGGGGGGGGGGATTGCCCGGCCGCAATCTCCGCATTTCACCGCGATCCCCGTGTTGCAGGAGGGGGTTGAGATGGATGACCTTTGGGGTTCCCTTGCAACTCCACAATCCTTTGACCACAAGCGCTAAACTGGGGGGCAGTGGGGGCGCTTAGGGAGCAGTTCAGGCACCCTCTTTGCCCCCCCTGCCCAGTGCCGGGAATTTCGGTGCGCCGATAAATGAGGTTCCCCCCCCCCCACAGCCGCTGCCCCATAGCTCCTACCCTTTCTCGTAGGTGAAGGAGTCGCGAAGGAGTCTAGCGGCCGTCTCCCCGATGAAGACGGAGGGGATGGTGACCAGCTTGCGTAGTTCCTCTGGGGGGCGGAAGACAAAGGGGGGAGTCAGCCGGGAGCCCCTGGAAAAGGGGTGCCGGAAAAGGGGGTGCGTTATCTGTCCCCCAAAAAGAGCTCACCGCTGTCCCAGACCATGTTGAGCAGTTTGTCCGAACCCACGTTGTGGACGATGGCGGCCAGGAAGCCGGCCTTCTGGGCGTGGAATACCTGCGGGAGGAAGAGGAGGACGTCAAAGTCTGAAAAGCGCTCTGCGCATGCTCAGAAGGTGCCATTTTCCCAGCCGGCCCACAACACACGTCCCGGGGAAGGAGCAAAGAGGGGCAGAGAAACGGCCTTGCGGGAGCAGAAGAGGCAGAGCTCATCACCAGGAGGGTCTGGCGGATGGGGACAAAAGGGGCCCGTCTATTCCAGGGGCCCAAACAGCCCTCCGAACCGAGGGAACATCAGGGTCCAGCCTCCTGTTCTCACAGGGGCCAACGAGGCACCCAGGATAGGAAACCCAGCGGACTTTGTCCAGGATTCGAACACAAGACCAAATCCCCCCTCCTGCGGTTTTCGGCGAGCACATACTCAAAAGCACTGGCTGCCTCTGTTCGGCCGTCCTGATTCACCTCCACAAAAATGCCCAGTCCTCTTTGCAATTATTATTATTATTATTATTTTATTATTTATACCCCGCCCCTCTGGCTGGGTTTCCCCAGCCACTCTGGACGGCTTCCAACAGAATATTAAAAATACAATCAAACATCAAAAACTTCCCTAAACAGGGCTGCCTTCAGATGTCCTCTAAAAGTCAGATCGTTTTTTATTTCAATAATAATAATAATAATAATAATAATAATAATAATAATAATAATTTTATTATTTATACCCCGCCCCTCTGGCTGGGTTTCCCCAGCCACTCTGGGCGGCTTCCAACAGAACACTAAAAACAGAATAAAACATCAAACATAAAAAACTTCCCTAAATAGGGCTGCCTTCAGATGTCCTCTAACAGTCAGATCGTTGTTTATTTCAATAATAATCATAATATTAATAACTTTATGATTTCTACCCCGCCCAAAGAAGACACTAAAAACAGAATTAAAACATTAAAACCTTCCCTAAGCAGGGGAAACCGTGGAGGAAAAGGCTATTTGGACAAGGTTGGTCCCCTCTTGTGGCAGGGAGTTCCACTGTCTAACTGCGCGAGAAAGGGCTTCTATCGGCCCCGAATCTTCCGGCGTTGAAGACGCGCAGGCTTCCCGCCCCGGAGCAAAAAGGGGGCTCATCCTGAACCCCCCTTGGTCACCTTGAGGTCAAAGCTGCAGTCGTTCCTCCGGATGAGGGCGATGAAGACGGTGCCGTTGGAGAGAACCGGGGCGTCTTCGATGGCCTGGCAGGCGTTGGCCGGCTTGGCTTCCACCAGAAAGCCCTGGAAATGAGATATATGGGGGGGGGAGAAGGGTCAGCCTGGTGCCCCCCCTGACCGCAAGGACCGGGCACAAGTTCCGCCCCAGAGCGTCAGGGACAAAGGCGTCAGAGGCTGGCAGGATCCGACCAGAATTACAGCCCCTTCCCCTGCTGTCTTATTTAATCATTTCACAAAAGGCATCTCTCTATTTACTTAACCACCCCATTAATAATAATAATAATAATAATAATAATTCATTTAACGGCTCCTCAAAAATTCGGTTATTTAATTATTTCCTTAACATTTTTTATTTTTTTGCACCCCATTTTAAAAAAAAAAGTTTATTCATTTAACGGCTCCTGCAAATCCGGTTATTCCTGCTGTCTTATTTAATCATTTCACAAAAGGCATCTCTCTATTTACTTAACCACCCCATATAATAATAATAATAATAATAATAATAATAATAATAATAATATATTTAACTGCTCCTCAAAAATTCAGTTATTTAATTCTTTCCTTAAATTTTTTTTCTCCACCCCCTTTTTTTTAAAAAAAAGGTTATTCATTTAACAGCTCCTCCAAATTCGGTTATTTCATTATTTCCTTAACCTTTTTTTTTTTTTGCACTAAATTATTATTAATGTTGCAATACATACATGAAATCTTTACATATCGATACATATACATTATATTTGTAAATTTTCACATTCCGTTATGTACCGACGTTTATCCATTATCTTATTTCTTATTTCTTATTGTCACTTTATTACTGAGATTGTCGTTTTGTATCTTAATAATTAAACATTCGATCTTATGTATCTGCTTAGCTTAACTTGGTGAAATCAGTCTATACATATCAATAAATTCTCGTTCTGAGCATCTTTTGGGCATGTATCCTTCTACACATTTCAATCCCTGTTGGAGATTTCGATTAGATTGCATTGCCGTCATTTTTGCTAATGATTTCAAAAAATTTATATTGCCAATCTTTCAATGTTGGTACTTCTTCTGACTTCCTTAACATTTTTATCTGTCACTTGATTACCCCACCAAAAAACCCTCAAAATATTATTTTAAAAAACAATTAAACTATAGGTAAAAGACCCCAAACGTTCAAAACAGCTGTGAAATTAAAACTAGCTATGAACTAAGAAACGCAGCGGCGTTCTGAGACCCCTGGGTATAGGGCAGTATATTAATAATAATAATAATAATAATAATAACAACAACATGTTTTTATTATTGCTTGTTAGCCGCCCTGAACCTGGCTTTAGCTGGGGAGGGCAGGGTATAAATAAAAATTATTATTATTATTATTATTATTATTAATAGAAGAAGAAATCTGGGAAGAGTCTCCTGAAAACGTTTTGGGGCTGTCATGAGGCAGGGAGTTCCACAGGACCACGCAGAAAATATTGATTTCTGGCGGGTTGTGTGGCACCCGTTTTTCGGGGAGACTCACCACGAGCCCCTCGTGCGGCAGGGGCTCCCCAAAGAGGGCCGGCAGGTCGTTGAACTCCATGCTGGAATTGTGATCCGACATCTGTTTTTCGGGGAGACGGAAAGAGAAAAAGAGTTGGGTAAGTCTGGGGAAACGCAATTTTGGGGAATTTGGAGGGGGACCCCCCTAGGGCTTTCCATGGGGAAGGGGAGACTCACCGCGTGAATGTAGCCCTGGGCAGCCGGCAGCTCCAGGAGAAGGAAAACCGGTAGGACCAGGAATGCCGCCGGGAGCGGGTTCTGTGTTCGAATCATGGCGCCTGGCAGGCAGGCGGGCAGACCAGCGACTCCTAGGGCAAACAGAAGCAGCATCGCAGGAGAGTCAAGGGAAGGAGCAGGGAAAGTTTACAAGAACTTTTGTGAGAAAACCAGAAGCGCTTTTTATTAGGAATTCTGGGTCCGGATATCCCAAAGGTTGTTTTTACGTACGCTGACATAATAAGCGGAAGTAGATAAAAGGACTTTACAAGAACAGAATGGCGGACAAAGATGATGGGCTATGGCGAAAACGACCGGGAAGGTCAGAGATCAAATGGATAATAAATTAGATAAAGAATGGGGGGAATTTGTAAGTTACCTAAAAGAACACTGCGAACAATTAAAAACATGGGCAGGATTCTAAAAAATAGGGTCCAGGGATTCAGAGAATCCTATGTGTGTATGATGACGACTTATTTGGGACGCTACTTGTTAAACCTAAAAATGAATTTTAAGAATTTTCTTTTTTAAAAAAGGAAGGAGCAGGCCCAGGCAGGCTCTGACCATGTCCAGAGTGCCTGCCACCCCCCACCATCTGGAAGAGGATGTGGAGAACAGGCTGGATCAGGATTCGAACCCTGAACTCCCAGGTCCTAGTCTGACACTCCAACCCAGTGTTTCCCAAAGTTGGGTCTGTTTTTGGACGACGACTACCATCCTCCCCTAGCTGGCAGGACCAGCGGTGAGGGATGATGGGAACTGTAGTCCAAAAACAGCCAGAGACCCAAAGTTTGGGAAACTCTGCTCTAACCACTGCACCCCATTGCCTTCCTAGAGTTCTCCTGCTATGGGGCAGCACTATCAATTAAGGATCTGAAATGGGGGCCTGGGGAGCTGAGCCTGCAAGGTGAGCGAGGCTGAGAGACAGGGACGTGGCCCCCAAGGTCACCCTCAAGGAGCTTCAGGGCCAAATGGGGGCAGATTTGAACCCCGCTCTCTCAGGTCCCAGCCTGGCTCTCTAACCACTAGGCGGCACTGCCTTGGTGGGTTAGAGCGGAGGGTCTGGTAGCTGGAGGGGCTGCAGCGCTGTGGGGAGACCATGAGCAGGTCCTGGATCTGGAATAGGCGTGGGATCAGCGTCCAACCTCAGTGTTCCCCTTCTGTAAAATGGGAACAACCAGCCCGAGGCTACAGGATTCTTGCAGGGGAGGAGAACCATTCGATTTGGAAGAACTCTCTGGTGGAGAAAGCCGTTCCGATGGTCAAAAGAACCCTCTCCAAAGATGGCAGACTCTCCTTCCTTGGAGGTTTCCAAGCAGAGCTAGTTGACATTCCTGCCTCACAGGGGGTTGGGCTAGATGACCGCCAGGGGTCCCTGACAACTCTTCCATCCTATGATCTTGGAACCTTCCTTGGAGGTTTTTAAGCAGAGGTTGGGTGGCCATCTTTCTGGGATCCTTTAGTTCAGGGGTCAGCAAACTTTTTCAGCAGGGGGCCGGTCCACCCAGTTTGTCCCCCCACCCCACAGAGCAAAGTCCGTGTGGCCACTTCTGGGAGCCAAACCCCCCAAGGCCAAAGGGATCAGGATTGGAGGTCACAGGGAAGAGGCAGCAAGCTTGGCACCCACTGCTGGTCCGGAGGGCAGGACCCGAACCCAGGACTTTAAATGGAAAGAGAGGAGATTTCAGCTAAGTCACGTGGCTGGCACAACAACAACGACTCCCCAAGGGTAAGAGCTCCCTCGGAAGGTGCCGGGCTCTCCTTCCTCGCAGGGGAGCCTTTGTCGCCGCTCCTGCATGCCAGGGGGTTGGGCTGGATGACCCCTGGGGGTCCCTTTCCGCTCTACAGTTCTCTGAACCCTGTGCCCTCGGGAAGGAACCTGCCCAATACGTCCCTCTTCACCAGGGGTCAGCAAACTTTTTCAGCTGGGGGCCGGTCCACTGTCCCTCAGACCTTGTGGGGGGCCGGACTATTTTTTTGGGGGGGAAATGAACGAATTCCTATGCCTCACAAATAATCCAGAGATGTATGTTTAGGGAAGCTGTTAATGTTTGATGTATTACTGTATTTTAATATTTGGTTGGAAGCTGCCCAGGGGAGACGTGTGGGGTATAAATAATAATAATAATAATAATAATAATAATAATAATAATAATAATTTTAAATAAAAGGAAACAATCTATTCATGTAAAAACACGGTGATTCCTGGACTGTCCGAGGGCCAGATTTAGAAGGCGATTGGGCAGGATCCGGCCCCCTCAGTTTGCCTGACCATGCTTTAGTTATATTTCCTGCCTACAGACCAGGGAGAAGAGTTGGTGGAAGAAGATTGGAAAAAATTTAAAGTATATTTACAAAAATATAGTAAAATTAATGAATGTTAGAAGGATGTTGGAATGAAGTTACATGGTTTTAGCAGAAATGTTATTAAGAACTAAGTAAAAATGGGTTGTTAATGGGTCAAAGGGTAAAATTTAAGGTCAGATCGGGTTAAGGTAATTTATAGAACAAAAATTGAGAAAGATGGAAAGGATTTGTTGAAACAGCTAAATTGAATTAGAATACAAAAAAGGGAGGTGTGAGGAGGTCAATGAAACAAGTAAATGAAAGATAAGGATATGGAAATACTGGATGTGTTTTTTAAAGGTTTTTGTTTTTAAATGTTTTTGTTTTTGTTTTTTCCCCCTCATTGTTGTGCTGTATTGTTTTTTTTGTTTTTTTTTTTTTTATGTATTGTATTGTAACTTTTTAATCTCTCTCTTTTTCTTTTTTTCTGTAATTGTTAAACTTTCAATAAATATCATTTATATATATATATATATATATATATATATATATATATATATATTTCCTGCCTACAATCCTACATTTCATTTGAAGTTTCCCAGCCAGGAGGGCGTGGCAAGGGAAACCCCCTCCCCAACTGAGCAGCCCGGCTGCAGAGACCCTCAAAAGGTGCCCATTCTTCCACCTGGTGCCGAAAGGGAAGCCGCGGCGAAGGGAGATAGGAAGCCAGAGGGTTTTACGCTGGAGAAAAGGCGTCTGGTGCCAGGATGATGCCATCTGACAGGAGGGCAAGAGAACAGTCTCTCCTCTCGATGGGAACACTCTGGAGTGTTTCGGGCAGGAGCAAAAAAAAGAAAGCCTCCGTCGGGAATCCCTTAGCTGCCATTTCTGCGTTCATTGCCGGGGGTTGGGATGGATGACCGCTGGGGGTCCCTCGCAACCCGACAATTTTGCCTTGTGACGGGCGTCAGTCGGCCAAACCCCCCAAGGGCAAAGGAGTCGGGATTGGAGGTCACGGGGAAGAGGGAGCAAGCTTGGCACCCACTGCTGGTCCGGAGGGCAGGACCCGAACCCAGAGCTTCAAATGGAAAGAGAGGAGATTCCAACTAAGTCACGTGGGGGGCAAAACAACAACAACAACGACTCCCCAAGGGTAAGAGCTCCCTTGAAAGGTGCTGGGCTCTCCTTCGTCGCAGGGGGGCCTTCGTCGCCGCTCCTGCATGCCAGGGGGTTGGACTGGATGACCCCTGGGGGTCCCTTTCCGCGCTATGGTTCTCTGAACCCTGTGCCCTTGGGAAGGAACCTGCCCAATACGTCCCTCTCCACCAGGGGTCAGCAAACTTTTTCAGCCGGGGGCCGGTCCGCTGTCCCTCAGACCTTGTGGGGGGCCGGAATATATTTTGGAAAATAATAATAATAATGAACGAATTCCTATGCCCCACAAATGACCCAGAGATACATTTTAAATAAAAGGACACATTCTACTCTTGTTAAAACACGCTGATTCCGCAAGCCGGATTTAGAAGGCGATTGGGCCGGATTTGGCCCCCGGTCCTTAGTTTGCCTACCCCTGCTCTTCACCCAAAGTTCACCTTCTCACCACACAGCAAAGTCCTTGAGAGGCAGCGTGGAGCAGTGGTGAGGGTGCCGGACTAGGACCCAGGAGAGACCCGGGTTCAAATCTCACTCCCTGGCCGCCTTGAGGATATAAATGCAGCTAAATAACGATCACTGTGAGAGCCCAAATGCTGAAACTCCTTCCTGGGAAAAATCTGGCATGCGGCGCATGATTCCTGGAAGGATTTCAGAATGCACAGCGCAAGGAATGTGTGGTGAAAACGGCTTTTGCCAGCGAGGAAACAGCCTACCTAGGAAGCCCAGCTACCATTAACCTCGACATCCCAGCTCCTCAAGTGGCGCCAAGACATCTCTTCTCTGCCGCCATGTTTCCTTTGCGCACTGCGCATCGGTGCGCCTGGGGCGATAAGGGAGGGCAGCGCACGCAGCAGCCGGGAGGCGCCACCCTCGAGGCGCACCCTGCTTCCCCGAGGCGCAACGCTGCCTTTTCTCCCTTGCTTCGGGGTCTGTCCTCCATGCGCAATGCGCAACTCTCTCTGCCCACCCTCAAAAGCCACCTTTGGCGCAACCCACAAGTCTCCATGCGCTGCCACGGCAGTCGAGCCGGGGAGATTGGAGGCGCGGGGGTGCATTTACGCCCACACCCGTTCGGCACGGCGGCAGAGCTGGCCACAGCGAGGAACGCCTTAGTTGCGCAAAGCCTGGACTACTGCAATGCGCCGCTCCTGGGGCTGCCCCTGAAAAGTGCTTGGAAACCTCAGCTGACCCAAGTTGCTGCAGGCAGACTGCTGACTGGGGCTGACTATAGGGCACAGATGCCACCCCCTTGCCAGAAGAGAGCTGCTGGCTGCTGTTCTGTTTCTGGACAGAATCATCGTTCGAAGGGACCCTCAGGGTCATCCAGACCAACCCCGTGCCAAACCGGAATCTTTCACCCCTATAAAGCTTGACACGGCTTAGGTCCAGGTTGTCTGAAAGGCCATATTCTCTCCTTGGGTTTGGATACTTTTGGGGTGGAGGTCCTGCCTCCCTCGAAGACCCAGTTGGTTGGTTGGCTGGTTGGTTGGTTGGGGGGGCACAAGGCATGGCCTTCTCGGTGGTGGCTCCTCCAGAGAACTTTGGAACTCCCTGCCTAGAGAAGCCAGACCGGCTCCCTCCTGGCTGTCCTTCCGCCGGCAGGGGAAGAACCAGAAAACTGATTCTCCAAAGAGAAACCTAGGTTCTTGTAGAATTATGAGCACAGAAAGGGACACCTGTGGGTCATCCAGCCCAGCCCCAACCCCTGCCATGCAGAAATTGCGGCCAAGGAATTTCTGATTAAGAAACTTCCACAGAAGGAGATTCTGCCATCAAGAAGACTTTGGGGAGCCGACTGCTTTCAGGAAAGGCCAATAACATAACAATAGCCTGTCTGTTCTTAGCAGATCTAGTGTATATTCATGTATAATTCTTCTTTAATGATTGCTTCCCCTCCAATGTTTTCAGCTGTTTCTGTTTTAGCTGCAAGGTTCCCTGAGTCAGGGAGAAAATAAATCCAATAATAAGGAACGTGCCATTTTTGGCCATGAGATTTATCGTCCTCATCATTCATTTCATTTCAATACTGTTTTATATCTCACCTCAAAGCCGTTTACGACACATCAAGGAGAACAAACCGGAATAAAACCAATTCAAGTTTCCAGAAAAAAATATTTTGGATCCTGCTCAAAGGGACATTTTGCTTTCCCCGTATTTAGTTACCGACTTTTTATAGAGCTGCCCCACAGCAGGAGGAATCTAGGAAGGCAGTGGGGTGTAGTGGTTAGAGTGTCGGGCTGAGACCTGGGAGATCTGGGTTCGAATCCCCGCTCCGTCGGGTGACCTTGGAGTCAGCCTCTTGGCCTACCTCACAAGGTCTTTGTAGGGACGACCTGGGGAAGGGGCCGGACCCCTGAGAGTATATTTTAAAGTGCAAAGCAGTTTGCAACACATTAAGACATCAAATTAAACGCTGCACAATTAAATCGGTTCAAGCTGCAAGAAATATATTTCCTGCTCAAAGTCACATTTTGCTTTCCCCAGCATCCACAGATCTCCGTGTGTTCGCCATTGGACCCCTGCCAGTTGCAAAACGCGCCTGGCAAAACACAGTGTTTGCCGCAACGGAATGCCTCTTTGCCACGGGGTTGGACTAGATGACCCTCGGGTCCCTTCCAGGACCCTACGATCTCAACTCCATTGCTCGCTCTCACAACAATTCCCTTGTCCCAGTTTGCAAGGAGGAGAAAGGCACAGGGCGGAAATGGACTTGCTATTAACTCTGGACTAAGGCGGAGCTTTTTGATCTGGGGTCGCCAACCTGGTGCCCAGAAATCTCCACATTGACGCAGTTGGAGCCAAACCAGTAGCAAAATGTGGCTGGGTGGTTTCGAACCCGGTTTTATCCACCCTGAACCTTCCAGCATTGGATGGAGTGTTACAGGAGAGGAAGAAAATCTTTCCTCTGCCCCTTCCTCCCTCTCTAGGGCTTGGATTGCGGAGAACCAAAACAAACACATTACGGTATTTTCCTGTCTCTTTCCTGCTGTTGAATTGCAAACGGCTCGGGGCAGAAACCTGCCCGACTTTGCCAAACTCCAAACACAGAGACAGAGAGGTGGAGTTGGCAGGGTCAGGCCCCGGGCTCACCCAACCGGGGGTCGTCGCAGGACAGCGGGTTGGACTGGATAACCACTGGGGGGTCCCTTTTGACTCCACAACCCCATAACCCGCAGCTGAGATTCCTGCATTGCAGAGGGTTGGAGTAGATGACCGCTGGGGTCCCTTCCAATGCTGTGATCCTGACCGTCCGGCTGCACAGAAGCGCCCAAAGTTGGAGCACAAGATTTGGGGCACCGGGGGCAAGAAAGAGGCTCTGGCCAAGATAGCCTTGATCTCCGGCCCCTGAGGTTCTGCCAAGGCGCAAATGCCCCCCATTTATGCCCTGGACTTGTCAGGTTGGGGGGTACACCCTCACGAGGGCAGGGCACCCCAAATCTGGAGGAGGAGGGAGCAATGCCAAACGAGGGGAGCAAAATATTCACCCCAGATCCTGCCCAGTTTCCCCTTTTTGGGGGGAGGGAGATCCCAAGCTGCCCCCCAACTCTGCCCGCCACACCCACCATCAAAGGAGACTCCCCCCTGCCCCCTGCGCCCTCCCAGCGCCAGGAAAAGCGCCCTAGGGCGCCCCCACCCAGCCCAAAGGGGTGCCCCCCAACCCTGGACCGTGGGGCGCAGGACGCACCCCTAGAAACAGGGCGCTCCCCCACCCCCACCAGGAAGGGCGCCCCAGGGTGCCAAGGGGGCACCCCCACCCACCCACGGCCGCTCCACCCCAATCCTCGACCCTGGGGGCGCAGACGCGACCCTCCCCCCTGCCTTGGGGACCCAGGAGTCCGGGCAGGAGGCGCCTGCCCCTCGCCCACCTCCTTGCAGGGGACCCAGGCGTCCGGGAGAGGAGGGAGGGGGAGGCTCCTCCCCCGCAGGTCACTGACCTTCCCCGGGTGGCGGGGCTCCTGGGGGGTCGCGCGCCGGGTGGTCTCCCCTGGGCTGCCTTCTGTTTACAAGCCCCTCCGCTGCAACATGGCTGGGAGATCTCGCGAGAGGAGGGCGGGGGGGGGGAGGGAGGGAGCAGCTCCTCCTCCTCCTCCTCCTCCTCCTCCTCACGCCTCGGACGCCTGGGTTCTCCAGACGGAGGGAGGGAGGGAGAGGAGCGCGCCCAGGAGCGCGCGCGCACCCTTCCTCTCTTTGCAAAACAGCAGGGAGGCTCAGAAGGGACCCTGCAGAAAAAGTCACATTTCCTTGTTGCGTTCTTATTAGTGGTTTTGTGTAATTGTTCTAGTGCGCTTTGCTACGTATTCACATTAAAACCTATTTTTTAAGTCAGTTTCCTTGCGTTATTATTGCTGGGTGGTTGTTTTTTTCTTCTGCCGTATTTTGCTACATATTCACAGTATATTTTAAATGAAAAAACATTATTTTCCTCCACGCAGTGAAATTGCAAGCAACTGGAGGGGAGGGGTGGGCTTTGAGAGTCACCCCCTTTTTATTTATTACTGTATTATTATTACAGTATTATTATTACATTTATATTCAGTCATTTTTCTCTCCAAAGTGCCTTGTGCTCCCTTCTCTCCACGCCCCCATTTAATAATAATAATAATAATAATTTATCATTTATACCCCGCCCATCTGGCTGGGTTTCCCCAGCCGCTCTGGGCGGCTTCCAACAGAACACTAAAATACAATAACCTATTAAACATTAAAAGCTTCCCTAAACAGGGCTGCCTTCAGATGTCTTCTAAAAGTCTGGTAGTTGTTGTTCTCTTTGACATCTGGTGGAAGGGAGTTCCACAGGGTGGGCGCCCACCAACGACAACCCTGCGAGGTAGGCTGGACCCAGAGATCCAGTGTGTCTTTTCCCCCAAGGTCACCCCCCTGGGAGCTTCATGGCCAAGTTGGGGGGCGGATTCAAACCCTCATTCCTCAGGGACTTACCTGGGGTGGCCCCCAGTTGCTGCCTCTCAACCAGACCTACCTCACAGGGCTGTTGTTATGGGGGTTAAATCCAGAGGGGGGGGCCATGCGGACTGCCCTGAGCTCCTTGGGGAGAAAAGATGGGGCAGAGATGCCATAAATGCAGAAGGTGGGTTTTCAAGCAGAGCACCTGTCAGGGATGCTTTAGCTGAGATTCCTGCATCGCAGCGGGTTGGGCTGGATGACCTCTGAGGGTCCCAGCCCTATGATTCTATGATCAGCTGTTTGAAATGGGAGCCCAGGTACCAACAGTAGAAGAATGGCAGATGAAGATGCTGGACTTTTTGGAGCTGGCTGACCTGACTGGAAGAAGAGGAGTATCGAGAAGATTGGAAGAAATTTAAAGACTATTTAGCCAAATATTGTAAATATAAGAAAATTAGAAGACACTTGAAAATATCAAATAGGCTCAGGAATAAAATAAGAATGAATTGTTAAGCATTGTGGATTTTGACCACCAAGAAAAGACTAGAAGATAGTAAATTGAGAGAGTTAATTTTATTTCCAGAAAGAGGATACTGGAGAGCGGTTACAAGGTGATACAATGAAATTCAGTTAGGGGGGGATTTGAGGAATTCAGTTAACAATGGGAATTAAAATGAATTTTAGAAGGAATTGTTGTTGTTTAGTCGTCTCCACCTCTTCGTGACCCCCTGGACCAGAGCACGCCAGGCACTCCTGTCTTCCACTGCCTCCCGCAGTTTGGTCAAACTCACGCTGGTAGCTTCGAGAACACTGTCCCACCATCTCGTCCTCCGTCGTCCCCTTCTCCTTGTGCCCTCCATCTTTCCCAACATCAGGGTCTTTTCCAGGGAGTCTTCTCTTCTCATGAGGTGGCCAAAGTATTGGAGCCTCAGCTTTAGGATCTGTCTTCCAGTGAGCACTCAGGGCTGGTTTCCTTCAGAATGGAGAGGTTTGATCTTCTTGCAGTCCGTGGGACTCTCAAGAGTCTCCTCCAGCGCCATAACTCAAAACCATCCATTCTTCGGCAATCAGCCTTCTTTATGGTCCAGCTCTCACTTCCATACATCACTACTGGGAAAACCATAGCTTTAACTGTACGGATCTTTGTCGGTAAGGTGGCGTCTCTGCTTTTTAAGATTTAAGATTTGTCATCGCTTTTCTCCCAAGAAGCAGGCGTCTTTTAATTTCGTGGCTGCTGTCACCATCTGCAGTGATCATGGAGACCAAGAAAGTAAAATCTCTCACTGCCTCCATTTCTTCCCCTTCTATTTGCCAGGAGGTGATGGGCCCAGTGGTGATGGGCTGTTGTTATGGGGGTTAAATTCAGAGGGGAGGGCCATGTGCACTGCCCTGAGCTCCTTGGGGAGAAAAGATGGGGCAGAGATGCTATAAATGTAGAAGGGGGTTTTCAAGCATGGATGCTTTAGCTGAGATTCCTGCATCGCAGGGGGTTGGGCTGGATGACCTCTGAGGGTCCCAGCCCTATGATTCTATGATCAGCTGTTTGAAATGGGAGCCCAGGTACCAGCAGTAGAAGAATGGCAGATGAAGATGTTGGACTTTTTGGAGCTAGCCGACCTGACTGGAACAATTCACGATCAGAAAGAAGAGGCGTATCAAGAAGATTGGAAGAAATTTAAAGACTATTTAGCCAAATATTGTAATATAAGAAAATTAGTAGTCCCTTGAAAATATCAAATAGGCTCAGGAATAAAATAAGAATGAATTGTTAAGCATTATGGGTTTTGATCACCAAGAAAAGACTAGAAGATAGTAAATTGAGAGAGTTAATTTTATTTCCAGAAAGAGGATATTGTTACAAGGTGATACAATGAAATTCAGTTAGGGGGGGATTTGAGGAATTCAATTAACAATGGAAATTAAAATGAATTTTAGAAGGAAGATATGTTTATATTATTGTTTCTTTTCTTTTCTTTTAGTACTGTAATGTGTTTTCTTTTGTATGTTTTATATGTTATACTTGTTAAAATTAATGAAAAATTTTGGAAAAAAATAATGAAATGGGGTCCCAGGACGCCTGGGTTTTCTTGGGGCTTCACTTGGGAGATGGAGAGCCTGGAGATGGCAGACCCAAAGGGGCCGCCTCATTTCCCCACCTCCCTGGCTGTTGTCCTCCTGCCTTTGCTCTCCTCTCGCCACAGGCGATCCCTCTGCCAAGGAATGCTGAGGGCGTTGGGCGGAGGAATTGCTGCCGGAAAAGCAAGGCAGGAATGTGGTTGCGCCTGGAATGAAGGGCCCGGCCAAAACAACAGTGTCTCCAGGCCCTGATCCTATACGGAAGCGTGGCTTGCACATTGAACATCAACCCAGTGAAAAGGCACATTGCATGCCGGGAAAGGAATTGTGCAAACCTGTGTAAATCTGTGACACAACCAGGAATTGTGCAAACTTGTCCAAATCTCTGGCGCAAGCAGGAATTGTGCAAACCTGTGGCACAACCAGGAATTGTGCAAACCTGTGCAAATCTGTGGCGCAACCAGGGATTGTGCAAACCTGTGCAAATCTGTGGCGCAACCAGGAATTGTGCAAATCTGTACAAATCTGTGGCGCAACGAGGAATTGTGCAAACCTGTGCAAATCTCTGGCACAACCAGGAATTGTGCAAACCTGTCCAAATCTCTGGTGCAACCAGGGATTGTGCAAACCTGTGCAAACCTGTGGCACAACCAGGAATTGTGCAAACCTGTGCAAATCTCTGGCGCAACCAGGAATTGTGCAAACCTGTCCAAATCTCTGGTGCAACCAGGGATTGTGCAAACCTGTGCAAATCTGTGGCGCAACCAGGAATTGTGCAAACCTGTCCAAATCTCTGGCGCAACCAGGGATTGTGCAAACCTGTGCAAATCTGTGGCGCAACCAGGAATTGTGCAAACCTGTGCAAATCTCTGGCGCAACCAGGGATTGTGCAAACCTGTGCAAATCTGTGGCGCAACCAGGGATTGTGCAAATCTGTGCAAATCTCTGGCGCAACCTGGAACTGTGCAAACCTGTAAAAATCTCTGGCACAACCAGGGAATGTACAAACCTGTGCAAATCTGTGGCGCAACCCGGAATTTTGCAAACCTGTGCAAATCTGTAGCACAAGCAGGAACTGTGCAAACCTGTGCAAATCTGTGGCGCAACCAGGAATTTTGCAAACCTGTGCAAACCTGTGGCACAACCAGGTTGGGATGCTCTGTGTGGTTCTGGTTGCCTCGCCTCAAAATGGATATCTTAGCAGTGGGAGGCATTTGGGGGTTTTTGGCTAAAGGAAAAGGAGAGTAACAGGAGACAGGATAGAAGTTTAATGAAAATAATGTGGAAAGTGGACAGATAATATTTTTTTCTCCCCCCCCCCCCCCCACTCATCACAGCCGAAGTCGTGGACGTCCCAGGAAGCTAGATGCTGGGGGATTTAGGACAGGTAAAAGGACCTACATCTGGGGGGTCCTGAAGCCTGAGCGGTTATGGGTCCCCCTTTGCAACCGATGAGGTCCGGGAAACCACAACCATCTTCTTCAATAGGCTTGTTCCATGACAGATCGCCCCACTTTCCCGACGATTTTGGGACTCCACTTAAGTACTTTTGTGAACTCCTTGCTCTTCCTCAAGGATCTTGACCTCTGCGTGGTGGTGGTGGTTTGGGCGGTGGGGAAACACCATATCTTCGCCCCATAAGACGCACCTGACCATAAGACGCACCTAGTTTTTAGAGGAGGAAAACAAGGAAAAAAATATTCTGAACGAAACAGTGGATGTATGATTTTTGTGGTTCATGCTGTGGTTCATGTGATCTGATGGTGAATTTGGGGTAGCCCAATGCAAAAATCCTGAGGATCCATGGGCTTTTACCTCCCCCCTCCCAGGCAGCCTCCTTTATCTAGCCTCCCTTATCTCTCTCCCAATCCTGCCGATCAGCTGCTTCCTTTCAAGACTCCCTTCCTTCTTGTTTGCCTTAGTGTCTTTTCCTTAGCAGGAGCAGTTTTTTGCTCCTCCTTTTCTTCTAATTTCTCTCCTTATTGATTTAGTCTTCCTGTTTCCCCCCTTTGCAAGTTTCCTGTCTTTACCTCCCCCCTCCCAGGCAGCCTCCTTTACCTCTAGCGTCCCTTATCTCTCTCCCCGATCGCAAACGATCAGCGGCTTTGTTTCAGCACCCAATTCCCTCTTTCAAAAAAAAGAGCATCATTTGCTTTTTGTTCCTGGGCAATTCGGCTCCAGGGACCATGCACTCAGTCCACAAAAAGCACAGACATTTCCCCTTACTTTTTAGGAAGAAAAAAGTGCGTCTTATGGAGCGAAAAATACGGTACATTTGCCGAAGAAGAATGACTAACTTACCACAACACGCCCCCTTGACAACATCTGACTCTCAGACTGTGGGATCGTTGAAATATATGCAACAGAAGATTAATCTGTTGGAGTTGCGCGACTCAGATTGGACTCTGCTAGACCCCAATTTAAAACAAAAACCAGTGTGAACTGAAATCGCTTCTGGGGCCCCTCTGGGATTGAGGGCCCTGAGGCTCCTGCTTCATTGGTTTCAAAGCAGTGCAAACTGCGGAACTCCCTGCCACAAGACGCAGCAATGGCTACCAGCCTGGATGGCTTTAAAAGAGGATGGGGCAAAATCACGGAGGAGGAGAAGGCTCTTGTCGTATATATTTCAACAGTCCCAAAGTTTGAGAGAGTGTGGTAAAGATGGAGGGTAGTTTGTGGCTTCTCCATCCCTTCCACCAGAGGTTGCTGGTCTTCTGCATGTGTGAACGCAGATCACATCTGTGTTTCCCTTTCAAAGTGGCTCCATTTCCATTGGTGATGGTATCTACTTATTATCTAACACCAAACAAACTGGCAAAAATGTGTAAATCTAAATCAAACAAATGTTGGAAATGGCAAGAGAAAGAAGGTTCTTTTTATCATATGTGGTGGTCTTGTAGTAAGGTTTAAGCTTACTGGGAAATGATATATAATGAACCAGAAAATATGTTAAAAATGAAGTTTGTAAAAACAAACAAACCCAGAAGCCTTTCTCTTGGGAATTATAAGGACAGAACTACCTATATATAGCTATGTATAGAATATACCTATGTATATATACCTATGTATAGAAATTTATTTATGTCTGCGACTACAGACATAATTTATTATGTCTGTTATTTGCCCAAAAAAGGGAAAGAAGTCCCAGCAAAGGAAGAATGGACACAAAAACATATGGAATATGCTCTTTTCCCCTCCATTATTTCATTGCAGACCTCTTTCAAAGGTTGTATTAACCATTCTTTCAAAGATCTATAGTATCTAGAAGTCAAGCCATCTGGTCCTGGAGATTTACCCAGTTGCATATTTTGAATGGCACCTTCTACTTCCTGTTCAGTTATTTTGTAGTTCAAAATTAGTTTGCTTTCTTGAGATATTTTTTGTAATCCATTTGTTTTCAAAAATTGATCTAAGTCTGTTTCTTTCAATGGCCCTTGCGTATATAATTGTTTAAAGTACCTCTGGAAACAATTTCTAATCTCTGCTGGGTTCTGTCAAGTTTTGAGATGTTTGATTGATTGTAAAGCTAATGAAATGTATAAATTTTGAAAAGTATAAATAAAAAATAAAAACAAAGCAGCTCTTTCGCCCACAAGTTCCCCGGAAGGGTGAGATAAGACACAAGCAGTCAGGCAGGAGGAACAGGTTGAAACCCATTGCTTGGCAAATTGCCGTCTGATTATTTTATATACAGGATGGCTGAGTTATTCCGTGGTTTGTTTCGTTTCATTTGGGGCTCTCCCCAGATTATCCCTTCTTTGTGCATTCCCCCTTATCCTTGTTTTATTTGAACGTAATTTGCATTTTACAAGGCTGAGTTTGTTCTTAAATGTTTGCACAGAGGTTAGATGGCCTTATTATATTATTCCAGATTTTTAAGAGACATCTGAAGGCAGCCCTGTTTAGGGAAGCTTTTAATGTTTAACAGACCACTGTATTTTAATACTTTGTTGGAAGCTGCCCAGGGTGGCTGGGGAGACCCAGCCAGATGGGCGGGGTATAAATAAATTATTATTATTATTATTATTATTATTATTACTCAGCCACCCCCAGTGTTCGCTCACACTCTCCTTGCCACTTTTCTTACCGCAAACATTTCTGGGGTGAGGTTTTTTCGTGGTGGCGGTAGGGAACGACTCTCACTGTTTAGTGGGCATAATTTAATTTAATCTTTAAGAAAGACAATGTTGGAGAGGGTCATGGCAGAATGAGAGGAAGTACCCTGGGGTGAAGCAGATTGACCCAGCCCATCCTGCTTCATCGTCCCACGTTGCATTCTGGGCACCCCAGTTTAAGAAGGAGATTGACAAAAGTGGAGCAGGTACAGAGGCGGGAGACCCAGATGTTAAAGGTGGGATATAAATTAAGGTTACCAGATTATTTTTTTTCAATGAATCCGGGGACACTTTTCAACTTCAATAGGAACGATAGGATTTCGTCAGGGGACCAGTGGCGTAGCGTGGGTTGTCAGCACCCGGGGCAAGGCAAGTAATTTGCACCCCCTAACCCGTTGATTTGCGCCCCCTAACCCGTGGATTTGCGCCCCCTAACCCTAACCCCCAGGTGTTGCGCCCGGTGAGGCCGGCCCCCCCTGCACCCCCCACGCTACGCCACTGCAGGGGACTGATTTGTAAATCTGGGGATTGTCCCTGGGAAAGGGGGACGTCTGGTAACCTTAATATAAATGCAATTAATAATATTAGGAGTATTAGGTAATGCAAAACAAAAACATTACAAAACCACAAGCTAACATTCTATTTCCCCCCAGAATGATGCAAAACTTATATGCATGCAGAAATTAAAAATAGCTACTTCCTCGATTTCCTGATGGGGAAATTACCTCGGCTTCAAAGCACAGTATTGCGGGGAAACCAAATCAAATCTGTCCTGATTTTTAATTTTTTTTTTTCGTGGGGGGGGGATTGTACTTTTTTTTCGTGGGGGGGGGATTGCACATTTCCAGCAGCCCCCAAACAGCCCCTGATCTCGCCTTTCCCCTGAGCCGAGGCTGCCCCCTGGTGCCCAGCACTGGCCAGTTTTGAAGCTGCCCTCCAGAGGCCTCAGCTGTCCGCATCCTGGGGTCGAAAGGCCAGCTGGATCGTGTCCTTCCACCCGTGCTGCTGTGAAGATCCATCGACCTCTGGCTCCGACATAAATCAGCGACTCAGGCCTCCCAGACTTGAGCACAGTATACATAGCAGAGCAAACTGCACAACAGAAGAGGCCTGAGGCTGTGTGGATACATACTAAAACTACGGATTTCTTGTCTTTTCCAGGGAGTCTTCTCTTCTCGGGAGGTGGCCAAAGTATGGAAGCCTCAGCTCAACATCAAAAAAACGAAGATCATGGCCACTGGTCCCATCACCTCTTGGTAAATAGAAGGTGAAGAAATGGAGGCAGTGAGAGATTTTACTTTCTTGGGCTCCATGATCACTGCAGATGGTGACAGCAGTCACGAAATTAAAAGACGCCTGCTTCTTGGGAGAAAGGCGATGGCAAACCTAGACAGCATCTTAAAAAGCAGAGACATCACCTTACCAACAAAGGTCCATATAGTTCAAGCTATGGTTTTCCCAGTAGTGATGTATGGAAGTGAGAGCTGGACCATCAAGAAGGCTGATCGCCAAAGAATTGATGCTTTTGAGTTCTGGTGCTGGAGGAGACTCTTGAGAGTCCCATGGACTGCAAGAAGATCAAACCTCTCCATTCTGAAGGAAATCAGCCCTGAGTGCTCACTGGAAGGACAGATCCTGAAGCTGAGGCTCCAACAACAACTATATATATACCGTGGTACCTCGGGTTAAGTACTTAATTCATTCCGGAGGTCCGTACTTAACCTGAAACTGTTCTTAACCTGAAGCCCCACTTTAGCTAATGGGGCCTCCTGCTGCCGCCGGAGCTCGATTTCTGTTTTTATCCTGAAGCAAAGTTCTTAACCCGAGGTACTATTTCTGGGTTAGCAGAGTCTGTAACCTGAAGCGTATGTAACCCGAGGTACCACTGTATATATGCATCTATGTGTGTGTGTGTGTGTGTGTGTGTGTGTATATATATATATATATATGTGTGTGTGTGTGTGTGTGTGTATATATATATATATATAGGTGTGTCCTAGGAATGAATGCATTATTTTTCTGAGTCCATCGATTCCCTCGCTTCCTTCGCAATTCATTTACCCGGCTCAGCCCAAGTTAGCAGACTATTTTCCGAGCTGCGCCTGCGCGCCTGCCGCGGGGGCTGATGGGAGCTGTAGTCCCGGCAGGGGCCTCCTCTCCCGGGGAGCCAAGGAAGGCTCCGATTGGCCCAGCGCGTCGCCCTCTTTTTACCCAGCCTCCCGGCGGCTTCGCGAGGCCTACTGCGCAGGCGCCTCCTTCTCCCACGCTCCTCCTCCTCTTCCGAGACGGAAGTCCCGCCCCGGAAGCCCCTCTGGGCGCGCAGCCATTGGCTCCTTCGCGCTCCCCTCGCTCTCGCCCGCCGGAGTCACCTTGGTCCCGGCGCGAGCGGAGCCGTCATGGCGGCGTCGGGACCCGGCAAGCCCAAAACGTCGCCCAAGTCCGTCAAGTTCCTCTTCGGGGGCCTCGCCGGGTAAGAGCCGCCCCGAGACCCCCCCCAGGCCCGGCTGCGCGCGCCCCCGCCTCCGGCCGCAAGGGCTCATGGGTAATGGGGGGTCTCTTCTCCCCCCCCGACCCAAAGGCCCGCCTGCAGGCACCTCGTACTACAGTTCCCACCTGCTGGGAGTTGTAGTACGAGGCACCTGTATTCTTTTTAATCTGCTGCAAAGGCTCATGGGTAATGGGGGGTCTCTTCTCTCCCCCCCGACCCAGGGGCCCAGGCTCCGCCCCCCTGGGGCCCTGCAGGCACCTCGTACTACAGTTCCCACCTGCTGGGAGTTGTAGTACAAGGCACCTGGGAGGGAAACAGGTGTGTTTTTTTAATCTGCTGCAAAGGCTCACGGGAAATGGGGGGCTCCCCCAGCCCCAAAGGCACGCCTTCTCCCATCCTGTGACCCTCCAGGTGACTGGCACCACAATGAGGGGAAAGGATCTGCTAGGGCAGCGGTTCTCAACCTGTGGGTCCCCAGATGTTGTTGGACTACAACTCCCATCATCCCTGAGCTCTGGCCTTGCTAGCTGGGGGTGATGGGAGTTGTAGTTCAACAACATCTGGGGACCCACAGGTTGAGAAAGGCTGTGCTAGGGGGTCCACACTGAGGCAGGGAGAAGCAGGTGCACAACTATGGGATGGCAGCAGCAGCACATGGGGAAAGAGTCAAGAGGGGGGACCACAAGCTGAACCTGAGACCACTGTGTGCTGCGGCAGCAAAAAAGGCGAACGCTGTTCTAGACGGCGTCCTCAGAAGTCTAGTGTCCAGATCAAGGGAAGTCGCAGGGACTCGGGTCGTGGTGCAAGAGCGGATGAGGCTGGCTAAGTGAGGAGTCCTATAGAATCTATAGGGCTGGAAGGCATCCTCTGAGGGTCATCCCCATGCAATGCTGGAATCACAACTGAAGAATCCCCGGAAGACGGCCGTCCAAGCTGCAAAAGGAGGTTGCTAGAAAAGGGGAGCTCAAATTCTCTGGTGCAGCAACTCCCCATGGAGAGAGGTTAAATGCTTAAACAGGGAACGTGAGTGAGATATGTACAATTACAGGGGGGGAAGTAAGCTGGCTCTAGGTGCTGGGTGTTGCTGCTCTGGCTTGGGGAGGGGGGTCTTATCACCTCCTTTAAGACGGGGGACACCTGACTTGCCAGCAGCTCATGTGTAAAGGGTCGGGGGGGGGAGTCTTGGTGGACCACAAGCTAAACGTGAGCCAGCAGCGTGATGCAGCAGCAAAAAAGGCTAATGCAATTCTAGGCTGCATCCTCAGAAGCCTAGAGTCCAGATCGAGGGAAGAAACAGTCCCACTCTATTCCGACTTGGTCAGACCACACCTGGAATACTGTGTCCAATTCTGGGCACCACAGTTTAGGAAGGATGTTGACCAGCTGGCAGGTGGGCAGAGGAGGGAAACCAAGATGATCAAGGGCCTGGAAACCAAACCTTGTGAGGAGTGGTTGAAGGAGCTTGGTAAGTTTAACACAGGAAAGAGAAGAGATGAGAGCCATCTTCAAACATCTCAAGGGCTGTTCCATGGAAGACAGAGCAAGCTTGTTTTCTCCTGCTCCAGAGGGTAGGACTCGAACCCACGGCTTCGAGTTACGAGAAAGGAGATCCCGACTAAACACCAGGAAGAACTTTCTGGCAGCAAGAGCTGTTCAGCACTGGAATGGATGGACTTTGGAAGGTGGTGGACGCTCCTTGGCTGTTTTCAAAGAGAGGCCATCCGCTCACAGAATTATAAAGTTGCAAGGGGCCACGAGGGTCATGTGCTCCAACCCTGCGCAGGAATCCTTTCGCCCAACGTGCCTCTCGAACCCACAACCCTGAGATTAAAAGTGTCACGCTCTGCCTATGGAGCTAAGCTTCTACACTGCCAGGGATCCTTTAGCTGCGATTCGTGCGTTGTAGGGGGACTAGAATGGTTCTCAACCTGTGGGTCCCCAGATGTTGTTGGACTACGACTCCCATCATCCCTAGCTAGCAAGGGATGATGGGAGTCGTAGTCCAACAACATCTGGGGACCCCCAGGTTGAGAACTGCTGGACTAGATGATTCCACGATCATCTCACGAGGATTCCACGATTCAGTGATCCGGGACTGAGCTACGCTGTGATTGGAGTGGTGCTTTTTGTGATGCCAGAACTGCTAATCCGCTTAAGTGAGGGATTAAACCGCATCAGGGGAAGGGGCGATGGAATGCCAACTGCTCTGGCTCCCCTCCGGTCAAATATAGGGCTGTCTCACGGGGGAGCAGCTGGGGAGAGGAGGAAGAGGTGTGGCAAAGAGAGGATTAGGGAGGAAGGTTTTTTGGGGGAACGGTCTCCTCTGGCTCCTGGGGTGCTTTCCTTGCCACCCTCCCTGAATAAAAGCCTCTTATGTAACTGAGGGGTGTGTGAAGCAGATTTAGGCTGCCTTGCGGAGAGGGACACAGATGGAATCTGGCTTATTTAGGTTTCTGGAAGGATCTGAAGTGGGGCGGAGGGGGAGTGCTTCGGGATTTGAATCCTGAATAGGACAAGGGAAATATTCCCCGAGTGCTCTGCGGAGAGGGGTGGCTCCCTTACGAGGAACGACTGCCTTGTTTGGGAGAAAAGTTGCTATAGAAAAAAATGTGGGTTTGGTTTTTGCTGCCCAGCTCCCCAAGGGACTGAGTCCCCTAAGTCCATGATCGGTCAGAGATGAATGGATGGAGGCAAGATCCAGAGAAAGCAAGGCAGATCTTGATTTTTCTGTTGCAACAGAGCTCCCTCCTCTGCTTGCAAGGAGGTAGGAGAGACAATGGCGCGCAAGCCCCAATAGAGGCTTCTGAAATTGCCCACCCTGGGGCCCAAGACCACCCCCCAAACATACATTGCAGAAGGAGGCAGTCTCCAGCAGAAATCTATGTTGCTTCTCTCCTGTCTGCCAGGATACCTGATTATGCCTTAAAGGTAAAGGGACCCCTGGCCATTAGGTCCAGTCGTGGCCGACTCTGGGCTTGCGGCGCTCATCTCGCTTTATTGGCCGAGGGAGCCGGCGTACAGCTTCCGGGTCATGTGGCCAGCAGGACTAAGCCGCTTCTGGCGAACCAGAGCAGCGCACGGAAACGCCGTTTACCTTCCTGCCAGAGCGGTACCTATTTATCTACTTGCACTTTGACGTGCTTTTGAACTGCTCGGTGGGCAGGAGCAGGGACCGAGCAACGGGAACTCACCCTGTCGCAGGGATTCGAACTGCCGACCTTCTGATCGGCAAGCCCTAGGCTCTGTGGTTTAACCCGCAGCGCCACCCATGTCCCTGAATATGCCTTACTTGATTGCATTTTCTGGGTAGCCTGGCCATTCCTTTGAGGTGGTAAATCTCTTACACATATTGAGAGTTTGCTCAGCTTAACAGATACAGTTGGCCATTGGCCATCCTCAAAATGTATAGGACCGTAATCGGAGAAATCTGGGTGGGGGTTGCAGGAGGTGGTCTTCCCTCTCCAGCCCGTTCTGCCGCTTCTCCCTGTTCTCCCCCAGCCCTCAAGTGACCTCTTGCCCCTTCTCTCCCCCCCCCAGCATGGCGGCCACTGTGTTTGTGCAGCCCCTGGACCTGGTGAAGAACCGGATGCAGCTGAGCGGCGAAGGCGCCAAGACGAAGGAGTACAAGACCAGCTTCCACGCCGTGGGGAGCATCCTCCGCAAGGAGGGCGTGCGGGGCATCTACACCGGGTAAGTTTTCTCGAGGGGAGCAGGGGCCTTGGGGGGCCTGGTGTGTGTGTGTGTGTGTGTGTGTGTGTGTGAGAGAGAGAGAGAGAGAGAGAGAGAGGAGTATGGCAGGGGCACTTGGCTGCAGATCAGGTGATTTTTATTATTGTTTATTCAGTTTATATACCACTAGCCCCTTCCTTCCCTCCCTTCCCTTTCCTTCCTTCCTTCCTTCCTTCCTCCCTCCCTCCCTCCCTCCCTCCCCTCCCCTCCCCTCCCCTCTCCTCCCTCCCTCCCTCCCTCCCTCCCCTTCCTTCCTTCATTCCATCCATCCATCCATCCTTCTTCCCTTCCCCTCCCCTTCCTTCCTCCCTTCCTTCCTTCCATCCATCCTTCCTTCCTTCCTTCCTTCCTTCCTTCCTTCCTTCCTCTTTTCCTTTCCTTCCCTTCCTTCCTCCCTCCCTCCCTCCCTCCCCTTCCTTCCTTCATTCCATCCATCCATCCATCCATCCTTCCTCCCTCCCTCCCTTCCTCCCTCCCTTCCCTTCCTTCCTTCCTTCCTTCCTTCCTTCCTTCCTTCCCCTCCCCTCCCCTCTCCTTCCTTCCTTCCATCCATCCATCCTTCCTCCCTCCCCTCCCCTCTCCTCCCTTCCTTCCTTCCTCCCCTCCCCTCCCCTCCCCTCCCCTCCCCTCCCCTCCCCTCCCCTCCCCTCTCCTTCCTTCCTTCCTTCCTTCCTTCCTTCCTTCCTTCCATCCATCCTTCCTCCCTCCCCTCCCTTCCCCTTCCTTCCTTCCTTCCTTCCTTCCTTCCTTCCTTCCTTCCTCCCTCCCTCCCTCCCCTCCCCTTCCTTCCTTCCTTCCTTCCTTCCTTCCTTCCTTCCATCCTTCCTTCCTCCCTCCCTCCCTCCCCTCCCCTTCCTTCCTTCCTTCCTTCCTTCCTTCCATCCTTCCTTCCTCCCTCCCCTCCCCTCCCCTCCCCTTCCTTCCTTCCTTCCTTCCTTCCTTCCTTCCTCCCTCCCCTCCCCTCCCCTCCCCTTCCTTCCTTCCTTCCTTCCTTCCTTCCTTCCTTCCTTCCCCTCCCCTCCCCTCTCCTTCCTTCCTTCCATCCATCCATCCTTCCTCCCTCCCCTCCCCTCTCCTCCCTTCCTCCCCTCCCCTCCCCTCCCCTCCCCTCCCCTCTCCTTCCTTCCTTCCTTCCTTCCTTCCATCCTTCCTCCCTCCCCTCCCTTCCCCTTCCTTCCTTCCTTCCTTCCTTCCTTCCTTCCTCCCTCCCTCCCTCCCCTTCCTTCCTTCCTTCCTTCCTTCCTTCCTTCCTTCCTTCCATCCTTCCTCCCTCCCTCCCCTCCCCTCCCCTTCCTTCCTTCCTTCCTTCCTTCCTTCCTTCCATCCTTCCTTCCTCCCTCCCCTCCCCTCCCCTCCCCTTCCTTCCTTCCTTCAGAGATTGCAGGGCAGCAGTTGAAGAAGGAGCAAAAAGGGTTTTCTTGTGTGTGTGTGTTTCTTTGTGGCTGATTGGCTGCTCTCCCTGTGCAAAGGTCAGAGGGGGCAGGGTTTCTGTTGAGGCAGGTGATTAGCTGTGGGAGGAGCTTATCAGAGATTGCAGGGCAGCAGTTGAAGAAGGAGCAAAAGGGTTTTCTTGTGTGTGTGTGTTTCTTTGTGACTGATTGGCTGCTCTCCCTGTGCAAAGGTCAGAGGGGGCAGGGTTTCTGTTGAGGCAGGTGATTAGCTGTGGGAGGAGCTTATCAGAGATTGCAGGGCAGCAGTTGAAGAAGGAGCAAAAAGGGTTTTCTTGTGTGTGTGTGTTTCTTTGTGACTGATTGGCTGCTCTCCCTGTGCAAAGGTCAGAGGGGGCAGGGTTTCTGTTGAGGCAGGTGATTAGCTGTGGGAGGAGCTTATCAGAGATTGCAGGGCAGCAGTTGAAGAAGGAGCAAAAGGGTTTTCTTGTGTGTGTGTGTTTCTTTGTGACTGATTGGCTGCTCTCCCTGTGCAAAGGTCAGAGGGGGCAGGGTTTCTGTTGAGGCAGGTGATTAGCTGTGGGAGGAGCTTATCAGAGATTGCAGGGCAGCAGTTGAAGAAGGAGCAAAAGGGTTTTCTTGTGTGTGTGTGTTTCTTTGTGACTGATTGGCTGCTCTCCCTGTGCAAAGGTCAGAGGGGGCAGGGTTTCTGTTGAGGCAGGTGATTAGCTGTGGGAGGAGCTTATCAGAGATTGCAGGGCAGCAGTTGAAGAAGGAGCAAAAAGGGTTTTCTTGTGTGTGTGTGTTTCTTTGTGACTGATTGGCTGCTCTCCCTGTGCAAAGGTCAGAGGGGGCAGGGTTTCTGTTGAGGCAGGTGATTAGCTGTGGGAGGAGCTTATCAGAGATTGCAGGGCAGCAGTTGAAGAAGGAGCAAAAAGGGTTTTCTTGTGTGTGTGTGTTTCTTTGTGACTGATTGGCTGCTCTCCCTGTGCAAAGGTCAGAGGGGGCAGGGTTTCTGTTGAGGCAGGTGATTAGCTGTGGGAGGAGCTTATCAGAGATTGCAGGGCAGCGGCGCGCGCCTAGCGGCGCGCGCAGTTTTATCCATCTTTTAGATTTAGGGGAGCTAGTCTCAAACGTTTGTTGGGGAAGACCTAGGGTTTTTTTTGTGGGGGGGAGTTATTTTTGCTGTCTTCACGCTTTTTTTGTTTGAGGACCACTGTATCCACCCCCAACGACACGTTCTCAAGATGGAGGGGAGGGAACAGCTGCAGTCGCCTGCGGTTCCTGCGCAATGCTTGCCATCTTGCCAAAGGTTGCAGGCAGCTTTACCTGCAGCAATTGCATGTTGATTGCCCTCTTAAAAGACAAAGTCCAGCAACTGGAGGAACGTGTAGCTACGCTCCAAAGAATTAGAGAGCTGGAGCTCTTCTTGGAAGCAACAGAGCACACCGTCTCCACCAAGGAGGAGACAGGGGACTCCCCTGAGAAGGACGCTAGTTCACCAACACAGGAGCCAGATATATGGAGAAACGTGACTCAAAGAAGTAGGAGGCCCAGGGTTCGCTCTGATTGTTTAGAAATACACAATCGCTTTGAGGTCCTCTCCCCTAGCATGGAAGACGAAGAGCAGACTCCATTTGAGGATCTCTCCCTCATTACAGTCGATCAGGTATATGAAGACGAGCAGCAAAGTCAGTCCTCAGGGAATGTGCAGGCGACCTTGGAGCGGACAGCTCACAGAAGAACCCCGGCCAAACCTAAGAGGAGGCGTGTAGTGGTGATAGGGGATTCCCTACTGAGGGGAACAGAAGCAGTGATCTGTGGGCCTGACAAGATGTCTCGGGAAGTGTGCTGTCTCCCGGGGCTAAGATCCAAGATGTAACTGAACGACTGCAAGGAATCATAAAACCCACTGACAAATACCCCTTCCTCTTGGTTCACGTGGGAACCAATGACACTGCAAGCAATAGCCTCCAGAAGATCAAAAGAGACTACGAGGCTCTGGGCAGGAAATTGAAGCAATTAAATGCACAAATTGTGATCTCATCTGTCCTCCCAGTTGAACGACGTGGCCCAGGGAGAGAGGGGAAAATAGTGGAAGTGAACAGCTGGCTTCGCAAATGGTGTAAACAGGAACGGTTTGGATTCTTAGATCACGGACTGCAGTTTCTTGAAGATGGACTTCTGGCAAGCGATGGGCTGCACCTCACAACGGTTGGGAGAAATGTTTTTGCCAAAAATCTCAGAAACCTCATCAGGAGGGCTTTAAACTGACTAATGTGGGGGAGGGAGATAGTGCTCCTGAAGGTAGGAGTCTATCAATTGATGAAGATGATCATCCAAATGTCATAGACCAAATGGAGCAAACAGCACACAGACCTAGTGGTGGGAGGAAAAATCCTTAAATAAGAGTCACGGGGAATGATTAATGGACTTCAATGTCTGTACACTAATGCGCAAAGCATGGGAAATAAACAAGATGAGCTTGAGCTCTTGGTACAGCAAACTAAATATGACATAATAGGCATCACTGAAACCTGGTGGGATAAGTCCCACGATTGGAATGTAATAATGGGGGATACAATCTATTTCAGAGAAACAGACCAGACAAGAAAGGAGGAGGAGTGGCGTTATATGTCAGGGATGTGTATACCTGTGAAGAGATCCAAGATTTAGAACCTCAAAGCCAAAGTGAGAGCATTTGGGTCAAAATTAAGGGAGAGAAGAATAACAGTGACCTCATTGTGGGAGTTTACTATAGATCCCCAAGCCAAACGGAGGACATAGATGATGCCTTCCTGGAACAGATGGCCAAGCATGCAAAAGGAAGGGAGATAGTAGTAATGGGGGACTTCAATTACCCGGATATTTGTTGGATGTCAAACTCAGCCAAGAGCATAAGGTCAAACAGATTCCTCACTGGCCTTGCAGACAACTTCATTGTCCAGAAAGTGGGAGAAGCAACAAGAGGAACAGCCATTTTAGATCTGGTCCTAACCAATGTTGATGACCTGGTTAGTGGGGTAGAAGTGGAAGGATCATTAGGCGCAAGTGATCATGCTCTTCTGAAGTTTACTATACAGCGGAAAGGAGCAGCCAAGCATACTAGGACTCAATTTCTTGACTTTAAGAAAGCTGACTTCATAAAACTTAGGGAAGTGCTGGGTGAGATCCCATGGACAGTAATACTAAAAGGAAAGGGAGTTCATGATGGCTGGGAGTTTGTTAAGAGGGAGATACTAAAAGCACAACGTCAGGCAATACCAATGAGACGGAAACATGGAAGGTGCCTAAAGAAGCCAGGGTGGCTATCTAAAGAACTTTTAACTGAGTTAAGATTAAAAAGGATGTGTACAAAAATGGAAAAGGGGGAAACCACCAAAGAGGAATTCAAACAAATAGCCAGCACGTGTAGACACAAAGTCAGAAAAGCTAAAGCACAGAATGAACTCAGGCTTGCTAGAGAGGTTAAAAGCAACAAAAAAGGCTTTTATGGGTATGTCCGTAGCAAAAGGAAGAACAAAGAAACAGTGGGGTCACTCAGAGGAGAAGATGGTGAAATGCAAACAGGGGACACAGAAAGAGCTGAACTCCTCAATGCCTTCTTTGCCTCAGTCTTCTCCGATAAAGAAAACAATGCCCGACCTGAAGAATTTGGAGCAAATGATTCAGCAAAGGAAACACAGCCCAGAATAACTAAGGAGATAGTACAAGAATACTTGGCTAGTTTAGATGTATTCAAGTCTCCAGGGCCAGATGAACTGCATCCAAGAGTATTAAAAGAACTGGCAGATGTGATCTCAGAACCACTGGCAGTCATCTTTGAGAATTCCTGGAGAACAGGCGAAGTCCCGGCAGACTGGAGGAGGGCAAATGTTGTCCCTATTTTCAAAAAGGGGAAAAGAGAGGACCCAAATAATTACCGCCCAGTCAGTCTGACATCAATACCAGGGAAGATTCTGGAGCAGATCATTAAGCAAACAGTCTGTGAGCACCTAGAAAGGAATGCTGTGATCACCAATAGTCAGCATGGATTTCTGAAAAATAAGTCATGTCAGACTAACCTGATCTCGTTTTTGACAGAATTACAAGCCTGGTGGATGAAGGGAACGCAGTGGATGTAGCCTACCTTGATTTCAGCAAGGCATTTGACAAGGTGCCTCATGATATTCTTGTAAAGAAGCTGGTAAAATGTGGTCTTGACTATGCTACCACTCAGTGGATTTGTAACTGGCTGACTGACCGAACCCAAAGGGTGCTCATCAATGGTTCCTCTTCATCCTGGAGAAGAGTGACTAGTGGGGTGCCACAGGGTTCTGTCTTGGGCCCGGTCTTATTCAACATCTTTATCAACGACTTGGGTGATGGACTCAAGGGCATCCTGATCAAATTTGCAGATGACACCAAATTGGGAGGGGTGGCTAACACCCCAGAGGACAGGATCACACTTCAAAACGACCTTGACAGATTAGAGAACTGGGCCAAAACAAACAAGATGAATTTTAACAGGGAGAAATGTAAAGTATTGCACTTGGGCAAAAAAAATGAGAGGCACAAATACAAGATGGGGACACCTGGCTTGAGAGCAGTACATGTGAAAAGGATCTAGGAGTCTTGGTTGACCACAAACTTCACATGAGCCAACAGTGTGACGCGGCAGCTAAAAAGCCAATGCAATTCTGGGCTGCATCAATAGGAGTATAGCATCTAGATCAAGGGAAGTAATAGTGCCACTGTATTCTGCTCTGGTCAGACCTCACCTGGAGTACTGTGTCCAGTTCTGGGCACCACACTTCAAGAAGGACATTGACAAACTGGAACGTGTCCAGAGGAGGGCAACCAAAATGGTCAAAGGCCTGGAAACGATGCCTTATGAGGAACGGCTAAGAGAGCTGGGCATGTTTAGCCTGGAGAAGAGGAGGTTAAGGGGTGATATGATAGCCATGTTCAAATATATAAAAGGATGTCACATAGAGGAGGGAGAAAGGTTGTTTTCTGCTGCTCCAGAGAAGCGGACACGGAGCAATGGATCCAAACTACAAGAAAGAAGATTCCACCTAAACATTAGGAAGAACTTCCTGACAGTAAGAGCTGTTCGACAGTGGAATTTGCTGCCAAGGAGTGTGGTGGAGTCTCCTTCTTTGGAGGTCTTTAAGCAGAGGCTTGACAACCATATGTCAGGAGTGCTCTGATGGTGTTTCCTGCTTGGCAGGGGGTTGGACTCGATGGCCCTTGTGGTCTCTTCCAACTCTATGATTCTATGATTCCTTCCTTCCTTCCTCCCTCCCCTCCCCTCCCCTCCCCTCCCCTTCCTTCCTTCCTTCCTTCCTTCCTTCCTTCCTTCCTTCCTTCCTTCCTTCCTCCCTCCCCTCCCTTCCCCTCCCCTTCCTTCCTTCCTTCCTTCCTTCCATCCTTCCTCCCTCCCTCCCCTCCCCTCCCCTCCCCTTCCTTCCTTCCTTCCTTCCTTCCTTCCTTCCTTCCTCCCTCCCCTCCCTTCCCCTCCTTCCTTCCTTCCTTCCTTCCTCTCCTTCCTCTCCTTCCTCCCCCTCCCCTCCCTCCCTTCCTTTCCTTCCTTCCTTCCTTTCCTTCCTCTCCTTCCTCCCTCCCCTCCCCTCCCTCCCTTCCTTCCTTCCTTCCTTCCTTCCTTCCTTCCTTCCATCCTTCCTCCCTCCCTCCCCTCCCTCCCCTTCCTTCCTTCCTTCCTTCCTTCCTTCCATCCATCCTTCCTCCCTCCCTCCCCTTCCTTCCTCCCTTCCTTCCTTCCATCCATCCTTCCTTCCTTCCTTCCTTCCTTCCTTCCATCCATCCTCCTCCTTCCATCCGTCCTCCCTTCCCCTCCCTTCCCCTCCCCTCCTCCTTCCATCCTTCCTCCCTTCCCCTCCCCTCCCCTCCCCCCTTCCTTCCTTCCTTCCTTCCTTCCTTCCTTCCTTCCTCTCCTCTGTGGGGGCAGAAGGAAGAGACGTTTACAGGCTGGCCCTGGCAGGATGTATTGAGGGCCTGGTTTCCACTTGGGGGCTAAGCTGCCAACCCCCCTGTTTATTTGGGTGGTGCGTAGCCCCACAACCTCCTCAGTAGCTGCACCCCCCTGGCGGAACGCCCTCCCGTCAGACGTCAAACAGATAAACTATGACTTTTAGAAGACACCCGAAGGCAGCCCTTTACAGGGTAGTTTTTAATGTTTGAGGTTTTATCTTGTTTTTAATAACTCCCCAGAGTGGGGTAGCCCCTTCAGATGAGCAGCATATGAACACTAAAATTACTATCATCATTGTTATTTGTTGAAGTTGACCCCGGAGCATGAACATGGCTCAAAATGCGCAGCCTGGAAGAATCGAAGCGCTGTAGCTGCAAACCCCTTCAGTGCCAGCGAGAGGCGTGGGTGGCTGTGGGTGGCAGGAGGGGCTCCTCTGGCTCTGGTTCTCAGTCTGGGGGTTCCCCCACATGCCCCCCTCTCTCTTGGCAGGCTGTCCGCCGGCCTCCTGCGCCAGGCCACCTACACCACCACCCGCCTGGGCATCTACACCATCCTCTTTGAGAAGCTCACCTCCTCCGACGGGACGCCCCCCAACTTCTTCATGAAGGCCGTGATCGGGATGACGGCGGGCGCCATTGGGGCCTTTGTGGGCACGCCTGCCGAGGTGGCGCTCATCCGCATGACGGCCGACGGCAGGTGGGTAGGGGAGACCCCTTGGTGCATTGGCAGGGGGCAGGGGCACCCCTGTGCCAGAAGTGGGTGCCACCTCCATCGTTTTTGGCCTTGTGCTGGCGGTGAAATGCAGACCGGTTCTCTTTTCTGTTTGGGCAGCTACCGTATTTTTCGCACTATAAGATGCACTTTTCCCCCTTCAAAAATGAAGGGGAAATGTGTGTGCGTCCTATGGAGCAAATGCAGGCTCCTTGGCTTCAGCGATAGCAATGCGAAGCCTCCGAAGTGCAGAGTGAGAGCTCCCTCCACGCTCCGGAGGCTTTGCGTTGCTTTCGCTGAAGCCTCTGGAGCGCAGTGCGAACTCCCACTGCGCTCCGGGGGCTTCAGGCAGCTATCCGCAAGCCTTCGGAGCGCAGCAGGAGTTCCCACAGCACTCCAAAGGCTTGCGGATAGCCGCCTGAAGCCTGGAGAGCGAGAGGGGTCGGTGCTTCGCTGGAGAGGCGCTGCACAGTTTTCCCTCTCTGCGCAGCGCCCCTTCAGCGAAGTGGGGGGAGAAATGGAAGGGGCTCCGTTTTTCCTGCCGCTTCGCTGAAGGGGCGCTGAGCAGAGAGGGGGAGGATTATTATTTTCCCTGTTCTCCCCCTCCTATGGTCTGGTGCGTCCTATAGAGCTAAAAATACGGTAATTTTTATTTCGTACATAAAACAAGAGAGAACGGTTAGAACATTGAAAGATAAGAAACAAACACAGAAGACGGGCAGGCAGAATGAGTTCAGGGTTGAAATAACCAGAGTCCGAGTAAAGACTGTCGGCATTCTCCCATCCAGTCTTGCTCCAGAGACACGTGCCAGGTTCTGACGATGGTTTCGCTCTTTAGGTCCTAAAAGAATGCCAAATCACATTGAAAGTGTCTGGAGGTTTTGATCCTTGTATCTTTATCTATAAATTTCTTCTTTATAGCACCAAGCTTCCAGTGTAAGATTTGGGGTTGTTTCCCTTTGAGTTGCAACTATTATTTGTGATGTCAAGATCATACAGGAGACCAATTCTTTGGACAACATAGCCACATTGGTATCACCGAAAATACTCAGCAACTTTAATTTTGGGTAGCAAGCCGTAGCTCCTTTAGTAATATTTATCGTTTCTCTTGAAACCGGATCCCCAAAACCTTGCAGCGACTTACTTTCCTGCCACTAACGAGCCGAGTTTTCTACAGTCCCTCCAGCAATTAGGAAGAAAACATTTTTGACATTTGAAGAGTGTTATTGTCTCTGTGCTGATTTCAAGGAGTTTGCCCTAAGAAAGCTGGAAGCAGTCCAGCTGTTTCCAAGCAAAGAATGTTATCTGAGGATCGAGTCCGGTCCCGGATTTGGCCGGCTCGTCTTGGAAACGAAGGCTCCTCCGCCGTGCATGTGATAAAGGAATGCAAAAAATGCAGGCCGGTTCTGGTCGGGAAGATCTGGGCCTGTTTCTCTCTCTTTCTCACTTCCTCTCTCTTCCTTCTTCTTCTTTCCTCTGTTCCAGGTTGCCTCCTGACCAAAGGAGGGGCTACACAAACGTCTTCAACGCGCTTCTGCGGATAACCCGCGAGGAGGGGGTTCCCACGCTCTGGAGGGTACGGCCCTTTAGAAAGAGGGTGGGCTCGGGGAAAGTTTCGACTCTGCCCTCGTGATTGCTCAAGTGTCACCCAAAAAGGAGGGTCAGGCCTCTTCTGCCATGTAATGAGTTTATTACAGCAGAGGAAATGGGCTCCCGTTCATTTGCGAGTTCGCACAGAGGCGAGCTTGAGAATTCCTCTTTTTGCCTGGCTATCTGATGCCGATAACGGAATGGAAAGAAAACCCTTCCTGCTTTCGGTATTCAACCACTCTTGAAACTCTTTGCTTGCTTGCTCACCTGCCTTGGGCAGGTACAGTGGGACCTCTGCTCTTGAACCGCTCCGTTCCCGAACGTTTTGGCTCCTGAACATTGAAAACCCGGAAGCAAATGTTCCAGTTTTCGAATGTCCCTCGGAACCCAAATGTCCGACACGGCTTCTGTTCTGCAAAAAGCCTAGCTGCCAAAGAAGCCTCAGAATTTGAATGTTTCGGAAGTCGAACGTCCTTCCGGGACAGATTAAGTTCGACTTCCGAGGGGGCTGTTCCTGCTGCCTCTCATCTCCGCCATTGCATTTTCCAAGTGTCTTTCTCCCTTAGCTAAACTTACTTGGGGGCAAAATAAGGAGGGAGGATCTCCCTGTCGGGCCTGGGAAAACAGCTTGCTCTCGCCTTAATTCTAGGCTCTGCTAAGTGGTCTCCTCGCCCCAAAACACAGGTCTGTGTTTTGTGCCTCTGCCAGGGCAAGGGGTTTCCTCCTGCTGATCTCCAGCGTCCATTTTAAGAGAGCAGCTCTGGGCGGGTTTGAGGTCTCTGCAGCCAGGCTAGTCTCTTTGCAAACAGATGAACCATCGAAGAGGGTCCTGTGGCCCCTTCGACTCCTTTCTGGGTTCCCATCCCTCTGGCCTGGCCCTGGACACAAGGCTGGCCTCAGCCACCCAGCCTCCACCTTTTGCCCTTTCTCGGGGCTGCCAACCCAGGAGGGGAAGAGCCACAGCTCAGCCGGCTCCGGGTTCAACCTCTTAGCAGCACCTGCTGACAGAGATGTTTACTCCCTGAAACCCTGGAGAGCCTCTGCTGCTGCTGATCAGTGTAAAAAGGTAAAGGGACCCCTGACCATTAGATCCAGTCGTGGCCGACTCTGGGGTTGCGGCGCTCATCTCGCTTTAGTGGCCGAGGGAGCCGGCATACAGCTTCCGGGTCATGTGGCCAGCAGGACTAAGCCGCTTCTGGCGAACCAGAGCAGCGCACGGAAACGCCGTTTACCTTCCCGCCGGAGCGGTACCTATTTATCTGCTTGCACTTCATGCTTTCAAACTGCTAGGTTGGCAGGAGCTGAGACCGAGCAACGGGAGCTCACCCCGTCGCGGGGATTCGAACCGCCGACCTTCCGATCGGCAAGCCCTAGGCTCGGTGGTTTAACCCACAGCGCCACCCGTGTCCTGGCTGGTCAGTGTAGACAGCACTAATCTAGACGGACCCAGTGGGCTGGCTGGTCTGCCCTTCCTGGCCGCTGATCTGAGCAGCTGCTCCTTCGCCGCAGGGCGAGAGCCCCTCTCCCTACCTTGAGGGGAGCTTCCGATGCCCCCCCCCAGCCCCTAATGGCTTTTCTCCTCCATCCCATAGGGCTGTGTCCCCACCATGGCCAGAGCCGTCGTTGTCAACGCAGCCCAGCTGGCCTCCTACTCCCAGTCCAAGCAGTTCCTCCTTGATTCGGGTAAGCGGCGTCCCAGTTGGGGGCAGAGGGGTGAGGAAGGCCTGGAGGGGTCTCCGTCCTCTCTGCCGGCCCAGCCAGGCCCCTGCAAGCTCTGCCGCCCTCTTTCCTGTAGGGCTTGAGGGCTCCCAGAGGGGAAGGGGGGTTCAGGGGTCCCAGAGGCGACGGCAGCAGCAGCAGGAGCCGAAACTTCCTCCGCCTCGTCCGCAGGTTACTTCCGGGACAACATCTTGTGCCACTTCTGTGCCAGCATGATCAGTGGTTTGGTGACGACTGCAGCCTCCATGCCAGTGGATATTGCCAAGACCAGGTCAGGGAGACAAGGAAGTGGGTCTTGGGTCTGCTGGGGGGCGGGGGAGGAAGGAAGAGCAGCCTTTGGGGGTGGGGGTGAGGTCAGGGAGGGAGAGGGCAGCCTGGGATTGACCCTCTTCTTTGTAAATTATTATTATTATTATTATTATTATTATTATTATTATTATTATTATTATATTTTATTTATACCCCGCCCTCCCTGCCCAAAGCCAGGCTCAGGGTGGCTAACACCAGTAAAATTACAGTAAACACATAATTGGGGCGGGGGGGGGGGGACCAGTTTAAAATACAGCTTAAAATGCATTTTAAAATGCAGTCTCGTTTTAAAAGCAGCCTATAGATCAAGACCATAAGGGGAGGGAAACATAAGGGTCAGACTAAGTCCAAGCCAAAGGCCAGGCAGAACAGCTCTGTCTTGCAGGCCCTGCGGAAAGATGTCAAGTCCCGCAGGGAGCGTTCCACCACGTTGGGGCCAGTGCTGAAAAGGCCCTGGCCCTAGTTGAGACCAATCTAATCACCTTGCGACCTGGGACCTCCAAAATGTTGTCATTTGTGGACCTTATTAAATGCATAACAAGCAGAACATCCCCAGATTTCAACAAGAGAAACGGGACAATTGAGCATGATCAGGTACAGGGTAGGGAGACAAAAAGCAGGAAGAGAAATATTGCAAGAGACAGGTGCCAAACAGGCAATTTGTTCCTGATTTCTTTATGGCGTTTAAACCGCCTTTTCCTCCAAGGAGCTCAAGCTGATTCCTCGTTTAATCCCCACAACGACCTTGTGGGGTAGGCCAGGCTGAGAGACCTTAGTGGCTGGCCCCCAAGGTCTTACCCAAGCGAGCTCCATGCCTGAGTGGAGGATTCGAACCCCAGCCTCTCCCAGCTCCTAGTCCAACACTCCCACAACTGTACCGCACTGGCCGGAAGCGGCTTCAGCAGCAGAGGGTGCGCATCTTACCCCCCCTTTTTTTTGCATTTCCCCCTCCAGGATCCAGAACATGCGGATGATTGACGGAAAGCCAGAGTACCGGAACGGGCTGGTGAGTGTGGGCCGGGCTCTTTGGGGGGGATCTTGCCTCTATTCCCCACCCCAGTCAGGGAAGCACGGAAACCCCCATGAGGTTTGGCATTGGGGGGAAAGAGGTTTATAGTTCTCAAGGATGCGCAACGTCAGTTTGGCAGCGAGCAGCTGCTCAGCAGAGCCGTCTGGAGGCGGTTGGGGGATGGAGGGCGGCTAACAGATTGAGGTCGAATCCTGACAAGGCAGAAGTACTGTTTTTGGGGGACGGGTGGACAGGTGTGGAGGACTCCCTGGTCCTGAATGGGGCAACTGTGCCCCTGAAGGACCAGGTGTGCAGCCTGGGAGTCATTTTGGACTCACCGCTGTCCATGGAGGCGCAGGTCAGTTCTGTGTCCAGGGCAGCTCCATTTGGTACGCAGGATGAGACCCTCCCTGCCCGCAGACTGGCTTGCCAGAGTCGTGCATGCTCTGGTTATCTCTCGCTTGGACTACTGCCATGCGCTCTACGTGGGGCTACCTTTGAAGGTGACCCGGAAACTACAACTAATCCAGAATGTGGCAGCCAGACTGGTGACTGGGAGCGGCCGCCGAGACCACATAACACCGGTCCTGAGAGATCTGCATTGGCTCCCAGTACGTTCCCGAGCACAAGTCAAAGTGTTGGTGTCAAAGAGATCAACAGCTACCAGACTTTTAGAAGACATCTGAAGGCAGCCCTGTTTAGGGAAGCTTTTAATGTTTGATGTATTACAGTATTTTAATATTTTTTTGGAAGCCTCCCAGAGTGGCTGGGGAAGCCCAGCCAGATGGGTAGGATATAAATAATAAATTATTATTATTATCAGCAGCTGGAATGGACTGGAGTGGGCTGCTCAGGATGCCTTGCGGTTGTTGGGGAAGAGGGGAGGCTGGGTTCAGTCTCTCACCACCACCACCCCGGCCTCTCCCCACAGCTTGCGTCATGCCCCACACCAGAGCCAAGCCCAGGGCCTGCAGTTCAAAGGGCCACCTCTCTCCCTGGCTGGCAGGGGGAAGCTGCTTCAAGCTCCTTCTTTCCTGGAAGGGGGGGAAGACTTTGGACCCCAGGCCCCTCTCCCTTCGGAGGAGGACTTTGCCCTCCCAGCCAAGGGCCCTGGAGACGGATCACGGAGCCCACAGTATGCAGAGCTTGCTTCCTTGCTTTTGTCCCTGGGTTGAAAAACACACAGAGATCTCCTAACCTTTGCTCTCCCTTCACAGCTGGAGCCAGCAATGTTTCTGAACACCATTTGCTGGAAAAAATTATTATTTATTTATACATACATACATACATACATACATACCCAAGGGACACAGGTGACGCTGTGGGTTAAACCACAGAGCCTAGGACTTGCTGATCAGAAGGTCGGTGGTTCGAATCCCCGTGACGGGGTGAGCTCCCGTTGCTCGGTCCCTGCTCCTGCCCACCTAGCAGTTCGAAAGCACGTCAAAGTGCAAGTAGATAAATAGGTACCGCTCCAGCAGGAAGGTAAACGGCGTTTCCGTGCGCTGCTCTGGTTCGCCAGAAGTGGCTTAGTCCTGCTGGCCACATGACCCGGAAGCTGTGCGCCGGCTCCCTCGGCCAATAAAGCGAGATGAGTGCCGCAACCCCAGAGTCGGACACAACTGGACCTAATGGTCAGGGGTCCCTTTACCTTTACATACATACATACCCCACCCATCTGGCTAGGTTTCCCCAGCCACACAATAAAACATCAAACATTAAAAGCTTCCCTAAACAGGGCTGCCTTCAGATGTCTTCTAAAAGTCAGGTAGGTATTTATTTCCTTTACATCTGAAGGGAGGACGTTCCACAGGGCAGGCGCCACTACCAAGAAGGCCCTCTGCCTGGTTCCCTGCAATTTCAGTTCTCGCAGTGAGGGAACCGCCAGAAGGCCCTCGGAGCTGGACCTCAGTGTCCGGGTGGAACAATGGAGGTGGAGACACTCCTTCAGGTCTACTGGACCTTTGAGGCTGTTTAGGGCTTTCAAGGTCAGCACCAACACTTTGAATTGTGCTCAGAAATGTCCTGGGAGCCAATGTAGATCTCTCAGGACCGGTGTTATGTGGTCCCGGTGGCCACTCCCAGTCCCCAGTCTAGCTGCCGCGTTCTGGATTAGTTGTAGTTTCCGGGTCACCTTCAAAGGCAGCCCCACGTAGAGCGCATGGCAGTAGTCCAAGCGGGAGATAACCAGAGCATGCACCACTCTGGCCAGACAGTCCATGGGCAGGAGGGGAGAGGGTTGCTCCTGCGCTTGGGTCCTGCTTCTGGATTTCCCTTGGGGGCATCTGGTCAGCCACAGTGGGAACCAGACGCTGGGCTGGGTGGACCAATGGGCGGATCCTGCAGGGTTTCACTTCTGTTCTTTGCTCCTCCGCCAGTGGTGGGGGCCAGTGCCGGCCTCCCTTCTCTTGCCCTTGGAGAGGCGTTTTGCTTCTCCCCGCAGCCGATTCGGAGGGGCTGCTTGGCAGGCACAAAACAGACCTCTTTCCCCCCCCGGACTTTGCCCCGCCAGCTTCCGGTGCGTCTCGTTTTGCCGGAGGAGAGAAGCGGCCAAAGTCCAGGCGGCCGGTCGCTCTTTCCCTTCTGGGAGAGCTAGGATTGCACAGGGGCTGGTGACCCCCTCAGGCCTCCTCTGCCCTCCCACTGTTATATCTGCCCACCAGACACCCACCTCCCCACTGCCAGCAATAAAGCAATAAATCGTGAAATTCTCTTTTTGGAGAGAAGCAAAACAGCTCCGGCCTGGGCATCCGAGCGACTCTTGCCTTGCCCCAGCTCTCTCAGTCCCCATCTTCTTCCCTGATTCCTTCCCAAACAATCCTTCATCTTGTCTCTCTCTGCCCCGTCCTCTTCAGACCTCCAGAGGTCATCCGGTCCAACCCCAGCAAATCCCTCGGGTTCCTGCCTGTTCCGCCATCCCCTTCCTTCTTGCCACATTTGCACCCCACCTTTTTCTCCCCATGGGGTGCAAGGGGGGCATCCTTGCCTGGCTCTCCCCACCTCATTCATTTTTTTGTTTTTGAAATCATTTTCTATTTGATATTACAAATAGAAACTTATAACATTCCAAATGCATATCTATATATAGAGGAATACTCTGAATCTTGAGACTTCCCATCCCCTCCGTGGGTCCTATTGTCCACATTGACAACTGCACATTATTCCATAATCTATATTTCGTATCCATCCATATTAGACATATTGTTGGTTGCATTACAACTGAGATTAAAACACTGCTAATGTTTTCATCTGCTTGCAGTGCTCTCCTAAATAAATTACAATTTCCCCCCATTCTTTTTTAAAGTTTTTGTCCTCTTGGATCCTGAGCTTTCCGGTCAGTTTTGCCATTTCGGCAGAGTCCCACAGCTTTATTTGCCATTACTCTCTGGTAGAGACTTTGCCTTCTTCCCATCTCTGGGCTAGTGGCATCCGTGCTGCTGTTGTTCCATACATAAAAAGTCTTTTCTGATCCTTTGGGGTGTCGGTACCTACAATTTCTAATAGAAAAGCTTCTGGTTTTTTAACAAAAGCTATTTTAAACATTTTCTTCATTTCATTATACATCATCTGCCAGAAAGCTTTTGTTATGTTACAGTTCCACCACATGCGATAAAAAGGTACCTTCTTTTTCTTTACGTTTCCAGCAGATATTTGAACTTCTCCTATACCTTTTTGCTAACTTAGGTAAAGGTAAAGGGACCCCTAACCATTAGGTCCAGTCGTGGACGACTCTGGGGTTGCGGCACTCATCTCACTTTACTGGCCGAGGGAGCCGGCGTGCAGCTTCCGGGTCATGTGGCCAGCAGGACTAAGCCGCTTCTGGCAAACCAGAGCAGCGCACGGAAACGCCGTTTACCTTCCCGCCGGAGCGGTACCTATTTATCTACTTGCAGTTTGACATGGTTTCAAACTGCTAGGTTGGCAGGAGCAGGGACTGAGCAACGGGAGCTCACCCCGTCGCAGGATTTCGAACCGCCAACCTTCTGATCAGCAAGCCCTAGGCTCTGTGGTTTAACCCATAGCGCCACCTGCGTCCCTTTGCTAACTTAGTAGGAGTCAAATACCGCCTCTCACCACCTCATTTAATCTCAAAAACAACCACCACCCTGCGAGGTGGGTCAGGCGTAAAGAGTGATTCCCCGGCCCTCAAGCTCCCCCCCCAGCGAGCTTCCTTCGCGCTGCGGCCCTAGCTCTAACCACTGCACCATCCATGCCCCTGACCCCGCCTCCCTTTGCCTTGCAGGACGTGCTGGTGAAAGTGATCCGCTACGAGGGCTTCTTCAGCCTGTGGAAAGGCTTCACCCCCTACTACGCCCGCCTGGGGCCCCACACCGTCCTCACCTTCATCTTCCTGGAACAGATGAACAAGTTCTACAAGCAGTTCTTCCTCAGTGCCTGAGTTTGGGGGAGCGAAGGAGAGACCCCCCCCTCGACTCCTGGAGCTCCCCTTTCTCAAGTGCCATGAGCGCACCTTCCGAGAGCCCCTTACCTGTGGGGAGGGAGGGGGTGCCTGCCTTCTCCCTCGCCCCACCCCTAAAAAAATTCATTTTTTCAGAGTGTGTCTAGGCCTGCTCTCCCCATCTCTCTCTCTCACACACACATCTAGCCAATCATGAGGCAGGATTTCTCCCCTCCTGGTGCACTGTGGGCAGATGGTGGAGAACGCTGTGTTTTTGGGGGGGTTAAAATTCATTTAAAATTATTTATTGCCAGGGGAGGGGGGAGTTCTGGGCCGGGGGCCGCCGGTGGGACGTTCCCTTTCCCTCCCCACAATCGAACTGCCGGCTGTGTTGTGGCCGTGTGGCCAGTGACGGTTCCGCCGTCCCCATCCCCAACTTTGCTTTCGACTTAGTAAAAACCAATCATGGTCTTAAAACCGTTTTGTTTCTGCTGTGACGTCCTTCTGCGGAGTCTGGGGTGTGTGTGCTCTTGGTTGGGCACCCAGCTGAACGCTGGGAGATTCGAGACCGATAAGTGGAAGTCTGAATAGTTGAACTGCGGAACTCCTTCCCACAAGAGCCAGAGGCAGCCAGGTGGCTTTGAAAGAAGATTGGACCATGGAGGAGACGGCTGCCGATGGCTACCCTATTTAAACGCATAACGCTCACATATTTCATGCTGATTTTTCTTTCCCAAAAAGGGGCGCGCAACTTATTATGCAAGGAAAGAGTTTTTTAGTAACAAACGTGTTTACGTCGCTTGCCCGCCTGCTCCCCTTGTACATTCGACTGGCACTGAGGAGGCGTGCTGAGAAAATCCTGCAACTCTTACACAGCGAATGCTTTGGGACCAGTTTTAAGGACCAAAAAAAAGAGGGGGCTGTGACTATTATGCGATGGAAGGCAGCGTTGCTTTTCTCCAGCTTTGTGCGTTACGAAAGGCTCTCTGGCCCAGGAGGCCAGGAAGCCATTGTGTCAAGTCCGCAGGATCCTCTTTGCTCAATCATTTGCTCAAGGCCTCCCACCTTCGCCCCCTCTGCAAGGCCAAAGGGGAGGGAAGGAGCTCAGAGGCAGCGCTGAAGGCTGGGGTGGGAAGCCTCCCAGGAGCCTGAAGGAAGACGCCAAATGGGTGTTGCAGTAAAACCTTCCCTGCGGGTGGGATGGCTGTGTGAGTCAGGGGGTTTATTTTTTGAGCTGTGATGGTTGCATCGCAGAGGGTTGGGCTAGATTTGGGGGTCCCGTCTGACTCCGCAGTTCTAAGAGGAGCCGGAGACCAGAGCGTCGTCTGAAGGGAGGAGCCTCCAGCCGGTGTTCAGTGTGAACAAAAGAGGATTGGGACCGGTCACAAGGAACAGACCGAACAAGGAGATTCCTGCCTTGCAGGGGGTTGATCTAGATGACTCATGGGGACCCATTTCTATGAGGAGAGGGGCAGGAGCCAGGTTGGGAGAGACAGTTTTGGCCTCGGTCTACATAACACATCCTAAAAAGCATTGCAATGTACACGGCCATCCCAGTGGCTGGGCCTGGGCTGGTTGCGGCCATCGTGAGCCTGAGGGAGGCGCTCAGGGTTCTTCGCATTGCCACCTCCCAGTTTCCTACAGGCTGTGCTGGTCCCGGGGGCTAACTGAGAGGCGAGGTCTGAGTCCAGTCCGAGGTCGATGGTGCGGTATGGAGGCTGTCCGTCAAAGCTGTAGCTGGGTCCAAGGCGGGGAGTCGGGTGGGGTCAGGAGCTCTGGCAGAAAGGCAGGACAGGGTTCAGGCAGGAACTAGCAACCAACAATGTTGCTCCTGCAACTTGGGGCTGGGGCTGGCCGGCTTTATCTGCCCCGAGGCATAAGGCGGTCCCGGTCCACAGGTGACTCGCCTCTCCTGGCCTGGAGGCGAGCACTCCTCCTGCGGGAACTTAGTTCCCTCCACCTCTCTGCCCTGAGCCTCTGCAGCTCAGGAGAGGCTGGAGGGTTACCAGACCCAGAGGCAACCTCAGCTTCCCCTGATGGGGCTGAGGATGAAGCACCTGCAGGCAATTGGTCCTCCATCACCTCAGGAGCCAGAGCGGATTCAGCTGATGCCTGCACCTGAGGATCCAGCACAGGTGAGGACCCTTCAGGCTCAAGCCCCAGCCCCGGCTCAGCTGGTTCTGGAGGTGGGGACTCCTGTGCAGGCTGAGATCCCTCAGGTTCAGCCTCTGAGTCCAAATCCCAGGCCATCACACCGGCCAACTCAACATCCACAGAGACTAATCTTTTCTCCTTGGGAGTAGTCCGTGTGGATGTTTTAACACTGAGGCGCCTACCAGATATGAAGCCCGATGATGTCCTGTTACGTTGGGAGAGGATGTCAGTTTATAGGTACATACGAACATATGTGGTGGGAATGTCCGCAAACAGAACAGTTCTGAAGGATATCAATTAAGTAAGGCTTAAGCTGGGGTTATTTGGAGACACCTCTTTGACAAACTTCCTTACACAATTGTTCTGGACATTTGTATAAAAGGGGAATTGATCCCTTTCGTCGTCATGCTATCTCTTATTGCCATCTTTTCATATTCTGTTAGTTTCCTTGCAGCTTCATATTTAATTGGTGTGTGACATGTGATTATTTTCTAAACACCTCTGCTCCTGTCAGGGGTTGCCCCTTGCTACAATCATCTTTCAAATGCTGCAACTGCAGTTCATTCCATCCACTCACATGAGATAATCTATTTTTATTTTCAAATGAAGGAGGATGTCGAATACCAGTTTGCAAGCGATTCCGAGTTAGGGTGGTCTGCTTGTCGATCTCTCTCTCTCTCACGCACACAAACACTTTCCTTTGGGCTGATGCTGTTCGCCAAACTGGATGGAACCTCAAATGTCCAGATGTGCCCCAAATGACAGCTCGGCTGGATTGTGACCTTCCAAGCAGAAACCCCGAGGGAAATGGCTTTGAGGTGCCTCTGGGGGCGACCCAGAAACAGGCTGGCCTCCTGGGGAGGCGGGGGGGGGGTCTTCAGGCTCCTGGGCTTACCTCTTAATTCCAGTGGGAAGCCCCAGGAAGTTTGACACCCAACAGCCGGAATAAGGGGAATCCCTGCACTGGGACTAAGGGGGAAGCGATCCGCCTCTTCTGGCGAGGAGAGACAAAGCTGGATTTAACGAATCTCTTCTGCCCCAGGAGGGGTGGGGAAATTGTGCCCCTCCTCCCGCTCTTGCTAGACTACAACTCCCATCATCCCTGACCATTGGGGGCCCATCTGTCAGGGATGCTTTAGTTCAAGTTCCTGCATCTCAGCGGGTTGGACTAGATGACCCTCGGGTGCCTTTCCAGTGCTGCAATTCTACCATCACCTCTGTTTCAAAACAGCTGCGCAGGTTGCCCGTTTCATTTCCGGGCCCAGTTCAAGGTGCTCACGCTGAGGTTTCAAGCCCTGAAGTATTCAAGACCCCCCAACACCTGAAAGACTTCTCTGTGGCGACCCTGACCTGTGGAACTCCCTGCCTAAGGAGCGGCGCCTTGCCGAAGACTCTCATTCTCTGGCTTGACTTCTTTTGACCCTCGAGGGTTATTTTTTAGGACCCACCTTATTTCAGTGGTGGGTCAGTTACTTAAAGTCGTTTTTAATTATATTGTGTTTTGATGCGTCCTGGGACCTTTGGATGAAAGCTGGGTAATCAATCAATCAATCAATCAATCAATCAATCCTGACTGCAGAACAAGCACCCCATTTTCCAGGGAGCGAACCACAAGCTTTCTCGCCACAGCTAAGAACATGGTTTCTCCTTCTCGTTCCAGCCTGGCGAGGAATTCTGTTGCACCCAAAAGCTTGCCCGCTGCTTTTCCGGCCGGGTTGGGAAGAGCAGGCCGTGGGGTCTTCCAGCAGAACTCCCTCCCCTCCGCAAAAAAATAAATGTCTTCCACCCACCCCCCGAATCTTACCTTCCTCCTCTGCTTCTCCTGGGCACACTCAACGCCTTGCTCGCTCGCTCGCTCTCTGGCGCCCTGACTCGAACCCACAGCCCTATCTCCTGCGCCCTGAGCAGCGGAAGACCCTCTGTGGTTTCCTGAGCCCACGCCGCCCGCCTCCCCTTCCAGCGCCCTCCCCAAGCAAAAGACAAGACTGGGACTTCCCTTGGTAGAGGAACTGAACCCAAGTCTGCCAGCACCAGATTACTGCGTCCTCCTCTGGTCGCCTGGCCTCCAAAAGGGCTCCCGGCAACTGGGGTTTCGTGTGGCAGTCGCTGCCCTGCGGAACTCCCTGCCTCTTGAGATCCAGCAGGCGCCTTCCCTGCATTTTCAGCACCTGCTAACAACAGAGGAGCCTGTCCCCAGTCGCTTAGAAAAATGAGGCGAGTGTAAACTAGTTTCAGCGCTTTCATCTTTTGTACCTTTTAAAGCGTGGCTGTGAATTTCTCTCGATTTCCTCGTTTTATCTCTTTTTGCAAACCTCTCCGAGTCTCCTTTTCTATTATTACAATCAAGCGGCGTATATAGGTTTTATGGGATGGATAAAGTAAGAAATGAACGAGGCAGCAGCAGCCCTGCTCCCGACTCACTCATGAACCAGGGTTCAGAATTATTCCACTGCAAAGAAGAAAAGACACGAGTTTCTGCTAAGAATCCAGAGACGGGAGAAATAGGATTTATCCGAGAAGGTCTTTGATTTCCCTGACGAGGCATGGTAACCCTATGGGATGTTATCATCAGTGATGCAGCCCAACACACCATTTCCTCTTGCCCAGAGGGGACACCCAGGAGAGTGGGGCTCCAGCCAGGAGGACTTCCTGACGCACCTGGTCTGGAGGCTCCTCCCCCTGGGCGTGACCAGGTAGAGGGGCGTGGCCCCGCAGATCCTGCAAATCGCATCCTCCTCTTTTTTGCTCTCTTGCTCTCTTGCCAGCAGCCCATGGCTCATCCTCACAGAGTCTGGAAGTCACAAGGGAGAAAGTCTGAGGCTTAGCTCAGACTTCTTTTCCCTGCAAATTTAACTGGAACCACAGGACAAAGCCTGCCTTTCAGATTTACTGCTGTGAGCAGAATGTAAGTAAACTTTACTCTTGCTTTTGAACAAGACTGTTGTGTTATTATTATTATTTTGAGGAGGGAATAAAAGGGGGAAATTTGCCAGCAACAAGCCAGACTGCATTGCTCAACTTAAATGATTCCAAGGAATCCATCAACTTGCTTCCAGCAAAAGTGCAAGGAAATGTGCTCTGCTCCTTGCTCACTCTCGTGAGTGAGGAGGGATAAAATTTAATCCATATATCCTCTCCTGCTCTCCTCAACATTCCCACAAAGGGTTATGGGGCCCAGAGTTGAGTATTTTTGAGTATTTTTTAGTGGATGGCACTGGATTGAGATCCTGAGCTGAAAAGTATTTTTGTCTACTTCCTGGTAAGCACATGGTCTATTGTTCCATTGTGTGAGGGGATTAAGCAGCCCTCCACCTTCCCTCGAGTTCACAGCAGTAGCTGAGGCAGTGAAGAGTTGCTTTGAATTTTGAGGTTTTGATTTTGAATGTTGACAATGTTAACGGAGAAATCTGAGTTCTCCCTTGGACAAAAAACAAGGACCCCAGCCAGGAATACCAGAGCCAAACAGCAGCCAGTAGGCTTGGTCTTGATTGAAGACTGTCGCGACAGGACTCCCACCTGCCACCAGGTGGAACAGGATGGAAGCCCCGAACAAAAGAGCCCCCAAACTTTTATTAGCTGCTAATCCCCGTTACACCCCCCAAACTACATCACTCATACATCACAGTTACATCATGAAAGGGGAGGTCTGGTGGCAGGAATCTGAGCATCCTGGACCCTGCCCCATGGTTCCCCTTGCCCTCCACCAAACACCCATCAAGTGGAACAAAAGAGATATTTACATTTCCCTGTTTCCCAGCCAAGTTAATCCCACCCTTTTGTCTTCATCTGGGTTTGTTCTTTCTGGAATGGCTACCTGTCTGGCACTCAGGTATCAGGAGGCCAGGGATTGTCACTCAGGCAGAGGGGCTGCTGAGGAGCTGAGCTCACAGGCCTATATGAATTTCTGAAGTTTTCCCAGTGAGCCAGTACAGAGATCCATTGATCAGTGAATTCTTACATTTGGTATTGTGCAGCAAAGGCCCTTTGAATAGGCAGGAAGAAACTGTGACAAAGTCTTTTGTGGGGACAAATCACAAAAGTCACAAAAGCGATTATGCTGGTTTTGGTAGTGGGCTGCATGTGCAGGATATCTGCTGGAGGGGCAAACCCCCCCCCCCAACCTAGACATAAATTCCTGCAACAACAATTTTCTCAAATTTTGAATATTTTTCAGATTTTGAGATGGCGAGTGCAGCTTTCTCTGGTTACGGATACCGACCAATGCCTAAGTTAAATGAACACAATTTTGTTATTTGGAAAAAGCGTCTGGCGGTGATCCTTGAAGCGGAAGGGAATTTAGATGCCATTGAAATGCCTATGCCCACTGGCACGAGCGAAGAAGATTTGGCTAGAATTAAGTTGTGGAAATCGCAAAACAGCAAAGCCAGGGTAACCATATTAGATGGACTTGAAGACGAACATTTGTCACTAATTGACAGCAGAGACCATGCTGCGCAAATTTTAAATGATTTGGAGCGGATGTATGGAGGCAGCGTGAAGAGTGAATTGGAGCTTTCGTATGGAAACATCAGTAAGTGTGCTCAATGGAGAAGATTAATACGCGATCTTTTAAAGCTTAGAATGAATTCTAAAGGAGAGTTTTCAAAACATGTGAATGAATTTACGGCTATACTGCAGAAAATACAAGTGACTGAGCGTCCATTTGATGAAGACCTAAAGGTTGCGTGCTTCCTAGCAACACTAGGACCCAAATTTGATACATTTGCTTACTTAAGGGAGGATAAAGGCCAATCGACTTTTAAAGATGTGATTGCCTATTGGAGGCAGGAGTGCCAAGGGAGAGACGAGTCTCCAGTCAGAAACCTAAGGAGCAGTGACTCCGATTATGTCTCGAGACATCACGCGAAGGCCAAAGGCACACCTAAGAAAGTTGTGTGTTTTAATTGCCACAAAGGAGGCCACATTGCAAAGAACTGTGGAGCTCCAAAAACACCAAAGCCCCTTCCTTTTAAGCAAGAAAAGGAAAAGAAGGGGAATTATCAGCGTCCTTGCTTTTGCCAGAAAAGTGCTTAACTGCTAATAATCGCGAAAACAAATCAAGTTAGCGGGGCAACGTCCCATTTTTCATATAATAAGGACTTCTTTGAAGATTATAATAATATTGATAAATCACAAGGTGGTGATATTGAAGTTGCAGGTGGCAACCTTAGTTCCCTACGTCCCAGAACTGAATTGTAATATGCTCAGTGTGTCTACTTTGGACAGAAAAGGTTTTATTTATTTCTTTTTAAAAAAAAATAATTTTTTATTAGTTTTTACACATATTTTCCAGCATAACATCCTTTTAAACATCATTTCGAAATTTTTGGCTATTGCAGCCTAAGACTTCCTTCAACCTTGACTGCTGGTTTTCTAAACTATGCATTTTGTTGCTATAATTATTGCTATAAACTCAAATTTCCAATACATCTATTCATAATTCTTTTCAAAATAACTTATAAATTACTCCTTACAAAACTTCTTCTAACCCCATAAGCGATGTCAATTGGTTACAACTGCTTTCCAAACATATCAAAAACGTCTTCCATTCCTTTAGGAAATTCTGGTCCTGCTTGTTCCGAATTTTCCCTGTTAGTTTCGCCATCTCAGCATAGTTCATCAGTTTCTCTTTCCACTCTTCTTTAGTTGAAATTTCTTCTTGTTTCCATCTTTGGGCTAATAGTATCCTTGCTGCAGTTATCGCGTATGAAAACAATTTTTTATCATTCTTACGAATTTCTGTACCCAGAATAGAAGGACAGAAAAGTTTTTCAAGTAGTATTTGGAAACTGAGAATGCAAAGTAACTAAGAATGGTGAGGTCCAAGCCAAGCGAATAAATTGTGTATATGAGGTTAATCTTTCAGTACTTCAGTCTGCAAAAGTGGTGCGCTCAAACCAAAAGGACGAGGCGGACCTTCGAACTCTGGCACAGAAGACTTGGACACGCCATACTGGACCTCCAAAAGAACGAGCTTGCGAGGGGACTGCAGGTAAAACAGAACAACACTGCACCAACAAAATGTGTAAGTTGTGTCGCTGAGAAAGCTGTGAAACTTTTTTTTCCTCCTTGCACCGAACAGAGAAGCACCAGAGTGCTAGACACATAGTCCGCAGTGACTTGTGTGAGCCAATGAATGTTCCATCACTGGGGAAGAACAGATATATACTAAATTTTCTCTATGACTTTTCAAAGAACTGCATAGTATATTTCCTCAAAGGAAAGAGTGAAATGCAGGAAATGTTGAAGAACTACCTTGCCATGGCGGAGAACGAATTCCAGAGAGCACTGGCTATGCTAATGCCTGATAATGTGGGTGAGTATTGCTCACATGACTTGCAATCTCTCCTGGAAGAGGAAGGAATTGAGCATGTTGCCACTGTTCCTTACACCCCACAACAGAGCTCAATAGCTGAAAGAAAGTTCCGATCCGTCATGGAGGTGCATGTTCAAGGATGCATGTTCAAAACATGTGGGGAGACGCAGGAGGAACTGCGATCTCTCTCCAAAATAGACTGCCAACAAAGGGAGCCAGGTGTTCACTTTTTGAACTTTGCTGCGGGAAAATTCCTAGCCTGTCACACATCTGTGTATTTCGAAGTCTTTGTTGCCACCGCGTTCCCAGGGAACATAGACACAAGCTTGACTCCAGAGCGCAAGCAGGTATTCTTGTGGGATACGCCTCTGGAGGAAAAGGATACAGAATAATGGACTTACAAACAGGCGAAGTAAGTGGACGACATGCAGCTTATTTTGATGAACACAACAAAGATGACACAAGAAATAGTGTTGTGGATTTTTCTGAGGAATCGGAAGAAGTCGAAGATCTTGTGTACTTTCCCTCCCTAACCTTGTAATGTCCGGATCTGCCTTTGTACACAAAGTCGAATAATGGACAAATTTCTTACGTTCTTGCTTTCGTTGATGATTTGATTATTGCCACAGTAAATGACAGAGACCGTGCGCAGGTTGTGAAAAACTTAAGCAAAGATGTTGAGGTCAAGGAACTGGGAAAGATCCAGTTCTACCTTGGAATTCAAGTGGAAAGAGAAGAAGGCAGTTCATTTCTTCTTAGCCAAAAGCAAAAGATTTATGAACTGATCCAGAGCATGCAGGTGCAAGAACCACAGCCATGACTTCTGACTTTTTAAGGAATCGAGATGACTCAAAACTGAGGCAACAATGAGTAGAGATCAGTGATTGGAAAGCTTTTGTATCTTGTTACTACTACATGTAGACCTGACTTAGCCAATGCAGTGGGAATTCTGAGTAGAAAGGTAAATGTCCCACTGAATATGACTGGGTGGGCGTGAAAAGATTGGTTCGCTATCTACGGGGTATAATAAACTGTAAATTAAGACTGTCAGCTGTTACTAATCCTGAAATGACTGGTTTTACTGATGCAGATTGGGCTGGATGCACGACTGATTATAAATCCACAGGTGGATATGTGTTTATTTGGAAATGGTCCCATCTCAGTGGGGGGGCAGTTATACAGTTATACCTCGGGTTAAATGTGCTTCAGTTTGAGCATTTTCAGGTTACGCTCCACAGCGACCCGGAAGTAACGGAACGTGTTACTTCTGGGTTTTGCTGCTCGCGCATGCGCAGATGCTCAAAATGATGTCACGCGCATGCGCGGAAGTGGCAAAACACAACCCGCACAAGCGTAGTGGCGCAGTTGCATGTTACGTTCTACTCAGGATGCAAACGGGTCTCTGGAACGGATCCCATTCGCATCCAGAGGTACCACTGTATACAGAATTGTATAGTGTTCTTTTCTTTTTTTTTAATGATATTTATAGAGAATTTTAAAGATACAAAGAAAGAAGAAGGAAAAGACAAGAGAAGGAGAAAAAGAAGGAAAGTAGAAGATAAACATAATTAAACAATACAGATCAATAAAAACCAAAGTCAAAAAAAATAATAATAAAACACACAATGCATCTAAATCAAAAAACAAAAATAAACAAAAAATTTAAAAACAAGTCTAATATTCCCAAATCCTTAACTTTCATTAACTTATTTCAACGACCTCCTCACACCTCCCTTTTTTGTATTCTAGTTGTTAATTATCTCAGCAAATCCTTTCCATCTTTCACAATATTCTGTCATTAAATTACCTTAATCTATTTTGACCTTATCTTACCCTAAAAGACCTTAAAACTTAAAACTTAAATCTTATATATACCAAATTCTTTTAACCATAACATATTCTTACATAATTCTTTTTGACATTTCTGCTAAAGCCAAATAATTTCATTCCAACATTTTTCTAATACTCATTAATTTTACAATACTTTCCTAAATAAATTTTTAAAACTTTCTTCCAATCTTCATCCATCGTCTCTTCCTCCTGGTCTCGGGTTTTGTCAGACCTTTCTCATCCATCTAGTCCATCAACCTGGTGATCTTATGTCCGAGGCTCTTAAGTCTTTTCCATGTCCCTTCTGCAGGTCTTCTTCTTGTTTATACCTGCCTTTTACTTTGTCTTTTGTTGATCTTTTTCTTATTTTCTTTCCTTTCTCATTGGGGGGTAGGTCTCGGGAGGACTCCAATCCAAAAAAATCTCCATCTCTCCTCAGCAGATCAGCCCATTCCCCACAGTCCCATTCCCCACAGTCAACACTGTAATCCAGGAAGTATTTAAAAGCATGTTTCAAAGTCCTTCCAAAATTAAGAGCCCTCACAACTCCAGACCCCCCCTGGTCCACTCCAGATTCAAACTTCAAGAACAGCGGCTTATACTCCTGCAAGGCCTCGGATCTCTCCATTTGTGTTACTTGAGGTTCAACAGTAACCTCCTCCATTTTCTTCTGCAGTTGCGCTTGCCCGATCAAAACAGGTTCCTGTGCTGGTTCTTGAATGGTTTCTATATGGGTATTTGCTGTTTGCCCAAAGTTTTTAACTGCAACAGTCATCAAATCCATCTTCTCATGCATCTGCTCCAGCAAAGCACTTGTCTTGCAAAAAGCAAGCACCAAGACTTCTTGTAAACACATTTTTTCTTTCCAAGGTTAGAGTCTGGTCTCACGATCCTAATCATACAGCTGTGAGGTCCCCAGATCAGCTCCGGCAACAAATTAACAAGCTCCCTCTAGAGGAGACAATTTCTATTTGTATCCATCTTTTAAAAGCAGGACCAACAAAGAAAAATTACTTTCACTTTTCAAATACTTTGTTTCTTTTGATTGCAAGAAGCAACATTGGAGTCAATTTGTTTTTTTTTTTTTACTATCTGTCAAAAGACGTTCCATTCACAGTCGATGAACTTGCCCATAAATTTCTGTCTCTGACACCCCGTTCCCAGGTTTGAGACGGTGGAAAATTTATCTTTCTTTACTCTCTCTCCTGCAGGCTTAAACAGTCAAAAATCCCCCTCTTTTCTCCTGCTTCCAAGAGGGGTTTTGGTGGTGGTGAATGAAGGAAATTTAGAGCTTTATATACAACTTTCCAGACTTTAGCTTGCAAAGTTTTTGCTTCAATCTATTTACAAAAAACGGGAGGCGGACTTCCTGTTTAGAACCTTCCCGTTTCGGTGCCAAATTAAAATATTTCTTAATCCAATTTTCCGTTCTACTCACGGGTACTTGTTTAGAGTCCAATTGTCCACAGGAAAAAGTCAGCGCTCTCCGGCAACGGCTGTGCGGCTTCACTCCGTAAAAGTAGCGGTTGATTCAAAACACCGCGCCACTCACCCCACGTCGCTTCGGATCCCCGAAAAAGGGTTTCCCTGCGAGTAGGGGAGGCGCTCCTGGTGTCAGCCGAATCCCACGTTCCCAGGCTTCCTCCGCCTGGGATTTTTAAAGGGTCTCCGCCTTCGCCGCCACGGCAAGACCTGATTTTCACGGAGCGGGTTCCTCTCGGTCAGAGGAGCTCTGCCATTGCCGATGGCGCTGACCCGGAAGTCCCTGTATAGTGTTCTCTTCCATAGATTCTGAATACACTGCGGCCACAGAAGCGTGCAGAGAGTTGGCCTAGCTCAATCAACTAACCAAGGAACCTGTCTGCCTGATGGGAGGAAACCAGAGTTGCCTAAAGCTGTCCCAGAGCGAGAAATTCCACGCCAGGTGTTTGCGAGGCTGCCCAAGATGGACTTGTGGAACTGTCTTACTGCCATGCGAAAGAGATGAATGCAGACACCCTGGCGAAGCCCCTACCAAAGGAGAGTTTGCAGAACCTTCGTGTTAAGCTGGGACTCTGGGTGGCTGAATAAAAATTGTGTATATAAGTGTATGTTGTATTGTATGTGGGATGTTATCATCAGTGATGCAGCCCAACACACCATTTCCTCTTGCCCAGAGGGGACACCCAGGAGAGTGTGGCTCCAGCCAGGAGGACTTCCTGACGCACCTGGTCTGGAGGCTCCTCCCCCTGGGCGTGACCAGGTAGAGGGGCGTGGCCCCGCAGATCCTGCAAAACGCATTCTCCTCTTTTTTGCTCTCTTGCTGTCTTGCCAGCAGCCCATGGCTCATCCTCACAGAGTCTGGAAGTCACAAGGGAGAAAGTCCGAGGCTTAGCTCAGACTTCTTTTCTCTGCAAATTTAACTGGAACCACAGGACAAAGCCTGCCTTTCAGATTTACTGCTGTGAGCAGAATGTAAGTAAACTTTACTCTTGCTTTTGAACAAGACTGTTGTGTTATTATTATTATTTTGAGGAGGGAATTACAGGGGGAAATTTGCCAGCAACAAGCCAGACTGCATTGCTCAACTTACCATAAATGATTCCAATGAATCCATCCACTTGCTTCCAGCAAATGTGCTCTGCTCCTTGTTCACTAGTGTGAGTGAGGAGGGATAAAATTTAATCCATATATCCTCTCCTGCTTTCTTCAACATTCCCACATTTCTCCCCCTTTGGCTGATTTTTTTATTAGGATTTCTCATGCTATCTTAAAAATCATCACCATCATTTATTATTATTTATACCCCGCCCATCTGGCTGGGTTTCCCCAGCCACTCTGGGTGGATTCCAACAAAATATTAAAAACACATTAAAACATCAGTCATTAAAAACTTCCCTAAACAGGGCTGCCTTCAGATGGGGGGGGGGGGGCTTTTTGCATTGCCAACAGCAATGACATCTGATGGGAGGGCATTGACCAGGGCGGGCGCCACCACCGAGAAGGCCCTCTGCCTGGTTCCCTGTAACTTGGCTTTTTGCAGGGAGGGAACTGCTAGAAGGCCCTTGGAGCTGGGATGGTTTAAAAGGCTGAGGGGGAATGGCCAGTAGCGTTTACGTGGGCGGTAGCCTTGAAACTGGCCTCTCTGTGTTCCCGGGCTTGGCTAGATGAGCCTTGGAGGTCCCTTCCAATGCTACAATTCCCTGATTCTATGGGGCCTCTGGGGAGATGGGCTTCAGCCTCAGAAGCAACTGCAATTCAGACCCAGCCGCCTTCGCCCTTCATATCCGGGGCTAAGAATGGGCGATTTATTATTAGATCCAGGAAGAGGCTTCACATTTTATCTGTGAGGACCAGACGGATCTGTGAGCAAGGAGGAGACCGGGGTGGGGGTGGGGGGGAGGGGGTCCCTTGGAAGGGAGCCCGGACTCCTGGGTCCTCCGAGAGGGGAGGGGAATCGGGCGGCTCAAAGTGGAGGGGGGAAGCAAGGCTTCCTGGGTCCTCTGGAGGTTAACAGTGGCCTCGCACTGTTGGCCCAATGAGCTCAGGATTGGCTACTCTGACCTCCAACCTCTCTCCAGGGTTTCAGGGATGGTTTGGAGGCACCAGGATTCGAACCCACAACCTGCTGCATGCCAAGCAGGTGCCATAGAGCTATGGCCTTCTCCAAATTGGGGGGGGGGGGAATAGGGTTAGTTAGGACCCCTGGGATCATCATGAAAAGAATTCAGCAATGGAATAAATGGGTGAGGAGGGGGTGCCTGGGAGCCAGGACAAGAGTGCCTCTGAGAATATGCAGAGTGTTCTTCACTGACCGCCTGGGATTATGGAACAGGGCTGCCAGCTGGATTTCATAGAATCCTAGAGCTGTGAAGTTGCAAGGGACTCCCGGGGGTCATCCAGACCAACCCCTGACAGTGCAGGAACCACAGGCCTCCCTAAGGCTGAGCAGGTGTTGCAGGAATTTATGTCTAGGTTGGGGGGGTTGCCCCTCCAGCAGATATCATGCACATGCAGCCCACTACCAAAACCAGCACAATCACACTGTGACTTTTGTGATTTGTCCCCACAAAACACTTCGTCACAGTTTCTTCCTATTTATTCAAAGGGCCTTTGCTGCACGATACCAAATGTAAGAATTCACTGATCAATGTATCTATGTACTGGCTCACTGGGAAAACTTCAGAAATTCATCTAGACACGTGAGCTCAGCCTCTCAGCAGCCCCTCTGCCTGAGTTATAATTCCTGGCCTCCTGATACCTGAGTGCCAGACAGGTAGCCATTCCAGAAAGAACAAACCCAGATGGAGACAAAAGGGTGGGATTAACTTGGCTGGGAAACAGGGAAATGTAAAGATCTCTTTTGTTCCACTTGATGGGTGTTTGGTGGAGGGCAAGGGGAACCATGGGGCAGGGTCCAGGATGCTCAGATTCCTGCCACCAGACCTCCCCTTTCATGATGTATGAGTGATGCAGTTTGGGGTTGTGTATCATGGGGATTAAAGGTAAAGGGACCCCTGACCATTAGGTCCAGTTGTGGCTGACTCTGGGGTTGCGGCACTCATCTCGCTTTACTGGCCCATGGAGCCGGCATACAGCTTCCGGGTCATGTGGCCAGCATGACTAAGCCGCTTCTGGCCAACCAGAGCAGCGCATGGAAACACCGTTTACCTTCCTGCCAGAGCGGTACCTATTTATCTACTTGCCCTTTGAGGTGCTTTCGAACTGCTAGGTTGGCAGGAGCAGGGACTGAGCAATGGGAGCTCACCCCATCACGGGGATTTGAACCGCTGACCTTCTAATAAAAGTTTGGGTTCTCTTTCGTTGGGGGGTCCATCTTGTTCCACCTGCTGGCAGGTGGGAGTCCTGTCGTGACAGTCTTCAATCAAGCCTACTGGCTGCTGTTTGGCTCTGGTATTCCTTGTTTTTTCTCCAATGGAGCCCTCAGATTTCTCGGATAACACAGGTCAGGTGGGATGAGGCTGAATTAATAAATTCTTTCAGCAGGGCGAAGGACTGAGGTGCTTCTGACCTCCCAGCACAGCTCCATCGGGGCAGATCTACAAAGCAGCCGGCTCCTTTGACCCTTCTGGAGAAATTGGAGGTATCTGGAGGGCAGAGAGCTCAGCTTTCCAGATTCCCCTTCTTCCCCTGCCCCAGTGATCTGTCCGGCAGCAGCCATATAATCCACCGACAGGTGCAGGAAGTGAGTGGAGCTCTGAAAGCGAACACCCTTCCTTAGGTGCCCAAAGCGACCTCGAAATAACCTCAGGAAAAAGTCTGTGCTCTGGAGCCTGCCATTGAGGCGAGAGACGCCATGGGGCGAGGAGTCTGGCTGGGGGCTCTCCTCTGCTGGGGGTCCTTCTGTAAGAAAGGGATGGGGGCTTCATCATGGGGTGGAGGAGAGAAGAGGGTCAGGCATAAAGGGGGAGCGGAGGTTTTGCAGGGAGGGGCAGTTTTGTATCTATTTGAAGCAAGGCGGACAGCAAGGTGGGGGAATAGCAGGATTGTCCCATCGGAAGGGACCTCTGAAGGTCATCCAGCCCAACCCCCGAGAAGTAGGGAGGCCAAATTGTTTTAGGGTTAAGTTCTTGCTCTCCTGGCAACTGGCTCATATTCTGTTTTCCCTGTTTAGGGAAGCTTTTAATGTTTGATGCATTATGGTATTTTAATATTTTGTTGGAAGCCGCCCAGAGTGGCTTTATACCCCAGATGTGCAGGATATAAATTTATTATTATTATTATTATTATTATTATTATTATTATTATTATGCCTCCACACAATTCCAAATACGAGAGCCCTCTTCAAATATTGGAAGGGCTGCTGCATGGAAGAGGGAGCAAGTTTGTTTTTCTCCTGCTCTGGAGGGCAGGACTCGAACCCGTGGCTTCGAGCTACAAGATTCTTACTAAACACCAGGAAGAACTTTCTGCGAGATGGAAGGTGGCAGACTCTCCTTCCTTGGAGGTTTTTAAGCAGAGGTTGGGCGTCCGTCTGCCATGTATGATCTAGCTGAGATTCCTGCGTTTCAGGGGGTTGGGCTAGATGACCCCTTGGGAGCCCCTTCCATCTTTACAATTCTACGATCCTGTTCAATCCTCCAGGGCTGCTGGAGGCCAACGAGAACCTCCGCCTCTACAACGACCTTTTCAACAACTACGACAAAAGGGCCCGCCCGGTGCGCGACGAGGGGGAAGTGGTGGAGGTCAGCATCAAGATGACCCTAACCAACCTCATCTCCCTGGTAAGCTGGGCTGCGTGTTCCCCTCCCCAGACCCCCCCCTGAGCCCCCCATCCCGCTTTTAGGGGCTGCCATCCAGAGTCACTCGGATCGCTTTCTTCCCCCTCCCTAAATTTGTCCTGTCCTCTTTTAAAGCCATCCACTTTGATGGTCTGTAGTGATCAGATGGGATTACTCTGAGGAATTATAAAATATGCATCAAGCCATTGTGTCCGTGATGAAAGCATTGCATTGACTGGGTTTGATTCATTGACAATAATTCCTGATCAAATCCCACATCCCTCTGCATCTCTGCCATTTGCTTTCTCTACGCCTGACAGGCACATATAAGCATTCTAAACACAGGCCAGTTGCTGTTTATGACCTTTGGGGTTTCCTAACAGCATTCCTCCTTGTTTCCTATTTTATTTACTCTGGACTACTTGTTGTTGTTTAGTCGTTTAGTCGTGTCCGCCTCTTCGTGACCCCCTGGACCAGAGCACGCCAGGCCCTCCTGTCTTCCACTGCCTCCCGCAGTTTGGTCAGACTCATGCTGGTAGCTTCGAGAACACTGTCCCACCATCTCGTCCTCTGTCGTCCCCTTCTCCTTGTGCCCTCCATCTTTCCCAACATCAGGGTCTTTTCCAGGGAGTCTTCTCTTCTCATGAGGTGGCCAAAGTATTGGAGCCTCAGCTTCAGGATCTGTTCTTCCAGTGAGCACTCAGGGCTGATTTCCTTAAGAATGGAGAGGTTTGATTTTCTTGCAGTCCATGGGACTCTCAAGAGTCTCCTCCAGCACCAGAATTCAAAAGCATCCATTCTTCGGAGATCAGCCTTCTTGATGGTCCAGCTCTCACTTCCATTCATCACTACTGGGAAAACCATGGCTTTTACTATACGGACCTTTGTTGGCAAGGTGATGTCTCTGCTTTTTAAGATGCTGTCTAGGTTTGTCATTGCTTTTCTCCCAGGAAGCAGGCGTCTTTTAATTTCGTGGCTGCTGTCACCATCTGCAGTGATCATGGAGCCCAAGAAAGTAAAATCTCTCACTGCCTCCATTTCTTCCCCTTCTATTTGCCAGGAGGTGATGGGACCAGTGGCCATGATCTTCGTTTTTGATGTTGAGCTTCAGACCATATTTTGCGCTCTCCTCTTTCACCCTCATTAAAAGGTTCTTTAATTCCTCCTCACTTTCTGCCATCAAGGTTGTGTCATCTGCATATCTGAGGTTGTTGATATTTCTTCCGGAGATCTTAATTCCGGCTTGGGATTCATCCAGCCCAGCCTTTCGCATGATGAATTCTGCATATAAGTTAAATAAGCAGGGAGACAATATACAGCCTTGCCGTACTCCTTTCCCAATTTTGAACCAATCAGTTGTTCCATATCCAGTTCTAACTGTAGCTTCTTGTCTCACGTAGAGATTTCTTAGGAGACAGATGAGGTGATCAGGCACTCCCATTTCTTTAAGAACTTGCCATAGTTTGCTGTGGTCGACACAGTCAAAGGCTTTTGCATAGTCAATGAAGCAGAAGTAGATGTTTTCCTGGAACTCTCTAGCTTTCTCCATAATCCAGCGCATGTTTGCAATTTGGTCTCTGGTTCCTCTGCCTCTTCTAAATCCAGCTTGCACTTCTGGGAGTTCTTGGTCCACATACTGCTTGAGCCTTCCTTGTAGAATTTTAAGCATAACCTTGCTAGCGTGTGAAATGAGTGAAATTGTGCGGTAGTTGGAGCATTCTTTGGCACTGCCTTTCTTTGGGATTGGGATGTAGACTGATCTTCTCCAATCCTCTGGCCACTGCTGAGTTTTCCAAACTTGCTGGCATATTGAGTGTAGCACCTTAACAGCATCATCGTTTAAAATTTTAAATAGTTCAGCTGGAATACCATCACTTCCACTGGCCTTGTTATTTGCAGTGCTTTCTAAGGCCCATTAGAACTGGACTACTATGCATGCTCAAACAGCTCTTCGTAGTTTTAATCTTTAACTTTGTCCCACATGGGGTTTTTGAAATCTGATTGGTTCTTACAAACCCTGTGTAAAAAGTTCTTTTGTGAATAAAATGACCTGGGCCAGAGGGTGGAGACAGATTATTATTGGCACCCTTCCCAGAGTCTTGCTGGTCAAGCCTTGTGTGTATTCTATTAACCAGAGTCCAACCTTTCCTTTGCTTTGGGAACGCCACAGTGGTCATCCCTGCCCCCTGTGGCAGGGAGTTCCACTGGTGAACGGGGGCAAACCTGATACTCAGGTTTCTGCCAGAAGGCCCCTCTCCCAGTTTATGACATAGTTATGACAAATGTATGATGTTTTACTAAGGGTGTCATGGGTAAAATGGGGAACTTATATATATATTTAAAGGGAGTCATCTTTTGTTCGGGGATTATTTCTGCTTCTTCCATGTGGTAGTTTGAAGTTTTGTTGCAACAATAAAGATCAGGCCTATTGGCTGCTGTTTTGCTCCTGTTTTGCTGGAGTCTTTGTTTGACAATCCAGGTGAGCAGAGGTGTTTTCCTTTAACAACTCTGTGCCATGTGAAGAAATGTTTTATTCCTTTTTTTTTTTAAAGCATTTTTATTGAGTTTTCTTTAACATAAATCAAACAAACAAAACATATACAGTAAAGGTCTATATTCTTATGCCCACTTATTTTTATTATGACAGTTCCCTCTGTTTTCTATGCATTACAAAATGAAATCGAAAACCTTTACCAATTTTTTTTAATGGAAAGAGAGAACTGCATAGTTAGAAGGGGCCCCCAGAGTCATCTAGTCCAACCCCCTGCAGGGCAGGAATTGCAGCTAAGGCCCCTGTAATAAATGAAAATCTGCCCTTATTCCCTTATGGGGGACACAAGAGCCCATATAGAGTCCTTTGCAGGTTCTCCATCGGGAGGAGAAAGTAACAGAGGCCAACCAGAGAATATTGGGAAGCAAAGCAGCTAGTAAGCCTGATCTTTATTGAACTGTTGTAACAGGGTGCCCCCTTCACAGACAGGAAAGAGAAGGAACCCCGAACAAAGGTGTGCCCGCCCCTATATAGACATTTTAAATTGCCTGCCCTGGAGCTCAAGACCACCCCCAGATACATCATGCCTACATCACAGAAAGGGCGGTCTACAACAGAAATCTGAGTGCGTTGTTTACCTCCTGTCTGGCAGGTTACCCGTTAATGCTTACTTGATTGCATACCCTGGGGAGCCTGGCCAGTCTTTTGTAATGCTTGGACTACTGCAACGCGCTCCACATGGGGCTACCTTTGAAGGTGACCCGGAAACTACAACTAATCCAGAATGCGGCAGCTAGACTGGTGACTGGGAGCGGCCGCCGAGACCACATAACACTGGTCTTGAAAGACCTACATTGGCTCCCAGTATGTTCCCAAGCACAATTAAAAGTGTTGGTGTTGACCTTTAAAGCCCTAAACAGCCTCAAAGGCCCAGTAGACCTGAAGGAGCGTCTCCACCTCCATCGTTGTGCCCAGACACTGAGGTCCAGCTCCGAGGGCCTTCTGGCAGTTCCCTCCCTGCGAGAAGCCAAGTTACAGGGAACCAGGCAGAGGGCCTTCTCGGTGGTGGCGCCCTCCCTGTGGAACGCCCTCCCATCAGATGTCAAAGAGAACAACAACTACCAGACTTTTAGAAGACGTCCGAAGGCAGCCCTGTTTAGGGAAGCTTTTGGTGTTTGGTGTATTGCAGTATTTTAATATTTTTATGGAAGCCGCCCAGAGTGGCTGGGGAAGCCCAGCCAGATGGGTGGGGTATAAATAATAAATTATTATTATTATTATTAATGATAAATACTTAGTTCCTGAGCCAGGTCACAGGCTCACCCTATTCATACACAGACATACCCTTCAGACAGGATTTGTGAAGGAAAAGACAATGGGGAGGCTTTTCCATCTTCCTTGACCTTGCAGAGAAATCATTTGGTCAGTTTGGGAGTCAAGATGGTATCAGGGCTGTTTTCCTGTGCTGCTTCAGACATGTGGTCCACACATCTATGTATGCGCTTGGTTGGTACATTAATGAACATTTATATTACATTATATATAACCTTAAATGTTTTATTTCACCCCACACCCTTTTCTCTCCTCAGAACGAGAAGGAAGAGACCCTGACCACGAACGTCTGGATTACACATGTAAGTCTCAGGCTGCTTCTCCCCCTAGACGGCAGGGGCATTTGGGGGGGGGGGAGCAGATTCCGGCTTGACATCAGGAAGAACTTTCTGGCAGTAAAAGCCGCTGGGATGGAAGGTGGCAGAATCTCCCTCCTTGGAGGTTTTTAAGCAGAGGCTGGAGGGCCCACCTGCCACGGATGCTTCAGCTGAGATTCCTGCATCGCAGGGGGTTGGGATGGATGACCTTTGGGGACCCTCTTTTGACCCTCCAGCTCTGTGCTTCTATCATCTCAGCAATGGGTCGATTACCGGCTGGAATACAAGAGCGAGGACTATGGGGGCATCCCGGTGCTTCAGGTCCCCGCAGACAATGTCTGGCTTCCAGACATCGTCCTGGAAAACAAGTGAGTCTTATTTTTCAAAATGTATTTTTATTAAAGATTTTATTAGTTTACAAAAGTATGTGCAATCTCTCTCTCTCTCCTCCCCCCTCCAAGTAAGATTTTTTTACAGATCAGCTTCATTTGTTGAGACATTCAGGGAAAGGGATGGGGGTCGGGTGGCGATGTTTCTATTATACTTAATATATGTGGGGTTTTGTGTCAGCGTCGCTGGTGCAGGTGCTGTGCTATTCACTTCTGTTCCTTCGAAAAACTAACCAATAAACTGAAACTGGTAAAAGGTAAAGGGACCCCTGACCATTAGGTCCACTCGTGGCTGACTCTGGGGTTGCGGCGCTCATCTCGCTTTACTGGCCGAGGGAGCCGGCGTACAGCTTCCGGGTCATATGGCCAGCAGGACTAAGCCGCTTCTGGCGAACCAGAGCAGCGCACGGAAACGCCGTTTACCTTCCCGCCGGAGCGGTACCTATTTATCTACTTGCACTTTGACGTGCTTTCGAACTGCTAGGTGGGCAGGAGCAGGGACCGAGCAACGGGAGCTCACCCCGTCACGGGGATTCGAACCGCCGACCTTCTGATCGGCAAGTCCTAGGCTCTGTGGTTTAACCCACAGCGTCACCCGCATCCCAAACTGAAACTGACATGGGAGCAAATAGAAGAAGAAGCCTTCACCCCGTTATATGGCTCCCCTTTATCACACACACAGCCCAACAAGACAACGACAAAAATCCACCAACGGCATACAAATCAATATGGTTAACCTGATCTAAAACACCCACCCACCCCACTCACACATGAAAACAAAGACCACCACAGCCAAGCACAAACAAGTGAGTCTTTTTTGGGGGGGCTGCATTCTCAGGGTGTGTCTGTGCCTGAGACCCTCGGCTGCTTGCTATGAAAAGGAGATCTGGCCCTTACTCGCCTTCCGAACCCCTGCTGCCCCCTTCCTTCTCTCTCTCTGCCCCCCTCCAGCATCGACGGGAATTTCCAGGTGGCTTACTTCTGCAACGTCCTGATCTACCCCGGGGGGTTCATCTTCTGGCTGCCCCCGGCCATCTTCCGCAGCACCTGTGCCATCGAAGTCACCTTCTTCCCCTTCGACTGGCAGAACTGCTCCCTCGTCTTCCGGTGAGAGCCTGGGGTGGGGGGTGGGGAGCCCATGGTGAGGGGTTCGAAACACACGCTTGGACCCGCGCCCAGGAAACGCTGCCAAGGACTCCCAAGTCATGGGCTGGAGAAAGGGCAGCTGGGACCTGCATCACCCGAAGATGGATTTAGCTGCGATTCCTGCATTGTACAGGGTTGGGCTGGATGACCTTTGAGAGTCCCTGTGGCGTGTGAAATACAGAGCAATCAAATACAACACATTCCTAGAGTGGACATAAAAAGGGGGTGTCTGGGACAAACTTCCTCTACATGTGACCAGAGGTGGGCGTGTGACCTCACCTGTGCAGGTAATGAAAAACCCAGGGGGGACAGACATCTCTCTATATATGTAACAAATACTATGGGCAATATGGACAGATGCAAAATATATAGATTATGAAATAATATACGGTTGAAAATGTTGACAATTAGGACCCGGGGAGGGTATGGGGAAGTCTTGAGATTCAGAGATATCTCCCCATAGGGATATAGTCAATTCTGTATCCAGGGCAGCTGTTTACCAGCTCCACCTGGTACACAGGATGAGACCCTCCCTGCCTGTGGACTGCCTCGTCAGAATGGTGCACGCTCTGGTTATCTCCCGCTTGGACTACTGCCATGCGCTCTACGTGGGGCTACCTTTGAAGGTGACCCGGAAACTGCAATTAATCCAGAATGCGGTAGCCAGACTGGGGACTGGGAGACCATATAACACCAGTCCTGAAAGACCTACACTGGCTCCCAGGACGTTTCCGAGCACAATTCAAAGTGTTGGTGTTGACCTAGAAAGCCCTAAACGTCCTCAAAGGCCCAGTATCCCCGAAGGAGCGTCTCCACCCCCATCGTTCGGCCCGGACGCTGAGGTCCAGCTCCGAGGGCCTTCTGGCGGTTCCCTCCCTGCGAGAAGCGAGGTTGCAGGGAACCAGGCAGAGGGCCTTCTTCTGTGGAACGCCATCCCACCAGATGTCAAAGAGAACAACAACCACCTGACATTCAGAAGACATCTGAAGGCAGCCCTGTTCAGGGAAGTTTTTAATGTTTGAGGCATTACTGTATTTTCGGTCTTTGTGGAAGCCGCCCAGAGTGGCTGGGGAAACCCAGCCAGATGGGCAGGGTACAAATAGTAAATTATTATTATTATTATTATTATTGTCATCATCATCATCATCATCATTATTATACAAACTTATATTTACACACTTATACAAACTTATATTTGTAAAATCAAATAAAAACAATCTCCAAATAAGAATAAGAATACAGTAAGCTCATGCAAGACGCCACGAAAGCGCAGCTTAGCCCTTGATCCCTCGCCAGGTCCCAATCGTACAACGCCAGAGAAGTGGTGCTTACATTTGGAGGCGACGACGAGACCGGGGACCCCGTGGAGGAGATTGTGATTGACCCAGAGGCTTTCACAGGTAGGGGGCCGGCGTCAGCCTTGGAAGGGGGTGGGGGGACAACCCTGGAGGGGGGCAGCGAGCCCAGACCTGAAGACCCCCCACCCTGCTTTCCGTCCTGGAGAGACGCTGGAGGCATCGCTTGCCCCCCAACCCACCCTCTGCCTCTCTCAGCCCCCCTGCCATGCCACCTCTGTCTCCCCCCAGAGAATGGGGAGTGGGCCATTCAGCACCGGCCGGCTCGCAAGGTCCTGGCCCCCGTCTCCGGGGTGGAGGCCCCCGGCTTCTCGGAGGTGCGCTACTACCTGATCATCCAGCGCAAGCCCCTCTTCTACATCATCAACATCATCATCCCCTGCGTCCTCATCTCCTCCCTGGTGGTCCTGGTCTACTTTCTGCCTGCGGAATGTGAGTCGTCCCCCCTGGGGAGGGAAGGGGGGCAGGGCAGGGGAGGAGAGAGTTGGAAGGGACCCCCAAAGGCCATCTAGCCCAGCCCCACGAAATACAGGAATCGCAGCTGAAAGAATGCCTTCTCCAGCCTCTGCTTAAGGAAGCAGTCGAATGGCTCCTATCCTCAGAACGTTCTTCCAAATGTTCAGTTGGAATCTCTTTCCTGGCAACTTGAAGCCATGGGTTCGAGTCCTACCCTGTGGAGCAGCAGAAAACAAGCTTGCTCCATCCTTAATAATACAGCAGTACCTCGGGTTACAGACGCTTCAGGTTACGGACTCCGCTAACCCAGAAATAGTACCTTGGGTTAAGAACTTTGCTTCAGGATGAGAACAGAAATTGTGCTCTGGTGGCACAGCAGCAGCAGGAGGCTCCATTAGCTAAAGCGGTGCTTCAGGTTAAGAACAGTTTCAGGTTAAGAACAGACCTCCGGAACGAATTAAGTACTTAACCCGAGGTACCACCATAATAATAATAATAATAATAATAATTTATTTATATCCCGCTCTTCCCAGCTGAAGCCAGGCTCAGAGCGGCCAACAACAGTAAAAATAACACCGTTTACATAAAATCACAATCAATTAATTAAAATACATTCTACAATCAATTCATTCTAAAATCAATTCAAAATCAAATTAATGGCAACCACTGGGCTGTGCCTTGGCCAAAGGCCTGGTGGAACAGCTCTGTCTTGCAGGCCCTGCGGAAAGATGTCAAGTCCCACAAGGCCCTAGTCTCTTGTGACAGAGCGTTCCACCAGATCGGGGCCACGGCCGAAAAAGCCCTGGCTCTGGTTGAGGCCAGGCTAACCTCCCTGTGGCCCAGGATCTCCATGGGGCAGACCTTGAGCTATTTGAAGACGGCTCTCATCTCTCCTCTCAGTCTCCTCTTCTCCAGGCTAAACATAGCCAGGTCTTTCAACCGTTCCTCATCAGGCCTGGTTTCCAGACACCTTGATCATCTCAGTCACACCTCCCAGCTGGTCAATATCCCCCTTAAACTGCGGCGCCCAAAATTGGACGCAGGACTCCCAGCGGGGTCTCCCCAAGGCAGAACAGAGCAGGACTTTTCCTTCTCTTGATCGGAACACAAGACTTCCGCTGACGCAGCCTAGGATCGCATTCGCCTTTTTTGCTGCTTCCTCACACCGCTTGCTGACCCCTGCCTTCTTCCCGGGCAGCTGGAGGCCAGAAAATCACCGTCAGTATCTCTGTCCTGCTGGCCCAAACTGTCTTCTTGTTCCTCATCGCCCAGAAGGTTCCGGAGACCTCGCTCAGCGTCCCCCTGATCGGAAAGTGAGTCGTCCCCCCTGGCCAGCAGAGCCAGGACTCCTGGCTTCTCGGGAGAGTGTTTGCCCATATGTGGGGAGCAGGGTGGGAATTTGTGTCATGGAGAGGCGGCAACTAGACCTAGTGGGGTGGATTATGGAGGGGAGGGGGCTCAGGATGGCCTGGAAGCCCCACAACAGAGACCCACACCCTGGGAAGGGCTGTAGCTCCGCTTTGCAAGCAGAAAGCCCCCGATTCCTCCATGTGGACTAGGATCTTGCATTGCTTTTAGGGGAAGGGCTCAGCGGGAGAGCCCCCCCTGCCTTGCATGCAGAAGGCGTGAGATTCGAACCCCACGCCACACCTCCAGCTGGGGCTGGAGGGAGAAAGACCCTCTGCCTAAAACCCTGGGCGGTCGCTGATGCTGCCGGCCCGTGTCGACAACACTAGCTTAAATCAAGTTTCCTGTGTCCTTCTGCCGGGCAGGTACCTGCTGTTTGTGATGGTGGTGGCCACCCTGATCGTCACAAATTGCGTCATCGTCCTCAACGTCTCCCTGCGCAGTCCCAGCACCCACGCCATGTCTCAGCGGCTCAAGCACGTGAGGATGGGGGGCAGCTGGGGGGGGCGGCTTCTGCCATTTGCCCAAGAAGGCCAGTGAAGCCAGCCTCACTCAGATCAGGGGCACTCCTGCCCAAACCAAGCCCATGCAAGGGCATTTATAAAGTTTTATTTTGGGGGGGGTGTCCTGCCAAAAAGTCCCCAGTTGGGAAGGGCTCGTGATCTCTCAACTGGAACCCCAACTTTCGTCTCTGGGGTTGGGGACTCTGGAGTCGTTCCCAGACCGGCTGTTGTAATTTGAACCCAGGACATCCTGCTTAGAGGAAAGATGAAAACTATTCAGCTTTCCAAAAAGCAGCGTGCTTCTTCGACAAACCGAGCTCAGTGTCATCCAGCCATGAAAACGATAGCTGGTTTGAGTTCCTCGCAGCCCAAAACATCATCATCATTATTATTATTATTTATTATTATTATTATTTATACCCTGCCCATCTGGGTGGGTCTCCCCAGCCCCCCTGGGTGGCTTCCAACAAAATATTATGTTGTATTATTTTACAGTTATTAGCCGCTCTGAGCCCAGCTTTGGCTGGGGAGGGCGGAATATAAATAAAATATTATTATTATTATTAGTAGTAGTAGTAGTAGTAGTATTATTAAAATACAGTGGTCTCTTAAACATTAAGTTTCCCTAAACAGGGCTGCCTTCCTGGGAAAAAATGGCAAGAATTAATCCCCACCCCCCAAAAAAAGTTTACAGGATGGTTGTGGTTGAATTTGGAATGGACAGGTCCAGACAGGTCCTAAGAGAAGGTGCTTTGCGAACGGCTCCCCGTCTCCTGTCTCCCCCCATCCCAGGTCTTCTTGGAGCTCCTTCCACGCTACCTGGGCTCCAGCTTGGAGCCGGCGGAAGAAGACCCCTGGGACGCCCCCCGCCCTCGACGGCGCAGCTCCTTCGGGGTGATCCTGAAGGCGGAGGAGTATATCTTGAAGAAGCCGCGAAGCGAGATCCTCTTTGAGCGCCAGGGAAAGCGCCACGGGCTCCAGAGGGTGCCGGGATACAGCACGGCTTGTGAGTCTCCCCCCCGGGGGGGGGAAATCTGGGGGTCACGGGTGGGCAGGAAGGGGGCAAAGGGCTGCTGGTGGAGACGCTCCAGCTCTCCTAGAATCACACAAGGGGACCTCAAGGGTCATCTAGTCCAACCCGCCCCAGGGATCTCTGTTAAAGCATCCCCGACAGGTCCCCCCCCCCGCAGATTATGTTTAAAAGCCCCCAAGGAAGGAGAGTCCTGGGAAATCCGTTTCTCTGTCGAATGGCTCTTACCGTCAAAAAGTTAGTTTAGTTGGAATCACTAGAAGCCATGGGTTCGAGTCCTCCCCTCCAGAGCAGCAGGCTTGCTCCCTCTTCATTTATTTATTTTCCCCAATAAATTTTTATTATTTTCTTTACACAATCATTCTTACAGTACATTAATCAACATATAAACTTTTTTCGCTCTGCCGAGCTTGCAACTTCCCTCCTTCCCTTCAGCTGGTATCCCTTTATCAAACCCAGTCGCGTATTTTAACTTTTTACATCTTATCTACATCGTAGGGATTACATCAGTCCTGCTAGTGTCTTTAAATTTTCACAGTTATCCTTTAAGTATACAATAAATTTACTCCAATTGTCCTGGGATTTCTGATCGTCTGGATCCCGAACCCTGCCGGTCAGTCTAGCTAACTCCGCACATTCCATCATTTTCGCGTTCATCCTTAAAGTCACAGTTATCCTTGTGCCGTAGCTTATATGTCAGTTTTGCCAGTTCTGCAGAGTCCATCAATTTTTCTTGCCATGATTCTTTAGTTGGAATTTCTTCAGTCTTCCATCCTTGTGCTATTAGGACTCTCGCGGTCATTGTCACATACATGAAGATGTTTTTTTCAGTTTTTCTGGCAGGTCTTTCCCTACAATCCCTAACGGAAATGCTTCCGGTTTTTTAACAAATGTTAAGTGGAACATTTTCTTCAATTCATTATATATCATTTCCCAAATTTTTTTTAATTGCATTACAATCCCGCCACATATGATAAAATGTCCTATTATTAATCCTTTCCTCCCGCATCTTTGATGGTAACCCCAATTCCATTGTGTCCAGAATTCAGCCTTAAACTACGAGGTGAAGGTTGTCAAGCTGGTGTGCAACATCTTTCTTTGGCGAAGGAGGAGTTGTGAGATATGTGCATGAGTGTGCAAATTTGTGCGTCGCCAAGTTTGGCAAGCTCTTAAGGTTTCATTCCTCTCCCCCCCCCCCCGCAGACGGCCTGGACGTGGGGGGGACCAGCACCCTCTACAAGAACCTGGCTAGCCTAGCCCCTGAAATCAAGGAGTGTGTGGACGCCTGCAACTTCATTGCTGAGAGCACCAGGGAACAGAGCGCCGACAGTGCGGTGAGACCCCAACCCCCCCCCGCCTCCCGGACGTTGTTGGGAGAGGACCTGGGAGAGACCAGGGTTCGAATCCCGCCACTTCTTGGCCAGGGAGGCCGTTACACGTGACCTTGGCCCAGTCGCTGCCTCCCGAACTTGGAATTGGGGTGGCAACTCCCATCTCTTGCAGGGAAGCAATTAGTGCCAGCACCTTCCGTCAAGAGTTTGGGTGTAACCTTCGACGCCTCCCTTTCCATGGAGGTGCAGGTTGCAGCCGCAGCAAAGGTGGCATTTCCCCCTCTCTGCCGTATTAAGCAGTTGGTCCCTTACCTTTCCTGCCCTGACCTGGCTGCAGTGATCCACCACTGTACTGTAAAGGTAAAGGGACCCCTGACCATTAGGTCCAGTTGTGACTGACTCTGGGGTTGCGGCGCTCATCTCGCTTTATTGGCTGAGGGATCCGGCGTCCAGCTTCCGGGTCATGTGGCCAGCAGGACTAAGCTGCTTCTAGCGAACCAGAAAACATCGTTTACCTTCCCGCCGGAGCGGTACCTCTTTATCTACTTGCACTTTGACGTGCTTTTGAACTGCTAGGTTGGCAGGAGCAGGGACTGAGCAACGGGAGCTCACCCCGTCATTGCGGGGATTCGAACCGCTGACCTTCCTATCGGCAGGCCCTAGGCTCTGTGGTTTAACCCACAGCGCCACCCATGTCCCTATTAGGGGATTGGAGGCCCCCCCCCGAATGTCTCTCCTGCCCGCCACCCCACCTTCGTGGCCTGCCCCCCTCCACAGGGAGAGCTCTGACCCCCACACTTGCTGCTCTCTCCCTGCAGGAGATGGAAAACTGGGTGCTGATCGGGAAAGTGATTGACAAGATGTGCTTCTGGGCGGCCATGGCCCTCTTCGCCATTGGCACCCTCGCCATCTTCGCCATGGGGCAACTCAACGCCGTGCCAAGCAACCCCTTCCCGGGAGAGGAGCTCCAGGAGTAGGAGCACTGCGCATGAATCAGCCTGGGGTGTATGTGGCACAGGGAGCTCCTCTCTGTGGTTTCGGTGGGACCTCTGGGGTCTCCAAGCTGCTTGACCTGAGTTTTGTGTCCTGCTCTCCAGCAAGCAGGTCTGAACAGGAGGGTTTTCTGAGGATCTTGGAAGGTCTGCCCTCAACAAACCCAGATGGAGATATGATGAGCTGTCTCTGCAAAGCAGACCCGGTTGTGTGCGATTGCAAAGTCTGCGCATGTTTGCAGAGGCCCGATAAAAGATAATGTGACAAGTGTTGTGCTATTTTGAAACACACACACACACACCCTTTCTGAGCTGGCCTCTGCAATGTCCTGGCAAATGCCTCATGTGTCCTGTCTTTCCATCTACGGCCACCTCTGGATAGAATCCTAGAATTGGAAGGTGCCCCCAGGGGTCATCCAGCCCAACCCCGTGCAACGCAGGAATCACACCTCAAGCACCATTGACAGGTGTCTCTTCAAAAACCTCCAAGGTCATCTGTTTCAATGTCAAACAGCTCTTGCAATCAGAAAGTCCTTCCTTGTGTTTCATAGTAATCTCCTTTCTTGTTATTTGAAGCCATGTGTTCGAGTCCTGCCCTCCAGAGCAGCAGAAAACAAGCTTGTTCCCTCTTCTATTTCCTCCCAGTCTCCTCTTTCACAGGCTAAACATCCCCAGATCCTTCAACCGTTCCTCATCAGGCTTAGTTTCCACACCCTTCATCCTCTTGGTCTTTATCCTCTGCACACCTTCCAGCTTGTCAGTATCCTTCTTAAATTGGGGCCCCCAGAATTGGACACTGGATTCTTAGCAGAAACTTGTGTCTTTTCTTCTTTGCAGTGTAATAATTTTGAACCCTGGTTCATGAGTGAGTCGGGAGCAGGGCTGCCGCTGCCTCATTCATTTCTTACTTTATTCCTTTCACAAAACCTATATACGCCGCTTGATTGTAATAATAGAAAAGGAGACTCAGAGAGGTTTGCAAAAAGAGGTAAAACGGGGAAATCGAGAGAAAGAAATTCACGGCCGCGCTTTAAAAGGTACAAAAGATGAAAGCGCTGAAACTATTTTACACTCGCCTCATTTTTCTAAGCGACTTGGGACAGGCTCGTCTGTTGTTAGCAGGGGCTGAAAATGCAGGGAAGGCGCCTGCTGGATCTCAAGAGGCAGGGAGTTCCGCAGGGCAGCGGCTGCCACACGAAACCACAGTTGTCGGGAGCCCTTTTGGAGGCCAGGCGACCAGAGGAGGACGCAGTAATCTGGTGCTGGCAGACTTGGGTTCAGTTCCTCTCCCAGGAAAGTCCCAGTCTTGTCTTTTGCTTGGGGAGGGCGCTGGAAGGGGAGGCGGGCAGCGTGGGCTCAGGAAACCACAGAGGGGCTTCCGCTGCTCAGGGTAGCAGGAGATTGGGCTGTGGGTTCGAGTTAGGGTGCCAGAGAGCGAGAGAGCGAGCAAGGCGTTGAGTGTGCCCAGGAGAAGCAGAGGAGGAAGGTAAGATTCGGGGGGGGGGGTGGAAGACATTTATTTTTTTGCGGAGGGGAGGGAGTTCTGCTGGAAGACCCCACGGCCTGCTCCTGCCAACCCAGCCGGAAAAGCAGCGGGCAAGCTTTTGGGTGCAACAGAATTCCTCGCCAGGCTGGAACGAGAAGGAGAAACCATGTTCTTAGCTGTGGCAAGAAAGCTTGTGGTTCGCTCCCTGGAAAATGGGGTGCTTGTTCTGCAGTCAGGATTGATTGATTGATTGATTGATTGATTGATTACCCAGCCTTCATCCTAAGGCCCCAGGACGCATCAAAACGCAATATAATTAAAAACGCCTTTAAGTAACTGAAACCACCACAGAAATAAGGCAGGTCATGAAAAATAGCCCTCGAGTGTCAAAAGAAGTCAAGCCAGAGAATGAGAGCCTTTGGCAAGGCGCCGCTCCTTAGGCAGGGAGTTCCACAGGTCAAGGTCGCCACAGAGAAGGCAGGCCTCTCCCCCCGGGATGTCACCCCCCACCAAGGCTCCAAGGATAGAGGGAATCCCGAGGGGCCCCCGGAGGGTCTGGAGGGAGTGAGGGGATCTGGAGGGGGTGAAGGGGTCTTTCAGGTGTTGGGGGGTCTTGAATACTTCAGGGCTTGAAACCTCAGTGTGAGCACCTTGAACTGGGCCCGGAAATGAAACGGGCAACCAGCGCAGCTGTTTTGGAAGAATTGTGGCCCTGGAAAGGCACCTGGGGGTCATCTAGTCCAACCCGCTGAGATGCAGGAACTTGAACTAAAGCATGAATTTTAACAGGGAGAAATGTAAAGTATTGCACTTGGGCAAAAAAAATGAGAGGCACAAATACAAGATGGGTGACACCTGGATTGAGAGCAGTACACGTGAAAAGGATCTAGGAGTCTTGGTTGACCACAAACTTGACATGAGCCAACAGTGTGACGCGGCAGCTAAAAAAGCCAATGCAATTCTGGGCCTCATCAATAGGAGTATAGCATCTAGATCAAGGGAAGTAATAGTGCCACTGTATTCTGCTCTGGTCAGACCTCACCTGGAGTACTGTGTCCAGTTCTGGGCACCACAGTTCAAGAAGGACACTGACAAACTGGAACGTGTCCAGAGGAGGGCAACCAAAATGGTCAAAGGCCTGGAAACGATGCCTTATGAGGAACGGCTAAGGGAGCTGGGCATGTTTAGCCTGGAGAAGAGGAGGTTAAGGGGTGATATGATAGCCATGTTCAAATATATAAAAGGATGTCACATAGAGGAGGGAGAAAGGTTGTTTTCTGCTGCTCCAGAGAAGCGGACACGGAGCAATGGATCCAAACTACAAGAAAGAAGATTCCACCTAAACATTAGGAAGAACTTCCTGACAGTAAGAGCTGTTTGACAGTGGAATTTGCTGCCAAGGAGTGTGGTGGAGTCTCCTTCTTTGGAGGTCTTTAAGCAGAGGCTTGACAACCATATGTCAGGAGTGCTCTGATGGTGTTTCCTGCTTGGCAGGGGGTTGGACTCGATGGCCCTGGTGGTCTCTTCCAACTCTAGGATTCTATGATTCTATCCAGGACAGGTGGGCCCCCAATGGTCAGGGATGATGGGAGTTGTAGTCTAGCAAGAGCGGGAGGAGGGGCGCAATTTCCCCACCCCTCCTCGGGCAGAAGAGATTCATTAAATCCAGCTTTGTCTCTCCTCGCCAGAAGAGGCGGATCGCTTCCCCCTTAGTCCCAGGGCAGGGATTCCCCTTATTCTGCCTGTTGGGTTTCAAGCGTCCTGGGGCTTCCCACTGGAATTAAGAGGTAAGCCCAGGAGCCTGAAGACCCCCCCCCCCCGCCTCCCCAGGAGGCCAGCCTGTTTCTGGGTCGCCCCCAGAGGCACCTCAAAGCCATTTCCCTCGGGGTTTCTGCTTGGAAGGTCACAATCCAGCCGAGCTGTCATTTGGGGCGCATCTGGACATTTGAGGTTCCATCCAGTTTGGCGAACAGCATCAGCCCAAAGGAAAGTGTTTGCGTGCGTGAGAGAGAGAGAGAGAGATCGACAAGCAAACCACCCTAACTCGGAATCGCTTGCAGAAATGTTTGGTTGCATTGCAGGGGGCTAGACTAGATGTCCCTTGAGGGTCCCTTCAAATTCCGTGGTGTGGTGGAATATAGTTCCCTCCATTGCCTGTTGGGAAACCTTCTCTGAGACAGAATGCAGTTGGCTCGGGGGCTCATAGGACCCCTGCTGCCCCTGCTCTGACGTCAGAGGCCCTTCTCCCTGGCCGGACCCTCGGGACCCTCGGGGGGGGGCACGTCCTGGGTGCAGGCTGGGCGGGGGACACGGCAGGGACGCTTCTGCGGGAAGCCCCAGAACCCCCCCCCCCATAAAAAAAGGTCAGGGAGGAGCGCACGCCTCTCTCAGCATGCAGAAGGAAAGCAGGAACTCTGCTGGCTTGGCTTGCCAAGGAGAAGGAACAGTATTCTGCACGTGCTCAGAGACAACCTTGTTCTTTGCTCGAGGCGATGCGCTCAAGCTCAGCAGACTGCGCCTCTCCGCGCCCATTCCCCCTGACATCCCAGCCGGGACTGAACAGGTTCCCACCTCATCCTCAGGACCGTGGGTGCGCGCCATCCTAACGCAGAGGTGCGGCGTCACCTGCACATGGCTGCGCGTAGTGTGCGCGATGTCACACGCACCATGTGCAGCGGCCAGCGGTGGCAGCTCCTCTCCACCCCCCCTGCAGCCAGCGAGACCCCCTTCTCCTTGGGGAGGGACTCGGGGACCCCTCTGCCTCTGTGCCCTAGCCCCCCACGGAAAGGGGGCCTCGCTGGCTGGCTGCGGAGACAAGACCACCAGCTTTGCCCACTGACTTTGGGGGTGCCCGGCCCCCCCAATTATATGATTCTGGGTGCCCAAGCCCCCCTGGAGTCGGCCCCTCTGTGACTGCCTGCCTTCCTCTCTCCCCGCCTCCCCAGCGATGCCGCCTTGCGCCCTGCGCGTCCTTCTGGCGACCCTGCTGGCCGCGGCCGGAGCCCCGGACGCCGCGCCGCCCTGCGAGTCCGAGATGAACAAGATCAAGGACCTGCTGCAGGTGAGCTGCGTGGGGCAGGGGCTGAGCAGCGTCCCCGCCGGGCTGCCCAAGGACACGGGCATCTTGCTGCTGGGCTCCAACCGCCTGAGCCGCGTCTCGCTGGCCTCCTTCCAGCACCTGAGCGCGCTGGTGGAGCTCGACCTGTCCAACAACAGCCTGAGCGCCCTGGACAGCGGCGGCGCCTCGCTGCCCGGCCTCCAGCAACTCGACCTGTCGCACAACGGCCTGCAGAGCCTGCCCGCCTTGCAGGGGATGCCCGCGCTGAAGCGCCTGGCGCTGGCGCACAACGCGCTCTCGCGGCTGCCGGCGGGGGGATTCCGCGCCCTGGGCGCCCTGGAGGATCTGGAGCTGCAGGGCAACGGGATCCGGGATCTGCCCGAGGGAGCCTTCGCGGGGCTGCAGAAGCTGAGGGACGTGGACCTGGCCGACAACCTGCTGGAGGAGCTGCCCCGGGAGCTGCTGGCCGGGCTGGACAGCCTGGAGATCCTGCGCCTGGAGAGGAACCGGCTGCAGAGGGTGCCCGACGGCTTCTTCCCCGAGGAGAACTACTTCGCGTACCTGTACCTGGCGGGGAACCCCTGGGTGTGCGACTGCGCGCTGCTCTACCTGCGCGACTACATCCTGGAGTACGAGACCAGCGTGTATACTCGCGTGCAAGGCCCCGGGAAGGAGATCACCGAGAACAAGCCCGAGAGCGTGGAGTGCCAGGCGCCCGCGCCCGAGAAGGGGCGCCCCGTCATGGCCTTCCAGGCGCACTGCCAGGGCCCCGAGGGAGACAGCGACGGGGGCCAAGGGGAAGGGGGCGCCGCCACCCCTGAGCCCCACGCCACTGCCCACACGACACTGCCCTCCAGCACCGCCGCGCCGACCACGAGTGTCCGCACCACACCTTCCACCGCAGGGCCAGCCACGAGTGTCCGCACCACACCTTCCACCGCCGCGCCGACCACGCGTGCCCGCACCCCACCCTCCACCGCCGCGCCGACCACGAGTGTCCGCACCCCACCCTCCACCGCCGCGCCGACCACGCGTGTCCGCACCCCACCCTCCACCGCAGGGCCAGCCACGAGTGTCCGCACCACACCTTCCACCGCCGCGCCGACCACGCGTGAATGCACCGCACCCTCCACCGCCGCGCCGACCACGCGTGTCCGCACCCCACCCTCCACCGCAGGGCTAGCCACGAGTGTCCGCACCCCACCCTCCACCGCCGCGCCGACCACGCGTGTCCGCACCCCACCCTCCACCGCAGGGCTAGCCACGAGTGTCCGCACCCCACCCTCCACCGCAGCGCCGACCACGCGCGTCGCCACACTTGCTCCCAGCACCACCGCACCATCTTCCCGTGTCCCCACTACGGCTCCAAGAAACCTTCCCGGTCCTGTTCTCGCCTCTACCCCGGACCCAGTCCCTTCCACAAGTCGCATGCTGCCCGCATCAACTCTCCAACCCCTTCCGTCGGCGATGACTGCCACTTCCCATCCTCTGCCAAGTGCCAGGGCCTCGCCAGCCCTGCCACCTCTCAGCACGTCAGCTCCCAGTCGCTGCCCTCCTCCCGCCCCTTGCCACTGCTCCTTGCTGCCAGCCACAGCCCCGCAGCGCAGTTGGCACTGGTCTCCCAGGACCTGGGCCGGCTGGCTGGCTGCCCACTGCTGCCTGCTGCGCCTGATCCTCTACGTTGCCTGCCTGGCACTGGCAGTGCTGCCCACCTTGGCTCTGCTGTGTTGGTTGGGGTGGCTGTGTGCCAGCTGGCAGCGCCCAACCCTGCGAGGTGGGCCGGGGCCCCGGCTGGTCAAGTACCGCCAGCTGCAGCAGGTGGAGGGGCTCCAAGCGCAGGGTCCTCTGGCCGTGCCCCGCACCTACCGCGTCTGCAAGGTGTTTGAGGCCGCCCCCTCCCGCCACGTCAGCTGGCTCTTCGTCAGCCTGCCGGGGCCAACGCAAAAGTGGCCCTGGCAACGCAGGCGAGGCCGGGCGCCCTCTGCCTACAGCTTGGATCGCGGGCAAGACGCCATTGGGGCTGTGCGGGTGAAGCGTGGCACCGCCACTTTGTAGGGAGGTCCGAGGGCAAAGGGAGAGCCTGCTGGGTCAGGCCGAAGGGGGACCAGCATCCTGCTCTCACAGTGGCCAACTTGATGCCCAATATGAGAAACTAGCAAGCCGGATTTGAGCATAGCAACCGCTCCCCCATCCTGGGGTTCCCAAGCATTATTGTCCAGCTGCCCTCGGCTGCCCTCTCCTCCTCCATGAATTTGTCACATCCTTTTTTTTTTTTTTTTAAATAATTTTTATTAAGGTTTTGAACAACAAAGAAAGAAAAAAAAACATACGCAATACATATAACAACAACACACACAGAAAACAAAACAAAATTCAACAATAAACAAAACCAAAAAACATAACAATTAAAAACAATCTCTCTTTTCCATTTCCATTTTTAAGTTGCTTATTTTCTGGACTTCCTCATACCTCCCTCTTTTGTATTCCAATCCAAATTGTTTGTCCAGCAGTTTCTTTTCCACTTTTTTAATCCCAATCTTTAGCTTTAATAAGATATTAAAATATATAACTTCAACTTCTTTAAACCTGATCTTTGGTCTTAGTATCATATAACGTTAAAATTTTCCCTCTTAATATCAAATTTCCATTTCTTTAAACATCTTTAATCTTAATCTTTAATCTTAGTCTATCATTAGCTTTAACCTGTACAGCTGGAAACCGCTTGTTTTCAGTCCAACATCACTCTAACATTCTTTAATTTTGCAATGTTTCTGAAGATAGTCTTTGAATTTCTTCCAATCTTCCTCCATCGACTCTTCTCCCTGGTCACGGATTCTACCAGTCATTTCCACCAATTCCATATAGTCCATAAGTTTCATCTGCCATTCCTCCAGCGTGGGAAGTTCTTGTGTCTTCCAATACTTTGCGATGAGTATTCTTGCTGCTGTTGTTGCATACATAAAGAAAGTTCTATCCTTCTTACCACCATTTGGCCGACTATGCCCAGGAGAAAGGCCTCTGGTTTCTTAGGGAAGGTATACTTAAATACCTTTTTAATTCATTATATATCATTTCCCAGAAAGCCTTAATCTTTGGGCACGTCCACCAAAGGTGGAAAAATGTACCTTCAGTTTCTTTACATTTCCAACATTTGTTATCGGGCAAGTGATAGATTTTCGCAAGCTTGACTGGGGTTATGTACCACCTGTATATCATTTTCATAATATTCTATCTTAAGGCATTACATGCCGTAAATTTCATACCTGTGGTCCATAACTGTTCCCAGTCAGCAAACATAATGTTATGTCCAACGTCCTGTGCCCATTTAATCATAGCCGATTTTACCGTTTCATCCTGAGTACAGTATTCCATTTCAGCAGCAAGTTGTACATTCTTGACAAATTCTTAGTTTTGGGTTCTAACAATTCTGTTTCTAATTTGGATCTTTCCACCTGGAAGCCAATTTTCCTGTCCAATTTAAATGCCTCCATGTCCCATTCTTTTTTAAAAGCCATCTAGGTTGGTGGCCTTCCCTGCCTCCAGTGGCAGGGACTTCCATAAGCTTAACTCTGCACTGCGTGAAGAAGGGTTTTGTTTTACCTGCCCGGCACCTTCCAGCATTCAGCTTGATGCCATGACCACGTGGGAGAAAAACATTTCTCTAGCTACTTTATCCAGGCGATGCATTATTTTATAAACTTATAGCTTGCAGCCAGAAAACGGGGTCAGAGGAACTCACTCCCACTGCTTCGGATGCCTTCCTGCGAAACCCAATCTCAGAGCAGGAGACTCTTCCATCTCAGAGTTGTGGGTTTGAGCCCCACGTTGGATAAAAAAAGTTCCTGCATTGCAGTGGGGGGGGGGGTTGGACTAGATGACTCTGGTGGTCCCTTCCAGCTCAGCAGTTCTTGTTGTTGTTGAGTCATTTAGTCGTGTCCACCTCTTCGTGACCCCCTGGACCAGAGCACGCCAGGCACTCCTGTCTTCCACTGCCTCCCGCAGTTTGGTCAAACTCATGCTGGTAGCTTTGAGAACACTGTCCCACCATCTCGTCCTCTGTCGTCCCCTTCTCCTTGTGCCCTCCATCTTTCCCAACATCAGGGTCTTTTCCAGGAGTCTTCTCTTCTCATGAGGTGGCCAAAGTCTTGGAGCCTCAGCTTCAGGATCTGTCCTTCCAGTGAGCACTCAGGGCTGATTTCCTTCAGAATGGAGAGGTTGGATCTTCTTGCAGTCCATGGGACTCTCCAGAGTCTCCTCCAGCACCAGAATTCAAAAGCATCCATTCTTCGGCGATCAGCCTTCTTGATGGTCCAGCTTTCACTTCCATACATCACTACTGGGAAAACCAGAGCTTTAACTAGACGGACCTTTGTTGGCAAGGTGATGTCTCTGCTTTTTAAGATGCTGTCTAGGTTTGTCATTGCTTTTCTCCCAAGAAGCAGGCGTCTTTAATTTCAGCAGTTCTAGGATTCTATAAACCCAGTGGTCGCTGACCATTGGAGAATGAATTGGTGCCTTTTTGAAGGGTCTGGCCCAGTTCTTGAATAAGACTAGATAGCAGGTTTTTTTTTGGGGGGGGGGACAATGGGCTGACTTGCAAGGAGCAGGAATGTGCCGCAAAAGTTGTGAGAGAGACTGAAAGGTTTTGCTTTGGTGCCACGTAGAAGGTAAAATAGCTGTATAATGAATTGAAAAAGGTGTTTAAGTATAATTTTAGTAAAAAAAAAACCAGAGGCATTTTTGCTGGGGTTAATTGGTGAGGAAATAATAATTTAAAAAAGATGTAAATTTGTTTATGTATGCCACAAGGGCCGCAAAAATACTTCTGGCCCAGAAATGGAAGCAGCTGGAACTTCCTACACTTGAAGATTGGCAGATAAAGATGGTTGAATACAGCTGACGGGTAAGATCCAGAATCGGCGTGATGAACTGTTTCAAAAGGACTGGAGCAAATTTATATTTTATATGAAAGAAAACTAAATATTTGAAAACGTTTGTAGGTCTGAGTTGAAATGTTTGGTAACGTGAAAATAATGAGCTGATTTACGTATAAGGAGGTGAATGTCAAAAGAAGATATAAGGTAAAAAAAGTGGCTATAGAAATGCGAAGAAATTGTAAAAGATGTTTGGAAGTCAGAAAGAGGGAGGGAAGGAGGTCGGTGCTTTGTTTGAGCAATGCTTTAAGTTATGGATTTGTGTTATGAAATATGGAAAATCAATAAAAATTATGTTAATAAAATAAAATAAAAGGTAAAATAGCTACCACTGGGCTTAAGGACTCAGCACCAACTCCAGAATGGAAAGACACCCACAACTTCCTTGGGGAGATTTCCCTTGGCAACAGAGTGTGGGGAAATCACAGAACTGGAAGGGAACCCCAAAGGTCATCTTGTCCACCCCTCTTCGATGCAGGAACCACACAGCTAAAGCATCCCTGGCAGGTGGTGGCCACCCCACGTCTGTTTAAACCCCCACCCAAAAAGGAGAGCCCGCCACCTTCTGCGCCACCGCCAAACGGCTCTTGTCAGCTGGCACTGCCAGGAAGTTATTCTCAAGGTTGTTGGAATCTCCTTGCCATTTGAACCCAGTGCTTCAGATCCTGCCCTCTGGGCAGAGGTCATTGCCAGTGCCATATGCCCTGCACCCCACATTTAGGCAGGATCCCCCTTCCGCAGCCTCCTCTTCTTCCCATCCCCTCGTTAAGCACCTATAGCTCTATAAAGGTGCTTAACGATAGATATATAATGGTCTCCCGTTTCTTATTTTTGGGACCCATAACGTTGCAAGGCTGCAGGGAACAGCCAAGGTTTTGCAGGAGGATAAAGGATTTTTAAGGGGTGAAAGAGAAGTGTGTTTTGGGGGGAGTGAAGAAACGCCCTGATCTCTCCCCCCCCATTCCTCTCAGCCCACCAGTCGCTTTCCTTCCTTCCCAGCCTCTTCAAATGCAATACAAAAAAGAAAGGGGGGTCCTTGCGCTGGCCACACCTCAGCAACATTCTGGACCTGAGCAACTGGGCTACAGATCTCGATGGTGAGCAAGAGCCAGCGGTCGCTCCTTCCAGGAGGCTCAGGGCCCTCGTATTTACGGGACCGCCTCTCCTGGTCTGCCCCGCAGAGGACCTTAAGGTCCATGAAGAACCATAGTTTAGAGGGCCCTAAGGAAGCCAGACTGTCCTCCACCAGGGCCAGGGCCTTCTCAGTGGTGGCTCCGACCTGGTGGAATGCTCTGTCCCAGGAGACCAGGGCCCTGCAGGATTTAACCTCCTTCCGCCAAGCCTGTAAGACAGAGCTATTCCGCCTGGCTTTCAATTTGAACTTAGCCTGATCTTTTATTCCCCTTCCTTCCCTCTTCCTTCCCTTCTTATGAAGATTCCTCGCTCTGCGATCCCACAGCTAATTCTCCCCTGGTCTCCTCGCTGGCCCAAGTGGGACTAATATAGCCAGCTAGCCCTGGTGATCATCTAATGTTTATTGGATGGATTTCCCCCCTAAATTGATTTTTTAAATTCTGAATTTATTGTTAGTCACATTTTATACTGGATTTTATGCTGCTTTTTTGTTGCATTGTGTTTTAAATTTGTTGTTAGCTGGCCTGAGCCCGGTCTTCTGAACCGGGAAGGGCGGGGTATAAATAATTTTTATTTTTATTATTAATATTATTGTTTTTGTTGTTAAAAATGCTGAGTTCCCCTCGCAGCGTTGTCCCACCACCAGGGACCTAGACCAGACTTTCTATGGAGCTGAGCAGCCCCGCTGCTTTCTTGTGAGTAAACCACAACTCTGGTGTTGTGTATAGGCAAGGATTGGTCGTGTTTTGGAACCACAGAGCTCTGGTGTGTTTTGTGTTCTGATCTGACCTGCCTGCTTTTTCTCTACTCCGGTTATTTTGAATAAAATTTCCCAATTTGACCACCGGAGTGCATGTGTGCAATTGCCAACTTTGGGCTTTTTAGGATCTGCCACATGCCCAGGCACTTGGAATTCCTGCTGCTGGGAGTTTAGGGTCAGAGCTAAGAGGCCAGGACACTCTTCTGAGATCTGGGAGAGACGTGGGGAGCACGGGCTGCCCTTACTCTCCGAGTAACTTACAAGGGAACTGGCTGGGAAATGCAGAGGGTGTTGGTCTCAGGGTCCCTGGGTCTTAGCGGGTTTAGCGGGGTCTGCCAGGGAAACAAGCAAGTTGCCTTGATCCCAGACTGCTCCTCCCAGCAATTCACGGATCGGTTGAACAGAGGGGTGCCGGGTGCTCAGGCTGGGAACTGCTTTGCTGCCTCTGCTCTGTACACCTGAAGGAGTGTCTCCACCCGCATTGTCCAGTCTGCACACTGAGGGCCTTCTGGCGATTCCCTCCCTGCGAGAAGTGAAGTTACAGGGAACCAGGCAGAGGGCCTTCTCAGTGGTGGCTCCCGCCCTGTGGAACGCCCTCCCACCAGATGTCAAGGAAATGAACTTACTTTCAGAAGACACCTGAAGGCAGCCCTGTAGAGGGAAGTTTTAACTGTGAGGTGTTTTATTATGTTTTTATACCTGTTGGAAGCCCCCCAGAGCGGCTGGGGCAACGTAATGTTATTGTAAATGTAAGAAAAGCTTGCCGGGTCAGGTCTCTGGCCCGTTTGGTCTAATATCCTGTTCTCACAGGGGCCAACCAGGTGACTCTTTTGGGAAACCTGCAAGCAGGATCCAAGCACAAGAGCCAATCTCTCCTCCTGTGGTTTCCGGAAACTGATATTCAGAAGCCTTGCTGCCTCTGTCTTTGCAGTCATGGGATTGTTGTCTTTCACATATGTTTTGACTCCACAAAATGGGAAGTGACGAAAAAAAGATGTTTGTGTTCCTGTGTTCCATGAAGTGGGACTATTGTCCTTTGTCCTTTTTCTCTTTGCTGTCTGATGCTAGAGAGAGAGGGAGCCATGTTGCAGTGCTTCCTGTGGGTTTATATGTAAATAAAGTAGATTAGCCCAAATGGTGAGGTTTCATGCTGAGCCAAGGACTGGAGATCAGCCGGTGGGCTGGAGGCAGCTGGGGGCTTGCAAACTGCCCCGTTCCCTTGGAAGCATCCCAACAGCCACTTCCAGGTTCCTACTGGGTGCAAGGATAGAGCGACCTGGGCGTCCTGGGAAAAGAGAGACAGCCACGCGAGGAGGACTCACAGATTTTGGTTCTTTTATTAAACAGATGTTGTCTTCATCATCATCATCATCCCAAGGCCACCGCTGATTGCTGGAGGGCGGGGTGGGGTGGGGGGCTGCTCCCTTCGCCCACGCTGGGGTCCGGGAGGGTTATATACAAACGCAAGCGAAAATACACAAGAAACCAAAGTTGCCCAAGGAAGGGGGGGCGGGGAGAGGGTTGCGCAAGGGGATCTGGCCTCGTGGCCCCCGCCTCTCTCCAGCAGCCGGCCGTCAGCGCCCCCCATGGGAAGCCCCAAACCCAGGAAGGAATCAATGGGGGCGGGGCAGCAAAGACAGGCTGTTTGCTTCTGCCTAGGGAAGAAGCCAACTTCACCTCCTGTCTCCCCCACAACACCCTGGGAAGGAAAAAGCTGCCTTGAAGAGGCCTTGCAGGGTTTGGGGTGGGGAGGGAGACGCAGCCAAGCCCCCCCTCCCAGCTTCCTGCTCCCCCTTCCCAATCCACTAACCACCCTGATTAGGTGGGCCCAGTTAAAGTGCTTTGTTAGTTAATTACTTAATTGCCATTACAAAAAGGAATAATTAAAGCAAAATATACACAGCTCCCCCCATGGGTGGCTGGGGGGCGGGAGAGAATTCTGATATACATCCAACACACGTCCCATGGCTGGCTGGTCGGGGGGGGGGTCAGGAAGGAGGGGCCAGCGGTTTTGCCCCCCCCCCCGAAACTTACTGGTGAGCCAGGATGGGTGGGGCAACCTCATTCTTAGTCCCTTATCACTTCCCCACGGAAATGAGGGGGGGGAACGACGCCAGCAGGTGGAGGTGCTTGCCACGTGCTGCAAGATTATTTTTTTGGGGTGTGTGGGGGGGTGAGTTTCACAAAGCCAGAGAGGTCTGCCTGCAAGGGACATGGGGGAAATGGCTCAGAATGGGAGAATATCCACACTTCCTCCTCTTCTTCTCTCTCCCCCCCCTTGCAAAAGTGGCCCCCAGCTACTCCCCACACCCTGTCCCCATAAGCTGTGGGGAGCTGCAGCTTTCCCTCCTCTGATTGGAAGATAGGAAAGGGGGGGGGGACGGACGGGACTCCCAGCTGCTTTTATTTACATGATTTGGCTTTGATAATAAAACCCTGCCCCAGAGGCCGTTCCGCCCCCCCCCCATCCTCTTTGGGACACTGAAATACTGCTGAATTCTGGGATGAGAAGGGGGTGGGATTTAGGCATTGCTCCCCACGCCCCTCCCCAACCGCCCTGAAGTGGGACCACCACGATAGGCAGCAAGGGATGGCTGTCTTTTTTAGGACTGGACCCTTCCCACCCCAGCCACGCACCCGACGTCTTTCCTATCAGAAACAGAAGAGTTAAATGGGGGCGCCGAGGCCCCCCAAGGGCAGCCGAGAGGAGGGGAGGGCGGGACTGAGAAGTGACCCGCCAAGGCATCGCTTTCACTTTCACGGGATGGTCTTCTCTGGGCCGTCTTGAGCTCAAGCGGGGCATCTGACGAGACCCTCCTCCTCCTCCTTCTCCCCCCCCTCCGCCACAGAGTGGGGCAAGCAGGAGGGGCGGGGTGGGGCGAGCCCCCTGCCCTCACCAGTTCATGATGCAGTTCCTGTTCAGGGTCATGAAGTAGACCTGGCTGCTGCCCCCAGAGCGAACGGAAGCGAAGAAGACCTGCAGGGAGGGACGAAGGAAGGGAGGAGGACGTGAAGGAAGAGCAGGCAGTCAGTGGGGGTCAGGAATCACCCCCCCCCAAGTTCCTCTGCAGTCAAGCAGTGGCCCTCCCAGTGCCCATACTAGCTGGCTCCGATGGGAGGTAGTGCTCCGATGGGATTACTATGAGGAATTATAAAATATGCATCAAGCCACTGTGTCCACGGTGAAACTATGGCGTCGACTGGGTTCAATTCATGGACAATAATTTCTGATCAAATCCCACAAGCCTCTGCATCTCTGATTTCTCTAAGCCTGACAGGCACGTATAAGCATTCGGAAGGGTCTGCCAGCTCCATCTGGGACGCAGGATGAGACCCTCCCTGCCCACAGACTGTCTCGCCAGAGTGGCACATGCTCTGGTTATCTCCCGCTTGGACTACTGCCATGCGCTCTGCGTGGGGCTACCTTTGAAGGTGACCTAGAAACTACAACTAATCCAGAATGCGGCAGCTAGACTGGGGACTGGGAGCGGCCACCGAGACCACATAACACCGGTCCTGAGAGATCTGCATTGGCTCCCAGTATGTTTCTGAGCACAATTCAAAGTGTTGGTGCTGACCTTGAAAGCCCTAAACGGCCTCAAAGGCCCAGTATACCTGAAGGAGCATCTCCACCCCCATCGTTCTGCCCAGACACGGAGGTCCAGCTCCGAGGGCCTTCTGGCGGTTCCCTCCCTGCGAGAAGCAAAGCTACAGGGAACCAGGCAGAGGGCCTTCTTGGTGGTGGCGCCCTCCCTGTGGAACGCCCTCCCATCAGATGCCAAAGAGAAGAACAACTACCAGACTTTTAGAAGACGTCTGAAGGCAGCCCTGTTCAGGGAAGTTTTTAATGTATGACATATTAGTGTATTTTTGGTCTTTATGGAAGCCGCCCAGAGTGGCTGGGGAGACCCAGCCAGATGGGTGGGGTACAAATAATAAATTATTATTATTATTATTATTATTATTAAACACAGGCCAGTTGCTTCATCGGGCATCCTCAGTACATAAAGATAGTAGGGAGCTTCTCTGACGTAGTTATTGTTAGTTTTGTTACTCTTAGGGCCAGGAAGAGAGTTCAGGAAGAGATGGCAAATACTACCCATCCTTCCTCTCACGTTTACTGCTTGTTTATGACCTCTGGAGTTGCTGAACACATTCTTCCTTTTTAGCCCTGTTTTAATTACCCCAGAAGTATGAATGCTTAAATTAGCTTTTTTTGTAGTTTAACTTTGTCCCTACGTGGGGTTTTTTGAAATGCTCAGAGGAAATCTGATTGGTTCTTACGGACACCGTGTAAAATGTTCTTCTGTGAATAAAACGACCTGGGCCAAGGGGTGGACAGGGATTATTATTATACGCACTCCTCCCAGAGTCTTGCTGGTCAAGCCTCCTGTGTATTTTATTAATCAGAGTCCAATCCTTCTTTTGCTTTGGGAATGCTACACGGCTCAAGGAAGCTGGGGGTGTCTCCAGATTAGTGGAGAATGCGGGCCCCCACTCTGCTACTGTTTGCAGGCCGTGGGGCAGATGCCTGCATTCTGCGCCAGGAGCTGCTGCTCCAAATTCAACTCTCCGGGAGACCTGCCCCCCCCTGCTGCCAAGTTCGCGGCTAGAGCGCTCTCCCATCTCTTGACCCCCCAGGACCAAACCTCTGCCTTCCACTTCGCTCAGATCTCTGCTTTACCCAAACGATGAAATGGCACCCCCCCACACTTCCAATGGGAAAGGCGCTCTGGTCCACTGCCCCAAGCCGCCCCCCCACAAGGGGTCTTGCTGAGCCATTTGCTACAGTTTTCAACTGAGATTGTTTACTCCACAGGTGCCCACGCCACCGCTTCTGTCAAAGGAACTGGCACTGTTACACCTGCTCCACGTTGGGAAATAAATCAATCTTTTGCTGTGGCAGCAGCTACACTTTGGAACTCCCTGCCTATTGATCTCAAGCAGGTGCCTTCACTGCACATTTTCTTGGTACCTGCGAAAAGCATTTTTGTTTAGATAAGTCTACCCAGATGTCCAATGCGAGTTCTGAACAGCTTTTAGCCTACAGCTTAAATTCTTGCTGTTAATTCTTCTTATCAAGTGATTTGAGGTTCAGGGAAGTTTTTAATGTGTGACATTTTAATGTATTTTTAATCTTTGTTGGAAGCCACCCAGAATGGCTGGGGAAACCCAGCCAGATGGGTGGGGTACAAATAATAAATTATTATTATTATTATTAGGTTGTTCTTGATTTTACACACACACACACACACACACACCTTTTCTGTGTATAAGACTAGGCTTTTTTTACTTTAAAATAAGGTTAAAAATTTGGGGGTGTCTTATACACGGATAGTGCATATGCCCATTTTCTAAATGTGGGGCCCCCCAAAGTCTTATACACGGGGGCGTCTTATACACGGAAAAATACGGGATATGCAATGGTGTGTGGACATTATGAAATGAAATAAATAGCTATCCACTTCTTTGCTTGAAAATGAAAGTAAGCCCTACACTGTCGTGCCGGATCCGGCCTTCATAGGCACAGCCAAGCACCAGGAGTCCCAAGACAGACCCTTGGGCCTGATCCAGAACCCTGACTGATGCAGCAAAGAGGAAGAGGAGATTGGCAGGGGGAGGGTCAGCCACGAGCACCCCCTCCTCTCCGGGTATCTCTTCCACCCCGCAGGCAGCAGCAAATGTAGAGCCAGCCAGGATGGCACAGTTGTGCCTTGAGACAACAAAACACACACACACACACACACGCTGCGCCGGCCCCCAGCTCTCAGCTTGAGTGGAGTCCGGTGGGGCTGGATCCAGGAGGCGTGACTCACACCCACCTTGTCGTTGCGCTCACACAGGAACTTGAGGCGCTGCGCCCGCTTGTGCATGAAGACGCCGTCCAGGTGCCCCGTCTCTACCGAGCGGATCTCAATGGCTTTCTCGCCCCAACCCATGATCTGATTGGAGCAGATATAAGCTGAGGGGCAGGGGGAGAGAAAGGGGGACACATGAGTCTTCCTCGTTGAGCACGGGGTGTGTGTGTGTGTGTGCCAAGCCCAGAAGGAAGACAGGAAGCGGCTGCAGCTCAGCAATGGGTCCCGAATGCAACTCTGTCACGGGATGCCCCGGGGGCCAGGAGTGTGAGGAGAATCAGAACTTACAGGGTTAAACAGTTCTGTGTGACGTCTCACATTCTGAGGCGTGGTTTGGTTCACATACGGGAATCTTTCTTTGTGTGTGAGTTTCTTTTCGTTTTTGGCTGAGAGGCGAGAAGGATGCCTGCTCTCTCGCCGGGACTGATTTATGATGTTTTTCTCTCATTAAAGGCTGTTAGAGATTAGCAAGAAGCCTGCGTTCAGTCTGATTTATTATCCACACACAAGGCAACACTTTCTACCACTGCAGAACTCTGCTAAGAGCTCAAGTTTTTTCTATCGGCACAAGCGTCCATCGGCACAGGGGAAGTGAGCCGGGCACCATTTTATCTCAGCAAGGAGAGCCTCTGCCCAGCTCCAGCTGTTCTGCCAGCTGCAGCCCCTTTGGGGCCCAGGAGACACGGCCACCGCCCTCTGGCAGCTTCCAGATGAGAGTACTGAAACACACTCTGTGTAGTGGTCAGGTGGGATTGCTATGAGGAATTATGAAATATGAAGCAAGCCATTGTGTCCGCGATGAAAGCATGGCGTTGACTGGGTTTGATTCATTGACAATAGTTCCTGATCGAATCCCACAGGCCTCTCCACCTCTGCCATTTGCTTTCTCTACGCCTGACAGGCACATATCAGCATTCTAAACACAGGCCAGTTGCTTCATCAGGCATCCTCAGTACATAAGGATAGTAGGCTACTTTGATGTAATTGTTAATCTTTAGGTGGATCTTAAGGGCCAGGAAGAGAGTTCACAAGGAGATGGTAAATACTCTTGCCTTCCTTCCTTCCTTTCCTGCCTGTTTATGACCTGAATGCATTCCTCTAGTCCTGTTTTATTTACTCTCAGATATGCATGCATGCTCAAAGTAGTCTTTGTAGGTAACAGGATTTCTTCTGATCTGGCTTTGTCCCACATCAGAGGAAATCTGATTGGTTCTTATGAACACTGTTTAAAAGTTCTTTTGTGAATAAAACGACCTGGGCCGGAGGGTGGGCAGGAATTATTATTACACACACTCCTCCGAGAGTCTTGCTGGTGAAGCCTCGTGTGTATTCTATTAATCAGCGTCCAATCCTTCCTTGCTTTTGGAACGCAACACATCGCGCGCCCCCCCCGAGCGCCCCCTGCTGCTCCAGGCTTACCGACAGAGGTGGGCATCTCCCCCCACTGCAGCACGACGTCCTTGATGATGCGCCCGTAGGTGTTGACGTAGACGCCCTCGTCTTCGTAGCAAAGGAGCATCTCCATCCCTTCGGTGTTGGTCAGGAAGATGATGGCATGGGGGGTGACCTGCGACTGGATCTGGGGCGGCAGGAGGAGGAGGAGAAGGAGAAAGAGAAGAGGAGAAGGAAGGCTTAAATGAGGCCCACCCGCCAACCCCCACAGCCTGCTCCCCTCTTCCGCCCGCTGGCCAGGCTTACATGTACTGGTATATAGATGTCGTAGTTGTTTCCTGAGTCCACGTCGATGGCGTGGAAGCCGGCGCAGGATCCGTAGATCACTTTGAGCCGCTGGCCCTCCTCCACCGTCAGCTCCACCAGCAGCGGCCGGTGAGGCAAGTCAGCAAAAGACTGGAAGACAAAGCAGGGGGAGGCAGGAAGGGTGTTGCGTGGGGGGGGGGTTTCTGGCCACGAGGAGCCACCCAGGACCCCTTCCAACGCCACAATCCTATGACCTCGGAAGGGGGTGGATGCCACACCTGTTAGGGGTTCTTCAGCAGTCACCCCTTCACTGCACCCGGGGGCTGGGCTAGATGGCCCCTGGGTGCCCCTTCCAACTCGGACGCTCTCCTCCCAGTCACCAAATCAGCCCCCTCTCCCCTGATCCTTCCAGCCAAGCCACACTTTCATGAGGCTCCCGCTGCTATCAAAACCCGCTCCCCACGCTGAAAATCAGGGGCCCTGCCGTGCAGATTTCAGCAGAGCCCCAAAGGCTCCCTTCTCCCCCAGGCCCCCCCCCCCGATTCCAGCCTCCCCAGTACCTTGAAGGCCATGAATTTGTGGTAGGGCTTGGGTGCCCAGGCATAGACTTCCACTGAGTTCTTGAGTGCAATGACCAGGAACTTGATCCGCTCGTATTTCACTGAGGGAAAAGAACCAGGGAGGGGGGGGGATGTTAGGGCTGGACCCCACACCTTCCCTTCATAATCTGGGGCAGTTCCAGGCTCAAAGGGCTTCCCGTGCTGGGTTCAAGAATGACAGGGTGGGCTTGGCCATGAGAGATGGATCGTTGGACTGCGGAACTCCCTGTCACTGGAGACAGGGATGGCAACCAACCAACCAGGATCCTAGTAACTGGGAATTGCAGGAGGGGGGAGTGTTGCTCTTGTGCTTGGATCCTGCACCTGGGCTACTCATTGAGCCGTCAACATTACCGTAATTGGTGGGTCTGGCCAAATTTAATTCTTCCCGGGGCAGGTGGTTTCTGGGCTGAATTGTCAACGTGTCTGCCCCCTGGGATGGGGTGTGGTGGGGTCTCCTGGCCCCGACCGCTCAGCCCGGGACCCGCACCCCACTTACCCACGCGGTAGTGGACACAGCCCTCCATGTCCCCCACGGTGGTCCAGCCTTGCTTCTTCTCCACTTCGGGGTCGTTGTGCAAAATTTTGTTCCGCAGCCAGGAGAGGTAGTAGACGCGAAGCTTGTTCCTCTTCCCTAAGGGGAGGGGGGCGGGGAGAGAGAGAACCAAGGATCCTTTATTCACAGGTCAGGGGAGAAAAAAGGGGGGACAGGGTGTCGGGGTGTGTGTGGTTTCCTGCAGGACGTGTGTGCGCAAGAGATTCCTGTGGCCTACAATTCCAGAGCCCTCTCCTTGGGCAGGGCTGTGCTTCCGTGTCAAGGCGCTCGGCAGTCGCCAAAGTTAACACTGACGAGCCGCTTCCACAGCTCTTTCCCAGGTCCGGAAGCTATAGAGTAAAAAGGTAAAGGGACCCCTGACCATTAGGTCCAGTCATGGCCGACTCTGGGGTTGCGGCGCTCATCTCGCTTTATTGGCCGAGGAAGCTTCCGGGTCATGTGGCCAGCATGACTAAGCCGCTTCTGGAGAACCAGAGCAGCGCACGGAAACGCCGTTTACCTTCCCGCCGGAGCGGTACCTATTTATCTACTTGCACTTTGACGTGCTTTTGAACTGCTAGGTGGGCAGGAGCAGGGACCGAGCAATGGGAGCTCACCCCGTCACAGGGATTCGAACCGCTGACCTTCTGATCGGCAAGTCCTAGACTCTGTGGTTTAACCCACAGCGCCACCCGCGTCCCTCAAGAGCTATAGAGTAGTTGCCACCATAAAATGCATTTCCCTGCAACACATGCAGCCAGAAACTGCGCCTGCGTGGAAACGTCCTCTGCTCCTCCCTTTTCAATCCCCTCCTGGTTCCGGGAGACAGCAAGGAAGGAACGGGTGGGGAAGCCCCTGGGCCCTTTCCTTTCGGGGCCTGCCTCTTCCTCCTCTGTTTCCACCGCATTCTGTGCCCCCCTCCAGCTCTGAAGCTTCTCCTGCCTCCGACTCCTGCCTGCTGACAGGGGCAGCTCCTCACAAATCGCTGGCCTCCTCTCCCCAGTCAGACTCCAGCCCCCTTTCCCCTGGGGTGCACCCTCCGCAGCGTCTCTGAAATCCTGTAGCCCCTGTAGGAGTGCAAATATCCAGAGTGTGGGCATCAGGTGGGATTGCTATGAGGAATTATAAAACATGCATCAAGCCACTGTGTCCGCGATGAACGCGTTGCGTTGACTGGGTTTGATTTCATTGACAATAATTTCTAATCAAATCCCATAAGCCGCTGTATCTCTGTCCTATTTCTCTGCCTGACAGGCATGTAGAAGCATTCTAAACACAGGCCAGTTGCTTCATCAGGCGTCGTGGATCATAAAGATGATAGTTAGCTTTGATGTAGATACTGTAGTTTGTTAATCTTTAGATAGATCTCAAGGGCCAGGAAGAGAGTTCACAAGATGGTAAATTCTCTTTCCTTGTCATCCTTCTGTCCTCTCCTGTTTATGACCTCCAGAGTTTCCTAAAAGCATTCCTCTTTGCTTCCTCTTTTATTTACTCTGAACTACATATGCATGCTCAGAGTAGTCTTTGTAGTTAAAAGTATTTCTTCTGATCTGACTTTGTCCCACGTGGGGGTTTTGAAATGCTGAGAGGAAATCTGATTGGTTCTTACGAACACTGTGTAAAAAGTTCTTTTGTGAATAAAACGACCTGGGCCGAGGGGTGGACAGGATAATTATTATTGGCACCACTCCCAGGCTCTTGCTGATCAAGCCTTATGTGTATTCTATTAATTAGAGTCCTTCCTTGTTTTGGGAACACTACAAGCCCCCTCTCCCTCTGGGACTCCAGGCTTCTTCTCCCTGAACCTTGCTGTGTGTCCATATCAAGAAGTACAGGGCTGCGGGGGGAATTATGGGGAGGCCCTAGTGGGCCTAGGCCCACTCCTCACCCGAGATGGTGGTCAGGAGGTTGAGCCCTTCCAGGACGTCCATCTGCTGGAAGCGGCGCCGGTTGATGAGGGTGTAGACCTTGCCTTGCCCGCTCCGGTCCAGAAGCATCAGCCCGTTCTCGGTCCCCACCAGCAAGTTGACCCCTAGAGCGTGGGCACCAAGGCAGAGGGTGAGGGAGAGGCCGGGGGGATGGGGAGGGGCAGCCGTGCCCTGGCCCACCCAAGGGTCCCTGCCTCCTCACCCCAGAGGGCGGCACACAGGATCTCCGAGTTGAAGCGCTTCTTGTACTTGCGGATCTCGGGGGTGTCGCTGTGGGGCCGCGTGTTGGTGGGGTTCACGTTGACCACAGAGCCCTTCCGCGCCTCCAGCTGCAGCTGCTCCAGCCGCCCCGGGTCAAACGCTTTGCGGGTGGAAAGAGAGAGAAATCACACAGGTCAAGCCTTCCTAGTTTGCTCCGGGGGTGGGGGAGTGGGAGGGGGGAGCTGAGCTGCCTGAGGGTCTCCTTCGCTGGAAGGCGGCAGCCTCTTCTCAAGAGAGTCTTGACGGCTGTCCGTCGTGGATTCTTGAGCTGCGCTTTCTGCTCTGCAGCGGGTTGGGCTAGACGACCCCTGGGGTGCCTTCCAGCTCTACGATTCTACGTAAGGACTTGCATAAGCTCCCTGCCCTACCTGGAGATGCTACCTTTGGGGACTGAATTTGGGACCTTCCATAAATGGATTTTGTTACCAAATGATTAAAAACGCTATATGCACTTTGGTCTTCTCGTACCATAAATATGCATGCCATCCAAATCTGTTGTCATGACCCTCAAGGTCCAAAATATCTGTATTTTTTAAAGTTATCCACTCCTGCAGCCTGCAGGGACAGGACGCTTCATAATATAATTTCAAATCCGGCAGGGAAAATCCACCTCTTTCTTTTGTATCTATAGTAATTTATACTTAATGCTTGGTTTCTTCCCCTGCCAGGTAAATCTAGAAACATCTTTTTGCCATCGTCTGAAGTGTCCCACTCCACTGACTATGGGCATTGTTTGAAATAAAAATTTCTGGGCCCGTGACACGGATCTGTCTGTTTTTTTAAGGACAAGTCTGTGCAGCACAGACTCTCGTGCGGGAGGAAGCAGGCCAAGGGACACCCCTCCCCTCCCCACCTCCCCTCCCCGCAAGGTCTCACCAGTGATGGGGATGGTGTCGCCTCCTCCAGGCGAGCTGTGGTAGATGCCCAAGTCCACAAACATCGTGAAGGAGCTCTTTCCGGGAGCCTTGACCAGCCCCCTTGACTGGTACTGCAATTGAGGGGGGAGAGGGGCGCAGTGAGAGAGAGACAGAAGCAGGTTAGGGGACGATATCCAATGCCTGGAGGAAGGAGGGCTACAATGCCAGGTCCCTGCACTGCCCCAGCAAGCCCAAACGCCCAAGGACCATGCATGGTTTATTTAATTTGCTTTAACTCCCTGTACTTTCCTTCCCTGCCCGCTTAGGATAAAAGGTTAGAGTTTGTAGAATCTCACATTTTATTACAACTACTACCTACGTTTCAAAAAATTAGCTACAAGCCGTTTCTGATTTTGCACAAACCCGATTTGGAACAATTGCCATGAGAATCCCACAACCGCCACCATCTCTTTCTGCTGAAGTCCTGTTTGGAAGGGCTCATGCAGCAATGGCCAGCAAACCCAGCTGGCTTTAAAAGAGGAGGGGGCAGATTCATGGAGGAGGTGAAGGTAAGAGGTAAAGGACCCCTGGATGGTTAAGTCCAGTCAAAGGTGACTCGGGTTGCGGCGCTCATCTCGCTTTCAGGCCGAGGGAGCTGGCGATTGTCCACAAACAGCTTTCAGCGTCATGTGGCCAGCAGGACTAAATCGCTTCTGGCGCAATGGGACACCGTGACAGAAGCCAGAGTGCATGGAAACGCTGTTTACCTTCCCGCCGGAGCGGTACCTACTGTATTTTTCGCTCTATAAGACGCACCAGACCATAAGACGCACCTAGTTTTTGGAGGAGGAAAACAAGAAAAAAAATATTCTGAATCTCAGAAGCCAGAACAGCAAGAGGGATCGCTGCGCAACGAAAGCAGCGATCCCTCTTGCTGTTCTGGCTTCTGGGATAGCTGCGCAGCCTGCATCCGCTCCATAAGACGCACACACATTTCCCCTTTCTTTTTAGGAGGGAAAAAGTGAGTTTTATAGAGCAAAAAATACGGTATTTATCTACTTGCACTTTGACGTGCTTTCGAACTGCCAGGTCGGCAGGAGCAGGGACAGAGCAACAGGAGCTCACCCCGTCATTGTGGGGATTCGAACCGCCGACCTTCCGATCGGCAAACCCAAGAGGCTCAGTGGTTTAGACCACAGCGCCACCTGAGCTGCTGATGACAAGCTAGGATGGTTCTGCCCTGCCCTCCGCAGTGGGAGGTAGCAATTCTTCTGCATCCCTGGAAACGGCAGGAGGCGAGAGATGCTCTTGTGCTTGTTGGTTTCCCATGGGGGCATCTGTTTGGGAAAAGGATGCTCATCCAACAAGGCTCTCCTTCGGTTCATAAGGGCTGGTGATGTCGAGACAGAGGACAGATTCTGCTCCCGGAGACCTTCCGCCCAAGCTACCCTCACCTGCTCGCTAAGAGCAAAGAAAAAAGCGCACCAAGAACTCTGGCCAATACAGTGGTACCTTGGGTTACATACGCTTCAGGTTACAGACTCCGCTAACCCAGAAATATTACCTCGGTTTAAGAACTTTGCTCCAGGATGAGAACAGAAATCGTGCAGCGGCAGCAGGAGACCCTATTAGCTAAAGTGGTGCTTCAGGTTAAGAACACTTTCAGGTTAAGAACGGACCTCCGGAATGAATTAAGTACTTAACCCGAGGTACCACTGTATAAGTAACAATAGTGGGAGGGGTCCCTGCTTGCAAATCAATAGTCAATTGTAACAAAAACTAATCCATTCAAAAGTATGTATTCTGACAAGGATTCCAAACTCAAATAGAGAGAATTATTGTGTTATACATATCGTTATGAGTTTGAGTTTGTAATCTCTGTTTGAGTTTGTAATCCTTGACAGAATACATACTTTTGAATGGATTTAGTTTTTGTTACAATTGACTATTGATTTGCAAGTAGGGACCACTCCCACTACTGGAACTTATATTGGCCGGAGTTCTTGGTGCGCTTTCTTCTTGGTATATTTAATAACAAGAACTCCAACTTATTTAACGCTAAGAGCAAAGGGCTGCAACTCCACCCCACAAAGGCACTGCGGAGCAGCCCACATGCCCCACGGCACCAAACCTCAGGCAGGCGATGGCTGCTCTCCCTCACTCAGATGCAGAGAGCTGGAGCAAAGGGGGAGGAATGTGGCCACGGCCCTACAAGGAGGAGTCACTGCAAGCCAAAGGAGAAAGGAAGCGGGAGGCCTGGAGCAAGCCTTCCTCCCTCTTTTTAAATTGCATTTTAGCCTGCATTTAAATTACTTTTTTACCTATTATGTTTTCACTGTAATTTTATTGGTGTTAGCCGCCCTCTGGCCGGGGAGGGCGGGGTATCAATAAAATTTATTATTATTATTCCCCAAACTCACGTCGGTGGCTGTGTCCTTGGCTGGCGAGGAGGAACCGTTGCTGCTGCTCTTGGCCTCGGTGGGCGAGTGGCTGGGCTGGACCACGTCCGGCAGGTTGGTGTAGCCGTTGCTGTCGCTGTGCAGCAGGCCCCGCTCCTCCTCGGGGGTCTGCGAGAGGGAGGGGAAGAGGGGTGTCAAGACAGCGGGGACAGAGAAATGGAGCCCTTCAGCCCCATCGGTGGTGGGGAGGGTCTTGCAGCCCCTGCGGTGCTCAGCGTGCGACTCACACACAGGCCCGGTAGGTGCAGAGTTCGGTGTCTTGTTTGGAGTGCTGAGCCCCCTGCCGCCTCCCCTTTAAATCACCCTCACCATCATCCAGCGAGCTTCTAACCCCACACTGTGGTGGAGACCAGCTGCGGACGTAACCCCTTTGCCCTGGCTTTTGACACTTGAGGCGTGATATTTTGGGACCCGCCTCATTCTTATGGCCTCAATCTGTTTTAAATATTGTGCCAGAGATTATTCATGTAGGCTACGACTGCCGCCAGAATTTTAGTAGCCCCAAAATGGAAAACTCAGGAAATACCAACATTAGTGGAGTGGCAGACAAAAACGGTTGAATACGTGGAATCAGCAAAACTGACCCACAGGATCCGTAACCAAGAGGAAACAAAGATCAGGAGTGAGTGGAGTATATATGTAATAATTGCAGAAGTTTAAAGACTGTAGTAGGATTAAAATAACTCTTATGATGTGAATAGGATGTTATTAAGAATCTGCGGAAAATGAAAGATTAATATGAAAACCTGTGGAAGGGAGGAAGTCTATGTTCGACAGAGCATTGAGAAAATAAGTGTACATAGGATTGTCGAACTTCAGTGTATTTATTTTGTTTTGTTTGTGTTAAAGTAAACTCAATAAAAAGCATTAAAATATATATACTGTGCTTTAACGCATCACCCATGCCCTGGGGCCTTAGGGCATGCCACAAATGAATAAATATAAAAGCCTCAGGACCCAAAGTAAGACGCTCCCCTCCTGCAGAGCCCTTTTCATAGAACTGAAGTTGGAAGGGAGGGGAGCCAAGGGTCATCTAGCCCAGCCCCCAGAAATCAAGGATCCCCCAGGATCAAACCGGGCCCTCCATTCAAATGGCAGCACCTCCTGCTTTAAGCTACGGAGAAAAGGGCGGCAAGGGGCCCTGTGGGGTGAGGAGGGAAGAGGTGGCAATCCTTCCTCTGACTCCGAGGGCTGGACTAGATGGCCCTTGGAGTCCCTTCCAGTGCTTTCTTCCTTAAAAAAAATGTTTAGGGGTACTCTCCTTTTCCTACTCATACTGCCCCTCAATGAGGCCGAACTTAAGGTTCCCAAAATGTTTAGGGGTATGTGTCCCCCTGCGTCCCCCCAGGAAAAAAGCACTGGTCCCCTTCCAACTCTACAATTCCATGACCATGTCAGGAGTTCAGCCTACACACGAGTAGGACCCTGGTAGAGACACATGCCCGCCTGGCATGTTCCCTCCCTCCTGGGCGATCATTCGGGAGCCTCAAAAGCTTTCCTCTGCCCAAACATCACAGCGACCGATGCCAACAGACACCGGCACACTTAGGGATCCGCAGAGTTTGCCCTGTTTGCATAACAAATCTCAGCAACTCAGCATTTTGGCTAATCTACTTTATTTACATATAAACACTCACGGAGCACTGCAACATGGCTCCCTCTCTCTCTAGCATCAGACAGCAAAGAGAAAAAGGACAAAGGACAATAGTCCCACTTCACGGAACGCAGGAACACAAACATCCTGTCTCCGTGAAAGACAACAATCCCATGACTGCAATCACGGAGTAGGAATTCTAACAGGGCTAGATGAGTTTAGGACTTTTGTACCCCCAGGAAGCAGTTCCTGCACCTCCCAGCCGGAAGAGGGAGAGGCCAGGGGAGGGTTCACCCCTCCACACACACACACAAACAGGACGGAGGCTGCGAAGCGTGATTCTCACCCGCTGCACCAGCATGGTGCCCTCGCCATAGGAGCTCTCTGAACCGCCACTGCCGCCCGTCAGATCCTCCACGTCATGCACCACCATGGTGCTCACGGAGTCCGTGTCGCCGTCTCTGCCACAGGGAGGGAGAGGGGGAGGTCAGAAGACACACGGAAGCAGTCACATTAATCCTGCCTCCTCCTCCTCGCCCCCGCCCAGAGCCCACGAAGTGGGGTGCACCAGCAGGCTCTGCCCTTGGAAGCAGATCCAACTAGAAAGGGAAGAGGACAATGGAAAGCCGCCCCCCATAACACTAGAACAGGGGTCAGCAAACTTACTGCGCCTCAGGCCGTGGCTCCGGTGCCGATTGCGCGGCGGGCCAGAGGAGCGCGTGCCCAATGCGTGCACACACACGATTTCCGGCGCACTTCCGGGTCGGAGGAGCACCAGAAATAGCTTGTGCACATGTGCCCGGGCCTCCTCCAACCTGGATGTGCACTGGAAATAATGCTTGCGCATGTGCAAATAACGCATGCGCAAATAACGCAAGCTATTTCCGGCGCTCCTCCGCCCCAGAAGTGGGCAGCCGCGCAGCACAGCGCCGGTAAGAGTGGGCAGTGGAAGTGTGCGGCGGGGGTCACCGTGGGCTGGATAAACAAGTCCCTTGGGCCTTATCCGGCCCGCAGGCCTTAGTTTGGGGACCCCTGGTCTAGAACCTGAGGGTCCAATGAAGCTGAATATAAAAAAGGGGGGAAAGTCCTTCACACTGAACATGTTTAAACTACGGAACTCCCTGCTGCAGGAGGCAGCGAGGGCCAACAACTCAGACTGATTCATGGAGGAGATGGCTCAGCTCTGCTTCCACAGATGGAAGCAGCAATGGTTCTGAATGCTGGGCGCCGCTGCTCTTGCACTCAGATCCTGCTTGCAGGTATCCCATAACGGGCATCTGGCAGTGGGAACAGGATGCTGGCCTGGGTGATGGGGCTGATCCAGCAGGTGCTCTTCTCATGCACCTTCGGCCTCTCTGAAAGCCCCTTGGGGAGACTCAGGCCCTGCTTGGGGGCTCCCTTCCCCCTGGGTGCACAGGACGGGGGCCCTTTGGTCCTGATCCTCCTGCCACCGCGGGGCTCCCCTGACCTCCTTGCGTGCACCCAGGCACTCCCAAAAAGCGCCAGCGTGTTCACGGCCCCTCGCCCCACCTGGTCCCCGGAGTGTCTGCCGTGGGCTCGGAGCGTTCCCCTTCTCCTTCCTCCTCCTCCTCCTCTTCCTCCTCGCTCGAGTCCATCTCCTCGCTGGAGGAGGAGTAGTCCATGGCCTTCTTGAGGGGCTTGGGGGCCGCCTCCTCCAGGCGGTCCTTGGGGAGCACAAAATTCTGCAGAGAGGAGAGGAAGGGGGTCACGGCTGCCGCAGGGAGGCGAAGGAGAGAGAGAGAGAGAAAGAAAGAAAGAAAGAAAGAAAGAAAGAGAGAGAGCGCGCGCGAGAGAGAGAGCAGGTGGGAACAACACCAAGCAAGCTTGCATGGGAGTTGGCCTGCCTGCAATGGAGACCCCACTCCACCAGGAGGGCTGCCCAGTGGGCGCAGTTTGCGACAGGCATAGCAGGAAGCCAGCGCCAGCCTCTCCTGCCCCCCACCCAAGCCCCAACAAAAATCCCAGCTATCAATCCCCTATAGGTAAAGGGACCCCTGACCATTAGGTCCAGTCACGGATGACTCTGGGGTTGCAGCGCTCGTCTCGCTTTATTGGCCGAGGGAGCCGGCGTACAGCTTCCGGGTCATGTGGCCAGCATGACTAAGCCGCTTCTGGCGAACCAGAGCAGCGCACGGAAACGCCGTTTACCTTCCCTATTCATCTACTTGCACTTGATGTGCTTTCGAACTGCTAGGTTGGCAGGAGCAGGGACTGAGCAACGGGAGCTCATCCTGTCACGGGGATTTGAACTGAAAACCTTTCGATCGGTAAGTCCTAGGCTCTGTGGTTTAACCCACAGCGCCACCCGCGTCCCATCGATCCCCTACCCCCCCCTTTTCTGGTCTGCTCAACCTTTTTAATAAGGAATTGGGGAGATTTATAACTTATCTTAAAGACTAATGTAAACAGTTTAAATTGTTGGTAGGATTGGAATATCACTTGTAGTTTAATGGTGAATTTTAGATTTGGATTATCATAAAAGACGCAGGAGGAAATGATTGACAGCAGGACCCACAAAGGGGAGGAGGGAAGTCCAAGAGATTCCTTGGAATCTTGTTTTTATGTTGTATGCTGGATAGGTGACTGTAAAATGTCAATCTGAAAAACTAAATAAATAAATCCCGCCCCCCAAAGGAAAAAGAGTGGGAGGAGAAAGCCAAGTTTCTTGGGTTCTTGGGCACACGTCATGTGAGAGATGCCTAATCAAACCTATGCTCAAAGCAAAACGTGGGGTGTTCCACCTGTGGGGTGAGGCCGGTGACCCCCAAATGGGGCCTGAGATAGCTGGGAAGGGGGGGGGGGGAGTCCAGCGATTCCACTCGGCAGCCCTGCTGAGCTCGAGGCCCGAAATTTGTTGAATTGGAAATACGATTTCCCATTTCATTTCTGTGCTCAGTTGTTTACAAGTCCCGTTTACATGATTTTGTAGGTTCTGCGCATGTCTTTTCTCCGTTTCAGTTTTGTGAGTTTGCTTCCCTGCCCTGCGGCTGAAAACATTCAATGAAGGGGGGTAGGGGGATCTATATAAATGGCGTAAATAAGTAAAAATAAATAGAACGGTGGCCAATTAGCTGCGCTGCCTGCCAGTCCTTTCTCCTCTAGGCCACAGTTCCACCCCCTGCCCCAAACCGAGCCAGAAGCTGTGAGCGAAAGCAGCAAGGGGGACTGGGAAAGGTCCAAGAGAGTTGGGGGGGGAGAGATGCAGAGGGGGGGTGATGTCCACGGAGGAAGGGGGATCAGGGAAGACTTCATGATCTCACAATGCGGCAGCAGGGCATGGTGGTTTGGGGGCAGCAGAGAGAGAGAGAGAGACTGAGGACGTGGGGGCACTAACCTCTCCGATTGCCCGCTTATAACTCTGAGTCGTGCAGAAGGAGGGAAAGAGGGAAGGAAGAGGAAGAGAAAAAGGGCAGAGAAGTTAGCCCGCTCCCCAGCAGGTAGATCCCTATGCTCTACCCCCTCTGCCCACCCCCCAGCCCCAGCCTTCGGGGGTCAACACCCCAGCCACCTCCCCCTGATCGCTTGCAAGTTTCAGGGCAAATTTCTTGTTGTCAAGGGAGGAAGAGAGCGAGAGTCAGAGAGAGGAAGAGAAGGGGAAATCCAGGAGGGAAAAGGGCCAGGCCCCTATGGGTCAGAGGGGAGGATTTGAGAACACGCACACACACACACACACACACACACACACACACACACACTCCGGTCATGCCCTTTCCCAGAGGAAAAAGGGGAGTAAAGAAAACCCCAAATTCCGTTTTAAACCTTTTCAAGGCGGAGCGTGCAAGGAAGGCCACACATTAAGAGCCGTCCACAAGGAAGCGGCCCAAGAGATTACATGCTCCAATTGCCCAAAAACTAAAGGTGTGCCCCCCCCCCAGTTTCCTCTCCCCCTCCCCCGGCTTCCCCCGCAATCCTCTCCTCCCTACAAAATGGGGCTGCAGTGCAACACCCGCCCCCCCCCGGTGAACTCGCAGAACATTCTGAGATTCCAGCTAAACTTTGGGAGGTGTTAAAATAGAGGTTGGATGGGATTCGTGAGCTGTGATTCCTGCATTGCAGGGGGGATGAGCTGGATGGCCTTTGGGGGTCCCTTGCAAACATATGGTTCCATGATTCTATGGCAGAGCCCAATGGGCCCCCTCTGGGTGGACTCCTCAGGCTAGAGTGGTGGGGAGAGGGGAGACAGACGCAGAAGGGGCTACGGGCCTCCTCCCTTCCTCAGAGAGTACTCACCGCTGGCCGCCCAGGCCGGGACCGGTGGTCATCCCCCTTGGGCTTGTTCCCTGGTGGCAGGATCGGAGAGCTGTCCAATTTCAGGGGGGCTGGAGAAGCAGAGCGGGAGAGGCGTCAGAGAGACCCCAAAGGGCACAGACATTGTGAAACACCCCCCTTCAACGGAACAAGTGGGGCTTAGGCAGGAGCGGGGAACCGAAACTGGTCAGCGGGCTGGATCTATAAGCGGCCGACGCTCCACGGACTACTGCCCCCCACCTGCCAATCATCTGACACCAGGTGACGGAAACACCAAGCCCTGATCGCGAAGGAGAGCATTCAGAGGGCACCGTTTCAGAACTTCTCTGTTGGGTGGGTGGCTTGCTACCTATGTCAGTGAAAGGAGAGGGTCCCGGGTTCAATCCTGCCGGCCTCTCCAGGTACGGCTGGGAGATATTCCTGTGGGGTTGGGCTAGATGACCGGTGGGTCCCTTCCAACCCTACAACTCCACAATTTCCTGCCTGAAACCCTAGTGAGCCGCTGCTTGCTGGTCAGATGGACAAAGCGTCTGCGGCTGCTGGGAATGTGCCCTCGCCAGACGCCTGGGGGAACCGCTGTTGCCTGCCATTGCGGACAACGCCGTAGGAGGCAGCTTCCTGCGATGCCAAGGAGCAAAGCCCAGGGAACTGGGCGCCCCCTCCCTGTAGTGATCAGGTGGGATTGCTATGAGGAATTATGAAAAATGAAGCAAGCCATTGTGTCAGCAGTGAAAGCACTGCGCTGACTGGGTTTGATTCATTGACAATAATTCCTGATCAAATCCCACAAGCCTCTGCATCTCTGACCCATTTTCTCTACTGGTCATTTCCTTTCTCTGCCTGACAGGCATTTATCAGCATTCTAAACACAGGCCAGTTGTCCACCCGGCATCCTGGACCATAAAAATAGTAGGTGGCTACTCTGATGTACCTTTCTTTGGTTTTGTTAATCTTAGGGCCAGGAAATAGTTTCACATAGGAGGTGATAAAGATACTTATTTTTCCTTGCCATCCTTCCTTCCTTTCCTGCCTGTTTATGACCTCTGGGGTTTTGCTGAATGCATTCCTCCTTGTTTCCTATTTTATTTACTCTGAACTATATATGCATGCTCAGAGTAGTCTTTGTAGTTAACAGGATTTCTTCTGATCTGACTTTGTCCCACGTGGGTTTTTTTTTGAAATGCTCAGAGGAAATCTGATTGGTTCTTACAAACACTGTGTAAAAAGTTCTTTTGTGAATAAAACGACCTGGGCTGAGGGGTGGAGAGGGATTATTATTATCAAGCCTCGTGTGTATTTTATTAATCAGGGTCCAATCCTTCCTTGCTTTTGGAATGCAACACCTCCCCCCCCCAGGTCACCCCAGATCCGGCCACCCCCTCACCTCCTATGCGGTTGCGCTCCAGAGAGCCAGCCTGGGGCAGGTTTCCCGTGCCGGACTGCAGCAGACTGTCCGCCCTCTCCCAGCCTGGGTCGCTCCTCCGGAGGTCGGGATTGCTGCGGGGGAAAGAGGGCGCCCCTCTGAGTTTAGGCCACCTTCCCAGCCCCCGAACTCACTCCACGCGCCCCTCGTTCCGCAATGCTTTGTCCCACCACCAGCAGCAGCATCACCAGAAGAGAACCCGTCACCGCGCAGAGAGAGAGCGCACCGCAGAGGAAGCCCCGCTCAGCCAGCAAGCCTGCTCCGTCATTACCTACTGGCGTTTGGCACGGGGGCCAGAGGGTCCCGGGGCGGGGTCCGGCGGGCGGGCTGCGGGGGGGCAGGAGGAGGAGGGGCTGGCGAAGGGCCCCCCCACCGGGGGCCCCTCTCCAGCCGGCTCTGCATGTGGATGTGCCAGGCGGACTTGCTACGGGGCCTGCGGAGGGGAGGAGCACACAAGCATGTCAAGGGGGCAGGGGGGCTGCGCTGCTGCCCCCCCCAGGAGTCGGGGGGGAGGATCAGAGGTGCCTACAGCCCTGCAGTGTGGGATGGGGAGGCCAGTGCGAAGTCTGCTCTGGCCCCAGGGCAGCCGTGGGTCGGGGGAGTCTTGGCTACCCCCCAAAGAAGAGTTCGGGATACTCTGGATCCATCGCTTGCAGGACGTGGAGGGCTTCGGTTTGGGGGGGCGGGGAGAGACAGCTGGCCCCCAAGGTACCGTTATTTTGCTATGACTTGTTGGCCTCGCTTGTCTTTTTTTGTGCATAAAGGAAATTCAAAAGGGCTTTACACAAAACTGCAAACCTAAATAAAGCCAAAACAATACAAGAAAAACTAAAACCATGGATGTGCACAAAAAGCAGCCTAATGAATCCCGCTTGCACTACGGAACTCCCTGCCTATTGACACCAGGCAGAAAAGAATCTGCACGGGACTCTTTTCAGCGCCTGCAAAACACGTTTTTGGTTAGGCAAAGCCTGTCCAGCTATTTAGAGTGACATAACGGCTCAGAATGTTTTAATCCATTTCTTGTAGTTTATTGCCGATTCCATCTTTCCAATGTTTCAAAGAGCTGCTTTCACCGATAATTTCATCGTTTTATGTTCTTTTGTAGATCACTTTGAGGTGTGTGTGTATTTAATCAAGAGGTGTATAATTTTTACAAAACAAGTTAATAAATGAGAGAGTGCCTCAAACTCTCCCAGAAATGTTTCTGCCTGGAAGTTGCCAGCGATGGCGCCAGGCTGGCATTCCCTGGCAAACTCTGTAGTCCAATCTTGGCACAAGGGTCCCACTATCAATGGGAAGCCCTGGTTCCTGGTCCCCCCAGACCCCTTGGCCCTCCCTCCCTGAGAGGACCCAGCTCCCCCCCAACTCTTGCAGCCTCTCCCCACAAGACGTGGCTCTCAGGATCGAGGCCCAGCAGGCAGCGCTGGACCCCCGGGTCACTTCAGGGTCCTCTTACCTGGCTCGGACCGCGTGGACTGGCCGGATGGCGCCGCCGCCACTCCCTGCTCCGCTGGTGTTGAGTGCTGTCGCGATGGAGGACGTTCGCTGGGGGACCTAGAAGGGTCGGAGGAGGAGGGGGAGAGAAAGCATGAGTGGGGTGGAGGGGGGCCCAGGGAAGCCACCTGTCTCCTCAACCGGGACAGAGAGATGGGGAGGGGCAACTTTAAGACCCTTTGGGGCTCAGGGCTTCTCTCTCTCTCTGATTCAACTTCCCATCAGGAAAAAGAGGCAAGCGGAGTGCTTTGCTGAGTGCTTTGCTCTGGGTGCTTTAGCTGAGATTCCTGTGGGTTGGACTAGATGACCCCTGGCAGTCCCTTCCAACTCTATTATTGCTGTGATTCAAAGGGCAGAAGCCAAGGGTCAGGGCTGACCCTTGCAGCAGCGTGTGGCATGAGGCGGCTGCAGTTTGCCACTCTTACCCGTCTCTCCCCGTAACCTGAGATCCCAGATGGGCTGGGACAGACAGGAGGAACGAGAGGCTGCCTCACTCTGCTAAGCAGAGCCACTCTGGCTCGCAGCCGTCCATAGGCGTCTCCTCCTCATCTCTTTGTCTAGACCTCTTTTTAAGCTTGGTGGCCGTCTCTGCCTCTTGTGGCAGGGAGTTCCACAGCTGGCCTACGCGCTTGGCTTAACTGATCTCCTTCCTTGCCTCTCAAGGCAGAAAGAGGCCTCAACTCGCATGCCCCCTGTGACTTTCGATCAAAAAACCCCCCGAGAGATGGGGTGGGTGTGTCGGGAGGGAGGGGTACAGGAGGGACCTTGGGGTGCATGCGCTGCTCAAATGATGCACACCACCCTCAGGGCCAGTCTCCTGCACATGCGGTCATTTCACAAAAAGACCAAGCTCACTTTGGGAGGGAGGTGGATCTGCGAAGTGAACCCCACAGCTCTTGGGAAAGCATTGATCACCCTTGGGCAGATCTTCCTGGTGGAATTCCTCTGCCTGGAATTTGGGGTTGGGCTAGACGCCCGTCCGAGTGTCCCTTCCGACTCTATAGCTCTCCCATGGGGATGGGGCAGTGCTGTTGCTGCAGTGCCTCCTGCCCTCTTCTCCCCCAGAGGACCCAGGGGCCCTAAGCTTTGCCACGACAACACTCCCCCCCCAGCACACCCCAAGCCCCCTGCCCCTCCGCCGTTACCTTGGGAGGGGCCTCGGGATCCATTCTGACCCAGGGTCCTCGCTGTTCAGCGGCAGTGGCGGGCCGGCTCGGCGGTGGGGCGGGCCCCTCCGAGGTGGGGTCGGAGTTCTGCCGGATCATGCCCGCCCTTGGTGGGGATGGGGCGGAGGAGGAGGAGGCGGAGGAGGCGGCGGAGGAGGAGGAGGAGTCATGGACGGGGAAAGCGGCCATGTTCTTGCTGGGCTGGTCCTGCAGCGACTGGGAGCGAGGGACGGGGGCTGCGTATGGCTTGAGGGGGACGCGGTGGGCGAGGTGGCTCTGCGGAAGGAGGCAGGGAGGGAGGGGGGGCAGAGGCTGAGAACGGGGAGGGGGGCCTAGCTGCTCCCCCACCAGGCCTGCCTCCTCTTCTGAAGCCGGCCATAGCACCGCCCGGATCAACTGCCTGCAGGCCCCTCTGCCCTCCCCAAGAGCCCAGGAGGTCTCATTCTTCCCCTCTCATTCATTCCTTGCCCTCAAAGCCCACCTCAGGGCGGCAGAGTGCCCGTGGTTCTCCTCCCCTTCCTCATTTCATCCCCTGAGAGGTAGGTCAGGCTGGGAGCCCAAGAGCACACTCCCACCCCGAGGCGGGATCTGAACCCAGGTCTCCAAGGTCCAAGTGGGACCCTCTAAACACCAGACCACAGGGCACCTCCCTCTTTTGAACAGGGTGTGTGTGTGTTGCTTGCTGGATTCCCATCCCCGTCGTAGACCAGTATGAAGTAAGCAGCGCATAAGCGCCACGCAAAACACTACCAAACCATTCTACGTTCTAAACCTTACATTAATAATCCAAAAATTGAGAGAATAAGGTACAAGATCTACTACAAAAGCCACCATCAGAAAACTCATTCAAATTGTGTCCCAAAGGAAGATCCAGCCTTTAAAGTTCCTTTAGCCAGGCTCCTGTAGATATCAACGAAGATAAGTTTGATCAAACGAAGTGTCAGCGAGTTGGACAGGGTGCCGGCGTTTGTCAACTTTAAAGACTGAATCTTCCTTTTGGACACAATTTGAATGAGTTTTCTGTTTGTGGCTTCTGGAGTAGATCTTGTCCCTTGCTCTCTCAATTTTTGGATTATTAATATAAGATTTAGAACATAGAATGGTTCGGTAGTGTTACTTCATCCTGGTCTACTACAAGAATTGGCAGCATAGGTTCATTTCTTCAGTACTTGGATTCCCATTCCCGGCAGGCCTGGGGATCCCCACGTGCCCCCTCTCTCCTCCCGTGTATCCTCAGGGCCTGGCCAAGAGGTGACCCACTGCTAATCCTCCCCCTGCCCCCGGGACAAAGAGGTCAAAGCACAGCCAATGAGGGGGGAGCAGGAGGAGCAGCAGCAGCAGCGGATGGCAATGAGCGGTGGGGTGACTGGCTGGTGTTTGTGCAAGTCCTCCTGTGCTCGCTTGGGGGGCGGGAGAGACCCTCACCTTGTGCTGCCCCTCCTGGGGCTCGACGGGGCGCTGCATAGGCGGGGTCTGCGAGGCCGGGGAGGAGTTGAGCGACACCGACTCGGAGCGGGACTGGGGGGCAGACTCTGGCCCAGGGCCCCCCAGTTTGGTCTTGGCCACCGGCGAGGCGGAGTTCTGCTTGTTCATGCGGGTCCGTTCTTCCACCTGGAATCACAGAACGGCAGGGTTGGGAGGCTCTCTCCCCCCAGGGTCATCTAGCCCAACCCCGCGCAATGCAGGAATCTTGCTCCTCGCCGTTTGAGTCGGTTGGTTCAGGCCCTGCCCTCTGGAGCAGCAAGAAACAAGCTTTCTCCACCTTCCAGGTGGGAGCCCTTTAGCTATTTGAAGATGGCCGCATCGTGGCAACATCTCAGTCTTCTCTTGAACAGACTAAACATGCCCGACGCCCTCAACCGTTCCTCACAAGGCTTGGCTTCCTGACCCTTCATCATCTTGGTTGCCCACCTCTCGTTTTTGTGGGATAACCAGCCTCACATAAGCAACATGCTTAAGTCTAATGAATGTGTGAAGGAGTTAATGCCATAGAGCAAGCTGCCCTGCCAGGCTTGGCTAGACCACTCCTCCTTACCTTGAGGAGGGTAATCAATCCTATGGTGCCCCTTCCGTCTACCTGAGGAGCTCACTGTGTAAAGAGGTCTGAGCTGGTTGCTCCAAGCTCAGACCTCATGGCTCTCGCAAGCCACTACTGTGTTCCTATGCCGATAGTTTAGGAACTTTCACCTCTGTAACTATGCCAAGTTTTACTGCCTGTGTTTTCTGGCTGACGTACGGAAAAGCACATGAACCTGACCTTTGGAGCGTTTGCAAGTAAACCATTTCTAACCTACTAAACATGTGGTCTTTTTCTATGCTAGGGGAAGAGAGGAACTTCCTTACAAACTCACAAAGCCGTATTTTAAAGGTTTAAAGGCTTTCCTTTGCTGCATGTGTTGTGATTTTAAATCTCTGTTGGGATTCGCGCACCAGACAGCGCTTGAGTCCATCTTGGATCCTGGCATCCAGGAATTCTCCTTTTACACGTCTATTTTCCCTTGCCAACCATCATGTCTGAAACTGTGGTGCCCAGAACTGGACAAGGGGCTTACCTCCCGGGCCCAGGTGGGCTTGTCGGCGGGGTTAGCGCTGCGGTTGTAGTGGTAGAGGGGCTTCTTCTCCTGCTGCTGCTGCTGTTGCTGCTGTTGCTTGTGGAGCTGCTGCTGCTGCTGGAGGGACTTCAGGTAGGCGTGTTCCTGCTGCAGCTGGCGCTGGAGCCGCTCCGACTGGCGCTGCTCCTCCAGCTGCTTGCGCTTGTACTCCTGGAAGGGAGGAGGGGAGCCGGTGAGGGCATGGGGGGGGGAGTCTGGCTCCCAGAGAAGGCCAAGAGGGCTGGATCAGGCCAAAAGGGGTCCCCATCTTTACCCAGCATTGTGTTCTCACAGGGGCCAAACAGACGCCCACTGTGGGGATCCCGCAAGCAGGATTCGAACACAAGATCACTCTCCTTTTGTGGATTCCAGAAGCCTCGCTGCCTCCAGCTGAGCAGAGCCCTCGTCCCCATAAGCCGCCTGCAAGCCAAATGGGCCGGCGCCTGCCCCCATCGGTGCCCTGTGCCCAGCTGAAGAAGGGCCTTGGGGGTTCCCCCTCGGAGTAGGGATTTTTGGAGGGGGCCCAGCAGGAACAGTAAGAAGCCCCCCCTCCTTTTCTTTACCAACAGCAGTGCTTGTTCCTGGAGGAGCTGCTGCTGCAGAATCTCCAGCTGCCTCTGTTCCTCCTCTAACTTGTGCCTGATATACTCCTGGACAGAGGGGAAAAGGCAGCGGACAGAGAAGGAGAAGGGAGGGAGAGAAAGAGAGACAGACAGAGAGAGAGAGAGAGAAAGAGAGGGCAACAGGTGAAGGAAGGAGGAGGGAAAGCGCACCCAGGCAGAACCGCCACCCAAAGAGCAGAGGAGGAGGCCTCCCACCACCTCGCAGAACCTGCCACCCCATGGAAGCTCAACAGACCCAAACACCTGGGAGCAGGGGCAGAATCTGGGCTTCCCTACAATTCTAGGATTCTAGGAGTCAGTGCCTCTCTTGGCCCCAAACACCCTCCCCTGCTTATCCTGCACCTTTTGCGGTTTGCCAGGGGAGGCGAAGGGTCAGGGAAAGTGCTCAATGTCCCGCTGATAAAACGGAAAATCTGCTTTATAGGGCACAGCTGCATCTCACGCAGCGGTTTGGTCCCAAGGGTTCTGCATATACACAACCTTATTGTATGGCCAAATTCTTGGAGGTGCCCCCATAGCTGGTGAGTGACTTGGAGAGGGAGACAGAGAGAGAGAATCCCCCGTACTTTCAGAGCCCATGTGGGGAGCAGTCCTTGCCCAGAGAGCAAAAAGAGCTTCGAAGCTCTCTGTCTCACTTGGGATCCCACTCATTGCGCGATTTCGACCAAGTGTGGTTGAAATCGAGCAACTTAAATGTGCGGCAGATGCCATCGTGCTGTATACAGTGCCTCAGTCCTGTATACCTGAAGGAGCGTCTCCACCCCCATCGTTCTGCCCGGACACTGAGGTCCAGTGCCGAGGGCCTTCTGGCGGTTCCCTCACTGCGAGAAGTGAGGTTACAGGGAACCAGGCAGAGGGCCTTCTCGGTAGTGGCGCCCGCCCTGTGGAACGCCCTCCCACCAGATGTCAAAGAGAAAAACAACTACTAGACTTTTAGAAGACATCTGAAGGCAGTCCTGTTTAGGGAAGCTTTTAAAGTTTAATAGGTTATTGTATTTTAATATTCTGTTGGAAGCCGCCCAGAGTGGCTGGAGAAACCCAGCCAGATGGGTGGGGTATAAATAATAAATTATTATTATTATGATTATTGTTATTATGATTATTATTATTATGAGTCAGACCCACTGGGGTCCAGGTTGCTCAGTGCGACCCACACTGACCGGCAGCAGGGGCTCTCCCCACATTTTCAGGCAGGGCAGCCTCTCCCAGCCCTACCTGGGGACGGAACCCCCAAACTGGTGCTCGACCCGGTGAGCTGTGATGGCGTTTTGCCCGGTTCTGCCCGCCTGGCCCAAGCCTGGGCTGCTGCTGCTTCCATCCCCCCTGCCTCCCCAAGGCCCCCTGACCTGCCCCACCTGCTCTCGCTCAGCCTGCCGGCGCTCCTCCTCCCGGCGCATGACCTGCATGTCCTCCAGGCGCCGCTGCTGCTCCTTCTCCTGCATCTTGCGCTGCTCCCGCTCTCGGCGCTGTTGCTGCGAGGGAAGAGGGGCGGGGAGACGTCAGAGGAGGGTCTTCCGAGTCCCAGAACGAGAAAGCAGGCAGGGCCAGGGGCCAGGAGGAATCGACTCGAGGGCCACCGCCTCAGTGGTCCCGGGGAAAACCATGCCCTGCCCCTCCACCTAAGTTCCAACTTTGCTTGGCGGAGGCTTCCCGGGATGGTGGAACAGCACATGTTGCCAAGAACAACTGGGATTTCTTCTGTTATATTTCCCCTTTTCTGCGAAGGCTCTGTACTACAACCTGCTGTTGTCATTGCTGATATTACTATTTTTTCTCTCCTTCTTTATATCTGTTTGTAACTGAAGCAATTTTTCTTTTTTCCCAGTCTCAGGTCCTCTGTGTGCTGAGCTGCCAAATGAGCTCAGTCCAAGCAGAGAAGCCCTTGCAAATCCTCAGCTCCTCTGCAAGTTGAGCTGCGTCAAACACTCTCTGACAAACCCCCCCCCCCCGCTTTGCTACCAAGCCGGATCACCCCTCTGCCGCTGCTAAGGTTGGATACTTCTGGATAGCGTTTCCTAAACATTTGACAGCAACGAGAAACGGAGCCTTTAGTGTCGTTAGCCCGGCCCTGTGGAACTCCCTGCCACTAGAGATCCAATGTCTAAACGCCTGCTGAAAACTTCTCTATTCTGCCGGGACGAGGTAGGCAATTAAGAAGACGTCCTTCCACAATGGTTAACCGAAGTCTGTTTTGAACTTTTAAAAATACGGTTCCGTGCATTTTTGTGGCAAACCGCTTCGATATCTTTAACGAAGCAGCGGTCTGCAAGTTTACTTTAGCGCAGCACCCGTCTGCCCATTTCACGTGCCCGGCTCACCTCCTCCACGCGCCGCCTCTCCTCCTTCTGCTCCTCGATGCGCCGCTGGCGCTGGTGCAGCAGGTGCTTGATGTGGGCCTCCGAGTCGCGGTGCTGGGCTGCCAGCTGCTGCTGCTGCTGCTTCAGGGCCTCCGAGTTGCTCTTGTTCTCCTGCTGCAGGCGGAGGAACTCCCGGCGCAGCGTCGACTCCCCGGGGACATTCATGATGGAGCTGGCGGGAGGGGAGGCGGGGCGGCCCGCTGGATCAGGCCGGCCAGGTGCCCGTCGGGAGAAACCAGCGAGCGGGACCCGAGTGCGAAAGCGGCTCTCCCCTACTGCGGTTTCCGGTGAGGGGGAGATTCAGGAGCACCGCTGCCTCCGAAAGGGGAGGACGGAGCAGAGCCCTTGTGGCGAAGAGCTCTGTTCCGCGTAGGAGGCCTGTCTTATGCAGAGTCAGACCCTTGGTCTATCTAGCTCTGTACTGCCTACACGGGCTGGCAGCTACGGCGCCCCAGGATTTCAGGCAGGAGGCTCTGCCAGCCCTACCTGGAGATACTGCCAGCGGGGACTGAACCAGGGACTTTCCGCTGGCAAGGCAGATGCTCTGCTACTGACGCCCTTTGTCACGCCAGAGCTCAGGCGTGGAGTGAGGGGCTTGCCAGGCCCACCCCCTGCCTCATACCACCTGCCAAACCCACCAGGAAACGGGTCCCAGACATCCGAAGGCAGCCCTCTTTAGGGAAGCTTCCAACGTTTAACAAATTATTGTATTTTAATATTCTGTTGGAAGCCGCCCAGAGTGGCTGGGGAAACCCAACCAGGTGGGCGGGGTATACATAAATAATAATAATAATAATTATCCCACACAGGGGAGCTAGTTGGGGGGCTCCTGTTCTGCCATGGGCCAGGCAGGGGGAGGCAAGTGCCAGCACACTCTCATCTCTGCCCTGCTTACCTGGGCTCCCCTTCCTCGCCGCGCCCGTCTTCCTCCTCCTCGCTGCCACTGTACTCGTACTCCGTCTCGTCTGCCGGAAGAGGCAACACAGGCAAAAATCAGCGGAGTACGCGGGGCGGTTAAGCCCCTCGACGTCTCCCCTACCTCTGCCCCACAGAATGGTAGGGTTGGAAGGGACCCCCAGGGGTCTTCTAGCCTAACCCCGTGCTGCAGTGCGGGAGTCATGGCCACTGTCTCCCTCCTGGCCTCCCCCTCTGCCCTCCACCCCACGCACCTTTCTCCCCCCTCTTCTTTCGGGTGCGGTCGATGTGGTCCTTGAGCTGGATGCGGACCTGCCGCTCCGTGGGCTGGTCCCGGACGAAGGGGAACTTGAGGAGCTGCTCCGTCGGGGGGCGGCTGGTGTAGGCCTTGATCAGGCAGTTGTCAATGAAGTCGATGAACTTCTTGGACCTGCGAAGGGGGGCCAAGGCAGTGGGTCTCAGTCTCCCCACACGAGCTCAGGCGAGCCAAGGGTCAGGCAAGATGCCTCCGAGCTCACTGTGCCTCCCCCGTCCCAGCCTGCCGGGAGGAAAGCAAAATCGGCTCCCATTTGCTCCTTGGGGAGGACCAGCCCCAAAGCCCAGAAGTGCCCGGGATACAATCCCTGCCCTCTGGGGGCCAAGACCCGAGTACCCTCCCCCCTTGATCATTCTGCTGCACTCGGTTGAGATGCCAAGCCAGCAGAGAGCACAAGCAGCACAGCCCATGAGCCGTTAACGCCAGGCGGGCCAGCGCCCAGTTCTGCGCTCTTCTTCCTGGGCGGGGGCAGCAGCAAACCTACCACTTCTTGGATTTCAACTTGGGCGGCGGGTTGCGAGGGATGAGGAAGAGGGCCCTCATGGGGTGCATGTCGCACAGGGCTGTCAAGAGGAGGGAGAGAGAGGGAGAGGGAGAGGTGAGAAGCAGAATCAGCCCTCCTCGCCCACCACGGCTCACGCCGTTTTATTCCATTGCATTTGTTTGTTTTCTAATTCTTATTATGCCCTTTCAACATATAACAACATCATACAGGTGAGCAATGAAGCGTCCCACCCTAACCAAAAAGCTGGTGTTTAGGGCAAGGCATGAAAAATAACAACCAAGTAACTTTTTATCCCAGGCTACTATTTGTAAAAGAGACAACAAAACAGTTTATTTTAACCGGAATGTTTTCTAGCGTGAGCTGAGTCCTCTCTTTTCATTTTTTTTCAGCCAGGTTCATAATAAAGCCGGGCCATTCGATTACATAGAAGTCTTTGCGCTTTTGGCTGACTAACATCCTATATCCTTCTAATTGTTTTTGCATGAGGGTTTTTTGTTTTGTTCTTATTACGTATTTTGTGTTTTTATCTTGTATTTTTAGGCCCTGGGATCTGCGGATCAAGGGCGGTATACAAATACAATACATAAAATAACAGTAATAATAATACAGTGGTACCTCGGGTTAAGTACTTACAGTGGTGCCTCGCAAGACGAAATTAATCCGTTCCGCAAGAGTCTTCGTCTAGCGGTTTTTTCGTCTTGCGAAGCAAGCCCATTGACGGATTAGCGCTATTAGCGCTATCAGCTGTTTAGCGGCTATTAAAGGCTTAAAGGCTTAGGGATTAGCTGCTAAAAGGCTATTAAAGGCTATTAAAGGCTTAGCAGATTAGATAAAGGGGGAAAGCGAAAAAAATCTCTAGACTCGCAAGGTATTTTCGTCTTGCGAAGCAAGCCCATAGGGGAATTCGTCCTGCGAAGCAACTTCAAAACGGAAAACCCTTTCGTCTAGCGGTTTTTCCGTCTTGCGAGGCATTCGTCTTGCGGGGCACCACTGTAATTCGTTCCAGAGGTCCATTCTTAACCTGAAACTGTTCTTAACCTGAAGCACCACTTTAGCTAATGGGGCCTCCTGCTGCTGCCGTGCCGCCGGAGCACGATTTCTGTTCTCATCCTGAAGCAAAGTTCTTAACCTGAAGCACTATTTCTGGGTTAGTGGAGTCTGTAACCTGAAGCGTATGTAATCCAAGGTACCACTGTACTATTAATTTATCAGCCGACTTTTCCACAAGTGCCGTTTGTGTTGTACCAATTCGTGAGATAAGCCTCCAAGTTCTTCCAGGGTCTCCTTGCTATGAACCCGCCTGCCAGCAGGAGAAGACTGTTAACTGGAGGATGAAGCTGCAAGTTAGCATCATCTCCCATTTGGAGATGTTTCACCCTCACAGAACTTTCCCACATCTCTGGCATGTGTGTGGATTAGAGCCTGTTAAGGCAAAGGAGGACCCCTCAGTCCCCAAAGACCCCACGGAATCCAGGCCTTCCTTTTCTGGAGAAGCCCAGGGAGTTGGATGCCCAGCCCCACGCGGCGACAGCCTTCCTCAAGGAGCCAGGATCCCTGGGCCTGAGGGAGCCACAGGATGCCACTTGCTGCCCTGCCCCGGCCCCGGGTTCAAGACCAGACAATCCCTGCCTCAAGCCACAACCATGCCTCTCCCTCTCTCCACCCCGCTTTGCCGCACAGACACTCACGAGTCCTATGGGGATATACGCTCGGTATTTATTACCCCTGCTATGCAGAAATCTCCAAATGAATCTGAACTTCAATGTCTAAAATCCCTGGTAGAGGACAAGGATCCTGAGATCACGTTAAGGGTGGCCAAATTCTGTGCGATTGCCATAAAACTTAGGGAACAAGCTGTGCTATCATAAGGATTAAGGTTTTAAATGTTAATTTTAGGTTGTATGTTAGTAACTAAGTTTTAATTTATATATTTTTTAACTGTTGCTGTATCTGCATTGTCCCCGTTATACCTAATTGCAAATTCAAATGTATCCCTATCGCATTTTATGACTTCCTTGATATTGTATGTGGGCTGGAACTGGTCTGTGACCGAAGTAATAAATTCAAGATACTCACGTGGCGCTCCCTCGGCCATCTCGATGGCGGTGATCCCCAGGGACCAGATGTCACTCTGCGGGGAGGAAGCGGAGAAAGGTTGTCGCAAAGGCAGGCGCCTCGTCCTTCCCTGTCGTTCTGCCCTGGTCCTCTTCCTTGCTCCTTCTCACCCCTTCCTTGCCTGGGGAGGAGCAGCAGCAAGCCTTTCCTCTGCTCCTTGCCTCCCCAAATCCTCCTGCTCCTGCCTCACCATACGGCAGTCTCTAGGAATTGCAGGAGGGGGGAGAGGCTGCTCCTGTGTTTGGGGTGCTGCCTGTGGGGTTTTGCCCCCTGGGGGGGCACCTGATGGGCCACTAGGAGGGTGGGCTGTGCTGGACTGGATGGGACCCCTGGGGCACCCCTGGTCCAGCTGCGGCAGGATTCTGCTTGTGCTGAATCAGGCCAGCATCACATCTAGTCCAGCATCCTGTTCTCACAGGGGTTGACCGGATGCCTCAATGGGAAACGCGAAAGCAGGGAAATGATTGAAGAACAGATGTAAATGCGAGTAAGACAACTAAGAGACGTGTGGTGATTGCGATGGAAGTCTTTTATAATATTTTAACTAAGATTTACATATTGCAGTATTTGAAGCAAGCATTTAGTAATATTCCAGGTTATGAAAAGTACTGTATTTTTTGCTCCATAAGACGCAGCTAGTTTTTAGAGGGGGGATGCAAGAAAAAAATTATTCTTTAAAGGGAGCGCTGAGCAGAGCCTGGGATGCATCTCAGCGCTCCCTTTCATGAGCTGCATGGAGCGTGTGCGTGGCGCTTGCAGTCATTGACGGGCTGCCCTTCTCCCTCCTTGGGGAAAAGCCCCCAAGAGCTGCACACACGCTCCTCGCGGCTCGTGAATGGGAGTGCAGCTCTTGCGGGCTTCTCCGGGAGGTGGGGGAAGGGACAGAGCGTGGCTAAGCCAGAAGCTAGAACAGCAAGCGGGAGTGTAGCGATCCCGCTCGCTGTTCTGGCTTCTGGGATAGCTGTGCAGCCTCTTCAGGGCAGCAGGATGAAGGCTCCCCGCTGCCCTGAAGAGGTTGCGCCTGGCTAAGCCAGCAGCTAGAACAGCGAGAGGGAGCGCTGCGCATTGATCCCTCTCGCTGTTCTGGCTTCTGGGATAGCTGCGCAGCCTGCATTTGCTCCATAAGATGCACACACATTTCCCCTTACTTTTTAGGAGGGAAAAGTGCGTCTTATAGAGTGAAAAATACGGTATTTTTTTTCTTTCCTTTTGTCTTTTTTCTTTACATCTTTTATTTTTCCTTTTCTTTCTTTTTATTTTGATTAGTTTCCATTTTGGAAAATATGTATACTGTATAAGCATGCTTACAGTGTTATGTATTGTTCTTTGTTTAATTTCTAATTTTTTTGGGGGGGGGGGGATTTAATAAATAAATAATTTAAAACGAAAGCAGGATGCAAGTACAGGAGCAACGCTCTCCCCTCCTGGGGTTCCTGGCCACTGGGATTCAGAAACATGGCTGCCTCTGACTCTGGAGGCAGAACAGAGTCACCGACAGGCCTCTCCTCCTCCATGCCTTTGTCTAAGCTTCTTTCAAAGCCACCCGGGATGGCGGGTGTCACGGTTCCTTGCCGGAGGGAATCCCATAGTTTAAAGACACACTGCATGGAAAAGTCATTAATCTATCCTGAATCTTCCAACCTTCAGCATCATTGGAGGCCCATAAGTTCCGGCGGTACGCAAGAGGGAGGAAAACTTCCCCCCTATCCACTTTTTCTATCGTTTTGCAAACTTCTGCCATGTGGCCTCTCGCCCACTTTCCCCCTGAAAAGTCCCAAAGGTTGCCATCTTTCCTCCCAGGGCAGCAGCCTCTGCACTTGGGTTGCCACAGTGAGGACAGACTGGGCTAGGCTGGGTGGACTGCCTGGAGCCGGAGACAGGGCTCCGCTTATCCTCTTGCACCCGACTGCGTCCCTTGAACATCTTCCCTGCTCCTGCCGGGGGGGGGGGGGGAGGAAAGAAGGCACTCCGAGCTTTGGGGAGGCGGCACCTACCCTGTAGTCGTATGTGGCGTCCGGGTTCTCGTCGCAGGCAATCACCTCTGGCGCCATCCAGTAAGGGGTGCCGATGAACGTGTTCCGACGCCCCACCGTGCGGTCCAGCTGGGCGCTGACCCCAAAGTCAACTGCCGGAGGGGGAAGAGAGCAGGAGAGTTGGCTGGTTGCAAAGGCTGCCTGGCTCCCGGGGAGGGGGCACGTCACAGACACGGGCCGGATCCACAGGGGGGAGGGCATGCAAAAGCTGTACATTTCCCAGCACAATTCAAAGTGTTGGTGCTGACCTTGAAAGCCCTAAACAGCCGCAAAGGACCAGGATACCTGAAGGAGCCTCTCCACCCCCATCGTTCTGCCCGGACACTGAGGTCCAGCTCCGAGGGCCTCCTGGCGGTTCCCTCGCTGCGAGAAGCCAAGTTACAGGGAACCAGGCAGAGGGCCTTCTCGGTGGTGGTGCCTGCCCTGTGGAATGCCCTCCCACCAGATGTCAAGGAAATAAACAACTGACTTTTAGAAGACATCTGAAGGCAGCCCTGTCTAGGGAAGCTTTTAATGTTTTGTCATGTTTTTAATATTCTGGTGGGAGCCCCCAGAGTGGCTGGGGAAACCCAGCCAGATGGGCAGGGTATAAATAATAATAATAATTATTATTATTACTACTACTACTACCATTATTATTATTCCCACAGAGGCATGAAAGGCACTCGGACCAGATGGAGATTCATTATTTGTACATTTTAATACCACCTTTATCTTCCAAGGAGCTCAAGGTGGGGTAAGTGGTTCTCCTCCTCCCCTTTTCGTCCTCACAGCAACCCTGTGAGGTAGGCGAGGCTGAGAGGCAGCAACTGACTCCAAGGTCACCCAGTGAGCTTCATGGCTGAGTGCGGATCCGAACCCGGTCTCCCGGGACGTAGTCCAACACGCTCTTGCCATGAGAACAAAGAGTTCCTTTGCCACGGCTGCTCTGGGCGAGTGACAGCTGGCACTGCTCTGAGGCACAGCTCAGGCTGCCTTGAGAAAAAGGTGGGGTATAAAGGCAGGGAAAGAAATAAATGCAGACAGGGACTGAAGGAATGAATGTGGGTAGGGGTGTGTGTGTTGTGTATCTTCCCTTCACCTACCTAACTTCACCTCCGCGTTCTCAGTGAGGAGGACGTTCTGGCCCTTGATGTCTCGGTGGATGACCTTGTGTGCATGGAGGTGGGCCAGCCCCTGCAGGGAGAGAGAAGACAGGCGTGAGGGGGGGGGTCCCCGGTGCCCCAGCCAGGACACAGCTTCTGTAGCACACACACACACACGGCTGCCCAAAGGCTGCCCCCCCCTCCAGCAGATCCTCTTTTCTGCCCACCCACCCTGAGGATCTCCCGGCAGATGTAGGCGATGCAGTCCTCCTTCAGGGCGTTGCCTTTGGTGTTCTTCACCAGGTCTGTCACGGAGCCTGCGCCACAAAACTCCATCACCAGCTGCAGGGAGACAAAAGACCAGAGCAGTTGTGGGGGGGGGGGACAGGGAAAGAGAAGCTCTGAAGCCTTCCAGGCAGGGGCAGGCAAAGGGGGAACACCCTATGCCATCCCACCTCTCTCTTTTTTTTTTTAAATGATATTTATTAAAAGTTTAAGAATTACAGAAAAAAGAGAAAAAGAAAACAACAAAAAATTTGACAAAACATACATTACAATACATAAAAGGAAAAGCATAAAAACAATACCACAATACAGCAAAAAAACACACCAAAAAAACCACAATAACATTAAAACACACATCCAATGTTCCATATCTTTATTTTTCATTTACTTGTTTCATCGACCTCCTCACACCTCCCTTTCTGCATTCTAATTTAATTAATTGTTTCAGCAAATCCTTTCCATCTTTCACTATATTCTGTCATTCAATTTACCTTAATTTATTTATCCTTATCTTACCATAAAAAAAACCTTAAACCTTAAAACTTAATACTTATTTGTACATAACTCCTTATATCATTTCTACTAAAGCCAAATAGTTTCATTCCAACATTTTTCCTAATACTCATTAATTTTACACTAATTCTCAAAATAATTTTTTTTAAAAAACTTTCTTCCAATCTTCATCCAACGTCTCTTCTTCCTGGTCTCGGGTATTGTCAGTCCTTCTTGTCCATTCCATCTAGTCCATCAACCTGGTGATCTTATGTCCAAGGCTCTTAAGTCTTTTCCATGTCCCTTCTGCAGATCTTCTTCTTGTTTATACCTGCACTTTACTTTGTCTTTTATTGATCTTTTTCTTAATTTCTTTCCTTTCTCATTGGGGGGTAGGTCTCGGGAGGACTCCAATCCAAAAATATCTCCATCTCCCCTCAGCAGATCAGCCCATTCCCCACAGTCCCATTCCCCATAGTCAACATTGTAATCCAGGAAATATTTAAAAGCATGTTTCAAAGTCCTTCCAAAATTAAGAGCCCTCACAACTCCAGACCCCCCCTGGTCCACTCCAGATTCAAACTTCAAGAACAGCGGCTTATGCTCCTGCAAGGCCTCGGATCTCTCCATTTGTGTTACTTGAGGTTCAACAGCAACCTCCTCCATTTTCTTCTGCACTTGCGCTTGCCCTGTCAAAACAAGTTCCTGGGCTGACGCACCAGGAATTGCTATCTGTCCTTGAGCTAAAGGAGAAACAGACCAATTTAAGGATCAGAGCAGTACCTGAGATTGAGAAAGAGAGCCTGGTAGACTTTTTGACACAAGAATTTGCCAATTTTTGGCAATTGAACGATAAGGAAGATTTCAAGATAACGTCTGCTTTCAGGCTTGGAAGAGGAGCAAGAAAGAACAGAGTGAGAGACTGCCTGATTACCTTGCGATCTAAGGAGGAACGAGATAAAATTTTGAGTTTACACTACCGAAATACACTGATAATACAAGACTCAAGGATAGAAATATTTAAAGACATTCCAAAGCTCCTTTTGGAGCTTAGGTCCAACTATCGGGACCTGGTGACGCTGCTGAGAGGAAACAGAATTTTTCAGGTGGGAATTCCCTCAAGGCCTATCTTTCAGTTTTAAAGGCAAGAAAATTAAAATAAAATCTGTGGAGGAGAAACAGAACTTTTGAGAGACTATCAAGAGGACCTACAAAAGGATTGGGGGAGGAGCCAAAAGCCCCTTTACCAGGATTGGATCTTACACTACCACCGTTGGGAGAGGATAAGACAGAGAAGGCGAAACCACCAACAGAGGAAGAAGAGTTATTGGGAGCAGTTGGAGGAAAATAAAGAAATCATCATGGCTCTGCAACTTTTAACTTGGAATGTTTGTGGTCTAAACTCTCCGGAAAAAGGAGGAAAGTATTTCATATACTTAAAAAAGAACAATTGGACTTAATCTGCCTACAGGAAACCCATGTGACGAGGCTCCATAGGAAAATATTGATTAATAAGAGATTGGGTCAAGAATTTATTTCATCAGATAAAGTTAAAAAACGAGGAGTGGTTATTTACGCAAAGGAGAGCCTCTCACCAAAATTCGTCTTTAAGGATGAACAAGGAAGATTCATAGCAATTGAAATTCAAGCACAAGGAGAAAAATTGTTGATAGTAGGCTTATATGCACCAAATGAGGGGAAATCTATATTTTACAAAAAGTTGCATGAGATCTTGATGGACTATATGGACTATAACACTGTTTTTATGGGAGATATGAATGGGGTGGTTTCCACAAATATGGACAAGTCACAAAGAGAGGTAGTCACTAAAGATGGCAGACTACCGAAAACATTCTTTGAATTAACTGACAATATGGATTTGATTGACATTTGGAGAACTAGGAATCCCCTTGATAGAGAAGGAACCTTTTTTTCTGAAGCCCAAAAGACATGGACAAGAATTGACCAAATCTGGACTACTAGAGGACTGGCACCTAAGGTTAGGAAGGTAGAGATCTGTCCAAAAACATGCTCCGACCATAACGCCGTGAGAATGGAGATGAAGTTAACATCTACTGGTTCCTTCCGATGGAGGATGAATGACACCTTGTTTAGAGATCAAGAGGTGATTAAGAAGGCCCAAAAGACATTGAGAGACTATTTTGAGATAAACTTGAATACAGCTGTAGAAAAAAGAATAATCTGGGATGCAAGTAAAGCTGTTATGAGGGGCTTCCTGATTCAACAGAATTCAGTTAAGAAGAGGGCCCAAAATGTAAAGAAAGAAAAAATTTTGGAAAAAATAAAGGAGGGCGAGAAGAAACTGAGAGTGAAGCCCAATTCACAAGAGATTCTGAGGGAAATAAAATTGTACCAAGTGCAGTATATGAAATTGATAAATCAAGAAGTGGAATGGAAAATTAAACAAATGAGACAAAAGACTTTTGAATCGGCAAATAAATGTGGGAAACTGCTGGCTTGGCAGTTGAAGAAACGACAAAAACTTAATACTATTACTAATTTGGAAGTGGAAGGGAAAAATATCCAGAATCCAGAAGAAATTAGGAAATGCTTCCAGAGATATTTTAAACAATTATACACACAAGGGCCTCAGAAAGAATTTGAAATAGAGCAATTTCTGAAAACCAATGGATTACAAAAATCTCTCAGGATAACAAGATATTGCTGAATTATAAAATTACAGAACAGGAGGTTGAAGGTGCCATTCAGAATATGCAGTTGGGAAAATCTCCAGGACCGGACGGTTTAACCTCAAAATATTACAGAACTTTGAAAGACTGGCTAATTCGACCATTAACTGAGGTTTGCAATGAAATTTTAGAGGGGAAAAGAGCGCCAGAGTCGTGGAAGGACGCATTTATTACACTTATACCAAAGTCTGAGACTGAAAAGACACAGCTTAAGAACTATCGGCCCATATCCCTGTTAAATGTGGATTACAAAATTTTTGCTGACATTTTAGCAAAAAGGCTTAAAAAGTGCTAAAAGGAGTGATTCATAAGGACCAAGCTGGCTTTCTTCCAGATAGACATCTTTCGGACAATACAAGGAATATAATTGATATTCTGGAGAAGCTGCAAGAGGAGATTAATACTAAAGCAGTTTTGATTTTTGTGGACGCAGAGAAAGCCTTTGATAATATTTCTTGGAGCTTTATGAAGAAAAATCTCCAGGGGATGGGGGTAGGCCAAGAGTTTGAAAATGGTATAAATGCAATTTATTCAGAACAAAAAGCTAAATTAATAGTTAATAATGTGATAACAGAGGAAATTAAGATAGAGAAAGGGACACGACAAGGCTGCCCAATTTCCCCATTACTTTTTATTTCTGTTCTGGAGGTTTTGTTAAATATGATAAGAAGGGACCATTTGATTAAGGGTATAACGGTCGGAGCGAAACAATACAAACTGAAAGCATTTGCAGATGACCTTGTATTGACATTACAGGAGCCAGAATCTAGTACGAAAAGAGCATTAGAACTGATTCAAGAGTTTGGTCAGGTGGCAGGTTTTAAGCTGAATAAGTTTAAAACTAAAGTACTTGAGAAGAATTTAACACCGATTGAAATAGAGGGGTTTCAGAATGAGACAGGTTTAACAGTGGTTAAAAAAGTGAAATACTTGGGGATTCATATGACAGCTAAAAATGGGAATTTATTTAAAGACAATTATGAAAAGTGTTGGTCGGACATTAAAAAGGATTTAGAAATATGGACAAATTTGAAGCTTTCCTTGTTAGGTCGAATTGCTGTCATCAAGATGAATGTATTGCCAAGAATGCTGTTTTTGTTTCAATCGATACAAATAATAGACAAAATGGATTGTTTTAAGAAGTGGCAGAGAGATATCTCTAAGTTTGTCTGGCAGGGCAAGAGGCCCAGGATAAAATTTAAAATATTGACTGATGCTAAAGAAAGAGGGGATTTGCCCTGCCAGACTTTAAACTTTATTATGAATCAGCAGCTTTCTGCTGGTTGAAGGATTGGTTACTTCTGGAAAATACTGATGTTTTGGACTTAGAAGGTTTCAATAATGTGTTTGGGTGGCATGCATATTTGTGGTATGACAAGGTTAAAGCTCACAAAATATTTAAAAACCATATTGTCAGGAAAGCATTGTTCAATGTCTGGATAAGATATAAAGACTTATTGGAGAATAAAACCCCAAGGTGGCTATCACCAATGGAGGCAAAGGCCCTGAAAAAGTCCAATATGGAGGCCAAGTGGCCAAAATATTGGGAGATCTTGGAACAAGAAGGAGATAAATTCAAATTGCAGAGTTTTGAAAAACTAAAAGATAGAGTGCGAGACTGGTTGCATTATTACCAAATAAGAGAGGTCTATAATTTGGATAGAAAAATTGGCTTCCAGGTGGAAAAATCAAAGTTGGAAACAGAACTGTTAGATCCCAAAACTAAAACACTTTCAAGAATGTATAACTTGCTGCTAAAATGGAATACTCAGGATGAAACGGTAAAATCTGCTATGATTAAATGGGCACAGGATGTTGGACATAACATTATGTTTGCTGACTGGGAACGGTTATGGACCACAGGTACGAAGTTTACAGCATGTAATGCTTTAAAAGAGAATATAATGAAAATGGTGTACAGGTGGTACATGACCCCAGTCAAGCTTGCAAAAATCTACCATTTGCCCGATAATAAATGTTGGAAATGTAATGAAACTGAAGGTACATTCTTTCACCTTTGGTGGACGTGCCCAAAGATTAAGGCCTTCTGGGAAAGGATATATAATGAGTTGAAAAAGGTATTTAAGTATACCTTCTTAAAGAAACCAGAGGCCTTTCTCCTGGGCATTGTTGGCCAATTGGTGCCAAAGAAAGATAGAACTTTCTTTATGTATGCAACAGCAGCAGCAAGGATACTTATCGCAAAGTATTGGAAGACACAAGACTTACCCACTCTGGAAGAATGGCAGATGAAGGTAATCGATTATATGGAATTGGCGGAAATGACTGGCAGAATCCGTGACCAGGGAGAAGAGTCGGTGGAAGAAGATTGGAAGAAATTTAAAGACTATCTACAGAAATACTATAAAATTAATGAATGTTAAATTGAGGTCTGATTGAAAATAATTGGTATTGGCAAAAGCCTCGCGTTTAAGAGTATGGAATATTTGATTGATAAGGTTGTAAAAATATCTATATATAAATAGATTAAGTTTCTTGAGTTAAGATAAAGGAAGGAGGGTAAGGATTTGCTGAAAGGAGTTTCTAAAAGGAAATACAAGTGGGGAGGTGCGGGGAAGTCAAAGAACCAAGGAAAGATAAGAAGGTTAAATGAAAGTATAAACTTTTAAATTTTTCTGTTTTGCTTTTTATGGTTACTGTTATTTTTTGTTTTCCTTTTGTCACCCATTATTGTTGTTTTTTGTCTTTGAAATCCTGTATTTTTGTATGTTTTGGAATTTTTGTAAAACCAATAAATATTATATATATAAAAAAAAAAAGTTCCTGGGCTGGTTCCTGAATGGTTTCTATATGAGTATTCGCCGTTTGTCCAAAGTTTTTAACTGCAACAGTCATCAAATCCATCTTCTCATGCATCTGCTCCAGCAAAGCACTTGTCTTGCAAAAATCAAGCACCAAAGCTTCTTCTAAACACATTTTTATTCAAGGTCAGAGTCTGGTCTCACGATCCTATTCTTACAGCTGTGAAATCCCCAGATCGACTCCAGCAACAAATTAACAAGCTCCCTCTAGAGGAGACAATTTCTATTTGTATCCATCTTTTGAAAGCAGGACCAACAAAAGGAAATTACTTTCATTTTTCAAATATTTTGTTTCTTTTGAATGCAAAAGGCAACATTGGAGTCAATTTGTTTCTCTTTTTTAACTATCTGTCAAAAGACATTCCATTCACAGTCGATGAACTTCCCCATAAATTTCTGTCTCTGACCCCCCGTTCCCAGGTTTGAGACGGTGGAAATTTATCTTTCTTTACTCTCTCTCCTGCAGGCTTAAACAGTCAAAAATTCCCCCCCTTTTCTCCTGCTTCCAAGAGGGGTTTTGGTGGTGGTGAATGAAGGAAATTTAGACCTTTATATACGACTTTCCAGACTTTAGCTTACAAAGTTTTTGCTTCAATCTATTTACAAAAATGGGAGACAGACTTCCTGTTTAGAGCCTTTCCGCTTCAGTGCCAAATTAAAATGTTTCTTAATCCAATTTTCCATTCTACTCACGGGTACTTGTTTAGAGTCCAATTGTCCACAGGAAAAAGTCAGCGCTCTCCGACAACGGCTGTGCGGCTTCACTCCGTAAAAGTAGCAGTTGATTCAAAACACCGCGCCACTCACCCCACGTCACTTTGGATCCCCGAAAAAGGGTTTCCCTGCGAGTAGGGGAGGCGCTCCTGGTGTCAGCCGAATCCCACGTTCCCAGGCTTCCTCCGCCTGGGATTTTTAGAGGGTCTCCGCCTTCGCCGCGGCGGCAAGACCCGATTTTCACGGAGCGGGTTCCTCTCGGTCAGAGGAACTCCGCCACTGCCGATGGCGGTAACCCGGAAGTCGCCATCCCACCTCTCCCCACCCCAAGATCTCCCTTGACCAACATCCCAAAGACCCCACTTGAGCTCTTTGGTCTGCAGAACTGGCCCTGTCGCAGGGTGTGACACAATCCCTGTTCCGCTTTTGCAAGAACTTGATATTTTAGCGCGGCAGCATCCACAGACTTCGCCTCTTGATAACAGGAAGGCTCCTTCGCTGTACCCAAAACATCCTGGTTTAGACAAGCCTGCCCAAACATTCAGAAAGCCAGCATGGGCTTCAGTCTGTTTTTGGCCTATTGCTAATTTTAACTTTTCAAAAGCCTTAAATGATTGCTATTACTGTAATTGTTTAGTGAAAATTTCACTGTTTTATCTGTTTTTGTAAACTGCCCTGAGGTGGGTTTTTTTTTTTGGAGGGGGTTGCAATCAAGTGGTGAAAACACATCATGAAATAAATAGATACCCAAACACACATTGATAATTTTATTGTTTTATTTTTTTTTGGTAAATTTGCTTTTGGGGTTTAAATAATAATAATTTATTATCTATATGCCGCTCATCAGACTGGCTTGCCCCCGTCACTCTGGGCAGAACAGAACAGAACAGAAACATGATAAGGTCAAAGCACATAAAGCGTTTAAAAACCATATTGTCAGAAAAGCACTGTTTAATGTTTGGATAAGATATAAGGATTTGCTGGAGAATAAAACCCCAAGGTGGCTGTCACCAATGGAAGCGAAGGCTCAGAAAAAGCTCAATATGGAGGCTAAATGGCGAAATATTGGGATATTTTGGAACTAGAATGAGACAGTTTAAAACTGCAGAGTTTTGAAAAATTAAAAAATAGAGTGCGAGATTGGCTTCATTATTATCAGATAATGGAGGCATATAATTTGGATAAAAAAATTGGCTTCCAGGTGGAAAAATCAAAATTGGAAACTGAATTGTTAGACCCCAAAACTAAGAATTTGTCAAAGATGTATAACTTGCTGTTGAAATGGAATACTCAGGATGAAACGGTGAAATCTGTTATGATTAGATGGGCACAAGATGTTGGACATAACATTATGATGGCTGACTGGGAACAGTTATGGACCACAGGTATGAAGTTCACGGCATGTAATGCCTTAAGAGAGAATATAATGAAAATGATATACAGGTGGTACATGACACCAGTCAAGCTTGCAAAAATTTATCACTTGCCCGATAATAAATGCTGGAAATGTAAAGAAACTGAAGGTACATTCTTTCACCTTTGGTGGACATGCCCAAGGATTAAGGCTTTCTGGGAGATGATCTATAATGAAATGAAAAAGGTATTTAAATATACCTTTCTGAAGAAACCAGAGGCCTTTCTCCTGGGCATGGTCAGCCAATTGGTGCCAAAGAAGGACAGAACTTTCTTTATGTATGCCACAACAGCAGCAAGAATACTTATTGCAAAGTATTGGAAGACACAAGATCTACCCACTCTGGAAGAATGGCAGATGAAGGTGATGGACTATATGGAACTGGCGGAAATGACTGGCAGAATCCGAGACCAGGGAGAAGAGTCGGTGGAGGAAGATTGGAAGAAATTTAAAGACTATTTACAGAAACATTGTAAAATTAATGAATGTTAGAATGATGTTGGAATGAATCTATGTGATTTTAGCAAAAATGTATAAAAGATTTAAGAAAAATAGACTGTTAATTGGTGAAAAGATGGAAAGTAAACTTATATTAAGATCAAGATAAATTTTCAGGATAAGAATTTTGAAGAGAGGGAAAGGATTTGCTGAAATGGATAATTGACTTAGAATACAAAAAAGGGAGGTGTGAGGAGGTCAGGGAAACAAGCAAATGAAAGATATAACATAATGATGGCTGACTGGGAACAGTTATGGACCACAGGTATGAAGTTCACGGCATGTAATGCCTTAAGAGAGAATATTATGAAAATGATATACAGGTGGTACATGACACCAGTCAAGCTTGCAAAAATTTATCACTTGCCCGATAATAAATGCTGGAAATGTAAAGAAACTGAAGGTACATTCTTTCACCTTTGGTGGACATGCCCAAGGATTAAGGCTTTCTGGGAAATGATCTATAACGAAATGAAAAAGGTATTTAAATATACCTTTCTGAAGAAACCAGAGGCCTTTCTCCTGGGCATTGTAGGCCAATTGGTGCCAAAGAAGGACAGAACTTTTTATGTATGCCACAACAGCAGCAAGAATACTCATTGCAAAGTATTGGAAGACCATTGAAGCACAAGATCTACCCACTCTGGAAGAATGGCAGATGAAGGTGATGGACTATATGGAACTGGCAGAAATGACGGGCAGAATCCGAGACCAAGGAGAAGAGTCGGTGGAAGAAGATTGGAAGAAATTTAAAGCCTATTTACAGAAATATTGTAAAATTAATGAATGTTAGAATGATGTTGGATAGAAAGTAAGTGGTTTCTAGCTGTAATACTATAAGGGAATATGAAAAATGGTTTACTGACAGGTAAAAATTTAACGTTACAATATTTTAAGATTTAAGATTTGGATAAACAAAGAGGGGAAGGATTTGCTGAACCAACAAACCGAACTGGAATACAAAAAAGGGAGGCGTGAGGAGGTCCGGGAAACAAGCTAATGAAAAATAAGTAATGGAAAGATTGAGTTGTTTTTAACTATTTTTATTTGTATTTTTCTTTTCTTTTTTATTCTTATTTTGTAATATTTTGAAAATTTCAATAAATATATTATAAAAAAAATGAAAGATAAGTTATGGGAAGGCTCGATTTGTCTTTTTTTGTCTTTTTTTGTTTTTAAGTGTTTTTGTTTTTTCTGTTTTTTATTGTGATGTGTTGTTTTGTTATTGTTTAATTTTGTGTTTTTTCTGTTTTCTTTTGCCTTTTTGTAAACTTAAAACCTTAATAAATACTATTTTTTTTTAAAAAAAGAACAGAACAGAAACAAGCAGCACAAAAAAAATCAAGATACTTACACACAGACCCCAAAAGGTGTCCCCCAGGACTCCCCCAGGGGCCAGTCACAGCCTTGCAGATGCAAGGGTTTCCTAAGGGGGTCCTGGGCTCCAGCAGACCCCTCCCAACTCCACCCCCTGAGCCTCACTTCCCCCTCCTCCTTACCCAGAGCTGGTCGTCATTCCCGGGGGGACTCTTCTTAATGAAGGCCCCGTAGTAAGTGGCGATGTTGCGGTGGTGAGAGTACTTCTTCAGCATGTTGATCTCTTGCTTGATCTCTTCCTCTTCGTCCTTTTTTTTGGGGGGGGGAGGGAGAGGTGGTGTCAAGAGGAGGCCAGAGCCACACCCCCCCACTCAGAATTATCTCGAGAACAGCCACCCTTTGCTAGGGCTGCTGCCAGAGCAGGCGTGGTCATCTCCTGGCCTGCGCCTTCCCCCCCAGCTGGCAGCCCGGCCGAGAAATGGGGCGGGGGGAGGCCAACCGAGCACCCCCAAGCCCCCTCCTGCTGTACTGTACCTCCGTCACGTCCATGACTTTGATAGCGGCCAACTGCCCCGTCTTGACATGGCGACCCTGAGAAGGAGAGAGAAGAGAAGGAGGCAATGTCAACATGGACCTCTCTGGGTTGCTCTGCTTTTAGACTGCAAGCGCCTGGGGGGCAGAGACCTGATTGGTTTTGGCTGGGAAGCGTGGATAGCCCTATGTACTTGGGGTGGTGGGGTGTGTTTGTGAAGGGCTTCACTCCCCAGATCCTTGCAGCACGGGCCCAGCAGAGGGAGCCAGAGGCCTGGCCAAGCGAAGCCCCTCTGCCTGATCAGACACCCCCCCCCCCCAAAATGGAGGGGCTGAAAAGGATGGCTGGGACTCATCAGGACAGGAAAGGGAGCATCACACCAAGCCAGTTTGCAGTTTCTGTGGATTTTGGATACAGCAGAATTCAATTCAAAAAGGAACAAGAGAGAGGAAAAAGGAAGAGATATTAAAACAAATTGTAATGAAAAAAAATTAGCAAATTATCCAAGGACAGGAAAGGGAGCAGAAACCAAGCCCCAAGGCGCGCGCGCGCGCACACACACACACACACACACACACACACACACAGAGGACAAACCCCTCAACACCCCCAAGCAGAGAGGTCCTTCCACAAAGAGAAGGACATGGTCTGGAAAGCAAGCCTTAAGAGGAACAGTTGAGGGAGTTGGGGATGCTTCACCCAGGAAAGAGGAGGCGGAGAGAAGACACGATGGCCATCTTCAGATATCTCAAGGGCTGCCCCATGGAAGAGGGAGCAAGCTTGTTTCCTGCTGCCCCGGAGGGGAGGACCCGAACCAACGGATTCAAATGGCAAGCAAGGTGATTCTGACTGAACATCAGGAGGAACTTTCTGAAGGCAAGAGCTGCGCAACGGCGCAACGGACTCCCTCAGGAGGGGGCAGACTCTGCTTCAGTGGAGGCTTTTAAGCAAGGGTAGGGGGGCCACCTGTCAAGGATTCCTTAGCTGCGACGCCTGCATGGCAGGGGGTTGGACTAGATGGCCTCTGGGGGTCCCTTCCAACTCCACAGTTCTAGGAGTCTCGAACTGTATGCCTCGCCCCGCAAGCTCAGCTGTTGTGGGTCAGGGGGAGACACAAATTGCCGGTCAGAGGGCAAGACATGACCGCTGATTGCAGGGGGGTGAGGCTAGATGAGCTCAAACTCATCAGGCTCGGGGGTCTCTGGCTCCAAATCCCCCTCAGCCACAAAGCTTGCAGGGTGAACCTGATGTACTTAAGCATCTCTGCTGGTTGTTGAGAAGATAAAGTGGGGGGTTGGATTGCACATAATGAACCTAAAAAGCAGCCTTGTGTGGAGTCAGACCCTGGGAGGCACCTTACTCTGTGCTGTCTACACTGGCTGGCAGCAGCTACGCTGTGGGGCTTCAAACAGGGGGTCTCTCCCAGCCCTGCCAGGAGATGCCGCCACTGGGGAGTGAACCTGGGACCTTCTGCATGCCAAGCAATCAGAGGCAGCAATGCTTCCGAGTACCAGTTTCTGGGCGTCCAGAGAATCGTAAGAGTTGAAAGGGACCCCCCCCCAGTCATCTAGTCCAACCCCCTGCAATGCAGGAATCTCGACGCATGGTCTCCCATTCAATCTGAAACCATACCAGACCCTGCTTAGCTTTGCAAATGTGCCAGCCGTTTTATTGCTGCCTCGCCAGGTTGTCTTATGCCTGGGTCCCGCATGCAGGTTCCCCACAGGCTGCTGTTCAGCCCCTGTGAGCCAAACGGGGCACTGGCCTCAGCCGGCAAATTCCTCTTATAGCCTCACTGAGCGGTACTGCCCCAAGTTGCATTAACAGGAGGGGGGAGGGAAAGAGACCGAGCTTGAAGACAACAGACAGCAAGCTAGAGGGAGGGAGGGGATGCAGGTCATGGGGCAGGGGCCTGCAATGACCCCTGTGATCCCAAGCACCAATGGGCAACTTTGAGGGCAGGTCAGAGACCCACAGAGCAGAAGGGCCCGTCAAAGCACCCAGATCTTCACCAGTAGCAGAAAGGACAGTGGGGTGGTGGAAACAGGGGTGCCAAGCTGAATCAAATATGGGGGGGGAGGTAAGCCACACCCCACATGAGATATGGTGCACACACGCTATTTGAAGGACAAACCTTGGGGGGCTAATACTTTACTGGGGGGGGGCAAAGGGGAAGAATCACAGAACTGTAGACTTGGAAGGGATGCCAAGGGTGATCCAGTCCAACCCCCTGCAATGCAGAAATACAGCCTCCCCCCCCACACTCCACCAGTTTTTGTGGCTTACTGCCCTGCTAGGACCTTTCACCACATCCACAAACACACCCCATAGGCCTCCTCCACAACCCACACGTGTTGGCATCCTCCATGGCCCTCTCCAGTCCCCCTGGCATCTCCTCCATCGCCATGTGGGGGCTATTTGAGCACTATTGGGGGCTGGGGAGAAGGACAGGGAGAGCTGCGAAGTGTTTCTGCAAAGCCTCTCCCTCTCCACCCCCCCCCCCACCGCCACTTCCCCGCTTGCCCTCAGCCATGTGCTGGCATTGTCTGTGGTGCCATGCAGCCTCACGCGTGGGCAGCCGTTGCCTGGCAACCGCCTCCCTCTTCCTTTCAGAGAGGCACTGAAAAGCCTCTCTTCTCTTTCCCCCATCCCTCCCCAAATAAAATAAAAATCGCTGCTGTGCGAACAGAATGATCTGGTACACCCTCTGAGCCTCTCCTGGGCGTGGAGAGAGGGGGAGACGGGAGAGACGGAGGTCAGTTGGCAATGCCTCACCTGCTGCTACCCAAGGGCCAGGTGACCCAGGAGGAGGACGGCAGCCTGGGCTTAGATTTTTGCAAGAGAAGTGGGGAATAAGAACTGCGTCCTGGCTTAATTTGCGCAGGAGTGCCTGGCTTTCCCTGTTTCAAAACTCTGGGTGGGAAGAGAGAGAATGGAGATCTTTTGGCCCCGCGAATGGCCGGGTTCTCCAGGTGGAGGATCTTGGTGTTGGGGGGGAGTGTCTGTGCAAATCCTCTTTGAAGGTGGGCTACGTCTGCCGGAAGCACCACCTGTCCTCTTTGCTTCCAGACAGCCTGACTGAAGCCCACCCACCCCTCGCACAGACACACCCACCCACCCTAGAAAACAGGTTTGCCGTCAAAGGGAAAGAGCAGCCAGAGGGAGAGATCAGCGTTGCCAAGATCACAGGCAGACTCCCTTCCCCAACCTGTCAGGCGGTGTGTTCAAAGGGAAAGGCATGGCAAGGTGGGGGACAGGGGGGAGGGGCAGCCTCCGACTCCCCCCCTTCCTTGTCTCCGCTTCTGACAAGGCCTTCCTGCCCTGATGGAGGGGAGGGGGCCCAGGGAAACAAGCAGTTCGCTCTCCCGCTCTTGTCCCTCCAGGTGTTCATTTTTGTGTGTGTGTGTGTGTGTGTGTACACACATGGACTGAATTCGAGAAATTGGGGTGGGGAGCTTGCAGAGGGAAAACGTGCCGACTGCTGGTTCCCATAGGAACAAGGATGCAGCGACTGCAGGGACAGCAAGGCTGCACTGCTCAGGAGAGAAGCTCTGCAAGCCTGGAAAACGGACCTCTGCACATACAGCCTCCCAGTCCCACCCTAGGACCGGCTGTCGGGGGCAGCTCAGCAGTGAGGGGAAAGCCCTCTGCACACGCTCAAAAGCACGCTCACTAAGCTCGAATGCAGGAAACAGGCCTGGGGGCCCCATCCCCAACGCTCCCTCTTTGCACCTGCCCTCTTGGGAACTTGGCTGCAGGGCTGATATAGGGAACGGGGGGGAAAGAAAGGGTCTTGTCCCACAGGGGTGGGTGTCAACCAAAGGGCCCCTGGGAGTCCTTCCCACTTGGGCTACGTGGCGATTTGAAGGTGCCAAGTCCTAAGCACCCCTGGAGCAGGTAAGGATGCTTAAAAGAGCTGATGGTGTGATGCAGCGGCAAAAAAGGCAAATGCTATTTTAGGCTGCGTCCACAGAAGTCTGGTGCTCAGATCAAGGGAAGGAATAGTGCCGCTCCGTTCTGCCTTGATCAGAACCACACCTGGAGTCCTGTGTCCAGTTCTGGGCACCACAATTCTAGAAGGATGTTGACAAGCTGGAAGGTGTGCAGAGGAGGGAGACCGAGACGATCAAGGGTCTGGGAAGCAAGCCTTATGAGGAACGGTTGAGGGAGTTGGGTATGCTCAGCCTGGGAAGGTGGAGACTGAGAGGAGACAGGATAGCGATCTTCAACTATCTCAAGGGCTGCCCCATGGAAGAGGGAGGAAGCTTGTTTTTCTCCTGCTCCAGAGGGCAGGACTCGAACTAGAGGCTTCAATATACAAGAAAGGAGATTCCGACCAAGCCATCAGGAAGAACTTTCTGACAGTGAGGGCCAGTGGAAGAGACTCCCACGAAACATTGTGGACTCTCTTTCCTTGGAGGTTTAAAAGCAGACATTGGAGGGTCCCTCCCTGCTTACCTTGTACACCTGTCCATACGTTCCATTGCCGACCACCTCCACCAGTTCAAATATTCCAGCAGGATCCTGTGGAGGGAGAGGGGTGGGGGTGTTAAGATTCATTGCATATATTCAGACGCCAGGCAAAAACTTTCCTGTTCAACCAAACCTTTGGTTGACTGACACCCAATGCCCATTTAAAATGTGTTGGGGGGTGTGTTGTTAATTGGGTTGCTTTTGTTTTGATCATGTATTTTGTGATTTTATATTGCGATTTTATCCTGTGAAACACACTGAGACCTGTGGCTATGGGGAAGTATAATAATAATAATAATAATAATAATAATAATAAAAAATTTTTATTTATATCCCGCCCTCCCCAGCCAAAGCCAGGCTCAGAGCGGCTAACAACAATAAAAGTAACACAGCATTCTAAAATCAATTCATTCTAAAATCAATTCAAGTCAAATTAATGGCAACCATTGTGCTAGAGTTCTGTGAGGATTGCCAAAGGAAGGGGTCAGGCTGTGCCTCGGCCAAAGGCCTGGTGGAACAGCTCTGTCTTGCAGGCCCTGCGGAAAGATGTCAAGTCCCGCAGGGCCCTAGTCTCTTGTGGCAGAGCGTTCCACCAGATCGGGGCCACGGCCGAAAAGGCCCTGGCTCTGGTTGAGGCCAGGCTAACCTCCCTGTGGCCCGAGACCTCCAAGATGTTTTTGTTTGGAGACCAAAAGGTCCTCCGAGGGACGTACCAGGAGAACCAGTCCCGTAGGTACGAGGGTCCTAGGCCGCTTAGGTATACGAATTTAAGTAAATAAATAGATGATGGTGGTGATGTTCTTATGATACTCGTGCCTCACCTCAGCACAAGGAGGCAAGTCCACCTGGGGAAATGGTTCAGAGGCCGCTGCCCCCCTCCATTGGGCACGTCCAGCCCTGCCACGGCTCCCCCCCCCCGCCCCCAAGAAGGCAGCTGCCCTGGGCCCAGCGCCACACCTCTGGGACCCTTGCAGGACCGCCCTCCCCTATCTGGGCTATGCTCCGACAGTGGGACACATCCCTGGAGGCCAGTATTAATAGCTTCTCATTAGGGTGTGTGGGGGGGGAGATCTGCAAGGAAGAGCCGCTTCCGTCTCTGAGGGCCAGATCCAGATCTGAGAAAGACCTTCGGCCGAGACACCTTGAGGAAGGTGCACCTGAACGGGGCGCCATTCCTCCATCTCAACTGAAGACAGCAGCCCCTTCATGACGGCAGTGAGGGGAGGGGAAGGAGGACCCCCTCCCCCCGGAGGAGCTTAGGAACATGTGAAGAGCCTGCCGGATCAGGGCCATGGCCCGTCTGGCGCAGGATCCTGTTCTCACAGGGGCCAGGCAGATGCCCTTAAGGCGAAGCACAAGAGCCACTCTCCTCCCTGTCTGCCGTTTCCAGAAACTGGGATTCAGAGGCACGTGCTGCCTCTTCCAGTGGAAGTGAGTTCCCCTGTTTAACTCTGCGCTGCGTGAAGGAGAACTTCCTTTCATCTGCCCCGAAACTTCCACTATTCAGCTTCATTTGGGTGCCCACAAATTCTGGCATTATGAGAGAGGGAGGAGAATAGTTTTAAATAAATTTAATGACAATTTTGTTATTTGTACGCTGCCTGTCTGTCTGGATTGCCCCAGAAAAGCCTTTCTCTATCCACTTTCTCCCTGCTATGAGATAAGGGAGGTACTGTTTTGCTATTTCTGCTTTAATTATATATTGGTGCTTTTATCTTGTGAATCGCCCTAACATCTTTTGATGGTGTAGGAACCTAATTCAAAATAAAAATAAAAATGCTACGCACAATTTCACACACTTCTATCTTGCTGCCCCTTACTTGCCTTCCCTCTAAGCTAAAGGGCCCTGAACGCTGCACCCCTTTCGTTCTGGTGGCTCTTTTCAGAGCCTTCTCCAACTCTGCAAATGCCCTTTTTGAGGTGAGGCTTGGCGGGAGCTCAAGGACCTTGCTAGCTCATGGTGGCCAGGAGACCCCAAGTGAACACCCGCCAAGGAGAGAGAGAGATCTGTGAGCTTCTTGAGCGAGAGGAGGCCGAAAGCCAGCCTGGAGAGGAGATCCCAGAGTGGGACAGGGGCCAGGCCAGCCAGCAGCTGCTGGGTGCAATGGGATACCTTGACTGCCGCTCTCCTCCTCCTCTGGTTTCAGGAGTGCAGCAGCCCCGCAGCACCTGTGGCCCAGCGCCAGCCGCCTCCTTGGAAAGCAGATGGAGGGGGAGGGCTGCTTCCGATGCCGGGAGGACGGGGTAGGATTACAACCGGCTGAGGCTCTGTGTGCAGGCACCAGGGAGAGGGTGCCTCGGTTTCCTCTTTGTGGAGAGACCTGCCTCACAAGCTCATTATTGCAAAGGTGAAGACAATCCCCGCCACCGCTGCCAATATTTATGTACCGCCTAATAGGCAAAATCCCTAAGTGGTTTGCATGAAATGTGTTAAGGTGGTTTTGTTTTTTTTAAAGAAAAAAGGAATGTGAGAAGACCCGGCGCAGCTTCCTGTCCTCACAGGGGCGGAACAGTTGCCTGCAGGAAACCTGCAAGCAGGATTTGAGCGCAAGAGCAACTCTCTCCCATCCTGTGGTTCCAACTAACTGGTGTTCAGAAGCATTTCTGCCTCCAGCTGTGGACGCAGAGCAGAGCCAATGAGGCTAGCAGACCTCCATAGCTCCCTCCTCCTCCTCCTCCTCCATGAATTTGCCTAATCCTCTTTTAAAGTGCTGTGGGTTAAACCACTGAGCCTCTTGGGCTTGCTGATCAGAAGTCCGCGACGGGGTGAAGTCCCAATGCTCGGTACCTGCTCCTGCACGTCAAAGTTCAAGTACGGTAGATAAATAGGTACCACTCCGGCGGGAAGGTAAACGGCGTTTCCGTGCGCTGCTCTGGTTCGCCAGAAGCGGCTTAGTCATGCTGGCCACATGACCCGGAAGCTGTACGCCGGCTCCCTCGGCCAATAAAGCGAGATGAGCGCCGCAACCCCAGAGTCGGCCACAACCAGACCTAATGGTCAGGGGTCCTTTAAGTTGGTGGCCATTGCTGCTGCCTCTTGCAAAAGGGAGTTCTATAGCTTTTACGCAGCATTTTAAACCAAAAATTGCAAGGAAAGACATCGGTTGAAAACAGAAGCCATCAACAAAACGTTCAGCCAAGTATTGATAAAGTATCGATAAATAACAGAACAGAACACGCTTGCTGAGACAGCTGGGTCTTCAGGGGATGGCTAGCGTTTCCTGCCTCGTGAGTGGAAGGCTGTTTGGCCGCTGGCCTTCTTGGCTGGGGCAAGTGAGAGGGCAACAACAGCAGGAGTTAAACAGGGTTCCGGTTCCCGGTTGAAAAGATAAACCCAGTCCTGTGCTGCGTTGTAAGAACTGCAGGGTTTGAGAAGGGGAGTGCCGCTGCCAGCGCAGTCTTCGGCGGCAACACAAGGTGAACCAGGCTGTTGCGAAATGTTCTGTGCCTGCTGCTGAACCTGGGCCAGGTAGAAAAATCCCCTCTCCTTCCATCCACAGGGGAACTGGAACTAAGAAGCCCAAAACAGCAGCTGCAGAACCCTGCAGGGGGAGGACACGACCAGACGGACGTCCCACAGGCAGGTGTGGGTGAGAGGCATGTACGGATCCCTCTGAGGGTTTAGCACCCACCTCCCTGCACCTCTGCGAGGGCTTAACGCCCCTCCCGAATACAGCTGCCATTGTAGCATCTTATCTAGCACTATAACTCAGGGACTGCCAATAATAATAATAAATTTTATTTATACCCCGCCCTCCCCAGCCAAGGCCGGGCTCAGGGCGGCTAACACCAAATATAAAAACAATTGATTGAAATACAGCTTAAAAAACAAGATTAAAACTCAACATTAAAATGCAACCTCATTTCAGTGGAAACTCAATCAAAAACTTTTTTGGGGATGAAAACGTCAAGTCTTCACGAAGGCTAACTATCCAGACTGGTCCTACGTGGGCCAGAAAAAAGCCAGGGAAGTCCCCAAAAAGGAGTTCCAACACAGAAGGAGAAAGGAAAAAGGAAAGAGGGGGAGGGAATCAAATTGATTCCAAGCCAAAGGCCATATGAACATATGGATCAGGCCCACGGCTCTGCCCTGTTCTCACAGGGCCCAACCAGATGCCCATTATGGGAAGTCCACAAGCAGGATTCGGGCACAAGAGCAACTCTCCCCTCCTGTGGTTTCAGGCGACTGGTCTTCAGAAGCACTGATGTCTCAGACAGCAGAGGCTGAGCAGCGCCATTGTGGCTGGGAGCCTTCCTTGGCCCTCTCCTCTCTTCACTCAAGGCTGCTGAGTGCTGGAATCGTTCAGACAGACAGAAGAAACTCCTTCTTCGCACAGCACAAAGTTAGGCTATGGAACTGCCTGCCACTGGAGGCAGGGATGGCCAGCCACCTGGATGGCTCTAAAAGAGGATGGGACAAATCCATGGAGGGGGGGAGGGTGATTGATAGCTGCCAGCCAAGATGGCTCTGCTCTGCTTCCACGGGTGCTTCTGAATTCCATCTGCAGGAAATCGCAGGAGGGCAGAGCTGCTCTTGCGCTCAGCAACTGCTTGAGGGTTTCCCATCCTGCAAGCTGCACTAGAGGGGTCACCGCGGTGCTTGAGTCTTAGGAGTCCACCTCCCACCAGCTCAAGAACCAAGCCGTGCTATTTCCCCACCCGACGCCCACGACGCACGCCCAGTCCAAGGTACAAACATCCCCGTGCGCTGGGGTGTGTGGGTTGCCAAGGCAAGGGCAAGTCCCTCCTGGAGGCTTGCCTGACCGAGTTGCCAACTGAGGGAAGAGGTGCCCCAGTTAAAGGTGCTGCTTTTGTTTCACTGCGTGCCAAGAGTCTGCAAGTCTACCTCTACCCTGCCCCAGTTTCCGACAAGGAGGACCAGGAAACTGGGTTGCTGGGAGGCACAGAAGGCAGCCCCTTTTCAAGAAGCGAATAGCTTTCCGGAAAAAGGAAGAACCAACGAGTTCCACAAGTTAACTGGGCACTGTGTGAAGCCCCAGTATCCCCGCCCCCCAGGCTAGGCATGACTCCCCTTTCTTCACAGAGGTTCTATGGGGGTCCTGGCTTTCAGCCCACACCCCCTTCCCAGCATTCTTTGCTCCAAGGTGGCACGCAGGACTCCCTCTCGCACTGGGGAAGGAGCCAGTCGCCTTCCGGTTCTCTTGGTGGTGGTGGTGGTGGGCCTCTAACCCCCACCTTCCTCCTTCCCCAGCCTGCCAAATCCAGCGCGTGGCTCCTGGCCGTGGCCCCCCACCCCCCGCAGGACAAAGAGACCCTTTTCTAATCCGGCTCTCAGCCTCCCTCGGATTCCAGGCCTCCCAGCAAAGTCCGTCACAAGGCTTGACTTGGGAAGGAAGCCAGAAGCAGCAAATCTCTCCGGCCACCTGCCACCACCACCGCCAACTTCTCCCCAGGAACTCAGGACTCCGGGGTCTCTTGGTTGTAGGAGGCGGGGTGGGGGAGGGGAGGTGCCACCTAGTCAGGGGTCACAATCTGCATAGGAAAAGGGAAGCGAGTGGTTTGTGTGGGGCACACCTGTTGTAAGTGTGGGGGGAGCAGAGGCAGGACAAGGCGCTTGCTCCCTTTGGGGTCAGAGGAGAGGGGGGGCGTGGGAGGCGAGACAATGGGAGGGGGAAGGCTGCTCAATGCTCCTTGGCACTTGGGGGGGAGGTTTGGGGGGGCGGCTGTGAGTCAGGAGGCAGGGAGAGGCAGGAAGGGAAAGAAAGGGAGAAAATGGACGAGCAGAAACAGCCGCCCACTGGCACAGCTCTCTCCACAGGCCCTGCCCACGCCATGCGCCAGGAGGAGGAGGAGGGCTCCCTGCGGCATCAGCAGCCGCCCTCACCTGGAAACCAGAACGGAGCCTGCTTGTGGCACAGAGGGAAATCAAGCGAAAAAGCCCCAGCGTGCAGGTGGCACAGCAACTGTTCACGAAGAGCAGCGCACCCCAAAAAACAGTGACCCAAGGGAGGGGATGGCTGAACCTGGTGGTGACAAACTAACCCTCTCACACTGCTGCAGCCCTTTGCGCTGCACAGTGGCAGCTCCTGCGAAATGGGCACATTTCCCCCCCCCCCCCGCAGATCTCCAGCAGTGCACAACCTCCAGGGTGAGTGTCAGGCAGCACCTCTGAGCCCCAGAGCAAGAGTGGGGCATGGGGGGCGGTGTGTGTGGAGACCACGGCAGTTGCGCCCAGGACACCCACCAGTGGGCTTCCCATGGGGGCATCTGCAAGGAACAGGATACTGGACTGAGTGGACCCTCCCCCACACACTTTGGTCTGAACTCCTCCTGTTTATTTACTGCTGACTTGTTGCATTTATATGCCAACTTGTTCTCCATGGAGCTCAAGTCAGCTTACACGGTTCTCCGCCCTCCTCAAGTAATCCCTGCAACAACCCTGTGAGGTAGGCCAGACTGAGAGGGGCAGAGACTGGCTCACAAGGTCACACCCAGTGGGCACCATGGCAGCCGAGTGGGGATTTGAACCCTGGCGCTGCTCCCTCCCGATTTGGCCAAGGGACACATTTCGGGGCGGCCTTCCTCTGCGTCAGCTCAGGGTCTCCTGTCCCCCTGCCAAGGCCCAGCTCCTCCCTCTCTTCTGCTCTCCCCCCATTGCACACTGCCAGGGTCTCCCTGGCCTTGCTGCCTGGTGTTCAGTGCTGGGGGGGCAAGGGGGGGCGGGAGAAGCGCTGCCCTAGTGCTCTGCTCAGAGGCTTCCCGTCTGCCTTTTAATTACAAATCACCTGCTGGTTGCCGGCTTGTAATCAGGTTAGGCAAAGACCCCTAAGCCGATTTGTGGGGATGGCGAAGGAGCCAGCTCCTGCTGACAAGCCGCAGGTCTGAGCCAGGGGGTGGTGGCTTCTCTCCGCTCTTGGAGGGGCAAGGCACACACACACACACAAAATTCCCTCCCAGAGGTGCTGGGCGAAGTTGGCTCTGGTGGGGAGAAGGGGTGCCGCCCCACAGCGCAAGACAAGCAGCAACTGTCAGAGGCTGCAAAGCAGCAGGGAGGCTGGAGGGGGAGAGGGTGGCATGTCTGGTCTCTCATCTCCATGCGTAAAGAGTCCCAGAAGCCCACCTAGCTCTGAGAACGAAAGGCAAGCCGACTGGATCAGGCCAAATAAATAATAATAATAATTCATTATTTATACCCCACTGATCTGGCCGGGTTTCCCCAGCCACTCTGGGCGGCTCCCACCAGAATATTAAAAACATGATAAAACATTAAAAGCTTCCCTGAACAGGGCTGCCTTCAGATGTCTTCTAAAAGTCAGATAGTTGTTTATTTCCTTGACATCTGGTGGGAGGGCATTCCACAGGGCGGGCGCCACCACTGAGAAGGCCCTCTGCCTGATTCCCTGTAACTTGGCTTCTTGCAGTGAGGGAACCGCCAGAAGGTTCTCAGAGCTGGACCTCAGTGTCCAGGCTGAACAAAGGGGGTGGAGATGCTACTTCAGGTATACTGGACAGAGGCCGTTTAGGGCTTTCAAGGTCAGCACCAACACTTTGAATTGTGCTCAGAAACGTTCTGGGAGCCAGTGTAGGTCTTTCAGGACCGGTGTTATGCGGTCCCAGTCCCCAGTCTAGCTGCCGCATTCTGGATTAGTTGTAGTTTCCGGGTCACCTTCAAAGGTAGCCCCACGCAGAGCGCATTGCAGTAGTCCAAGCGGGAGAGAACCAGAGCATGCACCACTCTGGCGAGACAGTCCGCGGGCAGGGAGGGTCTCATCCTGCGTACCAAAGGCTCATCTTGGCCAGTATGCAACATCCGATTCTTACAGCGGCCAAGAGAGGCCTCGACTGGGAATCCCGCAAGGAGGATTGCAGCGCAAGAGCCTCTCTCCCTCCTTCTCGCGGTTTCCAGCAACTGCACAGCCTTCATCAGGGCGAGGGGCCATCGAAAGCCCTCTGCTCCTCCATTATTTTGTTCTCTTTTAAAGCCGTGAAGATTGGCGGCCATCGCTGCTGCCTCCTGCAGCAGCAAGTTCCACAGTTGAACTACATGAAAAGGTATTCCTTTTCCTACGCCACCAGCGCTGCCCGTGTTCTGCACCCACCTCAGAGAAGATCATGGGAAGCCTCCTCTCAGAACTGGACAGGCAACCCAACCTGGCGCCCTCCAGGAGCTCTGCACCACAACTCCCACCCGCCGCCACCCAGCGGAGCCACATGGGATCAGCCAGGGATGAAGGCTGGCAAAGGCTGCTTTAAGATAAGCTGTCCACCGCTGGCAGCCCCAGAATGAGAGAATCACAGAGCTGGAAGGGACCCCCGGGGTTGTCTAGGCTGACCCTCTGCAATGCAGGAGTGATGAATACCTGGCAGGTGGCCGCCTGACCTCTGATCAAAAACCTCCAAGGAAGGAGAGCCCACCCCCAAGGAAGCCACAGCTTCACACCCTGCCTGGCTTGGTCCCAGCAGCCTCAGGCCTGGCCAGCACCCTCTTTAACATCCGCACTAGGCGATGGGGCCTGTTCCCCGGGCTCAGCCACATTGGAGGGAAGCTGCAGGCTGAGCAAGAGACTGCGCCAAGAGTCGTCCCCCCCCCCCACTACGCCGAAGAGGCAGAGAGGCGGCTCCCACCCAGCTGCCTCCTCAGTCTCCATGGCAGCCTTCCTGAATTAGATGCAGCTTTGGCTGCTTCCCTGCCTGCCTCCAGCTCAGCTTGTTCTGATGGATCGCAGGGAGGAGGAGTGGCCCCCAGGCAGCCCTGCCACAAAGCCCCTCTTGGACCTGCCACCGCCACCAGACAGACCCTTGGTCCATCTAGGTCAGTGCTGCCTACACTGACGGGCAACAGTGGCTGTCCTGGGTCTCTTCCAGCACTACCTGCAGATGCCGTCGGGGATTGAACCTGCGACCTTTTGCATTCAAAGCACGTGCTCGGCCACTGAGCTATAGCCCCTCCCGTTCTGCCAGGACACAAGCTCCTGTCCACCCCGATAGAAGCCCTGGCAGGTACGGCCCCTGGCCTTCAGTGACAGACTCTAGGCGCAAGGAGAGCATCTAGGTCGCATCGCGAGCCCCACACTGCACTTTGGACAAACGGCACGCTTCCCACGGGCTCCCTTATTTCGCAGGGAGTGTCACCTTCTGGGATCTTGCAGGCACCAGTGTGGTTCCGTCCCCCCGAGACTAGGCGACGAGAAAAGGGTGGGTGGGGAGAAGAGGAATAAGAAGGCAGGGGGTGGAGGGGGGGCAGCAGCACATGCAGGAGAGAAATTGGAGCAGCCAGGCCTACGATCAACAGCTTTGCCAACAAGACACCAACCCACCCTCCCTCTCCTGCTCCACATCCGATCCAGGTCCACATGGGGGGGGTTCCTCCCCAGAAGTCTCTGCAATTCCCCAGCCCTCCACCCCACTTCCTGCCAGCAGAAAAGGAAAGTCCCAGGTTCTCTGGCACCTAACAGACATTTGACTATAGGAACGTAAGGAGAGAGCCTGCAGGCCCAAAGGGGCCCCGTCTAGTCCAGCATCCTGTTCTTACAGTGGCCAGCCACAGGATCATATAATTGTAGAGAGGGAAGAGATCCCCGAGGGTCATCTAGTCCAACCCCCTGCAATCCTGCCTTGGGTGGGCTCAATCCACCAGCCTTCTGGTTAACAGCCAGAGGCACTGACCCACTGTGCCACAGAGGTGCCTGGGGGGAACCCACAGACGGGACATGGACACAAGAACACTCTCCCCTCGTGTGGCTTCCTCGGGTTACATACACTTCAGGTTACAGACGCTTTAGGTTACAGACTCCACTAACCCAGAAACATTACCTTGGGTTAATAACTTTGCTTCAGGATGAGAACAGAAATTGCACGGTGGCAGCGTGGCGGCAGCAGGAGGCCCCATTAACTAAAGTGGTGCTTCAGGTTAAGAACAATTTCAGGTTAAGAACGGACCTCCAGAACGAGTTAAGTTCTTAACCTGAGGTACCACTGTATTCCTCTTTCGAAGCCATCCAAGATGGCAGTCATCATTACCTCTTGTGGCAGTGAGTTCCACAGCTTAACCCTGCGCTGCGTGGAGAAGGATTTCCTTTCATCTATCCTGAATCCTCCAGCACTCAGCTTCATAGGAAGTCCATGAGTTCATTTCATAGGAAGTCAATGAGTTCATAGGAAATACCATGAGTATTTCGGCTGGACTGGCAACTGAAAATCTAACCCTGACATTGGGCTTGGGAGGGGGAGGGGGAGGGGAAAAGGCATTTGTTGGAAGAGCCACAGCTCAGTGATACAGCATGAGACTCTGAATCTCTGGGCTGCGAGCGCCACATTGGGCAAAAGATTCCTGCATTGCAGGGGGTTGGACTAGATGACCCTCAGGGTCCCTTCCAACTCTTACGATTCTAAAAACAGATTAAAACCTGCAGGAGCTTTCTAAACATCTGCTTTGTGCGCAGGATGTCCCAGGATCAATCCCCAGAGGCATGGCCAGGCAGGCCTGGGAAAGATTCTCTGCCTGAAACCCTGGCCAGCCGCTGCTGCCAGTCAGTGTAAGCAACGCTGAGCTGGGTGGAGAAAGGGTCTGACTCAGTTTTAAGGCAGCTTCCTGTGTTCCTCTCTGGACCAGGAACTTGGGAGGACACAACCCCTGCAGTCCGCAGGGCAGACCACTCCCCACGACACTCCCACCAGTGGATTCTTCAGCCCACTAGCCGGAAACTCCCTTAGCTTCAGACAGTACAGAAAACGAAGGCCACCTGTCAGAGATGTTTTAGTTGAGGTTCCTGAAATTGCAGGGGGTTGGACTGGGTGACCCCAGGATTCTATTACTCTTTTCCAAAGCACAGCCGTTGGCTGGATGCAGGCAAGAGGCAACTTGTTCCCAGTTTCATGTGGTCCAGAGGAACACACAGCGGGAGGCCTCCCTGCAGGGCTGTTGGCACAGCGCCCGAGTCACAGACTTTGCCCTCCCCTCCTCCTCCGCTGTGGGCCTCTAGGAAGGACTTTGCCTCCTGCTTGGCACAGTGGACGCCCCTTCCGGCCTTCCTGGGCATCCCCACTGCAAAGAGAAAGCGAGCTTCTCCTCCTCTGTTGCTGCCGCAGCACTCTCTTCCCTCGCCACCACCACGCCAGGGCGTGACATTTCCACAGCGGTCTCCGCGGCAGGAGGTAGCCAGGCCCTTCCCCAGACAGGCACTTGGACTCCCTATTAATTCACTGCACAGACGTCCCCAGGGGGACGCTTGAAGGCGAACCGCAGTGGCGGAGCTCGTGACCCTGGAGGGAAGAGGGGGCTGGATAGTTACACCACCGCCGCCAATTCCCCCACTGGAGATCAAGCCACAGGATGCACCAACTCAGCTTCCAGGACACAGGAAAAGCACAGCCACTGGTCTAAAAAGAAAACACCCACCAAGCACAGAGAGGGGGATGATTCCTTTGAGGATTTGCTGAACCCAGCTTGTCCTTGCCTCCAAGAGAGGCTGGCAGGGACACCTCTGAGACATGTCACAGCAACACCTAAGGCAGGCACAACTCCCATCATCCCTAGCTAACAGGACCAGTGGTCGGGGATGATGGGAACTGTAGCTCGAAAACATCTGGTGGGCCGAGTTTGGGGGTGCACTGATGTCTCAGACAGCAGAGGCCAGCAGGAGGAGGAACCACCACTTCCCAGTGACTTTGCGGGACTTTTCAGACCTGGTCAAGGTGCCTCCTAGGCAGAGTGGCAGGTGGGGAGGAAACCCTAAGGTGCAGACAGCAGCAGCAGCAGCAAGAAGAGCTTCCCTTTTCTTAGAATCAAAGAACCGCAGAGCTGGAAGTGACCCAAAGGGGCATCTAGACCCTTTCAGCAAAGACAGCTGTGAGGAGAGACCCTCAAATAAACCTAGCTGAGCATTCTGCCAAGTGCCCCAATGTCTTATCACTCATGAATTTGTCTGTCTGAGATGGGGGTGGGTGGGATTAAAATATCTGCAGTATTTACTTGCTCATCTCTGTTGGAGAAATCATGAGAGCCAGCGTGGCACAGAGGTTAGAGCAGGGATCCCCAAACTCGGCCCGCCAGCTGTTTTGGGACTACAACTCCCATCATCCCTAGCTAACAGGGCCAGTGGTCAGGGATGATGGGAACTGTAGTCCCAAAACAGCTAGAGGGCTGAGTTTGGGGGTGCCTGGGTTAGAGTGTTGGGAGAGAACCTAGGAGAGAACAGACTGGTTCAAACCCCCCCCCCAAAACTCAGCCATGAAGCCCGCCGGGTGTGACCTTTGGGGCCAGTCATTGCTTCCTCTTAGCCCAGCCTACCTCACAGGGCTGCTGTGGGGATTAAATGAGGAAGCGGAGGACCATATTTTTCCTTGGAGAAAAGTATAAATGCAGTAAGTAAATATGTAAAATGGAGCTACAAGCATTATCAGGCCGAGTCAGCAAGAGTCTTCAGGATCAGCGTTTTTGCAGTGATGTGGAAGACTCAGCCCCCAACCTCATTTTCTTCACCTCTGAGAAGGCTTTTATTAGGGTGGGGGGGGTTAGAACTAGGCCGGTGTGTGTTTTGGGTTGGGTTTTTTCTCCTTCTCGTCTGGGCGAGGCCTTTCCATCAAATGCATTAGGATGGCAAAGGAATCCACTGGGCAGTCTTCTCTTAATCTCCCCCCCCCCAAGATGGGGGTGAAGAGAAGGGGTCCGGGCTCCCTCCCTTGTAGCCCAGCCAGCCTGCTTGCAAAATGCTTATTCAACCAGAGCCACCGGGAGAGGAAAAGCAGGTTGGGGCAGGTCCGCCTTGAGCAAAGAGAGCAGCCCCACCCTGGAGAGAAGGCAGGAGCGGGGCCACTTCATCTCATGCAAGAGGAGGGCTGAGAGAGAGGAGCGGAGCCGGCTGCTCAGATCTCTTCCCCCAGCCCCACGAGGAAGGGGGACCCAAGTAGTCCAACCCCTTCCTAGAGATGGAACAGGCCAGTGGCCCCTCAGCATCCTGTTCACACAGGGGCCAACCAGACGGACTCAAACGCAAGAGATCTCTTTGCTCCTGTGGTTTCCAGCAACTGGCTTTCATAAACAGCTGTGGAAGCAGATCAGAGCCTCACTCACGGCTCACAGTCATCAATAAATAGCCCTTTTCTCCAGTTCTCTTTTCAAGCCACAAAGGAGTGAAAGCTGTGGGAGTGAGTTCCACAGCTGAACACTGCACTGCATGAAGGACTTCACTGTCAGGCCGCCTAGACACCATGTCAGGTCAGCTTGCACCTGTTGGGTTGGCGGGGGGGGGCGGGAGCTCATGGTTTGCATTTCAGGAAGCAATGCAGCCAAACTGCACACTGCAGGGACGCTGGAGGAGAGAGAGAGGACAGACAGACGGGCTGAAATGTCTTCCCGATTTTGGCAGCCAACCCAAGACTTCTCTGTTGAGCCTTCCAGAAGTTCGGGGGGGGGGGCTTGTCGCTCCTCTCTAACATGGTGGCCAGAATCACAGAACTGTAGAGCTGGAAAGGACCCCTGAGGGTCATCTAGTCCAACCTCCTGCAACGCAGGGGTCACAGCTAAGGAATCCCTGACAGACGACCACCCAGCCTCTGTTTAAAAGCCTCTCTACCCCCCACCCAACACACAAAATGCAGAAGAGGAGCTGAGAGGACAGCACCCACCCCCAAATGCTGCCTCCACCCCCTTTGGAGGGGGCGGCATAAGCCCTTGCCAGCTTGAAGGGCCTCTCTCCTGAATCCTGCATCACAAGCGGCAGGTGAGGTTTCACCCTGGGTGGGGGAGACAGACTCCTTCCTTCCCCTCTCCCACTCCCTCACCCCCCCCCAAAAGCAAGTGTGGATTCTCTTGCCTTTCCACCCTCCCTGCAGAAGCACTCACATGAGAAAGAACCAGGAGCTGGGGACAGATTTGCTGGGGGAGAAACAGAGCTGAAACTGGAGCTCTGGTTTCCCTGCCTGCCTGCCTGCCTTCCTGCCAAGACGGTCTTGGGGGGCCTGTTCTTTGCAACTCGAGAGGAAGGCGGCTATTGCGAGGCCAGGAACAATCTGCCTTGCTCCCAGCGAGTGCTGCCTGGTTCAAGGACAGCGAGAAAGAGAGAGAGAATATATAAAAGCATGAAAGGGAGGATTGTAATTCAATCAAGGCTAACATGCTGCAGTCAACAAGTTCTCCCTAGCAACAAGAAAGCATGGCGGCGGCATCAAGGCAGAGAGATCCCTTTTCAAGCGCGGAGGCCATGCAAAGGGAACACACAAACACACACGCACACGGTCTGCCGCAGGCTCGTGCATCTCAGATAAGAGCCAGAAACCAGCACAGTGGGGCGAAGGGGAGAGAGGCAACCGAGAGAGAAAGGGTTTTTTAAAATATTAGATCCTTCGGAGAACTCCAGAGCCGGAAGGGGGAAAGGGCCAGGCAGTATCACCTTCCCCAAGGCAGGCACACATGCACACCCCTGCAGAGGCATTGCAGGGGGCTGAGCCGGATGACCCCCCGGCCCTTTCCAACGCTGCAGTTCTGGGATGCTAAGGCGCAGCAAAGACCCCTGCCTCACCCCAAGAGCAGGCGTGCTGCGAGGGAGGCTGAAAGGAGCAGGTGAGGATGGGCTGGGGGTCAGAGAGCAAAAGAGAAGGCAGAGGGCCCGGGGGGTCCTCGGAGGGGGGGTGACGACCAGGGGCCAACAGGGGCAGGCTGGCTTTCACACACTCCTTGCGGGAGCCCAGGCACAAAAGAGCAAGCTGCCCTCCACTGGGCTCTCTGCTGCTTGGCCTCCTTCTCAGGAAGCAAGCCCAGGGAGCAGGCCCCTTCGAGTGCCAACTCCAAAGCAAGGTCTTTGCTCTCTCCTGGATGCACACAAATGCTGCCACAAGACCTGTGGCAGAACTGCGGTGGAGGTGCCGGCTTAAGGGACCAGGGCTCCTAGGCAGGCAGAAGCGCCCCCAGCCCACGTGGAAAGGCCTGCACCAGGCTGGTCCCCTCCTCGTCCTTGACGCTGCCGAAAGAGGAAATTTAATTTCTGCTGTGGTGGAAGGGCTTCTGGCCGAGTGGGTTTTCTGCTGATGGGTCGATTCTGCAAGGCTGTCACCCGCCAAAGCTCCAGTCTCACATGTCACCTGTTTCAAAGACGCTCCTCCTCACTCCCACCCAGCAATTCCTGCTCAGACAAGGGCACCGTGGCCCCTGGAGCGGAATCACCAAATCTCCGCCACAGCAGGTCCTACGCACACTGTGCCTTCAGGAGTGTGGCGCTGAACACCTCTGCCCCTGCAGCGCCAGGGGAGAGGGTGAAGGCCTGCGCCCACCCCTCGCAGCCTCCCTCCCCACAACAAACGCAGGTGCCATGGCCAGGCTCTGCTCCTGCCAACTCCCTCCAGGCAAGAGGCCTTCCCCTCCCTCGTGAAAACCAACCTGCCTAACTGGCATTCTCCTCGCCTGATGGCATCTCCTCTGGCTCCTGCCCAGCTGCCGGCCACACCTCAGGGCAGAAGCGCTCCTTGACCCACTTTCACTGCAGCGAGCGCTAAGGTGCATCCAATGGCATCTTCTGGGACATAAATCAAACCAAAAGTGCAGGAAACCAGCTAGGACAGAATCCGGCCCTCCAGTTATTAAATGGGGGACTTTCAAGGGAGTGGAGCAAGGTTCTAGACCTTACCATGGCAGACAAAAACTGGAAAGCTGGCAGGCGGTTTCTGCTGAGAGCGCCCGAGGGAGGAAAAATGCCGTGTGAGGTCTCTGGAGGTGAGCAGGAATTTACGGCTGGCGACTGCCAATGTGCTTCGCTTGACTGAGGTGTGGGGCTGCCATGCTTAAGCAGCAGCAGTTGACCTCCATCCAAAATAGTGGCAATTGCAGGCTGGCTCCTACTCATGGCAGTATCCGCCTGAGAATCACCCCTCACCAGAACAGAGTGTGGGGTTGTTGTTTTTTTGGAGCAGGGTGCTCTCTGGTGCTCATCAAATGCTGCTAGCTCCTTGAGAAACGGGCCCCAGTTGCAAAGGCTACCCTACCCAACACATGCCTTTTACCACAAAAATGCACTCCGCTGTCACAAAAACTGCCACGTCCAGCTACTCACTCCTCTGCTCAGCAATGTCAGCCCTAAAATTCTGTACCCTGCAGAGGAAAACCAGGTGGAACCTTGTTCCTCCATGGTGTGTGGAATTGCAGAACACTTGCAGACAAGACTGCCTAACCCTTCCCCAACCATTTCTTCTTCCGAAAGAGAATTACTCAGTTTCTCAACAACAACAACAACAACAACAACAACCTTCCGATTTTGCAACTGAGGGCAGGCTATACTGAAGAATTGCTCATTCTGCACCTTGAAAGAGGGAGCCTGAAAGGCTGGGTGGACTTGCAACTTCAAAAGCAAAGAGAAGCAAGTGTGCCCCATTTAAGGAGCCTTAATTCTCTTGGAACAGGTTTTTGTTTAATTCCAAGTTCCAGGCTGCCTGTTGAGATTTTGTAGATGAGAGGCCCTCAGCCTGACAGGAGGGTGGGCCAAATGAGGAGCAGTGAGTTTAAATAGCTTTGAATTTTCTGCCTCTTGGTTTCCAGCTCAATAGCTGATTGTTGTCCTGTTGGCCCAGAGGTTCGTAAGCCACACAGAACAGATGAAGATATTGTTATTGTGCCAAACTTAGGCTGGTGCAGGAGCGTGCAAGCTTTTGAGTTTCACAGATCTCTTCAAACAGGGGAAAAAACTTGATTCTTTTCTGTACTGTGAGAACTTGTGAAACTGGGAAGCTTGCACATTTTGACAGGAAGTTACCACGATAAGCTATTTCTCGATCCTGGTTTCAAGAAAACCACTCCTATCCTTTCCTTCATCCACATATCCTCCTGGGATGGATCCTGACAAGGAGGCACACAAGGTATGTGTTGAAAGACTCGGGAGAGATAAAACAAAGTCCTTCTTCACGCAGCGCATAGTTAAACTGTGGAACTCCCTCCTGCAGGAGGAAGGGATGGCCGCCAACTTGGATGGCTTTAAAAGAGGACCGGGCAAATTCATGGAGGAGGAGCGAGCCGCCGATGGCTACTAGCCATGCCAGCTGTTCTCCGCCTCCACTGTCGGAGACAGAGTGCGCCTCTCTGAATATGACTTGTTGGGAATCACAAGTGGGGAGGGCGCTGTCGTTGTGCTGAGATTTTGCTTGTGGCCACTGTGGGAACAGGATGTTGGAGTAGACGGTGTTTGATCCAGCAGGGATATTCCTATGTTTCCACAGTGGGAAAACATGGGATCAGCTGAGGCGAGGGAGGGCCGTGCTCCCCATCTGTCAGGACACGGCTTGTGCAACCTCCCTGAGGTGATGATTCCAGATACTGAGAGGCCCCCTCCCTGAATGAAAGGGAAAGGCAGGCTGCATTCCAAAGGGCTCCCTCGGCTCCCGATTCTGCTGACAGCGCACAGATGAAAGCAGCCCATCCTGCTACAGAAATGACGCATGCGTGCCAGCCTGTGAGGAAAACAACTTGGGAGGAGGCAACAGGTGAAAAACTCCACCTCGTAAACCCCACAGTGGCAAATCTCGCCACAACAATCCGGCCCTGCACATCACCAACCATGACTCACCAAGTTCCCTTTTATCTGCAAGAAACAGGAGCCACAAGCACACTCACGCACGCAAACGAAAAAGCCCACTGCTACACTCAGCAAGAGGGCAAACAGGCCTGAGACAGGCACCCCTCCCAGGTGCCATCTGCAAAGGGGGGCATTTTAGGCAAATCCATCAGCTGCAGCATGAAGGTTAAAAGGAAAGGAGGAGGAAAGTTACTTCTCCCATCGCTGTATCCCCAGAGCCACCTTGCAAGCAATGACAGTAAAATCTTCCTCTTTAAAAGGGTCATTTTGCAAAGCATTACAAAGAGCCTGCTGATCAGGTTATTGGTATTTATAAGCAGTTATGCCTGGTACTAAATGGGGCTTCATAAGATCCCTGCAGCACGGAGCTTCCAGTTTATCAATCATTTTCACTACCGTGGGAGGCAACAGAGGAAGGAAAGGGAGAGCGGATCCCAGTCTCTCCTGTCCCCTCCAGTTTCTGAGCAAGGAACTCACAGAGGAAAGCATGATGACCCGAACTGAGCTGTGGGGACCCCAAGGGCTCCAGAGCACCAAAAGGCACACTTTTAAAAGAGGGCCTGAAATATAGCAAGGCAACAATTATCCCGAAACTGTCAGGACTCTTCCTGGTAACAGTGACACTGAACAACCAGGGCGATACTCTACCGGGGTAAAGCGAATTCAGCAAATTCAGGTGGCAGGAGTTATTACGGATGACGAATATTCATAGAGCAAGTTAGATTGCGCAGGCTAGCTAACAACCACGGAACCAGCCCAGTCGAAGGTGGGGAGCTGCCTGCCAGGTTAAGGGTTAAACAAGCCTTTTAAAAATCAGCAGGAAGGAGATTGCAGGGCCCAGAAAGAAGGCTTTATAAACACAGAACCGGTGGGGTGGGAGAGGTGGAGGGGGGAAAGGTCTGCCCACCCATTAGCACAATCCTTGTGCCCCCCCCCCGCCCTAAAATATGTGCGTGCTCCGATTGGGAGACAGAAAGCACCATAGGCAGGGAGAAGGTGGGTGTCTCCCCACCCCACCGTCCCTTTGCTGGGGGGCTGGCTCTCCCTAATCTCCCCCCCCCCAGCAGCTGATCTAGAGAGGGCAACCCCCACCCACAAAACACGACGGCAGCAGCCAGGAGGGAAGAAGAGCTGCGTCGTGTGGGGGGGGGCAGAAGGAGAGAGGAGGAAGAGGCGAGCCCGCCCCCTGCCCGCCCCTGGTGCTGCAGGTTGCCGGGGGGGGGGGGAATGACACGGCACGGCTCGCCCCTGCAGCAGAGGCGCGCGGGGGGGGGGCTCGGGAGGCTCCTCGCCGCCGCCTCCAACCCAGGCACCCTCCTGGCGCCCCCCCAACCCACGGACTACACCAGGGGGGCGTCACAGCTGCAGCCCCCTCCTCACCCCTCCCAGCCCCACGGAAGAATTTTTTGGGGGGGGGTTAGTCTGTGTCATTCCTGTTCCCTCCCCTCCCCCTCCCCTGACCTTTGACCCCCCCCCCCGCTCACCCTGAGGGCGGAGAGGTCGATGTCGTCGAGGCTGCGGGCGGGGGCCGGGTCGGCCATGGCGGGCGGCTGCTGTTTCCCCCCCCCTCAGTGCTGCTGCTGCTGCTGCCGCGGCCCCATCTTCTTCTTCTTCCCCCTCACAGAGCGACGGACGGACTGACAGGCGCCAGGGAGGGAAAAGCAGCGCCGCACTGCGCAGGCGCGGGGGGCCGAGTGGGCGGAGGCTCTCCCGCTCCGCGCAGGCGCGGCGGCGGGGAGAGGCGGCTCCCGCGCAAGCGCCTGGAGGGCCCGGAAGAGGCGCGGAGCGGCGGAAGTCACGACGCGGAGAGGGCCTGGGCGGCGCAGGCGCAGAGGGGGGGTCCGCCCCGCCTTCCCGAGCGTGCGCGGAAGGGACGTGAAAGCACGTACGGGAGGCGGGGACTTGCACGTAGTCGAATACTGTAGCGTATGCTCGAGGGAAGTGTGGCGGAAGTCGGAGGGGCGACGCGAGTGCTCCGACGCGCATGCTCCGTGCAGCGGCGCGGGGAGCAGCCTTTTCCCGCCTTTTTCTAGCGGCGGTTTTTCGTGAGGTGAAAAAGCCCCACAGATTCGTCGCGTGAAGAAACTCGAGGGCCAAAAACACCTCAGGCGCCCAGACATTGTCCCTGTCGAGAGCTAGATTTCCACAGAAAACACCTTCTAACGCTGCCTGAAACAATTAAAACTGCCGCTCTCGTTTTAATGCATCAATTGGATTACTTCGTGTAATCTTAACCCTCCCGCTTCACAGGCGGCTTCTTAGCGCTTCAGAAATAACCACAGCGCCAACGCAAACAACACGGCCCAAAATAAAGATTGTATTTACTGTTAGTTTACTTCGTAAAATGAATACGCCGCTTTGTTATTACCATTTATTAAATTGGATTGCTTTTTGAAAAACAAACCCAAAAGAGGTTTGCCAAAAGAAGAGGACAAGAAAATGATTAATAAATGCAAAAAATAAAAAATAAAGGTGCACCAGCATTTTGGATATCTCGTTTAAACTTTAAATAAAGATGGGCCCCTGTTGCTGCTCTGAGGGAGACGGAGCCGATTCAGCGCCTGGGACAGGCAGCTATGTTTTAAATATCCGACCGTTTGTCAACGCTTTTAAATATAGATAGCCAAATGAAGACCTGGGAGAGATCAGGGTTCGAATCCTCCCACGAAGGGGCTATGAAACTCCTCTCAGATCTGAGAGGGGCAACAGGACGTTGTGTTGTGTTTTTGTTTAGAGGCAAAATTTGCTACGGATCCTCTCCCTCCTCAAATGTAGGCGAAGCAAACGATCCGGATCAGCCCCATCACCGGTCTTAGAGGGTTGCCGTATTTTGAAGAGCAAAGACGACGACACGACGCCAGCCGTTCCAAGCAAATAAATGCAATTTGTCTCCAGTTTTACCCCTGAAAAAGAGGACTTGTCCTGGGAAAAGAGGACACATGGCCCCCCTGCCACTGGACTATGGGGCAAAGAGCCCCCCATCTGCCTTGCTGTCATAGGAACGGCCAGAGCAATTTCCCCTCCTTCCCCCCCAATATGATTTTTTATTCGATTTCCAATTTTTTTTACAAACTGACTTTCTGTTCAACAGTTCCACCTCCACCATGTTTTCCTTCAAAGCTTTTCCTATATGCCAATTTCTCGCCTTTACAGAGCACAGTTGCACCAGATTTGAAACGGGCCAAGATGTTGGCAGCCGTCTCCGGATCCCACTGGGAGAAATGGCGACAGAAAGTCTCAGGACTAATGGAACCTTTATTATTGCTTTAAAATGGAGTTTCTTCTTAAGGCACCGAGGAAGCAGCATTGTTCGTTTCTGGGTGCAACGGAATAATGTTTTGCACAGTTCCTGCTGTTTCCACTGCAGCCGAACCGGTTTCACACCCAACTTAAGGCGCCGGATTTAAACGGAAAGTGGTTCCGAAACAAGGGAGGTTGAGAGAAGCTATGGGGTGCAAAAAATGGTGGGGTGCTCCGTTCCAACCTCCTGGAAGCTTTTGGGTTTTTGGAAAATGAGACAGCACCTTCCTCACTTTGGAATACAAAATTAGTGCCGGCGGATGAGAAGCATTTTGTGGCTTTAAACCAGGCTGGCAAAAGCCCTTAAACTAATTCGTAATGGCGGAAGTTACCCCAGAGGGTGGTGTCCCGTCACCCAGCTCTGGCCGAAGACAAGAGTCGTTCCTTGCCGAAGAATCCAGACAAGCCAGAGCTGCAAATGGGGGAGAGAGGTTCACGGGTCACGTGCAGAGTGCAAATGCTCTCTGTGAGCCTCCTCCTGTTTTCCCCTCGGGGCTCCCCCCGCCTGCTGCGTCAAGTCCACACCTCCACGGGGATCATGCCCTCCTTGCTGTTGAGAGGGGGCAGGAGATACTCCTCGGCCAGGAACTCCAGGGGAAATTGGACTAGGTGGCCCTGCACCTTTTGCAGGTGGTCCCTGGCCAGGATGGGGCTCTCAGAGGCCAGGCTCTTCTTGCTGACGTGATGGTGCAGGTCCCTCCGGGACTTGACGGCGTCGGTGGGGAGGCAGGAGAAGACCTGGCGGAGAGGAGGAATTGCGGGGAGAAAGAGAACAAAATGCCCAACATTAATAATGATAAATTTTTATTTATACCCCGCCCTTCCCGGTTCAGAAGACCGGGCTCAGGGCGGCTAACAACAAATTTAAAACACTTAATTGATGCAACCCCCCCCAAAAAAAACAGCATAAAATACAGTATAACACGTGAATAACAATAAATTCAGAATTCAAAAATCAATTTAGGGGGGAAATCCATCCAATAAACAGATGATCACCAGGGCTAGCTGGCTAAATTAGTCCTATTTGGGCCAGCGAGGAGACCAGGGGAGAATTAGCTGTGGGATCCCAGAGCAGGTAATCTTCCTAAAAAGGGGAGGGGGAGGGAAGGAAGGAAGGGGAATAAAAGATCAGGCTGAATTCAAATTAAAGGCCAGGTGGAATAACTCTGTCTTACAGGCCTGACGGAAGGAGGTTAAATCCTGCAGGGCCCTAGTCTCATGGGACAGAGCATTCCACCAGATCGGAGCCATCACTGAAAAGGCCATGGCCCTGGTGCAGGATAATCTGACTTCCTTAGGGCCCGGGACCTCTAAAGTATGATTATTCATGGACCTTAAGGTCCTCTGCGGGGCAGACCAGGAGAGGCGGTCCCGTAAATACGAGGGCCCTGAGCCATTTAAGGCGCAGGCCCTGTTGGAGTCAGGGTGCTGTCCCCAAGCAAGATCCTGCTCCAAGGGAAAGCTATGGGGCAGCAATGGGGAACCTAAGACCCTCCTTCCCGGGAGGATTTTAAGCAGAGGTCGGGTGGCTGCCTCTCCAGGGCACTTCCGTCGTGATTCCCGCACTGCCTGGGGCTGGACTGGATGACCCCTGGGGGTCCGCTACACACCTTGTCGTAGATGCTGGTGTTGGACGAAGCTGTGGCTTGCCAGACGTCCCAGAAGAAGCGGTCGCTGAGCGGGTCTTGAATGTCCAGGTCAGAGGCCACCCCTAAAACGCACCTGCCAGCGGGGTAGGAAAAAGGGGTTTTGCCCAGGTCAGCGACACACAAAGCCGCTTTAGCTCCGGGAGACTATTTGTTCTGGAGGGTTTAATTTCGAGAAGAGGCGACACGGTAGCCGCCGATAAAGAGAGGCAAGGCAGGGAGAAACTGGAAAGAGGGCAGTTTTGCTCCCTCTGTCAAAATAGCAGCAGATGTTGAGGGCAACTAAAGAGGGTGAACGTTGGGAGATGCAGAAAGATAAAGTCCTTCTTCACGCAGCCCCTCGTTGAACTATGGAACTCACCGCTGCAGGAGGCAGCAAAGCACTGACCAGGATGGCTTCCAAAGAAGATGGGGACCCCGAGTTCCTTCTCACCTGCACTGCTGTCCAGCCAGACTCCCGCAGTGGGGTGGGGTGTCTCTAGGCCCCATGGCCCTGATCCCTGACTCTGTTCCTCCCTTACCCCTAGAAGACAACCCTGTGCTAAAGAGTATATGAAAAAACATTGTTCTGGAGTAAGCCTATCTGTATGTAATGAATGATGCTTTGCAGGGTTAAAGAAAGAGAAAAATGGTGTAAAAACTATAAAGATAGAGGTAATCTACATTAGACACAACAACTTTGAAAGAGTAAAAATTTCGAGGTCTCAGAACAAAGGAAGTCAATATGTGTATATGTATGTAATGACTAAATTAGAATGATGATATGGTTTTATTTGTAGATGTGTGTTTTTTTGTGTTTGTGTTTTTATTTTTTTCTTGTTTGCACTGTTTTATTTTGGATTCAATGTTTCTAATTTTTGTCGTAATTTTGCATTGAAAATAAAAAAGAAGAAGACGAAGACAACCCTGCCGGCACACACCTGAAGCAGTCGAGGCGCAGGCTTAGGGCAAACTTCCCCGCCTGGTACTCCTGCCCACCCATGACGGACGGCACCAGATCCGTGTCCTCGACCAGGACAGCCAGCTCACTGTCCCTCTTCCCCAGGAGACTCCGGTCATTGATGTTGGCTGAGCCTTGGGGCAGGAGAAAGCAAGGGAGCCATTAAGGGAAATGGGGGGGGGAGCAGCCCACGCTGGATGCTGCAAGTGGCCTCCTGCAGGGAGAGGCGTTCCCAGGGCCCCCCTCCTCACCGATGATGACGCGCCGGTCGTCCGCAATGAGCATCTTGCTGTGGATGTAGATCAGCTCCGTCAGGAGTTTCCCCCGCAGCTCCCCGTGGGTCCTCAGCCCGCAGAAGGAGATGTAGCTCTTCCAGGCATCCCCCACTTTTCGAGGAAAGAGGGAGAGAGGTGGGTGTTAGAGGGACAGCGCCGTGCCTGGCTTGTGGGGGCCTACCTTTCCAGTTCCAGGGGGTAAACTCTGGAGCTTGCAAAGAGCGCGGAAACAGGGGCGCTTCGGAGCGTGTGTAAAGCGCCTTTCCCCTCTGTAGGGGTGCAGAGTGTGGGGGGTCAGGTGGGATTGCTATGAGGAATTATGAAATATGGAGCGAGCCATTGTGTCCGCGATGAAAGCATGGCGTTGACTGGGTTTGATTCAGTGACAATAGTTTCTGATCAAATCCCACAAGCCTCTGCATCTCTGCCATTTGCTGACAGGCACGTATAAGCATTCTGAAACACAGGCCAGTTGCTTCCTCAGGCATCCTCAGTACATAAGGATAGTGGGTTACTTTGATGTAGTTTAATCTTTAGATAGATCTTAAGGGCCAGGAAGAGAGTTCACAAGGAGATGGTAAATACTGCCATCCTGCCCCTCCTGTTTATGACCTCCAGGGTTTTGCTGAATGCATTCCTCCTTGGTTCCTGTTTATTTAGCTTAAACATGTATGCATGCTCAAATGGCAAATAGTTCTTTGTAGTTAAGAGGCTTCCCCTGATCTGACTTTGTCCCACATGGGTTTTCTTGAAATCCTCAGAGGAAATCTGATTGGTTCTTACGAACACTGTGTTATAAGTTCTTTTGTGAATAAAACGACCTTGGCCGAGGGGTGGAGAGGAAATTATTATTGGCACCTCCTCCCAGAGACTTGCTGGTCAAGCCTCGTGTGTATTCTATTAATCAGAGTCTAATCCTTCCTTGCTTTGGGAACGCTACACCCCTCGGCACTGTGGAAGCTGATTCTTGAATTGCATGGGGTCGGAATAGATGACCCTCGGGGTGCCCCCACGATTCTATGTCTTAGCCCAGATAGTACCTGGGATTGTAGGAGAGGGATTTTTAGCTAGGGGCAGCATAGCACAGCCCCACAGCAGAACCACAAGCCCCCTTAGGAGTCCTTCTTCTGACTACGGTTGGCAGAGAGACACCCTGCCCCATGCAGTCTCAGGCGAAGAGTTCTGAGCTTTCCCCAGTATGTTTGGGGCTGGGAGGGGGCAGAAGAAGGCTTATCTTGCCACACCCCCCTCCCCACTTACTGACTGCCTTTAGCCGGCTGACGATGGATGCCTCCCCGCGGCAGAGCGTCCTGGGAAAGAGGACGGGGGGAAATTAGACAGTGGAGTCACTTAGGGTGTGCCCCCCAATACACCTCCTTCCCCACCACCCTCTTGCCCCCCCCCCAGCTCTAGATACCAACCCAACACACCCTGCTGAGAATGGGGGATGTGGACAGACCCTCCCAGCCTGTCCTGGGGACCCTCCTTGACACCTTGAGATAGGGTGGGGTGCAAAGCAAAAACCTTGTGAAACAACATCTTAGGGGAAATGGGGAATGGCAGAGGCGGGGGGGGGGGATAATCTACAGCGCAATCGCTGTAAGGAGTTCTTAAGCTCTCTTCCTTTCTTGGGGGGCAAGGCCTGCTCAGTAAGCTGGGTCTGGGAAGCTCTGAAAGATCTTGTTGGGATCTGTGACGCTTGCACGAAATCTCTCGGGAACCTGAGAGGATGGTGTGAGATCTCTCAGGGATCTGGGAAGCTTGCACAAGATCTCGGGGGGGGATCTGCGATGCCCAGTACTGGCGCACTGAGCAGGCTGTGTCTTTAGTTGCCTTCCACATTCCCACCCACCCATCCTGCACCTGCTCCTCCCCCCCCCCCCCGGCCTCGCTTTCCAAACTCACCTGTATGTAAAGTGTAGAATGGCCTGGATGGAGTTTCCTCCGCCCTGGGCGATGTCTCCCTCAAATCCAGGCAGCAGCGGGAGCAGGACAAAGACCCGGAAGGGCTTCTTCTCACTGCAAGTGCGGGGGAAACCCCACTGTGGTTAGTGGCTGTGGCCCCCGGAAGCACTTCCTGGCCCTCGAGTCCCCTGCCTCTGGAATTGCTTGGTTTTTTGTTTCCCCCATTTTAAAAATTGTTTTCCTACATTATTACACCATTATTACAGAAGTAAATATCAATTAGGGAAAAAGAGGAAGCCAGGAACAACAGTCCTTTTACAGAAAACAATAAAACCAGCAATACTTTAGAACATGCAAAGGTTCAAGTACTGAATGCTGGTTAAAATTCACACTGGCTTTCTAAGCATCCAGACAGGCTTGTCAAAGCAAGAATGTTTTTCAGCAGGCATTAAAAAGTATACAGCTGAAGGCTGACATCAATCGGCAGGGAGTTCCAGAGTGTAGGGGCTGCCAGGTATAAGCACAAATTATACCTGCTCCCACCATGAACAGCATTTCAGGATTCAGGTGGCATTGCAGGGGGTTGGAGTAGATTACCCGGGGGGGGGGGTCCCTTCCAACTCTACAATTATCTATACAGTGGTAAGTAGGTGTTCCGGTTTTCGAACGTTTTTCCGAAGCCGAAGTCCGATGCGGGTGTCGGCTATTTTTTCCGGCACACCTGCACCAATCAGAAGCTGCACATTGGTTTCCGAACATTTCGGAAGTCAAACTGACTTCCAGAATGGATTAAGTTTGGTGCTTTTGTTTTTGCTATTTATTTTGCGTTTTTGAGGCTTTTTCGGTTAATTTGTTTTTGTGACTATGTGGAACCCAGTTCAGCTACTGATTGATTGATTATTGACTGCGGAGATTGATAAAAGCCCCCCATCCAAACAATTACTATCATCAGTGCAGATATGAAGAAAATTTAATTTTAATTTTTATCATCTACAATGCTGTCTTATTTATTTTATAGTACAGTACATTGATTAGTGCTTTAATTTTATGGATAAATGGTCTTGTTAGATAGTAAAATTCATGTTAAGTTGCTGTTTTAGGGGTTGTTTTGAAAAGTTTGGAACCGATTAATCTGTTTTGCATTGCTTTCTTTGGGAAAGCGCGCCTTGTTTTCGAATGGACTTCCGGAAAGGATTAAGTTTGAGAGCCAAGGTACCACTGAAATCAAAACAAAGGGCTCCAATAATTAGATCCACATTTCATTTTTCTTAATTCATTTAACCCTTCTCCAGCTGATCCTATTTTCCATTTTTTTAAAAAAGCCAAACAATGTTATAGCTAGTTGGAACCGATCTATCAGATCTCTAGCCATTTATAAAAGGAATAATCAATGCACATGTTTTTTTTTGCCAGGCTGGCATTCGTATTTTGATTTTATGGGAGCGCCTCCGAGCCGAGTTAGGGAAGGGGGCAACTTGAACCCGGAGGCCTGGAGTGTGCCATTCAGCCCTGGAAAGGGAAGAGGTTTGCCCCACTGAGCATGCACAGAGTGCTTACCCCACCCCCTGCTAATGAGGCATTGCAGCCAATCTCAATTTGGGCCAAAACAGGGACAGACCTGTGGGCAAGCAGCAGTCGGTCAACAATGGCGTCTCCCACGGTGTTGATCACCGAACGCCCGTCTGCGCAGCTTATGAAGAACTGGTTCTGGAGCAGGAATAAAAGGGGGTGCATGGGAGAGGGAGGAGAGAGAGAGAGAGAGAGAGAGAGAGAGAGAGAGGTGTATGTACCTGCAAAAGACATAAACAGAAACCCCCTGCCTTTCCCTCCCAAAACCGGGGCTCCTCTTAGCTGCCTGGGGACATGTGTTGCATTAATAAAAAGCAGCACTCTGCCCTTCCTCAGAGACCCTCTTGCTCATCTGTTATGCACTGAAGTTCTCACCCTGGGCCAGCAGGGGCATACTGTAGATAGTTTTCACTCAGGTCAACATATGCAAATAAGGAATTGAAAGTGACCTTCAGTGATTGGATAGTTACAGAAAGTTGTTACTGTTGCGTTGTAGTTGAGCTCTATACAAGCAGGCTGGCTGAACCCTTCAGCCCAGTTCTGTTCTGGGTCTGTGAATAAACAAGAACTGTCTGAAGAAATGCTGTGTCGTCTGATATGTTCACCCACAACTTAACAGCATCTGCACTCCACTCTATGGTTCCAAGGTGGGTTGCCACCTTAAAAGCAGTTCAAAGCGAAGAGAGTTCCTGGGTTGCATGCAGAATGAATTAGGCAAGGCGATGTGCATGTCAAAATCACATCTCAGCAAGCAATATAGTTCCTTTGCCCTGCAAAGCTCCAACAAATATACGAAACAGCCCACATGGTGCAAAATATGTGAAAATTAGCAAATCTGCACAATTTGGATTCGTCAGAGAATCCTACTTTTTCTGGGTTTAGCGGGAAGAAATTCCAATGAAAATCCTCGTTATTACATATTTTTGCATGGCTGTTTGTTTGTATATATTTTATATATGGATGTTTTATGACGGCCTATATTTGTAATGCCTGATAAAGGTTTGGCAAAGTAAAATACAATATACTAAAATAAAAGCAGCTCAAAGCAACTCACAGTCACGGAAATAATGACACACTCCTCTACTGCCCCACCCACAAATTGGACTCCCCCCCCCCGACTCCCATTTTCCCCATCCTTCTCCTTTGGGCCCAAAGGAAGAGGAAGATGAAGAGGAAGAGGTCTCAGTCTCAACCCCCCCCCATACAGTCCCCCCTTCCGCTCACCTGTCCCAAGACCTACCTCAATGTACAGGTAATGCTGGCTCTCTTTTATGACACTCAGGTAGGCGTTGTAGATCGAGTGTTCGTGGAGGCCGGCCGACCAGCGGTCCACAGAGCGCAACACCTGCAGGAAATGGAGGGAGGCCAAAAAAGCTATTTTTTTTACCTCTCCTACAGCCACAGAACGACAGCCCTGCAAGGCGGGGCAGGCCAAGCAGGAGAAGGTGCAAGAGAGAGCCCGGCCCGGCTGACCTGGGGCCCTTCCTGTTTGCCCTCACCTTTCCACACACCCCTCACAATTCCCAGACATTCTGTGTCTGAAAACCAAAAACAGGTCTTGCCGGGGTTCGACTAAATGACCTGGGGAGGGCCCCTTCCAACTCTACGAAAAACCAAGCTCAAACTCCAATAGGCTGCGAGAATATCTTGCTGGATCATGGCAAAGGGGCGACCATCCAGTCTAGCATCCTGTCCCAGCGGTTGCCAGGAGACAGGCAGGTGTGGAGGACTCCCTGTTTCTGAATGGGGTAACTGTGCCCCTGAAGGACCAGGTGAGCAGCCTGGGAGACATTCTGGACTCACCGCTGTCCATGGAGGTGCAGGTCAGTTCTGTGTCCAGGGCAGCTGTTTACCAGCTCCATCTGGTACGCAGGATGAGACCCTACCTGCCCGCAGACTGTCTCTCCAGAGTGGTGCATGCTCTGGTTATCTCCCGCTTGGACTACTGCCATGCGCTCTACGTGGGGCTACATTTGAAGGTGACCCGGAAACTACAACTAATCCAGAATGCGGCAGCTGGACTGGGGACTGTGAGTGGCTGCCGAGACCACATAACACCAGTCTTGAAAGACCTACATTGACTCCCAGTACAGTGGTGCCTCGCAAGACGAAATTAATCCGTTCCGCGAGTCTCTTCGTCTTGCGGTTTTTTCGTCTTGCGAAGCACGGCTATTAGCTGCTTAGCTGCTATTAGCGGCTTAGCGGCTATTAACGGTTTTAAGAAAAAGGAAACAAACTCGCAAGAACTCGCAAGACATTTCGTCTTGCGAAGCAAGCCCATAGGGAAATTCGTCTTGCGGAACGACTCAAAAAATGGAAAACTCTTTCGTCTAGCGAGTTTTTCGTCTTGCGAGGCATTCGTCTTGCGGGGCACCACTGTATGTTTCCAAGCACAATTCAAAGTGTTGGTGCTGACCTTGAAAGCCCTAAATGGCCTCAAAGGCCCAGTAGACCCCCATCGTTCTGCCCGGACACTGAGGTCCAGCTCCGAGGGCCTTCTGGCGGTTCCCTCACTGCGAGAAGCCAAGATACAGGGAACCAGGCAGAGGGCCTTCTCGGTGGTGGCGCCCGCCCTGTGGAACGCCCTCCCACCAGATGTCAAAGAGAAAAATAACTACCAGACTTTCAGAAGACATCTGAAGGCAGCCCTGTTTAGGGAAGCTTTTAATGTTTAAGAGGTTATTGTATTTTAGTGTTTTGTTGGAAGCTGCCCAGAGTGGCTGGGGGGACCCAGCCAGATGGGCGGGGTATAAATAATAAATTATTATTATTATTATTATTATTATTATTATTATTATTATCATTATTATTATTATCATCATCATCATTAAACCAGGTGCCCAGGATGGGAAATCTGCCCACCCAGAGACCCAGCCTCTCACCTGAACGTTGGCGGTCTGAGCCCCGGGCACGACGAACGGGACCTGCAGGGGCGTCGCTCGAGAGGACTTGGGGAGCAGGTAGGGGTAGTCCTGCCCTTTGTACTTGGGCTTCACGGTCTGGGGGGGGGAGAAGCAGAAGGAGGGTTTGCCACAACAGCTGCGAGAAAACTACGAGCGAAGAATTGGAAGAAACAACTTCCAACTATCTACCAACTATCGAAGAATGGCAGATGAAGATGATGGGACTATATGGAACTTGCCGAACTGACCGGGAGACTCCAAGACCATAGAGAAGAGACGGTGGAAGAAGAAGTTTAAAGAATATTTGAAAAAAACATGTTAATATTTAAATCTTAGAATAGCTTTGGAAGCGGATATAGGCTGTAGGGTTAAAAGTAGAAGACAGTGTATTTTAAAAGTGTATTATTTGTAAGTGATAAAATGTGAAGATCTTTATGGTAAAAGTAAGCGTGAAAAAAAATGGTTAAAAAATATGATATATGTAAACTGCTAAAGATGAGGTAAAGTGAAAATCAGATAGGGGGGACTTGGGGAAACTCACCTAATAATGTTTAGAAAAAATAAGGATAAGAATTGGTTTGTATTGTTTGTTTTTCTGTTTGTGTTGTTTAGTTGTGTTATAAAATGAATTAAAAAAATTGGGAAAAGAAAGGAAAATCAGGAGGAGGGGGGAGACACCCCCCAGAAGCATCTTTGCCCAGAAGAGGCAGCCATGGAGTCCCGAATCTGCTGCACTCAGACAGTCTTAACCCTGGAATTGTATGTATTTGCAAGGGGGGTTATTGGCTGGGGGGGGGCAGAAGAGATATTTGTCGGCTCTGCTAGCAGATCTGGGGGTGGGGGTGCTGTTCAGTCCCACAATCCCTACACCCCCTTCCTCTCAACATGCACCTGCACACACCTGAAGGGCTGCCCCACGGAAGACGGAGCAAGCTACCGTATTTTTCGCTCCATAAGACACACTTTTTTCCTCCTAAAAAGTAAGGGGAGATGTCTGTGCGTCTTATGGAGCAAATGTGTGGTCGATCGCTGGCTCCCTTTCCGCCCCCTTGCCCAGGCCTCCATTGTTGAATGTTCTGCAGACGGAGGCTGTTTGTTTCCCCAGCGATATGTGACTATTATCTGCCTGGAAACTGTAGAAACAGCTCCCTTTTCTTTCCTAAAGAAGCTGCAGAACTGTGAGTTGAACCCCATAAAAACATGATTTTTCCCTTTGCAAAGTAAGCTGCAAAGCTTTGAGCTGATCCTCAAAAAACTGGGGCTTTCCCCCTTTCCTCCTCTGAAAACTAGGTGCCTCTTATGGTCAGGTGCGTCTTATGGAGTGAAAAATATGGTAGTTTCGGAGGGCAGGATCCAAACTGCAAGAAGGGACAATTCTGCAATTCTCTACATTTCTGCAATTCCACAACTCACCTTGGTGAAGTTCCATCGCTGGATGAAGTGTCGCGCTACGTCCCGGGCGGCCAGGCCGTGAACGGCCACCCCAACGTCCCTCCATGGCATCCGCGGAGTCTGGTACCTGTCAATGAAATCTGACCCACACCTGCCGTTAGCCCCCCAGGCAGCAGGATCGGGGAGGGGCTGGGGCCCTGGAAGCCCCCACCATCAGGCCCCCTTGGGCCCAATCCAGCAGCCAGGCTTAAGGGGCATCGCAAAGTGGAGGCACTGCAGAGGCTGGCAGAATACCTCCTCCCTCCCTACAACTGCCTCCAGGGGCTGCCCCACATACCAGACCCAGTGATGGACCATGGGGCTTTGTTTTGAGGGGACGGGAATATGCACGGCATAGTAGGGTAGAGAGGAAATTTTCTTCCCTCTCTCCTCTAACACTGGACATCCAGCGAAGGTGAATCTTGGAAGATTTTTTAAAAAATAATGTCATTCATAACACAGCGCACAGCTGAACTATGGAACTCCTTGCAAAACTGACGGGAAGAGTTAGAGAAGTATTGAGCCAGAAAATATTTGGAGAATGGAGAATATTTAAGGGTTATATAAGATCATATTGTACCAATCACACCAGATTAGCAGAACTTGAGTGATACTTGTAAACACAACAAATACCGTTTGTGGACGGGAACAATATTAAAGAATATACAACTGTGCAGAAAAAATAATGACGGTATAAACAGTACAACGAGAATGATTGGAAGACTCGTTTTGTCAGAAGTCTTTTGTATTTAAGTGTTTAATTAAGTATTAATTAGGAAGATTAAGGTGTTTTTTTATGTGCGTAAATTTGCTTTTTCTTCTTTCTTTTTCCTGTATTTTCTTCTTTTCTATTTTCTTAATTGTTTTTTCGTTAATTTTCTTTTTGTAGTATGAGGTTGTAAATTTTTTGTAAATTCTTTGGGGTCCCTGGGTAGCTACTGGCACTGGATTAGATGGGCCTGATCCTGCAGACACTACTTACACCTAGAAGCTGAGGGAGGGGTAACTTCCCAAGACATAAAAGCAAATAAAATTCTTTTTTGGGGGGGGTTGCACCAGTACAGCTGCCCCCACCACCTTGCAACTTTGGGGGAGTGCTGGTGTGTGGGTGCTTGCTTATCCCCACAGAGCAGCCATCCCTCTGTGTCTGCACCCCCCGACCCCCAACACCCCCACCACTCAAAGCCAAGGGCCACCGTGGCTCTGCTCTTAAGAGCATCCACTTTGGAGGCGCAAGGTCCTGGGTTCGATTCCTGACAGCCCCTCCAGGTAGGGCTGGGAGGGACCCCCTGCCTCAAAGCCCAGTCCTCAGCTGCAATGGACCCCCATAAATTTACACAAAACAAATTAAATACCATGAAAATCCCTGAAACGAGAAGTAATCAGCCTTTAACATCAGCATCTAGACCATGGGACCATGTTCTTGAGTTTGTTCAAAATCTAAAACAGCTTATCTTGTACTCCTTTCTTTGAATTTGTGCTATGTAGGTTCTTTAAACCTTTCTGTAAAGGCAATACTAGCGTTTTCACAACCGAGTCCTCAACTCCTTATTACCACTGCTTGGCTTTCTTCAAATAGGGCTGAAAAAAAGTGTTTCAGCCCTGTTCTTGAGTTTGTTTAAAATCATTTAAGGTTTACGATTTCTCTATTTCCTTCTGCGGAAGCTGAACAGTTCACTGAAATGAGGTTTGTAGCTGGCATCCCATTAAGGCTTTGTTCAATTCTAGGCTTTCCTTAAACCTGTTGTTTTTTGTTATTTGGTTTAATTCTACAAGATAATATTTCCAGTCGATTACTTTCTGTTCCGGGGCTTCCCGCGGTATTTCATTTGTTTTGTGTAAGTTCTCGGTTCCGCGACTGTCTTTTTTCTACTGCAACGGACCCCCGTGGCAGCTCCCAGTTTTGGGGCGGGGCGGGAAGGGAAACGTGGTTTTGGGGCGCCCCCGCTTTACCCGGGCTCGACCCCCTGCCCCCCAGCCCCCTCACCCACCTTCGAAGGGTCTGTCCAGCTGCACCCAGTCCTTCGCAATGAGGTTGCTGTAGTCCTTGCCCAGCCAGAGGCGTTGGTTGGTGGCCAGGTCAACGGGGGCTTCGTCCCCCCCTGGAAGGGCAGCCCCTCCGCCCTGAGAGAGAGAGGGGGTCAGCGTGGGGAGCAGGCGGCTACCAGCGTCCCTGTGGGGAGGGAGGGGGCGAAAGAGGGAGAGGGAAAGCAAGAAGAGGAGAGGAGGAACGAGTCAGAAACAGATGAGAGGGAGAAAGAGAAAAGCAAAAAAAGGGCGTTCCTGGGCTTGGCGGCCACTAGGTGGCGCCCATGTGCCTGCTCTGAACTCGCTTGCCTGCCAGTCATTGGCCGAGCGTGGCTGTGATGTCACGGAATGCAGACGAATCAGAACAGCAGTTGCAGAGGAAATCAAGAGGGAAAAGAGCGGAAGAGGAAAGCAAAAAGAGGGTGATGGAAGCGTTCCTGGGCTTGGCGGCCACTAGGTGGCGCATATTTGCCTGCTCTGAACCTGCTTGCCAGGCATTGGCCAAGCGTGGCTGTGATGTCATGGAATGCAGACAAACCAGAACAGCAGTTGCAGAGGAAAAAGAGCGTCAGAACTCGCACCCAGCTCATGAGCCAAGGGCATAATCCTTATGGCACACAGGGAATAAGGCCTGAAGGGAAACTTTTGGGGAGATGCAGACAATGTGGTGCTTGACCAACGCGTTTGGGGGTTCAGGGAGAGCCAAGAACAGAGAGAAAGCCATTGAGAGGGGGGGAATGAGACTGGGGGTCTGCGGAAAAAGGGGGCAGCAAGGAGAGGGACCCCCCAACCCCCCAATGCTACCTTGGGGGCCCGGCAGTCGTCGCCCTCCAGGTCCGCCAGGCGGTATTCGTGGGTGTCCCAGCGCCCGTAGGCCAGATCCAGTCCGCCCAGGAAGGCCACGGACTGGTCCACCACCACCAGTTTCTCATGGTGGGCCCACAGGAAGATGATGGAGGAGACGTGGTCAGGGTGGCGCATCACCTGCGGTGGGGGGCAGAGAGACATTTCGGGGTGGCTCAGTGCTGTGTGGGGGTCTGGGAAGCCCACCCAGCCACCCTCTTGCCCCGAGGCAGTGTGGTGTAGTGGTTAGAGGGTTAGACCTGGGAGACACCAGGGTTCAAATCCCACCCCCTGGGCTGCGAAGCTTTCTGGGGGTGGCCAGTCCCTGCCTCTCAGACTTCACAGGGTTAGAATAATAGAATAATTTGGTAACATACAGACAGATAATTTAAGGATCTTAAGGAATTCTTAATAAAATAATTATTCTAAATAAATAAATAAACATTAATAGAATTAACTCTTAAGCGACAAACTGAATGATCCCTGCTGTTGCACTGCCAGCAATTAAAAGATTTGCCATTGCGGTGTCATGCAAAAAGAAGAAGAAAAAGGATAATAGAATAATAGGATTGTAGAGGTGGAAGGGACCCAAGGGTCATCTAGTCCAACCCCCAGACTTTTGCTTAAAAATCTCCAAGTTGTAACTTGAAGCCATGGGTTCAAGTCCTGCCCTCTGGAGCAGCAGGAAACAAGCTTGCTCCATCTTCCATGCGACGGCCCTTGAGATACCTGAAGATGGCTCTCATATCTGAAGGCAGCCCTGTTTAGAGAAGCTTTTATTATTTGATACGCTACTGTATTTTAATATTTTGTTGGAAGCCGCCCAGAGTGGCTGGGGAGGCCCAGCCAGATGGGCGGGAAATAAATAAATAAATAAATAAATAATAATAATAATAATAATAATTATTATTATTATTATTATTACTCCTCTCAGTCTCCTCTTCTCCAGGCTAAACATACCCAGCTCCTTCAACCGTTCCTCATCAGGCTTGGTTCCCAGATCATCTTCACTGTTGTGTGGATTAAATGAGGAATAGGAACTTGCAGCGACCCGGGTTCAAGTCTGACCTTGGAGGCCTGCCAGTTTGGCACGAACGGTGGGGCTTTGGGGCTACGGCCATTTGGGAGACACAGAGAGACAACAGCGGGAAGAGGGCAAAACCCCCGGTGTGAATTTGCACCGGCCGGTTGTGCAAAAGTGTGTGGGGGGGTCCCCCTTACCTTGATGTTTGGGTGCAACAGCATGAGGGCCCGTTTGCTGTAGTCGCTGTTGATGCCCAAGGCCAAGCCCACCTCCTTGAAGAGCAGCACACAGATGCGCACCCCCTGCTCCTGAAAGGATGGCAGAAGGGCAGAGTTGAGAGGGGGACACCCAGCGGTCATCCAGCCCAACCCCACGAAAAAGCAGGACGCACAGCTCAAGAGGCAAGGGGAAAAGATGGAGGGGTGCAGGAAGACATCAGCAGCTGCAATGTGGGGTGGGGAGGGGAAAGGAAAGAATAAAGGCGCCCCCACCCAACCCCAAACCTCAGGCGGGGAGGGGGGGCTGCTCACCGCTTTGTGTTTCAAAAGGAGGTCCAGCCTCCACTCGTCCGACTGGGCCGGGCGCTTCATGTAGATCTCCGGGCTGAGCCTGGGAATCACAGAATAATCGTGGCGTTGGAAGGGACCCCCGGAGCTCATCTAGTCCAGCCCGCTGCAACGCAGGGAGGAAAAAGAGTGGGGCTGGGGGCTCCATCCCGCATTTAGCATGGCCGCACTGGCTGCATTTAAAGGCAAGAGGGGCCCCCCCCTCGGATCATTTGAACTGATTTTATAACAAATTGATTTTAGAATGCTGTATTGTTTTCCTGTTGTTAGCCGCTCTGAGCCCGGCTTCGTCTGGGGAGGGCAGGATATAAATAAAATATTATTATTATTATTATTATTATTTGCCCCCGTTGCCCATTCAATTGGGATTAGCCTAGAAGCTGAGTTGTGAGCCATCCTGTGAGCTGAAGGGTGGAATATAAATTTAATAAATAATATTAGATGCTGCCCTCTGGCTGGGCACAGAAACCTCGCACCCAGGTCTCCCACAGGCCGGCCTCGCGGAGAGGAGAGCGGGGAGGGGATCACGGCGTCCATTTCTGGCCCCCGTATTTTGGGACCAGGAATATCTTTTTTTCCAAAAAAAGGAGAGAACCTATTTATTATGATGATTAATTACATTTGTATAGCACCCATAGATCTCTGTTGGCAGGCAGTTCCACCACTTCAAAAATATGGAGATTGGGGGGGGGACATTTTGGGAAGCTAAGCACCTCCCCACTTCTGAGGCTGGGCAGCCCCCAACCCAAGACCACCCCCCCGGCACTGACCACCAGTCCGTGATGAAGATCTCCTCTTTCGCCTGCGCCACGGCTTCCGCCACCGCCGCAAAATACCCGGCACCGTTCACAAACCTAAAAGTGGAGAAAAAGAGAAAAGAGAGAGTTTGAAAAGCTTCTGGGAAATGATATATAATGAGATGAAAAAAATGTTGAAATATACATTCATAAAGAAACCAGAAGCATTTTTACTGGGCATGGTAGGAAGCGATATAAATAGAAAGGAATGTAAACTGTTTTTATATGCAATGACGGCAGCAAGAATATTATTAGCAAAAAAATGGAAGCAAGAAGCATGGAGGATGAAATTGATGGGCTACGCAGAATTAGATAAACTAACAGGATGGATTCGAAATCTGCGGGACCAGAAATTCACAGAAGACTGGTGTAAATTTACAGGCTATTTGAAAAGTAATAGTGATGATCAAACTACGTTTGTAGGTTTGCAAGAAGTTTTGTGAGGTGAATTATTGCAAAAATGGATAAAGGGGAGGATGATTAGAGGTGGGTCATCAGAGGTGATGATGGGAGTCCATAAAAAGTTTGTACAAGTGGTGAGGTTTTGGGGTATGTATTATAGTTCATATGTTAAAATTAATAAAAAATATTATTTTAGAAAAAGAGAAAGACAGGGTGATGGGGGGAGAGAGAGACCTTGGGGGGCTGAGGACCCACCCGCCCAGCCCAGGACCCCCAGGGCTCACCAGCGGGCAGGGGTCTCCTTGCGAGGGGGCACAAAGCCCTGGTGGCGATGGAGCCGCAAGAAATCTCTGCCCTTGCCCTCGGCCAGTTCGGTGATCTCCTGGCACCACCAGCAGGCCTGGCGGTAGCTGCTACACTTCAGGATGAGAGACCTAGGTTGGGGAGAAAAATAATAATAATAATTTCATATTTATACCCAGCCCATCTGGCTGGGTTTCCCCAGCCACTTTGGGGAGGGCAGCGTATGAGTCCGGCGGCCGGTCAGGCCAAAGGGGACCCAGGAAGACCGGCGTCCGGTCCCCATGGGGACCCCTGATCTCCGAATCGAGATAGACTGTCTCTGGACCTGGAGGTTCCATAAGAGGACACTGGGAGAGATAGGAGAGCCATCTTCAAATATCTGGAGGGTTGCCACATTTAGCTGAGATATTATTATTATTATTATTTGAAAAGTTTTTATTGTTAAAATAATTCAGCATTAATATACACATATTACGAATATACACGCATACAAACATACATTTCATACAATCCTTAAGAATATTCTAACATACCTACATTCAGTCCCACAGATAATTCCTTTTCCCATCACCATCCACTACCCCTCACCCCACCTTTGTGTTAGACTTCCAATCTACTCAATTGCAAAGCTAAGATATTATTATTATTATTATTATTATTATTATTATTATTATTATTATTCTGTTGGGAGCCGCCCAGAGTGGCCGGGGAAAGCCAGCCAGATTGAACTTGAAATACTTTATTGTCACTTGTACAACTTGTCTACAGTGAGATTACACACAAAATCCCTATTTTTCTTGCGAGCCCGATGTTTACCAGTTTTGTGCGTGAGTAGGTGAAGTATTGGGAGCTTAGAGCCGCAGCGTATGAACGTGCCGCCATCTTGGAACAGGGTATATATATAAATAATAATAATACTAATTATTATTATTATTACTCTGTTGGGAGCCACCCAGAGTGGCTGGGGAGACCCAGCCAGATAGGCGGGGTATGTATAATATATTATTATTATTATTATTATTATTATTATTATTCCTGCATTGCAGGGGGTTGGGCTAGATGACCCACGGGGTCCCTTCAAACTATGATCCTGAGATTCTCCCATTCTCCTTCCGCTCATTCCTGGGAGGGGCAGGGCAGGAAACGCTCTCTCCCCTGGAGACTCTTGAGCCAAGAGGCAGGTAAACAGCCAAGCCCTTTCGCTCCCTTGAGCGATTTCTTCATCTTGGCTCGGATCCTGCCTCTCTCGGCTGGGACTCCCGCCCTCCCCGGTCTGCCCCGGCCATGGGGACCCAGGCGTCCTGACCTGCAGGTGTTGTCGATGCGCACGCCGTGCTTGGTCTCGGTGGGCTTCTTGCCCACCTGGATGTTGAAGCCGGTGTCGAAGAGGAGCACGAAGGAGATGACGCCCGACTCGGGCTTCAGGTAGAGCAGGAAGGAGTCTTTCACAACCAGCCACCTGGAAAGGGGTCCCAGAGGTGTAAAGAAGGATGAGAGAGAGAAGCCCCCACCCCTCTCCCCGCAGCAGCACCCTTGGGAGACTCACCTCTTCGACCAGCGGTAGCAGAACTGATGGCGCCCCGCGCAGTTGAGGCCCTGCAAGCGGTGGCCCCCAGACCGTTTCAGGATCATGCCCTCCCTGGAGAAAGAGAGGGAGAGGACACAGCAAGAGTTAAGGAGCAGGCGTTTGTCCACAGACAGATTTCCAGGTCAGGTGACCAGCATGACCAAACCACTACTGGCACACGGAGGACCGTGGCGAGTGCCAGAGCACATGGAAACACCGTTTACCTTCCCGCTGCAGTGGCACCTATTTATCTACTTGCGCTGGTGTGCTTTCGAACTGCTAGGTTGGCAGGAGCTGGGACCGAGCGACAGGAGCTTACTGTGTCGCAGGGATTCAAACTGCCGACCTTCTGATCAGCAAGTCCAAGAGGCTCAGTGGTTTAGACCAGGGGTCAGGAAACTTTTTCAGCAGGGGACCAGTCTATTATCCCTGAGACTTTGTGGGGGGCCGGACTATATATTTTTTGGGGGGGGGAAATGAACAAATTCCTATGCCCCACAAATAACCCAGAGATGCATTTGAAATAAAACGACACATTCTACTCATGTAAAAACCTGCTGTTTCCCGGACCGTCCGCAGGCTGGATTTAGAAGGCAATTGGGCCGGATCCGGCCCCTGGGCCTTAGTTTGCCTACCCATGGTTTAGACCACAGCGCCACCCGCTCACAAACAGCTTGGCTGAACGCCAGAGGTGCCCCCAAATCTCTCCCCTGCCAGGGGTCCTTGCAGGCACCGGAGGAAAGCTCTCTGCCCCCTTGCAGGATCATGCCCAGGGGGCAACACACCCAGACCCATAACCAGGACCCCACTTCACTCACAGGCCTTTTGGTCCCAGGTCCGGAATGAAGGAGAGCGAACTCACATCCAGGAACTCTGCCTGCCCGAGAGAAGGAAATTGGAAAAAGCATCTGTCAGCGCCAGGAATCGCATTGCGGGGGGTTGGGCTGGATGACCCGCCGGGTCCCTTCCGCCTGCGCATTTCTAGGAAGAAGGCGACTGACGTATCGGGCGAATGCGCAGCTCAGGGAGGCGAGCAGAGGGAAAGGGAGAGCCCAAGGGAAGGGTCCCTCTGCCCCCCAAGAGAAAACAGGGCACCCTCCCTCCTGGCACGGGCGGGTGGCAGAGAAAAGGGGCATCACCATGGCATGGTAGTCACGGTAGACGCTCATCTCCAGCAAAGTGTTGAGGTAATTCTCCAGCTGCTTCTGAAAGGGACAAGCGAGAAGAGACATTGCCTTAGGTTGTTTGGGATATCGCAACCCCAGCTCACCCCCTTTGCAGCCACGGCGACACTTTCCTCCTCTTCCTTTCCGCTGTTTGCAAACTAAGGGCCTTGGAGTTAATTGGAAAGCTCTCCAGCGCATTGAAGGGCATTGTGCGGCAACTCCTGGAGCTGCCCACCAGGTGGCGCTGCTGCTTTGCTTTCCTGCTTCACCGAACACACTTCTTTCTCTCTGCTCCTCCTTCGATACGATTCAATACAATAATCTTGATTGTCATAGTCCCACACAACGAAATTGAAAAAACTACCTAAGACATTCAAAAACCCACAAGCCTGCTATCCCAGCTATCCCAGCCTGGTTAGCCCCCTAAAAACTCTGATACCCCATTTTAAATACAATATACTCCCATACAGACTACCTTACACTGCGTTTAAAACCAAAATTGCATTTGGATAGAAACTGTTTCTCAAGCGGCTAGTCCTAGTCTTTATAACCCTGGACCTTCTTCCAGAAGGCAGAAGGTGAAGGAGATCATTTCCGGGGTGCGCACTATCCTGCACTATCTCTGCCGCTTTCTTATGGCACCTGGAAGCGTAGATTTGATCCAAGGTGGGAAGAGTGCACCCAATTATTCTCTCCGCAGTCTTTACAACCCTGGATAGCATTGTTTTTCCCTGACCGTGCAGCTCCCAAACCACACACAAAGACCGTAAGTTAATACACCCTCCACAGTAGAATGGTAAAATGCCATCAAGGGGTCCTTTGAGAGATTGTGCTCTCTTCATCAGTCTTTGCTGTTTTCTCCCCAGGTTAGGTCATCTCTCAACTCCATTCCCAGAAATCAAAACCCTGGGACCTGTTCCACGCACTTCCCCTCAATAATAAGTGGCTGAATATTCAATTTACGTTTCCTAAAGTCCACAATAATCTCTTTTGTTTTCTTTAGGTTTAGGTTAAGTTGTTTTTCCTGCACCACTCCCCCAACTGCTCAACTTCCTTCCTATAGGCTGCCTCCCCCTCTCCAGCCCCACATGCTCACAGACCCACGGTGTGGCCACAAACCTGCTTGCTGGACGGGCGCCGGGACACCTCCCCGCCATGGGGCAGAGAGGGCAACCCCAGGACGGTTCCGTCGGACCGAGAACCCAGGGCAGCAAACCTGGGCGAGAGAGAGAGAAAGGAGACAAATGATGCTCTAGAACATTGGCTGAATGAGGCCAGCATCCTGTTCTCATAGGGGTCAACTAAGTGCCTATTGTGGGAAACCAGCAGGATTTGAACACAAGAACTGCTCTCCAGCAACTGGGATTCAGCAGCATTTGCTGCTGGGGCAGAGCGTAGCCACGGGGGCTGGCAGCCATTGCTAGCCCTCTCCTCCTCCTCCTCCTCCCAGAATCTGCCTCAAATTTTGGGAGCCATCCGAGTTGGAGGCTTCCTGTGGCAGGTAGTTCCACAGTCTAACTCAGCTCAACTTCCTCAGCTGCCTGACGAAGGATTCTGGGGCTGGCGGAGGGATGTGGCCACTGCTCAGTGTCCCCTCGGTTCTCCTTGGAAGAAGGAAAGCCCCTCTGGCAAGGGGGAGTTTTGCTTATCGTAGAATAATATTAATAATTAATAATAATGATTTATTATTTATACCCCGCCCATCTGGCTGGGTTTCTCCAGCCACTCTGGGCGGCTTCCAACAGAATATTAAAAACAATACAGCGTCAGAAATTAAAAACTTCCCTAAACAGGGCCGCCTTCAGTTGTCTTTTAAAAGTAGATAATAATAATAATAATAATAATAATAATAATAATAATAATAATAGAAAGGATGTCCAGTCCTTTTTGAAAGCCATCCTGTTTGAGGGCCAACTCTGCTTCCTGCACTATTCCTTCCTTCCTTCCTTCCTTCCTTCCTTCCTTCCTTCCTTTCTTCCTTCCTTCCTTCCTTCCTTCCTTCCTTCCTGTTATGTTTGCACTTTGGTTTGCAAATTAATAGCAATAAAAAAATATTTATGCGTGCAATTAAACAACCACAACTGTGGAATCCACCGCAGGTTAAAACCGTTTTGACACGCCCATCACCCGAGACAAATCCTGAGCTCGAGTCTCTCACATCCTTCTCCTGCGACTGAATATCTTTGCTGAAGAAACACCTGTGACCTGGCTTCTCAGCTTGGGCTACTGGGAAGGAGCACTTGGCTAGCAAGTCCAGCCACAACGGGCTTGGAAACAGAGACAGCAGATTCACTCATAAATGGACAAAGCCTGTTACCAACTGCGGTTCCTGGACAGGGAAAGCTTGTTTCCTAAAATCCAAGAATTGTAGAGTTAAGGGACCCGAGGGCCATCTAGTCCAACCCCCCGAAATGCGTCGGTGACTTCAAGGCTGCACTACTGCAATGCACTCTCTGTGGGGCTTCCCTCGCTCTTGCTGACCCCACCGGTCAGAATTGGCACTATATAAATTCAATAAATAAATAAATATGCAGGCGCCACACAATACCCGTTCCGCCTTTCTAAGAACTTGTGTGGCAGCGCCTGACCTTTGGAACTCCCTGCCACTTGAGACCCAGCCCTGCTCTGTTTTCCCCTGCGCCTGCTAAAAACATCCCTTGTTGACACAGGCCTGCCCAGACACGCAGGCTGCCAGGGAACATTTTAGTCTGCTTTTCCTTTATTGCTGATTTTATCTTTTGAATGCTGCTGTTACTGATAACATTATCGTTTTGTAAACTGTTCTGATGGTTTGCGGGGGGGGAAAACAATGAACGAGCGAGCGAGCGCAGTGTGTGATTTATGGAATAAGCAGATAAATAAAATTAAAAACCCCTCGACTGTGCAGGTTCTCTCCTCACCGTGTCAGAGGCAGGAAACTCATCAGGATCCGGTGCCTCATGAGATCCCGGTGTAATTCCTGGAAGTGCTTGAATTTCTTCTTCATCGTCCAGGTGAACTCGCCGTGCGTCAGGCGCAAGGAGTACACAGTGTTTGGCCGCACCTGCACAGGAGAGAGAAGCCAACAGAAAAAAGACACTCACGGAACTGAGAAATTGCACAAAATAAATGAAATACCATGAAAATCCCTGAAACGAGAAGGAATCAACTAGAAATATTACCTTGTGGAAATCAACTAAATCAGAAAAATCAAAACGCTTAAGGGAAAAAAAATTAGTTAATGTCTGGATAAGATATAAGGATTTATTGGAAAATAAAACCCCAAGGTGGCTGTCACCGATGGAAGCGAAAGCTCTGAAAAAGCTCAATATGGAGGCTAAATGGCTGAAATATTGGGAAATTTTGGAACAAGATGGAGATAGATTGAAACTGCAGAGTTTTGAAAAACTAAAAAACAAAGTGCGAGACTGGCTTCATTATTATCAGATAATGGAGGCATACAATTTGGACAAGAAAATCGGCTTCCAGGTGGAAAAATCAAAATTAGAAACAGAACTGTTAGAACCCAAAACCAAGATTTTGTCAAAGATGTATAACTTGCTGCTGAAATGGAATACTCAGGATGAAATGGTGAAATCTGCTATGATTAAATGGGCACAAGACATTGGACATAATATAATGATGGCTGACTGGGAACAGTTATGGACCACAGGTATGAAATTTACGGCATGTAATGCCTTAAGAGAGAATATTATGAAAATGATATACAGGTGGTACATAACCCCAGTCAAGCTTGCAAAAATCTACCATTTGCCCGATAATAAATGTTGGAAATGTAAAGAAACTGAAGGTACATTCTTTCACCTTTGGTGGACGTGTCCAAGGATTAAGGCTTTCTGGGAGATGATTTATAATGAAATGAAAAGGGTATTTAAATATACCTTCTTGAAGAAACCAGAGGCCTTTCTCCTGCGCATGGTCAGCCAATTGGTGCCAAAGAGGGACAGAACTTTCTTTATGTATGCCACAACAGCAGCAAGAATACTTATTGCAAAGTATTGGAAGACACAAGATCTACCCACACTGGAGGAATGGCAGATGAAAATGATGGACTACGTGGAATTGGCGGAAATGACTGGCAGAATCCTAGACCAGGGAGAAGAGGAGGTGGAAGAAGATTGGAAGAAGTTTAAAGCCTATTTGCAGAAATACTGTAAAATTAATGAATGTTAGAATGATGTTGGATTGAAGTTAAGTGGTTTCTAGCTGTAATGGTATAAAAGAATATGGAAAAATTGGTTTTTAATACGTAAAAATTTAATGTTATAATATATCAAGATTAAAGATCAGGATTAAAAAGGAGGGAAAGGAATTGCTGGACTAACAAATTGAATTGGAATACAAAAGTGGGAGGTATGAGGAGGTCCGGGAAATAAGTAAATGTAAGAGAAGTGATGAAAAGATGGAATTGTTTTTAACTGTTTTTTTCTTTTTTGTACTTTGTATTTTTCCTTTTTTATTGTTAATTTTCTTATTAATGTAATCTTTTTCTTTTGAAATTTTAATAAATATCATTTAAAAAAAAAAAGGGAAAAAATTTGAAAAACCAAAAATAGAACAAAGCCGTAACGGGACGCCGCCTACAAACCTTGTTTCACTGAACTATTCAGTTTCCTCAGAAGGAAATAGAAAAATCATAAACTTTAAACTTCAAACAAGGGTAGAACCCTAAAAATTCTGACGTATTATGATCCTAGCTCGACCGAGGTAAAGCAAAGTTTTAAAACTTGCTATTTAGGTTTCCAAACCTTTTTTTGCAAATTCAGTATTTTTGAGTCCTCAATCCTTTATTACTGCGCTTTGCTTTGAACAGTTTTTCAGGAAAGAGAAGCCGGCAGCTGAAATCACCACAATGAGCCCTTTGCAGGGGCCAGACAAACTCTTCTCCCTGCCCCTCCAACCCTGCATTGCAGGGGGTTGGACTAGATGGCCACTGGAGGGCCCGGTCCAACTCTGCACTTCTATGATTCCACTGGGAATCGGGTCAATTGTGATATGAAAGTCCCCCTTTGCAGGGTGGCTGTGCATCCGATATCAGATGTGAAGCTGTCTTGGAAAAGGCACAGACTGATGGGCACAAGATATAGGTCATAACATTATGCTGGAAGATTGGGAAAGGTTATAGAAAATGGATTTATAATTTACAGATTGTCCTTTGCTGAAAGAAAATTATATGAAGATGATGTATAGATGGTATATGACTCCAGTGCAGTTAGGGAAAATGTATAAAACCAGTTCAAATATGTGTTGGAAGTGTAAGGAAAAGGAGGGGACATTCTACCCCATGTGGTGGGAATGTAATGAAATTTAAAAGTTTTGGGAAATGATATACAATGAATTGAAGAAAATGTTCCATCTAACATTTGTTAAGGAACCGGAAGCATTTTTGTTAGGAATTGTAGGGAAAGACCTGCCAGCAAGTTCAAAAATATCTTCATGTACGCGACAACGGCGGCAAGAGTCTTAATAGCACATGGATGGAAGAACGAGGAAACACCGACTAAAGAACTATGGCAAGAGAAATTGATGGACTATGCAGAACTGGCAAAACTGGCACATAAACTACGGGACAAGGATAACTGCGATTTTAAAGATGAATGGGAACCTTTTACAAAGTATTTAAAGAAACAACAAAGTGAACCGGACTCCTTGGCAGGTTTTGAATAAACACTCACAAACTCTTTATTGACAATAACCAGTCAGATAAATTAAGGATCTATACAGTTTTGTAACATGCAGAGAATAGCATTTGTAGAGAAACCAGAGGTTGGAACTGAGGGAAGTCGGGGTGGAGGGGGGAATGGGGCGGGAATCAAAGATGATATGTACTAAGATATTTTGTTTAAATTCTTAATAAAAAAATATTTTTTAAAAAGGAAAAGGAACAGACTGGAAGAAAATGTTTAAAATGACATTTGTTAAGAAACACACACACCATAAGCAACAAAGAAAGATGTTAAGTGGCTAAGTTAATTTTATGAGAAAATTGGTTTTGGAAAACTGTTACAATGACATACACTGAAATTCAGCCAGGGGGATTTGAGGAAGTCACTTAACAATGTTACCAAGATTGGATCAAGTACAGTTAAGATGTAGTATGTTTGTTTGTTTAAAAATTTTGGAAAATCAATAAAAATTTTTGAAAAAAAGAGAGAGAGAGATGGATGGCTGCTGTAAGGTTACGGAGGAATTGCGAAAGGCCAGAGAGGATGCCTTGGCCAACGGGCTCAGGGCACCTTGAGAAAAAGCGGATATTGAGCTGCAAGACTTCTTATTAAATCGGGGGATTACAGTCTTCAGAGAAAAGATGGGGAGGGACGCAGAAAAGGTGCTCAGCGAGGCCAAAGAGTAAAAAGAAAAAGAGAAAGTGCAAAAGAAAAAGGCAATTCTCTCTCACGAATCATCACCCAATGAAGCTGAACAGCGGGAGATTCGTGACGCGCAAAAATAAAACCCTTCTCTCGGATAACCTGTGGAACTCCCTGCCGCAGGAGGCCAACTTGGGGAGCTTGAGAAATGGATGGAGGAGGAAAGGGCTCTCCACAGACAGAGGCAGTGATGCTTCTGAATGCCGGGTTGCAGGAAACCACAGGAAGGGAGAGCGTTCCTCTCGCACTCGGGTCCCGGGATGGCAATCTGGTTGGCCCCCGTAAGAACAGGAGGCGGCTGGACTAGGGGGGTCCCCATTGGCCTCATGCAGCAGCCTGGCTCTCCTGGGGGCTTTGCCGGGGGCAAAAAACTGGCTAGCCCACCCCCCAACTATGGCACTTGGGACCCTTCCCGTTTGCCCTCCCCTTTCCACGCCTCCCACCCAATTCCGAGACATTCTGTGTTCGGAAACCATGGTGGGGTTGGACTAAATGACCTTTGGAGGGCCCCTCTGGCGCCACAACTCTACGAAAAACCAAGCTTGAAGGTGTATCTTGCTGGATCCGGCCAAGGAGGCGAACCTGCAAGCGGGACACAAGCCCCATAGCCGCTCTCCCCTCCTGCAACGGGTCAAATCTGCACGGAGCAGAAAGGGGGCTTCCTTCTCATCTGCCCCCCACCCCTAAAAAGGTTCAGTTTCTTTTTCCTCTTCCCCTTGCAATCCTCTTTTATTTTGTGGTGCATTCAGAGCTGGCCGGTTTGTTGTCTGCAAAACAAGCTGCCTCTGCTCAGTGTCACGAGGAGCCAGAAAAGGAGGAAGAGGAAGAGAAGGAAGAAGAAGAAGAGGTTTTAAATTAAGTGTTTTCAATTTGTTGTTAACCACCCTAAGCCTGGTTTTCTGAACTGGGAAGGGTGGGGTATAAATAAATTTTATTATTATTATTATTATTATTATTAGAGGCCTCCCTCGTCCTCCTCAAAGGGGACCCGCTTGCAAAGGGCACCCGCGGAACTCCCTGCCACTTGAGGAGCCGGAGAGCAGCTTGAGCTCTGGAAGGGACAAGCAACAGCTATCGATATTGGGGCTTAGATAATTCAAACATATGTGATATGAGACAGCTAAGAAAAAAAGGAGGAAACAAACAAACATCCGGAAAGGGTGGATGGGAAGTCCAGAAGAAACTATGTATACAGTATATATATATATATATTATATATATAAAACCCTGTGTATGTGTGTGTGTATAAATTTATTTATTTATACCCCGCCCTCCCCAGCCAAGACCGGGCTGAGGGCGGCTAACACCAGGTATAAAAACAATTGATTAAAATACAACTTAAACACAAGATGAAAACACAACATTAAAATGCAGCCTCATTTCGGTAGATACGATGACAAACACAATAAAAATCACATTTTGAAAAATAAAAATGGGAGAAGCAACGGCTGGTGGCAGCGGGAGCAGTTGGGGGAAAGGTCTGGGTGCAGGATCAGGCCAGAGATCTGGGCAAAGCGCCCCACAATGGCCCAGATCCATGGAAGGCAAAGGATTTCGAGACGGTAGATTTCTTGGGGGGGGGGGGGAATCTGCCTGGCTGTTTGGCTGAGAGACAACCGATTTGCAAGAATCAGAAGGGACTTGCAGGGTCCGGCCCCGTGGCCCCTCTTGGCCAGCACTCTCACGGCGGCCAGCCAAGGGCCCATGGTGGGGAACCAGCAAGCAGACGTGGGGTTTCCAGAAACTGGCACTGAGAAGCATCTCTGCCTCCAGTGGGAGAGAGTTCCACAGTCTAACTCCGCACCGAAGAAGTCCTTTAATTTCTCCCTCTGCCCCAAATCCCTCCAACATTCAGCTGAGTCTCTCGGTGTCGACCAATTAAGAAATCTGTGCAGCACTTTCTGTTTTGTTGAGAAACAGCTTGTCAGCAAAAGCCACACCTCATTTGCGTAACGGACATGGAGGGGGAACCTATTTGCATACTATTTGCATACTGTTGCCAGCCAAGAGGAGATGCCCACGGCTCAGCCTGGCAGAGGCAAACTCGGCCCTCCAGATGTTTTGGGACTACAACTCCCATCATCCCTGAACCGCTGGCCCTGTTAGCTAGGGATGATGGGAGTTGTAGTCCCAAAACGTCTGGAGGGCTGAGTTTTCCTATGCCAGGCTCAGCCGCACAAGACCTGCTTTGGAAACATAGCATTGTGCAGTTGGCAGGGACCCCCAGGGGTCATCCATACCAACCCCCTGCAACGAAGGAATCTCAGCTAAAGCATCCATGACCCAGGGTCACCCCATCTCTGCTTAAAAACCTCCAAGGAAGGGGAGTCTGCCACCACCGTTTACACGGAGGGGAGTGTAATTTGAGGACCTGGGAGAGACCTGGGTTCAGATCCCGCGACTTGACCACAAAGCTCTCACTGGACTCAGCTCTCAGCCTGGCCCACCTCACAGGGTTGTTGCTGGCATTCCTTGAGGACTAGGACCTTGGAGTGAGGACCCACCGGGTGTGAGTTTGGGGGCCAGTCCCTGCCTCTCAGCCTAAGCTAATTGGGAGTTAAAGCGCTTACGGATTCATAAAAAGGATTGGGGGGCTGGAGCAACTGTGTGGGGTAGTGGTTAGAGTGTGGGACGGGTTCCTGGGAGAGAACAGGGTTCGAATCCCTGCACTCAGCCATGAAGCCTCCTGGGTCCCTCAGCCTGGACCAGCTCACAGGGTTGTTGCAGGGATTAAACGAGGAATGGGGAATTAAACTGGGTATAGGCCACCATGAGCTCCTGGTAGGAAAATTTGGGATTATCAATGCAATAAGCAAGCAAAGAGAGAAAATAAGGCCACCTGGCCAACTCCTGGCTCAGTGGCCAGGGAACATTTCGCAGAACTGTATAAATGTAGAGTTGGACCAGGGACCCCAAGGGGTCATCCATACCAACCCGCTGCAGTTCGGGAATCCTGTTTGCGCCTGAATCCTGTTCACGGGTTTCCCGCTGAGGCACCTGTGAGGACAGGGTGCAGGGCTAGCTGGGCCCCCCTTGGGCCTGATCCTGCTGCTGCTGCTGCTCTCTCAGTGACTGAGAAAGGTCTGGGTTTCTTGCTAACTGAATTTGCAAAGAGAGCTCCTTCCCTCCCTCTCCGGGTTCTCTTTGTCTCTTTGTAACCTGAGACTCACAGGACACCAAAGCCCCGCTCTGACTTGTCTGCTCAGGGCTGCAGGATCCTCCCCGGAGCAGAACCGGGAGGGGGAGGGGAGGCAGCGGCGCCCCCCCCTCCCAAAAACCAAAGGTTGCCCGGCTGGCAAAACCCGTACCTACTGTCCTGTTTTTCATTCCCAAGGGAAAAAAATTAAAATAAAAGTTATATGTAACTCTGCAGCGGATGCGCTGAATGAGGAAGTCCAGCTTGCCTTCGGAAAATAATATATATCATTTGCCTCTGTGAATTTAATTGCTGTGATTCCCGCATCGCTTGGGGGGCGGGCTAGATGAGCCTTGGGTGCCCCTTCGATTTCCGCCCCCGGCCCCCCCACTTCTCCCTTAGGCGCCCCCTTACCTTGGAACCGCTGGCATATCTCTCTGCGCTCTCCACGCGCGCGGTGACGGGGACCCCCCTAAGAAAAAGGGGTCCCTGAGTCCGGAGGGGCTTCCGCTCGTAGACGGCCAGGAAGGGGCTGAGGTCACCTGGGGAGAGAGGGAGGCTGGACCCGTTAGGGGACCCCCAACTCCTGCCCCTAATTAACCCACAATCTACAAAAAAGTGGGGTGTCCCTGCACCGACTGACCTGGCGCCTCGTCCCGGCGGAGACCATCTCTCTCGTCCTCCGCTTCCAGGTCCGAGTCGTCCAGGGTCTCCCCGCCGGGGTGGGGTCTCTCCAAGCTCAGCATGGGGCCGTCCTGCTGGGGTGCGGGAGGAGGAGGAGGAGCAAAAAGAACCCAGGAGTCCGAGCCCTCATGCCGGGCCCGGAGATCTCCAAAAACTTCGGCACAGGAAATTCTTTCTCTCTCTCTTTCCCCGATTCCGCTGGAAATTTTTACGCGCAGGCAGCAGCCGGTCTCTCCAGGCAGCCAGTTCCTGCCCCACCCTGCCTGGTCCGCCTGACTCACGCTCCGGGAAAGGGGGGGCATCCCTCCCTCCCACCCCCCGCTGGTCCCAGGCGGGTCTGGATGCCGGACAGACGTGTTGGGCAGGAAGCGCAGGCTGGCCTCGCCCAGGGCGTCCGAGGGTCCCCGCAGGGCGACGCCAAAGGGGGTCTCCATCTCTTGGAATTAAGATTGCCGGAAGAAATATCAACAACCTCAGATATGCAGATGACACAACCTTGATGGCAGAAAGTGAGGAGGAATTAAAGAACATCTTAATGAGGGTGAAAGAGGAGAGCGCAAAATATGGTCTGAAGCTCAACATCAAAAAAAGAAGATCATGGCCACAGGGCCCATCACCTCCTGGCAAATAGAAGGGAAAGAAATGGAGGCAATGAGAGATTTGACTTTCTTGGGCTCCATGATCACTGCAGATGGTGACAGCAGTCACGAAATTAAAAGACGCCTGCTTCCTGGGAGAAAAGCAATGACAAACCTAGACAGCATCTTAAAAAGCAGAGGCATCACCTTGCCAACAAAGGTCCGTATAGTTAAAGCTCTGGTTTCCCCAGTAGTGATGTACGGAAGTGAGAGCTGGACCATCAAGAAGGCTGATCGATGAAGAATGGATGCTTTTGAATTCTGGTGCTGGAGGAGACTCTTGAGAGTCCCGTGGACTGCAAGAAGATCAAACCTCTCCATTCTGAAGGAAATCAGCCCTGAGTGCTCACTGGAAGGACAGATCCTGAAGCTGAGGCTCCAAGACTTTGGCCACCTCACGAGAAGACTCGACTCCCTGGAAAAGACCCTGATGTTGGGAAAGATGGAGGGCACAAGGAGAAGGGGATGACGGAGGACGAGATGGTGGGACAGTGTTCTTGAAGCTACCAGCATGGGTTTGACCAAACTGCGGGAGGCAGTGGAAGACAGGAGTGCCTGGCATGCTCTGGTCCAGGGGGTCACAAAGAGTCGGGCACGACGAAATGACTAAACAACAACAACATCTCTTGGCCCAGCCTCCTGCCCCCCCAGCGGCTAAATGTCCCCAAGGACCTAGCGAGCGAAGTAGACTGCCCCTGCGCCAGGAGGCTCGATTAAGGACGGCAGAAGGGTCCACATGTTCCAAGATTAAAGCCTTTTGGGATACCATACAGAATGAATTGAAAAAGACTGTGGAAGAAAGGGGTCAAGTTTACTGCATGTATGGTTTTAAAGGAAAATATTACAAAAATGATGTCTAGGTGGTACTTAACCCCAGTCAAATTAGCAAAGATTTATCACAACAGTGATAATCTCTTCTGGAAATGCAAAGAAAAAGAAGGTACTTTTTATCATATGTGGTGGCCTTGCCCCAAGGTGAAAGATTTCTGGAAGAAGATTTAGAATGAATTGAAAAAAATGTTGAAATATACATGTATTAAGAAACCAGAGGCCTTTCTTCTTGGAATAACAGGTTTGGAATTGCCCAAGAAATATGTTAAATTATTTTTGTATGCCACAACTGCAGCTAGAATTTTGCTAGCTAAGAATTGGAAAACACAAAAAGTTCCAACAGTGGAGGAATGGCAGATGAAGGTGGTGGACTTTTCGGAGCTAGCTGACCTGACCGGAAGAGTCCGCGACCAGAAGGAGGAGGACTATCAGGAAGAATGGACGAAATTTAAAAACTATTTAGTTAAATATCTTAAATTAAATTAATTGGACTGCCTGCAAGTACCAGATAGGCTTAGGATTTAAATGTGTAATGTGATGAATTAATATGTTTAAAGTTGAAATGTAAAGAAAGAAAGAAGTAAGTAAATTTTTTAAGAACTTAGGTTTTGGAAAACCGTTAAAATGATATACAGTGAAATCCAATCAGAGGGATATGAGGAAGTCACTTAACAATGCTACAAAGTTTGGTTTAAATACAGTTGAGATATATGTCTGTTTGTTTGTTTTTATGTTTGTTTGTTTAAATTTTTTTTTGGAAAACTAATAATTTTTTTTGAAGAAATAAAAAACGACGGCAGTAGGGGCGTGCCGCTGGAAGAGGCCAAAGGGGGTCCTCACCTTAGCCTGGCATCGTGGAATACCCCCAAGGGAAGCCCCCCCGGCAGAATCCGGGCGCAAGAGGAACACTCTCCCCTCTGGCGTTCAGAAGCATTCCCTGCTTCCTCCTCAAGGAATTTGTCCTGTCCTCTTTCAAAGCCATCCAGGTGAGAGGCTGGGAGTTCCGCAGGTTAACTCAGCGCCGTGCCAGGAGAAATAAAGTTATATCAAGTACAATCTATGGAAATGATGAATCAGGAAATAGAATGGAAAATTAAACAAATGAGACAAAAAACATTTGAATCAGCTAACAAATGTGGGAAATTGCTGGCCTGGCAAATGAAAAAATGACAAAAATTAAATACTATTACAAATTTAGAAGTGGAAGGAAAGAATATACATAACCCAACTGAGATTAGAAATTGTTTCCAGAGGTACTTTAAACAACTATATACACAAGGGCCACAGAAGGAAATGGCTATAGACCGATTTCTGAAGACAAATGGATTACAGAAAATATCCCAAGAAAGTAAGTTAATCCTGAATTATAAAATATCTGAACAGGAAGTAGAAGGTGCCATTCAAAATATGCAATTAGGCAAATCTCCAGGACCGGATGGGCTGACTTCTAGATATTAGAGATCTTTGAAAGAGTGGCTATTACAACCTTTGAAGGAAGTCTGCAATGAAATATTGGAAGGGAAAAGGGCACCAGAGTCTTGGAAAGAGGCACACATTACACTTATACCGAAGACAGAGACTGAAAAGACTCCGCTTAAGAACTATCGCCCCATATCGTTACTTAATGTGGATTACAAAATTTTTGCAGACATTTTGGCCAAGAGATTGAAAAAAGTATTGATGGAAGAGATTCATAAAGACCAAGCGGGCTTTCTCCCGGGAAGACACTTGTCCGATAATTTGAGGAATATAATTGATATTTTGGAAAACTAGAAGTGAACATAAATACTAAAGCAGTTTTGATATTTGTGGACGCGGAGAAAGCTTTTGACAATATCACTTGGAGTTTTATGAAGAAGAACCTACAGGGGATGGGGGTAGGCCAAGGTTTTGAAAACGGTATAAGTGCAATTTATTCAGAACAAAAGGCTAAACTAATTGTAAATAATGTGGTGACGGAAGAATTTAGGATAGAAAAAGGGACAAGACAAGGTTGCCCAATTTCCCCACTGCTTTTTATATCGGTCCTGGAGGTTCTGCTGAATATGATTAGAAGGGACCGGTTGGTTAAAGGTATACAGGTCGGAGCCAAACAGTACAAATTGAGAGCATTTGCAGATGACTTAGTATTGACGTTACAGGAGCCAGAATCTAGTACTAAAAGAGTTTTAGAACTGATTCAAGAATTTGGTCAAGTTGCAGGATTTAAGTTGAATAAGTTAAAGACCAAGGTTTTAGAGAAAAACTTAACACCAATGGAGAGAGAGAGGTTTCAGAATGAGACAGGTTTAACAGTGGTTAAGAAAGTTAAATACTTGGGGATTAACATGACAGCAAAAAAATGGGAATTTATTTAAAGACAACTATGAAAAATGCTGGGCTGAAGTGAAAAAGATTTAGAAATTTGGTCAAATTTGAAGCTTTCACTGCTGGGCCGTATTGCTGCGGTAAAAATGAATGTATTGCCTAGAATGTTGTTTTTGTTTCAAACACTGCAAATTGTGGACAAAATGGACTGTTTCAAGAGGTGGCAGAGAGATATTTCTAAATTTGTCTGGCAGGGCAAGAAGCCTAGAATAAAATTTAAAATATTAACAGATGCAATGGAACGAGGTGGATTTGCCCTGCCAGACTTTAAACTTTACTATGAATCAGCAGCTTTTTGCTGGTTGAAAGAATGGTTGCTTCTTGAAAACACTGACATTTTGGATTTAGAAGGTTTTAACAATGTATTTGGATGGCATGCATATCTGTGGTATGATAAGGTCAAAGCACATAAAGCATTTAAAAATCACATTGTCAGGAAAGCATTGTTTAATGTCTGGATAAGATACAAGGACTTATTGGAAAATAAAACTCCAAGGTGGTTGTCACCGATGGAAGCAAAAGCTCTGAAAAAGCTCAATATGGAGGCCAAATGGCCGAAATATTGGGAAATTTTGGAACAAGACGGAGATAGACTGAAATTGCAGAGTTTTGAGAAATTAAAAAACAAAGTGCGAGATTGGCTTCATTATTACCAGATAGTGGAGGCATATAAGTTGGATAAGAAAATTGGTTTCCAGGTGGAAAAATCAAAATTAGAAACAGAACTATTAGAACCCAAAACTAAGATTTTGTCAAAGATGTATAACTTGCTGTTGAAATGGAATACTCAGGATGAAACGGTGAAATCTGCTATGATTAAACTTTTTTCATGTATGCCACAACAGCAGCAAGAATACTCATTGCAAAGTATTGGAAGACACAAGATCTACCCACTCTGGAAGAATGGCAGATGAAGTTGATGGACTATATGGAACTGGCAGAAATGACTGGCAGGATCCGAGACCAGGGAGAAGAGTCGGTGGAAGAAGATTGGAAGAAGTTCAAAGGCTATCTACAGAAATATTGTAAAATTAATGAATGCTAGAATGATGTTGGATAGAAATTAAGTGGTTTCCAGCTGTAATGCTTTAAGGGAATATGAAAAATGGGTTGTTAAGAGGTAAAAATCTAACGTTACTATTTTAAGACCAAAGATTAGGACAAATAAAGAGGGTAAGGATTTGCTGAACCAACAAACTGAACTGGAATACAAAAAAGGGAGGTTATGAGGAGGTCCGGGAAACAAGCAAATGAAAGATAAGTGATTGAAAGACTGAATTGTTTTTAACTATTTTTATTTTGTATTTTTCTTTTTTCTTTTTCTATTTTGTAATATTTTGAAAATCCTAATAAATATCTTATAAAAAAAACTCAGCGCCGTGCCAGGGACCCTGGAGCGCTGCTGCCTGCCTGTGCAGACATTATGGGGCGAAATGGGCCTGGTGCAACAAGGCAGCTCTCTCCGATGCCAGAGGACTCTGCAAATCGGTGGGTGGGATACTAGAGGAAGAGGCACCATATCTGCATAATATTTGGACAGCCTTTGCTCTGTGGGGCTGGAGGAGGGGCACATGTGGGGCTGCCGTGGAGCAGTGGGGGGTGAGCTCCAGTGGTTTGCCAGCTCCTAGACTAGGTTCACCAAGTCAGGTCCTGCTAACCTTCTGGCTAGACTACTGCAACGCACTGTGTATGGGGCTACCCTTGAAGACGGTCCCGTGAGAGTGCAAGGAAATCGAACACCAATATTGCAGGATTCGCACTGGCTGCCTAAGACAAGGCGCTGGTGTGAGTTCGTAAACCTCTATATGACAGAGGCAGAGCGGCGTAGTGGTTAGTGTCAGGCTAGGACTGGGGAGAGACGAGGGTTCAAATCCCCCCACTTGGCAGCGTTTGGGGCGAGTCCCTGCCTTCTCTCAGCCTGACCTACCCAACAGGGCTGTTGTAGGGCATCACCTGAGATGGGGGGGGGGGGAGAAGGAAGGTAGGATAATGCAATTAAACGAATGAACGAATGACTTGGGACCCAAATCTACAATCTCCCAATGATCAGCCCACTTGGCTGCCCGAAATCCTCTTGGAGAAGGCCAAATAATATGCCCCAAATCCTTTCGCTCCAGTAAAGTGATTTGCTTTAATTCTCTGGGAGCAATGCAACGGTTTGGGTCTTTTGCGGGAAGATTGGTTTTGCTGCCATGATAAACTCCCACCGCCCAGGAATTCTATGGGGTGAAGGGCAGCTGGGAGGGGCAGCCCTCGGAGGGGGAAAGAGGAAGGCCAGGGGAGAGGGTCTCAACTCTGCATTGCAGCTTCTCTCACCCGCTCTATAAGGGTCACAGAATTTTGCGTTGGGACCCCGCAGGGGCATCCAGTCCAACCCCCTTTAATGCATTGAACCTCGCTTGATCTTCTGCCCACGTCCACCCCCAAATTGGGAGCTCAGCCAGGCAACCTCAGGAGCGTGCAAGCCCAGCCAAAATGACACTTGCCTGCACCCCTGGTTGGCACTGCGCCCTCCAAGTGACACATCCCCACACCGGAAGGCTAAAAGAGGATTTCCCCCCTCTTGACCTGAACTGAAACTGGGAATCCCAGAATTACAACAGCCCCAGGCAGGGGTTCCTCTTTTGCAGGGGTCAGCAAACTTTTTCAGCAGGGGGCCGGTCCACTGTCCCTGAGACCTTGTGGGGGGCCGGACTATCTTTTGAAAAAATAATAATAACGAACGAATTCCTATGCCCCACAAATGACCCAGAGATGCATTTTAAATAAAAGGGCACCTTCTACTCATGTAAAAACATGCTGATTCCTGGACCGTCCGTGGGCCGGATTGAGAAGGCGATTGGGCCGCATCCGGCCCCCGGGCCTTAGTTTGCCTACCCCTGCTCTTTTGCCTCTGGGCCTTGCCAGGAGGCTGTGGGTCACTTCCAGGCCCAGAAAAGGGGGGAACTGGAGATTCCTGCATTTCAGGGAAGGTTGGACTAGATGACCGCTAGGGGTCCCCCTTGCAGCTCCACCATTCAAAGACTGTGGCCTTGGAAGGGGATTGGCTTTCTTTTTCGTTGGAGGTTTTTAAAGAGAGTTCGGGTGGGATTCTTTTGCTGAGATCGTCCTGTGACCTATTGGTAGATCACTGGACGTCTGGGGTAGATCACTGGTAGATCACTGCCCTCCCAAAAGAAGCTCAACAAGTTTGGCTCAACTAAAAAAAACATTTTTGCTTCCTGCACCCCAAAAAATGTGGCTTTCCCCCTCCCTAAAAAAAACCACAACAACTTTAGCCTGAACCCCCAAAAAGGGGAGTAGATCACTGCCAGTTTTTAACTCTGTGAGTAGATGGCAGTCTCTTGGGAGTTGGCCACCCCTAGATGACCCCTGGGAGTCCCTGGCAGAGAGCGCAAAGCCACCTGCCTCTCCCCAAGAAAAAGAGAAATATCTGACTTGAACCACTCAGGATCATAGGCCCCAAATGCAGGAAACCGAAAGGGATCTCGTAGGCATTTTGGGGGATCCCCAAGCCCTGACTCTGCAAGTCCAGTCGTGAAACTTCATTAAGGCCCAACAGAACTGCTGAAAGCCAAAAGGAGCCCAGGACTTCCGAAACCTCAGCTGCTTCTGTCCTATTTGCAGGCGGGTTGGGCTAGATGACCGCTGGAGGGTCCCTTCTGACACTACAGTTCTACTATTCCTGCAAAGACTCAGAGATATGCTCTCGGTCTACTCGGAAGTAGGCAGCGAGGGTGGTCCGCTTCCAGCTCCAAGAGCAGCTCAGGTAGCTGCCCTGGGGCTCTGACTAGAGAGGCAGCGTGGTGCAGTGGTTAGAGCTAGCCTCTGAGAGAGTCCGGGGGGGGGGGGGAGTTTGGGGGCCAGTCCCTGCCTCTTTCAATCTAACCTTCCTTGCAGGGCTGTGGTTCCGGAGATCAAACGAGGGGAGGGGGTAAAATGGGCAATATATCAGCGGTCAGTAAACTTTTTCAGCAGGGGGCTTGTGGGGGGCCGGACTATTATTTTTTTGGGGGGTGGAATGAACGAATTCCTATGCCCCGCAAATAACCCAGAGATGCATTTTAAATAAAAGGACGCATTCTACTCCTGTAAAAACACGCTGATTCAATTGAGAAGGCGATTGGGCCGCATCCGGCCCCCGGGCCTTAGGTTGCTGACCCCCGCAATAAATCCATAAATGAATAGCACTTTCCGGAGCTAACAGAGACTCCAGCCCCGGAGTCCAGGGATGGATCAAAAGACTCAGGACCCCCCCCCCCAAAAAAGCAGCAGGAAGGTAGACAGTTAGACACGTGTCTCCGAGGGGTGCGGGGACGCCCCAAAGCCCTGCAAAGGGGGCGAAACCAGACCCCCCCCTCGCTGGAGCCCCGGCACCTCTCCGCTCGCCCCCATTCCTGGGGCGCAGAGAGAGAGAGAGAGAGAGGACGCCCCCACCTCGCTCCTCCCCAGAAAAAGAACCCAGGCGTCCGGGCCCCTGCCCCACCATGCGCGGTGCTCCCCCCCCCCACACCCGGCCCCAGTTTCCGAGGAGGAGGAGGAGAAGGAAGTACCGGCCCCCCCCCCCAGCTTGCCAAATTCCTCTCCGAGTAGCGGAGATTTTGAGTCATAAGGACCGGGGGGGGGGGAGAGAAAGAGGGCGGGGCCTCGGGATTTTCCTGGGTGGGGCAGGGGGTCTTTCCGAAGCAAGAGCCCTTCGGATCTGCAAGGGGGGGTCGGGATCCTGGGATTTTCCGTGGGGTGGGGAGGGGGAAGGGAGGGAGGGAGGGAGGCAGGCGCGCAGGACCTGGTGGAAATTTACAGACGGGGAGGGAGGCCAGGTGGGGGGGGTCTCACCTGCAGGGTCCGGGGGGGGGGGGCGAGCAGGGCGCCGTCGCTGCTGCTGCAGCTGCTGGGGAACCGGCCGGCGGGGGGGGGGGCGGGAAAGAAGGAGGGCCGGCTCCGCCCAGAGGGCCCCGAGCCATGTGCAGAGAGCCGCCGGCGCCGCCCCTGCCCTTCCGCCCAATCCCCAGCCGAGGCAAGGCAGGATGAGGCCCCCCCGCCGCCCTCGCCCAAAAAGGGGGTGCTGGGGCCGAGGCATCTCTCGAGCATGCACAGAGCGCCTTCGCTTCCCGGAACCCGAGACGCGCTTTGCTGCTGTCGGGGCGGCCGCGCTGGATGGGACCCCGCAGGGTCATCTAGCGCAACCCCGGCCAGCGGGGGTTCAAGGGGCCGCTTTTGATTTTGGAATCCCTCCCACCCCCATCAAAAAAAGGGGGCCCGGTTTGTTTTAGGTGCTTACCAAGGTCCCCTCCTGCTCGCGCACTCACGCACACCCCCCGCCTGTTATCCTCCAGTTTGTGGCAGAAGTGGAAAGTTGGAAGGGAGCCCCCGAGGCCATCCAGCCCGACCCCGTGCAATGCAACGGGCGGCGGTCCACGTTTTGGCCAGATGGTGGATCCTCTGCCCCCCCCCGAAAAACACTGCTTAGAAGGGGGTGTCTCGCGCCTTTGGGGGGCTCCCAGGTGCGTGGGGGATGCTGGGGAGGAGCAGGTAAATTTGGGGTGCCCCCCCCCCCGCAGGCTCCAGCTGGTCGGAGGGAGGGAGGGAGGCAGATCGGGAGGCGGCGCCGGGCGCTGTTTGCCCGAGGAGGCGGGAGGGGGGCGTCTCCCCTGGCCTGGCCCACCCAGGGCGCGGAACTCCCCGTCTTGACGCTCCGGGAGACCCGGGAGAGCGAGAGAGGCGCGGGCAGGTGAGCAGGGACCCAGGGGAGACCCCACCGCGGGCCCAAAGGGAAGGAAACGGGGGGGGGGGAGTGGGGAGAAGCAGGCCAGCAAGGGGGGGGGGGAGAGCCCTGAAGGCAGAACCCCGCCCTTTGCAAATGTGAAAGGGGTTTTGTAAAAAATTTTTTTTTGGGGGGGAGACAAGAGATCAGGCATGCTTTGAGGTTTTCTCTGTGCCCCCTACCTGATTCTCCTCTGCAATACTCTGTGTTTGCAGGGGGTGACAATGGGGGGCAGGGAGAGCACCCCCCCCATTCCACATGCCCCCCCTCACGTCTCGCTTTCTGCCTCAGGATCTGACAGGATGGGGTCAAAGTTTCCCAGCTGCTTCCCCCGGGGAAGGCGCTCCCGGCGCCACAGCAAGACGGAGCAGAAGGAGCCCCCCACAGGTAAGCAGAGCCCCCCAAGTCCCTTGCACTCCCCCTTGGGCGACTTCTCCCTGCCCTAGAGGCAGCCCACCCCCCAGGTCAGGGGCGTGGGGATCCCTTGCCCCTTTGCCAGAGAGCTGACCCGGCCCCTCCATCCCAGGTTCCCTCCCTTGGGTGCCTTTTGGGAGAATCACCAAATTGTAGGGTTGGGACCCCAGGCGGTCATCCAGACCAACCCCCTGGAGAGCAGGGGTTGCAAACTCTGTCTGAGCCTCTCTTCTTCCTTCTCCACCTGCAGCAGCCGCTTCCTCCTCCTCCTCGGACGCCCCCGAAGCCGCAGCGCCGCGGACACGCTCCACGCCGTCCACCAGCAGCGAGACCGACTCCCAGAGTGGAAGGGCCTACTTCAGCGGAAAGGCCAGGGTCTCCTTCCGCCACCAGCTGGACTCTGAGAGGGAAGTAACCAGCTGAGCTCCCCCCCCAGGAACACTCCTCCCCCCCCCCCAGGTGCCCCTGGAGCAGGAAGACTGAGCTTGGGCCCCACAGGAGACTCCCGGCAATATAGGGTGGGGGGTCAGTGCAAGCCCCCCCCAGCAAACTCGTTGACAGCGAGCGCAGCCTGCGTGTTGGAAGCTACTGGGATGAGAAGAGGGGCTTGCCTGCTTCCCAGCCGCCCCCCAAACGATCAGCCCTCCTGCAGAAGATGGGGAGGTCAAATAAGTGAGGGGTCAGACCCAAGCCAAGCCAGGATTTGGGCAGCGACCCCAAACTGGAGCGGACTAGTTGTGGGGCTCAGATGAGCAGATGAGTTTGCAGGCTTGGGTCCCGATTCCAAAGCCCCAGCAGCGGATATGGAGCAATAAAAGGTGTTACTCCCCCATCCTCGTTTCAGATGTGTGTTTTTTGAGTCGGGGTTGGGCTACATGACCTTTGGTGGCCCCTTCCAAGACCCCAGCGCTTCTCAAACCAGGCCCAGCTCACAAGGGGCAGGTGGGTCTCCAAAGAGAGGGGAGTGGGGCAGGCCCCAATTCTTTTTGCCACGTTGAGCTGCTGGGCAGGGGGCCCAGCCCGTGTTGTGAGCTGCTTGCGTGTCAACGCCTCTTCTCCGGCGCTGGCGCTGGGCCCAGCCCGCCCGCCCGCCCGGTCCAAGCAGAAGGCAGGCTGGAGCAGGAAAGAGGGAAGGGCCGAGTGCGAAACCAAACACCCCACCCACCAAAACAGGCAGGCGGAGGAGAAGAAAACACGTCGGGCCGTTAAAAGTGAAAATTAAAGGACGGCAGGCCCCGAAATTGTGGTTCGAGGGTCCTTGTTTTCTGCATCACGCCTCCGTCCGCCCCCCCAAAAAAGGGGAGTTTGGGAGAGGGCGGCCAGGCCGGGCCTGCGGCACCTTCCTCCTCCTGGGCTGGGCGTAACCCCTTATCTCACCAGGGTAATCACAGCCTGGGAACAATTGCGGCAGGATGGAGAAACCTCAATCGGGATTAGAGGGAGGGAGGGAGGCAGCCCTGCGGAGTCAGCCACCCTCGCAGGGGAGGGGGGCACCAGCGCCCCCTGCTGGCACCTGGGGGCACAGGGAGAAGAGCAGGGTGCTGGGCTCTTAACGCGGTTCCTGCGCCAGGAGCCTCAAAGGGACAGAGAAAGGTCACACCCCTCCCTTTCCAGGAAGACGTCAGACAGGGATCAGGCCCATCAAGTCCAACATTCTGTTCTCACAAAGCCGTCCTGTGGGAGGGAGTTCCACAGATTAACTGTGTCACAAAACTACGAGTCCTGCAATGCCAAGCCAGGGCAGATCAAACCTGAGAGTCAGTGTGGTGCGCAAGGGAGGGCTGGACGAGGTCCAGGGTTCATATCCGGCACCCCAGCCAGATGGGCAGGCATAAATAAGAATATTATTATTATTAATCCTCCCCACTGGGCCCTGAAGCCGCCTGGGTCACAGGGCCTCTCAGCCCAACCTACCTCGCAGGCTCGTGGTGGGGATGGTTATATATTCCTTGCTACCCTGCCTTTCCCCCTGACAAGACTCGAGGCGGCTTGCAGAGGAAAAAGCTGAAAATACAGAAGATGTGTGAGTTATTGAAGGAGCAGAGAGAGAACCACGTACGCTACCTTGAAATGAAATACCGTGAAAATCCCTGGAACGAGAAGGAATCGACTAGAAATATTATCTTATGGAAATAAACTAAATAATAAAAATCAAAAAGCTTAAGGGAAAAAATGAGAAAAACCTAAAATTGAACAAGGCCTTAACGGGATGCCGGCTACAAACCTCGCTTCACTGAACTATTCAGTTTCCTCAGAAGGAAATAGAAAAATCATAAATCTTAAATGACCAAAATTCAAAAAAGGGGGAGAAACTCCCAAAAATTCTGAAGTATTGTAATCCTTCACCTAGGTCGAGCTATAAAACTTTTTGATTTTTATTCTTTAGTTTATTTCTATAAGATAATATTTCTAGTCGATTCCTTCTCGTTTCAGGGATTTTCACGGCATTTCATTTTGTTTTGCGCGATTTCTCGGTTCTTTGACTGTCTTTTTTCTACTGCGTTCGCTACCTTGAGCTCCTTGCAGGGGAAAAGGGGGGATGTAAACACAACAGTAATTCTGACCCCCCCATTCCATCCCAACAAAACCCGGGCGTTTGAGAGGAACCGTCAAAGGCGCTTTGTTTCCGACTCCCACATTTTAATGCAACATCAAACCAATCTGACAGCAGAACAAAATAGGGACTCCCCGAACCCCTCCGCTTCCTTCCTGAGCCCCCCCCCAACCCGCCGCTTTTCAGAGGGTGGAGAACCGGGGCAGGTCGTTTCCCAGGATGACCTTGCGCTCCACGCCGTCCTTGGTGATGGCCGCCAGGCGGATGACCCCCCCGCTGGAGCCGTCCCGGTCCATGGCCAGGGCGAGGGCTGGAAGAGAGGAGAGTGAATGAGATGAAAAAAATGTTGAAATATACATTTATAAAGAAACCAGAAGCATTTTTACTGGGCATTGTTGGGAGTGATATAAATAGAAAGGAATGTAAGCTCTTTTTATACGCGATAACAGCAGCAAGAGTATTACTGGCCCAAAAATGGAAGGAAGAAGAATTACCGACAATCGAAGAATGGAGGATGAAGTTAATGGACTATGCAGAATTAGATAAACTAACAGGAAGGATTCGAAACCGGCGGGACCAGAAATTCAAGGAAGACTGGAGTAAATTTACAGACTATTTGAAAAGTGTTTGTGAAGATCAGAGGACGTTTGTAGGTTTGCAAGAAGGTTTGTGAGGCGTATTATTGGAAGTATTGCAAAAATGGAGAAGGGGGAGGATGATTTGTTAGATGCAAAGGCAATATAAAGTTAATAAATGCGTAAGAAGTGGTTAAAACGGTGGATCATCAGAGGTGCTGATGGAAGTCTAAAAAGACTGTATAAGTGATAAGTTTTGTGGTACATTTTATAATTTATATGTTAAAATTAATAAAAAAAAATTTTTAAAAAAAGGAAGAGATGAGAGTGAGGCAGGACACCCCCAGGAGGACTGGGAGACACCCCCACCCCAATTTGAGGGGCCCCCATTCTGCATCCTCACCATTGGCCGTGAAGCTCAGACACTCCTCCTTGCTCATCCCCGGCTTGTAAGTGGCGTCGACGAAACCGTAGATGTAGGAGCTGCCGGAGCCCCCGATGGAGAAGGGCTGGCGGACCATCATGCCCCCCATGGGGACAGAGTACACCTGGGAAGGGGGGGGGACACAGTTATGAGCCAGTCCAGAGGATACAGCCCCCGCCTCCCACCAGGGCTCAGAGAGTCAAGCATAGGTTGCCCGTGCCGGGGATCCAGGCCTGGCCCTGTGGGTGGGTGGGTAGGTGGCCAGCCTGCTTGCTTGCTTGGGGGGCAGCCCCCCCACCTCACCTGTCCCCCTTTGCGCTTGTCCCAGCCGGCCACCAGGATCCCGGCCGTGAGGTCCTCTCGGTAGCGGTAGCACATCTCCTTGAAGAGGCTGGCGGCTGTGTGCACCAGTGGGCGCTCGTCCAGTTCAATGCTGCGCAGAATTTTTTGGGTGGGGGGGGAGAGAAGAGAAACAGGTCACACACAGAGCAAGCAGGGCGGAGACTGGCAGCCACAGGGGGCCGTGGACATCCACGCAGGCCCCACACCACCAACTCTAGGGTGTAGAAAAGGCTTCTTCGGGACCACCTCTCCTGGTCTGCCCCACAGAGGACCTTAAGGTCCATGAATAGTTTAGAGGTCCAGGCCCCAAGGAAGTCAGACTGTCCTCCACCAGGGCCAGGGCTTTCTCAGTGGTGGCTCCGATCTGGTGGAATGCTCTGTCCCAGGAGACCAGGGTCCTTCAGGATTTAACCTCCTTCCGCCTGGCCTGTAAGACAGAGCTATTCCGCCTGGCCTTTAATTTGAATTCAGCCTGATCTTTTATTCCCCTTCCTTCCTTCCCTCCTTCTCCCCTTTTTATGAAGATAACCCGCTCTGGGATCCCACAGCTAATTCTCCCCTGCCCTCCTCGCTGGCCCAGATAGGACTAATTCAGCCAGCTAGTCCTGGGGATTATCTAATGTTTATTTTCCCTAAATTCATTTTTGAATTTTATTGTTATTCATGTTTTTATACTTTTATAATTGTTTTAAATTTGTTGTTAGCCATTTTATTATTATTATTATTCTCCTGGTGTGCTCTGGTCCATGGGGTCACGAAGAGTTGGACACGACTAAACAACAACAATTATTCTCCTGTGGCCTTCGTTCGTAAGCTGGACTAGAGGGCCCTTGGGGGTCCCTTCCCGCTTGACGGTTCTACAATTCCCCAAAGTTAAAGCATTAGATCCATGTCTCTGGATTCTTCAAGCCCTGCCCCATGTGAACTCCTGACTTGGCAGAATCAACAGCTGGGAAGAACGTTCCCCCAGAACAGCAAGATAATACGTTAACAGGCCTAGCCTTCTTCCAGGGCTGAGTTTTGTCACCAAGTGAAAAAGAGTGTGGTTCTGTGGAGCCCCAGCAGGCCTGCAGGCTCAGGGGGGCCAGAAATGTGCTGCCCCCCCCCACCTACCTCCCCTGCCCCCAGCGTCCCCCCACCCTCCGTACCTGTGGAAGCCCAGCTGGTACGTAACGGCGTCCGCGATGGCCTGGGTGTCTGCAGCGGAGCCCGAACGGCAGCAGAAAATGTGGTCGTGGATCTGTGTCAGCTTGTCTGTGACGCGGTTGGCGATGTACGAACTGCAAGAGGGAGGCGGGGAGGGGGCATCAGTGTTGGGAGTTCACGGCCCACAAAGGATTTCAGGGCGGCTGCGTCCGAGGGGCCCAGAAGCCGCCCATAACCTCCCAAACCAGAAGTGAAAGTCACACATTGGAAGCTGTCTTATTACAGCGTCTCGCGCCCCTCCTCACGACCCACCTTACTCAGCCAGCGTCCCCCCGGACCTGCCTCTCAAGGGTCTCAAGCAAGTGGTCTCTCTCCCAGCCCTACACAGGGATGCTGCTGGGGCCTCTGGGGCCTCCTGCGTGCAATGAAGGGGCTCTGATGCCCCCTCCCTCAGAGTCAGAGGAAGATTCTGGTCCTCATTGCTCTGGAGAAAGCGCAGAATTGAAAAGGGCTCAAGAAAGCAGCTTCACATTAACTCATACCTCAATGCCCGGCAGAAATGGCTCACCACATTGCTGATTTGTTTAAGAGCAATGAGTTGCTTTGCATTTTGCAGTGCTTATTATGTAACTAGGCTAAGGCTAAAAGGGACGCGGGTGGCGCTGTGGGTTAAACCACAGAGCCTAGGACTTGCAGATCAGAAGGCTGGCGGTTAGAATCCCCACGACGGGGTGAGCTCCCGTTGCTCGGTCCCTGCTCCTGCCAACCTAGCAGTTCGAAAGCACATCAAAGTGCAAGTAGATAAATAGGTACCACTCTGGCAGGAAGGTAAACGGCGTTTCCATGCGCTGCTCTGGTTCGCCAGAAGCGGCTTAGTCATGCTGGCCACATGACCCGGAAGCTGTACGCCGGCTCCCTCGGCCAGTAAAGCGAGATGAGCGCCGCAACCCCAGAGTCGGCCACGACTGGACCTAATGGTCAGGGGTCTCTTTACCTTTAGGCTAAGGCTGCTTGCAGTAAAGCTTTGAAACTCTCTTTTTTTATTTAAGCAATGGCTTTCCAGGGTTTCAGGCCAGGTGACATTCCTAGCCCTACCCATGAAGCTAAGGCCTTCTGCATGCAGGACAGGTGCTCGACTGCTGAGCTATGGCCCTTCACAAAATAGTGCCATCTTCTTGCTGTTGCAATTCCTCTTATTATTCTTCCCGGGATGGCATTCTGCTCCCAGCCACCTGAGAACAGATGGGAATGCCTCCCAGGAAAAGCAATGTGGAGTTGGTTTTCTGAGAGGGTGCTGGGAGGCCCTTCACACAGACCCCCCCCTTCCCCCACTCACCCCGTGGTGGTCCTGGAGTCAGCACCGATGACGACCCCACCGTCAAACTCCACAGCCATGATGGTTGTCTGAGGAAGGGGAGGAAGAGGGTGAGGAACAAGCAAGGACCGTGGGGCCAAGCCCAGATCTCTAGGGCTTGCTGGAATCATAGATTTGCAGAGCTGCAAGGGCTCCAAGGGGTCATCCAGCCCAACCCCCCGCAATGCAGGAAGGGAGGAGGAAATCCCACCAGCTGCAGCTTCTTCCACTGCTGCCGTCTGGGTTGGGAAAAGGAAGGGCGATGTCACGCATAGCTTTAAAAAATGATTGGGTGGAAAAGAGAGCTCTTGAGGTTGGAGGCCTCAATGTTTTTGAATTGTTGTGAATAACACAGTTATTGTGCTCAGATTCTGCTTGCTGGTTTCTAAGAGCCTGGGGGTTTTTTTATGTGGCAGAGTGCAAAGCTCTGATTATTATTTTCACAGTGTGATTTATTTTATTTTGCTTTACGCATCTTGCTTTGTGATGGCTTCGGGTATACACAAACCAACCAACACTATTCTCGCCCCCCCCCCCTTAATTGTGACAGCATTTAGTTGCAAATATGTTTGGCTGTTAAGCTGCTTTGGGCTGCCCTGGGCAAGGAAAAGCGGCTGACAAATTCAACAGGCAAACGATGACAGCCACAGGGGCAGTGATGGAGCAGGGCTTGTGGGAGAGACCAGAGTTCGACTCCTGCACCCTGCCATGAATCTCGCTTGTGGGGGGGGTGTCTCCTGGGGCCAGTCGCTGCCTCTCTCTCAGCCCAACCCACACAGCAAAGCTGTTGTGAGGATAAAATAGAAGACGGCGGTAGAGAGACCCATCTGCATATGCTGCCTTGAGCTCTATGGAGCAAAAAAGGGCAGGATATAAAACGCAGCGAAGGGGCCTTCCTTACATACCTTTAGGGCAGGCACCCCCAAACTCGGCCCTCCAGATGCTTTGAGACAACAACTCCCATCATCCGTAGCTAACAGGATCAGCGGTCAGGGATGATGGGAATTGTAGTCCCAAAACGTCTGGAGGGCCAAGTTTGGGGATGCCTGCTTTAGGGGGCGAAAACATTCCTCTTCCACCAGGCCTTGGGCTGACTACCATCCTGCATTACACAGGGCAGGGGGCCACCCTGGGGGGGGGGGACACGCGAGGCGCTGACTCCCAGGCCAGCCAGGCAGCACGGGGGGGGGGCAGCCTCTTCGGGGCAGGGACCTGGGCCCCCCCACCCCCTCCTTCCCCCCCCCCCCCCACCGCCCGGGGCCTCCCTGGCGGGGTTGTTGTGGGGCGGGGGGGGCGGGAGGGGAGCCCCCCTCTGCCCCCCCAGTCCCCCCTCCCTCCCGGACTCACCCCGGTGGTGACGGCCTGCTGGGTCCAGTCCGGGCAGCGCGCCTCCATCCCGACGCTCGGCCTCAGCATCGCCGGCGCCGCCATCTTGGATCTGAGCGACGGCACTGTCGCGAAACTGCCGAGCCATCCCGCGCTTTGCGGCGCGCTTTGCGGCGCAGGAGGGAGAGCCAAGCACGTAGAGCTGCGAGAAGAGGGGCGGCCTCTGCGGCCAGTTTCCGGGTCCCGCAGGATGGGGAGTTGTCGCGCCGCAGAGCTATAAGTGGTAGAAGGGAGGCCTGCGCCGATTTCCCGGGTTTTGTTTCTTCTCGCGTTTCAGTCTCCTACGTCAGGGGTCAGCAAACTTTTTTAGAATATATATATATATATAATTATTAATTTTTACAAAACGTTTCCAAAGAACATATTTTCTTATCTAATACAATATTTTGGACTTCCATCAACCATAGCTGAAGATTTTTCGATCTTTATCACTTAATCTGCATTTCATTAATTTCACTATTACTTTTAACAGTCCTTCACTAATAATTCTCTTTATACTTTTCTCTGCAATGTTTCACATAGTCCTCCTTACAAAACGTCTTGCAATCTGTTGATTACAATTGCTTTTCAAATCGTTCACGTATTTACTCCAGTCCTCTGAGAATCTCTGGTCCCGCAGGTTTCGAATCCTTCCTGTCATCTTACCTAATTTTGCATAGTCCATTAAGTTCGTCCGGCATTCTTCTTTCGTCGGTAGTTCTTCTTGTAACTTTTTCAGCAGGGGGCCGGTCCACTGTCTCTCAGACCTTGTGGGGGGCCGGACTATATTTTGAAAAAAATAATGAACGAATTCCCATGCCCCACAAATAACCCAGAGATGCATTTTATTATATGAGCAGTCTACTCATGTAAAAGCACACTGATTCCTGGACCATCCGTGGGCCAGATTTAGAGGGCGACTGGGCATCATCAGGCCCCCGGGCCTTAGGTTGCCTACCCATGTTCTGTTAGGTTTCTGTTTGTGCCACTGTGCAGTTTTTGGAGTCACAAGACTCTGTTTACATTCCAGAGATTCCAGACTGTTGGAAGTCTCACGGGAGATGGATGTTGATGTTACTGGTTTCCTGTTTCTTTGTACCAGTTGCCTCTCTGCTTTCACAGAGAGAGGATGTATATTTCTTTTCTACCTGCGTAGTTAGAAATAAAACTCTTAGCAATGTAGCTCATATTTCTCATCCTTCTGCTGCTGCTGGATACTCTGCTGAACGGGGAAGGTGCCTGGAGCCTCATCAAAGGCTTAGGTCGTTAATCACGTCGGAGGACTCGACCAGAGGAGTAGCTCAGTCGAACGCAAGTTCCAACATGCCCTACGTATTACAATTGTGTACCTCGGGGAGGATCACAGCATAAACACACACAAAGCACATAATAATAAAAACATGAGCAAAAGCGAAGCAACAGCTGCTTCCAGAAAGACATTCCAAAGGCAGAGGCTGTTGATAAGTCTATATTTTATTGCACAGCTGCTCCTCCCAAGGCAGAAATGCAGAATTTCATTTTTCCTTATCTTTGCGCCCAGCCTCGCCTGGGCACCCAAAAAGAAAAGGTGGCAGCCCCGGCAGGCCTTCCTCTGGTCTTCCTCCTCCTGTCCGGGTCGCTGCTCCTCTGCTGCTGCCTCTTGGGCTGGGACCCCTCCGCAGCTTCATCCAAACTCCGGCAGCGGGGAGGCTGGCCTGCACCGCAGGGGTCTTGTGAACCCCAGTGTTGATGGGCGTTGCCACTCCAATGTGTATGCGTGCACCGTGCTCTGTGGTCGATTATGTGGGGCGGGGCTTAACTGGTCCCCCCAACATTTTATTCAAGTTGGTCCCCCCGGAGGTACACAACACAGCAGGACTGTTGTCCGCTGTCCTCTCAACTTGCCTCCCGACACGCATTTCATTAAGAGCGCACTGTTACGGAAATTACGGGGGCGGGCGCATCTTTAAAGTTGTTAAATGTTACAAATATTATGCCTGAATGTATCCTTTCAACTTGACAGCTCAGGGAAGTTAGCTAGCTTTAAAAATCATATAAAATCAACTCCTTTGCCAGTTTCCTCCATTCCAAAGCTATTTCCCCCTTGAAAAAGGACTCCAGGAAGTTCCCAGAGGTGACAATTGCTGGGCTGATTGTTGGCCAAGGAAAACCTAATCCCATCACCAGACTTGCCAAGGGGTCCAGACATGCAAAGGAAGTTCCATTGCACTTTGGGTGGTGGGACTTCAGAGGTGTTTGTCTATGCTAACCTTATACCTGGGTCTTGCCCTGACATGTCTGCTTATGCTAATCTTGTACCAAGGACTTGTCTGAACATGTTTGCCAAGGCTGAACTAGTGTAACCCCTGTCTACCCCTCCCCTCTTGTGACATGTCAGTGATGTAAAGATGATGTCAAAATTATTATATATATTTTTTAATCCTTCCAGTAGCACCTTAGAGACTATGATAGGAATTTTGAGGTCTTAGATATATGTTAAATGTTCATAAGTGTACCAACCAAGCACGTACATAGATCAGCAGAGGACCTGAAACCATTTTTGATTCCCAAACTGACCTAAATTATTTCTCTGCAAGGTCAAAGTGGAAAACCTCCCCATTGTCTCTTTCCTCACAAATCCTGTCTTAAGGGCACATTTAAGATATGAATAGGGTGTGAGCCTGACCTGGCTTGGGAACTAAGCATTTATCACCACAACAGACTGGCCAGGCTCCCCAGGGTATCCAATCCAGTGACCATTAACAGGTAACCTGCCAGACAGGAGGTAAACAACGCATTCAGATTTCTGTTGTCGACCGCCCTTTCTGTGATGTAGGTATGATGTTTCTGGGGGTGGTCTTGGACTCCAGGGCAGGGAATTTAAAATGTCTATATAAGGGCGGGCACACCTTTGTTCTGGGTCCTCCTCCTTTCCTGCGTGTGAGGGGAGCACCCTGTTGCAACAGTTCAATAAAGATCAGGCTTACTTGTTGCATTTGCAAAGTGAAGGAAGGACTGGACCCTGATTAAAAACAAGACACGAGGCTTTGACCAGCAAGGCTCTCAGAGGGAGTGCGTCCCCCACACCCCTCACCAGGCCATTTTATTAGCAAAAGAATCTTTTACACAGTGCTCGTAAGAACCAATCATATTTCCTCTGAGCATTTCATCAAACCCCACGTGGGGAAAAAGTAACACTACAACATTAATTAGCATGCATATATTTTGGGGTAAATATGTTGAGAACTACAAAGGGGTAGTAAATAACTTGAGAACTACAAAGGGGTGGTAAATAATTTGAGAACTACAATGGGGTGCATCTGGCAACCCCACAGCTGAGAAATAAACATGATAAGAAGGATGGCCAGAAAGACCAGATCACTACCACCTTCATGTGAGATCTGTTTCCTGGCTCCAAGATTAACATTTTAAGATTATATATAAGAAACTACATCAAAGAACTTGCCCACTATCTTTTATGGCCCAGGATGCCTGCCTGGCGAAGCAACTGCTGTGTACTGCTGTGTACGTGACGTGAGGAGAGAGAAACGGGCAGCAGAGTCAAAAGGGCGTGAAAAGGGCATGAATGTAGAATCTTATGGGATTTAATCAGAAATTATCATCAGTATATCAAACCCAGTCAACACAATGTCTTCATCGTGGACACGATGGCTTGATGTATATTTTATAATTCCTCATGGTAATCCCATCTGATCCCTACACTTACGAGCCGCTTTGCTTCTCAATATTCTCTGGTTGGCCTCTCTTCTTTTCTCCTCCCGATGGAGAACCTGCAAAGGACTCTCTAAGGGCTCTTGTGTCCCCCATAGGGGAATAAGGGCAGATTTTCGTTTATTACACTGCTTAGCTCTGCAAATATGCCAGCAGTTTTATTGCTCTATTGGGGGTGGAGGTTCAGGACCATTAAGCCTTTGATTTTAAACCCTGCTTTAAAACGGAGGGCTGGGATTCATCCCTGCACCCCGTCCCTTGCCCTTTTTGCCAGTGGCTGCAGACCCTCCAACATCCTGGGGACCAAAATCCCCTGAGTTTTTGTGGGGGGGGGGAGATGCTCGTTTTTCCGGCGCTCTGAAGCAACCCAGCAAACTCCCGCCAGAACACTAGCCTGAAAAAGGACCCTGTTTCGGTCCAGCGTTCTGGCATAAGCCAGAGTGCCAGACCAAGAACGCTGGACGTTCTGGCATCGCTTCGGAAGCCGGGTTTGGCTTCTGTGATTCCAGAATGTCCCACTTAAAACGGGGCAGTTGAGTGGAGGTCAGAATCTCCTTTCTTGCAATTTGAAGCCGTGTGAGTCCTGCCCTCCAGAGCAGGGGAAAACAAGCCTGTTCCTGTAGTGATCAGGTGGGATTACTTAGAGGAATTATGAAAATATGGAGCAAGCCATTTGTGTCAGCAGTGATGAAAGCATTGTGTTGACTGGGTTTGATTCATGGACCATAATTTCTGATCAAATCCCACAATCCTCTGCACCTCTGCCATTTGCTATTTGTCTGCCTGACAGGCACGTATCAGCATTCTAAACACAGGCCAGTTGTCCACAGGCATCGTGGACCATAAGGATAGTAGGTAGCTTATTTGATGTACCTTTCCTTGGTTTTGTTAATCTTAGGGCCAGGAAATAGGTATCTTTCATAGAATCATAGAATCATAGAGCTGGAAGAGACCACAAGGGCCATCGAGTCCAACCCCCTGCCAAGCAGGAAACACCATCAGAGCACTCCTGACATATGGTTGTCAAGCCTCTGCTTAAAGACCTCCAAAGAAGGAGACTCCACCACACTCCTTGGCAGCAAATTCCACTGTCAAACAGCTCTTACTGTCAGGAAGTTCTTCCTAATGTTTAGGTGGAATCTTCTTTCTTGTAGTTTGGATCCATTGCTCCGTGTCCGCTTCTCTGGAGCAGCAGAAAACAACCTTTCTCCCTCCTCTATGTGACATCCTTTTATATATTTGAACATGGCTATCATATCACCCCTTAACCTCCTCTTCTCCAGGCTAAACATGCCCAGCTCTCTTAGCCGTTCCTCATAAGGCATCGTTTCCAGGCCTTTGACCATTTTGGTTGCCCTCCTCTGGACACGTTCCAGTTTGTCAGTGTCCTTCTTGAACTGTGGTGCCCAGAACTGGACACAGGACTCCAGGTGAGGTCTGACCAGAGCAGAATACAGTGGCACTATTACTTCCCTTGATCTAGATGCTATACTCCTATTGATGCAGCCCAGAATTGCATTGGCTTTTTTAGCTGCCGCATCACACTGTTGGCTCATGTCAAGTTTGTGGTCAACCAAGACTCCTAGATCCTTTTCACATGTACTGCTCTCAAGCCAGGTGTCACCCATCTTGTATTTGTGCCTCTCATTTTTTTTGCCCAAGTGCAATACTTTACATTTCTCCCTGTTAAAATTCATCTTGTTTGTTTTGGCCCAGTTCTCTAATCTGTCAAGGTCGTTTTGAAGTGTGATCCTGTCCTCTTTATCACCTCCTATGTGAAACTATCTTTCCTTGCCATCCTTCCTCTCATGTTTACTACTTGTTTATGAACTCCAGGGTTGCTGAATGCGTTCCTCCTTTTAGTCCTGTTTTATTTACCCCAGAATGTATGCATGCTCAAATTAGCTCTTTGTAGTTTTAACTTTAACTTTGTCGCCACATGGGTTTTTTTTAAAATGCTGTCGCAGGAACCCCCCGCCCCCCAATCATTCAGTTTGTACCAACTCCACACACACACTCACACACGACATACGCTACACTTCTGTTATAAATTCATAGAAAATCAACCATACATCGGATTTGCACTGTTCCACTTTTATTTTACTCCATGAAGGAAGGACTACAAAATGGGGAAGGTTTGTTACAGGGCTGCCATAATCCCTTGAGCATACCAGCACATCCACAGGAGCCCTGCCCAGTTGCTATGCCAACCCTGATGGTCCTAGACAGAAGACCATCAAGATCACAAAGAACTTGAATATGGGATTCAGCCCGGACTGGAACAAAGGACAATGATCAGCTCTTCCCTCTGGGGGCAGGAAACTGCAAACTCCCCTCTGTCACCTGGAAAGTACTCATGGGGAGGGGGAAAGGGGGAACCAGCCAGGTGACAGGACACTCAGGTTACCACCACAACTCCTCCCTCAACCCCTCCTTTCTGTGATGTATGTATCTGAGGGGTGGTCTTAGGTCACACCCCTTCTGTGATGTATGCATGATGTTTCTGGGGCTGGGCTTGATCTACAGGATGGGAATTTCAAAAGTCTTTATAAGACCTTGCACGCCATTTTTTCTGGGTCCCTCCTCTCTCCTGCAAGTGAGGGGAGACCCTGTTGCAAGAGTTCAATAAAGGCCAAGCCTACAGGCTGCTGTTTTGCTCCAAGTTATCCTGGTTGGTGTCTTTGTTTTTGTCCAAGGGAGCCCTCGGATTTTTCAGGTAACAAGTCCAACCCCGCTCCCCTCCCCAAACCAGGTGCACATGAACATAAGTTCAACCCCCTACACAAACACAGGTACATTCACAACATTCTGCCAAAATAAGGCGAGAAACCTCCATTTCCCTTGTAACCTGAAAACTGACCAATCAGGAGTCACTTCGTTTGACAGCCACCCAATCAGAAACAGCGCTGGCAGCCCCTTAAACTTCAAATCCCCTTAATGGACAATGGCCTTTATAAGAAGAGCTGCGTAAATAGCAGGTGAACTCTGCAAAGCGCTCAGAAAAACCCTCTGCAAAGAGCAGGTCAACATCTCACCCATCAAACAGCAGGGCTTAAAACTGAACCATAAAATCATAGAACTGTAGAGAGGGAAGGGACCACGAGGGTCATCTAGTCCAACCCGGTGCAACACGGGAATCTTTTGCTTTACAGAAAAGCTCAAGATACAGGTTGATCTGCCCACATTTAGTTGTTATCTCTGAGAAACGTAGAAATAACAGGATATATTTACACGAATTCTTCAAACTTAGGCAACCCTTTAAAAATTAGCTGATGAAGGTGAATACGTCGAAACAGGGCCCTGTCCTGGTTTCTGATCCATAATTGACTTCTGACTTCTGCTCAGTGATTAAAACTCAGACCTTCACGTCAAATTTGACTATGGACTAACATGAACTTTTCTCTACTCATAAACTCTTATCTCTAATACTGTAACGAATCATTGTATTATACATATCCTTATGAGTTTGTAATCTTTGTTTCAGTTTGTAATCTCTATTTGTGTTTGTAATCTTTGTCAGAATACTTACTTTTGAATGGATTAGTTTTTGTTACTATTGACTATTGATTTGCGAGTAGGGACCACTCCCACTACTGAAACTTATATTGGCCAGAGTTCTTGGTGTGCTTTTTTCTTGGTATATTTAATAACAAGACCTCCAACTTATTTAACGTCGTTCTCTACCAACTGAGCCTTCCCAGGTTTGTGGAAATCATCAGTTAAGTCAATAAAACCCTATTATATGAATGGAAAGCAATGGAAAAACACTGTAAATATCCAAACTGTTTTATTTTGTACAGGAGGGTAAAATAAGAAATACAAAAGCATAAATAAAGTGTTTCTGAGCCGCAGTGGTGGGCAGAGAAGGGGTGGCCATAATCCCAGAAGCAGAAGGGCACCAACTCGGACCTTTTCCTCTCAGCTGTCAATGGGCCACCAGACCTGATAAAGGGAAAGACAGAAAAATCATACTGTATACTCACAATATTGGCACAAGAGACTGGATGAGCAGAACTGAGCTGCCATAACTGTAATGCCAAAAGGAACGTAAAATATTTGCTCCGAGAGGAAAAGGCAGACAATACACTGACACCTTGACTGACAGGTGACAGGTCGTGGACTCAAAGGACTGTCTCTCACTCCACCTGTTTTATGGCAGGGCATGAGATTTGAATGAAGCTTCTCTGAAATGAATTGTGGAGGGGAAATGTAACTTCTAAAAGGAGTTACATGCCTTTGTTTGGGACTTATTCTTTCCTGGCTTAGAGGTTGAAAGCTTATCGCAACAATAAAGACAAGGCTTAATAGCTGCTTCTTGCTTTCCTATACCTGGCTGTGGTTTCTTGATTTATCCTGACTGGTGAAAGGACCTCGCGGGGCGCACTGCAACCAGGGATACCCAGATTTCAAGTCACCTTGGCAACCATGAAAGGACGATTGGGCTGAATAGTTGCTTTTTGCTTGCATTTACTTCTCTGACCTGCGTGAGGACCTCTGGGGATAACAGTACCCAGATTTCCACTCAAAACCAGGGTGCAAACTGGGAGTTGCCTTGGGGCATGCACAGAGTGCACACGATGGGTGGGCAAAGGGGAATGCTGAACCGCGGGCCCTCTCTCCCACCTCCCTTTGGCCTGAGACTCCTGGCACCCCCTGCCCTGCCTCCACCTGACCCGGTCATGTCCCGAGTTGCTCCTGCAGTCAGAGAAGAGTCCTCTAGCCCCTTGGGAAAACCGATCCCCAAGCCCAGCTTAAAGGTAAAGGGACCCCTGACCATTAGGCCCAGTCACGGACGACTCTGGGGTTGCGGCGCTCATCTTGCTTTACTGGCCGAGGGAGCCGGCGTACAGCTTCCGGGTCATGTGACCAGCAGGACTAAGCCGCTTCTGGCGAACCAGAGCAGCGCATGGAAACGCCGTTTCCCTTCCCGCCGGAGTGGTACCTATTTATCTACTTGCACTTTGATGTGCTTTCAAACTGCTAGGTTGGCAGTAAGCCCTGCTTACCCTCCCTCTTTTTCCTGGCCAAAGAGCAGGGCCCCTGTTAAGGAAAAATCCGGGTGCGAGGCTGCTCAGTCCCCCAGCTGGTCGGGCAGAGCCCGCGGGTCCCTGGGGAATAAAGGAAGGAGTCCAGCCAACCAGAGCAAATAGCTGTAGACCAAAGTTTATTGCGCAGTAGGTTCAAAGAGCAAATTTTGAAGCCCGAGGATGGGGTGACAAAGACGTTTAAAACTTTCCCACCATATCCCAGAATACAGTTCGCACAGCATCATTACTACATCACTGACATGTCACAAAAGGGGAGGGGTTAACCTTGGCAAACATGCCCAGACAAGTCCTTGGTACAAGAATAGCATAAGCAGACATGGCAGGGCAAGACTCAGGTATAAGATTAGCATAGACAAAAGTACAATAGAAGTTCCTTTGCATGTCTGGAGCCTGAGGCGAGTCAGGTGATGAGATTTGGCTTCCTTTGGCTAACAATGAGCCCAGCAATTGTCACCTCTGAGAACTTCCTGGAGTCCTTTTGCAAGGGGAAAATAGCTTTGGAATGGAGGAAACTGGGAAAGGAGATGATTTTATATTATTTTAAAGCTAGGTAACTTCCCTGAGCTGTCAAGTTGAAAAGATACATTCAGGCATAATATTTGTAATATTTAACAACTTTAAAGATGTGCCCCCCCGTAATTTCCGTAACAGCCCCCATTTTCCGAGTAAGAGCTACGCCTGCATGTCCAAATGATCTTTTCTCTTGCAGACAGGCAAGCTCCTAGCTGCTCACCCGGAGGGCATGTGGGCAGCCCCCTCAAGCCAGCACCATGGATCCAGGGCCTGTCAGGAGCTCGGCCTACACCCGAGTAGGACCCTGGCAGAGAAACATGCCCGCCTGGTATGTTCTCTCCCTCCTGATCGATCGTTCGGGAGCTTCAAAAGCTTTCTTCAGCCCGGACCGATGCCAACCGACACCGGCACACTTAGGGATCTGCAGAGTATGCACATCATGCGTAACAGAACTCAGCATTTTGGCTAATCTACTTTATTTACATATAAACACACACGGAGCACTGCAACATGGCTCCCTCTCTCTCCAGCATCAGACAGCAAAGAGAGAAAGAACAAAGGACAATAGTCCCACTTCACAGAACACAAACATCCTGTCTCCGTCACTTCCCACTCTGTGGAGTCAAAACATATGTGAAAGACAACAATCCCATGACTGCAGTCAAGGAGCAGGTATTCTAACAGGGCCACGACCTGCTTCTCTGGCTGCCGGGCCCTGCAGACCTCGTCTTAATAATGCACGTGTGAATGAGACAATCAGCCTTGGGCTCCGCAGGCGAGCACAAAAAGGGGGTTCGGGCACCAAGGACCCAAGATCAGACATCAGGCACGGCGCCTTTTATTGGAAACGGTGTATACAGACGGGGATGGGAGGAACAAAGTCTCCCGTGTGTCTCCCCCCATCACAACCTTGCGTCCCCTGATGCTGCTTCGGGTCAAGTCTGGGTCCCTCAGTCTAGGTGATGAGGAGCTGCTGGGAGGCCGGGAGGCCGCAGGATTCTTTATGGGCGTCAAAGAGCTCCTTCAGGGCCTCGACGTAGAGAGCGTGGAAGCTGTTCACCTCGTCCTCGGTGGGGCGCGGGCGGAGCGGGACTGGGATAGGCTTCCCCACTGCAGGAAGGAGAAGAAGCATGGGCGGTTGGGGGGTCTGCTCTGCCCCTTGACCCCACCCATGGCAGCCAGGGCCTCCCCACCCCAGCAGCTTTGCACCCTGGCTTGGGTTTCAGGGGTGGCTTAAGTGCAGGAATGGAGGGGACCCCAAAGGTCATTTGGCCCAACCCCTTGATTTGTGGCCACCCAACCTCTGCTTAGAAACCTCCAAGGAAGGGGAGAAGTCGGGGTGTGTGTGTGCACACACACACGCAATTGCAGCTCCCTCTATAGCAAGCCCCATAAAATGAGGCGGCTCGTTTGATTTCTGCATTGCAGAGGGGTTGGGCTAGATGACCCTTGGGGGGTCCCATTCAACTCCACAGGTCTCCGATTCAGTTCAAAGAGAGGGCAAAAGGGAGATGCACCAGAACATGCTGTTTTGTACGATGCTGAAGAGTTTATGGCTCTTTGCAAGCAAGTTGGTGAGTCGGGGGTGTTTGTGGGGCAGGAGGCGGAGGCTAAGGAAGGGACGGGGAGCCTTGTGGGTCCTTACCCACCACCGTGAGGGGGGCAGCCATGGGCTGGATCCCCCAAGAGGTGCTGGAGAAGAGGCCCCTCCCACTGAAGAGGCTAGGGGCCAAGCCGGTCAGCTGCTTGAAACCGAGCTGGAGGCGGCGAACGAAGCTGCCCTCGGGGAATTGGATCAGTCGGTAAATGTCATTCTCCCCAAAGGTGTAAACGGGCACCAGGTCAGCCCTGCAAGGAGGAAGAGGAGGAAGAAGGTGTGAGGAGACCCAGAGCTTATAGGGTTAATAGCTCGGGAAGTTACGTCCTGTCTTTTGGGGGGGGGGAAGTGTTCACATACTGGGTTTTATGCTTTGTTATGTGAGCTGATTTACTTTCTGTTTTGAGAGAGGGAGAGACGTTTCTTAGATTAGAAGGAGCTGCGTACGAGGGTTTCTCTGCATGCCTCTGATTCCTACACACACACTTGCTATCTGTTATACTCTGTTTAAGCCAGGAGGAGCAGAGCGGCGCATCGGAAGAGTGCTGGACGCCAAAGCACTTCAGCTGTTCGCAGTCTAAACAGACATTCAACAGAAAAAGTTATGGCTCATAACTCACAGGTTATGGAGTCAGCCGCCCAGGCGATTTGGCAGGTTCTTGAGAGGGTCCATCACAGAACCACAGCAGGAGCCAAAATCAATGTCGCCAGAAGTTTGTTTGAGCTGAGGCTACGTCCGGGGGACAGCATCAGAGAACATATGACAAAAATGGTGGCTGTGTTTAACTGACTGAGACAATTAAAAGTGAATTTTCCAGAAGATTTGAATGTTCACATTCTTCTGAGCTCACTAGACAAGAGTTATGACAATTCGTGCCTAACTCTAGAAGCCATGCCCCTTGCCGACCTAACATTGCAGTTTGTCTCAGGTCGCCTATGCGATGAGGAGGAACATCGGCAGAGAGAGGGGCACGCGCTGGCCCAGGCAGTCCTGCTTGCAAGAGTGGGGGGCAGTGAAAGAGGACACCGTGAAGGCTTTTGCTACGAGACGTTATCGTTGTGGCTCGGAAACCCACCTGCGTAAACAGTCCCAAGGAAGCTGCACAGAATGCCTCCAAGGCCATTGCCCTGGGCAACCAGATTAAGGGAACGGCCCAGCGTGGGAACGCAAGGAAAGGTCCCAGGGGAACTGAGAGAGATGCAACGTCACATCATTTGGCAGTTTCCATAGCAACAGTGAAGGACAGCGACCAGAGCAACATACAGCGCTGGGTGATCGACAGCGGAGCCAGTCATCATCTGCTGCCATCTGGTGGCCAAATGCGGAACTGCAGAGCTGTTTCCAAAGGAAAAACAGTCACGCTTGCCGATGGATCCAAGAGATAGCTGACAACTGTTGGCTCTGTTTTTCTTCCTTTTTTGCAGGCTGAACTGGAAGCATTTGTGGTCCCAGGGATGAAATGCTGTCTATGGTCTGTGTCTTCTTTAGTTAGAGGTGGGTTTAAGGTTTGCTTTGAGAATAATGTATGCTCTAGTTCCAGGGGTGGGAACCAGTTGGTCAGTGCTGAATGTCAGAACAGGCTATTCTGGAAACATCTCAAGCAGGTAAGGGTAACACTAGGTCAGCACAAGCACAGTGTGCAAATGTTCCTACTCACTATATGTGTCATCATTTGTGGCACAGGAGGATGTCCCACTGCAATTGGGGATATGTGAGAAAAATACCAGGGTGCACTGAGGGATGCAAAATGAAGTCATGTGCTAAGTTCCTGGATTGCAGAGCATGCAAGAAGGCAAAGGTAAAAACGTGCAGTTATCCTAGGTCTGACAGCGTAACCAAGAAACCTTTTGAGTTGGAC